ATTATATAGGAAGTGGGAAATAATTGGAGATTATATGAAGGGAAAATTTTGTTAGTTAAAAGAAAAATTAATGTAATATTAGAAAAAAAAAATGATATAGAGGAATTGAGAAAAGAAATTTAAAAAATAGATAATAAATATGAATAGGAATAATAAAATGTAATTGATAATGAATAGAATATAAATAATATTGAGAGAAAACTGACAAAATAATTGAAACCATTGAAAGAATCATCAAAGCAAGCTGAAAATCAGTAAGAGCTTGAAAACTTATAAATCACATAAAAAGATTTAAGATAATTAAAGCAATAGGTAGCTTATCTACATTAAAAAATATTGAAATAATATGATAGAATTAAAAATTTAGAAGATGATAATATTAAGTTGAAATAACAGGATGGATATCAAATATAACAATCAATGCTGCTATTGGAAAAAAGTGAAAATAAACATTAATTCATATATTACAAAGCATTGTTTTGGAAATTATATTATTACTTGTCGGCAATGTTACAAATCTCTACAGAATTATATTAAGCAAACAGAGATGCTATGATAGAAAGCTAATCTGAAAAAGTGCTAGATATAGTTCAAAAGGTGTTCAATGTAGGGTCTAAAGTGGTAGGAGTTATCCCAATAGGTGGAGAAGCATCTTAACTTATAAATGAAGCGCTAGATTACACAATTGAATAGAAAAAAGAAAATAAATTTAAGGTCAGACTTAATAAATTAACAAATATTTTAAAATGGTATAATATTATTAGCCCTGTAGAATTAGAAAACGAAGTAAAGGTAGCTGCAATTGAACTTGCAAAAAAACAATAAATTGACCTAAATGCTAGAAACTATTAACAATTTGATGAATTTGTAAATAAATTGAGCAAATCCGAAAAAATAGATGATAATAAGAATTTGCATTGGAAAAACGGCACCAATGATGCTTTGGTTATTTTAAAGTATTTAGATGATTAGTCAGAAACCATACTAGAGACAGATGATAAAAAGTTAAGAGAAATATTTTAATATGCTATTGAGAAAAATACAAAAACATAAACTGAAGTTTTACAACAGTAAAATGCAAAACCAATTTCATAAGTTGTTACTGTATCACATTGCTGTGTCATTTATTGAGATAATACAATTTTTTTGTTTATCATTTGTATATAAAAGCTTATTAATCTGATGAATTCATTACTTTATAACTTGTTTGTTTATTGAATATGAATTTTATGATCTTTTTATAAGACAAATATGAAGTACTTCTATATTAAATTTCAATTCTTATTGGAGAGTGTGTATTTTATAAAAGTCTATTATAAACAGAAGGATGATTTCCCTTTTTATGAAATTCAAATTAAATATCACCTTCTTCATAGTAAAACAATATTTTTTGTTAAGTTCAGCAATTTTAATGGGCGAATATTAATATTATTATTTAAATATTATAATTATAATATGAAATTAATCTTTCAAAGGGAATGATTTATGGTGAGTTAAAAGATTAAAATTTATTTTACGCTGAATTAGATATTCTAGCAACTTTCTTCTTGAATGGATGAGAGAATTTTCTTAATTTATAACATTATCTTCCCTTTATAGTATATTTTTGTCCTTTGAATAGATTATATAATAGAAGTGGAAAAATTACATAAATTCCAATGTATTTATTTATTTAAAAATATTGAAGATTTGTTTTTGTCTCTTTCATTAAAAATGTAAAGTCTAAAGACAAATAATTCATTTATTTCATCTTTTGAATCTCTCCTTTGGTATGGATCCCTTATCCATTTTATTTCACATTTATATTAATCAATTTCTGCTCTTGAGTGGATGAGCATGAGCCAATTTGAAGAATAATCAAACAAGTATTTTTCAATTTATTTTGAAGTATCTTAGTACCTACGTTTATTAATTAATAAAGTCGAAGAGTATATTCTTAAATAAAATAGACTCTCTCATAATTTAACAATAAAACTACCTAATAAACAGACTATGTAAGATTGCTATTAAATTTTTCAATTTTCTGAATACATAGAAAATATGTAGTTTTATTCTTAATATAATATTAATCATTAATATTCTCAAATTTTGAAATTTGATGATCGATGCAGGGTTGTAATTTTTAAAATAGGTAAATTATTATTTTGATTTTTTTAAATCATTTTCTTCTATATATCTATAAAGGGCAAAGGAAATTGAAAAAATTACTAAAACACATTCATTATTTGATAAATCATTTAGAAAACTTTAGTATTATCATCACAAGTACAGTTTTATCCTGATCAATGCTATTCTAGCATGTTTTTAGCTGTAATGAAAATTATTTTTGAGAAATATAATTGTGATGATAAATTATGATAATAATGTTTTATAATCGTAAAAATAGTTAATCCAAGTGCGAAATAGATTTAACTCGCATAATCTATCTAAAGTCACATTGATATTTAAAAATTATTGTGAGATTTTTAGTTCCAGAAGAGATATTTTTAGAGATGAAATATACTATTTTAAAAGGGAACCTCATTTATTTTCAGGGAAAGGCAACAGTAATATTACTAATATTTACAGTTCTATGCCATTATCATTATTTTCTTTAGATGAATAAATTAATACTGCAATTGCTTAATTAATGAAATTAATGAGAAAGTGATATATTTGAATGCTATTATTTTTATGAAAAAATTAAATTTATGTTGATTTATTCTGAATATTATTTCCAATATTTATCCTTAGAAATAGAATTTTAGAATACTATAAATTAATTGGCTTAACGAGAATTTACTTTTAGGATAATAACAATTTTGTATTGATTTAAATTACTCAAATTTTAACGTCATTAAGGAATAGTATATCGATATATCTAAATGTTGAGAGGCTTTATTCTAGTTTGATTGAGGAAACAAATTTCAAAATGACTTATTGTTCTTTAATGTATTTATAATATTCCTCAATAGTTATAAATTTTTTAATTCAGGAATTTATCTTAAGTTGTAAGATGGTAAAAAAGGTTAATATAATTATTTGAATTAGGATGTAAACCATAACAAAGTGAATTTGCTTATAACATGAAATATTATATTATAATATAATCATTTAAAAAGTGTATATTAGTATATAAAATAACAAAATGAGTGATTAAGTATGTGATCCTGATAAGGGGTGTTGGCTTTTGAGTAATTGTGAATGGAATGGTATAATTTACACTTGTGTACATGATCCAATATTGGAATTGACACTTTATACAGGTTTTGTTTTTTCTTTAATACCAATATTTTTGGGAATTGGTATTTTAGGAGGCTTAGGAACAGGAATGGTTAAAAGGCCTATTTTAAATCTTATGTTAAATTATCCTGCTAGTATTGCCACTTAAGTTGGTGATTGTTTTTTATTTGTAACAACAACATTGAATTCTTTGTTATTAATTTTTGAAAAGTATCTTTAATTATGATATGAAGACATCCAGATCATCCAGAATTACCGCTCGTTAACTTTGAAATTAGTATAATCTTTAATTAAACTATTCCTTTGGCCTGGAGTGTCGGGGCTTTCCTTTAATAAAGAATACCTTAGTTTGCTATATATCTCTTTTAACTTTGCTTTATGCTTGGAGCAATACCATTTTTATGGAAATTCAGTAATTATAACTAATATTTCAGCTCATAGCTAAAAGTAATTAGAAATAGATAAGAGAGACAAAAAAGTGTTAGTAATCGAGAAAATAAAAACTAAAGAAGATATGGCAAATGAGACAAGTTTAAATGCCAAAGAATTATAACAATATGAGATATTCTATATTCTCAATCATAAGAAAATACAGATAAAAAATCTGTGTTTCATTTTTGGATCCTTTATAGTTAATCAAACTATAGTTCTTATGAGATCAAACAAATTTAATAATTCTATTATTGGAATAGATGCTTGCACTCTTGAGAATAACTTAATCCTTATTTTGATTTTGTGTGCCAATTGTATCTATACAATCTTAGTGTATTGGAATAAAAGGAATGAAGAATTTTATAAAGACTTAGTATAATATAGACCAGATTATAGGTACTTTACGCCCAAAAAAACATTTTGGTTTTATTATCTAGGAGGTTGTTTGGCAGGATTTAGCACAGGATTCATAGGGATGGGAGGTGGACTAATTATGGTTTCTATACTATTACATAAAAAAATCATAGCCAGAGAAGCAGCTGCTACTGCAGGCTTTGGAACTTTTATGATTGCCCTCAATAGTTTAATCTAACTGTTTTTATAAAAAACTATAACTACAGGCCAGATGTTTACATTTTTTGGGTTAGGAGTATATTTCTCAACTATTATTAGATAATTGGGTTGGCATTTATCACTAAACCTGCATATATTTTAATGAATAAGTTTAAAGTTGGATATGTTGTGTTGATTGTTGATATTATATCAGTGACCAATAATGTCCTTGCAATCATAGCCTTAATTATAATAAATTCTACACTTTATGGATTTGACAGAATGTTAAATTATCATGAACATTGCTGAAACTTTATTAATTGGATTAATTTATCATTTTTTCAAGTTATTATTATTTATTATTATTTCATTCTCTTTGCTGTCATTGTTCTTATTGAAAGCATTCTTCTGAAGAGTTGATTTTCTTAAAATTATACATAATGCAAAAAGTTTTAAAAATTTGCATTATAAGTAGAATCTTGGAGAATTTTCTATTATTTAATAGACCAAAATGTAAGAAATTGGATTTAAATAAAAACTAAAACTGTATATCATATGATAAAGACAGATTAGGAAATTGATTAAAATCAAATAATAAATTTTTATTAAAATGATAAAACAATATTTAATCATTTTAATTATGATTTAAAAAATAAACAATTATTATGAAAAACTAAATAACTGAAAAGGCCTCCATAAATGTGAGATGTGATAAATGTAATCGAAAAAACGATCTCATTGCTGAATGTTGTGTTGTGACTTCACATACACATACTCTAATTTGTTGTCATCAATGTGTTAAAGTTTTAGAAAAATAATAAAAATTATATGTTGAATAAATAAATGACATTTTATCAGAATGCGAATAAATAAAATAATTCATTAAATGCAATAATTTAGTTGAGCTAATATCAAATTCAATTTTTGCAAAAACTTTAAAAATGTCTAAGCCTCTAATTGAGTTACTTAAAGAATCGAAAGAATTCCAATAGAGCAGCAATGTAAATGGGATATAATTTAAAAATTATTGTAAATAGAGAACAATTTACAAACAGTTATTAGAAGATCATGCCATTAAAGATTCAATTGAAAAAGCTTTTTAAAATTATAAAAGCACTATCAGATAATACTTTTATGATGAAGAAAGTACCCTCTTTTTCTCTATTACAATTCCATAGAGCAAATATAGCGTATTATATTTTAAAGTACTATCACATTATTTTCTAATTTTAAAATATTTTACTCAATTAGAATATTTATCTCAAATTGATTAAGAAGCAGCCGAAAATATAGTAATGGATTAATATGAGCCAAGTATTTATGTTTCGATTTATGACCTAAATAGCAAAACAAATATTTATGAGGAGCTGTTAATTTAAAATTTAAACTTACAATTTTTTAATGAAGAATTAATTAAGTCATACTTATTCGAGTAAAATAAAATTATCTATATCTGTATAAAAGATGAGTATTATGAAATTCATCTATCTCCTAAATAACCTCCGAAATAGATTAATAATATAAAATTTGATGTTATTAGTGACAACCTTATATATTTGGGTTTGGATACTTTGGTAAAATTTGATCCTATTGAATTTGAAATTATTTAATAAAAATAGATTTTTGAGAGAAACTGGTAGGATAATCAATTTTTGATTTCTTATGACAAAAAAATACATTCATTTATTATGTATTCTTGTCCTATTTAATAAGAAAATGAAATATTCGAAATAATTCAACTTGATTCTTTAAGATGCACTAAAAGAATAATATTCGCTAATTATGATAGATATGATTACAATAGCTTTTCATATCATAATTCATTCAACTATTTAATCAATATTAGTACTGTCGTGCTTTTTCGTGAATCTCATGCAAAAAAAAGTGGATTTTTGATACTCTTTAATCTGCAAAGAAACAAAATAATTAGAAAAATTCCAATAGTTTATTCTAAGTGGCTGGAAAAATTGGATTTTTTGAGAAATCAAAGTATAATATGTGTAAAATATAAATGTGATAATTTACATTTATTTTAAATTTCAACTGGAAGAAATATTCTTCAATTTGAATAATTGTAAACCTACCCAATTATGCAAAACGAACAGCTTGCTGTCTGTATAAAATAAGATAATGTCAAAATATTAAAATTAGCCTAATGATATTAAGATAAGGATAAATGAATAAAATTATTTTAAATTATCTTTTATTTATAATATGGTGTTATGTATTAATGATTTTGATTATTAAGGAATATTGTTTTCATATTTGAGTTTCAATTATAGAATACATATAGTGGTATATTCTTTAATAGCAATAATTACCATTAAATCTCAGTAACATTCAAAACAAATATTCTCTTTAATATTAAAATTGTATATGAATTTGAAAGTAAAAGAAAATAAATATGTCGATCATTATTTTTGAGTTGGAGTATTACATGAATGAAATACAAGTCTTTAAAGAGGATTGTCATAATAATTATTAAGTTCTTGCAATTTCTTTTAATGTTATAGTCTTGCATAATTAATTCTAGCCTTTTTTATAGATTCTGAGACATCAATTACCAGATTAATAATTAATAATAATGAAATCATAGAAATATGAATCCATCCAAATAGCATTTGTTAATCCTTACTAAATTCGAAAGTGTAAATTAAGAGAGATCCTGTAATGAGCATAAAAAAGAATTCTCTATATTTTAACTTATTTAAATCATAAGGTGATTGCAAAGGTGCAAACTTAATCAAGTATATTAAATAAAAGAAAGACTGCATTGATAATAATAATGATTGCACTTATGGATAGTCAATAAACTTCACTATTATAAAAATATAGACAATGATTCTATAAAGTAGGAATGATTTGCAATTTGCTGCCCAAAATTCCATCTTAGAATCCTTTAAAAAATATTTCCACTTTTGTTTATCTTTGATAAGAGTACATGTGATTGACATTAAGTATAAGCTTGTAACGGAAATAAACAATAAGCTAATTATGGCATTAATACTATTGAATATTTAAAAGGGAGAATTAAAGTTATAATCTGGAAATTACAAAAATGAGCTGAATACAAATTGATGAAGGATTGCTTGATAAACATTAAAAATTCCGAATGAAAAATATTCATTTTTGAACTTTAAAGCTGATAGTTAAACTTTCTATTAAAATAAAATAATTATTTTGAGAATCCTTCCATTTTATTCAAATTTTTTGGATAAATTATAGAATAAAGTATTTAGTTAATTTGAAGATGCAATGCAACAAGCAAAAAAAATCAAAATGGATGTAATGACCGAGAAATAACAGCTTTTAGCATTTATCAGAAAGAATTAATTCAAAGAACTTGTTTAGCTCAAATTTTTATTAGATTTCTATTAAAAAGGTAAAGTTCCACCATTCAATTTAATAAATAATTCATTTATTTGTAATTAATCTAGAATTGGTTAAAGTGAAACTTTAGTGTAAGTATTTAAGAATTCAATTAAATGAGGTGGAAATTGATATTACATATATCTTAGGTAAGACAATGATTACAAAAGGTCTAAGAGATTGAAAAACATTACAAAATTTCCAGTAACAATGGCTAAACCTGAAATGGCTATCAGGGAATACATAGTAGCTTCATTTAACTTAACAACAGATTATAGCTTCTATTGAGTTTCTTCTGATAATATAAAAGGGTTTCCAAGGTTGATTTTCATCTCGTATTTTTATAAGGTTAAATCAAACTCATTCAAGATGGCTTATTTACTTATTTTAATTTCAAATACAGGATCCTATATTGGTTGCTCAAATATAATATAAATATGATAAACAGGGTAGTTAAGGGTTGTTGATAGATTCTAGATAGAATAAATAGTCAAGGTATAATTAGTTAAAGGGGTAATACTAAACTTTGCTAGATCTTCTAGTGTTAAATCAGCTTCTAATTTCACTTATTAGGAGAAGGTGAGTTCAACTATTTGTGTTGAATTTACTTTTTCTGAGAGTACTTTTAAAAAGAATTAAGGAGAATTGATGAATGTGCATTAACTTAATTATCCTTGAGTATTTAAACATTGATAAGAATCTTCAATTACACAATTTTGAGAGCATCCATCACCTCCCAAATAGTTGCCATCATCACATATCTCGAATTCAGTATTTAATTCTCCATTACCACATTAATTAATACAAACGTTATCAATTAGTAAGTAATTAATTTAACATCTTACTTCACTTAATTAGAAAAGTGAAGGTTCAAGCTCATTGATATTATTTATAACATCCTATATAACACATTTATGAGTTTAATTATCCAATTAAAATTAATTGCTGTCACATTTTCTACATTAATTGGATTACTCACATTCAATGCAACCTAATGAACATTGAAATTAACATTAATAACAACCATCAAATGGTGTATCGTTTCCATCTTCACACTGTTCAAGACCAGATATAATGAAACCATCTCCACAAATAGGAAGGCAAACAGAATCACTTAATTGAAAATACTCCTCACAAATGATGCAAACATTTCCAATTTTACATTCGATACAAAAATCAGGACAAGCAATTTCAACTGGATCTATATCAACAATGGTTGGTTCTTCCATTTTATAACATACACCAAATGAACATGTTAGACATTAAGGATCACATGAATAGTTACAAATATGACATCCGTCATATGGTTCTAGATTAGCATCTTCACATTCTTCAGGATCAACAATAATCATATCTCCGCAAATAGGTTTACATTTAAATTGATCTCTTAAGTATCCTGATTTACAAAGTTCACATATTCCGTTTGTACAAATTAAACATCCACTTCCACAATTTTATTTGCAACTTAAACAACCTGTAGAGACATCTTAATAAATGTCTATGTATTCACATTCTTCATCGCCTACTTTTAAACCATCTCCACACTATTATTCACATTTATTATTTCTTAATTGATACCCATATTCACATTAGAGACATTCATCATATTCACACAGCGAACAATTACTATCACAATTAAACTTGCATTGATTACAAGAATGAAAAACTTCTGAAAGCCCAACTTCACATTATTCATAACCTACTATCAGTGAATCTCCACAGATAGGTAAACACTATTTAGTTTTATGTGATTATCTAAATCCCACTTAACATCTTAAACATATACCATTATAACAAAATATACAGTGTTCAGAACATCCCAAAAGACAATGATCACAGAGATCAAATGGATTGCTATTTTTTGTCATCACATTACTCATAATCTCTATTTATAATTCCATCTCCACAAATTTATTAACAATGATTGAAAGCGTTGAGATACCATCCATCAATTTCATTACATTTGAAACATTTTCCATTATGACAATGAGTACAATGAGCATCACATACAAATTTACAAATATGACATCCATCTAAAGCATTATTATTACCATCATCACATTATTCATCTCCTTAGATCTTCTAGTCTCCACATCTTTCTAAACACTGATAAGTACCTTATTCATAAGTAAATCCATCTTTACATTAATAACACTTACCTTGATGACAATTCTAACATTCATCCTAACATTTGTATTTACATTGATCACACCCGTCGAATGGATTGCTATTTCCATCATCACAATCTTCCCCATCTACAATCAATTGATCTCCGCATATTGGCACACACTCTAAATTATATCCATCGTCATAAAATCCAACCAAACATTGGCACTTAAATTTACTGATTGATCTATGGAAATCAGGATTACAAGAATAACATTAATCATAATCTGATCCAAAACAACTTTCACAATATTGGTTGCATTCTTTAATTACTGATTAAATTATTACTTAGACATTAATTGGTTGATAAATATTGAGATGGGTAACAAATGCACTCACCTTAATCCAAATAGAATTATAAACTATCTGAGAATTCACATCTTGTACAAACTGATTCACTTATACATTCTAGACACCCTATTTAATTACAAGCTTAACAACTGTGGCTTTAGGTTATACTATCAAATTTGACGTATTCGGTTGGTCTGCAATAATGAGTTGAATTATATCCAGTATATGATCCAAAATCACAATGTGATATTGTCGGTCCTGTGCATGAAGAACAAAAAGGTACACACTAGACATATTAACAATTCATACATAATTAACTACGACAAAATATTCTGAAACGTACATAAATGCCTCATCCAGATCAGTTTTTTATGTATCAGCCGATAATATTATATCTAATTAATTTGAGTTATGAGTAAATTGATGTTAATGAAAAATAGTAGTCTCATATCCATAATCTCCAACTAAATTTTTTACCCCATTTTTAGGATTTTATATTTAACCAGATTAATGAGAGTCCAATTAATATTGAAACCAACCATCATTATAATCTCCATATGTAAAATTTATTCTAAAACTCACTTAATAATGCGGCTTTAAATTTATAAATGTTTTTTAAAATTTTCCCTTACTCCAAACTAAAACTCCCCCTAACACTGATTTTTCCGGGACAAAAGAGTAAATAGCTCCTGTAAACGATGATTAAATAGTGTTATTTAAATAGGTGAAATTATCAACTACTTTAGAAACTTCTTCAAAAGTCGTGTTCATGTCATAAAATGCTTTTATTAAATATCTGCTATCTAAAATTAACAATATTTTATACTATCTATAAGATCTTCATAGTCTTCGCAAAAATTAATGTTAAATTATGAGTGCATAGGACAAACGTTAACACACGTTCCTCTAAATAATTTAAAACCCAATTCACAAATTAAGCATTTAGAAAAAGTTTCACACTTTGTACAATTACTTTAACATAATCCTTAATCAATAGTTACATTATTGAAACTCCAGAATTCGCTATCAAGTTTTTAAATAGCATAAAATTTAATAACGGGAGCCATGGTATATGTTTTTAAAACAGTTTCAATTCTCAAAAAGTCATAATTCATAGATGAACAAGTTAAACTTTCAAATATATTTAACTTTCCATTGACTATAGTGTAATTATCCATAGTTTTCTCTATTCTCATTTGAGAATATTAATCTACCGTTATGATTAATACAGAAGTTGGTTACCAACCAAAAAAGTGGAAGGATGCTCTTATCCTTAAGTAGACTAAACCTTCATTTTGTGGCAATTTCAATTACATTGATGAACTATAAGTAAATTTTCCAACTTAATCTTTTCCAGAACAAGTAACTATCATATCTGAATTACTAACATGAAATGGATCTGGTTCATATATCCATGGGTCATAAGGTATTTTATCTCCATTACTAATCGTGGAAAATGCAAAATATTTAACCATAGATTTAATTCCTATTGTTAATTTTTTAATTACTTGGGTCAAATTAACAATAATTGGAGCTATCTGCTATATAGTAATCTATGGGGCATTCTTATACACAACCAATCAACCTATGAGCATATTTATTAGCTTCATCGCATAAGCAAACACCTCCTATAAGTGATCCCTGGTAACAGGTAAGACAGTTAAATTTCGTGTCTCCGTCACACGAGGCACATGAAATATGGCATGAATTAGCATAAATTAAAATGTTTCTTAAACCAATACGCATTTCTTTATCCTCAAATTACATACAATATGAAATTGTAAAGATAGGAGTTAAATGGTTTATTGTATCAGAAATAAAAGTCTTAATTTCTATTCTCTTTTTATTTAAAGTACAAGTGTATGAGCATTATTAATCGCACACTTTAAAGTATTCTTATAAAGAGATTTAATCATAAAATCTTTCAAAAATCGACTGCTTTGATCCTGGTGAATCAATTATTTGAATTTAAAAAGCAGAATTTATACCATTTTTTGATCGAATATAAATAACATCTGTGATTATTCTAAGTTAATAGTGAGGGTAATAAAATTTTTTCTCAAGGCTACTTTTACTGTCAGATAATCTCATAAATTCTAAGTTATTTGTCAAACATTGCTTAGTCTGTGTTTCTTCTCTATCCTAATCTGAACATGTTTTATATGAATTCCAACTATCTTATTTTATTATTAATAATTAATAAAAGTCACTGTAGATTAACATCCATTCAGAATTAGCCATCTGAATTAAGGCAACTAATATAAAAAGCATTTATTAATTTATTGTTTTATGTATTTTAAATGCAGTTATAATATAAATTGGACATTAATGTATGTAGAATTCTACAAATTTGGAGTGTTTGTGAAATATTTTTTAAACATTAAATAGTAATATTATTGAAGATGTAGATTATTTATATTGAATCCTATTTCCCAAATTATTATACTAATTTAAAAATTCTAAAATAATTCATAAATAGAGAAATATATAGTAAACTAAAATTATTAATTATCTTTTATTGTATAAATAATTTATTATCATCAACACTAATTATTATAATATTCTAATAATAGAACTAATTCGAAGGCCAAATATTATTCGTTGTATTTTTAATTTAATTACACATATATTAAGGATAAATTAATAAAGATTCATATATTAGTTAAATTTGATTTTTATTTATAAGATAACTTTTTTATATTAGTTTGAGTTGATAATCAAATAATTAGAACTTAAAATATGTTGGTCACAGATTATAAATGAATTTGTTAAGTTGATTTATGTTTATTTTAGAGATAAAATTGGTTCAATAAAAAAGATAATAATTATTTATTTATATAATTTCTTTACATTTCCCTTCAATTTCAGATATTTGTTTAATTGAGATTTTAAGTTTAGTAACAATAACATTCCTCTAATTTACAATAAAGATGAGATATCCCTTTCATATTTTGATAATTTACTACAAATTTAATCTTAGATCTAACTTTAATTCTACACTAATATTTGAAATAATGTTTATAATGAAAATTGTTAAAAAAAGTTTGCCAATTGTATTCATTTTAGATTGAAATAATCTACATAATTTTATCCATAATACATTTGTTTATTGAGGAATTAGATTAGTAAATATATTAATAGTATAAATCAAGATTTCTTATATTACATCGTAATAATGAGTGCAATGGAAGGCTGAGCAAATTATTTTTATTTACTCATTTAGTTTAAATATTAAATATTATTATAAAAAATTATAAATAATATCGTATAAACATCTAATCATTTTTTTTATTCATATAAGGGGATTAGGTCAATTCTTAAATTTGAAATGATAGTTGAATTTTATATAATTGTTTATTTAGCTTATATTAAACGGCTTGTGGCTATTGCTTTATAACATGTAATTGGATTAAGTTTCATTCTGATATTTGACCAAGAAAAATTATTAGCTTAAAAGGATTGTGTAAATTATTAAACAAATTTACGATTTTTTAATTACTTCTATAAATTTAATTAAGTTTTAGATAGTTTAAATTGTTATAAGAAGGGATTTTTAGTTGCTTCCTATAGAGTAGAATATTTTTGGAAACTTTATACTACTAATCCTGACTAAATAGCCAATAGATGTATAGAACAATCAGAGTTTTTGGCAATCAAAAATTCTGAATCTTATGAAAAGGCTAGAGAATGCATTAAATCTAAGTTATTTTCAATTATTTTTATTTCTCCTTTTATTATATAATATAGGAATATGGTATTATTTTTATTTACCATAGCCAATATTTAATTATCAGCGGAGAAAATAGTTGCCCAAACAACCCCTAAATTCACTTCTAACAATTCAACTTATTCTCCAGTATCTAAGCTCCATTACCTAATAGTATTGTCATTTGATGTAGACACCAAAAGCTTTCCTTCAGGATTAAAAACCACTTATTGTATTGCCTCTGTATGACCTTTCAATACTTTCTCTTAATTTGTATCTTTTACAACCCAAATACGTATTGTAGTATCGCTACTTCCAGATGCCAATCTTAAACCATCATTAGAGAATCGAAGAGACCATATAGTAGCTGAATGAGCAATTAGTATCTAAACATCTATTTGTGATTTCAGATTCCACAATCTTATTTTCTTGTCTCTTCCTGCAGATGCCATGGTTTGACCATCAGCAGAAAAGGCAATCACTTCTACTTAATCAGAATGTCCAATTAATTTTTATCTTTCTTTTTCAGATTTCAGGTCCCATAATCTTATTGAGTAATCTATACAAGCTAATGCCAGTGATTACTAATCAGGAGATTAAGCTACTGAATATATCCACATAGTATCACCATTTATTTATTGCATTTCTTTAATCGATTTGGTATTCCATAATAATATAGAGTTGTCTTCACTTGCTGATACTAATGCCTCTCCATTAGGGGAAAATGCAATAGAATATACACATCCAGTATGTCCATCTATTTTCTACATTTCTGTACCAGTTGTTATATCCCAAATTCTAATTGAATGGTCGCTACTTCCAGATGCAAGAACTTTTCCATCTGGATAAAATGCTATTGATTATACTGCATCTGTATGACCTTCTAGTTTCATTATGTCTTACCCTGAAACTGCATCCCATAATTATATGATATAATCTCCTCCAGCTGATGCCAAAATCTGTCCATTTGGAGAAAAGATCACACATTATAATGAATCATTATGTTCACTTAATTCTAATATTTCTTATCCTAATTTTGTATCCCATATTTTAACCAAATAATCACCACTAGCAGAGGCTAATCTAGAACCATCACAAGAAAATGCAACTGACTATACAGAATCGCTGTGTCCTAGTAATTTAGTAATTAATTTTCCTGTTTTAATATGCCATAATATGATCGATTGATCTTCACTTCCAGATGCTAATAAATCTTCTTTTGGTGAAAATGCAACTGAGCACACCCAATTAAGATGTCCTTCTAATTTTGAGATTTCTTTTCCTGATTCTACATCCCATAATCTAACAGATGTATCACTACTACCAGATGCTATCAATTATCCTTTTGGACAAAATGCAATTGATTATACCCATCCAGAATGACCATCTAATCTACATAATTCTTTCCCAGATTTCAGATCCCAAATTCTTATTGATTAATCTTGACCTCCACCAGAAGCAAAGACTAATCCATCTGGAGAGAATGCTACAGAAGTGATTAATCCAAGATGACCTTCTAACATGTTCATTTCCCTTCCAGATTTAGTATCCCAAAGTCTTATTGATTAATCATCACTGGCAGATCCTAAGATTGAACCATCTGGGGAATAAGCAACACTGTAAACAGTTTTTGTATGTCCTTCCAATCTCTAGATATTCTTTCCTGATTTGACATCCCAGATTCTAATAGTTGTATCGTTACTAGCAGACGCTAAAAACTATCCATCAATCGAAAAGGCAACAGACCATATCCCATCGTCATGATCAGTTAATTTTTTTAGCTCCTTTCCACTTTTAATATCCCATAATATTATTGTTCTATCAAAACTTCCAGATGCTAATAATTGGCTGTCTGGCGTAAATGCAACTGAATGAACAGGAGCTGAATGGCCTTCTAATTTTCTAATCTCTAAACATTACTTTAGATCCCATATTCTTATAGTTAAATCATCACTGCCAGATGCCAATAAATGACCTACAAATGAAAAGGTTGCTGACCATATCCAGCCATCATGTCCATTCAACTTATTAACTTATTGACCTGAAATAGGATCCCATAAACGGATAGATTTATCATTACTTGCAGAGGCAATCATTTAACCATCAGGTGAAAATTACACTGAGCGTACCTAATCTGTATGTCCCTCCAATTTCAATATCAAATATCCGAAACTCACATCCCATAGTCTCACTGTATTATCACTGCTCCCAGAGGCTATGATTAAACCATCTGGAGAATAGGCAATTGACCTAACCCAACCGGTATGTCCTGATAATTTCAAAATCTCTTTTCCTGATTTGGTATCCCATACTCTTACTGTATAATCATTACTAGCGGAAGCCAATGTTTATCCATCTGGAGAGAAGGCTACTGAAGAAACTGAATCAGAATGACCTTTTAGTGTTGGTAGTTCATTTGAATTGATATTAATCCATCTACAGTTTGATAATTAAGCCCTGTTGAAATTGCATTAACTAATATTTACATTATCCATTTTAGATTCATTTAATTTAGTACTATAAAATGAGGCACCGTTAAGATTGGCATTTTTTATTTAAATGTGTCCTAAATCTAAATAGTTAAAAACCTCTCCTATTTAATTAAGTATAAATAAAGAATTCCCTGCCTCTTGTTAGATGGGTTCTAAGCAGGATAATTTTACTATTGCCATTAGAACCTCCTTTAATCTTTGATTTTAACTAATTTCAGACTTTAAAAAGTGAATCATTCCTTAATATTATTCTTCTGAAAAATTGAGAGTATTAAACTTGCTCTCTTTTATTGTCCTCACAATTAATTCAACCAATTTTTATACATTCTCTTTGCCAACACTAATAAACTCTTTATCCAAGTTAATTAATTTATTTTTGTCTTATTAATTTCTTAATTTATCATTGATGTAAACATTTAGATCTTCTAGATTTAGAGTAGGTAATCTAAATAGGAAATCAAGGATGTATTTAGATACATAAAATTCTTAAATGGATTTATGAATAAATGAGATAGTATTGCCTTTCTGATTAAGAAGTGCGCATTTTCTTAGTAGATATTTTTATTCTGCTATTATTCCTTGTTGGCCAAAGTATTTATCAATCCATTCTTGTTGTTGAGTTCTTCCGTCATTTGAAAATTCTACTTAACTCTTTTTATTATATTGGGCTTGAGTTAACTACCTTTCTGTTAATTCTAAAGCAAGGGACTATGAAATATTTAATAGATCTGTAAAGAAGATTTCCTAATCAATTGCTTTGCCAATCATTTTTAGCTTTTGCACTTATTAATTATGATAGTAATCTATGAAAGCTTGATAAAAGGCGTATGGTGTATAATTCTAATTCTTTAAAGCTTATTTGATTAATTGTGCTTCTTATCCAAAATCAAAGGATTCATCATTAATCACTAAGAGTTTTCTCTCAATTTTAATTTAACTCAAAGGAGAATAATTTTTAAAGATTGATTTCATTTCCAATTGTTTCCAGTGATTGAATGCACTCAACTGTTCAACTTCAATATCGAATACTTAATCTAAGTTTTGGGAATATTTCTTAATCAAATATTATTATTCTTTTAAATTAACATAATTTTTTAGGAAATTACTTTTAACTTAATTGATATCAGAGGTTGCTGATGTCAATTTAGGAAAGATTTAAGCTACTATTTCAAGCATAAATGGCATTTACACAATACTTCTAATATTAATTTCATCCATAATCTCTATATATCGATTGGCACTCCAGATTTCTGATAGTTCTTTCTACAAACTTTAGAGCAATTCTTCATGTTGGTCCTATCTTATTTCTATTTTAGGATTTTATGTGATAGAATTAATAATTGAAGTAATTTGATTCCTATTTAAAAATAAATTCATAAAGTTTTTGCCTTCTAAACTTTTTGATACAATCATTTAATTAATGGGCAACCATATTTTTTCGAATTCTTCAAAGCTGAAAAGTTTTCGCTCAATTTATATGCAATATTCATAAAAGTTGAGGATTTTTTATTTAACTAATTAAAGTACAAAACTTTTAAAGTATTGATTTTATTGTAGAGATGAAAACGATTACAATTCCACTTCCTTCAATTTTCCATTGCCTTCAAACCATGTTTGATATAGATTTGAATTCAAGATTTCAGTTCTTGAAGTATAGATAACTTTTGGTTTCCTCCATATTTCATTTAATCTATTAAGAACGTATAAATTCTATTGTGAATACTCAGTTTTTAGTTCGTCATACCCATCCATAATTATAATAAGAGACATCTTACCTTTTTGTATTTCTTCTTTTAATTGGTTAATTTAAATTTTGTCAAAGGATAATTGTTCAGATTACAGTGTCTCTTCTATGGCACTATGTAAAGGATCCTTTAAACTTGGCAATGAAACAAAAATTGGTATTAGTATTTGTTCCTTTTTATGTTGTGTTTGCTATTATTCCCAAAGATATTCTTCTATTTTCCTCGCTATTGTACTTTTGCCAGATCCTGCTTAACCATGTATCAATAAAATATCTGATTAATCTTTGTACTCTTTTCCTGAATGATCATGCCATATAAAGTTATTAACTATTGAAATCTTATTTTAATTATCATCATCGAACATGGGTATCAACTTAGATTCTACACCATTTGATTTTTCTCTGCCATAGAGTGGAACAAATATTTTTGTTAAATCTATTTTCTTCTTATTTAAAAGAACAGTCTACTTTCTCAAATCAAGGAGTTATTAAAAGGACTTGCCTCTAAGGATAGAAATGTCTCTTCCTATTATATTTATAGTATTCTGAAGGTTTTCCAATTTATTCATTATCTATCCCAAATCTTTTTTAATATCTACTAAAAAGTACAAAGTAATATTTAACAATTATTGCATCTCATTTATATTCCCAAGAAACTCCTAAAATTATTGATACTCAGATTGCATAGTTGATATTTTTTGATTTCTACTATCATCGTCAAACTCTTATCTAATCTCTTATTCTAATTCATTGATGTATTTTAATTTCATTTAAAATGCCTTTCTTAACTTCTCATTAATTGTAACTTAATTTCTTGAAAACAATTATTGTTGTAATGATATTATCTCTTTATTCTTCAAGAGTGCTCTTACTCTTTGATCTTTTTCTATGCCCCATACTTAAATGAGCAGTTCTGTCACATAGGATTAGATTTATTATTCTTCTGATAAACTCTGTATCTCAAGCAATTAAAATACCAAGCATTCTCTTATTTGATATTCATTATTATTGATAAAGTCTTTGATTTCTTCTAATTGCTTTTAGACTAATTTCTTAATATATTACTCAGATGATTAAATTGAATCTATACTCTCTTAAAACAAATCTTCATTCAAATATTTCAATATTGCATTTAAAAATTCCATGTCATAATTTAAATTGTTTAGCATTTCAAATAACTATTTTGTCTTGATTTTTCCCAGCAATTCAACTATTTCATTAATATATAAATTATTTAATTCTTATTTAAAGTTATATACTATCTACTGCCAACTAGTCTGATCAATTTCTTTTTTGTTTACAAACTTTTGAAGTTCTTAGAATTTATTCATTAATGTTTGAGTATCTTAAGATTTAGTGATTAATTTGTAAATTAACTCCTTATTTATATTGCTTTTCTCAATAATCTCATCAAGTATTTAAATATCTCCCTTTAATTTAGCTAGTATTTCTTTGTAATAGATATCAAGTTCGTTTTATTGTAGGTCCTCTACATCATTACAATCTACTTTAAGAAGATCCTATTGCAATGTTGACAATAAGACTAAGACATCTTAAATTTCAGAATTAAACGCATTTTGATCAGCCAAATTAATTAATGATTCGATTACATCGATATTCTTGACTGTTTAGTATAGTGACTTCAATGGATTGGCTTTTTCAGATAAGGAATGAACTCCTATGAAGTTATCATTGAATTTTGATAGATGCTATTTTAATTCACTTTATAATCGATAATGCTACATTAGAATAGTCTTGCTCTTTTCAAATTTCTCTCTTTCATCAAACATATTGGATTATTTTTATAAGGCATTGATCATAAATTAGAAATACTCATCTAAACTTAATTTGAACTTTTCTATTAATACACCTTCTCTTTTTGATTCCATTTATGATATAATGACTATCTCAGATTGTTTTTGAATTAATTTATTGATATTTAAGTACTCTTGTCTAAACATGTCTAATATTTTATTAAATAATTCAACTTGTCTACAAAATGTTGAAAGTTTTACAGAAAATTAAATCATTGTAATTTCCTTTTACTTGAAGTTATCAACTGATAGACTATACTACAAATCCTATTTTGTTTCTTCTAAATTCATTAAGTAATTCCATTATATATTTTCTATCTACTTTAAAGATTAAAATATGTTTTCAAAATTAATTTTACAGTGTTTGTTATTTAACAGAGGAATAGAATGTGACTCAAACTGTAGCTAAATTACAATAAGCTCCTAATAAATCAAATTTTGATCTTAAATTTACCTTTTGTTCTAATTCTTCACTTTTTCTACCTAATCTTCAATAATTTCACTATAGATATGATACTGTAAGGAAGTATCAGATATATAAGTTGATTTACTTATATTTTTTAAACTTAGAGAATCAAGAAAGATTTTATCTTAAGATATAGACTTAGATAATTTAGTCAAAACATTTGAAAAGGAAGATTCAAAATCAGTTAAAGAAGTTTGTGTTTGAATTAAGTTTTCAATATGTGAATTCGAGGTTGAATGATTATATGAAGTTAATTACAACTTAATGACATGATACGATCCATATAATTTTGATTAAACAGTGATTAACTACAAGAGGAGTGGGACAGTTTGATATATTAAATCCTCATTTTTTTGAATTATTTCTTATAAATCTTGAGTTTGCTCAATAGACTCCTTTTATTATTAAATGGTGTTTACTAACTCTATTAGTCTAGGATTGTTTTCCTCCATTTAAGAATTGTGAGTTTCTAGATTCATAATTCTTATAATTTAGTTTTAATTTTCTTTATTTTGGAAAAGCAATTAATATATTTCTGAAATGAAAGGATCTATTGAATTGAATAGTTTTGTATGGGATGAAAAATGAAAAGTGACATAGTTATCTAATGCATTAAATTTTAGGGTTTTGGTCTTCTCAATCAATAGCAAGGATAGAGATTTAAAATTGTATAAGCCAAATTACTACAATATCGGTTTTACTTTTTTGTCTAATGTAAACTCTAAATTTAGTTTAATGGAATTAGAATCGTAAGGTAAAGGTTTTAAATTGTATTAAGTAATAAATGATTCCCAAGTTCCTAAGCTATTTTGTGAATTTGATTAGTATTTGATCCAATCTTATTTTTATATAATTGGACGAAAAAGCAACAAATCTGATAAGAAATATATCCATAAGAAATGGATAGTGGAACTTTTAGATTCTCTGATTTGCTCTTCATATAATTTTTCTAGTTGTTTGACTACTCTGCTAATTCCTTGATCATTATTTTTTAGGTAGGCAATCATTGACCATTTCAAACATTCAAAATTGTAATATTTTTGATATATCTTTTCGCTTTTATACTCTTTGTATTTATCATAGATTTCTTCAGCAGCTTTAAATAAGAACTTAATCAAATCATCACTTGGAGTAAGAGTTGCAGCAGATGTAATTAAACCTTTCACAAATAACTGAAAAAGTTGGAAATTTCCATCGACAGGAATTAGCTAAATAGCAGCTTTGACAATTGAGATATGGTAGTTGATCCCATTTTACCAAAGTGTATAGGCTTCTACTGATACATGAGATTCTAATTCTTTGATAGTGTTTAAAATATTCTTCTTATCTTCCTTCCTCATACATCTATCATTGTTTTGTCTATAAAAATTAAATATGGTTTTGGATAAATCTGAGCATATTTTCAAAAGATAGAAACAATATAATCCTGATGTTCTTACATAAATTAAAGCGGATTGCAACAGTTATAAGAAGCATTCTAAAATGCAATCATAAAATAATTATGAATTCTCCTTTTCTCCTATCCAATGAATTTATTCTCTAGAATCATATAGCCATTAATAGCAAATCGAGAATTCTGCCCTTTGATTTTCTTCGTTTATTGTTTTAGCAATTTGCACTATTATTTTTGATCTATATCTCAAATTCTCTAAAAAATCTTTAGGCAAGTTCTCTATTAAATGTTCATCTTGATTTTTCACAAGGAATGGATTCTGATTCTATTACTTTGAACCTACACACCCACCTCCTCTTAGATTAGATAATTTATCTAATGTTATTATTTTTACTTCATTTTGGAAGTTACTTTCCTTACTTTTTCTTGATACTACAAGAGATTTTTAAATCATTTTTTGTTGCATTTCAATTTAAAAATAGAAATATTATATAATGATAATAGTTAGAACTAGGAATAAATTTAACAATAATTCTTGAAACTGTTAATCCCTTAATTTAGTAACAGTATTTAAAATAAGGAATAATATGTTGATATATATAAGATTTATTTAGATAATATCATATATTTTGATTATTTATCAAACTCATTAAAATATGATTTCAAATATTTAACACTCTACAATATTTGGAGTTAACTATCCAAATAAATAAGTGGAATTTTCTTAATTGCCAAACTTCCAAACATTTTGCATTCTTTGTTATGGAATTAAAAATGTATATCCAAGTTTCGAATATCCATCAGCAAAATCTGTGTCAATGTATAGATCATGACCGGCTCCAAAAATAGGTCCACTTTATGCACGACAGCAAATTGCTCCATTTTCATATCCTAATCTTTATTCATAAATCTCGTTCTTATCTTATGAAAATAGAAATGTTGAGTATGATGGATCAGATCTGTGAGTAATCAGTTATTCACATATCCATTAACATGGAGAATACCCTCCAAATATTGCTTAACTAGATGACTTGAATACCATTAACAAATTAGATTTTTTATTACAGATTTTCCAAAATGAATTAGCATTCAATCCATCCCTTGTACCTTAAAAAATCAATTCAGCATTTTTTATTTCATACTGCTACTTTTTTTTTATCTAATTGATGATTTTATTATAAAAACTATCATTTAAAAGATAACGAGTAGGAGGCTTTGGTTATAATTGTTTAATAAATTCACAGTGTGTAAGTATTAAGGATTTAAGCAAAGCCTCTAATTTTTGAAATTCAGGAAAATTAACAGGGTCTTCATTTTTTAATTTCTATTAACTCAATACGGAACTTTCTTATATTCTTTATAATAAGGAATTTTTGCATTCTTATGAAACATTCTAAAAGTATTAGTGCACATCTGTTTCTGCTTATTCAATAGCTTTGGGATTGATTGAATCTCCTAATTGCTCTAGATTAGTCATAATTGACTTAAACTCATGGAATTTCATTATCTATTATTTATTCATATATACCTATTCTAAATTCTATCGAATTACAGACTTTGAATCCAAAAATAATTTAATATTTTGTTACAATTCCTCTAACATCTTTGTAAATCCATTTTAAATATCTAAAATAAAGGATTCAAATTGTTTGATTTATTTATTTAAACTAATTTCATCATGTTTTGCAAATTCTCCAAAAAAATCCTTTATATCTCCAGACACTTCTAGTTTGGAGAATAGAAATTCTGGTGACTTCAATCCCTTATATAATGAAAAACTAAATTACTGTACTCATATTTATGAGATTCTAAAAATTAAATTTCGGATTCGTGTCAATTAAGTCCTGTTAGCACTAATCACAAATGAATTCGGTTCTGTCTTTATCAGTACTTATGAATTGGACATACGAACCATCATGTTTATAGCATGGTATTTTATACATTTGTAAATTGATATTAATTTATAAAATGAATTAACATAAAATGATTGAAAAAGAAGTATCAACTATTATGTTTAATTAATCACCAAATTTTAATCAAAAAGTATTACAAATAATGATTTCAACTTGTAAAGAGGAAATTAAGATATGGACCTCTAACAAGGTAAAAGTTAATTATTGAATAACTCTAAGGGCACAGAAGATGTAAATTGCTTGGCGTATAGTAAATTCACTCATGTCTTATATCTGGTTCTGATGATTAAACTATTAGACTTTGGAAGTAATAGAATGGAGCTCATTGGAGTAGTAGATAAGAATATAAATAGCATAAAGGATATGTATAATGTAAATTTTTAGGTAACACTGAATCTGAACTTCTTTCTGGAGAAACTGATAAGTCAATTAAAGTTTGGAGAGTAATTTAGACAAAAATGAAGTAGATTTTTTGTAATATTTGGATTAAAATGAATAAAGGGTATTTCGGATTAACATAGAAACAATAGAAATCTTATTTAGTATCCTGTGGAGAAGATAGAAAAATTCTACTGATATCTCTCAATCAAAAAATAGTCTATTTATTTATGAAAAGGTGTATATTTATTTCTCTAATAGAATATAACATAAAAAAATGGATTTTATTTCTTTATTTAAATCCTCAAAATTCCTTAAAACTTCTGATTTAGATTTCCTTCGAGCCTGCATCCCATGTGACTAACAACTCTCCATCATCAGTCATTTGCCCAAAAATATGATAATCATTAAATTAAATTGACTATTCAACCACAAAGCGACCATTTTTTTACATTCTCATTAAATTCACAAAATTGCCATTTTTATTTAATAGAAGGCATTTTGACTTAGAGTAGAATTATGAAAAGGAACTATCACATTTATTAGATCCAGACTTAACAGCAATTTCACTCGTCCTCCTAAACTAATTAGTAACTCTATCGATTTCGTATACATGCATTTAATCTTGAGCTGAAGGTTGGAATGTAAATAATTTATCATTAATAAAGCATAATCTAAGTCCTTTTTAATCAACTTTGATCTTTTATCTAACATTCCAATTTGAATCTAATTCTGACCTTTCTATCACTAATATTTAATAATCAAGCGAACTAGAAATCAATTTATTTTATTATTCATTTAAACTAATAGAAATTACGCTTTCGGTATGATCAGTAATAGTTTATGAACACTTCCACTAATTCTATTTTATCCAAAATTTAATAGTTTTATCTTAACTAGCTGATATAATTAAATCATCTTTATTATTCAATAATAAACACAATATCGAACCTAAATGTCCATTCAATATTTATTCAAAATTCCATTAATTTTCTGCATTTTCCTTCCATATTATAATTGAATTATCTATAAATCCAGACACAAAATTATTTGAATTCTTCATAAAGTTTAAAGTGTAAACTTAATTTTTATTCTAACATATTTATAGTAATTCCAACTTCCCCTAAATATATTAAAATACTTTAATATCATTTTGACTTGCTGCTACAACAAGTGAAGAATTTTTATTTAAAGCAATAGCATTACACCATTAAAGTTATTTATATGAATAGGTATTAGTGAGCTTAAAGGATAGTGGCTTCTTTCCCTTTTAATCTTCTCTATTTTATTTTTATGTTAAGTTGTTTTTATTATTGAATTTTTGAATTACTTGGTCTTTTTGTTCCAAATATTCCATTTATTCTCTCTATCTTTCTTCAATTAGTGAATCATATTTCTGCTAAATCAACATAGTTTCAGATCTCAATGTTTATTCCTTATTATTAACTTCTCTTGAGATAATAAAATTTAAAGATGCTTTAATCTCAAAAATTATTTGATTTGTTAGAATTGGGTGTAAGAAATTTGGTGAAAAATTAGATTATGATTAAATTAAGGGTTTACTGCTGACTTTACAAATTTAAAAACTTGAAGGAGGATGGAGTACATCCAATTGAATTTGATCAAGAAACGAACTAATTCTCTAATAGGAAATCTATGATGAAAATATAATATATTCTTACTTCAATTGATTATTAAACACCATTGAAACAATCTTCTGATATATTCTTAAAATATTTTGTCGAAATAGACATTTAATGATATTCTATTAGAATTAATCTAAATAATATCTTATCTGTTATTCTCCAAATTATGAAATTTTTATGCATTATATTAAGAGATATCAATTTCCCATTCAACTAATAATTCAAGTATCATCTATTTTCAAAAGAGTCACAAATAATATCTTATAAAGAAAGAATCAAGAAATAATGGGAATATAAATATCTTGTTAGTTATAAAATAATCAATATGCGAATATGGGTCTAGAGTATATTTTTAAAATTTGATGAATTTATTTGAATGACTGTAGAAGATGTGAGTAAGCGTTCTGCTTAAATCTTTGAAATGAAAAATGGATATTTTTATTACTATTTATTTTATAAGAGAACAGCTTAATGGGTAAGATAAGATAATTACAGAATAATGTGTTCTTGGTAGGATAATTAAGATAGTGTAGTTGTTTTGGATTTTGGAACTAAAAAATATCATATTTACGATATATAAATTAGATATATAATGTTTAAAAATAAATATTGAATAAATCAATTCTAGGTATATTCAAAACAATATTTCATATAGTATGATAATTGTTTACCCTGAAATTATATTGCTTGATAAAGGTTAAATGTTCATGTTAAAAATAACCATATTACAGATTAATTAAAACTTAATCCAGTCTATTTTATGAATTTCACAAGGATATGTCTATCTCAATTTTGATAATTAGTGAATAGGGCATGCAAACACTAGTTTAAGTTATGGTGCTTTATTCAAGCAAAATTTAATCTAATTTTTTATCGATAATAATTTCCCAAAAGATAATCTTAGATTACTCATAATTGTCTTTTATAAATTAGCTAAATATCTTAATAGTACCCAACTCTAATTTCAATTTAGACCTATTTTGTATGACACTTTTAGAACTAATCAATTGTAGAGAATAAAAGCTTATTCTTTTTTATTGAATATTCACCTTTTATAAATAATGATTAATTAATAATCCTTGAATTAATAGCTTTCACTATTTTTCAGGCATGATTTATTTGTCAGGATCTTAATAAGGATCAATTAATATAAATCAAAATTTAAAGATGATTATAAATAAATTATAACTCTACAAAATTAATAAGTAAGTAGATAATTAAATACATGATGTCTATATGATATTAAAAGATAAAAGAAAAAGTCTCATAAAACAACTGTGTTATTGATGTGAAATCAATGAAAAGATAATATATATTGACTTCATTTCCAATACTTAGAACTATTATTAATATATATTCATTATAAAAGTTTACAATATTCATCATTTTCATTTAACTAAATTTAATTAGCAAGATATTATAAGCATTCTTGAAATAGTTATTCTGAAATATTAGTAATTTCTAAAATTTTCCCTTTTGTCAAGGGTTACTTTTCTATTAATTAGAGAATGCAAGAGGATTGATATTGAATCGATTTAGCTTTGATCAATTCTTATTGTTCTTAATTGTTATCTAATTAAGTTAAATATGAAATTGATTTGCGATATTCATAGGCTTTAATGCAATCAATCAAATGTAATGTGATAATATTAAAATTTTTGATTAATTCCATGTAAACACACTAAAACACAATTTCTTATTTGAATTATTTAGGAATGATGACGCATCTGACATATGAGGGTTATTTAGGATTTTCTTGGATTAGTTTCTATGTTTATAATTTAGATTACATCTAGCCAATAGGGTTATTATTGTGTTAAGGGAGTAATGACTTAGATATTGCCTGTGCTATCTTCAATCAAAGCTTGGAATTCTTGTATTTCATTGATAATCAACAATTCAACAGAGAAGCCAACAATTAAGATGGTGTTAATAGGATGGCCTTCATTAATCACGTAATCCAATTAAGTGTGTAATGTAGATTTCATTCCCTTTTTGATCATGCTGATAGTCATAGGCTAGATGGTTTAAGAGATGTTGAATCTGTCCATTTGAGAAAATAATAAATTAGAAATAATTGTGTTTTTGTTTGTAATATTGTTCAAACTTTGACTTATTAGGCAACTATAGTATAAGCTTATGTGATAATTTTGACTTCATTTTCTCTCCTGGCAGATCTCAAATTATAGTTAGACTAGACTATTTCCCTTTCATTTCTATATTATTAGAGTAAATCTAATGCGATAGGTAAGTCCTTTTATATTTGATTTCTGCTTTTAGTAGATAATGCCTATTTTGATAGTTGATATAACATTACATTTTCTTCGTTTCTTCTCTTTAAGTTAACAAGTGTTCTTGAATAATTAGCACTGAGTCTTTCTCTAACTTCAGTGACTTCTTTAAGTGTGACTTCATAAGATTATGTAACTTTAACAGCATATTCATCAGCACCTGCATTTTCTTGTATTCTTTGGTCTCGAATGTTCTCAAGCAATTGGATAATCCTGGTAACGGTTGGTACATCGAATCTGATATAGGAGAGAGAGATACTTAGTGGTTACTGAGACAAGAGCTGTAATAGGATGGTTAGGTCCCAATGAATTAGCAAGTTGATCAACATATTGTTTGGTGTGTTGTTATGAGAGCACAGTTGTTTTACTCTATTCAGCAAATACAGCCTATTATAGTTTTGCAATCATTTCATTCAATCCATCAATTGATTTTATATTGTTTGTTGTTCTTTGCTAGAAATATTGAAGAGATATACTGAAATAGTTTCAATTTCCAATTTGTATTGGTTTCTGATGTCTTCTTCCTTGGAATTTAAAGTTGATAATTATTTTTCTTATGATTATTGAGTGCCAATTAGTTTACTAATGTCTTCATTTAAATCTGCAATTTATTGATTGAGTCTTTGCAATTCTTTAGCCAATTTTTCAGTTTAGATTTCCAAGATTTCAATTTCCACATTCAATTATCCAATTTTCTAATGAAATAAATGTGTTGTATATATACTTTGGCAAATTCTTGATCTTCCACAGTTTGATCTGCAATTAATTGATCTCTGATTCCTTTGATTTCTTTTAAGACTTCTTCAACGTAAGAACTCTATAACATTTTGAGTTCAATTAAACCAGCAAGTTGCTTTGAAAATTCGTTTTTAAGTGCCATTTTGTCCATTTGTGCCATCACAACATCAACTTTAGATGACAACGAAGTCTGGAGAGTCAGAGTAATCAGCATTACTAGAAAAATGACTTATTTCATTAAAAACGGTATAATAATAAAAATATAATAGAGTATTTGGCAAATGTAAATGTGATCTATGATAGATATAAATAAATCATTTAGATGAAAACAATTTGATTTATCCATCTGCACCCAGAGATGCAAATAGATTATAACTTCCATGATGAACCAGATTGTGAATGTTCTCATCATATTTAGATTGATGTCCTTGAAGTTCCTATATGAATTATTATCTTCTTGTATCCCAAACTCTAATTACAATTCAATTTATATAATTACTTAATAACATTGCCAGTTGCAATATAGATGTTTGTGTTGCTAAGATTAGTAATAGCTGAAGTAATTGGTTCATTTCCACAAATGATTTGTGAGATTAATTTTGCTAGTGTATAATTGAATAAAGATACATTATTGAAGATCAAAAATTCTTAATTTTCCATCATCATGTGATGAGATCAAACAGGATTGTTGAAATTGTGTCAACTAATTAATTTATGCTGATGCATTGTTTTCTTATAAGTATTTAATATTTTGAACATTTCTCCCATTTTCTGTATCAAAAATGGACAGAATAGCAGAATTCATGAATCCGGATGCAAAGAGATTTGGGTTATGTTACAACCAGGCTATGGCTGTAGGTGAATCAACAAAATGACCATATTGATTTTTCTATCCGAATTAGTAGAGTTATTTAGGTTCACTTTGGGAATCTTAAATTGGCCATAATTTGATTAGAGAATCGGCAGCAGAAGACAACAATAAGTTTTATTGGGAATTCACCTTTAATTACCAAATTGCATCTTGATGAGCTTGCCAAGTCATTCTGCATTATTAGAATTCTTCTGTTTATCCTAATTAATCACATTCATCTGGCAATGGGAAATACCACATCTTAATTGCTCCTTCAGCTCCTGCACTAAAAATAGCATTCTAGATTCCTTTCTGTCTTTATTCAATTCCTGCAATTGCAAACAAAGGTCCTGTATGATCTCTCAATGTCAAATATGGTTCAATCTAATTCTACTGTTATTAGTAATTTTGATAGTCCCACAATTTCAATTGACAATCTTCTGAGACTGTTGCTAAAATAGTCATATTGTTGAAGAAGTAAGCATCACGTACACCATCTAGATGATGTCTCAATGTATTCTATAATTAAACAGGATCTTTTGAAACTATCTATGGTTGCTCTTCATTAATATTTTATGATTTGCTTCTGCTATGGGTTGGAAATCCGCTGGTACTATTCATGTTAGTGGGACTCTGTCGACCTGAATTTTAGACAATAGATGTCACATTCTAATTAGGTGTTAACATCACTGATGGTCTGTTTGAGTGTTCTATTTTAGGAGAACTTGGAGGGGAGAATATTGATTACAACCCTACTTCTTAGATTATTCTAAGGCATAACAAATATGTGTATACTTTTGTAATAAGGGTCGATAAGGTTTGGCCTTTCTCTTTGGAATGGTTTAGTAATTTTGTATTTAACTCTGATTCTCTATGTTCTCCTTGAGTAATTGATTCAAATAATCAGGCACTTATCCGTTCTATTGGTATTTCAATCTTTCTTATCGCAATGCTACTTCCAGCATTTTACATCTTTTGCCCAAATCAGTTATTACTCTCTCTTGTGCTTTGACTACTCCTTCCAACTCATTAATTTTCTACTGCATTTGTGATTTCTCCAAGGCCCATTCACAATCCTTGTATTAAACTTGTTTATGCTATTCATGTAAAAATTCCAATACTCCTACCCAATTGTATTGTGTCTTGATATATTGATTTAACTTACATTTTATTGAGCATTCTTCTGTATCAAAGTGCTTATCGAAACGGACTCTGATGACATTATTATTATTATTATTCAAATTTAAATTATTGCTTTAAATTACAAAATGCTAGTTAATTATTCTGATAGTGAGGATGATTAAAAATAAAATGACAATCCTGTGGTCAACAATATTCCACCACAAGAATAGATTAAGCCAACCAAACTTATACCAATTGAGCCTTCCATTGTGAAAAAGAGAAAACCAAATCCAAAGGAATGCAAAATACCTGATGTCTTCTTGAAATCAGATGGAAAGATCGATTAAGAAATAAATTAATAAGTAGGTTAACAATAAAGTTAAGGAAATAAATTCATTCCCAGATAACTATTATGCAAAAAAAGCAATGTTTCCATTGAATGATAGCATATTTATTAATATTTAATAATAATGAATAAATTAGAAATATTAAATAGTCCTAGATTAACCACTTAAACAGAGCATGTGAAAAGATCATTCTATAGCAAAAATGAGAAGAATTAAGAGACTTCCTGGTATCATCCAAGAACTTAAAAAAACGATGGTACATGCAGTCCATCTAATCTGCAAAATGAGACGATGTTAGAATAGATTAGAAGATTGAAGGACAAGATTAAATTGCAATAGAAGGAGATCGAAAGATTGTCATGCATCAACGAATATTTAATATAGGCAAATCAAGCCAAACTCAATATATTATAATCAGAAAGATAGTTTCATTCAAAAAAAGTTACAATTAAATTAGGCCATAATAAGACACTGAGTGAAAAGAAGAATTATCTAAATAAATTCTTAGATGATACATCCTAACAAAGTCCAAGTATCAAGCGAAGAATCTATCGGAATCCAACATTGGCACGTCTACATTTAGAGTAAGAGAGTGAATAATAGAAGAATGAAAAGCAGACTTAAAAGGCATCCACTTTTTATGATACTTTGTAATAGGAGGATTGCTTTAGAACTAATGCAATTCTAAATATCTAATTGTCTGATGAAGATGCTCTGTAATAATATAAATAAGATGGAACTGTATCCTTAATGAGAGAATTATTAGATAACGAAGATTCATTTGGTGATATCATCCAAAACATGTCTGCTTAGAAGTTGTCATTTCTTTATGATAAATTTAAACGAATAATGTCGGATCATCATCAATTGTTCATCCTTATATTGAGATTAAAGAAAATCGTTATGGGAGCTCTCCAAATGAACTCATCGATCTTATTAGATGATGCTTTGTAAACAATAATAAATAAGTGTGTGGATTGTTTGGAATGCGATAGGGCATCATGTTTTATAGTTGATGAAAGCAAGAAGGAATTGTGGACTAAAGTGGCCAAAGGAACATCAACCACTATTCGTTTATAAGTAGGTCAAGGTATTGCTGGGTTTGTGGCATAATCCAAAAGTATTTTGAACATAGAAGATGCTTATAGAGATCAGAGATTCAACTCACAATAAGATATCAAAAATAATTATAAGACCAAAACATTATTGGTATGTCCAATCATGGAAAATGACAAATGTGTTGGAGTGCTACAATGTGTTAACAAATAAAGTGGATATTTCACAAAGGATGATGAAGCCTTATTACAAATAATGTGTGAATTCTCAAGGTCTGTTCTCAAAAATGCCATGAATCATGATGCTCAAATGTTAATTCAAAATAAATTGAGACATCTCATTAAAACTGGTGTATTGCTACAATCCAAATAGAATGAAGTTCACACATTAATTCAATAAGCTGAAGAGAGATTGAGATCACTCATGAATGTAGATTTTGGCAAAATAATTTACAACGATATGCAAACCAATAAAGTCATCCACATCAATAAGGAAGGCAAATTAGATGAATGTGATAACTCACTTGGGATTATGGGCAATTGCATTCAAAGTTAATCCATTTTAGCCATTAGTAATTGCTATATCAACCCTCTTTTCAATCCTAACATTGACATTGAAACAAACATGCCAATTATTTGTATGCCTCTGAAATACAGCAATCAGATCATTGGAGCACTATAGGTTGTCAATGTTAAAGGCATCGGAGGTAGTGATTCCAAAGTCAATTCTATAGATCTAGAAATGTTAGAATTATTTTGTCTATAAACTACTTAATGTTTGATATAAATGAGAAGCAATAAAAATTGAATATTTATAAATTATTATCATTTCCAACATACACCCATGGAGAAGTAATTATTGCATAAATACATCTTAATATAGTTAACAAGAACAGCAGATTACATTCTAGGATTATATCATAAACTCATTGGGGCAGATTATTCAAAGTGACCTCTTGGCATACTAGAAATGTAATTCTATCATCTCTAAGTAATTAATAATTGCATGAAATTAGTTAATTTTCAACTTGGCTTTATTATGAATTGATCTCCACTATCAACTTGAATAGTAATATCTTTAATAGAAATCCAACTCCATAGTATTTATTTTATAAATATAAGACTTATATTTCTATGTTCAGAGCTATTCGAGAATGCTAACTAGGAGTTCATCGATTACTTATTTGACCTTGTCGAAGGTTTGAGTGAAGACTAGGCAGAAACGAAGCGTGGCTTATTTCGCTACTTAATTAGTGTTGTGGAATAAGACTTTATTGCAGAAACAACGTGTGGGTATTTTTATAAAGTGATGAATTCGATCATCTAAAAAAGAGGTGCAGATGTTTGCAACTTTTTGGAAAATGATTAAAGGATAATATCCTCATTTTTAAAGCATGTAGACTAACCTCACATCTGCAGAATTATCACAGAATTGATTCTGTTTGCCAATTAACCCTCCAAGATTTTAGACTACTCTTATCTAGCCTAATAAATTTCCGATAGACTATTCAAGATAATGGAAAGGAAATCACATCAAATCACAATTGTTGATAATATTTGTGAAATATTTGTAGAAATACTAACAAGAAAATCACAAAATCCAAATTTGGATATCCAAAAACTCATATCAATAAAACCAAGTTAGTTATTTTAAATAGCAGTTTAATCAAATTCAGAAGGACCTCATAGTCTCTTAATTCTGCTTTTGGAATATGCAAAAAATAACCAACAAGATCATGTGGATTCTTTCATTGATATTTCACATTTGATACCTTTAGAGTTTGAGAAAACCTATTTAACAAATATACAATAAGATAGATATTTTAATAAACTATTTGGCAGAAAAAATATGAAATTATTATTTCTTACTTCGTAATTGATTTAGTAAAATATATCTTTAACAATTTAGATTAAATAATAAATCAATTAATTCTAAATTAATAGATAATGGACTTGTCAATGTACTAGTCAACACAATATAAGAATTTCCGATTCACAATCAGCTTCATTTCACAGCATTTGAGATATTCGAAAAACTTATAGAGAGCGAGCAAATCGATAACATCTTAGATGTAACTTATCATTTTTATTTAGATGATTGATTCCTTATGCAATTTTATTGTCACCTAACTAAATTAAACACAAAACTATGTTGGATATAGAGCATTCTTGAGTAAATTAGCTAATTATTTGATTAATAAACAACATATTCCTGCGATTCAAAAAGCGTTGAAAAATAACTAATATTGGGAGGGATTTGTTCAAACAAGGTTAAAAGATATCAATTAAGTAGAATTGAATTTCCTTTTTAATATTAATCCAAGATGTAAAATTTTGACATGATTTCTTAGAAACCTCTAGTGAATAATCTGGCAATATACAATAGGATGGGAATTAATAGGGGATATGGGCAGAAACCTCATCATAAGAATAAATTTCACAAGAAAATTAATACTAGGATGAATAATTAAAATAATAGGAATGACCAATCACATATATATCTATCTTAATTATTTATATTTCAAAATTAATCATCTAAATATTGCTTATACTATTCTTTAGTTAAACCAATATCTTTTGAAATCAGATCTTTGAAGGCATTATAATTAGGTGGTTGAGGGCCTAATAAGGATTAAATGTTGTAATATCCCTTTAATAGTTTCGAAGTGATAAACATAAACTTTAGATGTGTTTCTCCATAGGTTTTAATCTGTTCGTAATCAAAACATTTAGGTATGAATTAGTTTTTTAATACTCTACAATATTCTTGAATATAAAATATTCTATCCAACTTAGCCTCTATTTTAAATTCTATATCGCATTTGTTAGCCTATTGATACTTTTATATATATTCAATTATTTATTCTATAGTTATGGTTTGTTCAAATTGCATAATAGCCAGATTCAAACATAAATCGCAATAATTTCTGTATATCGGAATCACAATTTAACTTTCACAACTATTTTAAATAATTTAAATATATTACCATTTTTCAATGAACAACAGTCTATATTATTAAATCCAATCTTGCACACTCTTTTAAGGTAGGATCATTACTATCTTTGGAGGATTAAATGTGATAGAAGCCATCTTGACAGGAAGCATAATAGCGCTATCTCTATTGTACATAGTTCCAAGTCTTAATCCATACCATGAACTGAGCGACGGGAAATCAATTCTTTCGACAGGAGAATAAGTAATCATTCTTTCGATCAATTAGCAAGTACTTGGAGATATATTAAACTGAGGAGGGATCTTAAAAGGAGTAATCTTTAATCTTTAAATAAAGTCATTAATCCCAGACATTGATAATTCAAAAGGATATGTACCAGTTAAAAGATGATAAAATAGAATTCCAAACTATTAAATTATATATTATCTATACTGAATAAATATCGACTTTGTGTAGCAACTTTACTTTTTTCTCTTTGTCATCAAATGTTCCTTTGAATGGAGCATTCTAAAAATTAGTTAATATTTTAACCTATTGCATAGTACCCTATTGCATAATGCTGCCTTGCATCATGTTGCCTTGCATCATGTTACCTTGCATCATGTTGCCTTGCATAGTGCTGCCTTGTAGGGGTGAAGGATTAGTTGAAAATCTTGGTTGATTTCCTTGAATATACAATATATCAGCTAAATAACAATGAAATTTAATCATACATGGGGAGTATTCATAGTTTCCTTATAATTCAGGTGCTTTAAATACAGGTGTTCCATTCTTTGTGATATTTAACAAATTCTAATCTGATTAATAAATCTTGCCGACTCCGAAATCAGCAATCTAAAGATACTTTTGATCATTACTTTGTATTTTCCTTATGAAGTCAATATATTGGCTGGTTTTATATCTCTATGGATGACCTGACTTTGATAAAGTACTCTATATCCATTAAATAATTGTTTCATTATTTCAATGGCCTCTTGTTCTGTATATCTCCGTTGTTAACCTCTACTTTTAATTTCCTTTTCTAAGTCTGAATCACATTTTTCCATGATTATAACAAAGAATCCTTTATCTGGAACGAAGTTACTATAATACACATTAACTATATTCTCATTTTGCTTGTTTTTCATAAAATTCAGAATATCTAACTCTTTCTAGACATTTTAAGAATTTCCGTTCACAATCTAAATATTAATTCATAAATCATACTTTAGCACAATACTATTTAGTATCATTTTTTCTGTTTGCAGCAAAGACTTTACCACATGCTCCTTAACCCAGCAAGGCACAAAAATCGATATAAAAGTCCTCAATATATGCAATCTATTCGTTCATAATGCTTATTTCTATTAATTAATTAATTTTAATCAAAATTCATTCCAACTTATAAATTACTAGGTTTTGATGATATATTTAGATATTATTTGACTAACTTTCATTTCATTTGATTTCCTTATTTAATTTAATCAACTCCCTTCTTATTTAGTGTTTCTAAGAAAACTAGTTTGAGATTTTTCTAATTTTTAATGAAATATAAACGAAAATCAATTCATTTTATTCTTAAAATCCTCTTATCATTATACATATATTAACCCTTAAGCAATCCTCAAAAAAACAATCTTATATTCTATTAAAACAACCATCCTTAATTCAAGAATTGATAACCCATTTATATCTATAAATATTTAATAAAAGATAGCAAAATGCATCATCAGATTTAAAATAATATATAATATTTAAGATCTGATTTAATTTATTTTTTTGTATTTAATTATTTAAAGGATAGTTAAAATTAAAATAAGTTCGATGAATTTTTTTAAAATTCTATTATTACCACATAACAATATTTTGACTTTTTTAATTACAAAAAGAATAAACTCTAATTATTTTTATCAAATCATTAAAGTTACTTTGTCTGGCCTTAATGGAATATCTCTTCTATAAGTTTTAGAAATTTATTCAAGAAATATCATTATTTTCAGAAATTGTTGTTTAGATTGATTCTTGTTTTCTCAATTTTCCTAAAAGTTTCACCTTTAAGATTTAGGAATAATTTATTTATTTTTACAAATATTAACAAGAGTAGTTTTATGTTTTTAATGGTTATTATATTTAATAGCAGTGAATTTTATTTATTAAACATTGTAAATCTATTAAACTAAATTGTAATAAAAAACACAAAATTTATCATAATAACTCAGTAGATTTATCACATGTGCTTTTCAATAGATTAACTAATGAATAAGTTTTTAATTTGTAATTCGTCACTTAATTTCAAAAATAGTTCCTTCACATCCTTCAAAAAGATGGGTTTACTTATAACATGCGTCATTCCAGCATTAATGCACTTCAAATGAGTTTCATAATCATCATGTGCAGTACATCCAATTATGTTTATATAATCTATTTACTTTTATTCCATCATTTTTATCAAGATTTCTGTTGTCTAGAATAAAATATAATTGTACTTAAAGTCCTCCTAAAATTGGCATATCCAAATCCATGAATATCAATTGAATTCTAGACTTCTTTTTCATAACTATGTCTAAACATTGTTGGCCATTGTAAGCTGTAACAAACCTATTGAGTCCTAACTTTTTGAGCATCAAACATAATATGTCATGATTGAAGGGTTCATCATCAACAATCAATATTTCTTATTCATTCTCCAAATCTATAGATTCACAAAGAACTCCTTTTTTCAATAAATAGAACTGGTTTTCATCTGCCCTTTGGGTAAGTGATATGCTTGGTTATCTATGGGAGTATCTGTTCTTAAATTGTTACAATTCATTTTTGTTCTGATTTAATGGCATTTATGGTGATGGTTCTATTATTATTGAACTTGAATAACTGCATATTGAACCATTATCTTGTTCTATATTTTGCAGACCTTTTACTGATTTACTAGTTTTTGAATTCTAAATGATTTTTTATGAACTTGAAAACTGATTCTAAATTTTAGTACTAATAAAGAATTCAAAAGCAGCTCCTTGTTAAGAACTGTTTAATTGTAGGCTTGAATGTTAATCACTCAAAGCAGAGATTAGATGATTTGTAATTTGTAAAGATATTCCGAATTTTACATGGATTTTAAAATGATGATACTTATCTTAATGGTGATTTTGTACTAAGTGAAATTTATTTTGTAAAAGTGCTTATTAATTTATAAACTTGATTTAGTCTTAAGTGAATCCTTCACCATTATCAGAAACTCTAAAAAATGCTTTTGATTCCTATTCATCAATCGAGATATCTATGCTTATTGTATTGTTCGACGGAGAGTATCTATAACTATTATTGAGTAAATTGATTAATATTCTTTCTAATTTTTATTAATCTGTATAAATGTAAATTGGCTTTTAGTTTTTGATATCAACATTATTAAGATTATATTAGAGCTTTATCTATTTTGTTTTGCATTACTACTCTAACAACTCATTTACACTCAATAGTAATTTTACCAAATTGGTTTTTGTAACTTGTAATGCTAATTATGTGGAATCCTAGTAGAGATAATCCAATAGATCTTGTATTTAATATAATTAAAGTTTAGAATTTAGCATAGCAGGAATCAAATATAATTATTTAAATTAATCAGATACTGATATATCATTTATTGATTAATTTAAATAGCCAAATGTTGCATTTAAAGGTGTTTTTAATTTATTAGTGAAGATGGAAGCTAATTATTATTTAAACTAAGTTAATTTATTTTATTGTTTTATCAAATAGACTTAGTCAAGTTTGATGAAAGCAACAATAATATAATTGGAAATACTTTAAGATATAATAAGTTTGTATTTGGTTTTCTGTCCAGTTTTATAATCGTATTCATTGGCTATGATCAATTACTCACTAATCTTAGTATCATTCAAGTATTATTTAATTAAGTCTTTGATATTGGTGTATGTTTGATCTTTTTAAGTGGAAGATTGAAGTGAATCACCCGATAAACTAATATTATCATAAAATTTATAGGTTTTGAAATTAATCTATTTATTTTAAGGTTGGTTATTTGCAAAATTATCATTACTTTTTGATTGTCTTGTAGTGTAAATTGAAGGAGATGAAAAATGATCAACATTTTATGGTTTGGAAAGTATATTTGGAGTTAGATCATTTAGTTAATCGTCATAGATTTTAATTACACAGTCTTCAATAAGTATATCAAGTATGAGTTATCTAGCCTTGTGTCCAATTTTAGTGGACATAAGAAGGTTATAAAATTCGAATAAAATAATGAGTAAAATTGTTATCTTAGAGTGCAACTCAGTTTAGGTAAATAAGGAGTCAGGGTTTATCAAATCCAAGGTCGCAGTAAATAGGTATAATAAAAATATAAAAAACTTTGTCTGATTTGTGAGTTTAAAGTTGCCGACTAAAGGGTAGAGATACCATAGTTAGTGCAGTCCAAAAAATAAGCAGTTTTAAACAAAATGTATTATAACCAAAAAGCAAAGTTGTTTTTTAGTTTTGTTCTGATAGATTAAACAAACTAATGTTATCATAAGACTATACTTATATTTAAGATAAATAGAATGCTTCTGGAGTACAGTTAATTATATTGCTATTCAATTGTGGCGAAAGTGATGTCTTTAATGTCTAGTGATATAAGAATTATAAATAAAATCATGAAAGTAATTTTATAAATATATATTCATCTCATTAAAATTAGAAGGGGAACATTACACTTTCTAAAAGAAAGATTTCAACAAAATAGTGCCATTATTGCTCTCATGTATTTTCTATGAGTCTTGTATTTCTAGAGTTTAATAAAATTTCTTTTATACTAAATCTGTAATCTAAAAAACATATGATTTCAAACTAATTTAGTAAGATAAATTATTTATTATAAATAGATTGTTCATTTTAAGAGGTTATATTTAAAAGTAAAAATGTCTTATTCCCACTAATTTTATATATAATATCGATATTAGAATTGTAATAAAATGATTAATTAAATAACAAATTCTTCAGATAAAGTGAGTTATTAATTTTTAATTAGAATTTTAAACAATAATTGTATTTATGAATCTTATTATTTACTATTAATTCGTAATTTTTGATAACTACAATTCAGGTATTAGTTTAATACTAAAAATCTTGAAAATTTTAGATAGAATAATCAATTTTTTTCTAAGCATATTTTAATAAATAATTTGATTAAATATCTTCATTTAATTTGTTGAGGGTTATACTCTACTATCATGGCCAAAGAGACCCAATCCTCCATTTCATTTAGAAATATCGAGGAAAGGAGAAAAAAATTCAACTGAAGAAAATTAGCAATGTACTCATAATAAGATTAATTAGAAAACACCTTATTTATGAGGGAAGCATTAATATAAGTGATATGATTTTAGATAATCCTAAAATAAGTAATAAGAATGCTGTATTGCAATAATAAATACAAATGGAAAATGAATTTTATAGTTATTATTTGGGAAGTGCATATGGAACTTTTGTCATTAAAGCTTGGATACCTACAAATTTATTTCATAAATTAAACCCATATGATGAATTGAAATTTGGATAAAGCCTAAGAGTGTATATTTTGAGATTCCAAAATTTTGAAAAGTAAATTAAATAAAAAAGGATGTCAAATGAATAAGATTAGGAATAAGGATGAAGAAGATAATGCTGTTAAAATTAAAATGATACTAAAGTCCAATCAACTCAAGTAAACTTAATCATAGGTTCAACACAAACAACTAATTCTTCAGTAATTTTACAATTAAGGAATTAGAGAGAATAGTAAGAAATAGAATAAGATGAAGAGGTGAATTAGAAAAAGCTAAAAAAACATTTTGAATGAGAAGCTGAAAAGAAAGTTTAAGGTAAAATGGAGAGTTTAAGAAATATTATATTACTATGATCAAGAGTAATACAAGAATTGATCATGTAAAAATAATAGCAGGTACAAAAAGCAAACCTTCACCTCTGAAATTCTAGGGGATGTGAAATAGAAAAGAATGAATTATGTCTATATAACGAAGTTTTAATGAAATCATTTATATTATAATTGTAATTAATTCATAACTTTTTATAATTTACCTACAAACTATTCAAGTTCTTCCTTGGTCATTTCAAATCTTATCTTTTTTTTATTAGCAATATTATCCAAAGTTTGTAAATGCAATTCCACAATAATTGTAGGTATCTATGACTTCGCTATTTTATTGGATGATATTGTTAACTATATAGAATTGATGGAATTTACATTCAAATTCCAATTGTAATCGATTAACACATATTTGGATAATGCTATATGTGTGTATAATGCCTATTTGCACATTCCTTTGAAGTTCTCGGTTATTATCCTTGTGAAGATCTAGTGTTTCTCTGGGTCTATTTGAGATTTCAATTTATCCAATAGTCTTTACACCTGATTACAATATAAATGATTAGTACTTCTTCTCTATTTTAATTATTCATTTCTAGCAAATATTCACTGAATTGCTGCATAAATTGTTGAGCCTCCACGATTAGATTGTAGTGATTAATTTCTGGAAATTAGCTCAAATATGGTAATTTGATTCCATGAACACAGTCAGCCACAAGATCTTCAATGAATTTCTCAAATTGGTTATTATCTGTGAATACATTGAATACCTATGGCAAATTCATTAAAATAATAATTACTATAAATCAATATATTATTAATTCAAACTTAAAATGAAACCATAAGAATATAAATGGAATGAAAAACTATGGAAACCTATTGTTAGACCTCCAAGAAATTGTTACCATCTAAAAGATCTAGGGAACGATCTATTTAAAATTAAAGATACAATCACAAAAAGAACAGACTTTGAGATATATAATAATAGAAATCAGAAATTACAATGTAGGTGAGAGTCAAACTATATTAAGTTTATTCGAACCTATCAAAATGCAGGGAAATCCTCATCCTTGCATGATATACTTGCATGGTAATTCAAGTAGTAGGATAGAGGCATTCACAATAATTGAATATTTAATTCCAGCGAACATTTCAGTTTGTGGTATTGATTTATCTGGTATTTAAAATTAAGTAGATAAGGTTCTGGATTATCTGAAGGAGAATATATATCCTTGGGATTTCACGAGTGTCATGATGTTGTATGCTTATACGATTACTTAAGAGAAAACAAAGTAATCATTTAATAGAATATCAGTTTGATAGAGTTATATTACATCTATTGGATTATGGGGTAGATCTATGGGTTCGGTGACTGCCATTTTAGCTGCTTATAATAATATTGATTTTAAAGTTTTAGTTTGTGATAGTCCGTTCTCGAATTTAACTTTGTTATGTAAAGAACTAGCTAAGACAAACTATAAAATACCTAATTGTTGTTTCAATTGTTTTTGGTGCTATGTAAAATCTAAAATTCATTAAGAAGTTCAATTCAATATTGATGAATTGAATATAGTTTAAATAATACAAGGTAATAGCTTACTAATTATAAGTATTACCTTAGGATGTTCATATATTATTTTTGTCTGCATAATAAGATGATTTGATCAGAGAAAGTCGCCCGAAATTGCTAATGAAACAATTTCGTGGGCAAAATAAGGAATTGTTTAGTTTTGAGGGAACTCATAATTCCAAGAGACCAGCAAAAATAATGGAAGATTCAGTTGCCTTTGTATTAAAGGCTTTTGGATAAAATGTGTGGACTGCATCTAATATCAAATATGCGATGAAATACTCATAGAATTAACTATCTAAATAAGTTCCTTTATTAAAGGGAGATAAGAGAAGTGTGCAACCCCATATGGAAAAAGAAGATTATTGATGATTAATTTATATATAATTTATAATTAATGTCTGAATTGGAAGCATAATGTATTCGAATGGTTAAATTTGGATAGAGTAACATAGAAAAAACTATTCAGTTCTTTGACAATAAATTATTAGATTAGATAATTAATGATTATTCAAAAATGGAGCAGAATCTACTACAAACTTCTAATGTATGAAATATGTATTATGCTCAAGAATTTAAACAGATCATTAATAGAAGCAGAGTCTTCAAATACAAAGTTAAAAGAAATAGTTTCTTTAGTAAGCAAATGAGGATAAACTTGAAGTATAAATATATATAAATAATTAAATACGATGGATAGTATGTACTCAAAATATATCATTCCCAATTAATCAGAGAAAAAGTAGAGTTCATCTCCGCATTCCTAAGTAACATTCAACAACATACAAGTTTATATATTCACTAAAATTTCTAGTAATTTTTAGAAGACTACACTCCCTCCCATCGTAGGCTCAGCTTCTCCGAAGACAGGATTCAAGAACTCAAGAATTCTCAGTAACTTTCAAGTCATAATAAATTAAGCCACGATTTCCAAAGCGAGTTTGTCAATTCTCAAGTAAGAATTATTCAATTAATCCTAATAATAGATGAAACAAACCTAATTAAGTATTGATATCAATAAAAAAGAATAATAAGAGTTTTAAGAGATTAAAGATGATTAAATCATTTAAACTAACACCATCATTGATTCACCTACTAAGATGAATACAGATGATTCTCCAAAAAAGAATAAATTCAAAGCCTTCGGAAATTTACTATTAAGTATAAGAAGATTATAATAGAACTTAGTTGAACGTATTTCAAACATAGTATATTAACTAGATAATTATATTAGGATTAATTAAAAGAATCCATCATTAAACCATCCACTAATACAAATGCTTCAAAAATACATCCAGATCCTTCATCAAGAGATAGTGAAAACATCAATGAAATCCTATCCAACTTGAAATTAGTTGATAGATTCATTTATTATTCCGAATAAGGATCATAAAACGATATTCAAAAGATGATTAAATTATTATAAATTTATCCTAAAAAGTAAACTTTGATATTATTTAGACATTTGTATTGTCCCACGGACCCAAAACATATACTAAACTCGTTCAATAAGTTTGGATAGAACTCTTTATATATTTCTTGCAAAAATGGAAATATTGCTGTCATTAAATTCCTTTTAGACTAATAAGCCAATCCTTTTATAAAAAGTAAGGTTTATGAAAACTTTTATGAATCTCCTTTGGAAGTCTCAATCAGATGGAACCATTTCGATTGTGTCTAATTGCTACTTGAAAAATCTAACTATTCAAACAAAGAATTAAAAGCAGCCATTCAATAAACTTCAAATCCTTAAATCAAATAACTCATTAAATCAAATCTCAAATCAGATACTTTTTGCTGCTATTGATAAGTAAATAAAGAAAATATTCTCCATATATACATTTATAATTTATTTCAAAGTAGTTCCATAAAATTATATAATAATCTATTCTAATCAATCATCGTCAATATTTTTGGTTATTTTTGATTTCGTTAACTGGTTTAAAAAGTATAATCAGTAAAATGATTAATTGATAACACTTGAAATTAATTTTATTATTAGAAAATGCCAGGTTTTTCAAATGTTTAGATTTATCTATATGAGATGCCAATTTCTTAATATTCTATTAAGCATTACCCACAACTTGTGTTCATGTTTATTTAAATAATTTCTTTTTCCTTTTTATCATTTATTATATCTTTTTATAATTACACAAATTAGTTTTTATTCCTTGATTCCAGAGAAAACTTAATAATATAAGGGGTTGACTAATTTAATTAATAAAATTATTACATAAAATTTCAATTTCTGATAGGAAATCGATTAAACTTAGATTCCCATTCAAAATAATAATGAGAATGATATAAAATAAATTGTATATTATTTAATAAGTTGTCATTACACACTATTGTTAAACAATTAATTTAATGGATAAACCTTAGCTTCTATTTTGAAAATGCTAATATATATAATAAGAAGGTTAAAGCAAAGTAAGATAGTTTGAGGATGAGATATTTATTAATAATTTCTGAAGATTGAGAAATTATTATTAATTATAAATTTTATTTAAATATATAATGGTTAAGAAAGCTGCTCCAAAGAAATAAGAGACTAAAAAAGCCCCAATTAGAAGAACAAGAACAATATCTACTTTAATAAAAGACAATGAAAATATTGTACATCAAAAATTGGGATAGACTAGAAGTAAAAGCAATGGTAAATATCTTTTTTATCATTTCAGGTGTATTACAAAAGAAGATTACAAAGTAGACTTAAGAAACAAAATAAAAGAATGTACTTAACGAAAAGGAAAAGAATGCGCCTAAAAAGAATTCAAATTAAAAAGAAGAAAAATAACCAATTAAAGATGATACTAAATAAAAAAAATAACCAGAAGTCAAAGATACTAAAAAACCTATTCAAACTAGATAGAAAGTGAATCCTGTATAAAAAAAGTAATAAGTAAAAAAAAAAGTACTCCAAAAAAAAGTCCTGTTAAAAAAAGTACACCCAAAAAAACTCCCGTTAAAGAAACTGTGGCTAAGGAAGTGACGAAACCAAAGCCTGCGGAAAAGAAAAACGAAAAGGAAGGAAGTAAAAGTGAAAAAAAGGTAGAAGAAAAATCTGAAAAGAAAAATAATGATAAAAGTGTAAAGAAAGATACAGATAAATCTGATAAAAAAGAAGCAGAAAAATCAGATAAGAAAGTTAATGATAAAAGTGAAAAGAAACCTGTTGAGAAACCGGAAAAGAAAGCAAATGATAAAAGTGAAAAGAAGCCTGTTGAGAAATCAGACAAGAAAAGTGATAAAAAAGGAAAAAGTGAAAAAAAAGAATAAAGTTAAGAATAACAAGAATAAAAATAAACAGATTCTGCAAAGATACCCAGAAGAACAGAAAGCAAAGCTATAGCTGGTATTGTTGATGTTGTCTTTTGTGTAGACACCACCTAATCTATGTCTCAATTTTTATATTAAACAAAAGTAATTCATACTTAATTATGTAGAATACTGTAAAAGAAATTATTAAAAACATAAAAGTTAAAGCTTAAAATGAAGATATTAGTGTTAAATTTGGGTTTGTTTGCTATAGAGATCACCCTCCTTAAGATTACACCTATGTAACTAAAATCTAAGGATTATGTGGAGAACAAGAAATACTTGATTTTATAGATTAACAAGGCGCCTAAGGAGGAGGAGATGTTCCTGAAGCTGTTTTGGATGGATTGTATGATGCTGCAAAAAAGATTGAATGGAGAGATGCCAGTCATACACCTTCATTAAGATATATCTTTCATGTAGCTGATGCACCTCCTCATGGAAAAGAATTTTCTGATTAAGCTTCAGCTTGGCCTAATGGTGTTCCGTATTATTTAGCATATATTTTAGATCTGGTGTAACACTTGATAAAGTAGCTCATGTGATTAATATCAGGGAAATCCATTATAGATTGATAAATGTTAACAAACTAAAATTATTAGATAATATGAAAAAGTTATTTAAGGAAAAATTTACGAATTATGAAGAAACAGAATTAGCAAATGCAAAGGAAATGGATTTCAGAGTTAGTGATATGATCATTAGAGAATTATTACCGGATGTTGATTATAATGATTGAATCATCATCGCAGTATAAACAATTATAATTAGTTATAGAAAGATATATATAATAATTAAAGGTATTAATTCATGGTTATCATCTCAATTATATAGTGGGGGAGAACTTTAATTAGTTCTATTCCCGAATTGATACTTCCCATTCTCTTCTCTTTGGATATAATATATCAGTAATATCTGTTAGAGGGAGATAACTAATTCCTTTTTTATGATTTCGATGTCCTTAGTAAGAGCCTTCGTTCTCCTTATCTGGATTTTCTACCTCCTTTTAAAATTTTAACTATTTTGAGTTCATTTGAAATTCAAATTCAATTATTAATAAAAATATTTCAAATATTAAGAAATTAAAATCATAAAAATAATTAATTTCTCTACAATTATTACAAGTAAATATACTATTCAAAACTGAAATTGCATTTGTAGCAATCAAAGTTCCTAATAACCTTTTATTTTTCATCATTATAGCTTATTATTTAATTTGAAGCATCCAAAGTTTTGGCATAGATTCATAAATCAGTTTTTAATAATATAAATATATTATTAATTTAAATGGGTAATTTGTGTCTTAGAAAGAAGGAGAAATCCTAATAGCCCTAAGTATATAATTTTTTAACAAAAGTACAACATTGCTGATGAAAATCACATCACCTATACTCCTGCCACTTTAGATGAGTTAGAAAAAAAAATTAAAATTGAATCATAAGGTATGTACAATTACCATATTTTAGATGACAATAGCTCGGGTATCTATATTATGTATTTCTAGAAGCTTTGATATTGAATGTTGACAATAAATAAGACTAGTTTTAATAAGGGAATAACCAAGCGACGATTCAAATTCTTAATGATCTAGATAAGGATGCCCAAAAGCTTATTAAACAAGGAGAAATAGCTAAAGCAGAATTATCAAAAATTAAATAATAGGTAATAATTAAACTAGTTTTAGTAAATTGATGATGCTGTTTTGAATATGGAGCAACAGACATTGTAGTAAAATCTTCTAAACAAGCCTTAAGAAAGTGATGTATAAAGAGCATAGTTTGAAGAAGAAAGAAATAGAGAGCATTAGGAAGCTTAAAAAAAAAGAGAAAAGTAATAATAGGAAGAAATGATTCGAAAAGAAAAAGAAGCTGAAATTTTAAGGTAGTAAAAAGAGCAAGAAGCAAGAATTGCATAAGAATAAGAAAACGAAAAAAGAAGGTAACTTCAATAAGAATAGGAAAGAATAAGAATTGAGTAAGAGCATGAAAGACAAAGATAACTTTAAATTGAATAAGAGGCTCAAAAATTAAGATTAAAATAAGAAGAAGAGGAAAGAATTAGATAAGAATAAGAAGCTGAAAGATTGAAAATAAAACAAAAAGAAGAAGAACGAATAAGATAATAACAAGAGGCTGAAAAATTAAGATTATAATAATTGGAGAAAGAGAAAATTAAATAAGAATAAGAGGCTGAAAGACTCAGATTAAAATAAGAAGAGGAAGAAAGAATAAGGCAAGAATAAGAAGCTGAAAGATTGAGATTAAAATAACAAGAAGAAGAAAGGATTAAATAAGAATAAGAAGCCGAAAAATTGAGATTATTAAAATTAGAAGAAGAAAAAATTAGATAAGAACAAGAAGCTGAAAAATTGAGGCTTTAAAAATTAGAGGAAGAAAGAATTTAGTCAGAATAAGAAGCTGAAAAATAAAGGCTATAATAAATAGAGGAGGAGAGAATTAGATAGGAATAAGAAGCTGAAAAGTAAAGGCTTTAATAATTAGAGGAAGAGAGAATTAGATAAGAATAAGAAGCTGAAAAATTGAGGCTTTAAAAATTAGAAGAAGAAAGGATTAAATAGGAATAAGAAGCTGAAAAATAAAGGCTATAATAAATAGAGGAGGAGAGGATCAGATAGGAATAAGAGGCTGAAAAATTGAGATTATAAAAATTAGAAGAAGAAAGAATTAAATAGGAATAAGAAGCTGAAAAATTAAGGCTTTAATAATTAGAAGAAGAAAGGATTAAATAGGAATAAGAAGCCGAAAATTTGAGGCTTTAACAATTAGAAGAAGAAAGAATTAGATAAGAATAAGAAGCTGAAAAATTGAGGTTATAAAAATTAGAAGAAGAAAGAATTTAATAAGAATAGGAAGCTGAAAAGTAAAGGCTTTAATAATTAGAAGAAGAAAGAATTAAATAAGAATAGGAAGCTGAAAAATTGAAGCTTATATAATTAGAAGAAGAAAGAATCAGACAAGAATAGGAAGCAGAATAATAAAAGCTTAAATAATTAGAAGAAGAAGAAGCTGAAAAATAAAGGATTTAATAATTAGAAGAAGAAAAAATTAGATAAGAGTAGGAGGCCGAACAATTATAATAATAACAAGAAGAATAGAATTAAAATGAAAACTTAGATTAAAATAAAAATAATCTATATAAATTTGTTTGGTAATTTTATTTAATTATTTAAGGGCTCAAGGAGGTAGCAAGGTTTTGATAACTGGAAGCTGGTTAAATTGGACAGATAAAATCGAATTAATATAAATTGATAATAAGTAAATTTAGTTTAATTTTAAAGATTTGAAATTGAAGTATAATTACCTTCGGGTAAGTATGAATTCAAGTTTATTGTAGACGATGATTGGAAAGTCAGCGATTAATATGAGTATGATGGTTAAAATAATTTCATCATTATTTGAGTAAAGATTGAATTAATTTCATAATAAAATAAATAAGATCATTATTAGTATATAACTGTTAGATCATTTATTAAATATAATTATAAATGTTAAAATTTATATCAATTGATATAGAAATTAATATGATTATAATATATCAACTTGATTTAAAATGTATACGTTTTTGTTTCACTTCATAAAATATTATTAATACATCACATTTTAAGATTTCATCTATCTTTGGGAATTTACCGTCTCTCAAATATTCTTTTAATTTTAAATCCATTCTATATTCACATTTCCTTCTACACATTAATCCAATAACATCTTTGAAAATGGACTTAAGTAATATTTTTTCAGGGTTTTTTTAAGTTCATTATTGTATTTAATTTTAGACGAACTTATAAGGAAATCATTCATTAAAAAATGAATTTAAATGGATTATTGATAAATTTTGATTATTTATGTATTAAAAAATTGATCATTATATTTGCATAAAGTTGAAGTTTACTGAACAGTTTAGTAGACATTCAATTTAATATATTACCATAATCTATTATGATAAGTATTATAATCAAAATTTTTCTTGTTCCTTTAAAAAATCTTCATGTTAGGTTGATATACAATACTTGAATAAAAAATCAGTTTGGCTAATTTAATAGAATCATAAAAGGAAAGTAATTGTGAATTCAAACTAATTTAAAGAAGAAATAGAAAGAATAGACTTAGAAAAAATTTTATTATAAAAATAAAAAATTGTTAAGTAAATGAAATCAGTATCAGCTCCTAAAAATAATTATCAGAGAACTTTGAATAGCAGCTTTAGTACGCCTGACAAGAAAATAAATAAAGTATGCGTATGAAATATATAAGAGTAGGTTAAATACTCAATCAACCTTGAAGCTGAGCGGCGAAATGATGTCCGTTTAAAGTTATTTATATGAGTAAGCTCATTTAAAGGAGGAGGCTTCAAAGAAAGAGATTATGAGGCAAATCAGATCTGTGATTGACAATCTTGAGAAGAATAAAAGTGTTAAGTAGTTAAATTAATAACTCTCAAAATTGATAGTAGGATTAAGGACATGCATTCATTAATAGGAAGTATCAAGCTATATCATTTAATTAATCTAAATTATGAGAGAAATCACGAATAATCATTAAAACCAAAAATAAAATCTGTATGATAAGGATAAAGCAATTTTGATTTAAAGAATTCATGAGTTAGAATAACAGGCAAAAGAAAATTAATTTTAATTGGGTATGTATTTGTATAGAAACGGTTAGAATTACAGATGCAAAGGAATAAAGCACAGGAAAGGATTAAGAATCTTGAGGTTCAATTAGAGTAAATAAAACAGATAAAAAATTAAAACCAAAATTAACCTAAAAAATAGTAAACAAATACGAAAGAAAAGATGGAATTAAAAAATCATATAAAATTGATGCAAACTAAAATATAGACACTTTCTGAGAAGGAGAAGAAATTAATCTAATTAGTAAAAGCGGTAAAATCTAGAGGGATTGATGTTGAGTATATCTATAAAAATATCAATTAGGTCTCAAGCAGAGATAGTAATACTACAAATCAAGAGGATAAGGATGAGTTTATTGATAATTAGAATTCAGATTTCGCAGACATTTCTCAATTTGATATTGGTTAGAGTAGTATCAAAAGGAATCAAAAATTCTTATTAGATTGACATTTTTATTTCTATATATATAAAGAGTTTAATCATAAATAAAATTTATTAACAATGTATAATTCAAGATCTTTATGTAAATTTATTAACTATCCTTACTAGACTAATAAGTGTCTCCAAGCAGTGGAAGAATTTAGAAGATATCAGAAAAATTATCAACCATATAAATAGGAGTAGAGAACGAGAGATTCTAAAAACTTGAATAAGCTGAATAAAGAATCCAATAAGCTGAAGATGCATTTAATGAATTTTAAGAATAAATTTTTACTAAACTCAATGGACTTAGAGATCAAGTATTATTTTATCTCATATATCAGTTAGGAAAATTGCAAAAATAAGTTGAAGAAGATAAATTAGCAAAAGAATAAGCTAATGAGACTAAAAATAGGGAAGTGTTAGCTTTAGAAAAGAAATTTGAAAATGCAATTGAAAATGAGAATCAAGCAAGAAAGGAAGGAGAATCTAAAGTGCTGCGTCTGTTAGAGGATAAAACTGCATTATTGAGAACCGAAGTTTAGAAAGAAACAGCCAGCAGAGTTGATGCCATAGAAGGAATTCATCAAGGGTTATAAAATGATTTACCAAAAATCCAAGAAGCCATAAGAAATGAATCAAATGAAAGAGATGAATCTGATTAAAATGTATAGATTTAGCCATCTACTATTAGGTTATGAAATCAATTACCGACGAACTTGTGAAATTAAGTAATTTAATTAATGTGGAGAAGAGAAACAGAGATGAAAGCGAATAATCGATCTTCGAAATGTTAAAGGATATCGTTAATAGAGTGAAAGTTGAATTGGATTAAGAAAAAAAAACAAGGTAACTAGATAATCACAAATTATTATTAGAGAATAATCAGAAGAACATCTCTTAAGTCTGTTAGAAGATACATGCAATAAATTAAGTATTGCAGCAAATCTATGATCAATTATAAATATATTAAATATTAAAATTAATTCCTCGATGTCCAAAGAAGTAGTAATAATATTTTTTATACATGAAAGAGATCTATATCAGCACATGAATCTATAATTAAGTATATAAAACTTTAGACATAAAGAAAGTAATTCAATTTTATATAATAGTTATGCGAATATTTCCAAGATTTGGCCTGAAAATGATTATTACGATAAAGAAACTCTCTATTTCTAAATAAAATCTCTCAAAGAAGAAATGAATATTATTAGAGCAGAAAATATTAAGTTAAAAACTAGAATTTAATAATAAGATGTATTTGAATGTTAAATTTGATAGAAAGAACTCTATAATTTTGAGAAATATATTGAAGAACTGTAAATTAAACCAAATTCCTTAGCTAAAAATAATGAGTACATCATTTAGTAGATTAAAAAATAAAATAAAGATTTATAGTTCTAGTTATAAGAGAAATTATGTTAAATAGAGCAAATGAAAAAAAATGCTAAAGTTACAAAAGTGTAAGAATTAAAGATTGAAAATTAATTATATAAAGAGGAGATCAACAAATTGAAAAAGCTGTTACAAGATCAAGAAAAAAGCACACAAGAGTATGATAATAATATCTATTCAAGATTTATAAATCAATAATCTATGATAAAAGATAATTTTGAAAGAACGTAATAGGGCTTTATCAAATAGTAATTAGAAATAAATGGTTTGAAATAAAAATAATAAAATGACAATTAAAAAATCACCTAATTACAAGTATTTTTTTAAGTGTTATTAGAATGAAGTCTCAAAATTAAATCAGATTAAAGTCAATTTAGAAGATAAAATCTAAAGAATATCAACTGAATAAAATAAAAAAAGTTCAACAAATTCGTTTAAAAGTAATAAATTCTAAGCCACAACCGAAATATCCTCCACCCAATTAAGATCAAAAACTCAAGAAGAACTTTAATATAAATTAATAATGCGAGGTATCACATATGAATAATTTACTTAAATGATCCAAGAATTAAAATAGCAAGCAATTGATTTAAAAAAATAAATTGAGATAGAGGATATTGAATATATACTAAGCTAAGAACCCTTTTCATTAGGTTAAGATAGAATATAGGAAGTTGTTAAATCATTGTACGCATATGGAAATAAATTAGCAGATTCTCTGTTAAATTAAATAGGAAAATATAAAACATTTCTGGATTACCCTGATTTTAAAATAGAGGAAGCAGAAAAAATGATTAAATAAACTCTAAAATAACCAGAAATCGCAGAATATGTTCAAAAAAAACAGGTTTAAATTTGGAATAAAGAGGAGGTTGTATAAATGATTAAATATCTGAAGATCACCTGGAACGAATCTGTTTTTTTATTTTATCTTTTAAATGTATAATGTTCTATAGAATTTTAGTTATTTGAAAAATCTGGATAGATACTTGAATTCAAGAGTGATACAATAATTGACCCCTTTCCATAATTGGTACAGAAAGAGTCTTCGAGAATAATTGAGGAAAGTGACGAAGATTTATTTGATTAATAATCAGATGCTTCTTAGAATATGATAATTTAAGATGCTGATCATTATATAGCATGAAATTTACTATTATATACAATTAATCATTTTTTTGAATATGTGTTTTCTAGATGCATTTTCATAGTAGCTAAGGGATTATCTTAAAATGGTTTAATCTAGAAAACTTATTTCATTCTGAGTTGATCTTCCTTCAACAATTTATTTCTTAAATGACTAGATGTTCCTTTATTTTTCTCTAATTCTAATTACTTTTGTTTTTCTTAGTGTTATTTATCAATATCTAATAAGTTATTTTTCAAAGAATCTAAGATGAAAGTCTAAGGTTCTTACTTCTATTTGGTAATGATGTATTTATCCAACAACTAAAATAGTAATGAATTATTACCTTCTTTTTAAGAATCTTTTGTTTTTTCAACAATCTATCCCTTTATCCTTTTGTGGATGTTTTTGGAATCTGAATCTGTTATTCAAGATTTTTATTGAATTCCTTAAATATTTCAGCTTTCTTTTGGGTATCAGTTTGAGTTGAAGTTTTGATTTGATTGAGTTAATTTACTTTCTTTTTAAGCTGCTTTTATTTGATTTACTCACTAGTTTATTTGATCACTTTCTTCTTAATACCAATTGGTTTCTCAACATCCATATCTCCTTTAGATTAAACTGTCTTCTTTTTATTAAGCTTTTTATCCTTCTTTAAGTTTTTATCCTCTTTCTCTAATTAAATTTTACCCATAATTTTTTAATATAATAATTAGTTAACAAATTTTTTATATAAAATGAAATTTTTTATATAATATTACAAATTAAAGTTTAGGGCAACCAATTAAAAATAGTATAACCAAGTACCATAATTAGCCTCACATTAACTGATTTAATTAATCAAGAGATATCATATCAGATTATAAATTTTATGTATAAATGGGCAATTAAACCTTACTTAAAAAAAATGATCCCAAGGTAAATTAAGTGGAGTAGCACAATGTTGTTAATTCAAATCTATGATACAAATTAAGTAACCATTGTTAAGTTGGTTTAATAACTGAAAAAATTATTATTTTTATTAAATATTGGCTAGACACTTGTTATTATTAGCGAGAATTCGGAAAATTCAGAGAATAAACCTTCAAAATAAAAAATTCAAATTTATAGACTATAAGATTAAACATTATAGTTGCGATTATTATAAGCTAACAAAAATGGCTATAAATCTTCCTGTTAATAATTGTATAATTTAGTATCTTTTTCCTTAGGTATTTTATTTATTCATATTTATTTAATTAAATTATTTGAGATTTAAATATGGGATGTACCCAATAGAAAATTTCAAAGAAGGATTAATTGATGGAGGTTCCTAAATAAAATCTATAAACTGGACCAATTATCATGAGCAACAAAATCGTATTGTTACAAATTTCATATTACAACGGAAGGTAATCCCTGAAATCCATTGGTAATAAATAGAACTATATTAAGATTAAAGCACCATATTGAAAAGAAGAAGAACTAAAGAATAAATAACTGAGCAATCCTCCCCAACGAAAATTTACAAGTGACTATTATATAATCAATTAATCATATTCACATTATTTGAATCATTTCAAATAGTTGATTTCATTCAGATAAATCACTTAAATTCTTATTTCAACTTTCTAAACCACTTTACTGCTAAAATTGAGACTATACTGATATTATATGCTTAAGATATGATTTTTTTGTATTCAATTATGATTTATTTTATCATAAATTATAAAATGGCTAAGCTTGAACAATAAAAAAAGGTTAATTAAACTAAATTGCCATTTATAATATAATGTTTTGAAAAAAGTGTGATGATAATGATAAAATGTAAATTTAATGGAAAAATTTATTATAAAAAATATTAAAAATAAATAATTAGAGATTTTAAGGTGAATTTTAGATAGATAGATAAAATATTAAACCATTAGAATTGGGAATATCAGAAACAATTAAAATTAAGATTGTAAAAGGTTATGTTATGTTAAAAAACTTAGAACTGGATATATATTTGCTTTAATTTTTATCTGTATCTTTAAAAGCCTTTTGAAATGACAGAATTAATTGGAATTTATTTTTAGAAGAGAGTTCAGATTGAATTTTCAATAGTTTATCCCTTGTTATTTGTTTTAAGATTTTTTGAAACTATACATTAACAAAATAATAAATGTTAATATATAGGATTCGAACCTCATAAATTAATTTGTTGTTTCAGATTACGAGCCTCCTGATATTGATGAATTCTGATAGAAAAGTCAAATTTTTATCGTAAATGCATAATTATTTTCTATACAAATATTCTATATTTATTTTAAGTAATTGTATTAAAAATGTGTAAAAATCTTCATGATTTTTAATATGGATTTTTTAATATTTGGAAATAAAATGAAACTGTTGAACAATTTATTAGTTATGTAGATACATAGAATTTATTTTTGTTGAGATGAGAATTTTAATGATGGCTGAATATTGAACTTAGTTTATTTAGGCCAAACAATTAGATAATTTTATCTGATAGATGTAGTTTAAATCAAAAATGAAAAATTATTAATAAATATTTTCTCTATTATTTTATACCAATTCTTGAAGATGATGAAAAAGGAGGTAGCTGGTTTTAAGATCAACTTGAGTAAGCAATTAGGAAGAGGAGCATTTGCAACAGTTTATGAATGCTAGAAAGAAGGGATAATAATGCCATTATGTGTGAAAGTATATTTTATAGTTATTAATAAGGTAATCCATTTGATGTCAGACGATGTATATGATTAGTAGGCACTGATAAGGGAGACAAACATCTTGAAATATTTAACAAGCTTTCACCATCCTCATATAATTAATGTAGTTGACATACATCAGGATTAGTAGCAGAGGGTTTTTTATGTGTTTATGGAGAAATGTATTCAAGGTCATATAGAGAATACAATTAAAGCAAGAGCTTCAACTAAATAATTCTTCAGTGCAGCAGAAATAATAGAAATGACCACACAAATTATTTAAGGTTACAGTCTTTTATACAAAAACTCAATAATTCATAGAGATTTAAAACCAGAAAATTTGCTTTATGGAAATGATGGAAAGATCAAAGTAAAAATCATGATAAGCATTAGATCTCAGATTTTGGAATGAGCAAAATATTAGACAAAGAAGCTCGAAATCAATTAGTCTTTCAATCTTAAGTAGGAACACCTTATTATGCATCTCCTTAAGTGTTAGATGATGGTAAATATTCATCTAAAACTGATGTCTTTAGTGTAAATTGTAATTTAATAATGATAGCTTGGGGTGATAGTGTACTACTTTACATTCTTAAAACTACCATTTGACAAGAAAACTTTTACCGAATTGAAATTACAACAAATGGCTTTATTAAAAAATAAAACTTTGGTATTTCCTGAGATGAAGATTCAAGGTGAAAACTACGAAAAGGATCTCTTAATTCGATTCATGTCTGAAACTATTACATTTTATGAAGAAACTAGAATAGATTGGCCAACAATATTTAAGATGTTCTTGCCTCCAGAAGAAAGCGTTGAATCAGCTGCATTGGTACCACAATAAAGCTTTGAATCTATAATATAACCTAAGTCTGATGCCATAATTGATAATAGAGGGTAATAGCGATCTGAAAAAGCATTTTAATCCTATCAAGTTAGAACATTAATAAGCAATTTAATGGCTAGAGAAGAATTAGCTAGTTCCGTTTAGTAATATTTGATATGCTTGTAATTATTTTTAACTAAAATTAGAAATAAATACACTTCAATATTTAGTAATTAAGATAAAAACATGTTAAAGGCTGCACTGTGTGGATATCAGATGGCAATTAACTTAAATTAAATATTCTTAATTTCTAATTAATATGATTAGGTTTGTAAATAAATACAGGAGACTTTTAGAGAGAATAACATAAAAATTGAATGTGAATCTTATATGAATGACAAATATGAAAAAGTAGAGATTTAGAAACAGCAAGTCCAAAAAAATTCTCAAAGTAATTTGATCTAATTCAAAGTAAATAAAACTTAATATTTTAGGAATCAATCTAATAGGTTCTTCAAGGGGAAGCAGAGATAAAAGACGAGGCTTTGAAAAAATTTAAGATTCTCTTAAGTAAAGCAGAATAACAACCAAACTATGAAATTTATGCCCAATGGTTTAATTATTATTACTAAAAATACATCATCTCCAAGATGCAAAAGTATTTAAATTAAGCTTAAGAAGAGGAAACTTTGATGTTTAAACTAAGATATATCTTTTAGGTTTTTGGCTTTGAGCAAGAAATTCGTAGCAGTTGAAAAGGATTACCCAATTAAAGACTTCTTTTCTATAATTCCATTATATATTTCCTATATGGACACTGAAAAAGAGTATTTAAAGCAATATCTTCGAGCAAACCCACAATAATAATAAATAATAGATTCGAATAGAAATGAAAAATGACAATTTATCTCATTGTTATTTTTACATTGTAGGAGTATTGCATTCTTTAATTTATAAAGTATTGTCTGGTATTCTGATTTGTCTTGTTGAATTATATTGTCTCACCATAACTCCAACGTTGCAATCCTCAGCGGTTGGGTCTTCTACATTATCGAATTAATTGAAGGCTATCTATTTTAATTAGCTATTGGTCAAAGCCAATCTATGCAAATCCTTTGACTTTTTTTATTCCTATTTCAATGGTATATCTACATATATTAGTTAATAAATTACCAGAAATCTCTCTGGAATTCTGTTTTGATAATCGAGCACTGTATTGACTAAACTTGGAGGCTCCTGCTACAATTGAAGTTTTTCTCTGATCCTATCTATTTTAAGAAATATTTGAAGAGATAGAATCAGAGGAATTGAAATTTAGAGGAGATCTCTATTCTAAATCTTATGTGCCGATTTTTCTAGCATTTTAGATTTCTTAATAGCATTGTAGATTGCTTTGGTATTTTTCAATTTACACTTTATACTCTTTGACTAATTACTTAAAGTATGGATGTCTCATGCACTATGAATTATTTAATAACAATAAGTACTTCTTGTGAACTTAATCTATAAGACACTTTCTTCTAGAGCATAGATTGAATTAGGTCTTGCATTTAAATTGGTGCCAATTTGAAATGGGGTTCCTTAAAATCAATTTCACATTCCTTGTTATTTTTGAGAATGGACTTTTAATCAACTCCAATAAAAGGAGTATTTCCAGTCTAAAAATTTAATTGGATTAATTACAATTAGTAAATACAAAATGATACCAGCACTAAATACATCGCATTTATCGGTATAAAATTCTTAGCCTTCTACATACTCTAAGATTTCTGGAGCAACAAATCCAGGAGTACCACATCTTTTAAATAAGTGTTCTTCATCCAAATTAGTAGCCAATCCAAAATCGGCTAGGATAATCTCATAATTATTTTCTGTAGATCTCAATAGTAGATTTTCTGGTTTCAAATCTCTATGGATGACACGATTTTCATGCATATGACTTAAGGCACTCACTAAATTAAAAGCTAATTTCTGCACCGTTTCTGCTGGCAAAAAACCTTAAAGATTATTATTCATAAAATACCTGTCTCTCTCACTCTTTACAGTAATTCACCACCTTAGATCATATCTAGTACAAAATAGATTGAATTAGTTGTTTCGTGCACTTCATATAATTTCACTATGTTAGGATGATTTAGTCTTCTCATTATTTTTATTTCATTTAGCATACTTTCAATTCCTTTAGCTTACTGTTACATATATGCTTTGCTAAATGCTTTTATAGCATATTAAGTGTTGGTTTCCTTTTTGGTTGCCTGATAAACTTTTGCAAAACTGCCTTTGCCAATCATTTTGGATACTTAAAAGGCTTCGTGAAAGTTATCCAAAATGGCAAATCTCTTGAAATGAGACTTCCAAATATCGTAACTAATTTTGTCTGCAGTAAATATTTCTAGGCTCTTTCCCTAATAAGAAAGGTGAAAACCAAGTAATTATTCATCAGAGTTTAATTATACGAAGTTATCAGTCGATGCTTCAATAAACTAAACATGCATAGTTAGTAAGGGGGCTTTCTTAAGATTTGATAGCGAAACTCTAAAGAGTGAATCCTGACTCATCACAAGAAACTTTTTCTTAATCAACCTCTCCTTTGAGCCGACCAGGAATTCATGCTCCAGCAACTCATTTTATTCCTTATTATGAGATATTAATGTACATCAAGCAAGGCTTTGTCACATTACTTCCAAAATGTAGAAGTCGTTTAACCAAAGTCGAAAATAGATTGTAGCATATATATGTCAATCAATAAATTATATGATTATACTTTTAATTATATTCAATCAGTTTTATTTGCTGTTCATTTAAGAATTTATGTGTTAAACAGATTTCTCATCCAAATTCAAAGTCTTTGCCATATGTTCAATGAATTATTTTCTGAATTCTGTTACTAATCTTTAGCATCTCTAATATTCCTCTGATTTTACATTGGGTTACTACTTTTTATCTATTGCCAGAAACAAAATGTTCTCCATGCATTAATTAGCCTCATTTTGAAGCTAATTATAATCCATCTTTGTGATTTCATTCTCCATTAAATGAATTAATAATATATAAACCTAATAACCAATTTGTTTAGCTTATCATTGTCACAACTCCTATTTAAATTTCAAGTATATCCAACAGAATGCTTTCATTAGAAATCGGCTGTTGGATTAACCATTTGGAGTTTAAAGTAGTCATTGCTGAGTGAATATGTAGACAAATTGATTCAACAATTGCAAGATCTCATATCCATATTAGAAGGCATAGAAATATAAATTAAATAAGATAATAAGGTTCTTACTACTTATACAATCAACATAGTTTTTAATTAAGAAAATAATGAATAATTCTCTTAATTCGACTCGGATATTTAACTCAAGACTTTGATTTATACATTGAATTAAAGGTTAAAAACATTGAAAGTTGATGATAAACCAAAGACCTTTAGTGTTAATTTTTTAACTAATGGCGCCGAAACTTAAAATAAAGGAGTTTAAGAAACTTTGCTATAAAATTGGATACTCATCAAAGAATCCAAAAAAAGAGAGACTCAATTAGTTAACTCACTTCATATGCCAAATTTAGATATCTTGGTTGGATTGATTTGATCATTATATAATAATGAATTATAATTATATTTAAATGTGAATAACATCTCATAAGAAACACAATCATCTTTTAACAAAACTATTTTTAGTATTCTTAGAGCAATTAAAGTAGATGTTATATGTTTAGTTTAAAAAGACATAGGATCTTAATAATCAAATAAATATAGTATCAAGCAAAGATTATGTATCTTTAATCGATTTTATATTTATTCGATTAGATGGGAAAAAGAAATTAAATATCTTAATCTCCACATTTTCAACTTTAATAAAGAATTGTTGAAAATATTCAATTCATAGTATTTCTTATAACTTAGAGAAATCAAGTCTATACACAGAGAAGGAGGAAAGAAACAATGGTATTAATTTTCAATAACTTAGAGTCAATTAGAGAGAGAAGAGCATGGGGAAATTTTTAATTTTGATTTTGATTTTAAATAAAGAGAAATCTATAGAGCGGCATAGATGCGCATTGAATTAAGAAGTTGCTCAATAGCAAACTTAATTTAATGATTTTAGCTAATCAAACAGATTCCTTTATTGATTTTGAAGAAATGATTTAACACTGTGAAGGATTTAATTAACATTTTAGAAGGGCATTAAGAGAAATGGATGTATAAATCAACATTCAGGATAATGAATATGTATCTTGTTAATAGTTATATTTAAAAAATAATAAATTTCAATAGGGTGAATAAATTATTCATTCTCAATTTAATTTAGTGTTTTAATATAATTAAATTAAAATGAGATTCTGAATTTTAGTACTATAATTTATTTATCGAATTTGTGGTTTGCAAACTAATATCTTTGTGTTCTTTAAGCAGAGCTGGTATCATTTGGAATAGGACATCAAATAAGATATTTAATCATAATTTGTAAGTAGAAATAATTTGAATTATAAATAAATATCAACTGTTTTTAATTTTAATATATATCAATGATGAAATTCAAAAAGGATTGAATTTTTGATGATGAGATCTACATTGTGAAGGAGATCGTGATTTAATCACAATAGACATTTATTTAAAGATCTTCTCCTGCTTTTTCATGTCTGATTTCATCATAATTTCTTTATTTGTTTCTATAAATTACAAGTATAAACGATGTTCCTTTTTTGTCCAGTGACCTAGCTTTTAATTATTGTTTTACCATTATTATACATTTTTTTTGAATTTTTCTTTCTAGTTTTTTTTATTTGTTTCTTTTAGTTTGAGTTCTATTCCACGGACTATATGGTTGATTTTGATTCAATTCGTTATTCACTAGGAATTATGTAATATCATACTCTAAGCCATCCTCCACCTTTATTGTAGACTAGACATCGCTCATGACTTATTGTTATGACCACTGTTGAAGCGTCAGAAATTAAAAATAAGGATGAAAGACATTCATGAACCATTATTATTCAAATCTAATCAAATTCAAGTATTACCTAATGAAGAGAAAGTATTCTGGAACATTGATTTCAAAAGATTTTAGATTCTTTAGTAGAAAAAATGATAAATTTTAATAATGTTCAAATAGCAAAAACAAATACAAAAATTCACAAAATACTAAGATACATACATTTTCATTGATTTCATCACACATTAATTGTTTTTCTATTGATATAAATGAATGATCATTTCTGAAGCATAGAGCATTTCCAACTTCAATTTCTAATCAATTTATAAAGAAACCAACTTTCATTTCTGAATGTTGTAAATTATAAATTTTTTAAGTATTAATATCAAATTGATATTTTATCAATATTTATGCTCAAAACCCAATATCTTCAATTAATTAAAAGGGAATCATGGCAATATATGTTTTCTAAGATCATTTCACCATACAATAAAAGCATATATATTTTCCTACACTAATATTTATGTATATCACTCAAGTAATTTAAGAATAATCTGGAAATAATTATGAAATCTTCTTAAATAATTGATAATTTAGATCTTAATAAATGTGTAGAATTTCAAATAGTGAGTAAAACAGTATTTCATTATTTCTAATATTTTTGGATATCATTTAATACTACAATAATAGTTTATAATTAATAAATAGTTTTAAGTTATTGAAGATTTTGGTGAAGAAATTTTAAAGTATCCCTAATATAAATATTGTCACCTTGAAGGCTTTCGATTATTAAAGCAATTTAAAATTAGCTGGGATTGCTTGAAAATATTTTAGCTGGATTTTATCTTTCTTCATTAAAGCCTGATATTTAAATTATCATGCATAGATGATTAAAGAATCTAGAATAATTAGTTCAAGGGCAAATATTACAGTTGTATAAATGAGTTTGTCATAACATAATTAAAGCGATCTTTATGAATATCCTTGAATTTATAATCTATGGTATTTCATGCTCAGGATTGAATGAAAGGATATTCGAAGATAAAATAATTATCTTTTATTTTGTGTTGTTAGGAGTGTAATCTTTTAGTCTTATATTCAAGATAGTTTTCTCAATTTCATAAATAAAATACTAACAGTTATAAACAATGGAATACGATTCTGTCTCAAAAATATAAGAAGAACTTGGATATTATAAGAAGTATTGCTAATAGTTAGAGAATTAAAATGCTGCTTTAAATCAATAGCTGTTTAATAACATTCAAGGGAAGGTTTTGACTGCGCATGATGGCAATCAAAGTAATAAAAAATAGAATGAGAATAACTCTAACTCTCATAAAGAATGTGAATAAAGGTCAAAATTGATGGAGAAATAATTAAAGCAAAAGTTAATGGAAGAGTAATTATGGCTTAAAAGATATGAAACTTAATTAAATCAAATCGTTGAGTTAAAGGTACGAAATATTATTATTAAAGGCAACTCATGCACAATACATTTAAGAGAGTGAGCTAGAGGATAATTAAAAAACAAAAGAAATTGAAATCATGAAAGAGGAAATAGAACACTATAAAAAGCAAATAGAAATTTATAAATAAGAAACTAATTCATAAATCTATTTAGAAGAAATAAAAGAAATGAGGAGACAACTAGAAGCATCAGAAATTAAATTGGAATAAATGACGAAGGAATTGCAAATTAAGGATCAATAATTATGTAACATATTCACCTTTATATTTTAAGATTAAAAATAAGGAAATATTAAATAATCATTATTGTAATTCAAATAAAAATTTGATATTGAATTAAAAAATGAAAATCTAAGCACTGAACCAGATATATCAAGCAATAGTTTTTCCAATATTATGCTCAGAGATATATGATTTACTACTTATAAATATATATATATATATGTGTATTTAAATCAAAAGCAGTCATAGTGTGAATCTCCTAATGCTTCATATAACATTTCTGTGAAGTCATTATTAGGTGAGTTGAAATCTATTTAAAGTAGAGATTATTTTTTTATGGTAGAATTTCTAAAACTAGGAGATTGAGAATTATCAATCTCTATAGTTTAAGAGAGAGCAGAAGTACAATCTCTATTTCTATTATCAGTTTAACTGAGATTTAAGTTGGATTGACTGTTGTCTCTCTTGTGATAATCTCTAATTTTTTCTAATAGTCCTAAATTAACAGAAACCTGCAGGATATCTTTATTTTAACAGTTTTACACTTTCTTAAGTCGATCTAATATAATAATTCATATGTACTATTAATTTATGGTTTAAAGGAGGGAGTGGCATCATTTCTGAGTTTTTAAATTTTTTGTTATCTTCTATTCTCATTTGTACTCATTCTTTAAAAGAAGTCGTTTTACTTGATAATTTTCTAGGAAGACTTATTTTAAGTTGGTTTAAACTAAGTCTCTTGATTCATTTTAATAGTGTTAGACTCTTTCAATTTATCTATATGATCAGTCTTATCTACTTAGATAATCTTAAATACTTTTGATTGCATCTATTTAATGCCTTGTTTGTGGTTATCAGGTTTGATTTAGGAATTTAAATTTTAAGGTCTTAATATTTTGGGATGAAATGTATTTTCTTAATTTTACTCTTCCGTTTGTAATGAGATTAGCCTCTCTTTAGATTGTTGCGGTCTTTGATTTTTCAATTTTAATTGAGATTGCTGCCTCTGATAATGGTTAACATGTTCAGATTAACTATGAGTTCGCAGTAGTTAAGGAGATGGTGAATATTATCTTTGCTTTTCCTATTTAGGATATTCTCCACCTTGGAATCTGATGAGTTACTCTTGGAGCCGAGTTTTTGGATGATTATCAGACAGAATAGATTTAAGCTATTTATCTAGGAGTTAAAGGAGTATTTTTCTAGTGTTTTTGTTTCTTAAATCCATAATGACTTTATAATTTTATTAATAATTTTTATTCTTTATTTATTATGGATAATAAACTTCATTTAGGTTGAATCTTAGTGTAACACATTTGAATGTATATTTCCTATTAAAATTATGATGTTGATAGATTGAAATATTTAAAGTTTCGATATAATAGTTAAATGTAATATACAAAGATCAAGCAGTTTCTGAAGAGGGGATTTACGGATTTGGTTCATCGGAGAAAAGAACTCTACAAACTGATCTTATCGACTATTCATTAATTCTGGTTGCATAGTATTATTTCTTAGGAGCATTGGGGCATTTTGGTTATTTAGACTTAGGCGTTAACAAACAATTATTCATTTATTTAATTAATAGAAAGAATTATAGAAATACAAAATTATAAATTAGAGGCGCATGTATTTACCACCTACTCACTCAATATCATAATTTACGCAAACTCTTTATTTTGTCCTAATATCTTAGATCATAAAGATTGTTTATTTATTTAAAGAAAGTGGAGTTATAGTTTTGAATGACACTCCCCATATCCTGCAGGAATTGGATTAGCATTGTAATATTTTAATATTTGATTCTTTATTCCTATGCTGTGGTTCTAGCGATGACGAATAATAGAGTTTGATTGACATTCTTTTACTCATCTAGATTGCTAGTTTCTATTTTTGGAGATTGATTTAGTTTAAGAAAACCATTGAATTGATTTTATGAATCCAAAAATACATACTATTGATTATTAGGGGATTGGTCATCTGAAGTAAAATTGGCTATTTAATATAAATGTGAAGAAATACATTTTTTTATTTTAAATGATTGAATATCATTAGGAATGTTTTTTTCATTCTTAATTTGATAGAGTATACAGGAACTATTGATATCAACAGAGGGAAGACTTATTTCAAAGTTCTTAGCTATCGACTTCACACTGCTGCTAAATTATTCAACCGATCGTAGACATTCTTGATTACCAGATTCTAAGAGAGTCGACAAATTTTCACATATCCTTATATTACCTTCCGAGAACAGTTCATCTGTGTAATCCCACGGACCATTACCAACTTTGAAAAAATAGATTTATCCTTCCTCTATGCTAATAGTATACCATTTATTATTGATTTGATGAATAAGTTTAAAAAAAGAATAATCAGAGAGTAATTGATAGGTGAAGTAATTTTCTATTAAATTAAGTATTTAAAAGTAGTACTTCAGATTTGGGTTTGGGAATTTGAGTATTCCCATTAGAGAGAATATAATTTTACTTTCAACTTTAAATTTACTTTAAAATTTGAGTTCTTAAATCCTCTCAAACTTTTAACCAAAGGATGTCTTAAAGAATTTATCCTCTTATTATTTGATATAGACTTCAGATGCATCCCTTAGTACTGCATTTTGAATTAATAGATGGTGATTGGAAATATTAAAATTCTTCTTTTGGAACATCTCATCCTTTTTGATTTCACTTCTCAGATGAATCATATAATCAATTGCCACTTTATTTATATCCAATCCTTCTACTTACTTTTTCTATAGCCACACTTCGGCTGAGATAAAATTCGTTAAGAAATGTTCACAAACATCAGTTTTTTAAATATTAAATTTGGTAGATTAGAATGGCACAACTCTTTTGCCTGAACCACCATAATATAAGAAGTAGTTTCTTGAACCAGGTTAAGATATGGTTAATTCAGGTCTCTCCTCATTTACCACGTCGTCATCATAGCCTGGTTGAATATTGTTTAACTTCGTATGTGTTTTACTAATTTTATCGTTTCTGAATTTACGATGAAACCTGAGTTCATCTGGATTATCGTCATTTAAGATGAGCTTCTTTTTCTTGTCATGCTTTGCTGCATGATTATTATTGTTTTCTTATTCCTAGTTTAAATCATTTTCGAGTTGGGACAGTTTATCTTCTTCTTATTTCAATGATTAAGATACAACTGTAAAGACTTCCCAAACTAGCCCTCCAATTAAGGCTAACAGAAAGATTGAGAAGAATTCAAAAGAACCAACAAATAACATGGCTGATAGCATATCATCAGTATCATACGTTAATTCAAAAACAATCTAGTTCCATTCAGCTGCTATGAACATTTAGAGCATCATCAAATATGATCCTGCAAAAGTCGAAAAGTCAGCATATTTACAATTCCCCCATTAATACTCAAAGCTATTTATATCACATTAAGAATTGGCATATGGATTATCTTCATTGCTTTGTATTCTACCATATAAATACATACCCACACAAGAATAAATAAAGAATATCATTTGTACTGGCAACATTAATCTTAAAATCAAAGGGACACAAATAAGGATTTTGTATAATAGAGTTCTCACCACATCTAAGAATTGCAAGCCTTCAAATAACATATTTAGTATTTTGAGAGATCTGAATGCTCTAAACAATCTGAATACTTTCTATATTTTAGCCAATCTCAACAATCTATTAGCTTTGATTGACTAAGAGATATTCCCAGAGACTATATTAAATAAAATGTAGTCAAATATGATCTGTAGGATTACCAAAGTTATATCGAAGATATTCCTATTGAATAAGAAATGTGTTATACCATCCCTCTTAGAAATAGGCTTTTATTCCTATAGCCAAAATTTTGATTGAACATTCCAAAGAATAGAAGACCAAGAATATGGTGTCTAACAAATTGAAAATGTCAAGGATAGCTTAATCTTCAATAAAAAAGGCAACTACTATTAACACACAGTTAGTTATTGTTATTATCAACATAGATATTCCGAACATCTAAAATTGGAATAGTATTGAAATAGTACATGTCCTTCTACAAATGTTAACAAACCTTTAGATAGTAAATAATTTCTGAGGGATTCCCAACAATGTAATGGTTTAGTTTCTGGCAGAGAGATCACTGAGGCATCCTAGAGTAGATGGAGAAACTTGTGAAATTCATCGAATTGAACCTTATCACTATATTGTAATAATTACATTACTTAAAATCCTAATCAATTTAATTGAATAGCTAATTAATTTGTGATTCTGTAATGGTGTTCTTATAGAAATGAAGGATGAAAGTTCTAAATTGATCTCTTGTCAAAAAGCCTTAATCTTGAAAGTCCAACGATATGAAACTAGCCATCATGGCAGTCTTTTGTTTGATGATGTCGCTGATGGCTATCTCCATCCTATGCTTTCTGAATCCTTCATATACAACTGCCAATGGGATTGGTGCAAATAGGAAAATAAAAAGCAAGAGATATGTAATAAAGAAAAAACAATAGTAAATTCCTTAAAGCATAGGTGGAATTAGGATATCTGGATAGAAATCAAGGGTTGCTACCATGAATAACATGGAAAACAATTTAAAGAAGTCTCCATAATCCTATGTCCTGAGATCTACATTATCCATGCTTCCAATTAAATTGATTCCAATAAATGAAAATATTGAAATTATAATTAGATACAGAATGATCAGCAAAAATAAATCTTTGCCTGCTCTAATGATTCCTTTTAAATTTCGTCTTAAATCTTTCGAATACATGGGCATTAACAATGTTCTGCATATTTTGCTGACTCTAAATATAGTTGGTGCATATTAATGTATTATGAAATCAACCAAACAAAAGTAATATGCAATCAATTTAAACTATTTTTTTGGATTGAAGGTAAATCTGTCTTCCTTCTTTGTTAATAGTAATACAATTGTAATACATGAATCTATTCCCATAAAAAGCAGGATTACAAGTTCTAAAACGAATAAATTTGAATGCTCCTCATTATCTTAATCAAAAAATGAAGGTTCAAAAAATGTTTATAGTTGATATATGATTGACAACAGAAACAAACCATTTAACCAGTGTTAATTGTTCTCAATTTACCACAACAGTTTCAAGTATGTCTTATTTGCTAAATCAATGTCGTTGCGTATAGCTCGTAAGTGATATGCATCATAAATGTGTCTTTCAGCTTTCTCTATTCTACTTTGAGGCGATAGTTTCTTCACTATTTTTTATATATCTTAAGCCAACACATCGTTTTTCTCTAATAGCTTTTGCGAAAACTCAGACATCGCCATCGATTATCGATATATCGTGGATTATCTCTTATGGGTCTTTTTCATTTAATTATAAATATTATTCAATTAATCAATACTTGCAACTCATTATTCTACCTTCACATCCAATTTGAATCTTAAAGATCAGTTTTTTTCAATTATACTATATATAATTAAATTAATGAACCCGTATCACCATTACATCCTGACAGGAATAATAGAAGATTAAGATGATTTATCCTCTGTTAAATAGGAAGAATGTTCATAATTCCAATATTATGAGGAACAACCATAATACATTACATATGAGAATTCTAATCTTTGCTAAATTATCTCATCAATACTAAACATTAATGAAGAATATGTCGATTGGATTGCTCGCAATAAACCTACTGAATTTGAATCCATGATGGTTAAAGCAAAACGCAAATTCTATAGAGACAAAGCTAAATTCCGCATGCAAATCTTATAGCCTCATCTCTACTCATCTCAACAACCCCAAGAACCTAAAAAAGCTAAAAGAGGCAGAAAACCTATCAAATGCGCTGAGAAACAGTTTGTTGAAGACAATAGCGATCAGTATCACCTATACTTATTGTAGTGATAAAAAAACGATTCAGATGATAAGAAATAGGATTTCTGCCCAGAATTCTAGGGATAGAAAAAAAGCCTACCTAAAAGAACTTGAATAGAGCAGCGCAATAACGAACAGAGGAAACCACTTAATTCTCAAACAGATTGAAGAACTACAAGCCTCGAATGAGGAAATCGAAATATAAAATAACAATATTCTCAAGGTAATATTGGCAATCTATTTTAGTGCATCAAAGTCTTCAAATAACAATGTTTGGAGTCGGATGAATAATTTGCCCAAGAAATACTTAAATAATTAGAGTAATTCGAGAGTGGCACTGAATCAAGTGCATCCAAAAAAGTTAAATTAAATTGAGTTAATTGATTTTATATCATTATTATATATTCTGTTAAAATAAATACAAATATGTAGTTGTTTCAAACTCCCAATTCACCCAAGTCTACATCTCGCAATTACAGAAAACCATTTTCAAATCTCAACAATTATTCTGAATTCTAATAATCATCTAATTATTTGAAAACCAAAATTTCAGCATTGGAAATGAGAGTCAAAAACATCAATAGCAATCATGTAAGTGAAAATAGATCAACAAACACTTCCAAAACTACAGCTAATCTGTCCCCCAAAGAATTTAAAAGAAATCTCTATTACGAATCCATCATCAGCAAACGTTAATAAAATTTTAGTAAATTGGATCATTCTCCATCAGAACAATCCACAACACATAATAAATATAGTTTATTAACTCACCAAATTCCTGCCATCTCAAATTTAAACATTAAAGTATAAAATTTCACAAAAAAATTAAGAGAATTTTAAATACATAAAACATAAGAATCTGACATTATCATGACTAAAATCAAATAATTTTGTGATTAACACTTCAATGAATGCTTTGATTTCTATAGGTCTACAGATTTAATGTCCTTAAAATATTTCATTTACTTAATCATACAAGAAATAAACTCAAATGGACAAGAAACCGCTCGATCCATAGAAACTTAGAATTAACAAAATCAAATCCAACATTTAAAATCCTTGTTAGAAAACTAAAAATTAGACCAAACTACTAATCAAAGCTAATAAAAATTTAAAAAAGTGATAATTGATACACAGAATGTGATTCAATCGATAATTTTATAGTTGTAATAGTAACATAATTAAAATATGTTAACTAATTAAGTTCAGATGCTCAAAAATTAAATTCAAACCTTAAATGATGTGAAATAATAATAATCATTTAGGTTATCATTTGGAATGAGAACCTCCAGTAATATAGATAGTGAAAACAACCCAACAATTGCAAATCAATCTACTTCAAGAGCAAATTAATCGACATATAGAGAAAGATTTAAAACCTCAATAAATTCAAAATCCAAATCTCCCTTTAATGTAGAAACTCCTAAGAAAAATAAACTCTTAGAAGAATAATAAAGAATTATCTAGCAATTGCTCTCTAAGATACCTGATCAACAATAATTGGATGGGCATAAGAAGACAATTGAAGAACTTGAGGAAGAATTGAATAAAAAGAACTAGTTAATAGTTGAGCTGGAAGATAGAATTTAGAATGAGGAAGCTTATTTAGTATTGAATCAACGAATTTTGGATATCAACAAAAATTTAGATAACGTTATATCATAAAATTAGAGTCTTATTAAAGAGAATGATGCTTTGAAATATGAATTAGGACAATTGAGATTTTTAGAAGAGCAATATTATGCATTAGTAAAAGAAAATAAAATCCTACAGTAATCAATTATCAATAACGACTGTTAATACGATAAAATATTACAATAATTCGAATTGGAATGTAAGAATTATCGATAGCAAATCCTGAAACTTCAAGAAACTTGCGAAACTTAGCAAGCCTAATTATAAGGGTAGGAGGAGCAGAGAGGACTTTAATACTAATTGTCATAATTCGATAAATTGAAAGTATGCATTCAAGATATTTATTTAGAAATTCATTAGAGAAGAGGCTTAAGGTGTAGGATAGGTGATTACATAAATTAATCAATAATTATAAAAATAATTGTCAGATATTATGCCTAATTCAATAAAATAGTTATAAAAGGATCTTGCCAAGAAGAAATGTGTGATTGAGGAAAAGATATTGAGTTTTGAGTAACTATAGGATGAGGATTGTGAATTGGGAAAGGTTCTGAACAAATAAGAAAATGATGAACTGAAGTTGATTTTATTGATGCAATCTCTGACAATAGAGAAGATGATTGATTTGTGAATAAATAAGTGTATGCAAAATAATTAAATGATTGTTTTTTGATAAATAAGATTTAATATTTAAAATATATAATGAAACAGAACTCTGAAATTCATTTGTGCAAATTACATTAGTTTGTCTAAGATAAATGGAATTGGGTGAATACAGGATATATTCATTTTAATTCAAAAGTTCTTAATTTGATTTAATAAATTAGAATGAAATGTTACTATTAGAGAAGGACACGAGTATGGAAGTATTCGCTGTTTCAGTGAAATAAGAATACGATTTCTTTTTTGATGGAGGTAAGAGATTTACCAAATTGTAGAAGAAGGGATTTAATTTCAATTTAATGAGTACTACGGACTTAGTTTCCAGAGTAAAGAGGGAGCATAAGTGGTCTGGAGTAAAATCCAAAACATTTTAAATGAAGAAGATGATGATGAATCTATAGTTTTGACTCCTGTGAATGAGAGCACTCTGCCCCTCATTCTGGAAACAATGAGTAAACTAATCTAGGGTGGTACATAAACTAAATAAATGCTGTCGAGTTATTTACTTAATAAGAAGGTAAGAAATTCAATTGACAATAGGATTACTTCGAAATGCTGAATAACTTATTCAATCAATTAGAAAAAGACCACAACCAAGAATTATTAGAAATAATGTGTTCAATTGTTAAGAATGTAAATAATGATTATATTGTAGATTGTGACTGTTTCTGAACATGAACTATTTCAAACCATACTGAGCGATTAAATTTACATGTTTATCTTTGGTGCATTAGAATGTATTAATTCTTATTGATTTGTTAGATGATAAAGAAATGGCAAAGTCTTAGTTCGTTCCTCATCGATAATTTCTGGAGAAGAATGTGCAATTCTTACAAGTAGTCCAAATCAAGAGTAAAGAGCGATTGAAAACCATTCACTTCATATATCGACTGTAGTACTTGCGCGATTGTGGTTTGGCCTACTACATCGACGAGTACCAGTAGATGTTTATTAAGATAGTTTTAACGTAATAAAAATCATGATAGATTATTAAGAGTTGTTATGTGGACCTCCTTAAATACATCGAGAATTCTAAGGAATTTCTAGTTGATCTAATTGACCAATTGCGAAATTTTAACTTCTTAGCCCTGAGATTCCTAAATGAAATATGTTCAGTATTTAAGGAATACTAAGATGTAAGTCTATATCCACTATCTTAAGTTGAATAAGGCATTCATTTACTAAAGATTAAGTGAGCATGGATTATATGAGATTATCGAAGATTACATAGTTGATTCCCTCTAAAGTTTCCAAAAGCAAAAAGCTAAATTCAAGAAATTGAAGATCAAAATTTAAGTATTCACTAATTATTAAAATAGGATGATATTTTCGAAAAAACATCTACTCTGATATTAGAATTGGTTATTTCATGTTTACAACACTACCCTTACAACTTTAGACAGTACATTGTAAGTGAACATCAATAAGTACTCAAGTATCCCCTATTTAATGTGATTGTGGATCATGCATTTGACAATGATTCATATCTGGAAATATTGAAGTTACTCATTGATAACACTTAAGATGAACAAAATGAAATCTTGGATTGCTTTTTGTCTTTATTTTACCCTAAAATATCCCAATCGATATCCCATTAATCTAGGATTGAATAGAAAACATTATTTGTTGAATTATCCTTAGGATTATCCAGAAACTTAAAAGCTTCTGTTAAGGATGTATTGATTTAAAACTAAATTGCTTTGAAAATGGGATTTATATTGCAAGAGAAGAATAAGATCTTACAAATGAAGTGCTTGCAGTTTTTTAAAATTCTGATTTTATAAAGAGATGAAGAGATAAATAAGGAAGTCATAATGGCATTTCCAAATTTGATATCTCCACTTCTTCTATATAAAGGTCTAAGAGAAAATTTGATATTTTCATAATTTTTGGAGATAGTAAAGATCATTTATGAAGGGGGCAATCAAAACATAATTAAATCTTTAGTAATAAATCTTTACTAATCATTATTAGGAATAGGAACTTAAATTCTGGGAATAGCATTCTAATTACTTGAAAATCCATGACATTTTCAAATCCATTAAGTCCAATTGCATGAAACAACAATTCAGTACATTATCCGTTGATTCCAAACCACAACAATAATAAGCTAATTATAATGTTATTGATGATGAGATCGATTTATTCAAATCTGTATAAGGTCACAGTACACCTCTGCATAAATAGACGTCAAAAAAATTAGTTGAATATGATGATGATGTTGAGGTGATTTCTAAGAAGACCAAATTAGATTGAGATAATATTATATACAAAAATATATAATTTTAGAATAATTATATTACTGGCAGTTTCCTATGTTATGATCTTCATTATTGGGTGTACGAGATTGTTGGCGGATTAAATCATGAATTTTATATTATATAGTGAATTAAAGAAAATAACAATTTAATTCATTTTTGCCAAAATATTAAAAAATAATGAAAATGGATTAAGTAGTTAAAAAGAAGCAAGAATAATTGCTACAATGTCTTAAAAAGATATCGAGTAAACCTCAGACAGATGATGAAGATTAGAAATAGCAGCTACGCAAATTCCAATAGGAAGTGGAATAAAAGTATAGGATGGCTCGTCATAACAACGAGTATCGATTTCCATATGAATATTATGATCAAAGCAGTGATAGTTCATTAGAAGAACTATAAAAAGTAGGCACATATGATCTACGTTAATAATATTAAAAAAAATAAACTAACAGCAAACATTTACAATTATCTAAAGAATCTATCAAAGCTAAATCCTTGATTAAGATAATGTCTGATAAATCTATGAGAGCAAACAGATAGTCCACTCGATACAAAACAGAATAGTATGATGAAAATCAGGTGAGTTACACAGATGCACTAAAAAAGAATAAATCAATAGAAAAGCAGACAAATGAATAAATAATTTCATTCATTCGTAAATCTGTGGCCAAACGATCACAATATTCATAACATAATAATAATAATACATCAAGATAATATATGAATTTATCTTCAAATAATCAAAGCCATATCATGTCATAAAGTTTTAATGGATAAAAAAGCAGAACATAAAACTATTACCTCAACAAATTCACAAAAATGAAATAAGACATGTTTAAGTAATAAAACCAAACAAGCACTTCTTAAATGAACTAAGATTCTAAAATGTATCTTATCTTAAAATAATAGATCATTAAAATATTTCTTCAGCAACAAGAGCCCAGAATAATCTAGTACCATCAACCTAAAGAATAAGCTTGCAGAAATGTGTAAAAGATAACCACTAAAAGTAATCAAATGAAATTTTATAATACTACTTTCTCTTTTATTAATAGATATATTAATTTCATTCTTACTTACTCTTTTAAACTTATAATTTATCTTGTAACTATTTATTCTACTTAATTAATTGCTCATTCTATCATATGTCAAAATATTCTTACTTTTTTCCCAAGTTTAAGTATTTTTTCTTAAGCTAACTTAAAGATTTCATAATTCCCTGGTTTTGCCTGTAAGAATAGTTCCTTCACATAAGTTTGCTTATGCATTTTTGACATTATTTCATTTAAACTATTAACTAACTCTTAGTATTATTGATCAATAGACAATCCAGTAACATAATTTTATATTTCTTGAACAAAGGACTAGAATTCATTTTTTTCTTTTTCTAATTGTCGTCTATCAATTAATAAAATAGTATATACATATCCTATTATAGATTAGTGAGATCTTGAGTCAACTTCTTCATATCCTCTTAATTTTTGTCAAGCAATTATTGTGAAGACATGAATTCTTGCTATTTATTATCGATATCCTTCTTCAACTGTTCGATTTATTGGTTCAATTGATTGATTTCACATTGTAATCCAGCTTGCACTAGATTTAATTATTAGATTTATTTCCCTAGATCTACATTTTTAGCTTTTTCTTATTAATAATACAAAGTCAATTTCTAAAATTTTTATTTAGCTATTTTTTGTTCTTCTTCAGACTTATTTTCTACTATTTCTAATTGAGTTTTTAAAGTGAACACCTAGGCATGTAATTTTTCATTTTCCTAGACTTAGAGATCTAATGATTATTCAGTTTAATTAAGTTTAATTGTCAATTGATCTAATTGGGAATTATTAAATACTTTGCCTAAAAAACTAGGTTTCTTAAATTTAATAATTTTGATACTTTAGTATCAGTTATGCTTTTCAATTTCTTTTCATATTCATCAACCTTGATGCCTAGAATTTCAACTTGCTCTTTTTCATTCGATAACTTTTTCTCTGTATATTCTAATTTTTCTTCCAGTGTTTACACTAATTTGTGTTCCTATTCAAGTTTTACTTCCAAGTCCTTATTTTTTTATTATAAATCTGTCAGAGCAGTCTTTAATTTGGTTATGTATTACTGCATAGCATTTACTTAATCCATTTATATTTTATTAATTACATTAAAAACGCAAATTATAATATTTAACGTATGTCTTAATCACATTTAAAATGCACTTGCTAATCCTTTAGACAAACTCAAACCTATAGAGAAGATCCTGGGTTGATCGAGAAATTGAAGGAGAGATAAATGGAATTAGAAGAGAAATTATTGGATTTCGAACATAAGAAGGGTAATTTGGAAAGAGAAAATTTGATGTTTGAAGAGAATATCAAATTAGAATTGCAAGGGTTAAAAGGTAGAATATCGTGTACTAATAATTAGAAAACTAAGTGATTCAACAATAATTAACTGAAGAACTGAGAGATAATAAAATATTAACTTATAAGAAACAAAATGAATTGCATTTATTGGTGCAGAATGTCCATGAAAATGAAGCAGAAAAGAAAGTTTATAAATATGGTTATGTTAGCAATTAATGAATGAAATGGAATTCCTGAAATAGTCATTGCTTCACACTAATGAAAATCAACAACAATTAGCCAAGAAGGAGGAACATATAAAATTATTATTAAACCGCATTTCAGAACTCGAACAGGGTATAACTTAACTAAAAAGGGAAGTATAATATTAATGATTATATTTAATGTAATTTTATTAAAAATTATATGATGAAAACCCTTACTTTAACAGATTCTTCTAGAACCACTTTTTATATTAGGGATTCAACATTTAGTTAACCGATTTACCTCATTTCAAAACCTAGTTTAATTTGAGAAGTAAGGAGAGTCTAAATTTGACTTGGAGGCACAAATAAGACAATAAGAAATTCGTGTTCATAGCTAATAATTAGAGTACAAATACAATTATAAAATCGTAGTCGAAGGATTAATAAGTATTTGCAATAGTCATATTTTAGTAAATCCAATACTAGTTTCATTTGATCAATCGATCTAACAGGTATAGCCTTTTATTCGCTTTGAAATACAATGATGAAAAGAATCTATTAACCAAACACACATTCACTCCCTAAATACAAATCAGTTAGAATTTAGAAACAAACTCAAATGTGGATTTCGGATTCAAATATCACTATATGAACAAAAAAGAAAATGTTGATTTTCGATTTAACATAATTTCTTCTCTTTCAAATAGGTCAAAACCTGAATACTGTTTGGTAGGCAATTTTATGCATCCACACAAATTATAGATTGGATTGTAAAACAACCAAATTTGGTTAGGCCTCATCTGTAAATATAAAGCAATGAACATGTATAGTCTTGCACTGTATAATGTCAACAATAAGAAATATGATGTGAGTGCTTATTTTCAGATAAACGAAATCGAAAATAGGTTGAATAACAAAATGAAATTTTTGATGGGGGTTTCAACAGAAAGAGAGATATTAGGAACTATTGATTTTATGACAAAAGTGGGTAAATTGGGATATTGTTTAAAATGGTAACACGTACGCGGTGTGAGTATGGGATATAAGGTTGAAATATGAATTAAATTAAAAAATATATATAAAAATTAATTAAAAATGGATTAATTGCTAGGGAAAATATTTTAATTGATAGCAATAGCAGCATTTCTTTACGGCACATTAACAACATTTGGACAGCCCTTATTAGGTGAACAATACTAGATGTTTTTCTTCCCAAGATGGTTTTTCAACTGGGCTCCTGGTCTAGTAATAGGAAGTGTTTTAGGGTTAATATTTGTGTATTTGAATAAGTAGAGTAACATAAAAAAGAAATGAATTTAATAAATATATTTAATATCATATTCAACCAAGATCTTTTCCTTCAAAAGCCATACCAATCAAATAGCTTGAGCTAGCTGTACATGCTCCTACAAACAGGGTTTCTGCAGCACATCTCCACCACGTTGCATATGAGAAGAACGATTTACTGACTCCCAATATTATCAAGAATAGAGCAGTCATTGCAATAGATATGTAAAACAATGTGTCAGTTGTGCCATCTGTCAATCCTGCAATAGCTGCTACAATAAATGGAATAACTATGAAAATAATTAGTTTGAGAATATACTTGGAACTAATCCGAATAAAATAAAGGCAATGAAAGTTACCAATGCATTCATCAATGGGTTTTCTTCTGAACCACCCAATTCTAATTCTTCCAACATCATGATATCTATAAATGCATCCTTATGTCTGCTTATAATATTCATAATCTTCTCTGCATCCTCCTGGTCCATTCCTTTTTTCTATTGTTTAAATATTCAAAATACTTTATACAAGTCTATCATCTCCTTTTTCTCTCCTTCCAAATTGTTTTCCACTTCCCACTTTTCCCTCTCTCTCTCCTACTTAAAAAACTACTATTCTGATTTCGTTGACAAATAATCACCCAAAGCCATAGATAATCCATCTCCTATCATATTGGCTACACCCAAAGCCAACACTGCTTGAACTCCAAAATTTCCCTATTTTTTATAATAAGATTTACGCCAATAACTGCAGTAACAACGGAGAATGTCGTCATCATGCCATCCATTCCACCAAAAACCGAACTTCGTAAATAATTACCACCTGTTGAATGCTTCTCTTAATGGGAATCTAAGGAATGTTCTTAAACCTCAAAGTACCTTATTTTTATAATGGGTCATTTTCATTTCCTCTATTGTCCGTATATATTTATTCTGACGGATTGTAGTTATGAGCTTACTTAGTCATCTCGACATTCTTGCCCATATAAGCTTATCTAGCCAATTCCAAGTCCCTGTTCATTAAATATAATTATTAATAAATTTACAGTAAAACAAATCATCTCTAATCATGACTGTATCTAATCATTCCTAAAAACTCCTATTATTCTAACCTTTAGTGCTTGTCTGCTAATTTAGATTCTATCAAACTTATCCTTTGAAGTTGTGTATTTTTAGGAAATTAGAACAATTGCAATAAATTACATTACGCATTCTTTTAATTTTTCTTTTTGAAATTCCAATAGTTTAATCTGTAAGCGGCCTCCTATAATTCTTTGATAGTCGGACTAATGTAAGCATGGCTTCTATATCTAAACCTGGTCTTCAACAAATCCTCGTATTTCTCCTTCAAAGTTTTATTCTCTCTTATTTAAAAAAACCATATTATCTCCTCTATTGGTCTCATTATCAAGAATGATATTATCAAATATGCTACTAATAGTAAAACAAAGAAAGTCATCGACAAAAGTATCAATGTGAAGCGTAAGTATTCATTTATTTTTTACTACTAATTAATTTAGTACTCCATAAGATAGCTGATATACTAATTGTAATCAATAATGCTAATCTAAATAAATGTATTTAATACAATAAAATAAACAATTGTTGTTTTTTCAAATAAAATTTAATGATACTTTGAGTCCCTTTTAAGCTATTTTAAAATCGATATTGTTCCGAATCACTTTCCTTCAATTATTACCATTAAGTGATATCAAACCCAGTGATACTTTGATTATAAAAGTAAACCGGAAAGGCAATTTTATTGTCATCAAACTTTATAATCATACCATCTTTGCTCACTATCAGTATACTCACGCTTTTATATTTATGTGTCATTTTTTCTGTGATTTATATTATATATTCTGGGAAGATATCCGCGCACCATGCTCCCTAAAACTACAATTGTCGATCTATCAACGGCATTGTCAAAGTTATTCCAATTTCTTTTGCTTAATTAACTGATACATAAATATCATTAGTTTACATAAATATGGATCTGATATTGAATACTCGTACTCAAAATTTTTAGTAACTTTCTCAGATGCATTCTGAGCCTCTTTAAACCATGGCCTTGATTCTGGAATGTATTCTTCAAATGATTCACCATATGAATAACATGGATACGAATATAGTATCTTGGGATTTTTTATTATGTATCCATAAATCAATGGCCTATTTTCATCAAATTGGGAATGAATGATTTATCCTAGAGGTGCCAAAAAGTCTGCGAATGAGACCTCTTAAATAACTTCAGTATTTTATGCCAGAAATTCCTGCTTAAATGCATAACATAATATTGAATCAGAATATTTCTAATTTTTTTTATCTGCCAAAACTGATGGAAAAGGATTTGAACCACCAAAGTTATTTACGTTTATTTCATATGTAGTTACAATTCCTATATAATGTAGGTACAATTTATTTAGAATAATTAATGGAGTAGAGTCTATACTTATGATTAGGAAAATTACTTATTTCAAAATAAGAATTAAAATGCTTTAAATAATAGTTTGTAAGGCTGGATTTATTTGAATTTACTCTCTCATAGATAATGTCAGATTAAGCCAAAAAATCTTGAAGTATATACTAACCTCCAAAATACCCTGTTAGATATGTTAAGACTGAAACTATTATGATAACTATGGTGGAGTATGTAAGTAATTAAGTTTTCATGGGTTGGTTACTTAAGAATGTCATCATAATATTAATTAATTTGTATATTTAGCATTTATTATAAAAATTTTTGATGTATACTTCTAATTGCCGATGGTTACTTTCAAGTATGCATTTAATATCTGATCTTGTTGTTCGAGGTCTTAAATGTCAGATCCTACAATTCTGGCTAGTCTATAGAATTGATTTCATTCATATTATCACAATTGTTTATTTCAACTTTTTTAAGACTTGTTTAACCCCATCAGATTAAATAAAAATCTTTAGTGAAAGTATTTTGGGATTAGTATCTATTATAATCATTTGAAATGTAATTTTTATTTTATAAAAATAAAATCACAATTCTTTTGATATTGAAGACAAAAAAAGTTAAATTATTTGAAAGTGCATTAGATAAATGTTAAATTTGGATGATTATTATTATGTATAAATCATTCAGATAACTTTTGGTTGATGTATTCAATTAATCTATCTACGATGTCAATTTCAGTTTATCTAAATAGGATAAGTGTGAATACCTGCTGACTTTTTGATTACTATATTCTTGATCTTCCAATTCGTTAATTCTAGTTGCATCTTGAATATTTAATTGAGTAACTTCAACGATGGCATTAGAAATATTAATTAGTCCATCTAATTCATTTAATCTTGATTAGATCTCCTTGAGTCTATTATTTGCAGTAGCCAATGAAACTTGGAGAGTTTATTTTTCATTTCTCAAATCATCACCTAATCTAGTGAGATTTTCAACTTAAGTCTTGTGGTTAGCCTCTAATTAATCTTAACCTTCTTGTAATGCAGTGATTAATCTAGCAACTAAGCTCAAAACATTATTTAGAGTTTCTGGATTGACTTTGGTGGTCATTTCAGCTAATCCTTCAATGATTGGTTGGAACAATGTTAATGAGCTTTTCTTTGTGTGTGCTTCTAAGATTTCTTTGATCTTTTGGAAATTCTCTTTGGTTTAGATGAGATTGCTCTTTGTGTCTTATCTAAAAAGATATTATGAATGGTATACGTCAATTATATTAATGATGCTCCTTCTCCTCTCAAATTAAGAAGTAATCTTTAAGCTTCCTTGCATGCAAGAATAGCATCACTATAATCTTAAAATTTAGCAGCAAAATCTGTGTTTTCAGCATCCAATCTGCCTTGGGCATCACCACTTCCTCTAGAATTACGATCTAAGGCTGCCTAATCTAAATAATAGTCAAAATGTAATATACCTTCTTTGACTCTTGTTTGTAATGTACTTAATTCATTGGTCAAACTTGATTGTTCTTATCTTTAATTGTCAAGATCTTATTAAGCTTATTCAAGAGTGGCTTAGAGTTTAGCCAAATCAACTTGACTTCTTCTAGTAAAAGTGGCACTTTCTTAGTCTTACAATTAGGTTAAGGCTATCAATTCATCCTTAATTTATTATAAGAGCTATTTTAATTCATTTAATGATCCTCCTGTTTTCATGTTAACACTTACTAAATTTATCATGGATGATCCAAAAGGATGATCACCATATCCTGATAGTCTTTCCTTGAGTTCAGAAACTGTAGTTGCCTAGAGACAGGCAATCAAAACAACAACCAACAAAGCTGATTTCATTTATTATATTAATCAAAAGAAAGAAAAAAGAGAAAAACGAATATTATCTTAAACATAATTATTACTATACAAATCACTTTTTGAATCCTCTTCTTTCTTTCATTCTTTTGATTGCTTCTTCCTTTGTTAATTCTTCATCGTCATCAGATTCATCATCATCCACATCATCTCCCTCATAATCTTCATCTTCCACATGTACATCCAAATAGTATTCCAAAGAATATGGCAATATTTCATCATAAATCAATCTACAAATGTCATAACACATATCCATCTTTTACTATTATTCTTCCTTCTTTTCCTCTTCCAATTTCTCCCAATCCTTTACATCCAAATTCTTAAATAATTAAAATAATGTCTTTTATTCTACTTCCTTAACCTTCTTCTTCTACTTGTTCTTCTTCTTAACAATCTTCACTGAAATGTTCTTCCCTTCTTTCCAATTTATTTTTGTGCTCTCAACCTTAAGTGGCTCTCCCTATTTATCATCCAATAAAAACTCCACTTTCAATTCTTCCTCTGGGAAATAATCATTTGCTTTGAATTAGAACACCAATCCTAACTTGTGTTACTCCTTGTTTTCAAATCCTTTGATATTTGTAATTGCCTTTAACAAAGGTTCGTCCTTATCTCCAATCACTTCAGTTTTTAATGTCTTTGAATTTAACAACACTTTAGACCAATAATTTTCGATTGGTTCCTTGTTATCCAAAATGGGTTACTCTTGAGCATTTAAGTATTCCTTCAAGTCTTCTACCTCCTCTTCCTTTACAACTCTTTACCCTGAGATTATTTAATTTGAGGCTTCAATTAAAGGTTCAACTCTCTTCTTATAATCAGCCTCCATCTAGTCTAATTCTTAATCCTATTAATGATCCAAGTTCTTTCTGTCATACAAGCTCTATGCCAAAGCAATTAATTAGATCTTTGTTTATAGATCATAACCTTTGAGTTTCTCTTTGATTTGATCGTAATTAAATTCCATTTAAAATTTATATTATTATAGAAAAAATCAAATATTTAAGTTTTTCTTGTTATTTTCTATAAGCAACTCCCAGAGTTCTAATCTAGAGAATATTTTGTTGCATATTTTCTGAAACTATGATTGATCCAATAATATATATCAACAAATTTTTCTTGAATTAAAACATCACCTAATTCAAATTTCATTGGTTTATCAAAGTAGAATAAGATGCTCCTCTGATTTTTCTCTATACATACTGCTCATAACTGAGCTTTATTAAATAACTGGTCCATTTTGTTATTAAAAATTCAGTAATTTATCTTTTGTTGATACTAATCTTTATGACTCTTTAAACTTCAAAAAGATGTGTCTCCAAAAGTGAAAAAAGCAATAAATGAGTAATCTTCTAGTACTTGTTAATTTAGTATAATTATACGAAAATATTGATGAATTTAATTCACAATACAATACAATAAAAATATTTTAGAATATTATTGATTTGAATCAATAGCATTACATAATTAAATATCAATGTTTAACGTAAGTATCCCAAAAGATTCGGCCTTGCTCGTATCTATAAATGGTGTTAATTTAAGTACCCAACTAATTGCGCTGAACATGCTACCATATAATAGATTGCACAACTATTGAATCCTTGCCAAAAACCTTTGAATCCTCCTACTTTATATATTTCTTTAATGCATTTCGAAATGCCACCATCAATACCTTAAAACTTTCGGTTTTATTTAGATTCAAGAATTTCATACTAGATTTTTGTTTTCACCATATCTTAGGGATAAGAAAAACATATGCAGACTAAACCTGCAGCTATTCCAGCTAGAAATTAATCAAATATGTTTAAATATCCTTTCTGACTTTGTAAATATTATTTAGTAGATTCAAATGCAATAAAGAAGGTTGAGTACTGAGGAATGTCTCTGAAAATTGTGGAATTCACTCCCTTGAAAACTGCAGCAATTCCCTCCTTTTGAACAAACTCAAGCATGCATCTCAAGACGGAATTACGCTTTCTCTCTGAAATTTGCATCTGGAAAACGATCTTAAATAGTTCTGATGGACTTGTAACAAAACTCTATATAAATCCAGCATACACTCCACCAACACCCCCTGCTTAATGAAGTTAAACATACAATGCATCAGTTAATAGGAATCTCTATCCACTTAAAAATATCTCATGTATTATTCATAGCATGCAAACAATGTTGCTGAAACTGGAAAACTAAATAACAGTGGTGATACCACTCCTTTATAGAAAGCAAAGGGCTAGTGTTTATAACAAAATGATTAGTACTCCTTCGTATTTAAATATTTTATAGGCTGTTTTTAGAATAGAGGTATTTTCAGAGACCATCTACATTCTCACTTTAATTGTACTACTATCAAGTATTAATTATTACTCGAAGGGATGTGCACTCAAAACAAATGTTACGCCTCCTAACGATCCTGCGAATGTATCCTGAAGAAATTCATTCCATTAATCCATTTATAATATAAAAAAACTCTATATAATATTCTTATTTATGGTTTTAATTAAAAGGTTATTAAAAGAAGTAACATTGTCAATTAACATCGACCAGAATCTTTATTATATATATACTTTTTGAAAAAAGTTAAAACAATATTATTTCTCAAATTGTAATTATATGTTAGTATAATTTATGCAGATAATGTAATAGATTGATTAAATGATCATAAATCCAATTTTGAATTAGACTCATTAAATTTGTTTAAATTTAATTTTTAATGATTGAATGATTTTCTTTTATTATGAATTCAAGAAAATTTAAAAGCATTTTGAAACATTTCTTAAACATATGAGTGCATTTGATTGAATAGCCAAAACAATAATATAGGATTAGATTGCTTAGAATAAGTTTTACTTATTATTATTAAAATCTGTATCAAATATTTATAATTTGATTATGTATTATAATTAATAACTCAAATATCATTTAAAGTCTGGTTATTAATCTGGTTATGCTTTATAAAATGATGGTAAGTCTTTCAAGTTATTATATACCTCTTGAATTGTTGGGAATAAGGTGATGTCTAACTTGAATCTTGCAATAGCTCCCATAACTTATGGAACTAAGAAACAATCTGCCAAAGTGATTTCATCTCCAAAAGAGTACTTACCATGATTCTATAATAATAATTTCTCAAGAGCTATAGTAATATTAATGTGGATACATACTTTAAAATTCACTCTTTAACACATTTTGAACGAATTCAACTCTGTCAAATTTTTCTACATACTTTTCTATCCATTCAAACAAAATTAGATTCTGATATGGATGCATTCCTGAGTTAATGAGTTCACAAAAGCCTCTAAGTGTATTTGATGAATTATATTACCTAACCTTGGCCTTCAATACAGGATCTTATGGTAACAGCCTCTTTTCAGGGTACACATCATCTAAATACTCTGCAATTGCCATGCTCTCGATTAAAATTGTACCATCTGGAAGATGTAAAGCAGGAACAGCCTAAGAATATAGAGAATAAGCACACCTAATTTGGCAATTCTTGGCTATGATCTTCAGATTTATGTTCACTTGAGAGGAGATTAATGAATTTTGGCTCATAATCAATCTCCTTCAGGTTTAAAACAATTCTGATTCTGTGTGAGGTGGATGATCTAAAGTATGTGAATAATCTTAATTTTTATTACATATTATAAATAATTGTATATAATGATCATTGAATTAGATATGATATTATTTGACTATTGCGTTAACCAATGCCAAAAGTTGTACATAAATTTAAACATGCTTTTATAACAACTTATTTAGTAAATTAAATATGTATTTAATCATATTCTATATCATCACTGCACATGCTGAAATTTTATAAATTATTCCTAATTTGATTAACTATTAGTATCCGACTATGGAGTAAGAATGTGAAAATGTTGAACTTTAACAAAATACATATTTCTACCCAGATATTAATAAAGAAATAAATGGAATTTTTAAACAGGCTAATAGTTTTTAAGGATTAGTCAATGATCAATGGAATTTAACATTCATTAATAAGATTTTTTAAATTTAGTTAGTACCTGATTCCTATAGTATTTTATCATCAGAATATTTGAATATTAAGAATAAGAAATATATATGTACTTTACATTAAAATTAAGAAAATTATAATTACTAAGTTAGTTGTAAATAAGCAAAACCACAGAAATATATTGATAATCAACCTCAATTTAGTGAGGTATTTGAGTATTCATTTTCAATACAACACGAGGAAGGACTTCATTGTAGCAACTTTAAATTTTAAGAAGATTAAATATACATTTTTTGCTTCATAAATGATCAAATGATAATAAATACTTTTGATTTAACGGGCTATAAATAATCATATAATTTTACTATCTCAACTAAATAATGTAGTAGCAAATTTAATATTCTACAAGAGCCAATCATCATAGTAACCTTTTATTTGTGTGATGAATGGGAAATTTTAATTTTTGATAAACATTTAAACTATTTAAAAAGGATCACCAATAAAGAAGTAAATAAAGAGGGAGAAATAGATTCTTATGGGCAGTTATAAAATTTCCATACTTGTTATAATACGTTGTATTTGATTTTTAGTCAAGTATACTTCTTAATAGAGTGTTCAACTTTTTTAGTCCCTAGATTTTCATTTAAATCTTTAGCTCAATAAAACGCAATTACATAATTATAGTTACTTATGATTCTAAGTTGTTCCCAATATGATTTTTTTGTTCCTCGACAAAATATTATTGAATTAATCCCTAAAGTAAGAATCTAAGATATAAAAAAAGTGGCAGCCTTCGACTCCTAAATTTTTTTTATTTAATATTCAGACCATCTCCTAGCTATTGCATCAAGAGAAATAAATTAAGTTATTAATATTAAGGTCAAATAAATATTTGCAGTCTACAGAGACGATAATATCTTTTGGATTGTAGATGATACAAATTAAGTCCATGGATTTGAAATAAATCTATTTTAGAAGTATATGCTATACTAATAACAGGGATAATATTTAGGAATTTATAAGGTTGATAATTATAATGTTTAATTAATAAAATGCTTTATTATCTTTGAACATCATGATGAAAATGATTAATTAAAAGTAAAAATGTAGAATCTAAAGAAATAAAATCATTTGATTTAAATACAAAATAATTATAATGATGTTTAGATTGACAGGTTCAAATTCAATTTAATTAGAAATATAAATTTTTAACTATACTTTCCAAACTCATTTTCAGTATAGAAGGAATCTACTGAAAACTATATATCAAGCTAACTAAAAAAGTTAAAAGTTACTGGTTAATTCTTTTTATTTAAAATTAAATCACAAATTTATTTACTGTTTAATAAAAAAGACAATCTTGTAGTCACATATAATCTTAACTCTTCAGGCTTTAGTAGTTATAGTATTAAAATGGATTTAAATTTAATAAAAACTTATTATGAAGTAATGGACGCCAAGTTTGCTTTAGTGCACGAAACCTATGGGAAGATATACCTGTTTAAATCATCATAATGGAGAGAAAATACGTTAAGTTGTGAAATTCATGAATTCAAAGAGTAGATAAGAATTTCATTTTAAAATCGAAATTTAATTTCCTTATAATTAGCAAATTCCTCAGAAACACTTTTTGAAGATTATAATCTAAATTAATTCGTAAGTTAACCAATTCATCGTTTTAATATTGATGAAACAAACATTTTCAAGGAACATCTATAAGGTGCTACAAAAGTTCTGAATCTTTAAAATTTTTATATTTTCTAAAAGGAATCGCATTTATTAATAGAATTAGGAACTACTGATACTTTAGGTATTATAATTTAGTTAAGTAATAGTAATCCAATAAAAATTGTTGTTATTAGGGGGACAGTTGAAAAGAAAAATTCCTCCAAAACTAATTTTGCTAGTAATGAATAAAGAAATGACCGCCATCCATAAGTATTTGATTGCTAGCCAAAAATTTTAAAAACTTTCAACATTTAACTTTTTAGATTATATACCAATTTAACCATTATACTATTAGATTTTGGGAAACATTTTTATAATAGTAACCCAAAAATAGGGTAAGGATTTATTTCATATTTTATTATTTAATCTTGATTAGCAGAGCAATCTTGAATACTATGATATAATATCAACACCTTATTAATATTTTTATGCTTTTTCTGGCATCCTTTATTATTACGATCATAATCAAGAAATAGCATATTATAACTTTTAGTATATCACCTTATTTTTTGATCTAAAATAAATCAATTCAATCACATACTAAGAATAATTATAATTAGATATATATGACAAATCTGAAAAAGATAATAAAGTTTATAGTGATTAATTAAACATATAAGTACTCAATTTTCAATTCAATTTATAACTTATCAATTAAAGCAATCCCCAAATTATCATGGAAAATAATTAAGCTTTCCTAAATCCAAATAAATTTGTATAAGGATCATTTTTTAATTTCAAATTGAAAAATACAACCTATTTTACCTTATAAAATCCTTTTAAACTTGCTGGTAAAAAATAATGTCTTTATTTCTTAAATAATTTATGTCTAAATGAAGGAAATCCATTTTTTATAGTTTAAGATTTAACAAAAGATTATGAGAGCAATTTATCGTTACCATTTAGCATCTTGAAGCATGATATGAGAACAGTTAATGCTGTTGGTGAGGGAATATTAATAATAAATTAAACTGATAAAAACCACTTAGAAATAATTTATATAAATAACGGCAGTGAATAGGTTATTTTAATAGAAGGAGTATTCTTAGCATCCACATTATAAAACTAAATATTACAGGTCTAATTTCTTAATTTTTCCAATTTTTATTTTATCAATGATTAAATTACTTTTATATCCTCTATTTAAAATATTGATGATGATTAAACAGTTTTTTTATATCGTTCAATCGATAGTGATAAATTTTGTTAAATTCTATTTGGAAAATATTAAGTAAAAATAGGTTGTTATTAAATAAATTCAGAAGGTTTAATTCATAATTACTAAAATTATACAATACCTACTATAGACATCTACAATAAAATTGAATTAAGTCATTATCTCCCAAAGTTTAATTAATCTATTTAATTTAGCATTTTAAATTTATCTTAGACTTTAGAAGAAGAACTAGATATAAAAATAGTTATTAATTACAAAACGGCTTTATTATTTTATTTGTAGATAATTCTAAAACAAAAAGAAACTAATATTAAATTAAATAATATTATTAGACCTTCTAATTTCAATATTCTTTGTTAATACTTTCTTATACAAAATAAATTTTTGCACAATTGTATCCACTTTTAATTAATTTTATATGACCTCTAAAGTGGATTTTAACAATTAAATCCAATCGGCACTTTAATTTTAGAGAATGAAACATTTTCTTAGTTAAATAATACTCACATAGCTGTATACAATAAAATGGATAAATTTGTAACAATATATAGAATTGATCAATGGACATTAGTTAAAAATGATAACATTAATATAGAAGGAGAAGAAAGTGTTACATTTCTAGTATCGAGCGAGGTAGCTGACTTAGAATTTAGAGTAAATGTTGTGAATAAAAAAGAAAGAGAGGATGAATATCATTATAGACTTATTCCAATTGGAATTCTTGTTATCAACAATTTTTCTATTCTACTCTTCATAACTATATGTAAAAAACAAAAGAAAAGATGAATTATTCATTAATTAAATAAATACCTTAAAATATAAATTATACTTAAAATTATATTATTTAATTTATATAAATAATTCATTTACATCTGAATAATGAATGCCAAAGAGGTAATCCCAAGAAATGGTTAAGTGTTTTCAGAAAAGCCACAATTTTCAGAAGTGTTATGCAAACCAAAAATAATGCCAATAAAGTCATTCACACTTCTTAAATTAGAATAGCTGGAATAATAAGTAAATGAACAAAATAAATGAGTATGATTTTTTTCAGATATTAAGAAATCTAAATAATTAAGATTATTTAAAGAACTATTATGGTTTTATATAATTATAGAATATGCAATTCTAAGTTATTTATTATATTAAATTTGATGTTACCCAAAGGGAACCTTGAAAATAAAATTCAGTAGCTTAGTTAAGAAAATGTTGAATTGAAATAGACATTAGCTGATCTGAAGTATTGTAATAAAGAATATACTTTAGATTTGAATATGAGAAATAGGTTCTATTGTGCAAGGTAGCATAAGATTAGAAAAACGAGTATGATAGACTCTTCCAATAAAATCAGTTATTGAATCAAGAGCAAAAACAATTGTAGGATGAGATATAGCATTTGAAGAATTAGATAAAGAAGCTCGAGTATGTAATTACACAACTTAATAGAGTTAATGCATAACAGTTATAGAATCATTATCAATTGATGGAGGCGAATTCAATAAACATTTAATAGCGTAACCAAGAGTTGGAGAGAGAATTAGAAACTTTTAAATAAAAAGCATTATTTATAATACAAGTAAATCGTTTATCAATTAAAAGGCGAAAACTATAATTGATAATAATAAACAATACTGCTAGTTAACTTTGGAATGGGAAAAGGACATATAAAATCTGCAATTATCGTATAGATAAGAGAATGATAGTTTGATATTTGATGGTTATGGGGAAAGTGGGAATAAAAAAGTAATTTATCAATAGATCCATAATTTTGCGAAGAAAGGTCTCATACAAAATTAGAAGCCATTGATATCCTTGAAACAATCGCAAATGAAAATGACTTTTGAAGTTTGAAATTTTATAAATCAAATTAAATTATTTAATTCTGGATGAATAGAGTAATAACATTTGGGTTTGCCACATATGAATCATTGGTTTAAAAATTGAATAGTGTAGAGAATGCGAGTAGTCTCTTCCGATTGTATGAAGAAAACAAAGAATCATTTAAACACGAACATGTAGTGTTATCTTTGAGAGTGCTGGGCAGATTTAGCCGTTAGATTCAATCAGACAATAACATCTCTGAAATTACAAGCAAATTGAATGATATGGTTGGTCAATTGTCAGAATATGGTATTTAATCACTTAAATTCAGATGTTGTGGATGTATTATTTTGGCTAAGAAAATTCAGATCAAATAGAATACCAACGAACATCACCAATCAAACCCAAAACTAGTTATTTTAGCGAGTTTAATAGATGACTGACAATTAAATGTTTTCATTTAGAAACATGTGCAACATTTACTTTGATTTATCAACTCTAAACCATTATAATGAGACTCTTGTTAAATCTATATCAGAACAAATGTTAAAATCTAAATAACTGTCTCCATTCCTCATAACCCAATTGCTGAGCACTGTAACCATCAAAATAAATCATTGCAATCTCTCTAAATACGATTAAGTAATCCTCACCAATTCCATCAAACTATTAGATGATCTATTAGACAGCTTTGATATTGAATAAGTATTCAAAATAATTAATATCATTTAGAAATCCCTGTTATTTAAGGTTTGTGCTGAAGTACAATTTTAAAACCTTCCTCCTAAATTCTATTTGCCAATCTAAGTCAAAAAGATCAAGGATTAATTATTAGAGAAAGCGGTATAGCTCCCAGAAGAGTCGGTTATCAATATTTTCAGGGCCTATGACTATCTTCCAAGATAATTCGAAGTCGATCTCCTAAGGGAATTAAAAGATAAGATTTTGACTACTTTGGAATTGAACCCATCCAATTTATCTAATAGATTCTTGATTTAGATTGCAGAGAGAATGATTAAGATGACCAATCAGAGAATACCTTAAGATGCAATCAAAAAAGTACTAATTGAAGTGTGTAGCAGAATTTCGAATAAGACTATCGATGCTTCATCAATGAGTTCATTGATAATGGCTTTAATGGAATACAAGAAAGTAGATGAAGTACTCAAAACCCTTTAAAACGTCGAAGATAAAAACATTAAAGTTTTGAATTACTTATTTATTAATGGGATTAACTTGAAGGAACATGTGGACAAATTTATGCAAAATTATGAATCTAAAAAGATCCCTTTCAATTTGGCAGTCTATTATACTGTGTATGCTAATAGAGATGCAAAGGAACACTTGCTAACCCTCATTACAGTAATCAGAGAGTAAATCGAAAATTATCCACTGTAAGCCTTAAAGACACTGAAAGACAACGAACTCAATTTTGAAATCAAATATCAACTTCAAGAGGAAGCCTATATGAAATTGGTGGAATGTGTATAAACACAAAAATTTGATTTCCTTAGAGTTTGCAGTGAATTAATTAATTGTTGTTGCAATGCTAAGTGTAGAGAGGCTCTCATTAATCTATATGATGAAATATTTTATCTGGTGAATATTAGATAGATCATGTAAAGACTAGTTTAAGAAGGGGATTCATTTGATTCTGAATCGCTTTCCGTCCTTATTTATATTTTTTAAAAGGATCCAAAAAGTATCCCAATTTAAAAATTTGTTGATTATCTGACACTTAACTCACACAAATTAAGAGAACTCATCAAAAGCGATCAAATCTAAAATGTCACAAAATTATTGGTTAGTGCCTATTATACATAACCGGAATAAAAACAATATTCAATTGTCAACTTTGCAAATAGATTTGAGATTGCAGGATATCATAGTAAATTTGTTACTGCTGCAATCAGGAAGATTTCAGAATAATTCAAAAGGAATAATCCTTATTCTCCATTTCCAGACCCTATGTTTGTTTATTTACTTATCGATCATAATATATTGAATCCTGAAGAGGCTGCTATTCAATTAAACAATGAAAATTTTCATCATTAAATGAAAGTTCAATTATGTGGTATTGCATTGTCAGCCGAAAGGGCTCCTTAGAATGTGTAAGAGTTAGGAGATAAAATTAAAGAGGATTGCTTCAAGGCTTTGGAGAAGGAAGTCAAATATTAAACAGTATTGGAATTGATCACCTTAGGTAATTTATCACCTTAGGAATTGCTTAGTATCTGTACTACTCTATAAACACTTTTGCCTTACTTGTCAACTAAATAATATTTTGATCTAATCATGTTTGCCAAAGACCATTTCATTTTAAGGGAGTTGTCATTATACTTCGGGGAATTTTCTAGAAAACTAGGTATCAATCGAATCATAAGAGTTGCCGATAAATTTGCAAGATTCTAAATCTATTCTAGATCAGCCTTCAATGTTCTCCTTGAAACTTATGGATATTCATTTTATTCGGTTTACAATGAATAAAGAATATAGATTTTAGAAATCTTCTCCTTAGCCAAAATCAAATAAGCTGATCTATTCAAAAGAACCCTAGAATTGATCAAATAGCGACCTTCAGCATATAAAAACTTTTATTTTGAAATTATTGATAGTGCCAACATTCTAGGATTTGTTGAGTCAGAATTCGTTGATCTCATTAATTCAATAATAGATAAAACACAATTGTCAAGAGTTACTGCACTCAAATTGATGTAATATTATGTCCTAGCAGATCAACCTATTGAAGAGATCGAAAAGATTGCAGAAAATATAGTTGAACCTAAATATAGAGACTCTTTTAAGAGTGCTATGGTCTATGAATTAATGCTCAGGAAATATCCAAACTCACCTGCTACCAGATTGAACGAGAACTTCCTCAGTGATGAGATATTCTCAAAGGCAAGGTTCTAAATTGCCTATGCCAATCAAATTCCTTCTTTTTAATTTTAATACTGTGTCCAATTTCTAAATTTATTAGGTATTCAATTCGAAAGTAATAAGAGAATTGATGGTATTAATGTTCAATTGTACTTGCCTTCAATGTAATTATCCTATACTATAAATTAAGTGAATCATCTCTCTTTATAGCTAGTTAAAGTTCATTATGCTTCGATTATTAAGAATTGAATGGATTCGGACTCTTGTAAGTAAAATTGATGTAAACCCTCACAAAATAGGTTATTGTCCTTAATTTTAAATAATTCATCTTATTTCAATCCGATGAAGAAAGAATAACTTATTTGAAGGATTTAGGTATTTCACTCCCATTCATTATTAAGGCTTGCCAATCACAGTTGATCTAGCCACAGTTGATTACAGTACTCTAGAATTACATTGTAATATTGAATAGGATAGACTTCCACACCAATTATCCAAACAACATCAAAGAAGGTAGTTTGGAGTATAGAATTATCTTCAAGATTTTTAACAACTTGATAAGGAATGAAAGTATCACAGTTTAAAATTATAAAAATCATATTAATTTAGTCTCCCTTTATTTTCATTGTACAATCACAATCCTAATTATTGGTGTTATTGCCATGTCTACTGGCTTACCAGTTGGACATATCATGAAAATTAGCATAATTCGCTTTAAATTATATATTTTGCATTTATAAATCATGAAAATTTGATATCGTACTTTCTTTATAGCACTTATTATCCAATATGATCATCCAATTGAGTCAACCGCTATTGTAGTTTGTATATTTCTTTTTCCAAATCTAAATTATCATTCCTGATATTTTCCAATTATACGATCTGATCCTCCATCTCATGATTATATTCCACAACCTGTCTTTAGAGCATCTATTTGAGTTCAAGAATTTGAGGTTCAATTTCATTTTGAATGTCCTGACTTTATGAATTAATTAATTGATTCATATGGGAAAGATCATCCTACAGCAATTCACTTTCTTATTTATAGATTCCTGTCAACTCCTTCATTTTTAGAATGTATAGCGAATTTGAATGAGCAGAATCAAAACAGGTCAATGTATTGATTGGTCTAAGAGTTTCTCGTTTTGTAAAAACATCATTCTATTTCATAGATATAAAATAAGTTATATAATATAATTCATTAACAAACTAAATAGTTTATAAAAAATGAGTTAAATAAAATCAACATTCAGAGGAAGCAAATTCACCATCTGCATCTGATATGATTTTTGTGAGAGGCTCTATGAAGGTTGAAGCCAGCTTTGATACTACGGATGTTAGAACACATTTATAAGTAATTGTCTAAGATTCTCATTCTCATTCTGCACTACTCTAACCTTTTTTCTTAATTCTTCAAAAGCATCTTGCAACGGTCCTATTTTTTCAAGAGCCTCTCTCTTTTTCCTTTGAGCTTCATTGGCAGAATTTCTATTCCTTCTGATGCATTGGCACTTCTTGCAATTGCAATTTTCCTCTCCATTGTATACACATTTATTTTTTAGCCTCTCAATCATCTTTAAATAATAATTGGAACTGTTTTTGACTGGTTCTGCTTCTTGTTTCCCATTTACTTAGACCATATCGATCATTTGATTCTCCAATTGCAATAGCTTAGGCAATATGTATAAGATAGAACTATTCAATTAATTATGTATTTTTTTGGTTTTTATTATAAATTCTGACAAATCGATTGCTGAGTTGCTATCATCAAAAAATATAGAGGTCGCTTTTTTCAAGAAATCTTAGGTTGTTGCTTTGAAACTACCCATAATCATAAGATACTAAATTAAATAACAGTTCGTACTTCTTAAAAGATTGTGTCGTTATGTAACTGGGCTGTTTCTTTTACAGTATTTTCAACTATGTTAAAGATTAGATTTGGTTTCTTAAAGAAACTATTCAGCAGGAGTGTGTAATGATTAAATTAAACAAAAAACTAATCTGTCGTTAACTGCTATTACTGTTAGCTCAATATTTTATATATGAATGTGCACCAAACATCTTCTGACTTTTTAACCACCAATTGATGCAATTGATAGAAGCTCAGCTATTAACTCACTTATTTGTGTGATGAGATCTGATATTGATATAGAGAATTATAAAAAATATCGCAAAAGTCATCTCTGAATAATAAGAATTGATAAAGATATTTCATATTGACACATCTTCTATCCTAGATTTAATCTTATGATAGCATTAAAATGTACCTTTATCAAATTAAACAAGGGATGATCTCAACAGGAGAGAGAGAGTTTTGAACAATGAATTGCTCATAGTTATGTTCATTGGTTAATTTAAAAATTAGGATTTTAGAATTCCAATATAATTTCCTTCACATTTTATTGAATCCAACCCATGAATAATCAAATTGCCCAATACATTGAGGAAATAAGGTAGATGATGATCGATTTAATTCCTAATGATCACTGTTTCTCGTCTCAGCACTAATTGTTAGTAAAATTATGTTATTCTGTTTTGAATGTCAATCAAGGGCCAACTTTATCTAATTTAATTACTAAAACATCTTACTTATCACCAGCGTATAAACCAGGCTGCGAAACAAATGAGAGTAATTACTGCTATTTGCTAATCTAAACATGGTTTTTAAATTAATTTACTTCTTGATTTTATCTTTGTACCTATTCCTCCTATTTGATTTTCTCTAATTCTTATTGCTTGAGTATGGCTTGGAAATAGAGTTATTGTATAGAATTCATTGTGTTTAAATAAATTTTGAATCCAGATTCAGAAGAAAACTCACTTTTATTAAGGGAATCATGCGTATTATTAATATACATAGTTATTTACATTCAATTAAAAAATTGTCATTAATTGAAACTCAATATCTCGTCATCTTTGATAATCGTGATATTCACATTCTAATAAATAATAAAATAATTGATGACTCAAGCAATGACGATATTATAATATTAATTTTTTACAACTAAGGGTTATTATTAATATGAAAAATGAGTAGTTTAATTATCTAATATATACCCTTCGAATAACTACTTTATTTAGAATTTTTTAAGCTAAAGCAAAGGCCTTCTAAAATTATTCAATTCTAATCATCTGATCATATGAATACCACAATACAACAGAAGAAGGGCTAATTAATATTCTTTTGATATCTTTGATTGTATGATATATTTGATTGTATGATATAATAAAAAAAATGCTACCGCGCTAAAAAATTTAAATTTCTCATAATTTTATATTAATATAGAAATATATTACAATTATACATGTAATTATTAGAAAACAAAAAAAACGCAATATTATAATGCTTTATGTCGTAAGCTCAAAGTCAATTTAAAAAATTGATAAATTTTAAATAGAAAGGAAAAACTCCAGAATAATTGGGAACATAAAGTAATAGAAACATATGTTGGTTATTTTGATATTTTGAGAAAAGAGGACTGAAGGATGCAATAAGGATATCGATTACAAAAAGGAGACAATGTTAGGAATTAGAAAGTATATTAAAAATATTATTACACTTTTTTCTCATCTACTGGTAATTTATTTTGTATTACATCAAATGTTTTGAATTAACATTTTCTCATAAAAATAACAAAGACAAAATTTTAATTCACAAACTATATTGTTTTGTTTCAATGTACTTTTCTAATGATGATTTCCGGTGATAAAATATTCATCCTTAATTATTTGTATAATTGCTTTTCGTAAAGTGTTTCAGTATTTTGACCAACTTTATTTAATCTCTTTTTTGGACGGTGCTTTCTATTCTGTTAAAATTGCTCCGAACGAACAATTTCCCTTGAGTAGACAACAGAATTTTGGAAAATTTGGTTTTCAGGAATTCCCGTGTGTTCTTTGACTTCTAATTCACCTAAATTATCAGATTATTCAGTTAATTCATTCGAAAGACAACAATAGGGTTTCTTGGGAATAGGTTCATCACCAACTGTGCGAATAGCTCCTTCCTATTCTGGAGAGTCAAAATCATTTGATTCTTTTACATTTTTTATTGATTTGCAAGATGATCCCATATTAATATTAGAATTAATTTAATAATGTCGTATTATGTGAGTAATTCCCCTCAAAAAGAGATAAAGCGATTCAATTATTAACTTATTAAACCTTAACAATGAAAAGCTCGAGATCTAAGGGATTTAGATCTTTTAAATATTTAAAATAAAATAAGGTAAATTTACAAATTTTATTTAGATGACTAATATTTTATTTTATACTAATTTATTTGATTAATTAAAAACTTTCGGTTCTTTTAGAATTTAAGTAATTCATACAGATGATATTAAAAAATATGACAATATATATTCCATAAAAGTAATCTTATTATGGTCTTAAAGTCATATCATTATTGCTACTAAAATTGCTAAATTTTCTTTTATCTTAAATCAATTAAAAGCCATTATTAATAAGACATACACATGTTACAGTTTATTCTCAAAAATCGCCTAAGAATAATAACTGGATCAATGAACTTCATCTATATAAACCGATAGCAATGCGGGTAAAAATAGTTTAATACCCCAATTTCCAAGCAACCTTTTAAATTAAGACTATCTTATCGCAAGAAGATCCTTTGAATGAATTATTATAGATAAAGTATAAAATACTGAATTTCTATAAATAGAAATTAAATAAAGAAAGTTTAAACAGTAAGTTCCATAATCCAAATTTGTTATAACATATAATCAGAATATATTGTAATGAAAAAGATACATTTGGATCAATAAAATTGAAGTAATTTACCTTGTGATATTCAAGTCCTATTGCTAATAAATCTATTATACTTTTTTCCATAAGAATACAGATGTTATGAATTCAGTAAATATCCTATTGTCTAAATCACTACCTAGTGATACCAGTGCAAAAAAATAAGGAGAAAACCTAGATGAGAAATGAATGGTTTTTCTAGTTGCAAATGTAACAATTACCAAAATAAAATTGAATAAAAAGACTTCAAAAAAATTATAAATAATAAATTAATATTATATTGAAATTCTTTAAATTTTTTATTAATTTATTTAATTAATGAAAGATTTACATTCTAAATTAAAGGTTGTTTTATAAAATGCAGATATACAAATAGTAATCATGAATCTCAATTTAATAATTATGATAACCATTTAAAACCTTCAGCATAGCCTACTTTATTTGCTACACTGCACATAAATACATCGACAGGTCTTCCATCAATTTCCTTAATGTTTTTTTTGTTAATTTGTTGTTTAGCGTTTATTCCTAAAGCCTATCTCAATTCCTCTTCTGGCATAGCTCCTGGCTTGTCAATTTTATTCCCGAAAATTACAATTGGGACCTAATTGAAATATTTAAATGTCATAATACTTATGCTAATTCTGCTGTATTTAAAATTTATTCCAACTCATATCTGCTCTCCTTCAATCTATTTTAATCTGTAGAATCAACAAGGTAGATAATTCCATCAACTGTAGGGAAATAATTCTTCCAAGTCTTTCTAACTATAGGGTGGCCACCCAAGTCAAAAGCTTTGAATCTAACATTTCCTAGAACCAGTTCTTCTGCATGTGGATGTAATGTTGGTTCATGTTAGACCATTCTATCATCTTTCAATCTTCTCAAAAGAGTTGTCTTGCCTGCATTATCGAGACTATAAAAATATTATAAATTTAAAATACCCTAAAAATAAAATCTTAGCATTCTTTTTCCAGATACCTAAGTTTCCCAAAAGACTTTTCACCATATTCACAATAAACATCTGTATTGTACTATTTAAATTATTGAAACAAATGAAAAGAAATCAATTTGGATTTGAATCATTTTTTTATTGAATAATAATCGAACACATCATTCTTGTAATTTTGATTAAATGTTGAATTTATTTCACTGTTGATTTATTTTTATAAAAATTCCCTTAGAATGGATAAAAATTGATACATATCTTAATTAATACCTAAATAATTAAGAATACTTAGAAATCAGAATTTTCGAAACATAAAATCAAAAATGTTTAATTAATGTGTAATAGTTGAAAATTTGTTAAATATATAAAAATCAAAGTAGTTCCATAAGTTGTATATTGCGAGTTAATTTTACTCATCTGAGGTCGTCTTCATCAGTTTCTTCCTCGATAGATATTAAACTATCGTATTTGTTTTAGTTTTTCTTTTCGGATTGTCTAATCTTCCCAAGCTTTTATAGAATGAACTTGGAAATTTAGTCCAAATTCATCTCTACATCAGGATGTACATTCTAATTGAGGATGTACTCTTTCATATAGGTTTTCTCTTGATCACTGATGATTTGGAGATCACAAAAATTTTTGAGAGTTTAAAATGCCAATTTGTAATAGGTTTGCATTTTTATAAAATGTATTTAATTTAATATATAAGTTAACCTCAAATAATCTTATTTAAATCATAATGCATCAGATTGTTATATTACCTGAGCAGTAAATTAAAGATTCCCATATTAAATTTAAATTATGGTGTCTGATTTAATTTTGGAGCTTAATAAATCATGTTGACTAACCACGACATTGGGGAGTTAAAAGTGCACTTAAGTATGATGATACTATATATTACTTTAATTTTATTTACAATAATTCTTCAATTCATTGATACCAACAAATTGAGAACATCTAACACCGCTTTAATCTTTTTCGATGGAATAATATTTGACTTCCACAAAATATTCACAACTCAAAGCAATTAAGGTATTTAATATGATAAAATTACTTAGAAATATGTATGCAGGTATAACAACATATGGTAATATAAATCCATGCTTTGAATACATTGGTTCAACTATATTTCCCCAATCTATTACTGTAATATCAAATAATACCATCCAAAGTCATGATTTAAACAAGAGTGTAGAAGGAACCCCAAAAAGATGAAAAATACTCCTATTCTTTTAATCCAGTGTATGCATAATAATTCGATGTCAAAATGCTGGCAATGAACATTATAATTCCAAAGAGTTCTGCAAATTATGGCATCAGCAAAGGTACCATGGCAATAGTTCCAACAAAAATACCTTTGACAGATGGTGTGGTGGCTATCTTTAGTAAATTCAGTAAACAACCGATTTCAAGGAAAATAAATGAGCAAATTAGGGATAAAGGACTAAAGTGTAAGAACTATTTAGTTACCCAGCTATGAAATGCAAAAACATCATTGTTTTGTTTTTCCTCTCTAAATCATAAATTGGTCCCTTCTTAAACATCAAAATTATAAAATGTATTGTATATATGCCATCATCTATCAATTCTATTGCTAATTCAATTGTACTGTCGCCATGATCAAAGTGTTCAAGTATTGATATAAATATCCCACCAAAACTTATTATGAATACTATGTATTGATAATAGTTGCCAATCATGCATTTATCAAATAAATTCTATTCCTTGACCAATTCAGATAATATTTATTGTTAATTGATTTCATAATTAAATGGATCATCTAAATGATTACCTTTTTTCTCAAATTATAGTGTCTCTATCAATATACCCATCATTATATTTAAATAGAAATATGTCATAAGTAGAATATATATACACAATATAAAATATCCAAATAAATCATCTGTTTCCCTTCCTATTTAACCCCAATCATCCAAACTCAGGGCCTAAACAAATGTAAGCACTGATCTCCCAAATGTGCCATAAAAGATTGCCACCTCATCATCATCAGAATCATCATAATAGGCAGTGGTGGAATAGGCACATACACATAAAACAAAAAACATAGTGATTGCCAAATTTGTTATTTCAGACAAAACCAACTTAATTTCTCTTATCATTCTTTATGAAAAAGGGAATGTTAAAATATCAAGGCTCATAACTATTTAAGAAATCCCTAATAAATTGTACTCAACAAATATATTCGCAATGCTTAAGGTCAAAGCTAAAATTGTTAGCACTAACCCTAATAAATGCTTTCTGTTATTTATCAGCATCAACATATAAATCCCAATAAAAAATATATTTTCCCCATAAAACGTGAAAAATGTACCAAGATAAAATACAATCATCAGTATTGCTTTGAATTTTTGACCAGCATTCATTGGTTTCTATTTAATTTCCTCTTTAGGAGAATTTTGTGTTGAATCGTGTTAGACATCATATTCGGTCAACTCTGTTTCTAATTACATATACTTTATTTATTAAATCATTAATGCACTTTATATTATCTATATAATTAATTATTTAACAACAATAATATTATTAACAGAATCTTAACAAGACCACAGTGTATAAATCCAGATATCCTTCCTTAATTTATAAGAAATATAAATTTTTCATAAAAAAAGGATAGAATTTTGAGGTATTAATTATTCAAATTTCTTATTCAAATTTCTTATTTATAAAAAAATCCCTTAATTGTTAGTAATAACAATAATGGATTCTAATGGCATTTTTTAATTCTAGATTGAAACACTTTATTATTTTCTTTATATATTATATAATTATTTTTAGAAGTAATTCAACATTAACTGCATTGTACTACTCTTTAATTATGTTGAATTCTTAGGTCCATTATAAAAATACTTTATTGAAAATGTCTTAATTTTTGGATTTTAATAATGCTTTATAAAAGGTATTCATTAAACTGATTTTATAGTAAAAGATTTTTATTTATCATTTCATTTCTATTTTTAGTATTTTTGATTATTTAGTTATTTTTATTTCGATATTTTTAATCCACCTTTTAATCATTCTAGTTTAAGTACATAGATATAATGTTAATGAATAGAGTGTAATATTTTAGTTTTTACTTATGTATTCAAATCTTTATTAAAAATTGATATCATTTAATTTATATATTTTTATATTAACAATTTCATTCTATCTTCTAAATCTTTCCTTTATCCAAATATATTACTCTATCATACTTGTCTAAGTGATCCAATCTGTGAGTGATGACAATGAGGGTTTTATTCTCAGTAAATTTAAACAAATATTCGTGAAGTAGCTAATCATCAATACAATAGTACTTTGTCAGTTTAAGGGTCAATATTTGAAGTTGCTTCGTCCAAACAGACAATAGACTTATTTTATAAGACGATTCTCAAATAGTTGATTAATTATTTTTCCCCATTGGATAAATTGTTACCACCTTATTCAATATGCAAATCAGGTTTTAGCTAATTAAACTGAGTCAATAATTGATCTATTTATTGTTTGTCTATAGTTTATCCAGGATCCAGATTCTCATATAAAGATCCTTCAAAAAGAAATCCAAACTGAGGTACTATGGATAATTAGGATCGTAGTTCTTATAATGATAAATATTATGCCTATATAAATAATAATAAATACTTCTTGTCCTTTAATTAACAAATTGCCTGTTTATTATTAATAAAGTTAAAAAAGAACATTCATTATTGATGTTTTGCCAGATCCAGTTCTACCTACAATTGCTATTTTTTCATTCTTCTTAATTTTTAAGCTTAGCTATTTAAGTTGATAATTAATCTAATCATACGAGAGACAGATTTCCTTAAACTCAATTTCAGTATCTAGATCTACAATTGGTTTAACTTTTAGATCGCATGAGTCATTGAAGTTTATTATCTTTATTAATGTGTTTTTCTTAAGTATATCTTCTTAAGGGATATCGTAGTATTATCTAATTCTCTCAACAGAGATAATCATTTATTCAGTCTATAAGTAAAAATTGAATAATTCGTTGAAGTTATCAATAATTAAGATTGAATAAGTCAAAGCTAAAGATTTACTAGCATAATCATCAGGACTCAATAAAACAATAAAAGTAGAGAGTAACAATAATAAATTACAATTTAAGTTCAATCTCACAAAGTACCAAAACTTAGCTCTCAAACTGCTTTGCTCACATGCATTCCATGTATGTAATTTGTCTAAATAACAATCAAAGAAATAAGTCTATCTTTGTTAAGCTCTAATAGTTTTTAATCCCTTCTAAGTTTCATTGATCCATCCAAGCAGTTCAGCATGATTAACTTATTTCAATCTCTTTAATTCCCTATTAGTTTTTATATATGTATTTGCAATATAATAATAAGCATAGAAAACTCCAATTAATCCTATACTAATGTAAGGAAATAAGATAACTAGTCCAATAACAAATCCACATCCTCTTGCTAAAGCTTCTAAAAATATATCGAAACTCCAGGGCAATAAACCATCAATAGTTTCCATATCACCTGATAATCTATTGATTATTCTACCAGCATTAGTTTTATCAAAGAATACCATTTTTGCTTTCATTATTGAATCATTCAATTATTTGAAAATAGTCCACGATGATTTTAGTGATACTAAGACATAAAATGTTGCTCTAAATACTGTAACCCCTAATGCTAGTAGTAAGAGTTAAGTGAATGTTGAGGAAAATTTATCGTCAAAGTGTTGATTCTTCAACCAAAAATCAATATATGACAAAGCACCTTACAGTGAAAAATTGAAAATCAGATACAATATTATTAAAGGCCATGCCATTGAAGAAAAATAATACAGCCAAACTTTAGTATCAACCTCTCCTATCTCCCTCTCTTCTAAATCCTAACCTTAATCATTATTTTCATCCTTAACTGCTGCTTATTCCTCTTCATTATTTATATCCTCTGATTTTTTACTCATCTTTCTAATTATAGATGAGTCATTAATATTTTATTCAATTATTGATCCTTGATCCATTAAAATTATATTGGCATTTTTTGGTATCTTATTTATAAAGTGCTGATTAGAGGTAATAAATAGAACTGTTTTATTGTTTAGATAATCTATAATTAGATTTTAGAATATTGCATTTGCAACCGGTATGTCAAGAGAAGAAAAAACATCATCAAATAAATAAATGTCTGTATTCTAATATATAGCCCTCGCTAATGCTATCCTTTATTTTTAACCACCACTTAAGTTATTTCCATCTGGACCCACTAAATACTGATCAAAATTCTCAAATTTCTATATGTCTTCATTTAATTAGCATAATTCAACCACCTTTGTAAACAATTATTAATTATATTCTTAACCGAAACAGATATTTTATCTAATTGTTTAATTTTGAATCCAATTGTTTTAGGAGCAAAATGAAATAGTTCCTCCTATTTATTTTGATTTCTCTTTCATGTCTTATAATTCATTTAATATTACATTAAAGAGAGTACTCTTACCTGATCCAATAGGTCCAACAATAAAATTAAGAGTTTGTTTCTTTATTTATAAGTTATTAATTCTTAAACTAAAGTCATCACTTAATTTATATATTCCATCTTCTATCTTCAAAATAATCTCGCTATTTCCAAATATTTAATTTCCCTTTATATCAAGTACATCCGCTTAATTAAAATAAGTATTCACTCTTTTTATTGACACAATAGCACTGAATAGGAAATTTATACAAAATGGTAATATTCCTAAAGGATAACTACAAAATTATAATGATTTCTTACATCATGGTATTGAATATAGCAATCAATGTAAAAACATTCAAATCTATTAAATTGACCTTGCTATTTTGGATATAAAAATAAAGCAATATGTAATTGATGTTATTCCAAAATAATACTAAAAGACCATCAAATATTTTGACTATCACAAGCATTTCAAATTCCATTTTCCTCTTGAAAATTAATTTGTTACTAAATATTTACTCCCATGAAAGATATTTAATTTATTTTATACCATGTAATACATCTGTAGTCAAATTGATTCTCTAATCTTTCCTTTAAAACAAACGTTCTTATGCTTGCATCATTATAAAAGTTACAATAAAATTGAAAACTTAGGCACAAAAAATTACTATTAAAATTACATTGCCTGCATGCACATCTTTATAATATAGGAATGATATGCATCCTATAAGCATACAACAAGCTAAAGTTCCCTCTTTTAAAGAAAAATGAAGTTGTTTAATCTATTCAATATCATTTGTTATCAAAGTCTAAATACGTTATCAAGTCAATTACATTTATATTTGGGATTTTTTAATCTTTTTAATGTTAATGGGTTGCAAGCAATTTTTTGTATAATTCATAATTACATAATACATCTAGCTTTCCTAAGAATTGCGTTACTTGATGAGTTTGAATTGAAGATAGATAGGTTCTAGAGTAGTTAACTATTACAAATACTTAGTAAACGAAAAAATGAGGAGTAAAATCAAATATAGAACATAATAAGAACTCTCCTCTTTTAAAGAATCAGTAAACAAATCCAACATCAAAATATTAGCTAATTGTAAAATAGACGCGACGATTTGTTGGAAGAAAATAAATACAGAGTTTGTCATCTAACGATAAAATAATTCTTTACTAAAATTTGTTTCATTTTTTTGTAAATACTTGTTGATTCATTACTACAGGTTAACTCCATATATTTACTTATTGTAATGCTTCAGGATGTAGTTGGAATCAGTTATTTTCACGCAGTATTCTTACAATGAATTATTTTAGAGTTATTCTCTTTTATTATTAATCAATCTAATCATTTTCGAAATTCTTGTGTATAGCCAGTCATCCTTATGGGTTTATATGTCTCGCTACTCTAATAAAGGATCACTGATTTTCATTTTAATTAAATATTTATTTCAATATATGTGATTTTCCATATCGAAACCATAATTAATTTTATAATATAGTAGTAATCGAAAATATGAATATCAATAATCATGTCGTTTTTTTAAATTATTCTGCTTTTATTAAAAATGAACTTAATTGATTAATTTCATTCATATTTTTATACAGGCGAACTATCAAACCTAAATAATCTTAATTAAAAATTACTGTCATCATTTAAAATTACATAATCATACGGACTTATTGACTTTAGAATTTTTCTGAAATGAGTACTCTTTTACAATACGATATATAATTCTGACATTATATCTACTTTTATGATGATATCGATAAATTCATTTTATTAAACATATGATTTGCAAAGATATATCTAAATGATCTCTGCTTTGGTTTTAAATATATGAGTGAAGAAATGAATCATAAATTCATCCAAAGAATTCTCAATGGTGGAAATTTCTTTAATTTCTGGACAACATTCGATCTTGATTTTTTTTTAATCGTAGGCTTAAGAATACAGTTTTGCATATTTTTTAAAACTCAATAAAAATGATTGATTGGTGATTTTACATGAAGTTTTATTCCTAAACTTTGAAAAAATGTACATTAATTTAATTATGGCTTGATAGATTGAATTTTAATTATGATTTAATGATTTGTCCAAAATAAATATTTGCTATTTCAAAAAGTTTCTAAAATGGCTTAGGAATTTATTCAAACCTTATTCATAGTAAACTAATTTTTAATTCAAATTCTGAATCTCCTATCTTTTCTTATCAATAATCAAAATAAAAATTAATTCTGTAATGTAACATTCTGAATAGCGAATACATAGTTTCTATTCTTGGATTGTGTGGTTGATTGACTTTACTTCTAAAATTTTATTCACTATTAAATCCTCTGACTTCTTTTGTCGAGTCAACAAAAACTTCTCCAAAGACTGCCCAAATATCACATAGTTACGGAGGATAAAATTAAGAGCATCATGAGTGGTCTAAAATTATTTAAACTCCTGATGATTTTGGAGATTACTGAATTTTTATTTAAATTGCAAGTTATCTTTATCATAAGTACACAGCACAAAAGGACTATCAGTTAATAAGGGTATCAATTATTCTAAAATTTAATTATTTAATAGCGAATACCTTATTAACTGTCTTTTACTTTGAATAAGAATGACAATCTATACTATTAATGTACTTTAAATGATGAATAGAGGAACATCAATCCGACGACAATAGAATAAATTATGTTTACATAGGGCATTGATGGCTGATAATATTTGGACAGTACTATCTTTATCGTCATGTTTCCAAAAATCTAAATGGAACCGAATTTAAATTCAGAAACCAGAATGATCATAATATTTAATAACATTTAATTCTATCCGAATACAAACGCTTCTTATTTCTCAAACTCATCCTCAACAAATTATTGTTGTAACATCAAAAAATGATTTAGCAATAACAAATAATAATCTACCCACTTTCTTTTGTTATTAAATATGAAAAATTGAGCCGATATGACGACAATTAGTAGGAAGAGATATATAAAAAATTCAACCATTTGATTCTGAATAATAAAAGTAACACTTTGAAATAGGAGCAACAAAAAACAAATTGCATTCAAACATTTACATATAGGAAGAGTATATAGATACCGAAAATCCTGATACTTTTGTTCCAAATTTTCACATCTAAAAGTAAGAGTGTATTTATTCATTTATTAAAATATATTTATTTATATAAAATGATAATAGAAACAAAATGGAATATCTGTGATAAAGCTATATTTACAATGCTACATTGCCATGATGAAAAAAATTAGAAAAATTTATTGATAAGACCTTGAATAATTTAGTATCTTAAATTATTATGTTATATTTATAGTTTATTTTAAAAACAAATTATTATTTCTTATTTAATTATGTAAAATATTCATAAAACAATTTATAATTATCTACAAGTCAAATTTTAAAAATACATATTTATTTTTTTTAATCCTCTTATTTGGAACCAATTGTTGATAAATAACAAAAAAGTTTGATTTAAACGAATTAGATTTAACAACATAAGTTTTAAAATTAATTAATCAAAAATTATAACTATAAACAGTTTTCATTATTGCTATTTCGTAATCATATACAACTCTTCTATTTTGTTAAGAAATCGATTATGTCGTTGTTAAATATCTTTTATTTATTTATTATATTTTTTTAAATTATCGAATGATTGATCATGTTAAGGTCTCAAAATATGTAAATAATTTACATTTTTTATGATTATACATGGGATTATGCTAATTTAGAATTTGTGTCTATTTTTTCTGGAGTTTTTGAATGTATTTTAGGTAATTTGAGACAATATAGATCCTTTTCAGAGGATTGGTTGTTTGTTTACTAGTTATTTCTTTCTGATAACTAAATTTTATTGCTTAATCGCTTAAATTTTAATTTAAAGAATGATTACTAGCCTCTCATTTGATTTCGTTATTAGTGGAAGCTAAATGAATGGTCTATGTTAATGAATTGTGATTTTCTATAAGTGTTTTTCAGAAAGACATATCATTAAATTAATTATATTTAATTATGTTATGTTGAATCAAATGAAATATTATATTTAATTGTTTCTATCATTGGTTGGTTTTAAATATTTCTGAAATTTTTTAAACATCCAATAATCAGAAGATGATATATAGAAAATTTTAATAATAAAAAGTAATCAAAATCAATTTCGATTGAATTGAATTAAATAAGTAATTAGAATTTCTATCAAATTAGGTGATGATTAAACAACATGTTTCAAAACCTTTTTGATATAAGAATAAATATTCATTATTTAATTTAATGAAAAACAAGATTTTAAGAAATTTCAAATTTGATTAATTAATGATTTCGAATTACTGCACTCTCTATCTGTAGAAAGACAGGTATGAGCAGCTCGAATTAATTGAAGGAAATATACAAATTTTATTATATAATCAAACGATTATTTTTATAGTCTCTAAATATTTTAGTAGATTATTGTTTTGATGATGTGAATCCTCTCAAAACAACATAAGTTATTAAAATTATAATGTATATCTTAACTAAGAAATATGCAAATTTAATTTATAAATTTTAAATTAGATAGAAATTTATTGTTAATTTTCAAGCACAAGAATTTGAAGATCCAGTCCATGTAAAACGTCCTAATCTGCACCTTGAGTAATATCTGCTTGTGCTTACTTAAGAAGGAAATGAGCTTGCGCCTATCATATAAGCTTTTGTGGTGGATTGAGTTATAGTTCCAGTTTAGCAATATTTTGATCCTGTAACACAACCCGCTGTCATTACGCTAGAGAAACTGTTCATCTCAATCTTATCAAGTGAATATAAATTAGCACTGCTCTATGGTTATGTACCATCGTAAGACCATAACCATCTTATAGTGAAAGAAAGCGATGCGTCACTGCCATCAAGTTTTGAGGGTCTAATTATTATGATATCAGACAATGAACCTAAAATTCCAAATTATTCGGCAGGAATGACTAGTAATTCCAAGTATCCATTATCGGCATAAGTAGTCCAAGTTATTTAAGTAGATTGTAATTATGATGTTAATGTAATAGTGATACGATTGAAGTGTGCAAACCCAAAATTGATTAAATATTTATTAGATATGTAGAAAGGCTGATATGATCTTAATTTTAGAAAGTAGGCATCTGTCATTCTCCATAACACAGTGTAATAATCTTGTTTTTTATTGGGTGTACTAGAAAAAGTCAATGTGACATCATCTCTAATTGCTTGCATGGATTCGTAGATAGCTTTCTCCAAATATTATGGGTGAATCTCTGGGTCAACCAGATCATATTGCATCTACACATAGGCATTCATAATATTCAACAATTCTGCTGAAGAGGCTGTCAAAATGTTCACTGTTAATATTTCATATTTATATTATGAGGTGTACTTAGCAGTCATTATGGTAGTCACCAAATAGCCACTTGTTGTTTTTGTTGAATATAATTAAGTAATATCTGTAGGGAATCTTGCATAAGCATACATCATAGTAGTCTAATCGTTTTCCATGCATTAATTCAGAAAATTTGGATCGACCGTAGTTATTTCTTTGCATTTACTTTAAGTCGCCAGATATCCACTTGTGGAAGATCTGCAAGCCCTTACATCAGTAACTTTATGGCATTCTGCCAATTAACAAGCACTACCTGTCCAATAACAATAGCCTGAATTAGTTGCACATGTGGCCGAATTCATTCCTACACAATTTGCAGTTTAACTGAGCACCTAACTAAGTGATGCAATGAATATAAGGAAATTTTTCATAAAATTTTGTATTATATATTAAAGTTAAAGCAAGTTTAAACTTAGAATTTATATACTAAGAATATACAAACATATATTACTATGGTTTATAAATGGTACTAATTTATTTCAAATGCATTATTTATATAATATGATTTATTCATTTGCCAGATAATCATTTTAAGCAATCTTTTAAACAGTAAAAGAGGTATTAGACTTCTCCAATACGACTCTGTATGACACATTCATTTCTCATCCGATTACTTCACTAACATATGAAAAGCTAAGTGAAAGAATTACTGGAAAATAGAAGAGAATTTTGGATGTTGGAGTTGGCACTGGTGTTCCTCTGCATAAAACAATCAATTAGTTTCCTCCAGACTGTGAGATTACGGCAATCGATATAGATCATACTTACTTAAGCAAGGCAGTCCAATTATTTAAAGACAAACCTTAAGTGAAAATACTTGAATTGGATTTCTATCAAATGAAACCTGAAATCCATGGAAAATTCGATGCCATCGTCTTTTCTTCCTCCTTCCCCATACTTCATCAACAATAAGAAGCTCTTCAAATAGCGAAATCACTGCTTAATCCAGAGGGAATCATATATTTTATGCTTACTTTGAGTGATTCTCATTTTGGTGAAAGTTTGAAATACATCACGAGCATCGACTTGCATTTAGAGTCTGAAAGGGCCTTTGAGGAATTACTTAAACAATCTTCGCTACATATCATTCATAAATAACGATTACAAAAGGTAGCAAACATACCAACTCTGTTATTAAAGGTGTATATTTATGAAACTAAATTATGATATCAAATTAGATAAATAATTAAAGGAATATATATATATAAATAATGAACTAAAATTTTATATATAAAATTCAGAACCTCACAGTGTTTTGTAAACTATTTAATTACTTAAAACAATTACTATTATAATTTAGCAATTTGTCTATTAGATCTACATGTGTTAGTATCATTCTCCTGCAGCAATATCTCTCTAAACCCAATCGATCCAAAGCCTCTCCAGTTGTTACACCATCCTAGAGCAATTGCACATAATCACTCCATAAATGACCCACTACCTAATCGATTCCATCAACATCAAATTACCTTTCCACAAGTAAAACATCTAATAGGAATAATCATGAATTAATCTTAATTATTTAAATAAAATATTGTTTTCAATCCATCATATTAAACTATCATCATGCTTCCAAATATAATTAAATGTCCTAAATGCAATTCGCATCCTAAGTCTTCAAAGTCTTTCCATCTATCTTGAATTTCCCATTCCATCCCTTCCTACTCCTTATCGACTTAATCCTCTTCCAAGACTGAGAACCACTCGTACTCTCGCACAAATCAATTGAAACTCCATTGAAATTGCATTCGTAATATCCCAATGGACACAACATCCCATCATTTTATACCAATCCCAAAGTCATATCTATCTGACCTAACAAATACTAATGACCATTCTTACTTATCCCCACACCCGGCTTTTCTTACTCGTATTCAAACTACCCCAATTGAATCATTAATGCTCCATAGAAATTTGAGATCTTGCTTACCCCATAAATCAGATTCTCTGGAGTTCCTTCTAAATCCACGAATTCGTCAGTCTTTTGGTTGATATTTATTAACGATTTCGCTTTCACGATATTTTGTGGTCCCGCTATATAACTAACACATTAAAATTATTTTTTATACCAAATATATATGTCTTTTAAAACATGTTCAGACTAATTATTCAACGCAACATCGAAACTATTAACTTATTAATTGGTTATTGACAGTTAAAACTTTAGGTCTCCTTTCTGTGATTCTTTTTGAAATCCTGCCAAAAATATTTAAATAGTTGGGATTACCCAAAATTCTCTTTTTGCAAATTTATATCTCATAAATACCTTCCAAAATTTATTGTTGAGGTTTTTTAGATGGTTTCACAATTCAATTTCATTCTATCATCAATCACTGCTAGCCATTGATATTCGAGATGATCAATTTTAGATTTATGATTCGTTATCTGCAATTAAAATCCTTTATACCACATATTTCATACCTTGTTGAGTGATTTATAATAGTTTAGGTTCAATCCCTATATTTCTAGGAACCTCATTATTAACGTGTATTGCTATAAGAGATATGCCTACTTGGGGAATTTATTCGAATTTGTTGTCGAATTACACAAAAGCCAATCTTTTGTCATGAGGGAACAAAACATCAAATGTTACTTTTCCAATTTATAGAGTGAGAACTTGGTTCACTAAAAGTACTATAATTAACATTTTTATTAATGAATTATATATTAAATGCATTAATCATATATAGATATCATAAGTTCTAGATTAACAAGAAACAATATGTTATTTGTGATTCAGAGAAGAAAACTATATAAATTTATTTGTTATTTTTATAATAATCTCTGAACTAACAGAATTTTTCACATTGATTCATCCATTAATTCTATTAAGAATTTGAGTCTAATAAATACATTAAATAGATTTTAATTATATATAATGACAACATTTATATGAGTGATTTTCCATAGTATATAAGTTTTTATAAGATAAATATAATTCAATAATTAAATTATTAATTATGATGTTAATAACTTCTTATCTACATTACTTGATAAGTATATGAAACTAAAAGACATCTGAATAATTATTCTGCATATTATAATATGAAAATAATATATCGTGTTTTTCCAAAGTTGAAGTTCATATAAGCCTCATCCTCCTTCCATTTATGCTCCGCTTTATCTTTTAGTAAAATTAAGCTCAATATCGACATCATTCGCATAAATAGAATGCTCATAAGATATCGTATTCTAAAGACAACTCAATTAAGAGTAGAAATAGTAAATTTCCTGTACCTCCTTGAATTCATGTTTTAATTATTAAATTGTGGATCTGCAATTTAAACTCTAACTGTGGAAGAATAGATAATTTAAATTCTAAAATACTATGTTTCACTCTATTAATGTCCCTATTAAGAGAGTTAAAATAATTTGTTATTATTTTTTTGTGACAGAATTATAAAAGTAATCAAAAAATGAATTTAATTAGTCTAGGTGATCAATACAGAGAGAAGTATAGTAAATGAGTTATTTCTTATCAAGAAATATTATTAAATATTAATAAATTATTGATGAGAAAAAGAATAAACTTTTTAAGAGATGAAAACTTCAATTGGATATCGTTATAAACCGAAATCAATTCTTCAACTTTAATATTCTTTTAATCACTTAGAAAATTATTCAATCTATTTTATTCTTCTCTTCTAGACACTGAATTCTTTTATTATAATTTCAGAGATCAAAATAATTAAATTATATTTTATTATAAAATGAAAACAGAATCAGATAATGAAATAGAGACTTTATAAACGATGTGGAAAAACATAAAGTATTATGAAATCTAATCAATAGACAACGTATGGAATCCAAACATGATGATTCAGATATTTTTTAACAGCCTCCATAATAGATTACAATCAATAGCCCATATGCTGCTAAAAATTATTAAGTGCAAATTTAAGCTTTGCAGGATGAGTTGTTCCAAAAAAACACTAAATTGATAGCTGCCCAATAATAATTGAATTAGATTAGCGATGAAAATTCATAATTATAAGATGAATTAGAGTAAGTGAAAGTTGAAAATTCGTTAATGAAATAGAAGTTAGAATTAATAGAATCACAAATAGATTCGATTTAGGCAGACAAAGACAGTCTGAAATTAATAAGGTTAGAGAATGAATAGTTGAGAATTGATGTAAAAAAATTACTTGAATTATTAAGAAAAACAAAGGAATATAATAATATTGGTTTTGATGAAAACTAATCATATGTTAAAGGGAGTGTTAAGTTTGACACCAGGAAATCTAAGATAGATGAAACGTATATGATTATTTAAATGTATTTATAGAAATTGGGTTCCCACTAAATGTATTGAATTGATGTAAGATTATGATAATAAGGAAGAAGTCTTGTTGCAATTGAGTAACTAATTTCATAATTGTTATGTTGAAAAGATAAATAAATTAAAATAGAATTCTCAATAAGAAGTTGAGTAATTAAAAAGGCAATTGGATAGCAGAACTACAGTTGATGGAATGCAACAATAGAAGTAAATAGAAAGATTGAAGAAATAAAAAAATGGAAGTGGCAAGGATAAAGTGGGCATTTCTTAATTGCAAGATTGTTTTAATTTGATCAAATAAAAGGAATTAATAATCATAGAACTTTAGTAAAGGATCCAAGAGATGAATTAGTAAATGAATGCAGATGAAAATTATGGCAGTATGAAAAAGCAAGTATTCATTGAAGGGGCTTAATGGATGCGTATTAAATAATCTAATAATAATAGTGGCTAAGATATTGGATGAAGTAATTGCTTATGAAATTAGTTTAAATGAATTGAATTACGATGTAGCAATTAAAATAGAGAGTCTAATGAGTTCTGAAGATATAGTTCAATAATAAATCATAAACAAAGTCTATTATTGGATAACTGATACTTCAAGAGAATTAATTGACACTTTTAAAGATAAGCTATAATCAATTATGAATACTACAAATAGTAGAATTTAATAGTTATGAATATAAAATATATATAAAAACAAACTCAATTCGACTTAATTTTGTATTTGTAAAACTCATTCAAAATAGTAGTAATAATAGTAAAGAAGAGTGCGTATATGATTTCTTTGATGATGTAAAAAATGAAATCGGCAAGAGTTTGTTCTAAGATAAAGTAGGATATAAAAATGAGGATGACCAAGGTCAGTGATCCAACTATGGTTCTGTGAAAGGTGATCTTCTCATATTTATCATTTAATTTCTTCAATTAAACCACCATCAATCCAGACAGCAATATGATTGAGTTATTGAGTATGAATCTAAAATAGTTAGTAATAATAATTTACAAGTATGTTATTGAAAATACGTATCCACAAATTAATAGTAAGTAGACGTCGAGACCTGTAGAAATCAATAAGGCGTAAAGAAGTTAGTATTTGATGATTAGTGTAAATATATTATTATATATACAAATACTCCAATCATGGCCTTTGCAATTTTATTTGCAATCCCAACAAAATTCAAATTTACAAACTTAACATGTCATGTGTGAACAACCACCATTTTTAGTAATTTTAACTTCACATCTAGGACATTAATAAGTAGTGGTAAATTCAGTAATTTCATTCAAAAGTGTTTTATATGAAATCTGGTCATAAGTTTATAAGCGAGTTTAGCAGATTTCACAAATATCAACACAATAGGATTTACAAGGTTTTAAATAATAGAATTCGCAATTTGAGTTTGGACATTATTAGACATCAATAGATTTTTTACAATAGCTTTTAAATAATTGGTCATGAATATCTTAAATGAAAGAGTTTCTGATGGCTAATTATTCGATAGAATCAAAGTAAAGGGTTTATTAACAACCTCCTGGACAATCGATATTTAAATGTGTACCATCAGATGTCCAAAACTCTTCTATTTTTATCTAGGTTTATAATTTAAATCCAATTACCTTGGTGTAGTGTTTAATACAGTTTAGACACACTTTGCAATTGCATTCCAACAAGGACAATCCAGTGTGTTCATAACAAATTTCACAGAAATTTTGAACTTGCATAGTGATTATTATTAAATGTATAATTTATGCTAAAATTATTAGCAAAATATTGAGAAAGAATTATCAAACAAGGTATTTATTGGAATATAAAACATTTAAATGAATTTGATATTCTATTGTAAAAATATTAACAGTTATACTAAGTAATGAATAAAACTCAATTCAATCTTAATTACATAGTTTATTAAAAATAAATTATATATATATATATCATACATTGATATGGAGTAGGAGAAGACCAAAAAAACATAGAAGGATTATGATATTGAGGCAGCAGAAGAGTTGAAATAGCTAGCACTTCCTGGAGACTTGGTTGGCAATGTTTCTGCCACTTTGTTAAAATCAGTTTAGAAAGTGTAGAATGAAGATATTAAGCTTCTTGCTCTATCAAAATTTCATTAGACTCTATGCAAATTCACAGTTCAAAATGTTTCAGGGGTAAATATGAAGAAGATTTCATTAGGAATTGCTCCAAAAGTTACCAAATGATAAATTGCTAATCTTCTTCGATTATGTGAATTATTCATTCGAGTGTTTGAGCAAGGGCGTGAAGTTACCTGAAACTAGCAACTCATATAATGCAACTTTCTTGTTGAATGTCTATAATAAATTGGTAGAATTACGAGGATTGCCAATTATTATAGAGTCAATAAGTTAGAAGAAAACATTACCAACCCAAATTATTACAATTAAGTGACATATATATATAATAAACCGGGCAAAAATTTAAATTAAAATATTATGTGGATCAAAGAAATCATTATCGAGGGTTTCAAGTCTTATGCATAAAGGACAGTAATAACGAATCTAGATCCGGAATTCAATGCCATTACTGGATTGAATGGTTCAGGCAAATCCAATATTCTGGATGCAATTCTCTTCTGTTTGGGATTGAGCAAAGAATACGACACAGTATGAATATCCTATATGTTTATTAGCTTCGTATTAAGAAATTGCAAGAGTTGATTTATAAGAACGGTGCAGCAGGAATTACAAAAGCTGAAGTGACTATTGTCTTTGACAATCGCAGCAAAGAGTAGAGTCCATTGGGATATTAGGATTGTGACAAGATCACAGTAACCAGATAGATTACAGCTGATAAATCCAAATATTTCATTAATGGCAAATCCGAAACCTAGAAGAACTTCAAAAATATGTTCAGATCAGTCCAATTGAACATAGATAATCCTCATTTCTTGGTGGCATAAGGCAGAATAACTAAGATTATCAATCTTAAACCGTAAGAACTAATAAGTATGTTGGAGGAGACAGCAGGAACTTCGTTGTATAATGAGAAAAAAAGAGAGGCTTAGAAATTAATATAGAAGAAAGAGGAGAAGCTAAAATAAGTAAATGAAATCATTGAAACTGAAATCTAACCTCAAATGTAGAAATTGACTGATGAGAAGAATATCTTCTAATTATGGAGAGCTTAAGAAGCATAAATCTTGGTTTTGAAGAAGGATCTATTTAGTTATGATTACTATTAGAAGGCTAAGACTTTGAGAATGAAGAAAAACGATTTGCAAATTGTGAACGAATAAATTAGTAATCAAGAAGAGAAGATGAGATACGAAAATGCTGAAATATCCACTATCTAAGAGAAAATACAGAGTTTGTAAGAGTAGAATAGGAACAATAAATACGACCAAATTACAGAAAAATACAAGGAAAAATAAAAGTTAGTGAATACCTTAGAGAAATAAGTGTAAAATACCAGGAGACAAAAAGAAACTATAGAGAGTGAGAAGATAAAATTAGAACATGCATTAAGAACATATCAAACTGATAAAGAGAGAACAGATTAGAAAGTAGAAATAGCTGATCGACAATTAAAGTAAGTGTCAGATGAATTGAAAGAGAAGAAGGAGCTCTTGGATGAATAAACAGGATAACAAAACTCATCTGAAGATGGTAATATTGCTTAAAATGGTAAATAGATGATTTAAAGGTAAATTAATGACACCATTTCTCATATAGATTCTAATAGAAAAGATTTAGAACAAGTAAATGAACGTTTATAAAGAATTGATAATCATATGTTGAGTTCAAAGACTATTTATGAATAAATGTAGAAAGAAGCTACTAATCTAGACACTAAAATTGAGTTATTAAAGAAAAGAATAGAATAAAGTGAATCTGAGATTCAAAAGTCATCCAGTTTAGAATAACAATTATTGGATTTGAAATCAAATAGAGGAGATTTAGATTAATAACTATTAGAAATTAAGAAACAAATTTCATAATCATAACCATTTATATTTCAGTTGAATTTGTCAAGAATGAAGGATTGGGATTAGAATAGAGTATATGGTAAATTGTTCAGTTTGTTCGAAGTGAAGGATGAATAATATATGAAAGCATTGGAATTCGGTGCTGGAGCAAAGTTATAAAATATAGTTGTTGATGATTCTACTACATCCACATACTTGTTGAAGAATAATATATTGCAAACTCATTCCTACATAATCCCTAATAAAGAAATTCAATCTAGTGAAGCCAAGAAGGAGTTTGTTTAGGCTGCGGCTCAAATTGCAAAGGAGAATGATGGATTCGCTAAACCTGCTATCGATTTAATTTCCTTTTCAGATAAAGTGATCAACTCTATGAAATTTGTGTTTGGTAATTTCATCATTGCTTCATCTATGGATATTGCAAGAAAGATTGCCTATCATCCTTCAAATGTCTAAAAATGTAAAGTTGTTACTAGGGATGGGGATATTGTTGATCCATCTGGTACTTTGACTGGTGGTTATACTAATGAAAAGGCACAATTACTACCTAAATTTAAATCATTCAATAAATGGAATCTAGAATATAAAGATATTCAAGGATAAATTGATAAAATTGAATCTTAAATTGAGAAGATTAAATAAGACATTGAATTCAAGGAATAATTAAATAGGGAAATAACTTAAGATAAATATCAATTAGAACAATTGATGATCAAACAAAGAAAGAGCAATCAATTCAATTTCTAGAATGAATAGAATAAGTATCTTAATGAAATTCAAGATCTATAAGTTGAATAAGAGAGACTCAAAAAACAAATCAAAGAAGGTGAAGATAAATTAATAGAATTGAAAAAAGAGTTATAATTAATTCAGCAGGGTAAGAACACCAAAGAATTGATTCAAGCTTAAATAGATAGGACGAAAAAGGAAATTAATAAATTAAAGCAATAGATAGATCAATAAAAGAAGGAATTGATTTAAAATCAAGTGGAAAGTCAAAATTTTGAATAAGAAATCGCTAAATGTACTAAGAAAATCAAAGAAGAAACAAATAATTTAGACAAAACTTCCGCTACATTGGATTCAATAATCCATGAATTGAATACAAACAAAGATTAATTTTTGAAAATAACTGAGGAAAAGAATTTATATGAAAGTAAAAATGCTATTCATAACAATTAAATGACTAGGTTATTAGAGTAATTGTAAGAAAGATAGAAATTCTTGAATTCTACAGTCGAACAACTAAATGGACACTAAAATGAACTAAAGAAATTAGAAAGAGAACAGCATGATCTGAAATAACAATTGAAGTCATTAGAAGACTAGTATGATTTTATTAGATAAGATAAAAATGAATTATCTTAAGACAGACTATCAGAGAAATTCAGAGTGCTAGAGACAATGGAATATGAAAAAACTAAATAATAGTTCTAGAGATTGGAACATGATCAAGGGAAATTAGGAAAACAAGTTAATTTTAAGGTCGAAGCTATGACTGAATAAGTTGAAAAGGAATTTTAGTCTTTGAAGGACAAAAAATTAATTTTAGAAAATGATAAGTCCATGCTTATTTAAAATATGGGAGAATTGGATGACAAGAAAATTAAGACTATTGAAAAATGTTTCTTGGAAGTCAATAAGGATTTCTCATCTATTTTCAGCTCATTGTTACATAATGCCTAAGCCAAATTAGGTAGATTGGATGGACTGTCAATTGAGGATGGAATAGAAATGAATGTGTCGTTTAGTCATCAACAGAAAAATCTATCAGAATTGAGTGGAGGATAACGATCTTTATTGGCCTTATCATTTATACTTGCTCTATTGAAATACAAGCCTGCTCCTTTTTACATTTTAGATGAAGTTGATAGTGCTTTAGATTTATCACATACAGAAAACATTGGTTAGATGTTGTCTTAGAATTTCAAGTAATCTCAATTCTTACTGATTTCGTTGAAGGAGGGCATGTATTAGAATGCAAATGTTTTGTACAAAGTTCAATTTGTAGATGGAGTAAGTAAAATTGATAGACATGAACTAAAAAAGAAGAAATAATAATAATTAAAATGATTGATATATATTAAATATATATATAAAAATTATATAAATTAAGATGAAAAATAAAGGGAGTTTTATAATAAATAAGAAATCTTCAATTAAGAGTAGTAAATTGTTTTTGTTTGAGAATCTTTTATTTGAGGATGTCCCTCTGGCTGCGAAATAGGCTTACTTGGAATGTCTAGAAAAACAAATTAATGATTTAGATGTTATGAGAAAATAATTAAATGAGAATATATAGAAATAGGAAATGATTAAAAAGCAATAGTTACAATTCAGAAAAGAAATTGAAAACATTTAGAATGATTAATAATTGGATCACAACATCATAAATTAATCTATGCTATTGAGTCAATTCATCAGTGAATAATAAAAGATAGATACTGGTTTAATTGAATAAAGCTATTTAAAAGATTTAGAATACTTGCAAAATTAACAACTCAAAACATCAAATCAATTCGTCCCTTTTGAAAATGAATTTTTATGATTAATAAATTATATTTTTAACTCTGTTTTTGTAATCAAGGCTTACTTTTTGAGAGCCTATCTATGAATAGTTTGAGAATAATTTAACCTGTAATAGATTATGGCGAGTAAATGATATTTTATCAAATATAAAATATTTCAAGGGACTTTCAAATAGAGATTGAGCAATTAGCTGAATTAAATAAGCTATTTGGTTGAAATCTACAAAAAGACAAAGTTATATAATCTAATGGAATCTTCTAATACTAAATCAAAGATCTATAATAATATTGTGTTATTCATAGAATACTTATTATATTTTATTAATAATAAAATTAAATCATTGATAATGGAATCTAGAAGCACTGGTACAAAGAGACTTATCTCAGTTGGATCTCTGTCAAACTTTGAAAGAGCTGAATTTATCTCTTCTAAAACTGACACTAAATAAAGATTAGGAGAGCTCTTCATTTATGAACCTACTAAACTAGAGAGTAAATATGCGTGTTCATTATAAATTAAGTGTTTGGATTGAGATAATAGATTGTTAGTACTCGAATTCCTAAGTTTGATCATCCTAAACCTATGTTTGAATTGGATTATCAACCAGAAAAAACCTTAACACATGTTGCATCTCAAACTGAGTGTTAAAAATGCAATCATAGTTAAAGTAGGATGGTGTAACCTAAATTAAACATGGAACAATTGCATTTATCTGCTCCTTCATTGTAACCCTATGAAAAATAAGAACCTAAAGTTATAGTTCCTAAATAATTGCAAAGCCATGTATTGAGACAAAAAAAGAAGGATCTTCCCCCTATTTTACAGTATTCCTTTGTTTAGCCTCCACCTGTCTTTACATAATCTGCCAAGGCTGTTAGAGAACAGAAATCTTTCGGCAAATTATCATAAGGCAGAATATCCAAGAAATTTGACAGCGAATTGGTTAAAGTCATTCAATAGGAACTCAGCAAATAATTACATAAGATGGAGGATGAAATCTCAGAAAAAGGATATAGTGTCCCTCTTAAATATGTATAGATAGATTTATACATTTCTTTTAGTAAAATCTCAAAAGAACTAAATAAATGACCCTGAGTAAGAAAATCAAATAAGAAAAGTACTCTTAAATCTTAAATGAAAAGAAAACTGAATCTTAGTTCTTTATGTAAAAGGAAAAAGAAAAAGAAATCCAATCCATCATATTTTTCAAATAACCTGAAAAAAGTCAATCTCAAATTCGCCTCTAAAAAGAAGAAACTAACAACATAATCTTTGGCTATTCAAATAGATTAGAGGAATAAGCATGATTCAAATGTACTCGAAGTTAATCATATTTACATTATAAATAATTACATCTACTCAAATTGAATGCTTAATGTTACAATTGTCGTATAATTCCAACCTTGAACTCTAAGATTCTGATTCTGCAATGAGATTATTTCTATTGCAAATTGCATTCTATCCCCAAATTAATTCATTTTTAATTCACACAATTAGGTTAATAAATATGTATATGACAATCAACTAAAACCTCTAGAATCTTTATATTTAGAGTACTCTTAGAGTAAAGTAGATTAATAAAATATATATATGATTAATTATTATTATTATAATAAATATATTAAAAAATCACTCGAAATTGTTCTATGTCTGATACAATTAATCAAGAAGTTCAAGAAAATAAATAAATTGATACTTTTGAGGATTCGTAAGAATTTAGTTAACAATTACCTGATATTTCTATAGCCATGATCTAATTTCAATAGTAGAATGATATTTAAATTAATGATAAAGAGAATAAATAAATAATAAATTCTTATCCCAATTAAGATTTATAGGAGTGGAATAATTAATTATAACAACACAATACAAAATTATAAGAGCAAAATACAGAATTACTTGAGCAAAATAAAAAATTTTAGGACCGGAATAAAAAATTAGAAGAGCATAATACAGAATTAGATTAGCACAATACAGAATTACAAGGGCACAATACAAAATTACATGAACACAATACAAAATTACATGAGAATAATACAAAATTACATGAGAAAATCAAAAATTTACAAGAATAAAATACAAAACTATAAGAACGCAATACGAAATTAGAAGAACACAATACAGAATTGGAAGAGCAAAATGCAAAATTCTAAGAGCAATAAACTAAATTACAGGAGCACAATACAGAATTACAAGAGCAGAATACAAAATTACAAGATCATAATACAAAAATACAAGAGCGTAATTAAATGTTGCACTAATAATTAAGTTAAACTGAAAATCAATTCAACTTGATGAATCAACGTGTAGACGAATTAAATCAGTAAAAAAATCAAAATCAAACAACGGTTAATGACCTTAAAAAGTTAGTTGATTAATAGAGAGATTTTATTAATTAAATTAATAATGATTAGGCCTACTTGGATTTGACTGAATCATTAGAAATCACATTGCAGAGATTAAAAGAAATGGAAAAGAAGAATGAAAAGTTAATGGAAGTGAATCTTTATTATAAGACAAAATATGAAGAAAGCCTAACTTATATAAGAAGCAGCAAAGAAGAAACTTTGAATCAATAAGATAGGATAGATCAATTGAGTCAAAATTATTAATAATCATCTGAAGACTCATAATCAAAAATTAAAGACTTGGAAAATGAAATTAGATTTTTGTAACATTAAATTACAAATAAATGATTCATATTTTTAAACCTAACAATTTTCAAGGCTTAGAAGCAGAATATTATTTTAGATAATATATGAATTTTTAACCCTTTTGAGATTGAAAATAAAGCAAAATATAAATATATATATTACAATTTTTTGGTTTTGAAATTCCATAGTTTCTTTTGAGTAGTCTATAGTAGGACTTGTAAGAAGAGCTTAACAGAGATAGGCTATTATTCATGCTTACCATCCTGCATATAGTCCTGATGTGCCCGAATTTTACATATCTGATAATTTATTTGCTTTAGATCAAAAAAGTCAAGCATGACAACAAACTAATAAAGAATTTGATAGATATATAGACTAAAAAGAGTTTAATTAATTAAATCTGACTTTTCCGAATACACAAATTTCAACTTTTTTTATATTTCTCAATCCATTGAATTTCCTTCTATAAAACTGTGCCTAAAGAACTGTTCACTTTTAATTATCTGAAATAATTGATTGGTGTATTCATTAATTTGGTTTCTTATAAATAACTTGATATATTTAAGAAATGAGCAGCTCATCTTCAATTTTGTCGATATAATATAAGCTTATTTTTTGCCTTCCAGAAACAGAAATAGATATTAGGACATTATTTTTAGTGACCCTAATAGCCATTTTAAATCTATCTTAAAATGTTTATAACCTTCTTTTAGCTGATTTCATTAATTTTACATTATACTTATTTAGTAATTAAATAAATATAATTTAAAACTAAGTAAGTAATATTCTAAGAACAAAATGATCAAACGAATAAAATCAAAAGTTAACTTGAAAATGGAATATCAGTTTAAAATCTATATATTATTACTCAAAATATAGAAGAATATTGCAGGTAAAATTTAGCAATAATTTCATTGATAAATATCTTTAATTTCAAGAAAATAATTTATTACTAGCAACTTTCACTTTCTCCTGCTTAAACATCTATCTGAAAACATATTGAACTTTAGGATAGAGTTGCTTTGCAAAAACTATTCCAAGGCACGTTATCAAAAAATACATCTAAATAAATCCTAAAGTAACTTTGTTTTCATAGGAAATAGCCATCTGAGTAAAATCAAAATATAAGAATAAGCTTAAACTAAATATTGTCAAGACTCCTTCAATTATTAATAATATAATCCTATCAGATTTGGAGCATAATTTATATTAGTAGGTTATATAGAATGAGCTTACATTGCTAAAAGAAATTAACAGCAATTACAAAATTTATTCCCTTTAGAACTCTATTAATACAATATGGAAAAACATCGTTCTGGAAATGTCTAAGCCTATGAATTTTATTTATTGAATTGCTTTTATATTTTTCTTATGGTAATCTCCACATACACTAAATAATTTTAATAACAAGCTAATACACATCAAAAGTATTGAAATTGCAAAAAATGTAGTTAAAATGCTTCTCAAATTATTTACTCTATTATAATAAATTTGTAAAATCACTTTAAATATCAAATCCCATGAATTAATGTAAATAGGTTGTAGCATTTTATTATAATTTTAAAGATACCGTATTTTCATTATTTAGGTGATGCTATTTTTAAAATTAAGTAATAAATTAGTGATTATTAAAAAAATCTTTGATTAAATAGTTGTTTGATATTCGAGACTTTTCATATATTAACTTAATCTTAAGAATAAAAGAAAAAGGTTTCTGGCAAAATAAAATAATGGTATCAATGCTAATGCTTAAAGAAGTTGTGGTAAAATATTTGTAAAAAGATCAACTTCTACATGATATTATTAGAATTTTCCACTTAATTCAAATTATTTTTCATTTCTTGTTATTAAATTTAAATAATCATCAGCTTCAAAAAGGTTCAAATAAGATGTAAGAGATAGCAACTCCTATGCTTAAAAATAAATTTAAAGGTTTTCAGGATAGTCCACATTAATAAATCGTAAGAATGATTAATATTACAAAAGATTCAGTGTTTCAATAACGAAGGAACTTTAACCAGAAACTAAAGAAACTGCACATATAGTTATTGCTCCAATCATAAATGCTTTGTTGGATGATTAAGCATAATTGGATAACTATTTTTATTCTCCAGATATTATTTTTGGGAGTTATAGAATAATTTATTCACTGGGATTAAAAATGGTTTAATTATTTGAGTTAACAACTACTTGGTTCAATTAAACTTAAAGAACAGATTTTGTAGAAAGCTGTTAGAAAATGTCAATTACAACCTAATACTTTGCATTCGAAAGGTCGAATGAAAGATCTTAAATTGCATTAATAGTAATATTATAATATTGGGAATCTAAATCTGTGATGCTAATATTAAATAGTGTTTGGTCTTTTAATATATTGTCCTAAATTTTTACTTCTTAGTCAAATGTAATATCAACATATTAGAGAGCATATAATTATTTGTTGTAGGTCAGTTACATGATTGCTTTTTTTGAATATACGCATTCATTATCTCGACATACCTTATTATCTTTCCATGAACTCTATTCTACCTTTGTACTATCAGTACTTGTAATGTTATTTTTAGTTTCTATGATAATTGTAGTATTAGGATTGTTGCCGCTAGTTTCTTCGATAATGCTAGAATTATTTTATACATTTGATTTATCTAACAAACATTGATAATTATTTAACATATAACTTGTTTGGCATTAAATGCAAACTCTATCTTAGCATACCTGACAATTCTTTGAACATTAAAATTTGCATTAATAGCATCCATCATCAGGAATACTATTAAAATCTTCACAATCTTCATTACCTGCAACAATTTCATCTCCGCAATATGGTAAACAATCATTACTATGATTATCATAATACAACCCTATTAAATCTTCACATGATTTTGTTACTTCACATATACTTTTTGACAGTACAAGTATAAAAGGAAGTTCGCATAACATACATTTTCCAAATTAACAATCCAAACACATTTCTTGACATTAATATTTACATTCAAAACAACCATCGTATCTCAATTCATTGCCATCATCGCAAACTTCATCACTTGCCAGTATACTATCGCCACAAACAGAGTTACAAGTATTGGTTACAATATCTAAATAGAATCCTTCAATACAATGAGTACAATCACCATAAGCACAAGATTGGCAATATTGAGGACATTAGTATTTGCAATTTAAACAATTGTCTAACTAGTATTAACTTCCATCATCGCATTCCTCCTCTTAAACTATTATACCATCTCCACATTTAGGTATACAATTGGTTCCATGATATCCAAATTCACATTCTAAACATTTGGAAAGTACACATGAAATACAATGTTTATTGCATCGGTTCATATTATAATCAACAATGCAAGTTTAAGAAATGTAATCTAGATATCCAAATTAACAAAGTAAACATTATTTACCTTCTAACAACTTGCAATTTGGTTTCTCATAAATTGTAAGTTATGGTTGAATTGGCTTACATGAATTATTTAATTAATCAAAATCATAATCAAGTTAACAAGATTGACATATTCCATTCAAGCAATTTTCACAAAATTGACTGCATTAATATTTACATTAAAAACAACCATCAAAATTAATATAATTTCCGTCATCGCATTCCTCATTCCCAACAATAATTAAATCTCCACAAATTGGATCACAAAAGAATGAACCTAAATTCCATCCTTCTTTGCACTCAAAACAAACACCATCAATACAACGTGTACAATTAACATCACAAATTTATTCACATTAATTGTTACAACCATCATCATTTAATAAATTTTAATCATCACACTGTTCAATATCTTCTATTATGCCATTTCCACATTATGGAGTACAACTGAAATCATATTCACAGTCAATTTTTATACAAAGTAAATGTTCATCTAAGAAATAACCACTGCTACATAACTAGCATTCACCTTAAACACAATTAATACAAATTTCTTAACACTTTGAAAAGCAGTTATTCTCAATTAAAGTAAATTCTTATGAACATTCTAAACATTCTCCATTTATACATTATATACAATTATCATCGCATTCGTATTTACACTAATAGCAACCATCAGAGTGTTACATATTTTAATCATCGCACTCTTCCCATCCATTAATATATCCATCACCACACTAAGATTAGCAAATTAATAACTCTTAATCCAAGTATAAGCCTATTTAACATTATTAGGTTTAAATGCATATATTTTCATAAGGTTCATATTTTTATGCACATTAAAAGCATTAATTATTATAATATTGAATGCAGCTCTCGGAACTTCTAGAAATACAATCACCTAACTCGTTTAATTTATAATCTTTGACACAAATTAAGCAATCTCTATTCAAATTTAATTAACAGTATGATTAGAAATCAATGACAACTGCTTCATAATAACAAAACCCATCCCTAAGAAAATAATTTGTTTTACATTCTTAGCATACTCCATTTAAGCAATTTATACATTATTAACTACAAGAATATTTACAATGATGGCAACCATCAAACTCTATAAAATTATTATCTTCACAGTCTTCATCATGAGCAATTATTGCATCTCCACATACAGATTCACAAACATTTGTATATTCATTAAGATGATATCCCTGTTTACATTCATAACAATAATCTTAAAAATATTTTTCACATTATCTTGGGGTATCAAACATACAACTTAAGCAATTTTTATCAAAAATTTCACATTATTCATCGTGTGCCAGTATACCATCGCCACAAAATGATATACAAGAAAAATTTTCATCTAAATAATAGCCTCTTTAACAATTTAGACATTTATTTTCATTACATGCCACACAGTAATCAATACAATAACTACAATGTAATTCTGGAGATAATCTAAGATAATATTCACAGAAAGTTAATGGTGCTTCTTTTAACTAGCACTTCGACACAGATTATTCAAAGTAGGCATATTGTATGCACGAAATACAACTATCCCCAATTTAGATATTACAGTTCTCAATTACAATAGAATTATATTATAGAGATTTAGTACAAATCTGTTGATTAGGATTTAATTCATATCCATCTTAGCATTGATAACAAATACCAAATTAACACAAAAAGCAATTCAAATTACAAGTAAATTAACAAGATTAGCAATTTTCATAAATTTACAATGAAGTTATTATATCACATTGTTCATTTTGTTTTTAAACACCATCTCCACATATAGAGTAGCATTTAGTTTGTATTAGTTGATAACCTTCTTAGCAACCGTAACAGGTTCCTTTAAGGCAATAAAGACATGAATCCTAGCAACTATATTAACAGAAATGACATCCATCGGCAATAATTAAATTGCCGTCATCACATTCTTCATCTTCAGTTACTATTTTATCTCCACAGATTGAATAACATAAATAATCAACTTGCTTATAACCAGTTTTGCATGTTTAACAGCCAAGTCCAGTATTAGCACAAGTGACGCAAGACTTTTGACATTTGTTTAAACAATTTTAGCAACCTTTATATGGTAGTATCGATGATATCTCACATTATTCGCCTTCTACAATCAACGAGTCGCCACAAATTGGTATACATATTTTTTAATTTGATATATAATATCCAACAGCACATATTTAACATCTATTACTTACGCAGCTAGTGCAAATAGATGACTTTTAACACTAAAATTCACAAGTATCACTACAACCATCTCCATTAGTAGTATTGCCATCATCACATTGCTCTGTATAGTACCCAGAAGGATCTAGTGCGATTATGCCATCTCCACATATATTTTAACAATAGTAGGAAATAGGAAATAGCCCAGGTGGACCACAACTTAAGCATTTTTTGGTTGTATAATCACAAGAAGAACAACCAATTCTACAGTAATACTTACAATCTTTGCACCCATCTGTATCATAAGAGTTTCCATCATCACATTATTCACTTCCAATTACTAACTAATCTCCACAAGTCTCCTTACATTTCCAAGGAGTAACTGTTAGATCAATTTGCCAGCCACCAGTAGCACACTCAAAACATTGTCCTTTTATGCACTATGTACATTAAAGTTCACATTAATATTTACAATTAAAACACCCATCATACTAAGTAATATTTCCATCTTCACATTCTTCAGTTCCAGAAATAATTCCATCTCCACAAATATCAGGACAAGGAAAGATCGTTGATTAATCACAAGTTAAACAATGCGCTGGACATTAAAATTAGCAATTATAGCATAAATCATTAAGGAGTGTATTATTATCTTCACATTATTCATATCCTTTTACTTATAAATCTCCACAAATAGGTTGACATTCTCCAGATATTAATTAAAATCCAGTATCGCAAGTACTACAAGTAATAGTATGCCATATCAATTAATTATTATTGCAAAGTTTATAGCATTAGCTAAAAGATAAATCTTCTGTATTTGGACAATCTACAATATCATTATTAAATATACTTGTACAAAAATTGTTTAATTCATAATAACCAGGTGAACAAACACATTTTAACCCTTTTAATATTCTATTTTAACTTGGATTGCAGGTTAAACAACCATCAATGGCAATTCTAAAGCAAGTTAAGCACGATGAATGACAAGAAGAACAAGTTTTTGTTGCATACTAATAAGATTTCCCTGCTGAACATCTACAAGTTGATCCTACTTTTTCAATACTAACCAAATTATTGCATGTTAAACATTCATCAGAAGTTGGTCCAAAACAAGTTTTACAAAATTAATGGCATAGCTAACATTAAGGATTAGATGCAATATGATAATATCCATCAATGCAATTGCATTACCCATTTGATAATTATCTATTATTAGTAATTAAACATTCTATACAATAAGTAGAAGTTAAACATTAATTACATACTATTGGACAATCAAAACATTAATTTGAATCTTCGTACTGATTCATTTTGCAAGTACATCCTAATTTAGATTAGGTATAGCTTGATTTGCATGTTTAACAATCTAATTTAGATGTGCATGTTAAGCATGAATATGGACATTCTTTACATCCTACTGATTCTTCATCATAATATTGGTTAATCAAACAATCTGCTTAAGAAAATTTAATTATATTAGAATCATAAGTGCTATTCCATGAAGTACATGTAGATTAATCCGAACATTATAAACATTAAGGTTAGCAATTATGAACGGCAACATAATAATTATAGAGTCCACAATATGCCTCTATTGGTTCATTATTCGGTCCAAAGCATTCCCAAGTGATTGTTAATGTATTTGTATTATGATTGATTTTTTCATATACTCTGTCGTATTTTGAGCCATCAGAAGTAGATTCAGAATTACTTGAACTTTACATAGAAACAGGTGTATTATTCTCAATTTGATATATAAAACTCCCATCTGATGGGAATGACGGTCCATAAACAATGTAAAATGCAATAGTAACACTATGATGCGGGGTTATTATATTATGAATCCTTTAGAATTTAGCCTAAGCCCATACAAAAGGTCCTCCAAGGACTCTATAATTATACCAATATGAAAAATAGATATCCTATCCTTTCAAAAAATTTGTTCCATTTTGAGAAATTAAAGTATACTTTGCATATTATTCAGGGTCTCCAGTCCGATCTAAATATTCCTTAATCAAATATGTGGAGTCTAAAATTTATTTATATAATACAAGGTGTTTCATCATCGTAATCATAACAATAAGAGCCCTATTTACTTTAATATGGATATGAGCAATAAGATAAACAAGTACCATCTCGATAAAAATAATAATCATTTTAACAAATTTTACATTTAAATGATACTTCGCACAATTTACAATAATTAGGACAATATCCTTAAGAAAATATGATTTATCTAACTCCCCATCCTGCTGTGTCAATACTAATTGAATAAATTAATATTTACGTGTAATTTCCAACGACTGAAAATATAAATGAATATTTAGGAATGTCAACATATGTAGTAATTTCATATATTTTAATCTCTGAATACGAAAGGTATGATTCAGAAGAAGTAATCTTAAATATTTTGACTTTATGGGTTTGAATTCCAGATGCATTCCTATAAATAGATCCGTAATAAGTATTATTAAACTTAAACTATATTCCACAATTAAGTGGAATATCATTAAAAGTTATGATTCTAATATTCAGTCCAACCAAATAAGTAGAATAAGAATAAAAAGCCAAACCTTAAATATATCTATAAATGCCAGAATTAAATTTAAATACTCCAATCGTACCATCAGTTAGTGTTATAGATGTATCTACATGTTGAGGGTCATATATAATCTACTATGTGGAGACCTAAAAACCAAAATTTATATAGCTTATTGTTGAAACTAAGAAATATTAATTAAAAATACTTGGATAAGATTAACAAAATCCATTCTTAAATAATGGATTGTAAAAATCACAAATATCATGACATCCCACATACATCATATAGAATTAATCTGATGGGCAAGGTGGGCAAATGTAATTTGTAGGTAATCCATAATAACAACTTGTACATTAATTATCATTTGGACCTGAACACATTAAACATGAAGGATAACATTTTTTTGGTTTAGAGAAATAGGTATTTCTGACTGACACTTTTCCTTAATTTGTATTAAAAGATTTAATCTAAAATTAATCTTAAGTACTAGTTTCTGTGTAACTAAAAGTAAAATTCCAAGTTCTAACTTCATAAGAAGTGCTATCACAAAATTGAGTTGTCAATGGGTAAGTTGTGGGGGAAGTGTAGGTATACGATTATGAAAATGTTCCAAGGGTAAATTAAACATTTTCAGATGACCAATTACCCTGAAAAAATAAATCCATAGATATCCAATATTTATAATTTAAGCTTAAAGCATTATAACATTAAGCATCTGGATATTAATTACTTAAAGTAATATAGCTTGTGTAAGGGGTTGTACAAGTGATAAAATTTGCGGTAGTTTAGCCTGAAGGTAATACAAATCCTCCAGAATAATAATGTGCCAAAGACCCAGTCCTTTGAGTAAATATCTAATCTTAATATAACTTACAAGTATAAAACTCCCATTATGAATTTGAAAAAACAAACTAGCCAAATATTATAGAAATAGTTGATATAAACATAAAATAAAATATAGAGAAACGAAAAAAATCCTTTATTTATAAATGTAAAATTTATAATTCAAATAAATAGAAAATATTATCATGATAAATACTATTAGTTTATAATCATGAGCACTTAGGTATGCAAAACAAATAAAGAAATATAATGTTGAAAAATAATTAGATAAAACCTTAAGCTTATATTATAAAAGGATTTTTTAATTTTAAGTATTATTCAAAGGATTAGATATAAGAATTATTACTTTCATTTTTGAATAATCATCAATGATAATATATTACAAGAAAAAGTAAGCAATGTTGATAGTGTTTTAATTCCATAAATTTTATATGGGTTTAGGCATGCACAAGATCAGATACCGTTCCTTGTTAAGGTAAATCATAACTAGTTGAAAACATGAAAATATCTGCGATTTCCTAAGATAGATTAATCAACATACCTCCTATATTTGACGACCATTTTCCACCAAGTAAATGAATTTTGATCCTGTGAGCTCTTTAAAGATCACAATCTTTTCAAAGCCTTTAGAATGCAAGTAAAGACAATCATTTAGCTCTGGAGTGGTGTCATAGAATTCTTTTCTTAAAAGCTTTTTCAGGTATTCGTTAATAATTCTACTCTCCTCCTGCTACATTATTTAATTATACCGTAAGATTATATCTTTTTAGTAAAATGATTCATTTTATTATTCCATATTTGATCTTCCCATAGACTCATTGTAATGATATTGTAAGACTTCTGTGTATAAGGCTTTAACTAAACTAATAAATACTGAAAAGAAAAAAAATCGAGTGAATATTCCTATAAGTAGTATTGATAAAAATAGTTTATATTTGTAGATCAGGCATTTGATTTTGAAATATAAGAAATTATCTTCTTAGAAATAGAGCGCAAGAAAATCAGAATAGATGAGCACAAGAGATTCGTTTGAGAGAATTTCAATCAAGATCACACAATTAATGGGAAGAAGCCAATCCTGAAGAACATAAATAACAATAAGGTCAAAGAATGGAGCTATTTCGAATATCATGGAGTTCGTTTCCTTCATTTTATAAGAGACACAATGTTGGTTTGATTTACATTGGGAAATTGGTGTACCCTAGCAGAAGAAGATTCTTGCAAATATTGGGCATCTAGATTCAATCTCCCTATGAGAATAAGAAAATTTATATGAAGAATTTTGAATCGTTTATGCAGAAAAAATTTGAATGGTTTATTAGGCTGATTTCACAAATTAAAGGAATATTTGGAATTAGCGGTTATCAAGATTGAATAAATCTGATTAATAAAAAAGCAGGATAATTTAGAAAGATTTCAAGGGGAATTGCTTTATGGGTATGCTTTGGTGGATGGCTGTAAGGAAAGAGTCGGCAATTACGCGCTGGAGTAACCCACTTTATTTAAGGGATGTGCAGAACATCTAAAGGTTGGATTGTTGAAACCATGGATATTTCCAGAAGAATTAACAATGAATCTAAGTACATAGGCTCCAGTGAAATAATTTAAATTACTTGGTCATTCTTGGGCAAGATAGTACATAGAAAGGATATATCTTAGCTGTTTTCTTATGAGGATTTCAGTATCAAATAGGACAATCACAAATATATTAAATTAGCTCCCAATTCAAGATTTAAGTAGATGGATGATAAGAGGAAGTATAATAAGAAGTTGACTTAATTCAATATTAATTTAAATTAATAATAGCCTACTATAAATTTTATCATTTCACTCTATGATTGAAGTAAAACCTGTGTATTCTTATGCTGATTATGAAATTTTATTAACCAAGAGATGGTGAATTTATATAAAGTTCTTATAAAAAATATTATAGATATCTAAGAAAATCATTAATCAAGAAAAACAATGAACAATCGTAATCAATAATCTTTAGAATTTTTTTAAAATGACTAAGTCTTAGAGATATTTTATTTTGGGGGCACCTTAGGTAGTTGAACGCAAGTGCTTTTTGTTTAAGGTTTAGAAAACAAAATTTATTATTTTTTTAAAGTTGGAGTTTACGAAGAAACTTTGCTTGTTGGGGTGTGTAATCTTGCGGTAGCGTTATTTTTTGTGGGAGTTTTGAGTCTTATTTAATGTTTAGGTTAGAAGGTTTCCACATTTTCTTTCAAATTATTGGCATGGTCTTATTTAATTATGGTTTCAGGATGATGAAAATGAATTTGTTAAAGTTTTTGATTTATTTCTTTTGCCAACTAAGTAATAAATATTATAGAATACTTATTAAACTATGATCTTCTTATCATTTAGAAATTGTTGAAAAGTTTATTACAATTTAATGACTAAGTCTTTTTCTTCATTCCAGAAGAGCAATCTCATTTCATAAATTAATTGTACAAACTTCATTCTAACCAAATAAACTGGATCATTTTGTAATGATAAGACCTAAATTAAATTGCAATGTTTGAAAAAGTTTCTGCTTCTTTTTCGACAAATTTAGATACAAAAGTCAATGAATAATACTCTATATGAATAATTAGTGTGAGTCAGATATTATAGAAAATGAGGTACAACTTTATCATAATTTTCTATTATTTAATCTATCAAATATGCACAGATTTTTTTCCTAATGTGTTAAGATCCCATTGATAGGTATGAGAAACATAGAGAATTCAATTCAGATTTGAGGTTTAAGTTAATAGCCAGACATTCCAAAATATTGAGAGTCTCTTCAACTTCATACCAAAGACCTTTCTATTCATAATGAAAAATAGACTTTTTTAAAAAGTCAAAGGTTCTTTGCAATTGAACAGCTAACTGTCTGTTTTTGATTCTGTTCCCCTTATTGATGATATCAAGGAGATAAGGTATGAATAAAATCTAATTCAACTCTAAATTGCCAAATACTAAACCGAGAAGTTATTGATGTGTTTATTCACTTAATTAAGTGTATACGTCTGAGAGATGTTTAAGAAAACTAAACTCTTTACTGGTATCAATTAGATTAGATACCTAATTGATTAGAAAGTCATCATATTGTTATCGAATCTTTGAGTCAAATTAATAGACATATTGATAGTACTCCTTAATTAGTTCAATTTGAATAGGTTGAGGTCTTATGTAATCCATGAATGCCTATTAAATGGGTTCTGTTTTAATGGTTGAAATGCATTAAGCTACTAAAGTGATGATTTTGGGATCATCTTCTATGAACTGTATTATCTGTTGGAGAGTGTCTTAGAATTTGATATGACCCTCATAACCTTATTCTTCCATCTTCAACCAAGAATTGAGAAATAGTCTACACCCACTCAATCTAACTTATTTATCGAAGTCTGAGATCAACGATATGGTATTCTTCAGCCATTCCTCCTCTTTAATTAGTATCATAAGTAATTTATCATTATTGAGTATGACTTGGTCGATTATTCTGCACATGCGCTCATTCTTTCTCCCGATGCATTATTTTACATGCTTCAATGATTGGACTTGTTAAGGACTAGTCATAACAGGGTAGAGCATTTAAATAACTTTTAATGCTTCATACCTGACACTATCTTCATTTAAAATAAGTAGATAGGGTTGGAAATCGAATTCCATAAATTTGGATAGAGTTTGCATTAGCTCGCATACTTAATCACAAAATGGGGTATTATAATAGTTAAAACATAACTCCTAGAGTTACTTCAAAAATTATTCTCTAATTTTGCTTAACACATTTTCCTACTATAAATTCTCATAAGTACTTTGAGTAAGGTGATGAGTACACTTAGAGCCTTGATCAATTCCTTGATCACTTATGAGTCCTCACTTTTAAGCTTATTCTAAAATTAATGGGAATGGAGATTTACAATCATCAATGCGACAAGTTCTGGAACATAAAAATCAAGCTCAGTAGCTTTGTGAATATTTTGACAAACAAAAAGCTTTTAAAATGTTTATCCATTATTCAACAAACAGATTGCCTTGTCTATAAAATTATTATATTCAGGAGTGCATAGTTTTTCAATTTCTTCATTACTTTTGACTTAAATACAGAGTGAAATGTACTTGAATTAGTGCATCTCTCATTGATAGAATCCATTAATTTATTAATTAATTATAACGAATACAAGAAGCATGACTCTTTTTTCTGAGTTTCTCATTATTGGATATTAGGCAGAAGAGTATAAGAACACTGAAATCATGGAGTACTTCCATATTAATGGATCAACTCTTCCAGATTACCTTAGAAATGTGAGCATTGTAATATTTGGTTTGAATGGCATAATAGATGTGCTTCACCAGTGGTTTTGATGCCAAATAGGAACAGGAATAGTAAAAGAAATAGGATGACATAAATAGCAAGAATTATTTGCATTAGTTTGTGATTACAGATCAGAGTGGCAAATTGCGATACTGCACCTCTCTTGTAGTATTTGAGAGTTTGAAGAGCGACTTCTATATCCCTTTTGCCTACGTGATAGTTTCCGAACAATCTAACTTGATTAGATAGAAATCCTACATGAGAGCAATGTACAATGCCATTTTTGACAGAGTCACAGTATTCATTAGTTTAATTATTTGCAGAGATATAGAGATCGAGGATGGTAAATGGGATCCTAGATATTATTTAATCAATAATTATTCGAATTCTATTTGTCAGTCGGAATCACCAACTTAAATGGATTATATTTTGTACCTAAACAAATTATGAGGACAAGGTAAGAAGTAATAACAGATCTAATGATCAACAATCCAAGCCATAAAAATAATCTGTACAATAAAGATATCAGTTTCAATGTTTTATTTTCCAAATTATCAATCAAAAGCATAATTAAAGTTGTGCAATCAATAATTCTTGAAAAACAAATCATTTTATTCACTACTTAAGTTTGGGACTTAGCAAATATTGTTGAGGCATTCCTTCAATTTATTTACCCTCTCTAATGGAGATGCATTTACATACCTTATCTACCAGCAGAAATCCTTGATACTCTTTATGTCTCTGTTCCTTATATTATTGGTGTTCATTGTAATCTTAAGGAGAGAGTATTAACTCAATATGATTGTCTTGATAAGATTCTGGTCGATTTAGATTAAGACAGGGTCATCGGATGCAATTTAGTATAAAGAGACATTATCATATTATTAGATACTACCCTTTCCAGAACAACTTGTGGAAACCCTCACAAATTAGAGTTCTAAATTTTAATATTCTGATGATGTAATGTAAACGTTTGTTAGTAGTCCGAATTGTTATAAGTTTAGTGTTGCTTCCTTAAATTCCAATTGTAGCTTATCAACAACATTGTACCCTACTTTATATACTCTGACACCCTCCAATTGAAGCCGAAGATCGAAGACATTTTTGATAAGGATCTTTACATAGAATAATTTACACCCTTGGATCAAGAATTTTATAGGGAATTCGTGAATAAAACTATGGTATTTACAATTTTATTGAAGTTTGTAGATGTTCCCACGTTTTATTGAAGAATCCTATTAGTATCTACATTAAAAGCAATTCTTGAAACTAAACATAAAGACAAATATTTTCATAGACTTACTCTTATTGATCAATACTTCAGGGTATTTCAATATTTATAAATTACAAAATAAAGACTTTGAAGCTGGGTTATTTAACCTAATAAATGAATCCAAAGTCTTAATTCCAGATTCAGAGAAATCCATTCATACACTCTTCCCTTAATATCAAAAACAAACAAATGAGTATCTAATTCCCTAGAAAAAGTTCCCTATTCTTCAAATTGACAAATCTAAAATTATATAAATTGATCCTATTCAAAGTAACATTCATCATAACTCATTTATGCAGAGAAGCACTTAATCATAAAAAACTGATGTCTGTAATGAAAATAAATAAGTCATCAATATACTTACTATTAAAGCACACCAAATTAATCCAATTTCTAAATCACTAATACAAAATGACGTTGCTGCCTAGATTATTTTTAGATACCCAAAAAAATCTTTGTCAAAACTAAAAAAGACTTTGGCTGCCCAATTATTAAAATTGGCCCCAGATGTCAATTCAGAACAGAAACCTATTCAAACATCCCAAATTGTGAATTTCAGATAGAGCAAACGTATATTTAATACTGAAGAAATGGGTTATGTAAGTATGTATAGGACAAAAACTTAGAATATATTCTGAAATACTTGAAATATTATATATTATCAATATTATTATTAATCACATCTATGGATTGGCTGGGGATTCAACAATGGGAATAGAGTCATGAAGTGAGTCAGTCGAATTTTAAATAGAATTGGGAATCATTGGAGCAGTAGTAGAATCACTTTAAGTAAGACTGCTGGTTTGTGACACTGCTGCTTATTTTAAATCAAAACAACTAAACATTATTTATAACATAGCTTACCAATTTTATAACGTCTTTATTTGAATTTACTTATTAAGATGCTTAGTTTTCAATTGTTCATGTTCATACTTATTGAACAATTTCAATTATTTCATCATCTTCTTAAACCATTTGCACAAATACACTTATTTACAACTGGGTCTTTATTGGAAAGGTTTTGTAAGCATAGCGTACAACAAAATCTGCAAATCCTCATTCAATCTTTCGTTCACTTAAACTTCTTATTGAGGTTTTTGTTGATGTAATAATTCCTATCATAATTCTCTTTTTACATAAATGACTACTCCCAAAGACCATACATCTACTTTATGATCATAATCTTGATCGGACAACATCTCTGGAGCAACATAACCTATGCTACCCAACTTTTCTGAAGTATAAAGCTAATCAAAATTCAGTTATATCGCACTTCCGAAATCACAAATCTTATACACTCCATTATCAATTAAGATATTGTCAGGCTTTTGTATCTTTATATAAATACTTAAATGTCTCTATGGATGATATTATTATTGTGAAGGTAATCAATTCCATCCAGTATCTGATGAAAACAATCGAAAATATTATTCTCTACAAACATTGCTTTCTGGGAGCTCAATGTGCCTTGGTTACAGTACTCCAAAACCAAATAAAGAAAGGTGTCATCCTCAAAGGTCTCATACAATTTAACGACATTCTTGTGATTGAGATTCATATGAATCAGAATCTCCCTCTTCATGCTAAATGCAAATTATGGCTCTTCCAGTAGTTCTTTCAAGATCTACGCCTAAATGTTGCTAATACAATCTTCATAGCACACAATTGATTTTTCATGATGTCTTTTACTAACACGACCTAACTCATTTATCCCTATCCCAACTGTTATATGTACTAGTATCGTGTTGTGTTCGAGACATAGTTTTACAACATTTAAATATTATTATATAAACTTCACATCTTCAATTTGCACTCAATAAAAATTTAACGCAACTCTTCCTCGCCAATCCCTTAATTTAATATTTTATCCTCATCCTAATACAGACTTTCATTATATATGTTCAACATTTCCTACTCATTACTAAACTCAATACCATTATCACCTCTTCTTCGATAGGTTTTTTCATCACACTCTGAGCAGCCTTCGCGATATCGATTACTCCTATTACTTCAGACTCTTGTCTCGACTTCAGGAAGTTCCAAATATACTTGAAATTGGCCTCTTGAATCGAGTTCAACTCTTTAGCATTATTCTTTTTCTTTTTTCCCACCTTCACTTAACTCTAAACAATCTATGGTTAAGTTTAAACTATGGGAATTTACTACACAGTTCTTTCCTTTTTCTAACTAGATCCTTTTTTTGTGAAGGCAAATGAATGTAACTCATTTTCTAAATATTCATCATTCTAGTTCATTTATTTAAATTCAATTTAATTATAATTTGAGCACAATTTTCTTAATACAACTAAAGTAAAACTATAGTATTACCTTAGAAATAAATCAAAAATCAAATAAATCATATCTTTAAACAAAATATTCAAACTCTTACAAACATATCCATTTTTTCATTTTTATTTTACAAAATATAAGTAGAGTTTTACACATGTTTTATTAATTTTAGAGTTATACAGAAATCTTAGAAAAATTGTATTAAATCTTGGCTTATTTAAATTACATAATATCATACAATAATGTATAAATTTAGGTAAAAAGATCAATCATATACTTTTTATCCTAATATTTATCAAAAAACCTATTGTTATAATAAGATAACTATTAAAAAAAGAGTTTAAAATCTACCATAATACTACTGATTTAAAAGGAGAAAACTAACAAGGCTTATTTTGAAATTTAAATGTCTCGGAAACGTATTATAAGTCTATATTTGTTTCATGAGTTCGTCCTCTAAGTTTAAGTAGATATTATAAGATATTTAGAGAATGAAACCATGTCATTTTTCTGAGAATTTAAGTTAGCTTTCGACTGCTTTTTTGTATTTTTGTGTAAATTATATGATTAATATATTTTATTATGTTTGGAGAACAGTAGCTATTAAGCCCTGTCAAGAGATAATTATTAATGCAACGAATAATAAACAATATGAATGAGATCTCAAAACCGGTCTCTACTTCACCGATAAAAAGGAGAATACGCATTTAATCAAATCGTATTGATTATAGGAAGAATTTGAGCATGGTGGAAAATGATTCGAATAGACATATTACTGAGCCTAACAACACAGAAATAAAGAAGTTATTCCACATAAAAGCCAATCGTAAGATGTCTCAAGATCAGATGCATCCTAAATCTCCCCCCATGTTGCCATCACTGTTTGAAATCACCTTTTAGAATCCCTTTTTTGGGCAGTTTTCCTAAAGAAAAGCTTAATATTAACGACCTACAGAATTTTAAGCCATAGTATACAAACGAAAATCATGACTAATTTAATTAATTATTATCAACACGATCCACTCTCCTTTTCCCATTTTAAATATTGATTCTCAAATACACTTGGTGAAGGTTTGACTTAGTTCATAGCCTCTGCAAAATCTGTTTCAGTCACTGGTCCTGGTCTTACATCATCATATGATGTCAAGTTCTATTATTTTTTCTATTTCGCTGTTCTAACATCAACTTAAATATCCTCAATTTAACTAAGGAGTCTTCGAAGTGGTTTCATTGCTGCTTCCTTACAAACTAATTTGATATCACTGCCACTGTAATTTTTAAGAGCTTCTGCAAATTATGGATAATTGAGATTTTCACTCATTTCTTAAGGAATATATCGACGAATCATCGACTCTCTTGATTCTTGATCAGGTAATGGTATGTATATCTAATTAATTAGTATAAATAATACTCTCTTTTCTAATCTTCTTAACATAGCAATATCTAAGTCCCAAGGCAAATTTGATGCAGCCAATAAAAAGACTCTCTTCTTTGATTTTAATAAACCATCTAATTATATAAGTAATTCAGTTTTCATTCTTCTCCCTCCTTCATGCTCATTACCAGCAGATCCTCTTTAACCCATAATTGAATCCATTTCATCTATGAATATTGTGCTTGGTTCATAGTGTCTTGCTAAATCAAAAAGAACACGAATCAGTTTTTCACTTTCTCCTCTCCATTTAGAAACAACTGATGAAGCCTAAACATTAAAAAATGTAGTTCTGCATTCAGTAGCCACTGCTTTTGCTAACATCGTTTTACCTGTTCCTGGTGGTCCAAACAATAAAACACCCTTCCATGGTTCCAAAATTCCTTAGAAAAAATGTGGGTATTTTAAAGGTACTAAGACAGCTTCTTTAAGCAGTCTTTTGGCTTAATCTAAACCAGCGATATCAGAAAATTTAACATTTGGATTTTCTGAACAAATATCTCTCTGTAAATAGGCTGCTAATTATTAAAATTCAGGAACATCAGAATAATCAGGTAATCCTTTTAAAACTCTTGGATCAAACCAGTCCTTATGATTAGCATCTTCGTTATTTTATTATTTTTATTAAACTCCTGTTCCTTAAATTTCTAGTGAATCAGGTTCATTTTTTGCATCCTTACTATTATTATCCTTCTCCTTTGATTACTAAGCATTTTTCTTATTAGAACCTGCTGCATTTTGATTATTCGAATTACTGCTATTGTTACTACCACTTTTTCCTGAACTTGGGATTCGAGGCAATCCTGGAGTGCTTTAACCATCAACCTTTTTTACAAGTTTCGGAGGTTTCATGAACTTCATTTCATAAAACTATTCAAATTCGCAAAATATCATATATAAATCCATATTATCTGCTGCATCATATTAATTCAAAGTCAAATTTGATTCCGTCCCCAATTTTGTTGCTGAGTCAATATAACCAGAATTCACAAGATATCGTTGAATTAAGATGATAACGTTCCTTCTCCGGTCCTTAATTTTCTATTCTTCGCTTAAGCGGGATTCAGAATCAATTTTGATTTTATTTAACATAAAAATTAATGAGTCAAGTATTCTTAACAAAATATTGAGAGTAATGTATAACTTTAGGTTTGCATTTATTAAGAAAGGATTAAACTCAGATTTAAGATTAAAATCTTCAGTCAAAATTTTAATAATCATTCCTTTGATTTCTGAATTATTAATAATTTTGATTAGTTTATTCATCAAAATGAAAATATCATAGTTCAAATTTGCACTTAATCTAATTCTCAAACATGATCATTTAACTATTTAATTAAATATTTTTATTCCTCATTTTTCTACCCATCCATTTACATTTTTTTATATCATCTTTTTAACCTCATCAACTTCCTACAATTGAATCATTGAATACTAATTGTATTTATTGAAATCTTTTTTTAATGATCATCCTATTAAAGGTTTTCATTTTTCTTTACCATAATTAAATTAATTCATTAAAATGCCAATAACTAAAAGAAAAAGGAATTAAGTGTTAACAAAAACTAAAAAGAAAACTCCAGAAAAGAAAGAATTACTTGTTAAGAAACTTAAATAAAGCCTTAAAAAGTATTAAAGAGCAATCGTGTTTCAATACAAAAATCTGTCCACAAATCCATTAAAAGAGATCCAATAAGCATGGAAGGCTGATTCAAAACTTTTTATTGGCAAAAACAAAGTCATGCAAGTTGGCTTAGGTAGAAATGAAGAACAAAGCGCTACAAAAAATTCCTACCTTCTCTCTCCAGTAATTAAAATTTTATATTTGCAGTTTCTTAAAGGAGAAACAGGGTTACTTTTAACCAACAAGACTCTTCAAGAAATCTAAGAGTACTGCGATACATATAAAATTCCAGAGTTTGCCAGAGCTGGCCACATTTCTGATCAAACAATCGTCTTAAAAGAGGGAATAGATACCTTAAAAGGTTTTGCACACTCCATAGAACCATATTTGAGAAAACTAGGACTCAATACTCAATTAATAAATCAGCAAATAGTATTAAATGAAAAGTTTATTCTTACTTAAGAAGGCAAACCCTTAACAGTTGAACAAACTAAATTGTTGGTATTTAGATTTAATAAAATTTAGCGATTAATGGATAAAAAATTAGCCTATCTTGAAATTGCTCCACTTTGCGTGTTAGAAAAGAATGGAACATTCAAAAAATTGTGAATATTATTCAATATAATTCTTCACGAATAATTGGTAATTCTATTTCCAATATTGATTTGTCTGATACAAATTTTGCCTTTCCCATTTTTTCATTTACTGGATATGGCAAGATAAAATCCAAATAATATTAAGTGCTTGACATTATAATCTGTTGTTTCATCACCTCTAGGTTTATTTCTGACAATTTAGTATCGGGTAACTTAATCTTTACTAATAATCCTTAACATTTAGTTGAGCTTGGATCAATTCCACTCCATCCTCCAAAGACATCCTCAGTTCCAACTAATTGTTTGTACAATACATCAACATCTGGTCTTTACCTATTGTCCATTTTTGGTCTATTTTGCACTTAAATCTAAGAATTCATAAACAATATACTTCGTCAATATCCCATATATCATTTTTATCTAAGGCTTTTTTTTTTGGCTTCTCCTATTGCTGTTCCACTTATTGCTCTTGATCCTTTTGCCCAAGCTTTACTTATATTTAAGCATATGGTTTAGCGACTTCTTTTTTTTGACCATTAGATCCAATATCACTTGGTGCAAATATACTTCCCTTATTTGGGTTGTTATTTATATTTGAAAAAGCTCCTTCCTCTTCATCTGGTTATATTAATTAAGCTAATGCTGAAATATCAGAAATATTCATAAATTAATTATCAATATTTATTGGAGATTTCGAATAGAAGAATAGTTTTTGGAGTTATGAATGACTTTAAGTTTATTACGACCAAAGCTTCACAAAAAATTAACTAAAATTTTATCATAAGCCATTTTCAAAGATAATCAAATTAACTTGAAGTAATAATTCTCTTCTTTATTAAGAATTCATTTAACAATAAAATTTCAATTATTATATAACATTTTTTATCTTTTTTTCTACTTGGTATTACTCATCAGGATTATCACTCAATATATTACTAATGTTTACTTCTTTTATTAAAAAAGGACTTCTTTAAGAATCTTCATTATTACTGCAATCTATTGATCAGGAATATCATTTGAATATATAGTTTCTTGTTAAATGGGATCTATTTTTCTATTCTATCATATTTAATTTCTGTATTATTAATAATAATAGACATCAATAACTAATTGAAGAATAAAAACATTGCAAAAATAAAGCATTTATTTTGTAATGGCAAATGATTTGTAGTAGGATTAATTTAGAATTAAGGTTAATAAATTATTTTATTTTATAACACTTATATGGAAGGATATTATGAAAACCCTGGGATTTTTATAAATAAGTTGCTACAATAAGATGATTAGAGTGATTTTGAAGAAGAATTTGTTTGGCTTTAAAATGCATTGAAATCCCTCAATTAATAAGTATTTTAATTTTAATGTTTAGTTACGCGGCACAAATCAAGGAGGACCTGAATTTATTGGAGCACATCCTAAATCATTATCAAAGGCAAAATTAGCCTAAATTAAAAAGGAGATGGTTGATTGGCTAGTTTGTGAAAAAACAGATGGAGTGAGATATTTGTTAATTATCTTAAACAATGGACATTGCTATTTTACAGGTAGAAATTTAGGGGGTTTAAATGCTTCAAATAACCCATATCAATTACATCTTGTTAAAATTAGAGTTCCATCACAATTAATAAATCCATAAGAATTGCAAATACTTGAAATGTTTGATGGAGAGCTAATAATCGAAAATTATCCAAATAATACTTAAGCGCTAAACTATTTAATATTCGATACACTGATACATAATGCAAATAATACTTCAAAATACTAATATTATGATAGATTGAGATGTGCTTAAGAATACTTGGAATTGAGAAAGGTTCTAAAAAAGTTAGGTCCTTTATAAAACATAGATTTTCAACCTTTGAAAAACTTTCCAAAAATTAGATGCATTTTAAAAGATTTTTTTTATGCAGATAAAGTAAGGTATATTTTCAACAATTATATACCCTTGTTACCTCATGGAAATGATGGACTTATTTTTACAAAGAATACTTTTCCTTATGTGTCTGGTACAAATGAAAATATAGTTAAATGGAAACCACCAGAAAAAAACACAATTGATTTTTTGATATGCCCAAATAAAAAAATCACAGTTACAGATTCTAATTATGGTTTATTGGAATTGTATGTGATGTTCAATTAAAAATAAATAAAACATTTCTTTCTATTTGATTTTATCTATGCTAAAAAAGAATTAATCGAGGAAGTTTAAGCTTAAATCTTAAATTAAATAGAAAGGCTTGAAAATCTTGGATAGCATGAAGGTGTAAAAGGAGTTGTAGCAGAGTGTAAATTAGAGAGATTACAGGCGCCTGTTGTAAAAATATAAGCTCTTTATGATTTAAATAAAAATAATATTTACGATGAGTCAAGAGTTGAGAACTTTTATTAATAACTGTTAAGAAATACAGAATTAGCGTTTAGATTAGATTCTCAATTATTGCAAAATTAAATTAGTTTATTGAAAGACATAAGGGAAAGAATTCATTTAAAGTATAACTTTAAATTCAATTGGGTTATTGAAAAATATCGAACAGATAAGACAAGTGCTAATGCATTGTTTGTAGCATAAAACTTACTCGAAATTATAAGCGAGGTATCAATTTTCTATAATAAAGGACTTAAAATAATTAGAATTAATAGAAATTTTAGAAAAAAAGGAAACTTTATAATGAGTTATAATATTGCAATAAATGTTATCATTATATTTTTTTTCTTAATATCTTCTTTTTCAAAATCTACACTTCTATAAAAATCAATATCACTATGATGGTAAATCCAATTAGGTCATATTACACAATGTGATAATACAAGCTCTCTAAGCTAAAAATGTTCTCTAATTTAACCTAAGAGAAAATAATCAACTACTATTTCATAAACTATAATTTTGCTTAAATATTATTGAGGGTTTCTTATACAAGAGCTAAATCTGATTTTTAAGCTATCTCATGCATATCATTAGCTTCAATTCCAATTAAATATTCAAAATAAATCTCACTATATAAGCCGAGTTTATCCTCAAAGCAAAATTGGTAATTCCCTCCTTGCATGGTTGTATAATCATAAATAAGTTGATTTTTTCCTTCGGCTTCATATATCCTTTTGATTTCATCGTTCTCTGATTAATGAGTCATGTAAAAATGATATTAGTCTGTTTACGATCTGATTTTGGCTATTAACAAAGTGTTTGGTGCCAAGACATCAACGAAACATAGTTTTTCTTCCGACTCTAAAAAGAAACTAAATTCAACTCCGTGAACATAAACGAATGAATAAAGGAAATAAAAAAATAAATATTTCATTGTTTTAATGATTTAAACTATTTTTAGTAGTTTTCCCACTCTTTTCTAATTGTTTCTCTTAATTATTGTCTTTTTTGATTGATTTCATTCATATTTCTTTTAAGAATCAATAATTCTGTCAAAATTTCTTTGTCAGGATGTTAAGTTTCATCTTTTTGGGTTTTTACATCTACTTCACCACAAAAGTTCTAGGTGTCTTCATCAGGGTCCTCATCTTCTTCCAACTACTCCAATTATTAATTAACTTTCTTTTTTATTTTTCGTTATTGTCTTTTTTTTCTTTATTTTTCCTTTTTAGCTTCAATTTGTTTTTCCTCTTATTCAATGTAAGCTATAAACATTTATTATTATTTCTCATATTCTATTTATTGAATTCTATTTTCAATTCTTTAAATAATTAATTATTTTAGCTATAATATTTTGGATTAATCTTACAATTCTTATGAAATTTATTTTTAAATAATACTTCTAAATAAATTTATCCCTACCATTTAAAACTTGTTCTAAAATCAAAGAACTAATTGCTCTTAATATTTTCAATCTAATATTATCTTATATTTAAATCTCTAACACTGTTGTACCAAATTTTAAAATTTTATCGAAAAGAATATACTATGCATACTGAAATAAGAAAATACATCATAATTAATTATTATTTAATTATCTCTTTATCGAATAAATTCATTGAAATTGATATTGTCTTCAGGATCTACTATATCATTTATGTGCTTAATTATATCTTTTTCATTATTGATGTTCTCATTTACTTGCATTTATTTAAGAAAGTAATTTACTTGAGCCTTAAAAACATCTGCACGTATAGTTAGTTCCAATTCTCCTGATTTGAATAAATATTTTGGGAAATCCATAAAACTTAATCTATTTTGTCCTAATAAATTAAGACATTATTTCTATTTATTGGCACTCACCATATCATTTCGTTTTTAACCATCCTAGTTATAAGAGTGAACATCGCAGTCCATTCTATATTACTTTAAATCACTTTATAAAAACAAGAATTTTTCTTATCTACTCATAAAAGTTTGATATAACTCCTTATACTAACTAATTAGATGATTGGCACAATTTTAGCATTATATAAGTTCCCTACAAGCAGATAAAAATTCATAATCTGAAAAATTTGAATTCTTTTCAAATTCCTTCTCATTTATCAAATTGTAATCAAAGTGGCACTATTGAATAGATAATGGTTTTTCTTGAATGTTGGTAGTTCCTTTGGCAAATTGAACTTATTTCTTTTTATTCGCTTTCATAAATATAATTAATAATAAATGAGAGATTATAATCAATCATAACCTTATTTATAATTTTATAAAATACAAAAAAATTAATTCTCAAACTTTGTAGAACCAATATCTAATATTAGCTAAGGAGACTCAAAAATTGTTTTAACCCTTCTCTTTTATTTTTTTCATTCTTCCATAAATTAAATATTTAGATTTCTTATAAGATTATAAAATTACCTATCTTCCCCTAATCTAACTTTAATTTATATATTTCCTAAATAACAAATCCAACATAATTAATATTTTCTTAAATTACATTATTATCTACATTAAATTTGATGGCAAATAATTAGTTTTCTTTCTCCCAAATGAACACTCCATCCCAATAATGATGTATTCATATAAATGAATATATTTCAGAATTTCATTTATTTTAAAAGAGAAATTAGAATGTGAGTTCAGTAATAGCTAGACCTAGACCTGGAGAATGATATTTTAATATAAGAAACTAAAAAGTTTAAATAAGATTAAATCTATAAATGCTGATTGCCTTCTCAGTTATATTAACGAAAGCTTTGATATGTGTAAATAATTAGTTTATTCTAAACACAAATAATTAAATATCACAGAACAGATTCCTTTTTTTATGATCAGATTTCTCTTTTAGAATGCACTTTTTAATTAAAGATAATGTAATTTCCTTATTAAAAGGGAATCTATTGACAATTTATAACCTATATTTGATATTGAACAAAATATATTTCCCTTTTTTTCCATATTTCTCTTCAACCAATTCTTGTAAATCATTGGTTTTCTTCCTTCTATCTTAACTAAAATTTTAATTATTTCTCTTGGTATAACTTTATATTCATAAAATTTTATTTATTTCAATTCATCTAAAATTCATTAATTAATTAATTATTGATAAACCTATAGTAGTTTAATTATTGAATTTATTTTTTCTAATTGTATGGGAATAAAATCTCTGAAGAAAATCAATTATTAAATTGAAAAATTTGTTGAATTTAAGAAATCAAATCATCTTCATGATGTAAATTACAATTAGAAGTTATTTTCAGAAAAGAAAGAAGAAAAGAAGCTCTCCTATAAAGTATTCAAGATCCAATCTTTTAATTATATTTAATATCAAAATTTTTACCTGACTCCTATTCTAACTATATTTTCACTTATATACAAATGATGGAAGGCTTATAAAATAAATATTAATTATATAAAGAGCAATACATGGAATAACAAAATTCTGACGATGTATGAGTTAAATCTAATTTCACCTTAATATTTCAATTCAGATTTATATCATAATGGTAAGAATTCAACCGTCTTAATAATATAACTTGTCGTATTTTAATATTTTGATTCAAATAATAAAATATATTATAAATAGTATTGATAATATGATTTGAATTATTAATTCTTAGATTTTAAATATGCCCATACGACTGAAATTCTAAAAATACTATTCTCATATAACTTGGATTGTTCGGTTTTTTATTAAATCATACTAAAATGAAAAAATTGTCTTTGATTCTATAATAATACTTATCTAAATTATGATTTGTAATTGGATGTGAGATAATAAGACTAAGAATACAAATAAATATGTGAATCATAAGTGTCTAAAGATTTGAGGATTTACCCAAGAGAGATTGGGTTTCTAATTTATTAATTTTTAAACTAGCCTTCCTATAGCTACAGCAGGTTCTTTCTGATTAAATTAACAATGAACAATATTGAGGTTAAAATTAACTCTTTTCTTGCCGTCCTTTTTTTTGCTAAGGCCTTCAGTTTTGATTTGAGGAGTTTATGTAAAAGAATTGTTAGTTTAAGATAATATTTTCATTTAAAAGTCATCCGTACATTAAGTATCATCTACGTCTAGATTCTTATATGAATCCAAAGGCTGCATAAAAATAGGCTTAGGTCCAATTAGCTGACTTTAATTAAATTACAGCATATTTTTATTTCTCATAAAATATGTACTAAATAACTATCATATAAGTGAATATTCAAAGTTTAATTGAGTGACTCAAAGAACACAAATTGATACAAAAGACAATAAAAAAATGTTATAATCATCCACTACTTTAATAAAATATTTTTAAATAAAATTTATGTTTAATAAATTATCAAAGTAACATTTGACCTCCACAAAAGAAATGAATAATATTCTGAATATGCTTAGAAATAATGTCTAAGAATTTAGAACACTTAAAATTAATTAACTATGAATATAATCATTAAAATTCAAAAATTTAACAATTAAATAAGTCTATTTAAAATTTTCTAATACTCTTCCCATTCTCCACTAATATGGTGAGCCTTTAATAAGTAAAGACTATCACAGTTTTGAATCTGTCTAATTGAAATTTCGAATTTGAGAGATAAGTTGGCTGAACATAGCATCTCATACGGATCATTTTACTGATGAGCAAATAAATGATAAATGTACCTGCAGTATTTTTATTTACATTTAAATCATCATCTTTAATACCTCAGCAGCAAAAACTGAAGGGTCTCTATGAGTTGTGCATTAGAAATTGAAGGCTCCTTTATGAATTTTCGGTTATTGAATTTTAACTGGATTGGGTTGAGTATATTCCGATATGGCACTAGTGGCACGTTCTCTATTACTGACCTAAGATTATGGTTAATTATAAACTTTTGGTTTGCCTTTGTCTAATGAAAAAGAATCTTCAGTTTTTCTATTGGTTTAAAGAGGTGTATTTCCATTGGTGCCAACACTAGAAATTGAATTGTTAACAACCTAATATATAGGTTTTAGCATGGGAGGAATGATGGGTCTAATTTGTGGTCGTTTTATTATATCTCTTTTTAATTAGATGCTGAATTATTTTGGTGAATCTGGTTTAGTTAACTATTTAATGGGCTGAGGTGAAGGCGATTGCTATTTGTTATTGATTGAAGTCATGATTCTATGTTATGGAGAGTGGCTATTACTTGTATTTTACTTTTATCTAGAAGTATTGTTGTTGCTTGCATTTAAGGAATCTAGATTTGAGGAATTGAGAATGTAAGATTAGGTGATTGAATCATCGATATCTTTTTTAAAATAATTATAAGTTCTATTCTTCTTATTTTTTTGCATTTAGAGGTAATATAGTGTTGTAACATTATTGTGTCTGTTTTTTTTAACAAGTTTTCGACATAGCTAGGGATCAACCGAATACAGATTTTTCAACTATTCAACTATGATTTCATCAACTTAAATATTGTCGCTGCCTATATTCCCATAATGTTCCTCTACTTTAATTGCTTTGGCCCATTTATGTCCCTTAATTTATGGTATCGTAAATCTCTTCTTTGGATCTGTGTTCAGGATGTTCTTCAAGAGATCTTTAGCTTCAATTGATAGCCATTTAGGAAACACAAGATCCCCAGCAACAATCTTCTTATATAATTAATTAGTATTCTAGTCTTCAAATGGCAGATATCCACATAGCATTGCATACAACACTATACCACAACTCCAAATGTCGATTAAATATCCAGAATATTTCAAACCCTAAATCATCTCTGGAGCAGCATAGCATGGACTTCCACATGCAGTCTTTAATAATTCATTAGGCTTATAAGTGTTGGATAAACCAAAGTCAACAATTTTAATATTTTGATTATTATCAAAAAGTAAATTCTCTGGTTTTAAATCTCTATGAACAATCCCAATTTTGTGCATGTACTCAACTCCTGATAAAATTTGAAGCAAGAATCTACATGCTATCTTTTCTGAAACTCGATGATTTTTTACAATATATTCAAATAATTCTCCACCACTTGCATATTCCATTATTAGATAAATTTCCTTATCTGTGTCAATTATCTCATATATTTAGATTATGTGAGGATGTCTCAACTTCTTTAAGATTTCTATTTCCTTTGCTATTCTATAAACATCACTTTCATCTTCAAACTTGGCTTTTTCTAAAATTTTAATTGCTACCTATTAGTAATTAAAATGAAAGTACCTTCTCTCCACTTTATAAATGGGTTCCCATTTTAACCTTTCCAAAAGTACCTTCCCCTAATGTATTTCCGATGGCGTAGTTACCAAGAGTAGATTCTTGCATTTACTGTTATAATTAATATTTAATTGAATGGGTGTTTAATAAAGCAATATAAATGAAAACATCCCTTTTTTGTCCAATATGAAAATCATTATTGATAAAGGAAACTATTAGATTTACGAGAATGATAAATACTAAAAATTTGATTACAGAGAATTTAAATCAAGTTCAAATTCATTCTCAAATGAGATAGAGGTAGCTAGAGAAATTTAAAACCAAAACTTCCCTGGATTAGCTAAAATTGAAGAGGTACACTTGTAAACATGTGAATAATGGTTTACAAAATATTTTACTCTTTGCATTTTAACTGAACATCCAAAATATTCTCTGAAAGAATATTTGCAACAAAAGAAGAAAACCCTATCAAATGAAGAAATTACCGAACTCCTAGTTTCAATCACTTAAGCTTAGCATATTTTAGGTGTGAAAAAATAATATTTAAGCTGGGAGAACATATTTACAAATGATGGGAATATTTGGAAACTCAGACCATTTTTTGATTCACAATCCTCTTATTAAAATCTGTTGAGTTTTAAAGAACAGAAAGTCATAAACTTTGTATTGGATTGTTTCCCTGCTCCTGAAGAATTTGAAGGTAAAGTCTGTGATACCGATAGAGTGCAAATTTTTGGTCTTGGTATGATTATTTTAGAATTGATAACAAGTATTAAGGATTTTATTTTGTAGAACAAAAAAGCAATGATATTTATTAAGAATATAGGATTAATGAAACCCTCCTTTAATTAAGAATTAATTCCATTTTGAAGTTAAAATATCAATTTTGTGGAAATTTTATAGATATCATTACAGAAATGCTAGATACAGATTTAGTTAGGAGACCCAATTTTGATTAATTACTTAAAAAGTTGAAATCACCTGCTTCTTAAATAGCGAGTCTTTAACTCTAAGCTGAATTTGTAAAATAACCTCAGAAATTAAATACACTAGATTCAGTTAATTTATTTGAAGAGAACAATCTAGATAAAATTGATGAAGAGAAACTAAGTGAAGCATTAAAATAAGCTTAAGTTGAAATTTAGATTTAAATTAAGAGAGTGAGACAAGAAATATAAAATATTAAACATAATTAAAATATATTCGAGCAGAATGGATAGTAATACTATGGTTAGATAGTTAATAATTTATATGAAGGAAAAGGTAGATATAAATCTAAAAATAGGTCGTCTCTTTTCTAAATTTGGGAATTTGATCTATGAAGGGGAATTTATGAATGGGTACTTTCATAATTGGGGGGTTGAACACTATGAGAATTCAATTTAGTTGTAGGAAAGTTATAAATTTGAAGATGGCAAAGATATTATGAAATTTGCTAAATAATATGAAGGTTGCTTTTAATTTGGAAAGTAATCGCATCTTTAATTCTAAGGAAATCTGGAGAAGGCATGTTGACATTAACCAATGGAGAAATCTATTGTGGAGAATTTAGAAATGATTAAATCAACGGACTTGGCAAATTCTATGGAAAATCAAATGATAAGATAATAGGGGTTTGGAAAAATGGCTCAATAATTTCTAATTCAGGAATCTAAAAAGAGTTAGTCTCTTTTGGATCTTATATGTTCTCAAATCAAATCGATCCACCATAGAGCCAAAAATAACCAAAAAATTAGAATAAGTCTGATTTTGCAAAAAGCTTAGTAGAAGTTGATGCAAAAACACAGGAAATTTAATTTAATGGAATTAGTAGTCTTTAATCTTGCCGAAGTTAATTGGAACTCTCTTTTAATAATCACTTAAAATACTTCAGTCAGAAGTAATCATAGAATAAAAAAGAACATAAAATCTTTTATGATGGAACCAATACAACTTTAAAGTATGAAGGTCAACTTTTTACTGGATAGATGCATGGAAGAGGGACACTGTATTTCAAGAATGGAGATATTCAATATGAAGGAGACTTTGTGAATGGAAAATTTGAAGGGTATGGAATCTTAACAAATGAGAACCCAGAGATAGAGATGACCATTAATTATAATGATTTAAGGGATGTCAATATCAAGGGGTGGTGGAAATAATATTAAGGCACTTTTTCAAAAGGAGAGTAAGTGTTACTAATTAAAATAGGAAGCAAGGCCAAGGATATTGGCATTTGACCGATAAATGTGTCTTACTTGGGATGTTTGACAAAGATGAGGTACATGGAGAAGCATACTTAAAAAGACCTAAGCAAGAAGATGTTTATGCATAATGGGAAAATGGAATACTTCATAAAGTATTATAAGGCAAGTTGTGAAATCATATATATTATTATATTATATTTTATTAAGCGAAATTAATAAATAATAATAAAACTAAATATGTTTTATCATTCGTTTTTGTTTTCCATATTTAGACACACTTTTTTGGCGTCAAATTCAGATTGAAGCAGAAATGAAGCTTTACGCTTATCCTATAAGAGTTCTTCCTTCGTAATCGCAGTGTGAATTATAGATTCCATTTAATACGAATGGGTACTTACGTTTTCATCCATCTCCTGATCTGGATTGGCGTCTTACTAATCTTTTGGCTCATTATCTTATTATAAGTCCTAAACATTGTTATTCAATTCATCCGACGATGCTTCATCAGAAATTTCACTCACCTCTTCTTCCTCTCTGAATATATAACTGTAAGCCTTTTTAAGCAATGCATCAAATTTTCTATTTAATTTTTATGTTGCGTTTCCCATTGTATTTAAAATTTTGTTAACTGAATTATAATATTTATATATATTATAAAAAAGATAAATTATATATTTTTATAAACTTAATATTTTCTAATTAGAATTCAATCAGCTGATATTTTTCATAGTTTTTGGTGTCTGGCATTAAAATAATTTTAATTTCTTTTTTTCACAATTAACCACCATTTTTATGCATTATAATATGAAAATAAGTAGTGATTGGGATAGTCTAACATTTTAGAAAATATGGAAGAACTCAGTAAACAAGCGTAGCCTTCATAATCACTAAAAAGGCTAATCTTATTCATAGTCTTTCCGCAAAGTTTAAATCAATTCATATTTTAGTACATATTAAGATATCTCAAATTAACCATCTAACACATAAATGGCAGCAACTAGTATATATGCTTAACACTTAAGGTATTGTTTCTTATCTAGTTAATATTTTAGTGATTTTATTTTAATTTACAAAATAGGTCACAATTTTGTTTATATCAAGAAATTTGACATTCACAACCTTTTATTCTTTATCTATTAATAAACCATATTATTTTTTTAGATCTTAATATAATTTGAGTGATTATTTCTATAAATATCATCTATCTCAAACTTCTCAATATAGCCTGTTTCTTTAGAATACAATATTTTTCATCTGAATAATTATATCATTAATGCCTCTTATATCAAATATATCTTAATTGTGATATATTTAACTATTTACTTAACATTTTATTTCTATTCTAAATAAATTTAAATCTAAATGATATTGATAAGACAATATAGAATTCAATTAACATTTGGTTTTCCAACAATGATGAACATAAGGGTAAGAATATAAAAGCAAAAAGTCTTTCATAAAATAATTTTATTTTTTAATTTATAATTTAAGTATAGACAATGCCTCTAAAATTTCTAAAGTTGTAGAGGTATTATTGAAAAAGGCAAAAATAATATATTTTTCTATTAATGTTAAGAAGGACTATCATTTTATTTTGTAAAAAATGAAAAGTCTCTAAAAAAGAGAATGTGTTCGCGAATATGGCAACTCTAAATATATTTAGCAAAATAGTGAAAATTTATTAATAAATGTACGGTATTATATTTGTAAACAAATCAATTGATGTTGAGCTTAGTTCTTCTCCAATGTCTACGTTTTGAATTATACCTAGTAAAGTCTTATATTCATTTGATACCTGATTGTGTTATCAGTTCTATATCTAAACCAATTTGGAAGAGGTCTATTTTGCTTATTGGCTTTAATCAATCTCTTCTTCATTCTCAATGACTTATGAGCGCCCTAAATAAACATAAGTGAAAGTCAATACCATTTTAAATCTTCTTTTAATTTATTTAATAATTTATTCCAAACATATAATTCTTTAATCATTTCGATATCACTAAGTACTCCATTTTAGTGGCTATATGTGAGACACAAGAAATCCTCAGACTTTTTGAAATAAGATAATAAAATTGCAAATAGCAATTATTAATTGAAATCAAAAATCATCAAACATATGTTAAAGTTCACGTGGTAATTGTTTGGGAGCATCAGTAGAGTCAGGGTATTTTTCAAACCAAAAAACGTCATCCTCTGATCTTAAGTAAGGGACCCAAGGAGGAGGAATTTACTTATTGTCTACGCGAGCCCAATCCACTCCTCTATACCATTTATGTTTCTTAATTGACTCCCCATTCTAATTCCATATAATTAGATACATCATTATATCCTAATCGATTTTGGATGTCTGGATTTAAGAGCTTTCTTATCAGATCTTTTACTTTGTTATCAAAGAATTTTGGAAACTCTATGAGTCCTGATAAGATCTTCTTATAGATTCCAATAGGTTCATTATCGTAGAATGGAGGATACCTCATTATATAAACATAAATTACCCTGATAGCATTTCGAATAGTAATATGCCATAAGCCCATTAATCAACTGATTTTCCATAACCAACCTTTGAACCTTTAATGATTTCTGGAGCCAAATATTCAGGTGTGCCGCATAAGGTGTATGTTTTACCATTTCCTATCTTTTTAGCAAAGCCAAAATCAGTAATCTTAACATGACCATCCTTGGCTATTAACAGGTTTTCTGGTTTGAGGTCTCTATACACTATTTACATTTTGTGCATATATATCATTGCCGTCAAGATTTCAGTTGCATAAAACAAGCAAACATCATTAGCAAATCGGCCTTCCTTCCTTAACCTACTAAATAGTTCTCCTCCTTGAATGTATTCAAATAACATATAGATGTAGAACTAATCTTGAAACGATGATTTCATTTTTACGATGAAAGGATGCTCTATGAATGTTAATATGTCTTTTTCTGATTTTATATGTTCAACTTAATTGAGTCTAACTACTTCTGTTTTTTTTAAAATTTTGAGTGCATAAACTTAATTCTCAGGATCACCTTTAATCTTAGCCTATCTGACTCTACCAAAAGTTCCAGTCCCTATTGCATAATAATAATGATTACCCAATGTAGAAAGAATTTCAAAATCTTATATTTTAAGTTCTTTAAAGTTTATTTTAATATTTTTGAGCATTTTAAGTTTCATACTTAATTAGTTGTGATTCTGAATCTACTATTTTTTTTTGACCAAACCCTTGCTTAGTTAATATGGAATCTAACTCAGGATCAATTTCTGATTCACAATTACTTGATTCTAAGTTTCTGTCATGAATATCAACACCCATAAGTTCCTGTTTTTTTAAGTAATCAAGTCTATATTTGAGATCAGCAAAGAATTCACTATCAGACATCTACATATTTAAGGATTAATATTAAATATAATAAATACTATATAAATTAGACATATGAAATTTAATAATTAGGAACCTAATTATATGTCAATTAATATTAAATTAGTAAATAAAATTGTTACTCTACACTGCCAATTTACAAAAAAGATCAGAAAATGACAACTACTTTTTCGTGATTATTGATTGATTAACTGTACAGAAAAAATAACAAAATCATCTGAATCTTCTAAGGGAAATTCTATTTCTTCTTGCATAATTGGCTCTTCTTGAAGGTCTTGTTTAATTATTACGATGACCCTTAACTCTGAGTCCTCTGCTCTTTCTGCCAGCAGATGTTAATCCTTAAATTATTAATCATATACACAACCTCTCAATTCTCTATGCTTATGAACAGGCTTAGTAATCCAGTTGATTCTTGAATCACCTCTGATTGCTGGATGGAATGGATCCACAGTGATGACTTCATAGTATTTATATGTGCCATCTTAAGCAACCCAATAGGAATTTAAGACTCTCAATGCTCCAATTTTTCTTCCCACTCTTTCTTCTGCCACAGATCTAAGATTTCTTGTTGGCTTTAATTAATTGACTCCTTGACTCTTGGGCTTTCCTTTGACGAGTCCCTTTCTAATGAGCAATTTTCTGCCACCTCTTCGTACTCTCACTCTGTAAATGACATAGCCTAAATAATTGTTCACTATGAATTACCTTGTTTGGCTTTGTAACCCAATCTCCTTGCCTTGTCTGGTCTACTTGGTCTAGTGGCTCTATGGATTACAGGCAATTATCTGTATTCCCATGTTCGAATTCTCATGATAAAGCTCAACACATCTGATTGTTTCTTTTTCCAAAGTTCTTGTAAATATTTGTATGCTCCCATTTGAAAGTGTTAAAAGATTTTATTAATGAATAATTATCAAATCCCCTTAAAGATGCCACAATATATAAATTTAATCATTTCTTTTAATTTTTATAACATTACTTAATTTTTTGTGAATAACGATTAAATTCTTTCATTAAAAGTTTATTCTTCTATAGAATTATTTCTTTCTTGACAATTCTCTTTCTTCCTAGAAATCTTTGATGATTTTCCGCGTCCTATTTAATATATATAATAATTAGAAATCTTATCTCTAAATATAGTACTATACACATATTTTAACATTCAAAAACATTTACTAAAACAAAGGAAAATCTCTAAAGGTTCAATTTCAATGAAGACCTTACCATATCTTAAGAATAAAATAGAATAATATTGATTCATTTAATATTCATGTTATCAAATCCATGATTATTTTAGTATATTGGGTGATTGTAAATTTTCTTCATTTAAATGGCTCTTCATCTTAAATATGAATTAAGAATCAAAATTTAAATAATTCTTATATAAATTCTCACTTAAACTAAAAAGTTTGTGATTTATTTTGAAACTAAGTATAAAAAGAAAAAGTAAAAAAACACCCATGGCAGGGATTGAACCTGCAGCCTACAGCTTAGAAGGCTGTCGCGCTACCAATTGCGCCACATGGGCATCTGTACTTAAAATACATATATTGATTATTAGAATACTTAGAAAGTAATAGATAAATTTTATAATTTATTCATCCTAAAAATATTTGCACTATTGTTTAGAAAGTATCATACATTTTAACTATTTCACTCATAAACTGATTATAATAGGTGGCTTCAGTTTTGTTCTTTTAAAATTATAATCAATAAATAATACTTCATCACCGCATAAGAAGCATTTTTTCTAATATCCTTTATTACATGTACCACAATAAGTATGAGCACAAGGAATAATGGTTACTGCATCATTTACAAATTTCCCGCAATATTTACAAAGCAACTCATGATGGAGGTGAATCTAATGTTAAATCTCTTTTACTGTTTATTATTACAAATGCTTCGCTTTCAATTCAAATTATTTAAATTTGTCTTGAATCTAGAAATTTTGTTCTTAGGTTTTCCATAGTTATTATTCTGTCCTGTGCAATTGATCTTTTAATTCAGATTCCAAAGAATTCATTTACTTCCTAATATTCAAAACGTCGTTATCCTATTTTTCATCTTGTAAACTTTCATAAGCCAATTTAAGAGATAAGAATTTCCTCTCTAGTTATTCGATTGTCTTTTATTGCTCTTGATTTTTTTCTTATAATTCCGTACATTCTTTTTCCTCAATTTACATAATTAATTGTTTTACTTTATCCAGATACTTTTATTCCCAATTGCAAGGTATTTCAAATTGCTACATAGGATTAACCAATGAATTGAATAATTTCTTCTATACTAATTTCTTAAAAACAGGCATTTATTTCAAACTAGGCTGAGTTTTTTGCCTTTTTGTTTAAACACTTTGTCCTTGTTATTTCACTCCCAAATCTTCTGAAGTCTTATACGATCTAATGTCAAACTTGAATGTTGTTTTAGATAATATTTTTGGAGTGCCTTGTTCAAGCGAAGGAAATCTTTAAGAATACATTATATAAATTTTTAATACGAATATTAGTATGTTTTTATGTTCGAGTAATCAGGTAGACAAAATAGAAATCATCTCTAAAATCAATCATTTTCAAAATCAGAATATTCCCATTTAGTCAAGGGAATTGAAGATTTTTTTTTTATGTTCAACTATTAGATATTGGATTTACCAACCGTTTGCCTTAATTAAACATTGTTGATTTTGAATGTTTTTACTTTATACGGTTTTTCTTAAGGAGACATTGAAATCGTTTTTATTCTATCAATGATTTTACACTTTTCCACATTTAATCCCAAAGTACATCCAGCAGGTTTAATTAAACATATTTTCTTACATTTTTGAAAGGAAGAATTAACTCTTGATTAAGGGGGTCGTTAAGTGAAGAAATCATCTTTCTTAAATTCTGGTTATAGAAAGGAAATTTAAGTTTAATTGATATTAAATTGATTAGATTCTGGCATTTTACAAGTGATACTTCTATCTCTAATTTAGGATATCCTTTCTAAAATCTTTTATTTAAAATCTACTCTTTTATAAATATCCTATTAATTTGATTCATTATGAGTTAGAGTTTTGTATTTCTAGCAGAATTATTTACTAAACTATGCTTTCTTTTATTGGATTGATTTTGTAGTAAAAAATAAATTATAAAGCTACTAATTTTTTGGAGAACGAGTTTACAAATAACTTGGATTATAATGTTCTCTTTGAGTTATTTGATATATTGAGAATTATAGTATTTTTCTATTCTATTTTATTTATTATAAAGCAGGATAATTTGTTATATTGCATTACTTAGGAGGACTGTTGCTATCTGATAAACTAACCGTAAAGGGTGCTAACGATTTGACAGGATCATCTGCTCTATAAATCGACAAAAATAGTCTACCCAAACAAATCTATAGTTGTGTTCATGTATATAAATAAATATAAAAATTACTAAAAAAATTTCTAATTAATATTTTTCATAAACAGTCTAATAGACATTCAAATGTTGGAGCTGGCAATATTATAAAATTCTTCTCATTATGACCTTGACTACATTTCTATCCTATAAAAATATGAAGCACATTGTCTTTTAATTCCTTTTACATTTCTTTAAATTGATTATAATTTGAATTGCTGTAATAAACTATGTAATCAAATTAGCTAAAATCAATATTTTACTTTTCCTATGCATTATTTGATAAGGTTTGATAACCTTCAAAGATAGTAACTTAATGTTTATCTAATTTAATGATTACTTATACTTTAGAGTTCTATTCCTATCTCCGACAGATTTCCAATAATGTATAACAAATTCAACTGTTAATTTTATGATAACAAATACATAGTCAGTTCATTCTAATTGTTAAAAACCTAGATTGAATCACATCCCAATTCTTTTTCTATTTTCTCTTTTGTTTTATTGCCTACAACTAAGTAATTTTTTGTTTTGCATTTAGTTTGACATTAAATATAAGACTAAACTCCATTAACACTATGAAATAGAACATCTTTCATTTAGTATAAATTTTGGATTACAATCATAATTAATGCCTTGATCTATTTCAAATTATTTATATGCAAATTATAATAGATTCAAATGACTAGTCTGTATTCCTTTCTTAGTTAATTACTCTAATTGTTGTTGTGTGTAAGCTTCTGATTTGATTACTAATAAATTTTTATTAAACATTTTTATTCGATAATTATACAGAATTAACAAAAATGAAATCAAAAAAAAGGTTTTCAGGAAATATGTATAATATGAATAGATTATTTGTTCATTTAACATTCTTCTTAAAATCATTGATGAATCCTTCAACAGTTGATTTTGCAGTTTGAATACATTAATCTTATGAATTTGTCTTGATACATTAATCAAATGTAATTCCCATAAACAACATCTTAAAATCAAAGGCCTTCATTTATTTATCAACATTTTTGCTTCTCTTATACATACCTTTTGTAAATTATCAATTCAATATACATTATGCATATTTCTCTATATTTTTGCCATTTTAACTCATGCATTGCTCATGATATTATGATGGAATATTCTAGACTACTTCTTCAAATCCTCTTTGAACTACATCTAATGTTTTTTATAATTATTGATGAACAGGACTTGCTGCACTCATACCAGAAATAAATTTTAATTAAAAATAATAACACTCATTACTTCAATGTTAATTCGATGCTCTTTAAATATTCTTGCTATATCTACATTATATTATTAATAGCTAATTATTGACATTAAGTTCTTTCATTGGTGTTAAGGCACTCTGCTATTTCATATTTTAGGTAATCTATTTTAAACTCCATTTTCTTTTCTTCCTTTATTTATCTCTTTTGAAATTTCATCATGCCTTACATTATAAATAATTGTACACTTCACAAATTCAATGCTATTTGCCTTATTCTCTTAAAAACACTATTGTTCATAACTTTGATATTTCTAAACAACTTAACCAAAGAAATTTGTAGTAGTAAAATCAGTAACTTCGTTTCTAATTTCTTGTAATAGTTTAGTTGTCTCATCTTCATTCCTATTCATTTTTTATCAATTATTCCAAATTTTAAATAATTAAAATAATGTTACTGTTCATGAATATACTATCGAAAATTAAGGTTTATTTTTTAAGAATTATATTTAATTATTTATATGATGAAATTAATAGAGCTGGAAGGATGGTAACAGTATTCGACATCTCCATATATAAATTAATTAAAATAACTCTCGTAATCCCCTGAAATTACACCAACAAAACGATAGCTCTAAGATAAGTTGCCTTCAATCCATTAGAAAAAGTAAGAATGCCATAAAATCCAGAATTACAAATCAAGTTATTTTGCAAATAAAAATTAAATGGGATATCAAGTCATTAGTGAAGAAAGAAAGTCTCAAAAGCTTACCAAACAATACACTGAAGTGCATTAGTAATAATACTAATTTCATGAATTGTCCTCCTTTATAGAATCCCCTAAGAAATCAAAAAAAATGAGAGAACTTTAGGATAGTTTATTCTAAAAAAGATCATATAGGTTGAAAGTCAAAAATAAAATGTTGAATTTAAAATAGAAATCACCTCTCCATAATATATCCTAATTATTGAGAAAATTAAATAGTGAAGACATAAATAAAAATGAATTAGTATAAATTTTAGATAAATGAACCTTTCGATCATGTCTTAATCGGCATATAGATTACTCTTCATTATCCTTATTCTAATATTATTACACTCATCTAATTTAGGTCTTCTTATAGTATGAAATTCTTATTAATCCTTGAATTGAATATCAATTAGATATTACCTGCAATTCTTAAATCTTGTAGATTCGAAATATCCGAAACAAATTAAATAATTACACATGACTGATTTTTAATATATGAATATCTCTCTTTTGAATATTGCTTTCGATATCATCTTAAAATGTAAATATTTGATATGAATTTATCTCATTTAAAATAAGTTTTGCTGAACATAGTAAAAATGTCTTACCCATAATGTAATTAAATATGTGAAAGCATAGAATTTAATCATTGTAATTTTTACTTTTCAATTGTATTAAATTTGTTTCTAAACTATATTCATCCTTTTGTATAAAAGTATTTGAGAAATATTTATTAAATTCATTAAAATAATAGAACTCCAACAACAATCTCTTTTACTTAAACACCTAATTATATAAAAACTGATTGATTTGTTATAAAAATGATAAAAAAAATAATATAAAATAATATGAACTTTATATAATGTACTTGAATATGATGTTATTGAATCAAAATAAAACAAATTGTTTTCTGACATTACCAATGATTTCATTTGGGATAACTTTCAAAACATTGAATCTCACAGTTTTAGATAATGGTCTATCATTGTTATTCAAAATACCTGCATTATCCACATACAACAATATCACCTTCCTTGACTGGGCCAAATGCTGGTGAAATGTGGACTGGGACATTTCTATGTCTCTTTTCATATCTATTATATTTGGCAACATAGTGCAAATAATCTCTTCTAATAATAATTGTTCTGGTCATTTTGGTTGAGATGACTATGCCTCTGTAATTACACTATTTTTATATATATACTTTAAGATTGCTCCTCTAACACTAACATTTCCAGTAAATGGGCATTTCTTATCAATATAATGTCCTTCAATAGCATCCTTTGGTACTTTGAATCCAAGTCCAACTTCTTTCCAATATCTCACTCCTTTAGATGTTTTCTTAGCCAAAAGTTTTTTAGAATTTTAAAAGATTCCTTCTTGCTTTTAAAAGGCTCTTTATGTTTGGACGTCTGCCATAATGTATATTTTAAAAATAAAAGATATAAATTTTTATGCTTTCAAAAGTAAATGTTCAAACTTAGATTATTTTAAATTACAATTCTCCTGGTATTATTTTAAAATCCTATCTTTCTTTAAACGATCCATTATAATAGACATTCTAAATTCAAATATCAGAAGCATTTATGCACATACTTTTGTTTATTATTTAAAAAATCATTCAATCACATTTTGAAGACTACTTCCTTATATAGGGTTCGATTCATGCGAGTCTTCAGTTATCCAACATTAATAATTAAGTAGTGTATAGATATAGAAGATATAACCAAATTAAAATAATTCTATAAATTGATATTTTTGAAATATGATCTAATGAATCAATATATAATATTATGCATTCCTCTATTTTAGAAAAGATATCCTTCAAATTATTACTCATCATTTTGTAAATCCCCAATATTTAAGTATAGATAAACTGTTGATCAAATTTAATATTTGGTCAACTGAAGATAATAAAGATATTATATATACCTACTCCTACTTAGTTTAATTCAAATGCTTAGAAATCCAAATAACCATATCTCAGCAAATCTCTGTTCTTTTCTATATTTTAAAACTTTGGATAAATGCTTTGATCATAAATTTGAGCTTAAAGGTTTTAGACAAGAACTGCTGAAAGGTAAATAGAAAGCTAAAAATCCGTTCCTAAATATACTGAAACTCCTGGCTTGTAAAAGGGAAGCCATCTATTTTTGATTTAGTAATTGAATTTATTCTATTATCAATTATTAGAATCAGACTGTTTTATACTCAATTAAGAAAGTATATAGAAACTTTATTATTTTATCAAATGTTAAAAAATATTAAAATCAAGCAATCAGGAATCTAATTTTTAGACATTCTAAATTTTTTAAGTTAGGAATAGATGTTTATTTGCTAAACATCCTGTAGTGGTTCTACATCTATCTTTAAAATTTTATTTAACTAATGAATTATCCAACTGGGCTTGTACTCTTAATTATATACTATGTGATTATCCACGAGGTGAAACTTATAACCATTTTTTATTAACACTTAAATTTGATTCTTTTTGATTTAAATATTGTTAAAGTCCTGTAGGAGAATATTGACTTGATATGCTTCGATACTTCTTTGGAATTATATGAGAAATTCTTTTATTATCATCAACATAAAATCTATTTTAAAATGAAGAATCTATGTTTTATTGTTAATTTTAAGGTTCAGGCTTCTTTTTTTACCTGTCATTTTATTTTTTTACTAATAATTAAAAGGAACACTAAGTTAAATTATACGTAACTGATTTACTCAGTTTTGATTGGATCATACTAGGAATCTAACTGAATTTTGATGATTATCTTTATTCTTGACTAGCAGGTTATAGGTTTGAAGTATCTATTTGAGCAATCGAATTTTACCATAAGGTAACCATATCTTTTTCAATATGTTTGTCCTGAGTCATGTCAATTAAACTAATAAGATGGTTACTCTGGCTTATTCTTAACAACTTACTTATTCTTAATTTAAGCTATTACTTAATAGTATAAAGATTGCAATATCAAAATTAATTTGATGATTAGACTCTCTTAATGGGTTTTGTAAATATCTGGTTTTCATAAAATATAATTATATTGTAAATAAAATTTTTTTAGATTAAGAGACTCTCCTCATTGCTTAGCATATAGATATAAATATACTAAATAAATTCAGACTCTGTTAATATGAGGAATTATATATATAAGAAATATGATGAACAAAGTCTAGCGAGTGAATAATTTTAGGAAGATCGTTTGAATAAAGGAATTAAAGAAGATGGAAAGAATCTATTTTTAATGGACCTTTTTAGTTATACTGTTTAATTTCATCACCATTTTATGTTTTAAGATAAGAAATTATTTGATCTCTAATTTGATTTCTTAAAATCCCAAATGACACTTTGTTATTTGAATATAAACCTCAATTATGGAGAATTCAAAACTTTTGAACCAGCTAAATATTTGCAATATTTAAGAAGAAGGAATTTTCACGAAGAAATCAGTTTGCAATTCGTTTATATGTGAAATTTTAAATCACTATTTTTATATATATTTAAATTATAAAATTATGCATTAGTTTTTGAGGGTTAATTCTCTTAATTTTTGAATGCAATCATTTTGGTGCACTAAGCTTTTTTAATTATAACTATTTGACATGAGAGTTGAGATTTTATTTCAGATTTAGATTTATCATCCATTTATTATAAATATATATACATATAATCAATCAAAGTGGGGATTTGGAAATATTTTGAAAATATTATTACTGTATTATTCCCAATCGTTCTAATCATCACAAATTTCAGATAGAATATTTTATTAGTATGGGTAAGGAGATGTTATTGATTCATCTTCGTTTTTATTTGATTTAGTATTTTCATAAACTTCTTAATTTTATTTTTTGAGATTTTCTTCAAATTTCTATTGTTTTTGCTGAATCATAGCTTTTCTAATTTTGGATTTATTTTTTTTCATATATGATCTTAAATATCCCATCTTTTTTTCTGTAATCTCTTAAATATTGATAATTAATGCGGCCTTATTAAAAATTTGAATGTAATCTTCTAAAGTCTTTTTAGGAACCTAGACTAAATCAGCAGCCTCTTTTAAAGTGACCTTTTTTAAAATTCCATTTTCTTAAATTCCATTTCTGAAGTAATATCTCCATTATTGTACTCTATCGTATGCATCACCTATGCTTCTTTCTTTAACTCGTTTTGAAGTAAGGTCTTAGTAAAAGTTGCTATTCATATGAAGTAATTAATATACATTTTAAATTGATGCTTGGTTATGTAGAGCAGGTTCCATATAAATTTTATACTATTACTAGTGTTCTGCAAAAATGGCTGAAGCAATCTCACAAAAATTTTGAAGAGCTTTAATATAGTAGGTTATTGAGATGAAGAGCCTCCTTATTTTAAGACTTATGAATTGGACAAGTGGCCATCTCTGAGCAAAAGTAATCATGAAATTCTTAAAAGAATATTTTCCATTCTTAATTTATATTCTAATCATTTCCGAGATTAAGCAATTCAAAAAATAATTTTAATTTTACGATTAAAAAGAACAAAATTTCTAGAATTTAATATAACTTATAAATATTTTATAGGAAATATATTGGGAATAAATTAACATTTAAATGAGTGTCTTAGATTAATGTTTTACAATGAATAATACTAATGATAATTCATGAGGCGTGCTTCTTTGTTTCTGATCTAACAAACTCTTCAAATTTATTCTTGTCACTTTTATACATCTCCATTGCTTAATTGTTGAGTGATTAATCAGTATTGACTTGTCCAAGGATGTTTAAGATTTTTTCCAAGACCTACTTGACAGTTTTTGTTGGTTGCCATTAGTCCTAATCCTCAATCAATCAAAATACCTTTGTTTCAATCATGTCTTCGCAAAATTCACCCTTTTCATTAATATTTGGATGGAAGATTTTAGTTTAGAATTAAAAGAAGGGGGCCTTGAATGGGTAATTCTCTGGGAAGGTGATGGCGAGTTTAAACTTTCCTCCTTGATAAGCTGTGCCTTCTGGTCCTGCAACAATAGCAATCCATCTATGATTAATTATATTGAATCTATACAATAATCTATTATTAGGATCAGGTGTAATATTCACTCCTGCAAGTGGATTACCTGTAGTCAAGTCTTGAAGCTCTTTATTAAGTCTGTTTTGCATTTGAAATTGATAAAATAAATAATGTTTAAATCTTTTGCATATTTATTTGATGCTTTAATAGAAAATAACATATATATATATTGATAATTAGACAATAAATTATTCTTTAATGATTCATTTACAATATTATATACAATATTTGCATATTTGATAATCTCAGAGCCTGGCTTAATGATTTATAAATAAAACTAACTATCCATCACAGATTGATTTAAATTTTTTCATTATTATAAATTAACTTAGATAACTTTATTAATTATTCATTTCTAAAAATCGCTTTGGCCAATCATAGAATCATCATTCTATCCTTGCTAATTACCATAAAAGTAATATTTATTATTTTAAAATGATTGTTAAGTTTGAGGAACAACTTTTTCAAAATTAGTTATATCAGCTAAATTAGTTTTCTTGAGCACCGATATATTAGCTGACGAAGTTGAAGTATTATTTGAATGTGTTGGACTTAATTTTTAGAGACCAATAGCTAAAATATTAATACAAAAATTACTTGAAACATTATTGATTGGATTTCTATATTTGTTACCTGTCATAATATTATTGCTAGTCATATTATGAGCAGCTACACTTCTTCTTGTTGCTCTTTATTCATTTTTCAACTTTTCATTATCTCTCAGTAACAACTCTTCTTTCTTTCTTAATCTATCTAACTAATCTGTCAATTCATTCTTAAGATTATTTAAATGATCTCTATCCAAATTCCACTTAGCTCTTTCTTTTTCAAATTCAAAGATTAAAGTGGATCTCTTACTCTCTACTTCCTTGTATTTAGTTTCCAATTCAGTAATTTTCGCCTTTAAGCTTTCTCTTTCCTATTCCAACATTCTCTGATAATCCAAGATCTTTTGATCTCTGTCTTATTTAATGTTTTCTATTTCTTATTACAACCTTTTCTCATTGTCTAGCATCTCTGCAAACTTCTTTTCTGACAATAATTAGTTTCCGATCTTTCCATGTTGATCAATCAATATTTTATCTTTATGAGTCTTAACCTCCTTCTATAACCTTCGAATTTTATCCTCATAATCTTAGACTATTCTTTAGTGGGTTTGGTTTGCTTCTTCTATTTAAGCTTGATATTTTCTTTCCACACTTAGCAATAATTCATTTAAATTATTTTCTTACTCATCTTTTTCATTTGATCTAGCTCTTTGTAAATGCATTAATGTCATTTCAAATTTTTTAAGAGCATCTACTAAATCTTATTTGGCTTATTCCTTTTGTTACTCCAAGAATTAGAATTTTCCTTCCCATAAAGCTTTATCTCTTTCATAACTAGTGTAAATTTCACTCTTATCCTACTCTAATTACAGATTTAATTATTTATATTTTTCTAATTCTTATTGTAACTATTTCTTCTCCTAAGCAATTTGTTCTCTCAATTATGCTTATTACTAAGTTATTGTTGCTGTTTCATCTTTTAATTTTGATTCTAATTCATTTTTTCTAGCTTCAAGATGTCCCAACTTCTCAGTCAAAATTGCTTTTTCTCTTTCCAATGTAGAAGCTTGTTTATTATATTAATATTCAGCTTCTTTTAACTATTTCTTATTCTTTTCATATTTAGTTTCAATTGCAGTTTTCTCTTCTTATGCTCTTTCTAATTTTTATTCCAATTCAACCAAATATTCATTCTTTTACTATTTAAGCTTTTCATCGAATCTTGATTATTATGTATCTAATTATCTTTATAAATCTTCAATCTTCTTTTGCAAAAATTCATTCTATTATTAAATTAATGCTGTTTCTCTTCCATATTCAATCTTCTTTTCCAAAAATTCATCATTCATTTTTTATAATCTTAATTTAGTTTCTTCTAATCTTTCTAATTATTCCTTCTTCTCTTCCTGCCATTCCTTTCTTGATTACTCAAATTATTACTCCTTTCTTGATTTTTCATTTTCTAGTAAATCTTTCTTTTATTATAAAGCCATATGTTCCTTTTATAAATTATTCAATTGACTAGATAGAACATCAATCTTTTAGATTAAGCTCTTTCTTTCAGTTGTAAATGAATTCATTTATTACTCTAATGTAGCATTATTATTATTTTGAAGAGAAATTAATTATTCTTTAGTTTCTTTTATATGCTTTTCGAAAATTTCAATAGTTTATTACTTCAAAGCAATCTCATGATCATATTATTATATTGTGTTTGTGTATTATTAAACTTGATCTCTTAAATCATCCTTTAAATTTTCAATTTCTTCTTCATAATTTTACTCTGTCTCTCTAAGTTTATGATAGAATTCCTCTTAAGCTGCTTAGAACTTTTTGTCACTCTTCTCCTTTTCTTCACAAATTCTTCTTTCTAGTCTTTCTCTTTCAATTTCATAGAAATTCTTTAATTAAGTTAGAGATTCCTCAGCTTTGGCCTAGGCTAAATTAACTTCCTTCGCAATTTTTGCATCAGCTTCATCAATAGCTTATTCCAATTATTTAATTTTCTTCTAATATCTGAGTTCCTATTCTTTCAAAATTTATAACTTTTATCCATCCAACATTTTATTCTACTCTAACAATTTATTTCTTTATTCTTCAGTGGTTGCTAATTGTTCTTTTAAATTTTCTAATTCCTTTATCAAGTCTCCAGTTTCAAATTTAACCTTTAATTCTAATTCATTATTCCTTTCATTCAATTGATCAATCTATTGCTACAATCTTTTCTTTGTGTTTTCATATTCATTTTCAACACTCTTTAATTCTCTTTTATGTTGTTCTCTTAAGTCATTCATTTTAGCTGCATCAATTTTATAAGTAGACTCATTGCTTGAATTTTCAAATGCCTTCATAATAGCCTCATGAGACTTCTTATTTTCTTCTATTTATTTCTTATACTCATCTAATTGAACTTCCATAAATTCCATCTTCTATTACATTAAAGCCTTATCTTTCTCGCTCTAACTTCGTGCCTATTTTAATTAGTCATCTTTAGATTTGATAAGATCTTCTAAGTTTTATACTTTCTCAACCATCTCATTAACCTAGTTATTGGCATCATTCTTTAACATTAATTAAACCTATTCTTCATTTCTTCTATACTCTCTTAATTCTCTTGTCAAGGCTTATATTTATTCATTCAACTCTAAGTTTTATTTTGTCAGACTTCTCTCCTTATGTTCAAATTTCTTAAAATCATTTTCAAAATTAGTTTCCTTTTCAACTAATTCATTCTCCATCTCGTTTAATTTCTCTTGCATATCATTTAGTTTTTACTGTAATTGACGAACCGATTAATCAGCTTTACTTTACTAATCTTTTGATTGCAAAGAGTATTCTTTTCTCAAATTTTTTATTTCATTTTAATAATCTATTTCCTTAGCATTCATTTCATTTACTAATTTTTCAAAGAATGTAATCTTTTATTCTAATAAGGCTCTCTCTTTTTCAAATTCAGAATTGCCAAAAAGTGTTGTTCTTTCTAAATCCTTATTAAATTCTTCAGCTTTCAACACTTAACCTTTTAATTCCTAAATTTGTCTCATTAATTCATTTTTTTCATTTTCAGACTCTAGTTTTAAATCTCTTTCAACCTAATCCTTTTAAATTTTAAGTTCTTCCAAATTATCTCTAGCTACTTATTCTCTCAATTCAATTTCAGTCTTCTCACTCTCGATCTAAGCTAATTTCATTAAAAGATTATTCTTATCTTTTAAGCCATCTTGTCTAGCTTCTTTTAATTCTAATTCAAGCTTCTTTTAAGTTTCCTAAGCCACATTCTTCATCATTTCAGTTTCTTAAGAATATTATCTGATAAACAAATTCGATCCTTCAATCAAGGCTCTCTAAAGGAATTCTAATATAATTTAATTTCTGGTTCCCACTCTTGGACCATTTTCAATAAAGAAATTATAGAACATCTTGATGTCTTTCTCATACTCACCAAAGGATCTATATTCGCCTAGTTTCAGTTTCCTATCAATAGGTTAGAATTCTTATTAAATGAATTATGAGCACATCCTTGAACCCTCTCTATCATTTTCTTATTTAACTGCAGCAAATCTATTTTTAATACGCTTTGATAATTCATTTTTAAATTCTTCATATTCTCCTACACATTTTTTCTTAAATAAAGCGAATGCCTATTCCTTGAGACTTCTGTTGAAGGCTTTTAAGTCTTCATTGGAGATTGGAAATCTATTATGAAGATTTTCTTTCAGGATTTATTCATAGGTATCAAATGCCTCAGCTACTGCCTTTTGGCATTCATTTTTACAAATATAGGTCCATGCTGATTCGATAGCTGGAACTGCTCCATTGTTAATGGCAGTCACATATGATTTAATAAGATCGCAATACATTTGGCCAGAAAGAGTTTTGCCATTCATTGTTTTTGGTCTAATTCTATTCAATATCTTCTTTCTTAGATTAATGACTTATTCAAAGAATTCAGGTCTCAACTTATCAAATTCTAAGTTCTCTAAGTTCTGGAGACTGCTTTCTTTTGTTAACGGTCTTACTAAGGTGATGCAATCTCTATCTTTGAAAAAAGCAGAGAGCAATTTTCTAATTTTATTTTTTTAATCAATCCCATCTGATGCTCCTTTTTGAATTGTTAATGCATTTTCTAAATAATCTTTGGAGGTTATTTGTTCATTGTTTCGATCCACTAATTAAAGAGTGAAATCTCGAACAACCCAATAGAATTAAGGAAAGTATTAGGATAAATCTTCAAGATCTGTAGTTGATTATCCACTAAAAGCTTATTAATATTGTATTACCTTTTGAGTTGAATGTTTTTGGTAAGATTAACAACCAAACTCAAGTTTTGGAGGGCATTTTCATCGATGCTGCCAACTGAATTATAAATAAAGCAGGAAGTTAAAAGTATAGTTAATGAAAATATTCTGATATCGTGAGTCGAATCCTCATCAGGAGCACCAAGTCCTTCACTATCAACAACCAATATTGAACAGCTTTCACCATCACTCGTCTATCCAAGGAGTGGTTTACCCCACATCCAGAGTCCTTTTGTGCATGGCAACACAGTTGGACCTACTCCAAAACCATCAGATCTATTCAGCAACATCCTATTCAATAGGTACGATTTCCCTGTTCTATACATTCCAGCTACACCGACAATTCCTATCGGAGATGGAATGTTTTTAATAATCTCTATTGCATCAGGGTTTACTTAGTAAGCTTTTTGTAGTATAGTAAAATTTACTTTATGTTTCCTAAGAGTAAAATATTAAAGGCATGGCCTCTTCTCTAAAGGATTTCTTCATGTTTGATAAATTTGAATTTGAAATTAATGAAATTATATACTCAATTGTTAACTGCTATATAAATATTCATATGAGAAATTTTAATCATTTTGAATAGTTTTTTTTAGTTTTAAGAGCATAGTCATCTTCATTTGCAATACTATGAACCTGCACAGAAAGCTGAGATAATTATAGAAGTTCTGATGGATTTGAGATTGATGGTCAAAATTAATCCTAATAATCTATGTAGAAAAAATATGGAAAAATTTATAATAATATGGTCTTGCACTGAAACCTTTAATTATTTTATTTAATGTTTTGACAATTATTCAACATTGTTAATAAAGTTCTATTCTCTACTCAGTAATTCTATTTTGGGAATATATCAGAATATAATAATATTATGATATTGATTTTAGTTTGATAGGTTATAGTATGGACTATGACGTTCTTAGAAATTATAATTGTAAATAATTTTATTGAATCATCGTTGAAAAATGTTTCATCTCATGATTTAATATAAATACAAGAATTCGTCATTAAGAAATTAATAAATAAATATGCATACTCCATAAGACTAATTACGAAAAGCTTTAAAGAGATACAATAATGGGGACAAGTAAAACAATAACCGAAATTGCCGATCACAATAGCTACAAATGCCGCAAGTACCAAAAGGAATGTTAAGTATGAACAGTACTCAAAAATCAGAAAGAAATGCCAAATTGAGTGACACAGGTAAATCAATATAATTATAGTAGATACAACTGATGTGACCCATTACAATTTGAATTTTTCATAGCCCATTCAGTCTTGTTACTAAGTGGAACACTTAGATCTCAATTTCTTTAAAATTCAACCCTGCAAAATTCCTGGAAATCACAGTCACAAGCATTGCCCCTTTTATCACAATGCTAAGGATCGAAAAAGGTATTAATTAAAATATAAATTTAGAGTTAATGTCTAGTATTCAGCTGAATTATGTACATATATTGAAAGTAATCAACAATGTCCATATGCAGACAATTGTAATAAAGCTCACAATAGAGTGGAGTAACTATATAGAGCAGATAATTACAAGACAAAATTCTGTTCTTACTATCCTCACAATATTTCTTAATGTGATTATGGAAAATTTTGCTCTTTCGCACATTCTGAAACAGATATTGTTATAGAATTAATCCATAACCTTGAATATGACGATGATTTCTTTATGTTCTATTACAAAACAGTTTGGTGTCCCTTCAACCTTACATAGCATGATAAAGCACTCTGTGTTTACGCTCATAATTGGCAAGACTTTAGAAGGAAACCTTAAATTTATTAATATCATCCAATTCCATGTCCAAGTTGGAACACAGCTGAATACATTTTAGAATACTACAATGGATGCTAAGATGGGTTTAATTGTGGGAAATGTCATGGATGGAAAGAACTAGAATATCATCCGATGTTGTTTAGAACAAAATAATGTATAAATTAAAACTGTTCAAAAACTGATTGTTCATTTTATCATAATAACTAAGAAAAAAGGTATAAATATCAAATAAACTTAATAGATAGATTGACCAATTATCATAATTTAGAGTATTTAAGATAGTTCCTAGAAATCGAATAGTTTAAAACACTTTTAAAGTGAGAGATCACAGTTTGTTGACTTCACAAAGAAATGGTAGTAGCACACCTAGTTACTAAAAATTATGTGGTAGTGATTAACATTGGTTGGGACACAACTTACAAAATAGTTTTTAGTATGATCAGGATTCTGATGAGGGTAAATAAAATGTCAAAGGATAACACTATTAGACGACCTTAATATCAATTTAAGAAAGAACAGGTACAATTTAATCGTAATTGATTTTAGATTCAGATGAATTGAAGGATTTGAAGGATCTAATGAGAAAGAAATCGAATTCAGTGGTAGATGAAAAATAAAATAATGATGACAATGAACATGTTAGAACAGTTTTGAAAATGATCGACATGGATCAATGAATAAATATTTTTATTTAATTCAAGAACTCCCTCTTATAAATAAATAATTAAAAATATTTGAATTGAATGTAAGGTAATCAAGGTTCTCAGAAAAAAGATATCGAAATTGGTTCCTGTCCGTTTTCAGATGCAATGAAACTACCCAAAGGTCATGAGAAATATACAGACAAATCAAAATGTCCATTCTAACAAATGTAGTAGCAACCTGAAATCAAAATAACTGATGGCAGTACTGAAAAGAAGAAAGAAAAGAAAGAAAAGCAACCTAAAGGCGGATGTCCTTTTATGTCAAGTGAAAAAAAAAGAAATCCCCCTCTTGCTCATCTTGAAGAATAATACGACACTTATTACATTAGTCCACTCAATTATCTTCTAGATACAAGAGGATTATGGATGCTTGCTTTCGATTCCAAAGAAGTTAAAAAAGGTAAGAGTTCATAACAATTCTCCATATAGGTCCAATCAAAGACAGAAGAAAAACATTCGACTCTTATCCTATTTATTTGAAAAGTACTTTATTCCATGATGATGAAAATACAAAAAAACTAAGATAATGCGAAGTGGCTCAAAGATTCTTTGTTTATGACAAGTTCAGAGAGAAGGGTAATTCAATTATTAACAAAGGCAACAAATTACTATTAAAATAAGACTATGAAGAGGCTATTCGATACTATGAAAGAGCACTCGGTTGTTTTAGATACTTGGAAGTAGTTGAACCACCTGAAGACGACAGTGAGGAAGAAGAGACGGCATAAGATATAACGAATTTAACTGAAAAACAAAAGAAGGAACTCGATGACATGAAAAAATCTGCTAAACAATACAGGAAGGAACAGAAAGATTTCAAAAAACAATATAAATCCTTAATGACCATTTATACAGATGAAAATGTTAAATACAGAGGTGTTGAGCATATTGAAGTAATTAGTCATATATATACAAATTAAGGATGAAGCTGATAAAGATATGTGCAATTCTATTATGTATGGTCTATACTTGAATATGTCAGTCTGTTATATGAAAATGTCTCACTTTGATTTAGCTAGGAAGATCTTAGATGATGCTGGTTAAATCCAAAAAGAGAATTCTTAATATCTATTTAGGTATTCTCAGGCAATTCTTTACGATAAATGGTCTACCTACTCAGATTTAATTAAAGCAAAGGAATTAATCGAAAAAGCTATTACTTTATCTAATGTTGAAAACATCTTCAAATAAGGTCCAGGAATACTTAAATTAATGGGTTTGGAAAACGCCAAAGAAATTTACGTTGAACATGCCCATAAAGTTATGGAAGCAATAAAATAGAAGAGACAATGGGTCATCGATTTAATAGAGCCTTTATTTTAGAGAACCAAAGAAATTGATGAAATTGAATAAGAAATGATTGAAGATGGAAAAGTACCATATGAAGAAGGCGTAACAGATGTTGTAGATCCAGAAGACATGGTTTAACAATAGTGTGAAACGCAAAAATAATTCTTATACAGAATGTGCATGCCACAATTAACCCAAGCACATTAGGAATATGAAATCGTTAAAGAAATGGTTAACAAATATTACAGAATCATTGAATTCTATGCAGTATCAATATTAACATATTATTATAGGAATAAAAGAAATATGATTAAGTCAAGATTGCTAAGGCAGAACTCTAAAGATTATTAGAAACTGTCTAAGCTATGTCATTCTTTATGAATTTAGATTTCATTGATTATGACAATGACGAATAACTCAAAGAATTAACCTTAAAATATCAAATCAATTTTACAGATAAGAAATACATTCGAAGACTCATTCGTCTATGCAGAGAGCAAGTTAATGAACTCTTCGGTTAAGGCAAATTTAACTTTGAAGTATATATTCATATTTATAAGGTTTTTGAATATGCAATGAATGACTACTTTAAAAAGAAAAGAGAACAGTAAGAAAAAGAAAAAGAAGAATATTTAAAACAACATCCTGAACCAGTAAAACCAAATTAATAATCTTCATTCTTAAAGAAAACTCTATTCTCATCTGAATTCTGGATGCAAGTACTAATAATTTCTATTTTAGATGTTTGTCTTATTATTAGTTATGGCTGGAATGTACTACTTTAATAGTAATACAGGTTTCATTGGCAAGCTTTTTTCCCTCAAAAAATGACAGAATACTCAAAATTGAAAAAAAGATCCCATTATATTTTTATTTTCATAAAAATATATACAAATTCATTAATACATCTTCTCATAATTTTGAAAAATCTACTAACATTTTGTTTGTATTTAATCTAACAGTAAAATCCTTCTGATTTGGGTTTTATAAATCAATATATGCTTTCTCAGCATCCACTTTCAAAGCCTTGGCTAAATCTTTGCATTCTATTTTATCAATAAATGGCAAATATTTAAGGAGTGTCTCTCCAAATCTTTCATCATTTACTCTGTTTAATATGGCTCCTGCTCTATGAATAGTCAAATAGGGAAATTATTATTTGGTCAAAGCCTCTTCAACAAGTCCTTTAACTCTTGTGTAGAGAAACATAGATCCTTTATCAGCTCCTATTGAAGTTAATAAGGAATAATGAGGGATAGCTATTAATTTAAACTAAGGTGAATACCATTTGCCCTGGCTATATTACCTCCATAGATTGGATAAGTGAGATCGACCTTTGTAAATTGAGCATCTCCCTCTTTTACTCTAGATCCAAGGACACAAAAGAATGTATTATAATTGGCAAACTTCTTCCATTCTTCTGTCTTCTCAAGAATGTCCAAGTTGTCAACTTAAGTTATTCTTAATTTGTGTTTATCTGTAATATATTATAAGGAAGTTACTTGGTAATGTATCCCATTATTCTAATTTTCGACGAACAATTACAGCAACCTCAGCCCATTTAGGAGAGTTGGTCAATTCTATTACTAATTCCTTAGTTATTTAATGATGAATATACTCTTCCAACAGCTCCAGAAGCACCTAAAATGACTGCTCTCAAACCAGTTTAATCCATGATTGTGTAAATAAAATAAAAAATGAATTTCCTAATTCTTAGAAAGATTAAATAACCTATATAATTAAAATATAAACAAAGTTATAATCATTTATAAATACAAGATTCTATCAGCTCTACTTTTTCTTATGCTTTATTTTTATGATGATTGCTATTGTTGTTTTAAGAATGAAAATGGACATACTCAGACTTGGCAGCATGAGTAGACAAACTTTTACTTTATGGTTTTATTTCTGAAAAGAGGATCGAGCTCCCATATTAAACCAAGGGAACAGGTTCCTCATTTTCAGATTCTGTCTAAGATTAATTGCTTTCAGCTTTCTAAAACTTATATACAGAAGATTGGAAATTCTGAAAATAACTCAATTTCATTTGCTAATAAAATCTAGTAAAGTTTTCTTCTGACTGATTGTTGAGCAAGCCATAAAGAGCAAACAAATCAACTAATTTCATGATTCCAACTTGATTTTTTAGATCTTTAATTAGTTTTTTATATTTATAAACCTTCTTCATATTTTTGGAGATGCATTCATAAAGATAACTTAGTTATTGATTCTAAGTAATTTGTGATACCTCTCCATAATAAATAATTCTGCCCATAAATTACCCTTCGTTGTAGACATTTTAAATTTCAATACTACAATATAGTCTTGATTGAGCACTATAGTTTAATAACATTAAATACCTTTATTTTATGCCTTAACGCAACTATGATACCATTTCGTGATAATCAATCTTTGGTGATAAAATAATGATCATGTCGTGAGCCAATGTTAGATATTCCTAAATAACAAAGGAAATGGGTGTGTCTTAAATATGCAATAAATCTGATAATTATAATGATATTTACTTAAAATAACAGTGTCCAATTTATCAGTAATGTCTGATTTAAATATATAATTCACTTTATCCTGAGATTTTAAGATGTCCAACGCATAATTTAATATATTTCTATATGTTTTTGATTCTTGGATGTAATAAACTTCTTAGCTTGAGAGGGCATGTTTAATCAAGAAACTTCCTGTTGGATCATGAGCAATCAGTAATTTATCATTCTTAACTCTTTAGTAAGTTTGTTCTGTTATAAAATGTGGAACTAACTGTTTTACAAATTACACTTCTTAAATAGGATTAATCTAAGTTTGATATCAGTGAAATACATCATAGAATCTCTTTGTTTCATTTAATACTTTCATGATAAATGGTGAAAAGGAGTCTTTGCATGATGACGTAGTAGCTTAATTAATGCTAATTATTTTAGCTAATAAACCATCCCCTAGGTGCATAAGTCTCATTTGGTCATTACTTGTCTTTGTTTCCTAAATTGAATTAATATGTACTTCATATTTGATGGCTGATAGTTCAGTGTCATTTGGTAATTAGATTTATGATTTTTGATTGTTTCCCTAATAATAACCATTTATAAAATCGATGTATTCCTTGTATTCCCTTGATTAATCGCCTCTTTATCCAAATTCTACCGATTAACATTACAATACATTAATTTATACTATTTTCTACATTTGCTGTGTAATCTAGATTCAAAAATGGTTTCATAGATTTTCTTTTCATATTTGCTTGGAGACTGGTTGCTATCTATTAATTTTCAGTATCTTGACTCTTTTCATTTAGATCCGTTCCTCTTGGACCGCATAAGCAAAACATGCAATTAGAATAATTAAATATTTTATAATCCAATGAGGAATTTTATTTATAGAATAATTATTATTTTATGTTCATCAGAAATAATTAATAAATGCATCATATTTAAAAGGAAATGATTAATTAACTATCGATTATTAATATGTTTAAATGGAAAGTTTTACATCGTAAAAAATTAATATATTTATTTTTTAAAATTAATTGAATTACAATCATATAATAATGGTTAAGTTTGTTTAAATACTAAGTCTGAAGAACGTGTTATCGAAGCTCATTACTTATAAAGAGACACTGCTTCGATAAACTTCATTCTTAGCTTCCTCTCTAAATTAAAATCAGTGTCTCAATCAAATTCACTCACAAGAATTGCAAGTCAAAAAAAATAATGAAATTCTTAGACTGTTAGAGTCAAAGTGCAACAGTCTAAAGTCAGAATCACAAGAAGAGTACTTCCAAGTCATGGAGTAGACCATTCAACTCTTAGATTAGCAACTCCAACTAATCAATAAAAGTAAGAAAACATGTTTATTATTTTAGTTATGAAAAAGCAGAATATTAGAAATTAAATCAAATACTCTTCCTTAAGATCAAATATTCTAGAAAAAGCAGCCAATCATTTCTACGAAATTTGGTAATTTGATTCTGAAAATATGGATTACCTATAAAAATATTTAGATGTATATATATTTTATCTATTAAAGATTGTCAAATGCTTCAAAGGAACTTTGTGTGATCAATATCTCGAGGGACTTTGCAAATATGCACAATACACCTAAGACTACGAAGAACTTGCTAACATCTATAGTCAACTTGAAATGAATAAATTTTCTGAGACTTAAAAAAGATGTGCCATGACTCTTTTCATGCTAACACAAGATGAACTCTACTATGAACACTTCCTTTTAAATGAATCCAATTTGGTGGATTAATCATTTGAAATCAGAGTAATTATTTAATCACTATTTTAGTTTCATCTCTTTGCTACTCAATATTTCCAGTAATAGAACTGCTACCATACAACAAAATTTCACAAATAACAATGTGAAGATATGTCATCCGAATATTAGAGATCCATTGCAAAAAGCAACTTGGAACTTTAATTGTCATTCATGAAAAACTAAAGCAATCACTGATTGTGATTTGTAACCAGTTTTATATATATTATAATTATTATGTGACTTATAATATCCTATGAATCTTTAATTTCTTTTAAATAATAGAATTATAAATTAAAAATTTATAATAGAAAACTTTTACAATAATGGTTTTCACTTCATCCTATTTAAGATTTTGCTAGAGATTAGTACCTACTCTAAGAGATAACCTTCCTTTCATAGAAATCCTATGGTAGTTTAAGTTTACGAAGAAAGTATTCAGGTCTAGTTTTTACTAAGTGTGAGTTTAACAAAGTTTCCAAGAACTCCTGAACAATTACTTTCCTTCCATCATTTGACTCCTTGTTTAATCTATTCTTTATCCAATTTTAGAATAAAATACTAGATCCCAATTCCTCCTGTGATTCTTTCTAAAACTCATTTTAAAGCTTTTTCTGCAATTTCAATAGAACCTTGTGTCTTGTTTAGGTTGCGTAACTTTAGGATTAATTGATTATCTAATCATTAAAATTCATCTATTACTGTTATATTGTACTAAGCATAGGTTTTCAAAAGTTCTTATCCCCTTGTTATGGATACTATTTAAACTTTAATTAGAGAATAAGCTTATGTTTTCGCTTTTTTGAAACTCCTTAGAGATGCATTATTTTTCAGGTTAGCCAATATTGCATCGAATTCCTATAATAGTTTTAATTTTTATTCTTAATCTTAACAAGTAAACCACATCTTTTATTCACCAGCAAGTAAAGTAAAATTTAAAGAAGGCAATTACTCACTTTCATAATGAGATTATAAATCCAAAAATGAATAAGTAATCAAACTTTCCTTTATATATTTTTAATTTTCTTCATTTATTTTTGTTAATACAATAAGGTCTGTACATAAATATAAATTAATCGGTTCTTCTTTTCCGTCATAAATAATACTTAAAGACTCAGTCAAAATAAATTATCGAGTGGATTCCACAATTTGCACATTAATCAGATTAAAAAACTTGTATTAAAGTTCAAATAGGGCTTGATTTTTGAGGATGCTAAAATATTCATATCAAGAATTAATTTACTTTCCCATAAGCAAATCGATCTATTGAGTCACAGAAGCGAAGGAGTTCAATGTTTTCTATAAATCTTAATAATCAGGATGATCCTTCCAAGTGTATTTTACCACACTTGTTATTAATAAAGAATATCGAGGTAATCTTTAAACAGGCTTTATTAAAAATGAATTCAGATCGCCACCCTTAAATACACAAGCTTCCTCTAAATTTTTTAAGAAATTATCGAAATCTTAATACTAATTTCTTAAAATTGATATTTAATCGATATTGAACTCTTGCAAATATTGAAAATACATCTTAAAAAAAGGAATATACTTTAAAAATATTTGACCTACACATACATTATTATGATAAAACTCTAACTTTTCTAATAATATATAAATTGAGTACTTTATAATTCTCTTAAAAAGGTTTTGTTTAAATCATATATTTAACTTATATTACTAAAGGCTTTTTATATTTCATTCTCTGGTAATAGCTTCATTTCCTTCACATTTTTTACTACTTTTTCAAGAACAATTTTCATATCAGCCAAATATGTGGTTTCAGTTTATATGAGTTCTTCATAAACTTTTCTTCTTTTAACAGCCCATACTTTCAAGCATTTATAATTTTTTTTTTTAATAAGCATTCTACAATATGCCTGGATTAGACAAATTTTCTTTCTTATGTAAATCATTTAATAAATACATCACTTCAGGCTAAAGGTAATCATAAACTGTAAAATCAATTCTAATTATATTATGAGACACTTACTAATCAGCTATCTTTGTTTATTCAGCCTTTAAACAATTTTAAATTCTGATATTTTACTAATCTTCAATCTTTTAATTGATCATAAAATTATTTAAGGAAAGAATATAAAAAAATAAAAATAAATAATCATCTTATTATTCCACATAATTATGTTTTGGACTATTTGATATTTGAATAATTTAAAAACATAATGAAACTTTGAATCATTTTTTTTTGATTTATCCATATGATATATAATCTGTGAGCTAAATATTTTATAATCCTCTCAAATACTATTTTTAAAGTTCAATTTATGCGAAAAGTAACAATAAAAACAAGAACATAACTTATGATAAGAGAAAAAAATAATTTAAATAATCTTCATTTAAAATAAGCTAAGTATTAGTTCTAAATGATCTCTTAGATGTTTTAATCGGTGTTGAATCTAATAACAATAGTATGTTAATTGATTATCAAATTCCTAGATCTTGATTAAAGTGATTTAAAATATTGATTAAATAATAAATCACTAAAATAATTGTTAATTAAAGGCTGATACCAAAATTAATTATGTTAAATTGAATTCTCAATTTTCAATTTAAAATTATATTGTATTATTCCATATATGTAATATACATATATTTTTAATTTTATGAGACTTAATTTTTATAGTTTTTTATCAAAAAGGAAATTTTTTAATTTATCAGAATTCCTTGTTGGAAGAGTTAAAGGTTAAAAGACATGCTTTTAAGTGGTGTGAAGAATTAATTAATACTATAAATTTATAAATTGTTTTTATTCATAAATAATTCTAGATGAATTTATTACTAAAAAAACAGTTATTACATATCTTCTTCTATTTATCTTCCATTTTTAGGTTCAATCAGTTAGTTTAGATTGACAGTCCTTTTTGAATTATAAAATATTTTGCATGTAGCGCTGATAATATAGTTCTTCATCTTCTGTTCTTGCTAAGAATGAATTCTCTTTTATGAATAATTTTTAAAACAGCTATCATGGAATTTGCTTACTAACTTTGAGATTGCACATCTGTAACTTTTCTAATTACTAGATCTCTTGCATTGCACATCTCCCATAAATCCAAAAGTATTTATTGAGGTGAGAATCAGAAACGAGGAAATTAATATTGGAGCTGCTTAATTGATTAATTTATAGTTATGAATAGATATGTAACCAAAGGAAAGACTAATTAAAAAGAGAGTCTATTCAGTTAATAATTAAATAATCAGAAAATAGCTAATTTTAAGTTAGCTCTGTTAATTATAATAGTAATCTAAAATTCGTTTGGAGAGAACACTGTTACATTTTCTAAGTAAACCAAGATATCCTCCTTTTTTTATATTTTCTAAACAGGACTGTAAATTTATGGACTCAGATCATCAATGTCATCGGTGAATAGATCGGATATTATTGAAGCTTTGCATGAACCACTCTGATCTTTTAGTGTGATTTCAGTTGTATCTCCGAATTCTTCGATGTCATGTATTTCACATATGATTGCATCAATTTTTTGATTTCTATATTCTTAAATTTTGGACAGAAAAAATGAGTTCAAGGGATAAGGAAATTTTGATCTTTCTTGGTTGAAATTGCTGATTTGATTGGTATAGTTCAAGTGTTGTAGCATGAGATTCCAAAGGGATGTTTTGGCTTGATCTTTAGTTGGTTTTAACTTGGGAGTGGAGATGAATTGAATTTATGTTTTGACTTCTATTGGTTTGAAAGTGGTTTATAATTTTTTGCTGGATGACTTTTCTTTAGGGGGCTCTGGTTTCAAATTCTGTGTAATGAAGGAATCAAAGTTTCCATCATCATCATCGTTTGAAAAAAGAAAATTCATAATTTAATTGATTGATTTATTGTACTGTAATGTAAATAGATTTCATTTTTTAGCTTATTAAGCAGCCAAGTCTTCGTCCATTTATTTGAGTTAAGCACCACCTCTAAGAAGTCCTGATCTTCTGGCAGCCACAAGACCTACCTTTTGACCTGGAGGAGCATATCTGGATAAAGTTGATGGATGACCAATATGTTATTAATTACCACCACCCTAAATAAGAGTAAACCACAAGAAGTACATGAGGATGATCAACTGGATTCATAGCCACACCTCTGACTCTGGGCCACACTTTTCTTAGTCTTCTATATTTATGGAATTGTCTTCCTGCTTTGAGAATAGGTTTTTCAGTTCTTCCACCACCAGATATCAAACCAACAGTGGCTCTGCAAAGTGAACTCAATGTTTTTCTTGTACCAGAAGGCAATCTAACTCTGGTTTAAGCTCCATCATCAGAATGACCAATAATAGTAGCATAACATCCTGTAGCTCTTCCTAAAGCACCTTTGTCTCCAGGATGCTCTTCCAAATTACAAACCACTGTACCCTCTGGAATTTATCCAATAGGCAAGACATTACCAGTGGCTAATTAAGCTACGGGAATTGTTAGAAGCATTTAATATACCCTTTGCACCGCAATAAATATATTATCCTGTGTATGCTCCTTCTGGTGCAATGAAGAGCTTAGTTTGTTTTTTGTACTTATAAGGATCATTGAATTCAACTTTTGCGAGTGGAGCACCTCTTCCTGGGTCATGAATAATTTCGTTGATCACACCTCTTACATAACCATGTCTCTCAGCATAATCAAGGTGCCTATATTAGGGACTTCCAACTCTTTAGTTTTAATGTGCTTTAAAGACACTGTTGGACTTACCCTTTCTTTATGCTAACAATGATAAACAAATAAAACTCACTTCTTATTCTCTTGCCCATATTTAAAAAGATTTTTTTAAATTTTAATATATACTTTCAATCACTTTCCAACTCTTAGTGTCTTCCATAGTCTCTCGTATTTATTAAAATGCAAATTACTCATACTTTCTTAAAATCTTTCTTTACTCAAACTCTGATATTCAAGTAAATCCACACTATTTCCATACTTTTAGTTTATTTCCTTAATGCTTTCTACTCTTGAGGAAATATCCCTTTTTTCCATTGATTTGACCAACTCGCTCATAAAATTCGGTTCTCTTTTACTTCCTTTTTCGTAGGTTGGGATACTTTAAGTCTGTAAATCGAATTGCTCATGTTTCTTTATCATCCTTTCAAGTTTTGACTATTTAAATGCTAAATATTTATCTTCTCCTTATTGCATCTCCTAACCTTAAGGCTTCGAGACTTACCAAATACAAAATCATTACGCGTTTTAATTTATTGGTTCTATTTCGTTAAGAAGAACCCGTCAGTATATTTGCTTTTCAGATATTGCATTTATCTGAAATCTAAGCATTTAAATGAACGATGAGACTCACTCTAGAAACTACCTCCAAACTTTGTCTTCCTCTAACCTAACTTCTCCATCTCTTTTTTAATGTACTTCTATCTGTTACTGAATCTATTTGTAAGAAACATGTTAATCTATTCCTATTTATCCTATCTAGGCTCCAAAAAACTAGAAGTATGGATTTCTTGCTCCTTTTGCCTACTCAAAACATTCTCACTATATTCTAACAAATTTTCATAATCATTTTACTCTACCCTTCTTTCTTAGTGTTCCAATTTGTCTGTTCTCCTTAAATCCAAGTATTTGTTTGAGTTACTGTTGCACCTCAATTCCCCTTTTTGTCACGGTGATTCTTTCGTATTCCATTATTAATAAATTTAATGTTCTCAATGTTTAAAAAGAAAGAGCAGGCCCAATAGTCAACTGCTCCTCCCCCGCCACCCATCTAATAATAATAGTAAGCTCCATAGCAGCCTCCAGTTGTTCCCCCTCAGCAATCTGCCCCTAAAGGATCAATGTTCAAAGGAAGCCTTAAAGTAAAGGCACCACCTCCTTAAACATCAGAAATATTATAATAGTAGACGTAGCCCCAAACACAACAGACATAATTAACTTAATCTTAATCCAATTCAGATATCTTATCCCCAGAGAGTGATGCTTACAAGCAATAATTTAATTAGGTGGAAATACCTACTACATAAGAAGAATCCAATGTTGAGCAAAAAGTAGAAGTGAAATTAAATGTAGAAGAGGTCAAAAAGAAGCCAACTGGCTTTGGGTTTTTAAAAAAAAAATAGCCTGAACAAGCACTTCCTACAGATGAATCATTACAAGAATAGGTGGAAAGCCAGATTACTTATGGAATTTAAGTTAAACAAAATTAGGTGCAAGAAGTCAATCGATAATAGGAGTACACGTAGGAGTAATCCTATTAATAAAATTACTCTCCAAAGTAGCCAAAAGAATTGAGTAATAATGAGGATTAAAAAAAACAGATCTATAAGTAAAATGAACATAATGAAAGGGAGATTGAATAATAATAATAATATCAATAATTATAGTAATACTAACAACAGTAATAATTGTAATTATAATAATAACAATAACAATAATAACAATAATAACAATAATAATAATAATAATAATAATAATAATAATAATAATAACCATAATAATTCTTATACTAATCCTAAACTAATTCAATTTCACCATTAAAGAGTTCTATCATTAATAAAAGTTAGATTATTTAAAATTCGACCAATCCTCAACTTGATAATTCTTATGTAAAACAACATTAAATGATTATGGAAGAATTGGAGTACTTCCAAACCGAAGCTAATAAAAAGAAAGCTCAAATTTACATATCTCAATAAGAGATTGAGAAGCACATCGTTCAATATCAACTTAAATTATAAGAGTATAATAGTCGACTTACTCAATTATCCATTGAGTAATAAGTTTGTGCACAATAGGAATAATTTGAGAAAGCAGAGGAAATAGAACAGTCCTTAAAATAAATTTAAGATAAAATCACTTAAATAGATAATTAGATCAAATAAGAAGAATTATAGTACACTAAATTATAGGATGAGAAGGAAAATATAAGAGGGGAAGAATATCCATTCTATTAAGAAACCGAATAAAAACTAGAAGAAATTGAAAGATTACATATCAAATATAGTGATTAATACAGATTTGAAGGATAGGCCTCAATTAAGAAATTGCAATAACACATCGAAGAAGAAAATGAGAGAGTGAAAATCTAATAAATTCACACTGAGATTGATAGTAAGCATTTAGATGAAGAGGAATAACATTTGAATCAAATTATGGATAATCAAACTAAGGAATATAGAATCGAGTAAGACCAATTAATTAATAAAAAGTCATCTCTGGAATCTGAGATTGCAGAATTGCAATTACTATTAAATCAAAAGAAAAATGAGTTATAAAAGGTGAATGTTGATCTACATTCAACCAAAGAGAAAATTTAATAAGTGCAATAAAAATTCAATTTATAATTAAGTAAAGTTTAAAACAAGAGAACAAAACTTAATGATGAGCTCAATAGTTTAGCCACTGAAAGAGCCCAGATTGAAGCCCTTGAAGGAGATAGTCTTAGAAAATAACACGAATATAAGAATAAACTGGAATACTTATCATAATAATTGGAAGCGATTAAAGAGAAAAGAAACGAACTCATACGAAAAGCCAATTTAGTACCTGAATAATGCCAATAAGAATTGGATGTAACATTCAAGTATTAAGAGGCTAAAAAAGCCAGCTTAGAAGCATTGAAGGAGTTAGCATAGGTTTAGAGGTAAATTGATGAATTGAATTACAAGAGGAATATGGGATAATCTTAATTGCATGAAATTCTAAATAAAAAAAGTGAACTTTAGAAGAAATTGCCTAAGATGATTGATGATAAGGCATTATTAGTGCAGAACAAAAACTTTAAAGGTGCTGCATAAATTAATGAATAAATAAAAGAAGTTTAGAGGTAGATTTCTTTATATGAAGAGAAAATATCAGAGAATCAAACTATTGAAACTCAAATTCTAAAAGAAATTGATGAAATAGAGGATTCCTTATTGTCTAGATAACACCAATATTAATAATTGTAATAAAATGCCGAAATTTGCAGATATTTTGTTTTAGAATTGAAGTTGCAAGAGATTTAATAGATTGATTATTATGGGTTATCATACTTAGTGTTAGATGTATTATTATAAATTTAATTAATTTTAGATTAAAAATGAGTTGGAATAATTATTTAATAAATATTAGGATTTAATTTATGCAAATAGAAAGGTTTCAGTTGATAATGTAGATTAGGTGTAGGATCATGAATAAGAGGTTATCGACAATAATGTTAATGAAATTGAGGATTAATAAGAGCATTAATACGAATAACATTAAGAAGAGGATAATCAAGTGGAAAATGAATAGATTGAATAGGTTGTTGAATAGGTTATTGAATCAAATGAATAAGAATAAATTTAATAATCATAAGAAGTTGTAGTTGAAATGAGTGAAGAAGAAATTTAAAATTATATTAATAATCAAAAGTAGATATATTTGGATATTTAATAAAAAGTATAGTAATTAGAAGAATAGGTCTCAGATCATTGTTAGGTAATTATTGTGATTAATTAAAGAAAGAGCAATATGAGGAAGCTGACTAGATTCAACAAGAAGTAGATACTCTTACACAATAAGCTAATGGAATACAAATAGAACTTAAATAGAAATATAATGTAGATATATTATAGCCAGAAGATCAAGAGAATTGATCTGTTTTTAATTTTTATTATTGATTAATATAAAAAACAAATGTTGAAATAATCTATGAGTCTTTATAAATGGCAATTTATATTAATAGATGTTCAAATAAGCTCAAATAAATCTGTCTTGTTACTATTATTATTTTTATTGTTATTAACAGGAGGATCATCGAAATTTAAAAGATCAATATCTTATTATTACTCCTTTTGGATATTTTACTGATTTTCATCTTATTGTTCTTTGACCTAGGTTTCTGGTTTCTCTTCTCCTTTGTAAATCTTAACTTCCTGTTAATTGCTTCAAATGTGAATAAATAAATACTTGACTTTAATTTTGATGTTCTTATACAATTGATGTGGTAGTTTGTGGAATAGATTGCTGATGCTCCCCATATTTTCTAAAGCTAAAACTAAATCTTAGGTTTCCCATAAGCGTAGATCCTTTGAAAAATTGGAGAAGGTTCCACTATTAAAGCAAACTAAGTTCTTAACAATTTCAGGGTCGGTTGACAACAATCTCCAATAAATATAGGTTCTATCCCTAACATCAGGATTAAATGAGTCTTTGGCAGATACGATCAACTATTAGATAAGAGCAGAACATTATGATGGATATTTGAGATATAATTAGACTGCTGAAGTAAGTAATTAGAGTTAAACTAATCTATCTTCCATTTAGAAATTATCGATATACTCTTTCATTTTTTCTACTGATTTAGGAATGAATTCACCAAATTCTCCTACAATCCATGCACATGCACTCTATCACTATCAATAAACTTAATTACTTTAGATTCTGATTCATTTGCATAATCGATGATAGAATATATGACTTTTAGACTATCTTCATGTTTATACATCTATTTGCTCTTTTTGTAAATAAGTTGCATTTAAATGAGCAATTCTTAGACTGGCTCAGTTGGTGATTAAATGTTTTTAGCAAATTCCACTAAAATAGAGACTGCTCTATCAATTAAGAATATCATTTTACTTATCCAAGGCTTTGTCATAAGTGATTGCTATTTTTCCAATTGACTTAATAGTCTTTCTGACAAAATGAGGATCGGCTTCATTTAAATAAATGAGAAGTTCATTAAGAACTTAAGCAAAGTTTTTGGAATCACAAATTCTAACCATGATATCCAATTTCTCGTATTTGATATAATAGGGTTCATTAAATGAACAGAAAAACACCTTAACATCGTTTTCGAACAAGATTGGGAACTTCTGTAAAATCAAAGAGATGTTTCTTAGGATTGTGTATTATACTTCTGGTTGATTCCAAGATAATAGGGAAATTAAAGAGGGTGCCACTTTCTTACATAAATTCTTAACTAGTTCTCCATTATCTAAGAAATCCAAATATTTGAGTATAACCTTAACAGCACAAAATGTAACAGTTGGATTTATGTGACTCAGTCTTGGTAGTGTTCTTTCTATTATTACTTCAGCTTATTTTGAATCCTATGGATTATAAGTGGCTAAATAATCCAAAATAAATATCTATCCCCATTCAATGCATTCATCAACAGCCAATAACAACTTTTAAATGATCTTCTGGTTCAAATTGATAATTTATTTGCCACTTACAACCTCAATTTCTCTCATTGATTATATCAAATTAGCCAAAACTAATGCATTTGATTCCTTCTCTAATAACTTCTACAGAATTTCCAACAACGGAGGACATATCTCAGGGGACACTTCATATACCTAAAAGGAATCAAATTAGTATCTACTTTTGGGACACACAACACTGCAGTTTTACGGACATAAGGGTCATCATCCTATATACAATCTTTAAGAGGCTCTATTAAATATTCATTAAGTTTCGGTACTCTCAAGCACCCGAAAGTCCTTATGGCTAGTGCTCTTACCAAAGGATTCTCTGATTTTCTCACATCCTTCCTAAAATTTTGTATCACCATTATGGCATCATCTGGCTTTTATCTGGAATAGTTGACAATATATAAATAAATCTAAGGAATAATCATTTATCATTACTAGTTTTTTCATCTCTATGTCATTAAATTCTAAACACTTTATGACAGATTGAAATAGATCTGATACGTCTTTGCCCACTGTCATATAAGCAATCACCTTCTTAACAGCCTACACAATTGTTGTTAATCATTACTTCTTTCTTCTTTTCAAAATTCAGATCATTTAAATCAGCATAAAGCTCTTGCAATTCTCCACGCTATGGATTATTTCCAAAATAAGCCATTTAAATATTAAAAATTTATATATAAAAACTCTAATTATATTCATACTTCTAATTCTTTAATGCCCTCCAAACCCCCCTTTTTAATACTAAAATATCTATCATCCCCCTTTGGAACATCAGCTTCTGTAGGGTTAATCCTAATCATAATAGATTATTTCATATTATCTAGTATTCTATCGCCTAAATTTCTGATGCTTGGAATTGCAGTACCTGCTCCAATCTCTATTACACAAACCTTATTGGTTTTGTTTTTCTCTACAAAATCAAAGAATCGTTTCTCCTACTGATCGTATATAGATGAAATCCAATCCCAATCACCAAACATCAATATATTAGGTCTTAATAAACGCTTGCATTCACATTTAGGCAAAGGATCAGCTGCTGAAAACTTCTCTAGATCAATTGATAAATCTTTAAACTAATGAGCATCATATAATTTATCACATGGAGTACATTAGAATTTATGAATTGATCCATGCATTTCATAAATATGATTACTATCAAATCCAGCCTTCTGAAACTGTCCATCCACATTACTTGTTATTACAAAGTAATCCCTATTTTAGAATATTTTTTTGAGTATCTAAAATCCATCATGAGGAACGGCATTTCGATACATATGTAATCGATGTCCATAAAATCCCCAAAATAAGTTAGGATTATAATCCATAAATGATGGATTAGCGCAATCTGTAAATCCAAATTTGTTTTCAAAAGGTCTATATACTGTCCAAAATCCCTTGTTACCTCTAAAATCAGGTAGACCTGAATCAACTCCCATACCTGCTCCAGCTGTGATAATAAATGCTTAGCACTCTTTGATGTATTTTTACATTGATAGAAATTATAATTATTAATTTTAGAATTGAACTCCTATTATATATCAAAAAATTATTTTTATAAAATATTTTATCATCTAAATGTTATGTATTTGGAAACATAGAACTCATATATATTAGCTATATCTGAACTAACGGATTGCTTGTACCAGCTATAATAGAGCAATTCAAAAAGCGATATTCGTGTTAAATGTAATCTAATTTAAATAACATAATTAATTAGCCTCCTTAGTAATTTTAAAATCAAGAAAATTTCAAATTTAAGATAATTTAGTTATGCTTCTAATATCAGATATTCTAATTTAAATTCATTGATTTTTCAAAGTAATATAAACGATATTAAGTAAAATTTTATAAACCCAACAAGAGTCAATTATCTAAATCATTATATAGGATGAGTTGTATGAGAATCATTATCTTAAGAAAAAATTCAATTTTATATTATAGTTGCGGTAGTTCATAATCATAAATAATGTGGAGATGAATAGAGAATAGAATTTAATTTACAATTTGTTGTTTTAAATACGGTTTGAAACAAGGAATTCAAAAGTAGTTATTACTAAGTCTCTAAAGGTGTTGAAAATCAAAGGTATATGAATTAAAAATCATAGGTTGGCATAATAATATGATTTAATTATTAATTATAATAATTTTATCTTTTTGAAATTTAATAACGATTTTAAAATGGTAAAATATAAAAGTGTCTCGATAGATATCACAAATGATATTAATTTTAACCTGATCTTAGTGAAAGAAATAAAAAACTTCAGATATCAATGATTAATTTAAGGTTGGTTCAAATATATTTGCAAATATTAAGATATTGAAATAAATTTAATTAAATGATTCTTTCCAGAGGGTTGAAACAACAATTCAGATAGGTTACTATCTAAACATTTGCTAATACAACAAGAGTACCTAATCCATTTGCTCATCATCACGATGATCATGGACACGAACATGAGGATCATGGACATGGTCATGACAGTCATGGAACAAAACATTTGGGGAGCAGACCAAAGGTTGAATATAATACCATTACTACCTTTTTAGACCACAAAAATTTGTATACTTATTTTGAGTGTAATTTTTTATAATGAATTTATAGAGGGACCTGGATATATGTATTATCCAGGAGTGAATTATAACGAGGCTCACGGTAAGCCATATGACTGGAGAGATGATCCCAAATATAATCCGGATTACTTAACTCCAACAAAGAATATCGGTTGTCCAGATCCAAAAACATATGTTTGGCCATTCGAAGGAAAATTTGAACCCTTCAACCCTTCTGAAGCATTGCCTCAAAATCATCTATATGATCCAACCCTACTATTAAAGCCAGAAAACAAATAGATTGGTCAACCAATACAACATTTGACTGCAGCTCAATAGGATTAAGATGCAGATGTGAACCATGAATTTGATTACGAATCTGAAGATTGCGATTTTTAGACAGAAAGCTTCAGAACATAGCATTTTAGAAAGAGAGGACCAATGTGGCCATGGGCTCTAATAGCCACAATGCCATTTGTATATTTCTGTAAAATTAACCCTCTAATAATATATAGGGGTTGAATTCTTATATCAGAGATATCCAGATGAAGATCATTGGAGAATAACTCACCCACCTCCTCTTAACTATCCTGATAGTGAAGTATAAATTGAGATAGAAATTAGGACACTGATGATACAGATACATATTAAGATTACCATTCACCAAGTGGAAGATTTTTGAGAGACATAGGAATAATAGGAGATTTATGGTTTGACATAAAGGATGGTAAGAAAGTGATGAATAAATGGGCAGGATGCAATCAACCTTTGCCAGATATTTGAAATTATAAATCATTATAGCTATCTGCATTATTAATATTAAATTCATTCGAATGAAGTGGATTCTTTCTTCTTTGTTAATTACATGCCTTTTTTAGGAGCTTATTTCACATTAGATTTTTGAGTCACTTGGGATTATGATTGTGTACTTAAATTTTCATTGATTACTTCAGGTTTTGGTGCTGGATTTACTTTTTCTAACTTCATTACTATTTAAATACCCTCATTTTATGGTAACTTGAATGCATTATCAATAGCTTTGGATTGTTTTTAATTCCTTTTCTAAGCTAATTCTTCTTATCTTTTCCTTTCCATTTCCATCTAATGTTTTTTGGCTTATTCTTTTGCTTCATTTTCCTAATGTCTTATAATGACCTTTTATTACTCTTGCTTTGGTTAACATCAAATGGATCTTCTCTTCTGAACTTTCCATTTCAAGAGCTGTCTACACTTAACTTGTAGTTGTGCTTTCTCTCAACCCTGCTGATATTATATCGTCAATAGCTAAAAGAATCTCAAAACTATTCTTTTTTATTGACTCCTCGCTAACTATACATTTGTACAAACAATACTTTATTAGCAGATATCAGAGAGGACATTCTTCAATATCCTTAATACTTCTAAATCCTCAATTATATTGCTATTTTTTGAAGTAATCAAAACTATATAAATGTTATCTATTGGAGTGTATATATATCTCTGATTCTCGTGATCTATAAATGTATGCTATTAAGTTGGTGAAATCAATTTAGGAAAATTACGAACTTGCTAAATATAATTACAAATATTCTTACTTCCCTTAATTCATTTGTTGTAATTCCTTAAAATTATCTACCTATAAAAAGGATTCCATTTTTATCACATATCGCTGCTGAGATAATAACCATCTTACGTGTATTAATATAATATAAAATAATTATTTTATTATTCTTAGTGATTCCTCATATTGGATAGTGAATAGAATTTATATAGATAATCCATTTGTTTTACTATGGAGATAGATGAAATTTGATTATTACTGGGATTCCAAATTTGATAATCATTTTTATTACCAAATAAATAGAACAACTTCATTTGGTAGTAATGTTAGACAAAATAAACAAGTACCTTTGAATAAGGATGTTATTTTAGATTCTATTTAAATTATTAAATTATTTATAATCAAATATTTATAATCTCAATCCCTAAAACATCAAATTGAATAGATCATCTGGTTTTAATAGCCTAGGTCACTTTTTTTATTAAATATGTATTGATATATAAATGAACTCCTATTTTATCTGTGAATTGATGGGTTCTTCTGTTTAAAATGAAACAAATGTTCGATTATATTAATGTATAAAAACGGTATTTAAATCAATATTTTTATTATCGAACAAAAGAATGAAAAGTATATCAGGAGTATTAGTCATTCTGCTTCTAAGTCAGAGTGTTTTCTGCAGCCCTAAGAAAATCAATACAGATTTTTTGAATTTGCTTAGTTCTAAAACTAAATGTGATGAGTTCTTAGGATGCCATTCAATCAGTCCTTACTTTATTAGAGGATCTATAGGGAGCAAATGTTGAAGCTCAAGACAAAGCTGATCTCACATTTTAACGATTTGAACAAGCCATTTTGCAAGACATCAATGAGTTCTCAGGAATTGTCAATGTCAATTCCAAGAGTGCTGCTGCAGCTCAATAAGACTTGGAAGCTGTCGAGTAATTGTTTATCTTTCAACTTAAAGCCTTAAAATCCAATAAACAACAGACTACTTGAATTGGAATAACAAGCGATACAAGGCAAATGAAGTTAAGCTTGAAAATTTAGCTGAATAAAGATGCGAAGCCAATGCCTTGTTCATTGACACATTGAGAGAATATAAGAATGCACTTTCCGTCCTTGATTGGGTAAGAAGCGATGCACAAAGCAAACAAAGCACATTAATAGAAAAGAGCCACATCGGAGATTATGCAGAGAAATTGAGCAAGTATGCTAATCTATTTGAAGAATAAGCAGTCTAAGATTTTGTCAAATTAGGTGAAGAAGAAGTCTCTTTCGCATAGACAAGTACAAAATACTAGATAATGCATTTAGGATAACATGGAAACGGCCAATAAATAGCCTCATTAGTAGAAAAGGATGTCGTAGGAATTATTCAATAATTAATTGAGAAATTAAGAGATACCATCAAGAGTCTTGAAGAACAAGAAATTCAATCAGCCAACGATTTCGCTGATTTCAAGACAAATTTATTGGCTGAATAGGAATCTCTTAAGCAAGAGTATGATGCCAAAGCCAAATTCTTGAATTCCTTACAAAATGACAAGGAATTGGCCTCTGACATCTTGACCAAAAAAAAAGAACTTTAAGATTAAAGCATGAGAATCTTGAGCTTGACTTAAGGTACTTAGCAATCTATATTATCTATTAGAGGAATACAATTACAAGAAGAAATTATACAACTCAGAAAAAGGCAAAAGACATGAAGGAAACTAGTTATTAGAAGAATCACTTCTAATTTACAGGGAAAAGATGGCTACCGTAAATGAATACTTGAAAAAGAGAGTTAACGAATATGTTGGAGAATCCCTTGTTGAAGAACATGCTGTCAGCAATCAAGCTCCAGTTCAAAATAGAAAGGGAAAATAATGATAAAAACACACACATTAAAATTATAATCATTCTAAAGGTTGCTTCTTTCATTGTTTTAAATTAATCCTTCTTCTAATTAGAATGATATTTCTAATCTGAATTTAGATTAATGGAGAATTCGTTACATCTCCAGACTCAAATGGATGTATAGATCCTTATTCTCCATAAGAAACTATTTGAAATTGATCTATTAATAACCAAATAAGGGTTTAGAGATTTTTTTTAAAAAGGAATTCTATCCTTATGATGATATGTCTTTTATGTTTATATCCTCAATTAGCCATCGAATACTAATCAAATCATTTTATTGTTATGTTGTATCAATTTACTATTTTAATTAACATATCCGAATTTTGCTTTAAAGTCTTCATATTTAACAATTTAATAGGCCTGGTTATATATATTTATTTAATTTAATGACCTTTTAATTAGCTTTAGTTTTTTGAAGTTTCTTTGCTTGTTAATTAAATTTGATCCATTTTTTTTAAATAATCTCATGACTGATTCCTTAAAAATCAAACATGATCACTATATAAAAGTAGTTAATAAAGAATTCTACTTTGAACTCTTTGTTGGTCTCTTTGATTTTAATGAAATTCATTTTTAATCTCTAATCATCAATACTAATAATCTATTCTCTTAAAATTTGTTAAGCATTTATTTTACCCATTCATTTGTCTCAACCAATTCTTCAAGACCTATATCTACTTTGTTGACACTATCTCCTTTTGAGGAATGCTATGATGATAAAGAATAAAAGCTTTTGCTCACAATTAAGCTTATTATGAATCTTCTAATTCATTAAGTTTTATTAAGAATTAACTTCATAGGCCACATAACAATTGTCTTTCTTTTATTAACTTAATACATCAATGGTAAAATGATATGACTTGAATAGCTCTCTGATATATCAATCTGATTCATTAATTTACTTTTTCTTTTTTTCTATTTCCAAATTTTAAATTTTGGATGTTCTCTAAAACTCCATCCATCTTTAACCAACTAAAAATAGAGCACTTGACGTATATCAATATATATATTATTGTACTATGTTTATTAATGATATCAATAGAAGAAACCAAGGATTTTGCCTCCAATATGTCTTTATCTAGCTTCTTCATGGGTTAAAATTCCAACATTAGTGGTGAGAACAACACATCCAAATTATCTGGCTGGGAGAATGTTATTGGCCCATCTTTCGAATTCTCCTAAAGTAACATCATATCTGGGTGAGATCACACCACATTTATTGATGCGTCCTAACATTTTGTGTCATTTAATACCCAATAATTCAACAACAATCTTGCCACTTCTATGATCATCAACAATTTCGAATTCGCCAATGTACCCATGTCTTTGCATAACTTATAAGAACTTCACAACCAATTTTGATGTAGGTCTGATCAACACTTGCTTTCTTCCTTATCTTAAATATGTTAGGACAACAACTAAAACCTTTCAGCATTCACAATAGAACGGAGGCAATCATTCAAGACATTCATTTTCACCATTCGTCAATAAATATTTTTTAATTTTTTTAAATCTTATTTTAATATGTTTATATGCACAATACACCATATTCATTTCAAAATACTTGTGTTGTTTAAACAAAGAGACCAATGCTGTCTCACTCTTTTTCCTATTTTCACATAAACAATTTATTCAGCTTGTCAAATGAATTTTTCCATAAAAGTATCTCTTCAGGAATGCAGACCAATATTTATTATATATATAAACATGAGTATCAATTATTCGTAATTAATTTAATAATTTTTTACCTTTGACACAAAATTTAGGATGTAAATTAACATGGAATTTCTTTGTTTTGAACAAAATGAAAAAATTAGTAAAGTCTTAAAACATAACTTAGTTGAGGAATTAGCTTCCATGAATAATCATCAAGAAATTATAGATTTTTGTGATCGCCAGATTTTTCTTATCGAAATCGCATAGAGTAATTAATCAGAAAACTCAAGTAATCTGCTTTGTGTTATTCTTTAGCTCAAATCTTAGATGATTCCCAAGAATTGAATAAGTCTTTGGATTAATCCAGTGGAAGTATGCTCCTTTCAAGAGTTGATTCCTTTGGGAAAAGATTTTAGATAGAAAATGCTTATGATTTTTATTATAAAAAAAAAAGTAAAATCTCAATTTAAATAGTTAAAAGCTTACTAAATTTACAAAGATATGAAGAGGTTATTGAATGCTGCGATCGATTATTAATACTCTGTTAGGAAAACAATTAAGAAGCATATTGCCAATATGAAAAAGGTTAATACCTATTGTATGATTAGCCAAAGCATTATCTAAATAAGTAAAAATGAATGAGTTTATTAAAATGGTGGGTTTAGACAAGTAAGAAAACAAGCATAATTTTAATTACTATAAATAAGTGGGTAAAGACAATTTCAAAATTATTAGTGAAGGATCTAAAGAATTAGGGTTTAATAGAAGAAGCATTAACCTGTTGGGATTATGGGATGTAAAGCAATTAAATTTCAGAAAAATTCTCTCATAAAAAAAGTTTTATAATTTAATAAATCTAGAGAAGCTTTTAAGTAAATATGAAAAAATAGAGGAAGCCAAAGAATGCTAAAAGCAATTAGAGAATCTTGGGTTAAGCTGATTTAACATTTATAATATAATATTGCAAGCATCAATAATTATTTACTATCCATAATGCCGTTTAAATTAAATATAGATTATTTTTTGTGGAAATCTAATTAATAAAATATAAATGCAAAAAAAAACACATTTAATTCTTCGTTAAATTGATTATATTCTCTTAGGTTTGGCTATTTTACATTCTTATATACTATATGATTATCTGATATATTAGATTTGCCCTTCTTAAGGGTTTTTAATAATATTAAAAAATCATTATTTCTATTAAAATGTATTAAAATTACTCATAACAAGCTTAAATGGTCGAGGATCTCTCTTAAATAACTTGCTCCAATAATCACTATAACACACGCATTGAATATATTTCGAAAAATAGTCAGAAAGGTTCTAAAGAATTGTTGTGTTCAAAGTGCATAGAAAATTTCAACAATCCTCCTTCAAATTTGATTTTCATATAAGATATCATAGAGACAATTGAGTAAGAAAAGCGGTAGTGTTATATTCAAACGGAGAATGCTACATATCACTTTATTTAGGATATCGAAAAATTAGTCTTAAGCTTACGTGATTATTAGGCATAAATGCATTATCAAATTTAAAACCTTATTGAGTCTAGTAATAATTGGATAGAAAATTTGAATTATTATAAAAGTTAGAAGCTAAAATATAAACTTTTGGATGAAATAGAAAATTTAGATAATTTACATCTTTTCTAAGAAGAGTTAAGGTAATAAAGTTTGACATTTGATGTTTATGAAATAAATAAAATAAACGAGAATAATATTGAAAAGGTATTTTTGGGCATTGAAAAAATTAATTAAAAGGTAAAAGAATGTTCTAAGTTCTAAGGAATGGCTAATGCAATTATAAAAAATGCTAATAATTTTGATTATTTTTAACCTACAAAAATGAAGATTAATTCATAAAAATTGATTTCCGATAAAATCGAAGATTAACTCTGCAATGCCTTGGCTTTTAATAGTGATGAGTCACTATTAGCAACAGCAGCAGATAAGAATATAAAAATCTGGAAATTTCAAGAAGGAAAATTGACAGAAAATGTCGCAAACTTGCAGGAACATTTAGATTAAGTTGTTTGTTTGGTCTTTCATCCAATAGTAGTCGATTTACTAATGTCTGGAAGCAAGGATGGAATAATAAGATTCTGGAGAGACCCTAGTTAAAGCAAATGGAAGTAAGTAGAATCTCTTAGGATTAATATAAGTTATCCTATAAGTATGATTCTGAATCAATATTAAAATTAATTAATTGTAGGCTGTTTTGATGGTTCAATTAAAATAAACTTATTCAATGTGGATAGAAATAAGGCTAATGAGTAATAAAGGTTGGATAAGCATACTAAGCCAGTTTATAGTATAAGCTTAAATTCTAAGTGCAATCAATTTGTTTCATCTAGCAGTGATAAATAATTAATTATATGGGAGAAAAATGATGCTTAAAATTGGGATTTTAAGTATGTGGTTGATAAATCAATAAATGATATTTGTTATAGGGCTGGCTATTTTGGAGACGACACAATTGTGTTCCAATAAAAGAGAAATGGTAATCTACATTTCCTTAAATTGCAAAACAATAAATTTTCAGAAAGAACATAATTGAAGTTAGCAGTAACTCATTAGGATCCAGAAGTTGAATGCTTCTTCCCCATAATATATAATAGTAAGAACTAAGTTTTGGTGGTAAAGCACTTTCAACATGTCTACATTATCAAGCAAAACAAACAATAATATTAAATAGCCTGTTAACCAATAGATTGTTAAAATCCATATAATTACGGCACCCTGACAAAGGATGGATAATACCTAGTAATTTGGGAAAATATCACTAGAAAATTTAAGGTATATGAATTGCAATATTGAGTATCCATAACATATAAAATTATCGATTATTTATTCGTGAAATTATTATATAATGTATTCCTTAATAATCATCTGTCTAAAGATAGTTAATAACATTAATTGTATAAATGACGATGAAATTTTGTAAGTTGAATATTAATAAACTTATTTAATTTGAATTTACTTATGTCCGATTAATTCGAATAGTCGCAAGAAGGCATTGTTCAAAATGAAGTGCCTGAATATAGAGATCAAGAGCTTTTTGATTAGGTGGCCTCGAAGTAAAATAACGAGAAAAAACTAAATTTTTAAATAGAAGAAGAAGAAGAATAAGATTAAAATCAGCCGGTTGGGGCTATTTAAGAAGTCACCAAGCCTGAAGAGATTAAAAAGAACGTATCTTAGATTAGCAACCCATTATAGCCTATAATGATAAATAAAGCAGAAACTAAGAGAATAGTACATCAGGCTGCTTTGGAAAGAAAGACAGAAGCATTTGAATAAACTAAGAGTTTTGAACTTCATAGATCTTAATAAATTTTCTAACATAGATAATTGGTAGATTCGGTTTGGGCAAGATTACAAAAGGTAGTGGCTTCATCTGATGAGTCTATGAAATTTTTAGTCTCGTTTATGAAATAAAGGATTGAATAGGAAGAATCACAATTAAAATACTCTTAAACAGCTTAGTTAAGTAAGTTGTTTAAGGATTTTGGTAATATTTGAATATAAACTTTAGATGGAAAGATTATGTAATGTAATTATCCTGAGTTTTCGAAAGCAGTAAGAACAATTGATTCCTCTATGGAAAGATAGACAGATCAGATTAAGATTTTTATTGTGTGGATGCAAAATCAGACTCGAGAGAGATTGGAATAAGAAATGAACAATTTTACAAATTAAAATAGAGGTATCAAGAAATTTTAATTAAAATAGACTTAATAAATTCATATAATCGTTTCAAAAAGACATTAGCAGATTTGGATAAAGAAACTATGAAATATTTTAACAAATATGATAAAATGTATTAGAATATGACAATTAAAGGTAAAAAGCCATAAAAAGACTTTTTGAGAGCCGAATTAAAATATAAATAGGTATTCGCGCTTAATTAATATTTTAGGCTGCTTCAAGAGTTGTAATTTATTAAAGAGAATTTGGAGCCTGGTTGTTAAATAGTTGGAATGAAATAAAATTATTAGAAGCTTAAAGATTGGATTTAGTCACTCATACTTTAATAGAGTTCTAAAATCAAATTATGAATGTGTATGGCAAGATTCCTCAACATGATTCAATTATTGTGGCATTGAATGGAGTAAAGGTCTAATAGGAAGTTCAGACATTATATTCACCTGATTTTGTACTAACAAAATAGGAACTAGAATTCATTCAGACAGAGCAACAATAAGAATTAGTTAAATATTTCCAAAGCTTTCAAGTAAAATTAATCAATATGTCTAGGTTATTGATAAATATGCTGAATTATCTCATCCATTAATTCTAAAATAATTTTCAGCTTAAAGAGATGTTGGTACTATAGGCAAGACTTGGATCGAAACTGGCATTATTATTACAGTTGATCATTACTTTTTAACATTCGAAGGTAAGCCAACTAGATTTTCAAGACCGGAAAACAAATACCCACTTGATGGAATGAAAATGACCGCTAGGAATGCTGTAGAATTAGAGATTTAATTTGTTATTCCTGGTTTAGTGATGGATTCAAAGAAGAAATTACTTATTCAATTTAAGAAATCAGATGAATTGGAGGAAATGATGTATTTTCTAGAAACTGTTGGGCAAAATAAATTTGCTTTAAATTGAAATATGTCAACCATGATATAATATGAATAGTTATAAAATAATAAAATGAAATCAAAATACTAGCTTTAATCAGATGAAGATGTAGATACTCTGGGTTCCTATACATCGATGACTTATGATGACAAAACTATGGAAGTGGTGCAGTACAGAAAAGAGAATTTCTTTCAATTTGGATCATCCATATTGGCAGTAATTTATATGGCCAATACTATGTTGATTCCTAATATGAACTAACTTTTTATTGATATATCATTTGATAATCCTTTAAAAATGGTTATTTCAGTGATCATGTATTGGTTGCTCTCATTTTTAATTTTGATACCCTGTTATTTGGTTATTAAAATATGCAAACAAGAAGGTAATCCTATTTATGCCCATATAATCAAACAAGATTCAAATAAAATCTACAAATCATTCATATATAGTAATTTAATAATAAATACCCTTGGATTATTTAATATAATTGTGAGATTGGGGGACAGCTTACCTAAGGTTAATCGAAGGTTTTACATTGAGTTTCATCATTTAATGGCTTCAGAACAAGCTGAATTATTCTTCCCAACAGTCGTTTGCTACTCAACAATAGTATTGGCCTTATTTTATGGATTTTATAAATTTTCCTACTTTGAGCATTACTATGACATTCAATATAGACTCATTGTTTCATTTGTAGGTAAAATAATATTGAATACCCTAATATTTTTATTGATATACTTTGAAGTACCTGATGCAAGTCAGGAATACATATCAATGGCTGAAAAGTAAATATTGTAATATATGTAAAACTAGTTTATTAGATGCAGATTTTTCGAGTGGTGCTTCAGAATGGATAACTTATTGCTTTAATTAAATTTGCTGCATTTCTTATCCTTTCTTTGAAGTGTTCTATTTGAAGAGAGAAACCAAAAAGGGATACTCAAAGGTTTAGTAATGCTATTGGATTTAATTGTTGTTGAGATCTGTGATATTTTTTTACTAGATTACAACATGGGGAATTATCATCAGATAAGATAAGATGAAGTATTACTATTAGCCCTTGTTGTAATCCTTAAATACGATGTTGATTTTCCTTATTTCCATGTCCATAACTTCGATCTATTCCCACAATTATACATTGAATAAAGAACTCTTATAAGACAATATACAGACAGCGACAGATGAAGATAATAAAAAATAAATTAAGGAAATTTATATGGTAGCTGCTGGGCTTTTTATATTTTAAATATTGAGTTGTGTTGTGTGCAGATACTTTTTTAGAGATCTAGAGGTTCCACAAATCAAATCATTTATTTTTTCGTTAACTTATAGTGTGCAAACGATCTGCTTTGGTTTTTCTTGTATAAGCATACCAGTATATTTATGGATCAAAAACTTTAACCCTAAGTCCAATATATTTAGAGGAATGGCCTATTTAGCAATCTTAATTTACATGATTATTTTTGTTGGGATAAGCAGCGAGCCATTTTTTTCATTAAAAAAATGATTAATATATATATATTGCATAAATAGAATCAACTTATGCTGATTAATAATATTAATATTTTTATATCTCCAAAAGTTTATAAGTTATAAATCTAAATAATCTAGTTTACTTGAAAGGATTGTATACTGAAAGTCATTTTATTAGAGAATTCAATCAAGATTACGAAAACTCATCAGAATTGAAGTTCGCTAGATAAAGTTGGTTGCCATATTTAGCATCCTTATAAGTATTTTAAATTATAAGCACTTTAGAGGAACATAAAAATAAATTCAAGAAGTTTCATTGATCTAAACAACAGTAAAGCTGAAATCTATATTAATTTTTACCATCTCAAGAAATTATGTTAGTTTAGGATTGATTAAAGAAATCCAAACATCAACATCCTAAAAAGATAGTTAAAGAAAAAGAAGATTCATCCTATGAATTTAGAATCTTTATTCTTAAAGGCTACCTATAACATTAATAGGGCTGAATTTGAAATAAAGTATGAAAAGGAAATACAAGAGTATATTTTTCAATAAAAATATTTTGGGAATTTCAATCATAAGAAGCAAAGAACTTAGAGAACTGATGGGAAAAGTTCTTAAATTAATTTAGAATAGGTGAATTATATAAAAAGTAAAGTATTTTATGGTTTGAATACGAAAATGAGGAAACCAAGAAACCAAAGCAATGAGTAAAAAAATTTAAATAAAATTAAATCTTAAATTAATTCATGGGACGCATGTAAGCTAAGGGAAAGGGAAAGGGTATTTCTGGTTCAGCCCTCCCATATAAGAGAAAAGCACCAAAATGGTTGACATTATCCTCAAAATCCATCCTTGATCAAATTGTTAATTTAGCAAAGAAAGGTTTCAATTAAATTGTTAACATTTCCTTTAGGTCTTAATGCTTCATAAATTGGTGTTTATTTAAGAGATCAATAAGGCATTCCTTAAACCAGATTTTTAACCGGCCAAAAGATTTTGAGAATCCTCAAAAAAAGAGGTATTTGTTGTTCAATAATCTTAGGATGTGCTCCTAAAATTCCTGAGGACTTATATGCCTTGATTAAGAAAGCTGTTTAAATCAGAAAGCATTTAGAAAAAAACAGAGGTGATGTGACTAGCAAATTCAGATTAATTTTGGTTGAGAGCAGAATTCATAGACTTAGTAGATATTACAGAAGAACCTAAAAATTACCATCCAACTGGAAATAGTAATTATAATATTTAATAATTAAGTGTCTCAAAGACTGCATCTGCCTTAATTGGTTAATGAGTTAAATATCAATACATTAATGCATTATCTTAATATATAAATAACAATATTTTAAATCATCTTTTATTAAAAAAGGATTAATCTATTCTAAATAATGGATGTTAAAATTTTATTTCAAAAATTTATTATTACCAAATACTTCGAAAAAATAGTAATAATTATATTAAATAACTTTTGTTATTACCTAATTTTTTTGATATTAGCCATTCCTCTTCGTCAGAAGCACAGATTAGATTAAGCTTAGAATGAATCTTTTTCTTCAATTAAACTTGTGTTATATGTATCTATAAGGCTATTAAATGGTAATTGTTTGACTGTATTTTCTCTAAATTTGTTCTCAATTAGAGTAAACTTAAAAAAAATCAAAAGAAATAAAATTTACATTAACTTTCTTAATCTATAATACCAATTAAACAAATAATAAAAGAAGACTTTTTGATATAATTAAATTTTATTATTATCAATAGATTTGACAATAATTATCATTTGTTATGTATTTATTCCCACCAAGTTACTTTTTAGAAGGTATTCTTTCCACTGTAAATTTTTTACATAAATTTGTTATAAATATCCCCATCGCTAGAACCAAAAATGGAACCTAAGATTTCATCAGGTGGAGCTAAAGCATCAATAATTCCTATGGCTTCATCCTTTAGTTGGTTACTAAACTTCATTAGTAATTTTTTGACTGTGGCATCGGAGATGTTAAATTCTAAGATTTAAAATAAATGAATACCATTATTTTTATAGAGTTCAATTTCATTATCCAATAAGGTCAAACACCAAATTTTAAATATGGTATCTAAAACTGAATCATTCTTTAGATTTAGTTCTTACCATTGTTAAAAGCAATAGAGATCAGCATATGAATTAGATATTTATTATCCCTTGAATGCAAATGAAAGATTCCAAGATTTCAGCATGTCATTATTATTTAAGTTAGTGGTCAAATCTTCCATGAAGTCACTTAATTATTTGTCCAATTTATATTCCAAGAGATATTTAATATTGTTTGGACATAGATAATCCTCGTCTTTTAAAAATTTAATTGGTTTAATTGCGAAAGTCTCAAGGAATTTGAGAGAAGCATATTAAATGGGTTTTTAATCATTGATAAACCTATTTTTTTAATCCATACAGAATTTCAAGGTCTACTATGTTAACACATTAGAGTCTCCTTCCCATGTATTATTAATATCTTAATCATGTAACATAACTCCTAATCTATTGAATGAATGGTAGCCATGCCCACCTAGAATTTATCTACATTCCAAGATGACTTTATTTGCATAAGTAGCAAATTTGCCCTTCAATACACTTGATAAAGCATGAATTTCAGCCATTTTATTTGGATTAAAAACATTATTCTAAGTGGTATCCCACAAATTATTAATAGCTTTAGCTGCAATTGTGTAAACTAATGTAGATGCCAAGGGAACAATTAATCTGAGTTAGGTAAGAGGATATTCAAGAATACTTTACTCCTTCTCTCCAGGTAATCCAAATTATTTCCTTATAGCAGCATATCTTATTCCAATAGAAAGTGCATTTAAGGATGTAATTGCACCATAGTAACTTAAAATGATTCTACCTCCTGATAACGAAGCTAATTGAACAGCAAATCTTTTGTCTGGATCTTCAATTTAAGTCTTGAATTCTCCTGAGGGTGTCACAGTGGCGAATTTATCTAACATATTTGCAAGAGGAACTCTAACATTTTTGAAGATTAAGAATCCATTGTCTATTCCATTCAATCCATTTTTTGGTCCACAATCTCCAACAGTAATTCCACTTTTAACATTGTGATTGGTTTTATCTCTAATTTCAACTAGAAATGCATGAACTCCATACTAATTTCCATCAATGTAGAGTTAAGCAAATACAACAGTCATATTAGCTAGGTTAGCTGTTGCTCCAATCCAAAATTTGGTGGCTAAATCTGTAGGAGTGTTAATAATGAAAGTTTGTGTTTCTTTGTCATAAATAGCAGTGGTCTATATTTATCTTACATTAGAGCCATGTCCTAATTCGGTGAGACTAAAACTACCGATATCTGTCAGGGTTTAAGCATTTTCAAAGTATTACTTGTGTTTATCGGTTCCTAGATTGAGAATTGTTTTGGTGTAGAGTGAAAAATGAACTCCAAATTTAACACAAACTGCTGGGTCGTAGCTGTACATAGCAACGGATGTAGTGGTTACTATATTTGGATCAGATAGAAACATATCATAGGTCACACCAAGTTTTTGATGGAAATGTCTCATGGCTTGGAATGAATGATATCTCTATTCTTCTCTTGTGTATTCTTCAAGGTGGTGATGTTTGAAAACATGTTAATTGTTCTTCACTATATCAAATAGGTTCTATCGATATTTCCAATTGCGACCATAAAATAATTCAATATATTTTTATTTGTCTATTGTACTCAGTTATCTGTAATATTGTAGAGATTCAATAGGATTTGATACTTGTTCATTCATTTCTTTGTATGCTTCAAATTGCTAATGCAATAATTTGACTCTTTGTTCAGAGCTCATTAAATTATTATTAATTAATCACTATTTTCGATTGATAGCTTAAATACCTCTAAATTGCAATAAATTTATATCAAAATATTCTAAAATTCCTATTTGCTTGAGCATTTAGTACAGATCCATTAACCTAATTAAATTGATAAGAAGTTAAATCTATACAGAATATCTAAGTATATCATATTTTCAGGCTTTACTTGCAAGGGAGTTCTTATTTTCAAAAAACAATTAGTTTTTCTTTTATAAAATTATAGAACTCTTTGACAAATGATCAAAAAATATAAAAAAACGGCCATTAATCGCCATTCTTCTGATTGCCATCATTTTAATGTAGTTCAGAAAAGGCTAAAAATGAAAATTTTTAGAAGATTTCATAAAATAATCAGAATCCTAATTGTGTGTATATTTACATTTTGATTCCAATAAAAATTTAGAATAAAATACACAATAAATTGAGTGTAAAAAATTCATGAATTGATTAACATTAAAATTTTATTTCTTTGTTTCTATAACACCTAAACTATGAATAACTTGCATAAGTATAAGTCATATAGAAAATCATAGGAGGAATAGGAGAACTAAAATTATGAAATATAGCATAATAAATTTAATAATTTTTATTCTCTGAATGCAAAGAAGCTAAAACGATGATGATAAACCTCTGATTCCATTATCTTAAGCAACAGAATAAAAGAGACAGGAGAAATTGGCATATGAAAAGCAAATGGCCAGAGTTACCTTGTTGAAATAGACCCAATAGAAAAACTTGCATTTAGTATCATACAAATTGATGTAGACAGGCTAAATTATACGAGATGGCTGCAGACAAGATTGAAAACGGATTATCAGTGAAGTAACAGTTACGAAATCTGGCTGAGGAAGCGCGTTAATTGAAGGAGGAGGATATGAATAAAAGAAAACATCAAATCAAATAGATTAAGAGACATGAAGAAGAGTTTATTTTAAAACGAGTTGCTAAATAGAAGATTGGGTATGCGTGGTGAGTGTAATTAGCGATTCCATGAAGTAATCCTAAGTAAAGGAGTATAAGAGTGCCATCAAATTGACAATATCAAGAACAAGAGATTGTATTCTTCAAGAGAATTAAAAGATTCGAGAGACTCTCTATTAAGAAGAAAAGAGAAGGAAGGAAAGGAAGGAGGAAGCCAAAAAATTAGATGAAATGAAATCATAACAATTCTATAAGGAAAGAGTTTCGTATGAAAAAATGATTGAGGAGATGTTAAAAAAATCAAGAGAAAAGCTCTTTTAAGATGAATAGATGTTGCAAGGTCGTTTAAAAGTAAGAATTAGTGTATACTGCTATTAGGAAACTTAAAATTTACTTAGTAAATCTTAAAAGAAATTCATGAAACTTCAATCACAAAGCGTGCACAGCAAACGTTGAATAGATATACAAATATTATATTATTATTAATCAATTATAACTATTATCAATACAGCTTTACTCTATTTTTATACAGTAACATAATTTCATTGAAATAACAGAACAATAATATCCTCCTATATCAATTTGATCTCATGAAACTCTTTATAAACGGTCTATGTCTTTAATTATAAAATCATATCATTTAATTTATTGATTTTGTTTTCTAGAATGTCAAAACAGATTCTTGATAAAGTTTTTTAAAAGTATTATTATTTGATCAATTTTAAATCTGCAGTTAATTAATTGACATCACGGTTTATTATTTGAATTACTCAATCAAAATTTATTCATATTCTGAATCGAATTAGTTGTCTCATATCTATTAAAAAAATTCATTTTATTAAACCTATCATTATTTAATATAATAGAAATGAAGTATCATTTTGGAGATACTTAAAATGCTGTTAATATAATTGGACAATAAATAGATACTTGCAAACCCAAACGGCTTTCTAAATAGGATACCAAGAAAATAGCAAAGCTTATTGTTTTTTATTTTCAGAGGTTTATGTTAAAAATATAAGGAATTCTATTTTATTATGAATTTTAAGCCTAAGGAATTAATCAAAAATATTTATATAAAATGGATTCGCCAAAGGAATAATAAAACGATGAGCATGTGACTTAATAGGCTTAAACTCATCTTATTTAATTGGATGTAGAAGAAACGATAACTGCTCCGGTGAAGAGACCAGCGCCTAAAACTTTTGGGGATTTAACAATCATATTTATTTTCGAAACTATTGGGACAGGATTATTTGCTTATGGAATAGTGGCATCAAATGGATCAGACGTTTTGATTTCAGCTTATTTATATGCAGCCATATTTTTGACTTGCAAATTCACTGGAGGACATGTTAATCCAGCAGTGTCTTTCAGTTTTTATTGTGATGATACTATAAGTTCATGGACTTTGAGAATCTATTGGACTGCGCAATTGTTGGGGGCTGTGGGAGGAGCTTGGGTGGCATATCTAATTTTGGGTGTAGTGACATCTCCGAGCATAAAGAGTACAAATATAGAATGGATGTTGGCAGATTTATGTGGAGAGGTATGATTAATTGTAAATAATGTTAAAAGGCTTTGGGGACGTTTATGTTTGTGCTTTTCATTCACATACAAGTTCATGAATAGACGAAATAGACGAATAATGACATAGCAGGAATACTTTGGATTGCCTTGGCCCTGTTTTTCTCTAGACAACTGTCATCACATACTGGAGGTATTGTGTGAATTAAATTGTCAGGTTGTTTGAATCCAGCAATGGGAGTTGGGTTAGAATTATTTGAAGCCTTTTGGTTGAATGACACTACGAAGCTAGCCAACTTTTGGGTATTTTTGTTTGCTCCTTTGTTTGGGGCATACATGGCATCGACCTTTTATAACTCGATTTATCTATCCTTAAAAAAGTGAGAATGATTATTGATGCAAATAAAATAATAATAATTTATAATGAAAGGTAAAGTGGAGATATCATCTTCTCAAGAACACAAACATCTCATTCAGGAATCATAAATCTAATTAGCTTAAGCTGGTATAAGTTTTAAAGTAAAAGTTAAGGAGTGGCAATAAATAGCCATTTTATAAAGTATGAGAATGTAATGATGATTGGTACAAGTGGAGGATCAGCATTGTTGTGTTTGAAGGCTGAAGGACAAGAGGATGAAGATGATGGACAGATTGGATCCACAGTCATTTAATAATTGAATGCTCAACAAACAGGAATAAATATTCAAGGCAGTTTGACAGTTCAAATATGGTGTGAGTCGAGGGATGAATTTGTCAAAGAATTCAAGAGACTCTAACAAGAATGCATAAAAGAGAAGCCTTTAGAATAGATATTGAGTAGTGATGAAGAGGATGAAGATGAAGAAGCAATGGAGTAATAAATGGAAATAGAATGATATATAGATAAATTCTTATTCTTATTTTGGAGTATTTTAAATAATCTAGGATTACATTTATTAAACTACAAAATCGAAATGATATAAATAATATGATAAAATAAATTAAGTTTTATTATTGTTAAGAATATATATTAAAATCCGTTTTATGAATATGCTTAATATAATAATTAAAAATGATGAAATTCATTGCTTTAGCATTGATTGCTTTAACAGTATTGGCAGTCCAAAAGGATACTAAAACAATCTTGGCAGAAATTGATGCCGATAACTTCGGAAACTCTATTTTGTCAACAGTTCAAATGTACCTGTAAGCAAAAGGAAATGCAGAGGAAGTGTTGGTGTTATTGAACCAATTACTTGCTGGATTAGTTGATGATCAAAACAAACATGACAATGTTATCAGAGTTGACAGATCTGCATGCACAAGAATAGTAACAGATCTTGAAAATTCAATTGCTTATCACACAGCTTAAGTAAGTGCAAACGCTTAAATGAGAGAAGATAATGAGAAGGCATTGGCTGAGGCTGAAAATGATGTCAGATAAACTATTCAAGTAAGCATCTATGTAATATCAAAAGGACATTGAGAGTAATGAGAGAACATTTGCTTAAGAGGAAGCAAATAGAAACAAGGCTCATGAAACATGGGTCAGAAAAAACGGTGAACATGATGATGCCATTGCTGCAGTTGATGAAGCCACAAAATTAGTTCAACATCTTTCATTAGGTGCCACATTCGCTGAACTTAAACCAAAATTTGAAGCTGTTCAAAAGAGATTGATTGAAAACGAAAGCCACGGAGCATTATTCCAACCAATCGTCACAGCTCTTACAGAACTCGCTTCCAAAGTTGATTAAAAGGCCATCCAAAGAATCCTCCAATTGCTTTCTTAACTCAGATAACAATTAGTAGAAGCCAGATCAGTTTTGGAAGTAACTTACATTTTAGATTATTCTCTTAGGAAACTGAAAACAGATAAGCTTAAAGATGGGTCGAATTCTCTACACATTTGAGCAATGAACACAATAGATTGGTCGAAAGAAAGAACTAATTGGAATAGGCTATCCAAACATTCAAAACCAACATTGACACAGCCACTCATTTCTTTGAAGTCCATACTGTATTACTATCTTATTATCTTTAAGTTGGAATTAGAATCAGCCTAAGAGACTCTTGATGCAGAAAACGAATGGTGTGCTTTATAAGAGTAAACTTATGCAACTCAATCCTCTGAGAGATAAAGACAATAAGAAATCGTTGATAGAATATTAGAACACTTGACTGATAAATTAACCGCTACCTCATAATACCTTGGAGGAAGATTCTGATCAGATATCATATAAATAAATATAATATTAATATGGGATAGCAATAAACTAAATAACCAATTCATGTTCTCATTAAGGATATTGAATATTTTAATAAAGTTATCAAGTAATAACCATTTCCTATTTTATTTTCAAGGTCAATGCCTTTACAGAAAGAATTAAATAAATAGATCGGAGCAGAATTAATTTAGAATAGATTAACATTTTAAGAACAATTACTCTAATTCACCACCAAAACAGACCTTGCTATCATACTCAAAATAGATGACAGATAGAAATTAATAGATCAAGAAACATTCTATAAATTAAAATAACTAATTCAAGATCTAGCTTATTTGTACATGAAAAATAATGAGGATGAAGTTTGCCAAATTTGCTTTGAAAAAAAAATTGAGAAACTATTACCTTGTGGACATAGTTATTGCTAAAATTGCATTGATGGATGGTTTAGTGTAAAACTTAGAGATTCTTGCCCAATGTGTAGAACCAGATTTACTAAATAAAAAATGCTTGAGAATTCATACTGCTTTCCAGATGAAAAAGATTTTATAGATTCATTTAAAGAAGAAGTCTTGAAACATTTAAATTGATTAGTAATTATTGTAAATTAGATTATAATCATATTATAATCTAGTATTAATCAATATCTCGACGTATTATCATCTATATCTATACAAATATCATGAACTTTTAACTATTTAATATATTTATTGCAATACCAAAAATATTAGATACACCAATATAAATGAATTTAAATTCAAGAATCATAGTTTATATGAAATCCTTTCAATTAATTTAGGAGTCAATAATTAATCTTATTTGGCTTAACGTGAACGTTTCACATTAGAATCTCCCTGATCGTTTTCCCAAATTCTATATGTCACATTGCTTTCGTATTAATTACAAAACTGTAAATTAGATATAATATTTCTTATTAAATTAAATATCTGAGTTAATAAATAATTCTGTATGAATATATATACCAATAATCATCTAAAAATATAAGAAATACGTTTGGAATTTATTTCAATGCATATATACAACTAGATTTATGTAAAACGCAGGAACAAAATTCAATTATATATTAGTTCTAATTGAAGATAATCTATTAATTTTAGAATTGAAATACAAGATTCGATAAAATTCGAAGAGATTCTTAAATACTCAATACTTAAGTATACTTATTTACTTAACAGACATAGAATGATTTGTTAATTCTTCCTCCCATAATAATTAATTCATTTATCATTTTATATACCTTTGTAAACAAGTTATTATTAATATAAAAAATATTAAAATTTGTAATACTATCATATTATAACGAATTATAAAGTTGTATTTAAAAAAGTGTATGATCTCTAATTCTCTAAAAAAATAATAAAATAATATCCTCTAAAGAGTCAATAGATTAAATATTTTTATTACATTTAACAAAACTATTGTATCAAACTGAATTATATAAAATAGCTTGTTTCATAGATTTTAAGTTAAATAGCATTCTCTAAATTTTTGGAAGTTATTAGTAAGGCTAATGAACTTAATAATTATGATATTTAATCAAAAAACATTATTCACAAATTAAAAATAATTGATATTTGGAAAGAATCTTAATAAAAATACTAAAGTTTAATGATTAAAAGCGTCATATCCTGACAATACGGTCTTATTAGATAAATTAAAATAATATTCTCAATAATTTAACAATGCCTGCCAAATTAGAGTATTATTGAATTGAAGAGGAAATCTCTTTTAAAATGCCTTAATTATTGTTCTTTACTAAATATATCTAGAATTCAATTTTAATATTATCAATAAAGTGATTACTCTAGATACAAGATTAGACATTTACTTATTCTATGTGAAAATGAGAGTGCTATTATTTATATAATAGATTTAAGATAAAATAAATTAAGAATACAAGAATAAGGATCTTTTATCAATTCTATTAAGATAGACTTTCAAGAGATTGAAATGGATAGACATATCGGCTTCATTCTTCAATTTAGGGAATCGGTTAGAGCAGAGTTGATGTATCAGTTATTCAAGTGTGATTTTTTAGATGGTTTATTTAGTAAATAAGGAGTGAAAATAGATTAGCATAAGATAAGCAGAGTGTTGAACAATGAGTATTGATTGGAGTTCTGCATTTAATGATATAATTTAATTATTTATATTAACATATTAAATACTCATAAAAATGGAAAGAAGAGATGAGGATTGCAAATAAGTTGGACAATTTAATCAAAATGATGACAAATACATTTATATCTCGTTTATGATATCATTTAATGTATTGTTTGGAAGTCTATTCTATTATTACTCACTTAATACTAGCAATGATGAATGCACATTATTAAAGCAAACTGCTATATATTTCACATTATATTGTTCCTGCAGCATCATATTATCCATAATAACCCTTATAGGAAATAAGACATTCAACACCATCACAACAATGGAAGGTCTGATTAGAATGTTATTTCTGATTGCGTTTTTGGTAAATTTAATACGCTATATAGATTGCCTATATTAAAAGTTTGTAATGCTACCATCTCCAATCGCTTACGCTTATATTTCTGACCTTGCATGCATTATTATTTATTATTGCTTGTATGAAATCTCAAATCAATAAAACTAAATAACTATGATTTTTAATTTGTTTTTAGTTGATGACTTTAATTTCATGTATATTAATTAATATTATAATTATCATTAATATGATTAATTATAGTTTAAATTTCTAATTTAATATAATTCCTCCTCCCTTTTTCAAATTTTATTACACCCTCAATTCTGCTTGATTAACTCTGAATTGTGTTTAGGACCTCCTCTATAGTTAATACACCTGAAGACAGTTAAATCTCATATATTGAAACAAAACGAAAATTCTAAATAATCTGTGATACTCTCCGCTCATTTCAATATTAAAAATAGAATAAATTATATTAATAATACTATGATCAATATCATCATTCCATTTCAAATCAAAAAGGTTAAGGTTTCTTCGACTCTCTCAGTATTTTTTTAGCCAATTCTTTCTTAAAATTCAGTAAATTTGAAGCACTGTAATCAATGTCTCTCCATTCTCTCATTTAAAACTTTATTTCAGAATTTCGATTTATAACTGTTGATGCACTGTTATCCATATTAATTTAATATAAATAATAAAACTCCTATTTAACACTGAAAATTTTAACCCTATTTATAAAATTAATTAAATAATTGCAAGAGAATAAACCATATTCCTAACTTTCTTTCGAGAATTCTTCCTAAACTTTGGATTTATGATGACAGTAAACCACTAGCAACTACTAATAAAGATTTAAAAATATGAATTCTAAGAATTACATAATAAAAAATAGAATATATTTATATTTTAGTAAAATCATGTATTCTAACTTATTTTCGGTATTAATAGAATGGTAATCCTTTGAGTAAAATTCATTAATTATTAATTTCTTTTTAGAAACCAAATTCTGTAAGTTATAGTTTGTCTTTACTCTTGGATTTAGTATAATTTGTAATGTTATTAATTAAAAATTATATTTTATTATTTATTGTATGTACCCTAAAAAGATTAATAGAACTGTGCATGTCGCCAGGTAAATTTAAAGAGACGATTCAGTCAAATCTATCATTATTGATAAATTGGTTTAAGATTATGGAAAAAAAAATTAATTAAATGTTAATGTAACTTATTCATCTTGAAAAATTAGTTAATTATGGCTTATGTGGATGACTTTTTTGTATTTTATAAAGCAACCGAAGGTGCTGTGAGAGCATTAAAAGAAGAAATCAAAGATGCAACCTTAAGACCTTAAAATGAGAAGCAATTAATGATCCAAAGATTACATCAACGTATGTCTAGTAAGTCTTACTACTTATTGCTATAGGAAAGCTAAAAGAAGAATAATTAAAAACGTTGACGAACCCTAATTGTTTGGCGTAATTACCTGAAAAAAGTGAAGAGCAAAACAATTTTTATAAAATGCAAAATAAAACACAAAGCAATTCGAAAATGTAATTGATGAACACTTTACCTAATGACAAATTTGAGGAAAGGAGGAAATCAATTTATTAGGTTGATGGGGGTTCTGTAGATGAATGGGCAGCCATTATAAAATATGATACCTTATAATTTTAAAAAGAATTAGAGGAACAAAAGAGACTTATGTAGCTTAATTAATAAAAGATTAAAGAAGAATTAGATAGATAAGTGGCTGAAAAGGAGTTAAGAAAATAAAAAGAAAAATAGGAAGACCAATATTTTTATGCTACAAATTAACAATAACTGATGGAGTTTGAAAGATAATAGGAATTGATAAAGGAAAATAAAAAGTAATAATTTTTGCAAGAGAAATATATTCGAGATTAATAAGTTTAAGTTGATAAAAAAATGAAGTATGCTATATATATGATATAGAAAAGAGTAGAATCTAAATACTAAGTATTTAGAAGAAGAAATGCTTACTAAAATTAAGGAACAAATGAAAGCAGAAGATTAATAATAGAAACGAAAGAGACTTGAACAAAAGGAGAAGTTCTAATAGATACTGAAGTAGAATGAAAATTTGAGGAAAAAAGTAAAGTGTATGTGATAAAAAGGCATAAGATGAAATCATATAAACCAAAGAGCATGAAAAATTATTGCAGGAAGAATAATTAATTAGAGAACAATTTGAAATTTAAAAAAAAGATAAATAAAAAAAAGACTAAGAGAACAAATTTTAATAATTGATGAATAATTATAGCTAGTTTGTTATGGAAAATAAGAATGATCATCCATTATAAAATGATTTTTGGACTAAAAAGAATAGCGAACACAGTACATTTTTCGAATTTAAAAACAAGACAAATAAAAAAGAGTAATAGCTTCAAGTTTCATATGATCTCTAGTAATAAATCCAGGAAAAAAAAAGAAGATACACGCAAGAAGTAACTGAAAAAAAATTACTATTTGAACAACAAATTTAAGAATAAAAAGCTTTGAAAAAATAAGATGAAGAAAAAAGAAATGTAATTTATTTAATTAATATTAACAGAATATTCGATAAATGTATATTCTAAATTAAGAAGAACTTAAAAAATAAATGGCTAAAGGCTATTTGAGTTAATCTCCTAAAAAAAAATCGAGTCCTAATGAAAGAATGGTTGGATAAGAACTACTCCATAATAAAAAACTACTGAAAAAAATAGCAAATGATAATTCTATAGGAATAACAATAAAAAAATAAGAGATATCAATACCTGATTGAAAATATCTATTTATTTTTTTAATATTTAAACAATCCCTAATCGAATATTAAATTGTCATTAATGGAGTTTCAATAACATTTAATATCACACTATTTAAATATAGACAAATTTAAAGCTTGCATTCGATTCAAATAGAAAATTTACAAAATCCAAAATTTTGGTTTAATTACATTAAATAGAGTTGGTTATTTTAAACTAATTATTTTGTGAGTTGTATCAAAGATTTCATATAAATTCTCTTATTTTTGTAATTATACCACTATAATCCATTAGTTCTTAATTGAAACACTAATTTTAAAGATTACTTTTAACTCTTTCTGATATGCATAAAAAATAATTGAAATTATTTAATATTGCCATCTAAAAATAAAATACCTGTTAACTAGGTAAGTAAATAAAATATTAATATAGGTATTAAAATATCAGAATTAATAGATCAAAATGAGGCTTAAATGAACATTCCTAAAGAGAAAATATAAAAAAATAACAAATTATTAACCATTTATTTGATATAAAATTGAGAATAAATTAGCATATATATAAAAAAATGAAAGTAAATATGATATCATAGATTGAAGTTCTTATTAGTAATTTTACTAACTATTGATTAAAGAAATGAGAAATATCATTTATTTGGATATTAATTGATAATAGGAATACAAAATACCTTAAATTGAAATGAATGTGTTTTTGTAATAAAAACTTCTTGGATGATTAATTAAAAATTAATAAGGGTATTTATTAATGCATAAAATATTTGCAAAATCAATCAGATGCTTATTCTAATTTTCCTAAAAACTCCATTGTTGTTTAAAGTGTTTCATTTTTCCTTTCAAAACATCTTGATAGACAGATTTTTTCTCTATCAGAAAGGTCCTTTTTTTTGTAATCTTTAATACAAAATTTGCTGCAAACTTAATATATATTCATCAAGGACAATTTCATAGAGGTTGTAATTGACTACTTGATTCTTTCATTCTTTTATTAAATTGTAATGTTTTAGTGAATATGTGTATCGTGATCAGACATTAATTATTAAATGAATTATAATAATAAATATCTCATACATTCACCAAAAAAACAATCCCAAGCTAAGATCATTATCAAATATAGTAGTGCAATCAATTTGGATCATATACCTAAATTCAAATACAAATCCCCTAGGAATCTTGCCAGATAAATAACAAACATTAGTCCAACAATTTAATTGAATAGTTCTAAAAATAAAAAAACTGTAGAATCCAAAAGCAGATCTCCATCCTTGGAATCAAACTGGTTCAACATAAAAAAAATAAAAAAGAAGATCGATCCTTTTGAGAATTTAAATTATGGACATCCTAAAATATTTCATAAATTGTCACCTGATTTAATGATTCCAACCTAATTATCTACTCCAATTACAGGTCATATAGAAAAACGAATAGTCATTAAAAAGAAGACTGAGCCTGCTCGTATAGCTAGATCCAATACGCAATATTCAATTAGTAGATAGGAGATTAAGATTAATACATCATCATCAAGAATACTGTAAAAGAAGGAGAGTAAAAAGGAAACGTCAGGAGAATTGAAAGGGTGGCAAGGATGGCATGTGGAACATTATGATGATTTTATATGAATTTATTAAACTAAACTACCTAATGTTTATTATTATCTTCAAGAGTAAATTAATTAAATTAGAGACTTAAATTAACAGCTTTGTTTTTGAACGAAATCATGTGAATTATTAATTAAATTTGTGTATTTTTGAGGCAAAAAAAATATCAATAAATTTAATTAATAAAAATAAAAAAATTAATTTGTGATGACACTCTTAGGACACCTTCAGAGACAATTTGTCAATGAGATGTTTGTTACCTGTCTGATCTAAATATACTATTTTATCCTATAAAAGAGTTTAAGCAAAGAATTAATAACAATAACATAATCTTAGCTAGACTAATGCTCTTTATAATATTAAAATATTGAAATAATCTCAATTATTAGAATTCCTTTGGATTATATTTAATAATCAACTTAATAGTCAGTTGTGATAACTTCTGGATTTAAGTTGTTATTTGCAATCCCTCGATTTCACTATTTAGGTTTATGATTTTATGCTCAAGTTCTATCTTACAAAATAAATAATCATGATTGTAAGAGATGTCTGAGTTTAGTGATTCTAACATTCATAACATTTTCCATATTTAATTTAAAATTTTTGAAATGTGTTCAATGTTTTTGTTCTCAAATTTAGAATTCTAATTTCTAATCCTCTTTTTGCTTTATTATTTGAGTTAAATTTTTTATAAGAATTCTAAAATATTATATTTCCAAATGATTATTGTGTCTACACTCTTATAGAGCATCTTCACTTCTATTAAGCTTATTAATTGTTTTTTTAACAAAGTAGAAGAAATTAGGATTATTATATATATTAATGTATGTAGAGGTAATAAAAAAAGACTGTATGAATTTAAATTAATAATAACTGCTTTTAAAAAGCCAAAATAAAAAAAATTGACATATTATTTAAATACATGCATTAAAATCAGGGGGGAAGAGTTTTTGGAAAGCATCTTGATAATTATGTTGATAAGGCTTTAAAGGATACAAAAGACAAAAGAAATGGGATAGTTGATGAAATGGGAGGGAAAGAAAATGCAATAAATGATGCTGTTTCGACAAGGGATGGTTTGTTGAAATTTGATAGTCCTTAACAGGTTTTGCATTATCAACAAGAAATATACGAGTTCCTTCATTAGCGAGAATAAGAGAGTTCTGGATCTAAGTTATCGATTGATTAAAGGAAAATCAATGAAAAAATGCGAAACACTACAGTACATATAATCGTTAGAAACAGATTAGGTTTGTGATAAAGTAGGCCAAAATGTATAATTTGAAGTCGGAAACATTATTCCAAACAGTGGATCTGATAGACTAATCAATTCATCATATAAATCCAGAGGCAGAGAGATTGGAGCTCATTGCAATAACATGTTTATTCATTGCTACTAAATACGAAGAAATATACCCACCTCCTTTGGGAGCTTTGCTTAGAGGCACAGAATTAAGAGTTAGAGAAGTTATTGAAATGGAAAAGGAAATATTATATAAATTAAACTTTAATGTTATTAGTGATAATACATTAATTTGGTTGTAATTGATAGGAGAATTGTTAGGGTGTAATAAAAGATATTTGGATTTAATAAAACAAAGATCGATGTAAGATATATAAATAAGATAAAGGTATTTGGCAGAACTTAGTTTAAGTAATGATCGATTTCTAAGCATGAAGAAGTCTACAATAGCATTGACTATTTTTTTGGCAGTGGAAATGTAGTTTGGATATTAGAAGACATAATTCTAATGGGATCGTTTGTCTCAGCATTCTAAACCTTGCAAAGATTCTAAGCCATTAAGATTATTTGCTTATTGCTTAAAAAATTGATATGATTATTTACTGTATGTTTCTATTTAAGAATAAGATGTGTGTGTAATTGATGCAGGTATTCAAAATGTATTTTAATATTTAATAATGATATATCATGGTTATTATGATTATTACTATTGGCTTGGTTGTGATCTTGGTTACTGAGATTGAATTTGTTATGGTTGATGGGATGGCTAATGGGATGGTTGATGGGATGGTTAATGGGATTAGGGTGGTTGTTAAGATGGTTGTTGATGTCTAGCTACAGGAGCAGGAGGATATTATTGAAGGGGCTAAGCGAATTATGGAGCCATTCTTGATGCAATCAAAGGTTATTGAACATATTGGACTGGTTGTTGTTGAACATATTGGACTGGTTGTGGAACATATTGAACAGATTGTTAGACATATGGTTGTTAAACTACAGAAACTGCTTATTGCACATATTGTGTTGGTTATTAGTGAACAACTTATCTCTCTACTGGATAGTATTCAACTCTTTCTTAGTATCTATCGACAGGTACATACTCTATTATTTATATATATATATTAAAATTACCGGTAAATTTCTCTTGGAAAACTTAGGGGATGTATTCTGTTTGATATTCAACAGCATAGTAATCAGTCACTCTGGTTTCTCTTGGAACATAGGAGACTACTTCTTATTCTTCATATTCAATGACAGCCTTTTAGTATGGTACATATTCGATTCTGGATTCCCCTTTGATTGATTAGTGCTAAAAATTAATTCAAAATTTACTTAAGCAACTGGAGCAACTGGTGCAACAGCATATTGCTAAACTGGAACAGAGGCAATAGGAGCAACAGGCACTTGGGCCACTGGTGCATATTAAACTGGAGCCACATAAGATTGTCTAACTGGAGAAGCTGGATAATATGTTGGTGGCAAGTAGGCATTTGGATATGCTGGGGGTAACACTGCATTTGGGTATGTTGGAGCAGCTGTTCTTGCTAAGGGTTAAGCAGCTTGAGGTTATTGTTGTGGTTATTAGGATTGTGGGTGATTAGACATTGTTAATTGTTCAATAAATTCAAAAATTAATATTAAAGGTTAATTTGACTAATTATTTAAAAAACATAAAATAGCAAGTTCTTGTTTTTGTAACCAAATAATTTATTACAAAGTCATGGGATATTTTAATTCAATAATAAAAATTGCATCATTTCAAACAAATTAATAGAGTTAGACATATATATTAAATTTATATGAAATCACTCGGATTAGAATTTGCAATTAGTTTCCATTTATAAACTTAAAAAGCGATTTAGACAATAAAAACCTTTAGTTAGAGAAATTATATAAATATACGATTGATTATAATGAAATTAACAGAATAAACTAACAGTGCTTTGGTCGACTAATTGCTATTTTCTTTTGTTCTTATTATTCATTTCTATTTGTTTTGTCTGATTTATTAATTAAATGGAATTATAAACAACATTGCGATCTTATTTAAGTTCTTTTGAAACTTATTCTCATGTTAGAGATATAAAATTAAGAGTTTTATATGGTGACAAGTATGTATTGGTTTCACAATAGAATGCATATTAAAATAGTTCAATAAAGTTTAGCTGCTTTTCTAGTTGATGAGGAAGAATCGCCAATTTTGAGGCTCTTGGCACTCAAAGTAAGAATCAAACCATAAATTAATTTATAGTTCAATAAGGAATTAGCCGAGACTTTCAATGAGGATTATATTCATCTGATGTAGAAAATCGTTCTCCCAAAGATGGAATAGATTGCATAATTCAAAAAGGAGTCACAAGATAGTGACCGTGGGAAATTGTTCTTCTTGGGCAAGCAAAAACCTCATTAAGGTATGTAGAGTACTAAAGTAGTTAAGGCAACCAAGAATTGCAGGCTTTGGGAGATCAATTCTTCAGAGTGACATTGGAATGTATTAGAATATGGGGAAGATGGTTTCCCTTAGACAAACAACATCACAGACTCAGTTTGTATAGGGTGGCATATGAGAGATTATACAAAATTGGAGTTCACTTTCCAGAAATCCAATATTTCGATCTTCATTAAGTTCACTCTAATCTGCCTTCAACATTTCCTCCTCTCTCGATGGTGCAACAATTAAAGAGAGTCATGAGCATTCATCTTCGTTCTACTACTAAAGAAATCTGTAGATATCTAGAATCTCATTTACCTGAAGAATATCATCAAACACAATATTCATCATTTGCTGAGTTATTTTAAACCATTGTCAAAAAACATATACTTAACAAAAATAAATAGGCAAGAATTGCAAACATATTTTTGGAAAAAGAGTATAAGCTTAGCGAAAGTAAAAAACAAGATGACAAAGAGGAATGGACTCAATTACAAAGACTACAGATTGAAAATCAGCAACTTCAATAACTAAACAATATGTATCAATCAAAAATGTAAGAATTATAAAAATAAATTATTCTAACCCAAAATCAAAACACACTTTTGCAATAATAGATTTAAGATAAACAGTTGTTAATAGAAAAATTAGAGACTGATTGGAAGAATATTGAAAAAAAGTTTTTGCTTTTGTTTGAAGAATACAAGAAAACCCACGATTCCAAAAATCCCTTCGTTCTTGCCTAATTTGAAAAACAAGTAAATATCTGTAATTATATTTAAAGTTGGCAGAATTTAAAATTGAATTTGGTCTCTCTTATAAGGAAGTTGATTGTTTTAAATTGAGAGCAGAAAATGAATATCTCATTAAGTAATTAGAAGAACAAGAAGACTTATTCAATAAAGTTAAGCATGAAAAAGAGGTTTTACTCACTGAAAATAGATTACTAATGACTAAATTAAATAATCTATCGTAAAAATCAATTAAAGGAGATAAGTTTGAACCAGAACCCCCATAAGATGTAGGAGAACTTAAATTTTACAAACAAAAGTCCAATTTAGTATAATATGAATAAATAATGATCTCATAAAAGTAATAAATAACTCAATTAAAAAATCAACTACTTTAAATGAATGATAAGAAAAATAGTGTCACAAGTCAAACATGGGGAATTAGTACTAAGTCTAATTCAAGGAGAAACATCAATATACTATAAGCTGATAATATTTAATCATCAAAACAATGCGAGGTGTAAAATCGCCCTTATAGATAGTCTAAGATTATTATGCCTCCTATTATAGATTATGACCCTACTATATTTGCTATTAATCCTAGTATTTTTAATACTAGATTTAGATAGGCTTGCTTTACATCGAAATCTATAATCCATTAAGATGACAAAATATAAATCAATACAACTACTTAATTAAAGATACAAGTGCTGTTTGTAACACTTACAATATAAAATAAATCGTCAATGAAATTAAATAATTTAAGTCTAAAACTATAAAACACAGAATAATTGTATGTTAAAGTCTTAAATAATATTAATCGAGTCATGAATCCTGAGGAAAGTTAAATAATTTAAATTTAAATTGAAATAAAAGAAATACCATTTTCAATTTTAGAAGCCTAACTCATTTACATGGATAAAATCATTGAATTCGGCATACCTTGCACAATCAATAAATTTTTAAATTACAGTACTTGTTAACAATTACCAGCAACTTATTTCTATTAATGTAAGCCTTTTCTAACTGGATTCCAGAGTTCCATTCCTAATCTTTTGTAAGAATTTGAGATAGTTAGCCAATCTGAAAACGAAGTATCTATGTTAGCATAGGTAGAATATTAAAAAGAAGAATATGAAATTATGATATCATGCAGAAAATCAATGATGTCAATAAAAATTAATGGTGGTTATAATGATAGACTTATTAAGACAATCATATCCACTTACTAAGGTTTATTTTTGAAAAGGTGAATTATTTATAAATTTATATTTATAGATATTTTTATTCTAATTTCATAAATCTTTTTTAAGCTCATACAAAAATGGTTTATTCTAAATTTTGAATTTCTCATCCATAATTGAGCAGTTAATAAACTTAATTGCATCGACTCCATACCCTCCGTCCTCATCATATTATCCATAAGACTCATGAATTCCACCAAAAACATGAAGTTTTGGTTTGATCTTCTTAACCTTTTCTATTAAATATTTATCTCCCACTCTCTGCCCATTGCTAAGTTTGTCTCCATAAAAATATGGAGGTCCATGAGTAATAACAACATCAGATCCTTCTTCAATTTGATCCCAAAACTATTAACTACTTCCTTCTATCTAAAATGCCCAATCACAAAATTCCTAAGTGTATGGACTACCCCAAAATTTAAATCCTTCTATTGTAACAGATGAGTTTATTAGCAAATGACAACATTCTTTTAGTTCTTAAACCAACTATTCTGGATTAAAGTTGCTGTATCTATGAAATTTCTTCTTCAATACTGGGTATTTTTATGTGTCCAATGTAATATCGTGATTACCAGGTACGACGATCTTATGTTTATGGGGTTATGCTTTTAACCATGATATAAAATCTTTGATTTCTTGTTCATGTCCCCAATTAGTAAAGTCTCCACAATGAATAAGCACATCGCCATGTTAAACATCCACGAATTTGGAGTGAGTCTCACTTAAACATACTAATGTCAATTATTTCATTTTATAAAATATATTAAAATTCACTTTTCATAATCAAAGTCATATATTCAATAATTTTTATTCATTTCTCGTCTTTAAGAAACTTTAAACATAAATCTAAATGGAAACTATCCTACTCTTAAGGATACTATCTTTTAACTTCCTTTAAAACTTAATCTAAAGGATATTGATCTGATGGTAGTCTTGATGTAAGAGATAGCATACTCAATCCTGCACTAGAATATTCAGGGTGACCTTGAAATGCCAAAATCCTTTCATCCTTAGAAATCATGACTTCATTCTATATATATATATTTATAGTAGATTTACTTTGCAAGAATCGCTAGAAGAAACTAATACTAAAAAATCTGGATGCTTTGTAATCTCATCACCATGAGCTTAATTTATTATTGTTCTCTCCTTCAATTGCATTCCTTAGAATAATTTGAATTATTTCATCACATTGATCTTATGGTCTAAGGGAGAGTTTCCGAAGACAAAAATATTTTTCATCCCTTCCACAATCCCTCCTAATGCCACAGTAAGTATCTAAAAGCCAAAGCAAATTCCAAGTATCTTAACTTTTGGATTGGTTTCATAAGCTTTTTTTAATATCAGTTTAACATCTTCTATCCATTGATAATGATCATAGACAGATATTCTATTACCAGGCATAATAATAGCATCAGCCCTTTTAATTATATCATCACTAGGATAATGTCCTTAGGCTACGTTATATTGATTCCAATTATCATATCGTCTACGAAATATCCCATTATAAATAGAGACTGTATCTAAGACAAAGCCTGATGCATCATAAAACTTAGATTGTTTGGTTTTGAAATTAAAATGAAGAACAATTCTACCATCCACTCTTAAGTATTCATTATTTAGTAAAGCTTTTTGTAAATCTGTATACTTTTCTTTTCCTTCTTCGAATTGCAAGTTTTACTCTAGTTCTTGTACATTGACTTATCTATAAATTCATTAATCTTATATATATACTTAATTGTTAGACCCTAATGTGAAGTGATGTAATCAATGTCATTTTATTATTGTAAAACTATGATGTAATAAAAGTTTTCTTCTTTGTCATCATTCCACAATGGGCAACTATTGAAAAATTAAGTCCAAAGTGGGGCCTAAACATTTCTTTTGTGTCTAAGTAATTCCTAGGATTTGAATTTATTTATACTTTCTCCTATTAAGAACTTTGACTCCATAACTATTTTTCTTTGTAATTGTAATTATCAAAATCGACCATATCTATATACTCTTTCGTACAGAATGAAAATTTCTATAGTTCAATGTTTTTCAATGAATCCAAGATTATTTTGGGTCCAGCTATTGAGGCACTTAGGAAATCCTCTTTTGTAATTTCGGTCTTAGGAAGAGAGAAGGGATGTTAAGGGGTGTTTTGAAACAGTAAGACCTATTTCTAATTGTTGACTTGAGTCAGAAAAACTAAGTAAAGAGATTTCATTCTTAATTCCAAAAATTAATAATAAAGTGTGTCAATTAAGTTGTAAGAAATTAAAAATGTTTGTTATTAACAGATAATATAAAATTGGTAACAAGTATTGAAAATGCCATAAATTAATTTAATTGAAATGCATAAGAAGATTGAAATAAGATTGTGCTCGATTTCATATTTCTATAATGTCCAATAATAAAATAATTATCTTTTATTTGATTTTTCTCTTCCAGACAAGTAAACCGAACTCATATTTTTAGTAACAAATAATACAAGGCAATAAAAGTTGATTAAAATAAATTGAAAGATGCAACTAAATTAGACCAGGCCCTTGATATTACGTAAATACATTTAACATATAATAGACTTGAACAAAATAAACTGTTAGAAAAGAAAAGAAGAGCCTATAATTTTATTCTTCCATTTAAACAATCCAATTACATCACTACTAAGTTGACTTAATTAGTGACGTAGTCAGATGGCTTATCTTTAAATTTAGAGTCTGATAATTTTTTTGATATTCTACTGGAATACAAGAACTTAGATAAGTTGATTATTAATGATAGCATAGTGGAAAATTTGAAAATTTTTCATTATCTTTTGTGTAAGGAATTGGTTAGAGAAATATATATTATATGTGATTCCTAAGAAAATTTAGTTTCTCGTTATCCTTTTTGTTATTAGAACTTTGAATTCAGTTTACCCAACGAGATAATCGAGAATTAACTTTACTTAGGTAATAGTAATCATGCCAACAATCTCAAGGCTTTGAATCTTTTAGGAATTACTCACGTTGTTAATTGTGCCAAAGAAATACCAAATTATTTCAGTGATGTCTAATAAGAGAATAAGGATTCCATTAAATACTTCTAGGTTCCTGTTTTGGACTTAGAGGAAGAACCAATTTCTGATCATTTTGACGAGGCTTACATTTTTATGAATGAGGCAATGAATAATAAAGAAAATAAGGTAAATATATCATTCTATAATTATTAGATCCTGGTTCATTGTGCTTAAGGAAAAAGTAGATCAGCAACAATTGTATTAATGTTCTTAATGAGAAATAAACAATGGACTTTTGATCAAGCTTATGAACATGCCAAGAAAAGAAGGGAAATTATTTCCATAAATGATGGCTTTTAATTTCAACTATTACAGATTTGAGTTATCAAAAGGAATTATCTCAATATTGTTAACAGTTTGTGTGAGATTATAATATTAATCAACCAATTAATTTACTGATTAAATTTTAGTATAGAGAAGCGAAGGCATTAAATTTCTTTATTTCGTCCATCTGTTTGTTCCTCTTACTATTTTCTTAGTTCTTATGCGCTAACTAAATAGTTCAATAGCCAAAATACCAATATTATATTTTTCTATTCTAGTTTTTAATTATACTTCCAACAAAATGTTGTATTCTTTCTTATAAGTTTAATTCAAGCCTCTATTATAATCTGATCTCAATCTATTAATCTAATGGCAGTTTGTATTTATTCATATTTTCAGCTTTGCTTGACTTTTACTTTTAATAATTCCAAGATCATCATTAACTAAGGGATTAGTCTTATATTTACTATCATGATAAATGTCTTTAGGGTGAATTTTCTTATTATTTAAATAATCAAAGCATTTGCTTTCAGTCCTAACTAGAATTTAATATAGAACACTACATGAATGCTTAGGAGTATAAACTTAAAAATCGAATTCTTATTATGATAATATATCTTTAAGTAACCTCATTCCATTTATTTTGAGACAGGATAATTCAGAGTTTTCCAAAGAGATTGACATTTTTCTTGATCCTTCAGAACTTAAATGGACTCGAGGTGATTAAGAGAGATCTATTAAATCTATTAAGTTCTCCTGACATTACTTAATGTCAATGGGTATCTGAAAGTTCATTTTACTTAACAAAGCATTATTAACAGTTTCAGCATAATTTCTAGAAAAATGTTTATTTAAATATATTTTCACAGTATCACAACTCAATTTTCTTAATGGAGAATCTTCAATTTCAAAATCGTAAGTAATGCTCCTTTCATGATAAAAAGAGGCCTATGTTAATTAGAGGTTGTAAATACTTTTTCTATATTTCCCATATAAAAGTGACAAATCCCCGTTTTTTAATGAACCAAATTCTCAATCTCCAAATTATTATTTAGCCAAGCATATTGTAAGCATTTCTTTAAGAATTTCACTGCAATTTCATAGGATTAATATGTAACAGCACAATTCGATAGGCCAATAAAAGCCTTCATTTTATGAAAATCATATATCTATTTTGAGTGATTGCATAATCACCTAGTTTAATTGTACAAATGTATTGACAATTCAATTTAACCGCAGTTCTCTAAAGCTTGAGCACAGAACAATAAAATCTCTACCACAACCAAACTAATTTTAGTTCCAATAGCCATTTCGATGAGATCTTAGACTAAATCTATAGTTTATTGGTTCTACTTGAATTTAATGAGATCAATAAGTTATTTCTCTTTACTCAATAACATTCGAAGGAACTTTTGGAGCAAAGGATTCTTGATGGATTTAATTTTGAGCATGAGCACTTATTGTCTAATAGCAGGATCATATTTCATTTTCTTTTAACTTCTGTAGTTTATAAATTATCAGAAGTGACAACACTAACTTCTGCGAACTCTTGGAAACACTATAAATAAAGGAAATTTATATATATTCATGTGGCTAGGTACTTTGATAGGCTAATAATTGTAAAAATAATTTTACATCTTGACATCGGTTTCACTTTTAGGATCAATTCTGATTCTGAGATTGGTTACTTTATTGAAATTAGTTTCTGAAACTTAAGTCTTAATCACTTCATCTTCTCTGGTGGAAAAGTTAGTTAGTTTTGTATTATGTATGCATAGTGGTGCCGGTTTATATTCGTTCCACGGGAACATCGGAGATTCTGCAATGATGAGTTTCACTTTAGAATTTGAATTAGGCATCACTCTTCAATCTAGTGATTGATTGTGGAGATTGACGAGATTTAAGAGCTGAATTAATATACCTTTTCCTCTTATTGTAATATAATAATCATTTCAATAAATCAAACAATTCAAGTACTGGATTGGCAGCTTTTGGTTTGAATCTGTCTTATTCAATTAAAGTCCTTAATGTTCTTATTTCTGCTTGAAGGGGTTTGTCGATAGTAATCAATTCTTTTCCAATTTTAGAATTCAAGAATTAGTCCAAGATTATAAATTGAGTTCTACAATATTGCCCTGTGATTTCTTCATTCTGTTGATTGGAACCTCTTAAATGGCTTTGGAGACTGACGATGATTTAACGCATTTGCTTTTACAAAATTGCCAACTATCTTTTTTAGTGATAGTTATCATACTTAAATATTGAATTTCTATTTTCTATCATTCGAATATTGTTTGGAGAATAATTATGCTATTTCAAATTCTATTTATTGCTTCTATTGAGTTTCTGTTCCAATCTTGAAGTATAAATTTCATCCATATTCTTTTTAGTAACTAACTTGCTTCCATTGTTTATTATATCCTTATTCAAATGAATAAATGAAGTCTCATCCTCGGGTATGCATTCGGTTAGATTAGATAAGATATCATAAAATGATTTTTTAAAATTAAGATTGCCATTCCTTATACTTTAGAATTTAGGAGTCCAACTATTTAATTACTTTAAATTTTCTGATACTTAGCCAGGTGCATTATCACTAATATTGCTCATTTAATCATCATCAAAGGAACTATTTTCATCACTCAAATTTAGTTTCTCAACTGCTTCTACTGGAGGAGAAACATTCGGAATCGAATCAGAGTCCTCATAAAAGTAATCTTCTTAGTAGATGAGTTAATTTCTAATTTAAACCAATTATTATTTCTTTAATATTTTATATAAGAAAACGTTATTGATTTTGGGCAAGAAACAAAGCATCAACGTTTGATAAGTAATGGGAACAAGTTGAAAGTCAATTAAAAACTATTGAATCATCAAGGTTTTGTTTATGATTGATTTGTCCAATAAGGATAACTTTGTATGAGGATTGATGCTGCAAAAATTAAACATGTTTTGATCACTCAATTATCTCTTCTAAGCAGTGTTCCATTCATTGCAGAATTGCAATGTAATTAGGTTGCTTTTTTCGATTAAAATCTCCAAACAAGTTTATCCCTTTAAATTATAGTGATTAACATCAAATGGCTATTGCAATATAACTTAATAAAACTATTTTACTCTTTTGTGATCACTAAATGAACTGACTATATGCAAAGGAGTATCCTTGAATATGTCATACTGTGCAGGATTAGCCCCTATATTTATTAGATCCTAGAGCAATTCCACTTGACATTGTTAGGCTACAATGTGCAAATTGGAGGATTGCAATCCGCCTCCCAAATTCACGTTGATATTGAATTTCAGTAGCAGAGAGACCAAACGATAATACTTTTTTTCTATTGCCAAACTTAATGGAGTGTGTCCTTTAAGGTCGATTTAATTAGCCAAATCCAAATGATGGTTTAAGAGATAATCTAAAATTCCAATTTCGTCATAGAGGACTGCCAAATGCATGAGATTCTAAATGTATTGTCCATAAAGATACTTGTTTGTAATCATTCATGTAATTCAATGAAGTCTCAATCTCAAGTGAATGGTAATTCAGCTACTCCTTGATTTGGGTGAGGAGTTGCTCGTTTTGAGAATCTATTGAGAGGTAAGGTTTTTTGTACTTATGCTATCATTTAGAATGTCCCCTTAACTAACAATAACTGCATTGCTGATTGATTTATAGTTCATTATGTATAATTCAAATGTTAATTCATCAGACATCGCTTCCATCAAAGTAAAAAACACCTTCAACTTCTAATTCTCTAAGAGGAAATCAAATTAAGCTTGACAAAATATACCCCATCCCAGACCCAGCACTTCCAGAGTGTCACTTAAATCCAGAACTTCCTTAGTTATGTTAGTAAAGTAATTTTATTAAATATACAGTTTCTTTAGACGCAATCTGCATATTGAAGGATCAATAGACTTCAATAGGTTCTTTGCAATATTGAGGATTATGAGTTTCGGCACATCTGTATATGAGATGGGTCCGAATTACTGCAGTTAATTATCTTCCAGGGATAAATTCTATAATAATGGAGTCTTTTTAAAAATATTTGTATCAAATTCTTTGAGTTTGTTTTCGTTCAACATCAGATACAGTAGACCGTTCCATATCATCCTGTCCTTTTATGATGAACCACAACTTACATTAAAAATTGTTAATCCCTATCTTGAATAGTCCAATAGTAATCGTTACTATTCGTATTCTTAATGGGATTATTTGTTTGCCTAGAAACTACGTTAAGTAACAAATTTGACTTGCAGCGGACTTCGTTAACGCTTGTTTCCGCCTGATTGCATGGACAGGCATTATTCAAAAGTTTCATTCATTTTATATATTATAATGTAATAAATCACTTTTTCAATAAGCATTTTAGTGTTAATTTACTTAAGGGCATGTGCTAGAATTATTTCTTGATATTGGTCTCAGTGTAGCATCTCTGACTCAGTTATTTTTAATCTTTGTCATCTGACTATTCAAGTATAGTAATTAATTGTGTATTGTTATTGTTAGTGACTCCTACAGAAGAGTATTTTAGATCAGTAACCTAGGTTTTAAAATCCGAATAAATCTCGTCTATAACTACATTAGTAATGACTTTCAGATTTTATTTGAGTATATTTAAATTAAGTACATAAGAATCAACTATTTTGTCCTTTTGCTATTTGCTTAGTACTGTCATTATATGCGATCGTTCAGTTTAAAAGATTGATTCAAAGAGAGACTTTATTTAGATCATGAATTTAGACTAAACCAACCTCATTAGAACAGATTAGATGTCATTAAATTTAATGATTTCTCTCTCTATTCGTTAAATAAAATCATTCATTTTAATTAAATATATCATCCTATAATCGAATGCTCATTGTTTAAATACTATTGAGGGTTAAAAGTGACTTCTTGATGAATTAAGATTTTTTCATCAAAGTTCATTTCAGGTTCACAAGGGTCTGTGTATAGAATTTCTTCAATAAAATGAGACTCATCCTCATTTAAGCACATTTTCTTCTGAAGTTGGGTACCCAGGTCAGTCATATCCTCCTCTTAGGAGACAGTTCTGGTGACAATTTCATGATTGCCTTCCAACTGTGCTTTTCTGCTTCCAACTTTGAAGTATTTTCTATTTTATTTGACTTCCATAGTTGTACTCTGTTAAATTAATTTATTATATAAAATTTATCATTCTTTAGCTATTTATGAAATGGGCTGTTTATTTTAACTCTTCGTTTCAATTTCAACCATTAAAATATCTCCTATCTTAAAACCATGATTTTTTAGATCTGAGTCATCTTCCTTTCCAGACTTTACAGAATGGACTTATCCCAAATCCTTTTTCTTTTGAACTCCATGTTAATCCAGATAGACATTGCTCACTCTAAACATAATATCTCTTCGATAAACTCCATTCAATTGATATTTTAATTGATCCACAATGTCTCTCAATTTAGAACTCAAGCTAATAATTTCTATGTGGATAGCTATTACAATAGATAAAGTAATATTTCTTAGGTTTAATTCTTGTTGAAGTCTTCTAAAGTGATTTATCCATTTTTCCAATGTGTTCTAACTAAGAAAGGTACTTAATGCTAAAATGTCAATTTAATATACCTTGTCCTTATCATTCTAATTTCTATTATCTCTAAATCGTCCATATCTGCCATGTATACCTTCTACTTTTATCTGATCTTTTTTATTCGATGCCATTAATAATAATTGTAGTTAAATAAATTTATAAATTTATTCCCTTGAAATTAAGGACAACCATCTATTTCTTGTTAATTCTCAAAGTAATTACCAACTGTTTTTGTTAATTGTGAATAATTCTGTTTAATTTACAATTGATCGTTAATAAATAGAGATAATATTTCATATGAATTTGCATTATTAGCCTTTAAATATTTACTAAATTATTAAGATATTGCAGATCCTTAAAAATAATAGTTTTTGTTTTATGATTGCTTCTAAAAGGAAGACATTAGAATTAATTAGGAATAAAATTGATTTAAAACATCTGAGAATTTATTATTATAGAAATTTTAATATAATTTATATGCCTCCGAAAAGTAGAAGATCAGAGCCAAATCCGAATCAACTCAAGGTAGTTTTGTTAATCTAATAGCCAAGGAAGAAGGGAATACTGCTTTCCTGAACAGATAATATCCTAAAGCAATTAATCTATACTCTAAAGCTCTACGTATTCAGATTATATAAATAATTATTAGAGTTGGAAGAGAACCCTATTTCCTACAACAATCGTTCCCAAGCTTACTTATAGACGGGCGAACTAGAATTGGCTTTGTAGGATTGTAATAAGGCATTGCAATTGAATCCGAGTTATGTTAAAGCGACCACTAATAAGGCATAAGTGTTATATGAAATGGGTTATCTTCAAGTATACCTCCAAACTTATTCTTAGTAAGCAATTGAATGTTTGTAAAGTATAAATAATCACACTCCAGAAAGTGAATTATTACTCAACTAATATTATTAGCAATCCCACAAAGTAAAACTGATATCACATCAAGACTTTATTAGATTAAGCAGAATAAGATCGTTAGAAGAGACTATTAGAATGGTTGAAAATAGGAAAAGCCATATTTCCAAAAATCAAAATTGAATGTTACTCAGAAGATTATCGCGGTGTTAATGCAAAACAAACAATAAATGCCAAAGAGTTGATTCTCTTCATTCCAAAATCTCATATGATCACTTTGGAAATGGCCAAAGAAACAACTGTGGCTAAAAAAATGATGCAATTCAGACTAGATTTACTCTCTCCAAAACATTCGTTTCTTTCCACCTTTTTGTTGCAAGAGAAATTCAGGCCCAATTCTTTCTGGAAGCCATACATAGACATCTTACCATCATCCTATCCCTCATTTCCCATATTCTATAACAATAGTGATTTAGAATGGCTCAAAGGCTCTCCATTTCTAAGTACCTATTTATTCTATATAAACAGAGCAAATCAAAGATAAATTAGCTGATCTTTAGAAAGATTACAACGATATATGCAATGTAGTGCCTGAATTCACCTAGTATCAATTCCATGAATTCTGCTGGGCAAGGATGACAGCCAGTAGCAGAATATTTGGCATAAACATAAATGGTGTTAAAACAGATGCCTTTGTACCATTAGCAGATATGCTCAATCATAAAAGACCAAAATTGACTTCCTGGTGTTATTCAGATGAAAAATAAGGGTTTATTATAGAAACTGATGAAAAAATAGAAAGAGGACAAATGATATTTGATAGTTATGGTAGGAAGTGCAATTCAAGGTTTTTTTTGAATTATGGCTTTGTTGTTGAAGGCAATGATGCAAATGAAGTCAATCTTGCTGTAGAGGCAGATTAAAATGATCCACTCTTATAATTAAAGGAGTAAGCAATTAAAGAATCCTTATAATGGCCTAAAAACTTCAAATTGCTAATGGATACTGATGGTAATATATCTGAAAATACAATATTCTAGAAACAGCAGTTATAGATTTCATGAGCCATATCAGATTTTTAGTGATTCGAGATGAGGCTCAACTTAAATTATTATTAAACCAAAAAAACTCTTAAAATTTCAAATCTACCAAAACACAACCTTTAGGAATTTACAATGAATTAGAAATGTGGAAAATGATTGGACGAATTTGTAAAAAGACTCTAAAATAATATCCAACCACATTTGAAGTAAGACTACTTATATGATTATTTAGCAAGATCAAGAAATCCTATAGATTTGTGAGTTGACTACAAATTAGAGGAACTGCTTGATTCTCAGAATGGGAGAAAAAGAAATATTGAAATTCTATTTTCAGTTCAGTGAAAGAATGAAAGAACTCCTAAGTAATTTTAATTAATAAGTATTGCATTCATCATTACTAAATAGGAAATCAATTTATTCAGCTCTAAAGAAGAAAACTCCAAATACTTAAACTACATTAATAAAGTTATAATGCTTTAAAATTAGAATTATTAATGAATTTATTGATGTTAAATAAATTATTGAATATAATCTTAGAAATTCAATTCAAAAGTTAATTTTTTTTTCCAAAATAGTTTCTAATCTACTCTTTTGTTATGATATATACACAGTAACATTCTTAATAGTCTCCTCATCTTTTATCAATTAGACATCTTGGTTTAAGCAAGTCAATTACTTTACTAAATTTTGGCAAATTTACCTTGAAATACAATAAATTAATACATATCTCTTTCCCAATTTAGAATTTACAACATCTAACAACTCTTTAATCTGTATTAAACGACATCATTATAATAAGGTAGCAAGTCGAGAATTTATTTTTTCTCCAACTCTGCCGTTCTTTAATCATAGATCATAAGTAACTCGGTATATTTTGCTAGACCTTCCCAAATATAGTATTTTTGTCCAATTTCTTTAGCCAAATATTCATACAATTTTAAAATTCTTTTCTTATTAATATTTGACTAAACAAGGTTCTCTTAATTCAATTAATCAGTTTAATAGGCGAATGTTTATGTGATCTTTTAGATTATCTATTCGTCTATCAACTCTCTATGATCTAATTATACAAGCTTTTCGATGCAAGAATAAAATCTTACAAATTTTTTATTCCTTAAAGAAATAGCCATTAAATTACTCCAAAGTCTCCAATCTGTACTAGCATATTTCACTCCTTATTCTAAAGCAGATTGTGCTTCACTAAACTTTTTCAAGGCAACCAAACAAGACGAAATATTTCCCCAAATTTCTCCATCATTTTCATTTATTCTGACTGCTTCACCTAATGATTTAATTGCATCTTCCAATTTATTCAATCTCATATAAGCACATCCCATTATATACCATGATTTTTAATGATATGAATTAATCTTAACAGCTTTTCTATAAGATTTGATGGATTTCTCATAGTTTTTTTCTTTAAAAAAATAAAATTCTCCTAAGGATCTTTATGCCCTAGCAAATCGTTTTTTGGAGTCCTTCCAAGCTTCTTTTAAAATCTTAGGATCCTATTTAATCTCTCCTGTGATGCATTTCATTTTCACAGTTCCCAATCCTTTTGCTGTTATTTACTCAATTTCTTTAAGTGCTCTTTATGTATCACCAGTCCCTACTATGCACTCAACACATTCCTCCCACATTTCTAGTCGAGCAAATATCTCATAGCCACTTGTCATCATACCAACCTTCATCCATTATTCAGCTAAAATTCCACTTAAATTATAGTAATCAGGATAGTTTGAGTAAAATAAATTCAATGCTCTTAAATCAGAATCTGGTTATATATCATTGAATTAATCAACAAGGGTCTGCATTTGAATCAAGGCTCTCTCCATCCTCTTTAGATGATTAAACTCATTTAAAGATCTCAACAACAAGCCCTGGGAATAGACAATCCAACTATTTGATTTATCAAGCATCAAATTTAAGTAAGCTTAAACTTATTGTTAGAGTATCTCATCATTTGGTAAAGTCTTTTTGTAATGATGGATCAATCCCAATAAAACGATTTGTTCTTCCAATGATAATGAATCCTATTTGATTTCTCCATCAACCACAGGTTTATCAAATAAAATAGATTCCTCTTCTAAATTTACTTATTATGGAGCATATTATTGAAGAACCTCTTGTACTTTTGGCAATTCCCTAACTATATTAAAATATAAATAAAGAATTACTTTCTTTTTCTACACTTTCCTAATCTATAATTTAAGCAACTAATTGAGGGAGCTTCTCCTCTTGAAATTTTGTTTTTTTTCCTAATTTACCAGTTAATTCAAATCTCACTTTTAGCAATTGCTATAATTTTATTATGTTATTACTTATGCTTTTAGCAAACACACTTCTGCTTCTTAATATCTGTAGTAATAATTGTAAATATAGGAGAATTCAGTGTATAATTTAGCTTGGTCTTTGCTATCCACAGGATAATTATCAAGGAACTCTTAAAATGAATTTAAAATTTCATCCTTTAATTCTTATACAGGATTGTCTAGAAATTAATTGTGCATAAAATTAAGTCTAGCCCACCATAATTGATAAATTGGATTAGTGGTATGCAACAATTCAAGAATTTGTTTGCAAACTAAAAATATATGTTTAAGCTAAATCACTCTCTTAAATAGTTCACCACAACATTGCAGCTTATTTAGAATATCTATTGTATTGGTATATTCTTACATTCTTAATTAGCTTATGAATAATAGATTTCATATTCAGAAACTCTACTAATCTAATTAATAAGTGGTAATAATTCGACTAATCCAAGATCTTCCAATTCCTGTTTATTTATTTGATTGGTTTGACTTTTTGGAATGACTTACTTAGTTAATAGATTTTCTAGATGTAACTTTCTATCAGCATTTTAATAGTGATAAGACGGTCCTGTAAAATTCTCCTTAATAAAAAGTCCATAGAGGGTGTAGAATATATCAAAAACAATTTGTTTGTGTTATGTTTAAAGCATACTCATGCAACACTATTTTATGATGTCCAATGCATGATCGTTTATGTTGTCTGCAAAAAATAGTATTACTTTGAGTCCTGTTCCAAATTTTCCTTGGTTGAACAATTACTATAAATTATATTCACACTTAATTTCCATTATAAAATTAATTAATGTCTAATTTTACAAATGCTAAACCATAAAGAAAATATAGAGAAAGATCATAACCTGTAAATGCAAATCATATGAATTAAATAGACAGCTAGATAATCTCTAGGTATTTTAGAAAAGCATGGTGATTATAAAAAGAGAGCTATAAATTATTAAAGAAAGAAAGAATAATTACAAAAATTGTAATTGAAGGCTGCTCTACGAAATAAAGATGAGTTTAATTTTAGAATGCTTAAGAGCAAAGTTAAGGATGGCATAGTGTATGAAGATTAAAATGAGAGCAGCGGAGACGAATAAGAAATCCTTAAATAAATTAAAACTTAAAATTAAAATTTACTTAAAGCGTCTATTTAACAAAAAGAAAAAGTAATAGATTTATCTATTCAATTAATAGTTAACTGAAAAGCTCAAGTAAGATTTAGCCATGGTATAATTTGAGTAACCAACACACAAATTCTTTTTGAAAGAAGCTAGAAAAAAGAGTTTTGATTAAGTTGAAGACAAAATACAGGTCGAAGCATAATAATCTGCTCCAAGTTTTGAATTAGCTTAAAAGATAACTAAGTTAACTGAGACATTGTATGAGAAGGAGAGAATGAAACGCTTTTATGTGGCTATTACAAAATCTAAAACTAAAGTAAATTTATATCATTCATTATTTAGGATAATGTTACAGCAAAGCCACATTAAAGAAAAAGAATCAAGAAAGGCAAAGGAAAAGGATTGTTTGAGAGAAGTAGATGATAATTATATGATAATTTTGGTTATAAACTGATCAAATTCTTCTTATGTCAATTACATTTTCATCATATTTTGACCCTTAGAAAACTTCATCTTAAAAGTCTTTATGAGATTCTATTATCAAAGGATTGCACCTCATCCAGTTATCTACATCAGCAATTTTCCAAACTTAAGGAACACAATTTCTCATCCATTCCATATATGTTTCTAATTAAAATTTAGAAACCTTTCTATATGAATCCCGTCTTTGCTTCTTTTTTGGAGGCATTTCACATTCTGACTCAAATAAAACAAGATGATTATATGAGTAATTGTCATTTGTTTCCATTAGCTCTTATCCATTTTGCTTGATAAGTTTTAATCTCATTGGAGATTATATTCTTAGTAAACATCGAACTAACACCTTTTTATAGTCATCATATAATTTATCTCCTTACTCTTTTGTCTTAAAATTGCTGGGATCTTGTAAACTCAATGGTGTAAATACAACACAACCTAATTTATCTAAATCATTATAATAATGATATTAAGATTTAGGGAGATTTTCAGACCTGATTGTCGATAAACCTCTAACCATCACTTGATCAACGAAAAACCCCTGATAAGGAAATGGTTGTCCTGATGTCACTGAAAAATCTTCAAAAGCTACAACTCTTTCTCCTCTCATTTTTAATTTTTCCAAAGCTTCTAAAGTCTTTTCAGCAAATCCTTTTTCACAATATTCATTTAAATATGTTTCATCAGCCACTTCCATAGACATCAAAAATCCTTAATACATCTTAATTAAATGGGTTTGAAGGGTTTTCTCCCTGATTTCATTCTCATTTAGAATTTGTTAAAAAAGAAAAGAATCCTTAGTTTCTGGAATTTAGTCTATCCCTTCAAAATTGTAAGGAATATCTGCATCTGGAGAAGGAATAGCTAAAGATTTTTCCTTTGCTTCTTACAGCATTTTCTAAACTTGTGAACATTATATATACTTCATACAATCCCATAGATATTTACCCAGTCTTTGTTCTGTAAATCTTTGGTGTATTACTAGATTTAGAAGAAGCAGCTAATGGATCTTGGATAATCTCTTTCTGCAAGAATGTACGACTAAATCGAGGAATAAGCATCCTCATAGTATGAGGAGAAAATATTTTCATTATTAAATTTATATTCACAAATACTATTTAATCTATTTATAACTATTCATTAATATAGCACTCTATTTTTGATATGATAAAAATTATCTTATTATTATCCTCAACTAGAGATGTAAATATAGAAAATATATTTGATATTATAATGATTTATCAGGTTTCTATAAAATGAAATTAGTTTATTAAAAGTAATAATGTTATACAATTATCATCATATTTATTTGAAAATGATCATAATTATATAATTTCCGAATTACTCAACTAAAAAATGAAATATAGGAAGGTTATAAAATAGGATAGGGAAATTATTATTTTGCATCAGTAGATAATGAAATAGAAAATGCTAGAAATACATTTTATGAAACTAGATGAGGATTGATAAGATTTTATAAATAGTTTGGATTAAGTAAAATTCGTAGAAAAATTAGAAAATATTCTGATAAAGATATATGATTATTAATCAAATTCATCTCATATTTTTTTGTATTACTCGAAAAGTCTAATTATCTAAATGATAAGTGAAATATATGTTACTTTAGTTTATTTTAAATGCCTGGACATATCAAGGGGAGTAATACTAGATTAATCCATAATGTATGGATCTGCACCATTCTATAATAACCTAGATTATTAAATTATTATATTATACCATTCTACAAAGTCCCAATTACCCTTGACAACTGCAACATGCAGAGGAGTGATTCCATCATAGTTTTACGAATTTACATCATTTGAAGAATAGACAAAATGAGATTACTTTATCATCATAATTCTATTTTTTCGGACTGCTTCAAATAAAAAATCCACCTTAATCTTATTTGAAGGAGCAGGAATTCTTAGACTTTAGATTCCTTTAGTAGTAGGAGTAGAGGCTCCTGTGCTTAAGAGAAAGCTTTTCTTTTCTGCGTTTTTACGTGTGTTTTCTTCAGTTTTTATACTACTAAAATTGATTTGATCTTTAGCTATTGTTTTACATCTTTCAAGTTATTTGTTCAAATAAAAATAAGAAACCTATTAATCTTATCCTAATTCAATTTAATGAATCATATTTTCACAATTATCTTTGAATAAATAATAGATTTGTTTCCTTCTTTCCTCTAATTTTTACCTTAGTTTCTTTTCTCTAAATAATGATCTCAATTTTCTCTAGATCATGATTGCTGCTCTTACTTCCCTTTATGTAGGTTAATAATTAGGACTTTTCCAATGTTCTAACTCAGGTTGATTGGGAGGTCCACCAGAATAAAATTTTAAAAAGTTTTTTCTTTGCCTCAAAGCAGGATGACTCTTTAAGCCTAATTTAAACTTCTCTTATTCTGATTTGTTGTATTAAGCATAGATTGGATTGATGTAAGCTAATTCGTTATCTTCACATTCAAGTTTTTTGTCAATTAATAACTTTGTTGAAGGGTGAAAAACATGTCTTTTGATATTTTAAGTGAATTATACACCAATAGTACTTTTAGGTCTAGCCATTTACTTTATATATTCCTGTCTTTTATTTTTTTCATTTTTCAATCTTGGACTTTAAGGTTGAATTTATTTTGAACTTGCTATTTATTATTTAGATGGATAATTTTAATATAAATTGTCCTCATCATTCATATCAACATATTATCTCTTCCTCTCTTTTTCAAAAACATAGTCATACAATTTTGTAATGAACTGTCTCTCAGTAATCCTACCCATTAAATAATCTTTCAATTGAGTTGCTCCTGGAACTTCACTAGGAATCTTTTCTTCGAACTTCCCAGTCCTTTCCATATGCTTAACTACTGTTTTGCACACTTTTATATATTTTCTATTTAACTCCATATTATATTCATCAATCGATTGTTTTTACAATCTTTTCTCTCTCTATGCTAATTTCAATTTCGTTTTTTCTATTTTCATTCTGATGTATTGCAATCTGGCATTAATTGTAGAAGATTTCATTTCTCCATAGTCTTTTAAAATTTATTCGGCCAATGACAATTCCATATTGAATAACAAATCTGGGTTTACTTAATTGGCTGCTCTCTAAAAGAAGTCTTTATCCAAACAAGCATTCAGCAATTCACTAGTATTGGCCAAAAATTGTAACTCTTAGGCTGTCAGAAATTCTCCATCTGTATATTTGTTAAGAATGTGTTCTCTTTATTATTTTTTTTTCTCATTTAATGTCATCTATTATAGAATAGGCAAGAATCCTAAATCATTCCAATTAGAACATGCTATTTCATTTCTAAAAATATTGTGAACTATAGAATTACGTAAATAATTGTTTAGTTTAACTTCTTTACTTAGTAAATACTTTCTCCTATTAATTATTCCAAACCACTTGATATTATGATTGTTTTTATCCTTCATCATTGAAATTGTCAAATTGCTATGTCATCTGTCTATTCGTTCTCTCTTTTATGTGTTTCAATCTATCTTATCCCAATGACTTTAAAAAATGAAATTCATTAGAATGACCATACTTTTCCATATTCTCAAATATATGACGTGTTGTAATCACTTACACATTTTTTAGCATTAAATGCTTATTTTAAGTTTTGGCAGCCATTTGCTGATTCTCATAATCGTTTAATTTGTCTACTACAATTTATCTTAATTTATTTTTTAATTGCTCGTATTTTGTTTTCAATTATAACCATTTAAAGTGCTTTTTTGTTTAATTATTAATCTTCTCCTTTTTCATCTATTGGTCAGTCTCTTTATACTTTTGTTCTTTTAGAATAATCTTATCAGACCAGTTTTTTAACAATGTATCAATGGTACTATTCATTTAAAGCTTAATGTATTCACTTGCTTATTAGGTAAAAATTACTGTCTTTCTGAAGATGTCTTTAGCTAATTTAATTGGGTAGGATTGATATCAAACGCCTTCAGGATGCTAATTACATTATGTGAATGAAAACCTTTGACTCAGCCTGTTTAAAGGTTATCCTAAGCTTTAGAAAGCATTAGTCATTTGTAATCCTTAGACTGCTGTCTAAATAAGGATTGTTCCAAAGGCTGTAGTTGTATTACTGAATTCTGGATCTCCTTGTTACTCTTCAAATTATTTGAACTTTTCATCAATCTCTTTAAAATTATCATACTCATATTTAGGCACTGGTGCTTTTATTTTGTTTAATCTCTCCCAGGTTTTTATCGATTTATATTTTTGCATAAATCAATTAATAATTAATATTTTTCCATTTTAATATTCAATTCAGATAGCCTTGAATTAATATCTATAAAATTACTGAATATTATCATTCTTCCCGCTCTCCTTCCAATAAGAATCTTTTGAATTTTTATTATATCATAATTCAATTCAAAGTGAATTATCAATTAATAAGGATAGTACAATAATACTAAATATTTATGTTACTACATTATTGTATTATTTTATATAGATACTTTCAAAAAAGAGCAATCCTTTTTTAATACTAAAATATTTTTTACTTATTAATCGTTTTTCATTTTAATTCATTAAATTTAAATAATTACTAAAAATACCATTAACTACTTTTATTGAAAATAAATAAATCATTTAGACTAATAAAAGATTTTAATGAACAAAAATACAAAATATTATGAATAATAGAAGAGATTTAGAAACATAATAGCATCCATAGATTGGGTTGTGAAAAAATTTTATATTATACTTATTAAATCTACTTCTCATTCTTAGATAGATTACATTGTTTTTTCTTAACAATTTTTTGAATCATCTGTTCTCAATTAATAGCATAACACATAAGCTGATTTTGAAACAATAGATGATTCAGATATCTCGCTAACCATTGAATCATCGAAATTGTACCATTTATTGGTGAACTAATAGATTTGATATTAATATTACTTTGTTCTTTGCCAATGCAGTATAATGGCCACCTCCTAATCCTCCAAAATGATTGGACACAGCATATAAATCATAGATAACCTTTTGCTTATTATTTTCTCCATTATTGGTTTCGTTTTCGTTTTCATATTCCAAAGGAGTTTTTGAGTTAATAATAAAATCTGTCATATCTAGATTGTTGATTGGAAAATCAACCAAAGTTTCTAGTTTTTGTTTAAATAATCTATTTGAAGCTTTAAACCTCTTCAATGTGAAGATTAATATTTGGGGAGCCTTGAATATTTACAAACATCATACCTTATATATTTGCATGCTTTTAAATGCTTAAACGTGTTCCTTGCACACTTTGCAATACCATGTGTTCTCGGCATTAAGTTATTCAGGCATTTATGAGAATTGTAAGCAATCTTAAAGAGTAGCAGTGCCTTATGAAGTATTGGAGTTTATTGTAGAGGACATATTGTTTTTTTAGTAATTGTCTTATACTTAAAGGTTATAATCTAATTAATACTTTCGATTTTATTTGATTTGAAAAAATGATCAAAAATATCTGGTAATTTAGCTGATTTAAATGGACTTTATTTCCAAAGGATGATGATTTCAAAATTGCATTGTTAATCAATTTTCAGGGCTCTATTTTTGACTTCTTCAACTGTTTCATCTTCATATTTCACTTCACAATCATTGCAATTCTTTGAATTACAAAAGGCACATGGATTCCAATAGTTTTGATTAGTTTTGTAAACTAAAGAATAATACTAATAGATATGTGTCAATAAATACTTAATTCAAGACTTATTTCTCATAATCTACTTTTTCATTTTCTATAAAAAATTATTTTAAATGAGTAAAGATTTATTGATGCACCTATTTCAATGTCATTTATCCATCAACTATGATTGCACCAGACTGAAAATAGGACTTTTTATATTATTGTTCAAAGTATTTGTTAGAAAATTAAATAGGGAATTTTTTATTCATTTAAAATTCTTGATTAGTAATTAATCTAAAACAAAGCTATGATCTTTTTGCATTCTTTCTAATATCTACAATGCTTTTATTTTCATCCAAAAATTCAAAAGTAGTGTACATATTTGCTATATAACCAAACAATTATTAATAGTCGACTTTGAGTTCTTCGCCTAGAATTTTCAAATAATCTTTTAAAGGAATACTTTTGTTTTTATCAAAAGGGAGGTTGATAAACTAATATTAAAACAGATCCTTGTAAAATTTGAATTAGATAGTTCTCTTTTTTTAACTTGGAATACCCAATTAAACCATTAAATAGGGATCAAAGGTAATTGAAAATTATTGACAAGTTGGACACTTCAATGTTGATTTGTATTGGCCATGCATGAGATCGACAATTACCGATTGGTTTCTAGCAAGATGATTTAACCAACTTTCCTTAGCAACAACAAAATCAGATCGGCCATCGTAATCCTTAGTTTCAACATATGGTTTCTTTTTGACTCTATTCAAATCCTCATGAATTCCATCCAAAACAAATGTTATTAACTCGGATGAATCATGTTGATGGAAACCCTTAAACATCGGTTAAAATTGGCCAACAGCCTTTTTGTAATTGGTGGGAGTTATGGTTTGTCTATCTCCACACCACATTTTTTTGATGAGCGATCCAACCTTCTTTACCAATTGTCCTTGTGTGCCTAAGGGATTATCCATATTGATCTCGTCAAAGTATAAATTCTTCAAGAAATACTCAACCAAAGGATATGAATTGGAAATACATTGGGTTCCACTATTCATGAAACAGGTGTTTCCTAAATTGCTTAAACCCACAATGCCCTTTGCTGATGTTTACGATAGAGTGAGGGATTTAACTGATTCATCATCTGAACCATGCTTTTCACATCTAGCACTATGATAATTATAATCTTTCTATCTGCATTCCTCTTTGCAATAAGAAACCTTTCTGCAAATGCATGGAAAGGATAGGACTTTGAAGACATGGCAATTCTCACATTTTCCTTCAATCTACACTGCTTAATTTCTAATACACCATGGTTTATAATCATCTTTAAACTAAATGTATAGATCGCATAATTACTTCAAATACAATGAGATTGGTGTCGATAATACCGATGTCTTCAATAGTGTCATACTATTGATGTGTAAGTAACTCTCCGTTGAAATCAAAGCACATATCGTCTTGACTTTCTAATTCGCCTACTTATTTGTTAATATCATTAAACAAAGCTTTATATGCATCTTTCTAGTCTGTGACGTATCTCCAAATTCTGACATTGTTATCTTTAGCGAAATTCCCTGAGAATGTATGCACTGTTCTTTATATCAAATTTTAATAATCTTTGAATTTCATGTTTCTATCTACTTGCAGAACCTCACTATCGAATGTTTGTCTCTGCATTCTGTCTTAAGATATTTATTTGATAATAGAGGGATAAAGCAAGACGCATTTAATCTAAAGATGAATACATTATAAATACTCGTAACAAATTTACAGCCACTTATTTGTCCTTGCCACTGCCATTCGAACTTCTGATTATTGCAGTGTTTGAATAATATGATGTAAAAAATTCCCAAATTTCTTTATCAATAACTACATAGTCCACATTTTCTTATAAATCTTGTTTCATGTAAGTATTCCATGGATGATTGCTGATTGGATAGTACTTAAAACATTTCTACACATTATCCTCCAAATCATCGTTAATTCTTTCGAGTGTGATTCTTCCAAAGTATTTACAGGGTGCTTTGTTAGCCACGATCTCATCATAGGAAACGTATTGCTTCCATTGATTTAGCCATCTTATATTTTCCATTTAAAATACTTAGTGCTTAAAACATAAAACTAGGTGTTGGCGTCTGATGAGAATCTCTTACAAAACGTTTCTTGAAGCTTCTTGTACTCCAGCGCTTGCTTCTTCAACTTATCAGCTGTATGTTGCGACACCTGAATGTCATTGAATTTCTCCTCTTGCATAAATTTTTTAATAAAATTAGAATTTAATATAGTTGATATTTAAACAATTATAAATCAAGGTTTTCTTACTTTTTCTATAAGATTTTAATTATTCAATTGATCAACCCCAATATAAAAATGTTATATCAAATAAATTAAAATTTATGTGATAATAAATTTAATATGAATTATAATTATTATCGAACTCAACACGATAATTTAAGAGTGATACATTAGAATTCACTCTCTGTTGGGAAATTGAAAAAGGGAATTGTATTTCAGAATTATCCTTTCAATCCAGTTTAGGGTTATAACTCAACATTTTAGGTGCGTCCACAAACATCTTAAACCTAACCTGTCAAGAAACCCTCCACTGCTTAAGTGATAATAAATAAATAACCAAATAGTCGATTCGCCATGTTCCGAGAGCCGCAACTTCTCAGAGTCAGCGGTAACCTAATATGCTCTTTTCAGAGTAACCTAATAATCTTGAGATGGAGACAAAGCCAAGTAAGAGATTTATGAAGATATACTTTATGAAAAGTAATCTCGCCTGCCTAATTTAGCCAACTATCGAACAATTCTACACAATCTCATGAATAATAAAGTTAAGGCACTCCCCCCTGGAGACAGGAGGAGACTATCCGTACTTAACATAGTGTAAGACAAGTTTAAAGAACTTACTATCTCAGAGATTAATCTCTTGATCTGTCAACACGAACTCTCTGAAAAGTTCTATATCTATTTTTCAGGTACAAACCACCATCTAACTTTAGATTCTGAATGGATTCCATGCAGCAAATGTTGTCAATCACCAATATTCTTGGTTTTAAGTCCACAAGCACAAAAAACAGACATATTTTGCTGTCAATGTTCTCGAAATCTATAAAATCCCCCTTAATCAGCCTTTTAGAGCACTACGCTCATTCCTAAACAATCATTTTCACAATATGGCCATTCATTGTAGGAGCAGAAGGAAAGACAAAAGGTGAGCAGGATGATAATATCAGGAAAATATCGAAAGGTTAACTTGAAGGAAATATATAATGAAGTCTAAGAACCTTAGCAAAAGGAAGAATCTTTCAATATTGAATTCCCTGTCAAAGAGAAACAATAAGAGAGCACTATTTTAGAGTTGAAAGACTTAATTAATGAATTATTCTGATTTAATTATACAAGCATCATTGCAATCTATATATCGTACCATTTACCAGGTCATCAAAATTATAATTTTCATTCTCATTTTATTTTGACTCCTTCTAAAGGAATCTATATTTAATTTCATCTAATATACCAAAGAATTTTGCTTATAATCTAATATAGTTATTTCGATACTTATTTTATTTAATATAAATCTTTGAGGCATTCTGAGACTAAAATATCCTCTCCAAAAGATAAACAATCTAAAATTACATTAATTTAAGTACTCTTTAAATATAGTTTGGTATGGTTTAATATATGATTATGGCTATGATGCTTATCGTTTCCACAAACTAAGACTTATCAAGGTATACTTAATCAGAATACTCCTGTCCTTCTTAATTAAGTGAGGCAACTGAATAAAATACCTAAGTTAATTAAGTTTGTGAAATTAAAATATTTGAGAGTTCAAAATCTTAACAAAATTTTAAAAATTCTGGGAGACTTAAGATTTAATTTTATTATTATTTAGAATATTCTTAAAAATACCAATTAAAAACAGGTTAGATTATTTCATATAATTAAATCTAATTTAATAGTTTAATAATAATACAATCTGATCATCCTATAGGAGTTCAACCAAAATTTACAATATTTATTCTTTATTTTCATCAGAAATCTATTTCTCTAGTGGTAATAAATGCTATTAAATGAGATCACTCACTTCCATGCCGCACTTATCTGCTATCAACCCAATGCTTGATTAAAGCTAAGCAAATGTCATCTTCCCATTCGTTAACTAATTGTTTTTTTATGATGTTTTTATAGATTGAGCCCCACAGAGCTTTGAATAAATCACATCAGCTTCAGTTTATGGTATAATATTATTCAGAATTCCAGTGTGCAATAATAATTTGTTAAATTTACTTTTTTGTAGAGATTATATATTAGTTGGTTCTCCACTTTAAGCATAAAATTCAAACAGTCTCTTTAGAGATGTAAGAGTTTATTAATCAATTTCCAACATAACCTTAGATTACTTCATTAATGATATATTTGCTCTACTTTCATTCGACTTCGAATTAGTACTTCCAACATAGGTATTTTAATTATTTGCATGAGTTACATAATTATTTTAACTACTGTTCATTATTTGACTTTATTAATTATAATTATCCCATTTACACAATCTACTTTTCTCAATATTGTAAAACAATCTTCCTTTATCACTTTAAGTTCTATTCAATTTTAGAAGGTATTAACTAAAAGCCTATGAATTTTCAATTTTATCTAAAAGCAATCTAAATTAAGTGAACTCATCTAGATTTGGTATAGCTTTAGAGATAATTATTAAACTTTCTACAAAGTTATTCAGGGTGAATATATAGTTTCCAGTTTCCTATAAATTGAATAGAGGTTATCGAATCTAAATATTATCAAATATCATCTAAGCTTAAGATTAATTTATGTAATTTGGCAATAATTCACATAAGTTCAAGAACTGCATGAACTACCATTATACTTTACTTAAATTCGAACTTTGATCCTCAAAGATAAATTTATGTAGATTTGTTAATTGTTATAAGATTGGCATAACAAATTCCTTCATTTCGTGATTGATGGGTTACAATACAAATTGTATCTATTGTCCGAATTCAGTAAAATTCAATATTTTTTGTGACAGGATAGACAAATACTCATTGTACAAATTTAAAAAAGCTTAACGTACATTCTGTTATGGATATATCATCATAGCCAATTTAGGAATTAGATTTTAAAATTATTCGAGCGTGAGACTTTCATTATTCTTTGTGTGAGAGGCATACAAAATCTCGCAATCCCTATTGGATAACAATTGAGGTGATATCTGAGCGTCGGAGAGCATTTTAATAAATTTATTAGACTTAAGAAATCGAGTGTTGTTTCGATTACCAAAACTAGTGTAAAATTTGAATACTATTCGAATATTCAGTTTTATATCTTCTATTACTATGGCTTTTTTCTCGGGTGACCGAGTTTTACTTTAAGATATGATCGATTAACGAGTATTGGCTAGTGTTTCATTTAATTATTCTGCAATCACAGGCATTCCGAGATTCATTTTAATTTTGGAACATTATATCATCTGTTGATTGTCCTTTTGTAAATATTGATTGAAAGAATCCAATTCATTTTCATCTATGTTTTATGTTTTCCTTTATCTATCCTGTATCATTTTGGTTATCATAATCGTTAATAAAAATAAATAATTAGTATTTGTCATATGGAATCCTATTATTTGCTTCTATCATCTTTCCTATTTTTGTACATCTTTCCAAATTAAATTATTTCATTTTCGAACGAGTCCACTTAATTGTCCTCTTACGGCCCCATTTAAGGTGTTTCATAATAATCAACTATTTACTGCCCATCAGTCAACCTATTCAAAACATGTCGAAAAGGCTTTATGTATGCTTTATCCTATTGGTTTATCTTGTACACTTACAGCAATAGTGATGTTGATTAGTTATAGGTTCTTTAATTGGCTGTGCTTTTCTTCAATAAATTATTTAATAGTCAAAAGCATAACTAGAGCAGTATAGCATTTTGAATTTATTTAAGCTTCAGATGAAATCACAGGGAAACTTACAGAGCTTAATCCCAAATCATTACACTACATAGATAAAGCTATATACTAAAAGAAGGGTTTTCTTTATGGAATGCTATATATACTATTTTTCGTTCTAGCCTGTATATTCCTATATGCTGCTCTCTATAGAATCATCTCCATTATATTAAAATGATCTCATCTATCTTCGTATTTATTGATCGTAATCGATTTCATAGAGCGGTGGCAAGAGTGCAAAGAAAATAAAATCAAAATCTAATTCTTCTGCATGTGTATAGATAACATCTCCAAAATCTATAGTCTATTTCTTTCTCTAACAACTGAGTAGATTTTCATACATTTGTTTCCCACCCATTTTAAGGATTTGCCGTGAGAGATGGCTGGTGACATTAAATTGAGGATCAGCCATAGCTACAACAGCATCTACATTTTCATCAATCAATTTCCCTTAGGTTAACTTTATTGTGATATTATGGATGATTTTCTCCATAATCAATTGAGTAGAATGAGTTTCTTATTGTACTTAAGTATTTTATTCATAAACACAGCAATACTATCCCATAAATTAAATATTAATGTATGATTAAATCACTTTTTGATTTGTTTCACTATTTTCACTTCTTCTACCAAGAAAGCTCTGATGATGCGATTTTTTAAGGCTCCAGCACTCAATACTCCTCCATATGGTCTTGATACTGTTCTTTGTCTTCTGGCAAGTTACTTAAGTTTTGTAGGTCTAATGCGTTTGAGTCCATTTAAGACAACATTCAAATTAGAATCTGCACAAGTTGAAGCACTAGTCTTTTTATTTGGGTATTAAACAACAACGTTACCACCTAACATGGAGTATTTTAATACCTGGTGTCTTGACCTTTCTAATCTTATTAGATCTTGTATTATAGCTGGTTCTTCTACGATATGTAATTCTTACGCCCATTTCTTAAAATCTTAATTAAAAATTTTTTTAATATTTTTATCAAAACAAAATATAGAAGAGCAACAGAAGATTAACTCTAAAATCCTATTAAATTTGCTAAAAGTTTAACTACCATAATCCACCTAAATAAAGGAAAATAATTATTTTTCATAAATTCTTTGTTAGAAAATATACAATATATTGATTATAATTCATATTTCACTTTTTTAATGAGCCTTTATTGATTATATTTAATTATTGACTATTAAGTAAAGTTAGATTATCCAATTATGTGAAACCATTTTTTTAAGTAAACCAAAAGAATTATAACTTGAATTGAGGATATTTAGCTTGTATAAAAATATTTTTAACTACAAAAAGAGGATAAAATAGACTAATTTAAATTGATTTCATAACCAAATAATTTGAAAAAATGGAATGTCTTGAAATTTAAGAATATTTGAAATAGATAAATCTAAAGTAATTTATTTTACTAATTTCAAATGATAAATGATTATTGAAAAAATAGTTAAAAACCAATCTTAAAAAATTGTTTATAAAACAATAGCCAAATTAATTCAAAATCAACTAATAGAGATGATCTATTTTTTCATTATTAGTTTTAGATATATAATAAAATTATAATTATCACAAATTTTCAACAAATTTTATCTAGAATATTTTTTTAACTTGAATTCAATATGGCTTTCAATAAATTCCCAACTGTTTGATACCTCTTTTTGCACAATTCTAATCGCTTTCCTTAATCATTATAAGCTTTATCATCTAATCCATTAAATATTATGGTGCCATTTGGACAAGCCTAACTAAATGAGATCCATTAAATTAAAGTTTTTAATTGTTTGTCTCCTCCATAAATACCACATCCCCATTTACCAGTCGAAATAATTTACTATTAACTGCCTTAGAATCCACTGAAAGATTTATTCAACTCTCTAAATATGGCTTCCTAAGTGAATTAATAACCTTAAGGTTTCGTAGCGAAATATATAGCATCAATAGCAATTAAAGTTTGCCCTTTGTTTTGATATTTTGCAGGGATGCAAACAAAACTATCCTCATAGCCTCTGTATTAATTAAATTGAAGTATTCCTGAAATTATTAAACTTTCTTTATCTCCTAGTTATGAAGTGAATAAAGAGGCAATAATGGCTTCCGGATTTATTAACAATAAAACTTCTTCTTAAACACATCCTCTTCCAGCTGCTACCTTACCACCAAAATAGCGATCACTAAAGTCAACAATTCCACAATTCAAATGATCTTCATTCTTTTTTTTTTCAAATTTGAAATCTGAGAGTGGGAGTTGACTATTTATCCAATTAGGAACATCGACCAATGAATTTCTTTGATAAACTATTTCTGGTAAGTTGAAATACTCTGGGGAGTCAACACATTAATTAAAGTAATTGATGAGACATTTCAGCTTTTCTAGTTAACTTCCTTATAAATAATAGGTAGAAAAACTGAAATACTAAGGAAATTTGAAGTTCTATACAGATTGTTATATGGTTAATTCAAAATACATAAGACTTAGGAGTGAAAATACGGTTTTTCTGGATAAGGCAAGTGATTGATTTTGCAATAACAACTGTATTTATGGTTTTTATTGAAGTAATTATTGAACTGATTCAATCATAAAGGGTAATGTTGTGTTTTTGAATTTTTCCTAGCATTTCATTATTTCAATGCATTTTTCAACTTAAGGATTTACCTTGTTTGATATTGTTATTTGCTCCTGTAATTTAAACTGCTTATATTAATAATAATAATTTTAGTTTTGATTAGTGAATTGTTGCATTTATTTTTTTATTTTAATATTATTTTAAATCTAAAATGATAAGGTTGAGGAATATTATAGGATCTGCTCTTCATATTCAGACATCTTTATTTAGGTTTTCGACCCAAGCTCCCCAACAACCTAATGATTAATTCAATAAAAAGGTATTATTCGCTGGGAAGAGTGCCGATAAACCAAAAAAATAACATTAAAGATCAGAATAGAAACACTCATAATAACAAAAAAAAGAGGGAAATGAAAATCAGTAGCATGAATAGAGTGCTCCATACAGGCAATAGGAAAGACATTTCGATAGATAATAATTCCATAAGTAAAAGGTTGATGAGCCTAAATTTTATAGAGGTGACAGAGATCGCAGATCACCTGATCAATAATAATAATAATAATAAGAATAATAGGAAACTCCTAAAAAAACAGGAATATTATTTGGGAATAAAAGCAAAGATGCTAAATTGGTAGCAGCAAAATTTTAAACTAAAAGAGTTTTCAATTAAATTCTGAAGAAAAAGATAGAGAACGAAAAACAAAATGAAAAAATATTTATAGATCAACTGAATTAGGCTTAAAACATACACAACATCCATGAAAGAAACTCAAAATTAATTGATCTCTATGCAAGTCAAAGTAAATGGGATAAAGTTAAAGATATATTTAAATCAGAAAAGTAATTTAATTCTGGTGTCTATTCTGCCTATATAAATCAAACAGCCTCTCATTCTGTTGACCTTGCAGACTACGAACAACTGAAAGCCCTTATAAAAAAAGTTGGCGATAGAGCTCACAAACTCCAACCAGAAGCATTTCAATCTCTTTATTATATGATTTTCAATCTTGATTTATTTCCAAATGAAAAAGTATAAAATCTTATTAATAATCATTTTAGGCTAAAGAATTGGAGCATCTGATCAATATTGTGACAACCCATCACTTAACTCCCTAATTTGATTTAACATACTTCTAAACTCTTTTGGAGGAGTAGTCAATAGAGAATGAAAAAGCAAGCCATTTGGCGGTCATTAAAGTTTTCAATCAATATTTTGAAAGATATGTCTAACAGAACAAAGGTAAGTCAACAGTGGATTTGCCAAATCTTAACATTGCATTTGCCATAGCAGTCAAATCAACAATTCTTTATAATACAAATGATGCTTAGAATTTCCTCAATAACTTAAAAGCCTTTCAATAGCTGGCTGAAAATAATGTCAAGTTAGATGATTTAGTTAGATATGCACAATAGTAATCTTTAATTTTAATGTTAGTATTTCCTTAAAAGAGGATTCCTTCACCTAATTATTGGAATTATTCAAAGGAATCAGAAATCCTAATTTTATATTCTTATTTGAAGAAGCATTAAAGAAATTAGATGCAAATGGTAAGGAAGTCCTGGCCATTAATAAGGAATAATTGGAAAAGCTCTATTTTGAAAAAGCAGAGAACTTACCTATAAGACAAGCTGAACTTTTTGGTTTATTTGCAGATCGCTTCCAATATCCTGAATTGACAGTTGAGATCTTCTAGAACCATAAATAAAATAAGTAAAACGAGTATTCAAGTTTCTTGTATCAAAAAGCTATTGGAGTCTTAATAGACTAATCAGGAGGAAAACACATAAGCAATGCAGTGGTATGATATTGATGAAAAATTTAAGATGACACTCATGCAAGAGGCCAATAGTTTCAAGGTTCCTTTATCTAAAGTTAACTATTAAATCAATCAATGCAAAGCTCATATTAAGGAAGGGCAATACTAATTGGCTTACAATCTTTTTACATAAAATGTCATAGAGGATATAATTTTGGCATTTTAAAGGTATTTTATATGAAGATTTAAATTTAGAGAGAGAATCAGAAGATTTTTGTATAAATATGTTCAAAAAATTCACATAGGTACAACATTCAAATTAAAATCTAACATGAAAACATATTTCAAGAAAATTAAGCATGTGGATCATTTTGTGAAAAGTCTATCAGATAAATAATTGTTTGATTTATATAAGGAAGAGAGATCAGATAATTTCTTATTAGAATGTTTAATTCAGTAGGAGGATGTGTTCGAATTTAATAAGTCGATTACATATAGAGAGGCTTTTAATTAAATTAAGACAGAGATTGCACATGGCGTATTTGACTATTAAAAATTGTAATTCCTATTTTTAATTTGATTAGATTGAACCCAATCACAGAGAGTGAATAAATTCTGAGAGAAGTGTTTGATAATTATGAACATTACGTTAAACTTGAAAAGAAATTGTTGTTTAATGAGAGAAAGTAGAAGAGAGTCTATAAAGTGATGAACTAACTGAGATAAAGACCTGGTTCGAAAAAAACATATGAGTAGACACTTTCTGAGTTGGAGCAATAATTTAAGAAAAGTACGATTGAATATGGTCTGATGAGAAACGATTTGATTGAATTTTCAGAAGTCGAATAGGTCTAGTAAATGTAAATAAGTAAGAATTCTAATTGATTTATGTAGAAATGAGGAAACAATTATCTTAATTAGGTTTGCCAGTTGGAAAATACAAAGCAAATATTGTAACATTCTAGCCTTTGTAAGTTAATTCATAGTAGGAATAAGAAGATATTGAATAAATTCCAAATGAAGCACTCAAAAAAGATGGTGAAAATCCAAAGTAAAAAGGAAAATCTTAAAAAACTGCTACATTCAAAAATGTTAATAAATTAGTTGAAGAATATTTGTCCAAAGTCAAAGAAGATTAAAAGAATTTGAGGAATATTGATAAATGGAGAAGATATCTCAAAACAATGTAAAAAGGTATTTAATTTAAATACAAATTGCAAAACGATAAAAATTTCTTAAAAAGAATGATTAGGAAAACTTATTAATGTGGGATTACTGATTAATCTATGAGAGAGTTAGTAAACCTCAAATTAAAAAAAAAAATGCTGAAGCCTAGAAGAAGATAATTGATTAGAAATAGATTAAAAGAAAAGCCCTCTAAATTGTCAGTATTTATCAATGGAAGTGTTTCATAAAATGACTTCGAATTTATGAAATACATTTACTACAATGCTTATACCTAATATGATGAATACATTAATGTGCCTCCAAGCAATTATCAAAATGAGATTTGGGATTTATTGGCCTGGGGTGTATAACACTAAGAACCAATGGGTATTGAATTAGATTAACCACTTTAGCTGTGAAATTAGGAGAATTGTATAGTAATACTTGCGGTGCTAAAATGCCTGAATACCTAGCAAGGTTGGTGGCCAACTTTTATAAATGTGAAGTTGGAGAAAACAGTAATCAATAAGTTTATAGTATATCTAGGTTCTGAGATTCGATAGAGATGGATTAAATCATTGGAAATCGTGAATGACATTAGTACTCATAAAGTGTATTCACATACAAACGATCAAGCATTTGTGTCCCTCTAAGATGTCGAGTTCTTACATGTATTGGAATGCAAATAGGAGTACAAAGGAATATGCAGAGCATTATTAAATACAACTCATTCCTATCGTAAGAATGTGAGATACGGTGTAACATAAAAAGAATTGTTAGTGTGATTTAATAAGAGATATATTAAAAACAACAAAATTGATAAAAATAAACGAAGTTATTCAATAATAATTATGTTCTTGTTGTCATTTATTATTAAAAAAATCATTCTCCATCTTCTCCATTTCAACAGCCTATTGTAAAATGTGAATATCTTTATTGCCTTAATCTATTTCTTATTGAACTATTTCTTCATGATCAGGCATTATCGGAGGAATCATTCTGTCAATTATAGAAATGGCATATTTCACAAAGAATATTTGTAATCCAATAGTAAATACAATGATCGATGAAATTCCCCATCCAACATCAATTTTCTATTGCTTGCTGCTTGAATCATCATTAAATGCCAAAATAACCAAAGTAATCAGGGTCATACTTACATCATAGGCAACCTCCCTAATGAACAATTCAATATAGTAGATAGGAATAACATTGGCAGATAGTGAATAGAATCCCAGTCTCACTAATACTAAAATACCAATTTATGGGTACACTGTCAAAGCTACTAAGGAGATAGCTATCATAATCTTTTATAAGTAAGGCACAAGTGCGAAAAATTTAGTATAAGGTGTAGTAAAGAGTAATCCATCAAAAAATTCTCCAAAGTAATCATAAACCTATTTTACTCTTATTATATGGGGATTTCTTATCAATTTAAAAATAATTAATACAATGGCTACTAAAATTAGGATTGCAAATAAAATTGACATCAAAAAATTAATAATTCCATAACCATTTGAAAAGTCAGGATAGAATAAATTTAAGACAATACTCAATACGAGATCCATGAAAAATATTTCCACAAATATAGTCAACCCTTAACATCTGAAATATTTATGGACTTACTCAGCATAATATTCAATATCTGGATCTGGTACAAACCTATAAAAGAGTTCATTTATCCCAAGCAATACAAGCAAACCTGCAAAAACAGTCAAGAATCGACCACCTCCTTCAGAAAGCATTTAAGTATTGTATTCATAATATTGAAATTTCGGAGGAGCATCAAATTGACTGCAATCATTTTAAATTAGATCAAAAAAGTTAGGCATGAAAGTAAGATTAAAGTAATCCAAAACTGTGAATATCTATTCTGTGTTGTATCCCATTCTGATATTGATATATCTCAACATACTGATCATTTAAACGAATTCAATGGTTTTTCTAATTCTGCCTTCTCCTATCCTATAGTAATAGTAAAATCCTGAAAGCAAACCAAAAATGCAAACAACAAATAAAATATATGCAACAGCAATTGAAAGTTCCTTTTCTCCGCTAGTATAATAAATATAATAAGGTAAGGAAGTTGACAGTAAGTAGGATTCACTCTTATTAGTTTCTTCTAATAGTCGTCTATCTTGAGAAGTTTGATTGACTAAAGACCAATCAAAGATGTCCTATATTAATGATGCATTATTGAAGGTAATATTGGCCATAAGATCTTGTATAGTCAATTAATAATAGAAAGTAATTTGGATGGTCTAATTTCTGAATGAGGAAACAGAATACTCAAAAGGAATGAATGCATTACTTCTGTCATGCTAAATTATAATACCTTCATCATTGACTTCTTCAAATTCCTTAAACTTTAGAGATTCTAATTCAGGAATTATGATACTGGTGAGAGCACTATAATCGATTCCATCTTTCATAGGTCTTGAAAAATGAATATAGATAATATTGGTGTACACTTTGCTCCATTCAACGGTAAGTTGAGGAGGTGCTTTTAAAAAGCAAACATCAGGACCTTAAGGATCATAAAGAATACAGTCCCAATTTAATTCTATCTTGCAAACTTCATCGCATCCATCCAAAGGTTTGATATCTCCATCATCACATCTTTCTTATGGATGATGCAAACCGTCTCCACATAATAATGGTATGAGTTGACAAGAGCTACCATCTCTATAGTAGCCATCCGAACATAAGAGGCAATCTCCATCCTGGCTTTCACATTTCAGACATTAATCTCCCATATTACATGGCAAACAAGTAGAAGTCTCTTCATCCAAATAGTATTTATCAATGCAAGCATAACATGTCATTGTATCACAATCAGCACATGGAGATTAACAAGGAATACATTGATTACCCAACATGGCATTAGGCTGGTCATAGAATCCGATTGGACAATGAGAATAACACTTTCCATTTGATAAATAATGATCATAATTGCATCGTACACAAGTTTGTTAATTTAGACATTAAGAACAATTGGATGCACATTCTGAACATACATTATTATCAGGATAATATCCAGATGGACAACCTGGATAACACTAGGTGCCTAGTTGGTAAAACATTGTTAAACAAGTGTCACATGTATTAGTTGATGTACAAATTGCACAGTTGCTCAGACATTTGAAACATAAGTCGTGAGACTATGTTTGTTTAATACATCCATAACCAGATTCAATCTTACAATATTATGAACATCCATCTCCATCATCAACATTATTATCATCACATTACTCAGTATTATCTCTGATGCCATCACCACAATTAAGGATACAAGTATCTTTCCCTGCTTATGATCCACCTTAACATTAATATAAATTCTCTATTATGCACATTTCATTGCATCCATCTCCACCCAACACATTCCCATCATCGCACTTCTCATTTGAAATCTTGATTCCATCACCACATATGGATGAGCAAATGTTACCTACGCAACTATATCCAATCTCTATTTTGCATTATTTCGAACACCCATCTCCGTTCAAAGTATTACCATCATCACATTCCTCAGTTGATTTCTATATTCCATCCCCACAAATATCAGGAATAGCCTTACATTTATCTGCTGTAGTATCACTACCACCAGTACATACATAATCTGTATCTATTTTGCAATTACTGCACCCATCATTGTTCACAGCGTTTCCATCATCGCATTCTTCTCCTTGATTTCTGACTCCATTTCCACATGTTTTGCTACACACACTAGGTGTTCCAGAACAGACCCAACCGACATCAGTAACACAATCTGAGCATCCATCTGAAGATGTGTTATTTGAATCATCACAGTCTTCTCCTGCATTAATAATTCCATTTCCACATAATTTTGTGCAAACACTAACAGGATTTGCAGGTGTAGGTGTAGGAGGAGGATTTGAATTATCACAATCATAACCAATGTCTACCTTACAATTTGTACAACCTGTTGTTCCACTTCCTATATCACATTATTCTAGATCAGGAGCACTGGATTCCAGTTTCCCATTTCCGCAATTCTTAAAACAATTTATAGGTCCTGCTAGTGGTGTACAATAATATAAATCCTCTATAGTTCCACAATCAGCTGAACATCCATCTCCATCAACATTATTACCATCATCACATATTTCTCCTGTATCCCAAATATGATCACCACAAGCTAAATAACAAGTGTCCTTTGTGGTTGCCGTTCCCCCTGAACACTTGTATGTTGGTGAGTTAACAGCACAATTAGCACATCCTGGCCCTTAAGCTGCAATTGGAACAGCAACCAGATTACCTTCATCACAAGTCTCTCCTGCATCTCTCTTACCATTACCACATCGAGTACATACAGATGTCGCAGGATCACCAACATAATTACCTCCACAACTAGCACTAATCACACATGAGTTAGCAGCAGGCATGATCAAGAAATAGCCGGTGTTGCAGGCATTGCAATTACCATTAGCAATACAAGAACTGCATTTAAAATCACAACTTCGACAAAGATCTACTGTCCCTGCAGTATTCGATAATGCATTAGCACCAGCGGTACAAGATGCGACACAATTACCTTCATTCATCAATAAAGGAGATTTGCATATTAGACAAATTTAACTACTGAAACTATTCAAAGAAACCTAACAATCACCATTGCAATTCAAATAATTTGTATCAGTTCCATCCTCATCTACATAAACTGTATATTTATTGAAAATATTGATATTTGATAACTACAAATTTCCACTAGAGAAAGAATTCAAAGAACTTCCTAGTATTATGGTATCAGTTGCACTTTCTTAATAGGAATTACTTAAACTAGTAGTTTGATGTGCTTAATAGACACCTTTCTCTAAAGTTATATCATAAATGATTTGAGATTATTCTGTCAATGACCCTGGATACAAAATAGTACAAGTAATATGATGCCAAACATTAGTATTGTGTAAAATGAGAGCTGGTTGGAATATTGTAGTTCCAATCTTCAATTTAGTACCAAGTTGAGCTGCATTTGCTTAATAAAATAGTAGTGTAAGCACTTCTGTTGTACCTTGGTAATTCCTTTTAAACACTTGCATATCTTTAGTTAAATCTACATTGTCTGCATCTCCTGATAAAACAGCTGTTGCTTTAAACCAAAGAGCTATTCCAAATATTGTGTTCGTACTCCCGAATACTACTGCTGGCAATTTTACTGTTTATGTTGATACAAACTACAATAAACCAATGGTTGTTCCCCAAGTAGGATCACTGGTTTAAACCGTATTATCTGTTCCTAAAAACCCTTACTTTGTCATATCAATTTTATTATACACTACTTAACCTGTCATCTCTTCTAATCTAAATCTAGCGAACAAAGAAACTGAATAGCTTGGATCCAAGAACATCAAGCCGAACCAATTATGCTTATAATCTAGTTCAATGTAGTCCTTCAAAATTGATATAGATCGAACTTAACCATAATGATATTGATAGGCTGATCCCCAATACAGGAGTTACATCACTGCCAACGATGTCAATGAGGAGTGAAACCCAACTGCTTCGGTGATAGGCAGAGGATTCACAATTACATTAGGAGATGCAGGTTAAAAGGCGTAATAAACGACTTTCCCTTTAGAGTATGACAGTCCAACTGATCCGAAACACCATTTCTACTCCAAATATGGAAAAGGGGAATTCACCATAACACTTGGAGTGGAAGCTTTTGCGTATCTGATTTAAAACTATGTTGTTTATGTGTAATCTGCTGTATAATACATACCTAGTCGAACTCCTTGGTTAGTAATCAGACTTTCATCAGAGGTATCCATTGAAATTCTAAATATGGCTTGTTCAGGTTTAGTGGGTTCAGTACTATCAGCCAGGTTTGTATGTTTAATGGGTGGTCGGAACCACAAGCTAAATATAATCTTTATATATCAACTTGATCATAAACGTATCTAAGGTATCAAAAAGGAACGTTGTAGGATCATTCGTCAATTTAGGTTGTAATTAAATGTAATCTGTTGTTGCTGCTGGTGTTGTTCCCAATCCAACTATCACATCTGTTGCTGATAATATTTCTTAGTAATATGCTGCTTTCTTAACTCCGCAAACAGTATCATAAGGTTAAGAATTTACTGTATATGCTATTAGTAATACTAGTAATATCATTTTATTAAATATATAATAAACTCCAATGATTTTAGGATGGTAATCGAATAAAATGTAGTTTTGAAATCAAAATACTAAAAGCGATAATCTCTATATCTCAATTGCTGTTTTAGAAGTTAACTTAAATGTTATTGATAAACATTTGCTAAAAGTAATCGATTTTTTTAGATCCTTTTTGAGAATATTTAATATGGTGCAGATATTTAATATGATGCTTTTACTTCAAAGATCAAATACTTATGTAAAATAACAAGAAATTTATAGTGCCAAATCCAATCTTACTTAAAACTTTGAATAAGACACTAAAAATGAAAGAATAAATCTAGATGAGAAAAATTGAAGTGAATGTTGTATTTAAAATGTTATTATATATTTCATAAGAAATATGGTAAAACATTTTTGGGGGGTTGACTGGCAGCAGATTCTGGGACTTCTTTGAACATTACAAAGTCTCTTTTCAAATTTTCATCAAGAGAAAGCATAGAAGCTGCATTACCACATCTGTAGCAATAATTTGGGGCTGACCATACAGTTACAAGTTATTCCTATGATAAATTATGATCTTACCTCAAACCAGTATTAGTAGCCATCCTAAACTAATTGATGTGCACGAGCAATTAATTCTAAGCCATTAATATGATTAAAATCATGTGTCACCTTTTTACCAAATATCCAACCTGCTCCTCTTGTATTTAGTGCCCAAGTATCTACTTCTTCTGGATCTGACCACATCAAATCACAAAATGGACCTTCATGAGGAATTTCAGTTTTTCGATCTATTATAGAATATCAATCATCCTTACCTATTGTTCTTATTTAATCGATTGTTCTTAACTCTGGAGAAAGACCTCCATGAACACACAAGACCTTTCCATCTACCAGAGCTCCCAAAGGAAGATAGTCGAAAACATCTGTAAAATATCGCCAAGGATTAGCATTCCCGTACTTTCTCACAATTTCGTCATAGAAACCATAAACTTAAGTAATTTGTCTTGATTCATGGTTTCCTCTCAATAATGTAATGTTGTCTGGGTATTTAAGTTTCAAACAAAGCAAATACTCGAATGTCTCGACAGAATTGTATCTACAATCAAAAATCTAAAATACCCACGATCAACAAAATCCCCAATAAATATATAGTTGGCATTTGGTATCTACCCTCCCTTATTGAATAGCTCCAACAAATCAAAGAACTGCCCATGAATGTCTCCGCAAATTATTACTGGGGCTTTCACCTAATGAACATTTGATTCCTCTATAAAAATCTCTTTTGCATGCTCACAAACCAAACGAACATCTCTCTCTGTCAAACAACGAGCATTTCTTAAAGTTTCTAAGTATTTATCGATATCCATTTAAAATTTTAAATTAATTCTCTCGTATAATAAATCATCTCTAATATTTATAAATATTCAAAATTTATAATATATAAAACTTAACCTTATAATATGTAATATAACAATATCCATTATGCTAATTAAATGGATTTCATATTTTACTTTCCAATAATTCTAATTTTAAATTACAACATTCCTTTAATTTATAAATGATTCTATAGTGATTGATAACTTTGTATGAAAGAATTATAGAAATATATTTTTTACATAAATCTAATTTAATATAAATTATAATCTACTCATTCAGCATATTAATCAAGAAGAGCAACTTACGCAAATTTCATTGTTACAAATTTAATTAAACAAGTCATCTACTTCTGCATGTTTCACAAAAGGATTTTCAATAACGGATTAAACCTTTTGTAATAAATCAAAATTTTAGTTGGTTTCCACTTCTTATATTACAGTTTAGAGAACAGTATTTGTAATTGTATATTTAGGATTCATCTATTCCATTATTTAAATGCGATTTGCTTAATTCGTTTCAGATTTGTACTACATTACCCAATCAGTCCATAACAAGGATATGATTTTTTATCTTTCTTATTCAGATATCACTTGTAATTTATCATACTCTTTGTATAATTATATTTATTGCTGTAGCCAATTTTCATCGATTCCAAACATATATAACAGTTATCTAGATGAAGCAGCATATTGAATAAATTAATCAATTTATTATTTAGCAATTTTTGGTTTTCTCATTTGCAGATAAACCTCTCTTGGTGCTGAAATTTAAACCAATTATTCTACAATCTTAATATCTTGTTGATTTAATTCAACCTCTTCATCTATATAATTTTGATGTGGTATTTCAATTTATTGTAAAATTTAAAATACCTTTGTAAAATTAGTACAACTCTAATGTAAAATGTCGAAAAAGGAATCCACCAAAATACATTAAGATTTTGTGAATTCCATTTAATTTTAATCAATTAAACCGAATTTTCTCAGCATAATATGATAATACCATTTTTTATATTCAACCCAATAAGAATCCTAAATAATCTATTTGCTTTGATCTTTGGGAATTACATCTTCCAAAGCTTCGCTCAATCTATTCAAATTCCACAAACACACTTAAGGTTAATTAGCATAACTATATCTGCCTTCTTTATCACTGTTGTTGCAAATATGATTTTTATTAAAATAATCCATAAATCCAAAAGGTCCATAGTCAATGGTTAATCCTATAATGCTCATATTATCTGTATTTAAAACCCCATGACAAAACCCATAACATTGCCAATAAGCAACTAATTTAGCTGTTCTATTAACAATTTCTTAAAATGGATTTTCTTTATCTCCAAAGTATTATTTCTTGCAATAGTCCCAAAGTTGAGGTATGATTGTATTTTTAGGATTCAGATCGATTTCTACTTCAAAAGATCCAAATCTTAAGAAAGTTTATGCAATTCTTAAAACAACTGCGCAATTTTCTAATATAGGATGTCCATCATAAAATATATCCCTCTCTGCTTTTGAATCTGTAATTACAAGTGAAGCAGCTCTAGTTGTGGGAATGTTTAGATGAAACATAAATTCAGAACATAAATATTCCCGAACTGATGATCTAATGACAGCCTTTCCATCAGCAAATCTAGAATAGGGAGTCAATCCAGATCCTTTTAATTACAATTCATATCCATTTACATCTCCTAGAGTAATCGCTCTGCCATCTCCTAATTACCCTGCCCAATTTCCAAATTGATAACCACAATAACAATGAGCGACAGGTCTTGCCAAAGTAGGTACCAAGTTACCAGCTAATATTTAAATATTCTCATCATTTTTAACATCCAGCTCTACATTGATCAAAGAAAAAGCAGATCTGGAATGGGCTATCAATCTCGGATTTTCCTTTTATTCTGGTGTTACATCACTGAAACTATATCCAATAACCTAAGCGCTATTAAGTTCTAATTACCTTTCTAGGTTTATTAATTTTGGAATCATCAATTGGAAGTTGACATATCTTATTTTCAAAAGGTAAAGCTTTTAATGCACTTATTATATTTTTCATTAAATAAAAATATAATCTTAAGAAATTAGAAAATCGATTTTAAAATTTAGAAAACCTTCAAATTTACATTCTTTTCCTATCATTATATTTAAATTACAAAAAATATTCAATTTATATACAAGTGGATGGAATTAAGTTGAAGCAAATAATAAATAATAAATAAAAAATAAGAAATAATTCAAACTTATATTAATAAAGTGCATAATTATATAATTTAAATTTAAAATGGAAGTTGAATTACATTAATAAATCCCTCCATAACTCAATGTACAAGTGGCAATTAGGGTTCGTCCTTTCAATGAAAAAGAATTGAAGTAAAAAGAAGGGGTGTGTTTGGAGACATCCGAAAAATAAGTAACTCTTCTGCAAAGCGCTCGTTTGTTCACATTCGATTATGTTTTTGATTAAAATGCTTGCCAAGAGTAAATCTATAGAAAGTACGCTTAGTAATTAATCATAGGTGTGTGAGCAATTTGGTTTAGAGGTGCTTTGAAGGTTATAATAGTACCATTCTTGCGTATGGGCAAACTGGATCAGGGAAAACACACACTATGGGTACTACAGGGATAGATTGTTTGTCAAGTATCGCAGATTATCTATAAAGATAAAAATAACTTGGGGATGATTCCAAGGGTTATCACACACATTTTTGAAGAAATTGAAAAAATAGACTAAGAAATCCTTATTTCATGTTCATACTTGGAACTATACAATGAATAAATAATTGATCTCTTGTTGGAGACTTCAATATCCAGTTAACCTACTATCAGAGAAGAGAAGGATCATACAATAACAATATTAAATTTAACTACAATATTAGTAAATAATCCAAATGAAATGCTTTAAGTATTAAATAGAGGAGCTGTCCATCGGACAACTGCAGCTACATAAATGAATATGACAAGTTCTAGATCACATGCAATATTTACAATCTACTTTAAAATAAATCCTAAGGACGATTCTGAGGATGGTACCTTAAATGCAAAATTTCATTTTGTTGATCTTGCAGGAAGTGAAAGATTGAAGAAAACTTTGGCCTAGGGGAAAACAATGGAGGAAGGAATCAACATAAACCAAAGCCTTTTAGTCTTGGGCAATGTGATCAAGACTTTGAGCGATTAAAAAAAGAAAAGTTAAACTCATATTCCCTATAGAGAGAGTAAATTAACTAGGTATTAAGTATTTAATAATAATAGAATATTGTAAGATTCTTTGGGAGGTAACTCCAATACTTGTATGATAGCATGTGTGTCTCCTGCTGAAAGTAATTATGAGGAGACTCTTAATACTTTGAAATATGCTTCAAGAGCAAGGGAAATTTAGAATAAGCCAACCTAAAATAGAGTAACTATATAATTAATAATCATAGGATCCCCATGCAATTTAAATTTTAAGTTTGAAATAGGAGATTGCAACATTAATTGAATAAAATAAACAGTTTTAAGAATTGCTTCATACAAATGGAGTTAAATTCGATCAAATTAAAAAAGTGTCAGTATCACAGTATTCTTCAAATATTCCACATACTTGTGAGGAACATCTAGAGATAATTCAAAAATAGAAACAAGCCTTACTTGTATGGGAACGTCTTGGATCTCAGCATAAATTGGAGGTGCAAAAATTACAATCTTTAATTAACGATTTAGAAATAGAATTACATAATTTAAAGAAGAAAAAAGATATCATTTTTAAACAATTCTAAGATGCTAAGAAGTAAATCACTATGTTAATTTAGAATTCTGTAAAAGTTTAACATTCCATTCACTAATTATGAAGAAGATGATGAAATTGAGGATTTGTATGACGAAGTTGATAAACTAAAATAAGAAACAAAGGAAAAAGATTATAAAATTCTAACTATGTAGAAGGAAATAGATGAGCTATTACAGGTAGTTTTTATTGTTTATATACTAGGATAGGATGCACACAGAGATCAATACATCTTGTGTAAAAAATAGAAGGAGTTGATGGTTCTTCAGAGGAAACTTGAAAAACTAGATACAAGGGATAATTTTGAATCTCCAATCTAAGATTCAGAAGTTGATGAAGAAGTAATTTGTAATGATTCCATGATCAAAGAGGCTAATTAACAAATTGAGGAGTTTGAAAGCAATTTATAGGTTATGACAATTAGAAATTTTGAACTTAAACGGCAATTGGCTGAAGATATGAAAAAGGAATTTCAATAACAAATTTCTGTATTAGAGGCTTAAAAGTCTTCATTAATGAAACAAGTAAATTAGAAATAGGATGCTACTTAATTGAATGCTTTGAAAGTTAAACTATAGGAATATGAATCCAAGATTGGAGAGATGAGATAAAAAGAATAAAATATGAGACAGATGTAAAAGAGATTGGAAGAATAAGAAAACTAGGTTAAAGATTTAAAGATAAATATAGAAAAAATGAAAAAATAGAAAGTAGAATTAATTAAAAAAATGAAGTCAGATAATGAAAAGTATATCAAGGATAAAGAAGAGAAATAAAAAGAATTGATTTTAATTAAAAAACTTAAAATTTAACAAGAAGCTGCCTTAAGTAAGTTGAAAAATGAAAATTGTAAAAAAGAAGTACTTCTTAGAAGAAAGGAGGATGAAATATTAAAGTAGAGAAATGAGAAAGTTATTGAAAAGGGGACAGGTCTATCATTTAAGAAATCTCAAAAAGTGTAAGCTTATGATTCAATGGAGAAATAAATAGAATCTTTATTCTCTTAGTTGATATCTGGAGGATAGGCAGAAATCTAAATATAAAGGGAAATCATCAAGTTGGAGTAGTTATAAGAGGAAATAAGTTAAATAGAATAGAAAATTTGTTAGTTATAAATCAAGAGAGAATAAACATCATTTGATTAGAATAATAAAAATAGTTTAAATTAGATAGAATTAGAATTGAGCGATATCATAATCATAAGAGAAAATATAAATGAGACAATCGATTATTAGTTGCATAAAATAGAGTAATTAAGAAAGAGTTGCAATAATTGTAATGAAATATATACAAATTTCTTGACCAATTCAGAATTGAGAGAACTTCCTAATTGGTGTATTAGAACCTTTAAATTTGTGATTGATAATTGGATTAAAGATCATTTGCAGATGCAGAATTTCAGCTAATAGAATGATGAATTTTAGCAAATAATTCAAGAATTACAACAATAACTATAAAGGCCACTTTAGGAGACGAATTGCAACTCACCTACTCTGAAAAAGAAGATTGTCAAATAACAAATTTCTTCTTAACCTAGTGATGCTTTGGAACTCAGAAAGTAGCTTAATGATCAAAAAAGAAAGTATTAATTCTTATAGAATGAAAATAAAAATATGATATCGGATTTAGAATACTATAAGAAATTCTACACAGAACATATAAACAAAACATAGAAGGATAAATGCATAGGTTTAAATGATTAGGCTTAAATTCCCTAGAGTTAGAGTTATCAGTAGATAAGGGATGCTTATAAATTGGAAAGAACCAAACAGAAGGAATTATCCTTGAATTTAAGTTTTTAAAAGCCATACATATAAAATTCTGCTCTCAAAATGGCCAAAGTATGTAAGTCAGAAAGAGAGGGATATACTGATCCACTTAGTTAGGCATAAGAAGAATAAGAATTAAGATATGAGTATTAAATGATTTTTATTTAATAGTGTAATTAAATCAATACCTGGCCATGAAAATCCCATATTGTGTGTGTACACAATGTAAAACCTATTATGTTCAAGTGCTTTTAGATCTGTAAAGATATGGGATATGGATGCACAATCTCATGTTGTATCTTTGGATGCAAACACTCATGTTAAATCGATTTGTCATTGGCCTGAGAGGAATGCAATTGCAGTATCTCACGGATCCTAAATCTCATTGTACGATGTGACTTCGTTTTAACTATAGAGTGTATTGAAGTCGTCAATTGATGAAATAAGAGTGATGACAAGACACAATGGCTTATTAGTTGCAGGTGGAAAGGGCATTAATTATGCTATGAATGTTTGGGATGCAAGATCAAATAAGTATTGATAATGATATTCTTAGTTAAATTCATGAATTTGAGAAGTCAAGTGATGTTATGTGCATACAACAGTCTGATTAGACCTAGGAGTTAATTTGGGGAACCTTCAATCACAATGTGAGGAAAATGATGATGAACAGTAATAAATATGGTTAGATTGCATAAATGACACCTCCACATTATGATAAGGTTACTGGAGTTGGTCTACTTGATAATTGGATAGTGAGTTGTTCCTTTGGCAAAGGAATGAGGATGTGGAACTAAGTGAATGGTTAATAAGGATAAGCAAATTCTGATATCCATAAAGATTCAATCTTAACTATGGCCAGTATAATTATTGATTTATTATTATTAGTTGACAAAACCCTTAAGGTCATGTATACTGGATGTAAGGATGGATAAATTAAAGCCATTAGGATTAGTGAGAACAAATTCTAACTTGTTAGTGATATTAGTGCTTCTGTCTAATAAATTAATTCTCTAAATATCATAAATGATAGTTCACTAATTGTAAGTGGTGGACAAGATAGAATGATTAAAATATGGAAGCCTTCTAAATTTACTTTTGATTACTTAAAATAGTTTACTCCAAATATTGGGGATTTCATTATAGAGGAAGATCAATACCTATTTAGTTGACTATTATTTATTTGATATTATACATAACAATTTAGATTATGCAAATTAATTATTGATTAATTAATGTTAGATTGTTTCAAACAATATTTACAATTAATAAGAATATTATAAATTATTATTTTTAGCAAATTTGATATTTATTAGATAATTCAGTTTTAAAGTAAGTTACGAAAGTCTTCATGGCTTCTAACCCATTTCTAAGAATTTTATTAAAATTTACCTTCAAGAACTGCTCTTAATTCATCTTTCTCAATATATCCCGATACATTTTTATCAAATGCCACAAAAGCCTCATAACATTTTTATTTCTCCTTTGCTGTGAGTGTATCTACATTAACTTTTTTTAGATCTTCCATATTTATAGACATTTCTAATCGCAAAAAAATAAAAATAATTAATAAAAATATTAGTTGGAATTCAATTCATTTTAAATACATTAATTAAATAATTTATGCATTTGAGTAATCATTTCTTATATACTTACTTGTTATCTCAATACTATTTAAATATATATAAACTGAGTAGAAATGTTGAAATTAAGCAGATTTATGATAAATCTCTTATAAATAAATTTATAAAAAGGTAATAATAATTCAAAGTTAAAATGTATCAATATTACAATTCGCATGTCCATATTGTTTGCAGGCCAAACAAATTATTTAATTGTTTCCTTTGGTTTAAACTGGCACAATTATTCCACAATCTTCAGCCTTATGACTAGTTTTCCCACAAAATGGGCAAAATGTCAGTCTCAGTTTAATCTAATAATGATATTTAAATGAATACTTTACAATCATATTTTCGATGACCACTACGATTGCATCGAAAACAAGAAAAATTAGTGCAACTCTCACCATGATGTTTTTCACTCAAACAATAAATGCATTAAACTCTTTATTTTTCAGTACATTAATTTTCTACATGTCCAACTTACTTACATCTGAAACAAAAATTAAAGCAGTTTTTTTAATAATATCTATTTAAACCGATTTCTAGTTCTTATTTTAAATTTTATTAAAAATCTGTAAGATTAGTTCCTTAAACAGAGTCTTCTTTTTTCTCTTCTATAGTCTCTTGTTTCTAATTAATGATTTTTGATAGTTTTTGATTCAGAAATTTGTTTGAAGTAGTTCTTTATTTCCCATCGACTTAATATCTGACCTAAATATCTTTCTTTGAGGGGTGAGAATCAAGCACAAAATCTAACATTTTTGTTTTGTTTTTATCATGCTATTATTTTTCTTTTGAAGGAGATGTTATAGATTATAAGCTTTTGGATATGCTTGAAGAGGATGAAGAACTATCTGAGTAGGAATAATCACATTAACTTTTTGCTGTTCTTTTTCTATTAGATTAGTGGATCTAAATAGGCTTGATGAAAATATTCTTGACGATCCCATCTATTGCTTAACTTTTTTTTACATCAGCATTACTATTGCCATTCTTGGAATTATCATTTTTTTACTACTGTGCATCTTCAGGATTTTCTCCTTAATCGACTGGATTTAGGTCTAAATAGATCATTAATGTAAAATAATAAATATCAACTATTTTAATTTAAAACAGTCTTCAATGCTAAATAATACAAGCAGACTAATTTAAAAATATAATATTATAAAATTAAATGTTAATTTATTAAACAAATTAATATATAATATATTTAATCTTAGCTAATAGGATAATTAGATGATTATCAAGCAGTAGGTTTAGCCAAAAATAAAATAGTCCTTTTATAAACTTAATTACCTAATATATTTTGGCAGCGTTAAAGCATATAAAATGGCAATTATTGGCAAAAAGTGATAGAATAATTTTTTATTTTATTACAGTAATTGATTAGGTAGTCTCTATTTATTGAAATTTTTATTTTATTAAATTTAATATTAAGGTCATTGACTTTAAAAATAATCAGAAATAACTTCTAAATATCGTATATGTATTAAAGTATACCCGAGTAAAAATATTTAATTTTAATACAATAAACATCTCTTAGTTGAAGATCTAATATTAATGAAAATATATGTTTCATACGAGAATAACAACCCTCCAAGTAAAATTCATTATTGTTGCAGATAATAAAGCATTTTCCAAGATTTAGTATCTTACATACTAAACAATTTAATAATACTGGTTAATTTTTATAACATGTAATAAATCAATTATATACACTGTTATTATAAAATTTATAAATTATATATATATTGATTGTTGAGTCAACATATAATTATTTATATCTGATTTTAATGTCTAAATTCTGTTACTTTAATTTATAATAAATGATGGTATATATTATAATGAACTATTTCTATTTATGTATTATATTTAATTCAATGAAAATATTCATCATACAAGTAAATAAACATCTTTACCAATATTAAATTATCAATAAATTCAATATGGGCTGCCCTTCCAATAAATTTATCCAATTTTCTATGATAATAGTAATTAATACTTTTTAGTTATTAAGAAATTAATATCAAATCGATCTATTTTTCCGCATTTTGATAAAATGTTTGATACTGTTTCATTATAGGCCTAAACTCTTTGATCGTTTGAGTTCTCAATTTTCTGGATCAGAGCAGAATGGAAAGGCACATAATGATCTTAAAATGAAGACATCAAAACTACATTGTCAAACCAATTTAATCCTTCTGCCTTACTCAAAGTATATATGTAAGTGTTTTTAATATCTTTATGATCTCTTTAACTTAATTCTTCAAGCGTCTTGCATTTATTCCATTTTTGAATCATCATCAATCCAGTATCCACTAAAACACTTTCTGATGAGGCATATCCACAATGAGGTGATCCAAGACTGACATAAGTATGCATAAACTGTTTAAACTCACTCAATTCAGGAAGTGCTGCCCTTATGATTAGGCCTCCAAGGGAATGCCCAATAAATGACAATCTAAATTCTGTTACATTTTCATCATTTATAAAGTTTGAGACTTCGTTGGCTAGTAATTATGCTTATTCCTGAATTGGTTTATTTGAAGTTCCATCGTTGCATGTTGGACAAATCAATCTAATTTTATCCTTAAAACGAATTGTCAATATGGATTTCCAGTATCTCATGTCATAGGAAGTACCTTGATATCCATGAACTAAGACGACATAGTGGATAAGGGAATTTTGAGATTTCTGCATAAATCCCTTTTAAAGACAAGTATGTTTGAAAATAAATGGATTTGCATTTAGTGGTTGGAGCAATTCGGCATATTTAATTGCATCAAGTTCTTAAGAGTTAATTTGACTTCTGTATTGTTTTGCTTATTCATGATTGTTTCTTCCGTTTAAAAGAGCCTGATCTAGTTGTTTAACTTCAGATTTATTTAAGAAAACGCAATTTTACCACCTTTACATCATTTGACATAAATATTCCTATTCCAATTAGTCTTAGAGCTTTTGATGGTTCTCCTTGATTGCATTCACGAGTTCACACCATAACATATACATATCATGATGAAGATCATGTAAACTCTATTGATGGATAAGAATATACTTGTATAATTTAATCATCTATTTCTCTGTCATTTAAATCAAATTACTTTTCCTAATATTTTAACTAAGTGAGTTTCTTTTCGTTCTGTAGACTATCAAGTTGTTTGACTAATTATTTCCTATTATCCAACATCAAATATATAGACTAATTTAAAAGCTCTTATAATTTCTCTTACGTTTGGAGTTCTGCAGCTAATTACTGTTTTGTAAATGAAAATTGAATTGGAATTGTATGGATTTAAGTTTCTAATAAACAAAAGTGAGCTGAATCAAACTCAATAGGATAATAAGCTTAATTATAAGTTAATGTATTAGAAACTGTTAAAGTGGCTCTGGATATGATTTGCATTTATTATTTAATTGACAATGCAACTTCCTTCAAATTATCGACAAAAAGATCTCCTAAAAGCTTTTTATCTAGAAACAACAATTCAATGACGATTTCAATATTTTGAGTTTCTTATTATCGAAATACGCAACCAATATTAGTAGGCATTTCTTCATCCTCATATCGAATCAAGAACCCTTATGAATAGAAATATTTATCCTCTATGTTCTCTTCGTAGAATACAAAATTTTTATCGACCTCATTAGTAGTATACGGATCACGTCTTATTGAATTGAAGATCAAATAAGGCTAAGCTTCTGGCTATTTAAGATGAAGAGAATAAATACTATTTGAACTCTTATCTAATAGATTCCTTAAGTGAAGAGATCAATGTTTGTGAATTTCTTAAAATGAATTAAAACCTCAATCTGTGATTTCATGTTAATAATATTTATTATTAATATTCATTTGTCTTAGACTGTCTTAATAAGCCATTCCATTCCTTCTTGTAATCCTTCCTGGGTTTTAGCTGAACATGCGACAATCGACCATTATCTATCTGTAATTTTATTTAATTTCAAACTATCAGAGATCTGAATTAAGTAAGCATACTAACCTCATCTGCGGGAAGAGCTTGCACCAAATCTTATTTATTTGCAAATACCAAAAGGGGCACCTTCTTTAATTCAGCCTCTCCTAATAGTTTGTCCAATTCCTTGCCTCCCTCTTCCAAACGCATTTAATCTGATGAATCGATAACAAACACCAAAGCATCTGTGTTTTCATAGAAATTGCTCCAATATTCACGTAGTTTCTATGATGCACTAAATCAATACTTCTTGACCTCCAACATCCCAAACATTCAATTTGAATCCTTCGTGTTACAAATTTTTGATATTAAAACCATGTGTGGGAGCAATTTGATTGATGTCCTCGTTAGACAAAGCCTTCAGAATAGTAGTTTTACCGGCATTATCTAATCCTAAGACTAGAATTCTCAATTCCTTTTCTGACTTTTTGATCTTTCGAATGATATTCAACAATCCCTAATTTTACCATGAACACATACCATTCTTAAAGATTTGTTTTAATATTTTTATTTATTATTTATTAATAAATCATGGATATAGAGGTTTGTCTTCGCTGATATGAGAACTCGACATATCTGGGTGATGCACTTGGTACACCTATTCCTTAACTCTAAATTCAGATAGTACTATATTCATACCTTCCACTTGCAGCATCTCTTGCAGCCACTCGTTTCTTAGCCTCATTGATCTCACTCTAAGTAATGTTCGTATATCTCTCGTCAGCCCACATTGTATCAGGTCTCAAATTGTCTCTATGTCCATCAGCCCAGGTCTTATCTGAAACATCCTTTGCTGTTCTGCCCTACGAAGAATATTTGCACTCTAATTATACCTTATTGTAGGGAGAAACCTCCAAAACCGAACGATATTGGAGTGTCTGGATGGCTTCAATTTTATCTAGTTACCTCTTTTTTTCCTTCAATCCTTCCAAAGCCCATTTGGGACAAATAGAAATGATGTTATCAGCTTCTTCTTGGCATTTAGTTACTCCATTTACATTTTAACATCTTTTGAAGGCATCAATTTATCTAACGCATCCTCTTGGAAGTGCTTAAGCTCTAATTGCTAGTGCTGTAAACATTGGTGCATCTCTATTGAATTTAGAATTAGTTATTACTTTCTTGTCTACCATCCGTGATTTCCAAAGTGTTATTCACTCAAAGGATCATAATGAGTTGGGAAAAACACACTCCAATTAACTCTGTTAGGATATGGATCAGGGAAGTAAAATCCATTGCCATTTCTTATACCCATACCCATTCTCTTTTGATTTGGGATTTATTGCATGGCAAATGGGTTATATGGTGCAATAGCTCTTCTCCATTTAGATAAAGTGTTGTTCAGAAGATTCTTCTTGACATTCAAATAAGGATAATTGGTTTCATAATATTCGATATCCAATGGCTATCCATCTGGGTTGTCACTTGACATGTATAAAGATTTAATTATTAATACAATTTAAAATTTAAAATAAAAAATGTGCAAACATATTCTCAATGCCTAAGTTGCCATCAGAGCCCAATGTTGCAAAAAGTATGATATTAATTATACATCTATAAGATGGTTTGATTGTGCTGACTGTCACTAAGAACTGGAAGATCATCCATTATTAAAAAATATTGAGATGGTTTTCGCTTGTAAGAAATGCAAGAAAGTTTTCCGCAAAGACATCACTGATTACGATGAATCAGATGAATATTGTCCACAGTAAAAATAAATCAATACCTTTATAGTTGTGATAATCATTATGTTATCAAAGCAGTTACATAAGAATCAAAAGAGATTCAGAAATTCGAGAATTTAGTTAAAGAAGTCAAATAATGATTTAATATATGGTCATCTATTTATCTTAATTATTCAAATTTTTCAAGTCAAGTTTAAATTATCAATCAACATAATTATTCTATATTTACAAACATCAATATTCATAAACTTCCACTACTTAGATTGTCTAATAAACTGATCAATTTTTATTATGTTCCATGATGTTACTAAAATATTTAATATAATAGTGTATAAGAATGTTCATGTAAAATATTAATATAAATCATGGATGTTTATGTATGAATTGCAGATAGTGCTTAGAATGAGATATCTCAATTAATACTCTAGCAATATTTCTAAATTTAAGGTCGATTATTTTGAATAACAATAAAGTGCTATATATATGTTATAATTTTTATGTAAAATCCCAGGAGTTCTTCTACTTATTCGATCAATATACCAAAAATGATTCCACTTTCCTAGGTGACCCTTTATTACTCCCTCTCTCGCTTCAAATTCCAATCTCCAGTCCGCACTTACCTGTAGTTTTAATTTGCATACTTTTAGCAAAACCAACGAAATCAAATAGAGACAATAGCTGCACTAAACTCTAACAAATAAACTTATGACTCAAGTAAGCAAAGGTAACAATTCTCACTCCAAAACATTAACCAAATTGACAAGACGTACTTCATCATATGTAAATGATAAATATTAACAACTATGGGAATCGCTTAAATTTAAAACTATTCACGAACCCTATGATGTGAACATGCTACAAGAGTTTTTTTATGATTTAGTCAAAGAAGAAAACTTCATCAACATTGATCGCTATGAATTCCCTGTACATAATAAAGCTGATTTCACTCATTTTAAATCATATTTCATTACGGTTTTATTTCATGAACGAGACTTGAATAAATACTTATTTAAATTAGAATCAATAAGAATGTCTCATTTGCGATTGTTATCCATTAATTAAGAATTGAAAGGCTTTTTTGGGTTAAATCAAATCTTAAAATCTCTATTTGAGCATTTAAGAATGGACATCACTTTAAAGAATTATGTCAGCGATTATGAGAGTGTTAAGGATATTTGGTTAGAGGTCTCAACTAATATATTGTAACCGTAGGATGACAATTAGAAATTACATAAGTAGATTCGAAATTATGCAGAAACAAATAAACTTAATCATGTGCATTTCTTCAATTTTAAGTTTCTCCTGTATAAGGTATTGCTAAAGCATAAGATTTCAATGAGAGGGATCAAAAAGGTCTTGAAATTATTAGATAATTGGAAAAGCACTGTTATGAGATGCGAACGCATTATGGAATTGATTCTTTGCAATTGTACTAAAATTGCTAAAAGCTTATAGATTAGTATCTAATGTACTGTATGGTAACTGACCAAAAGCATGAAACTATTCAAAGAAGAGCGATAGAACTTATACTAGAATATTTATACGACAATGATCATAGATCAATTAAGAAATGTGATTTGCATTAATACCATTATGTTCACCAATCAATGCAAAAAGTGATATCCAGATTAAACACATCTCAAATATTAATACAAGATTTCCATTAGGATCTTGATTCAATATTTGTATAGAAATTGCAAATTAAGAAGTAATCTTTAGTTGAGTTTGGAATATAATTGCAACAGATTCCCTTTTTTATGTAAATATACGATGTAAATTGTGTAAATGATATTTAGGATTATGAAGTAAATGCCCATCGTTTATTGGAAACCGAACTTGATTTCATGTTGAGTAATCGGACCTACTTTAGATAAAAAGAGATTGAATTGATTCATAAAAACATGAACATCTCGCATGAAGTCTTTGATTTATACATCATGGTAGGATATTCACTATATTATTCAAGAGATTATAAGATACCCTCTATGGAGTACCAACGAAAGCCATAATAAACAGAATAAACTAGTATCGAATGTGGGTTGTTAATGAAAAAATAAAAACGAATGAAATTTATTGATATTTATTAAAATTATGTTCCACTTGTTGCTTATTCTAGCTGTTGTTTAAGCAAGAAACAATTATTAAAATGATACAATCAGAATTCAAACTCCGGGTTGATATTGCTCTCTAATGTGAACAATACAAAAACATTTTTTATTCTTGTTTTATCACATCATCAGCTTATCCGACATATAATGATGATGTTGTTATGAATTAAACGAATTCGATCATAGAAGCATATTAAACAATTGAATCCCCAGAAGTTAGATATGAAATTCAAATGAAAGCTAGTAAGAGAATCAAAATTGATGCCATTCAATATTGCATCCTTCAACAAACAGGTTTGACAGCTTAATAAGTATTTAGATGATTTTAGATGTATGATGAGTCAGAAGTGGGATAATTCAATGTTACTTAATATTATTATTTGATGAATGACTTTGATTTTTCATAATATTAAAATCAATCTGCCAAAATTACCTTTGATGAAGCTGAAGAATCAGTTTGGAGAATCATGGAAGTATTTCATTGATTTATTTTAAGATTTCTAAGCAAAATGGTGGGAAATTATTGGCTCTTCTTAATACCCTGATTATTTGGAGTTTCCATACGAACCTAAAGTCTTTGGTCAATCAATAGACAAATAATCAAATCTTTCGAAATTGAAATTTGCTTCAGTGCTTTTAGCATTTTTTGTGATCATGATTAAAGATACTATGAATATAATCATCATACGATAAAGGATAGCCATAAGAAAGTTGAATAAAAAGAAAGAAAAGAAATCTAAAAAGCAGAAATGAAATATATTATTTTTAATAAATTATCAAATGTCTATTTGTGAAATCTGTTTTATAAGAGACAAACTTATTATTTGGTATTCATTTTCAACTCAAAATTAGTCCTAAATGCTCTAGAAATGTTTGTTCATTGTGCAGTAAATTGTCAGATTGTGATCTTTGCATTCTAATTGAAATGAAATTTGCATTTGTAATATCAACCACAAATATTAGCTATATCAACAACATAAATCACAAACTGAAGAGCAAGCATATCAATTATAATAAATTAATGAGAAGATAAACACTCTTAACCAAGAAATTTCCTTAATTTAAAAGGTAAGCTCACATCTAGATAAACATGAAAATAAAAAAAGTGATTCCCTAGAGTTTTAAATGAGTGAAACAATCATTGATAAACAACATGAGCTTGAAGATATTGAAGGTGAAATTGAAAACTAAAAAGTAAAGTAGATTGATTTTAGTATGATTTTAGTTGATGAGGGCAATGAAGAATTAAATGCATTAAAAAGTTAGCAATTAAAATTATCCACACAAAATAAGGAGTTGGACTTAAAAATCAATGAAGCAGAGAAAGAATATGAGGTGCTTCAAGAAACTCTGAATTTAAAGAAATAACAAATATATTAGATCTTATAAACTCTGAAAAATAAGACTAGTTTATTAAGAGGAAGCTAAGAAGAAAAACATTATTCTTAAAGCAATTTAGCACTAACTCTTCCTGGGAAGTAACAAAAGGCTATTTCAGGAGAAGAAAAATCATAAAATCCAGGGTAATGCAATTATTAGATCTATATAGATTATGTGCCGGATAGTGTGTGGTATAATGAATTTAAATTAATTTATAATTTGATAATTTTTACTCACTTTTTCTTTGTCTTAGAAGTGGTTGAATTAGTTGATTTGTTAATCGAAATCGATTGTTGTGGTGATTAAGCCATCGTAGGCATTTTTTCATTGACAATATCTGCATTTTTAGCAACATTAAAGTCAGCCAGAGCTAAATATTAGATTTCCCAAATTACCATCCATTATAGCTGATTTGCCAGCTGTCAAAACTCCTCTCGGCAATCTTTTATCAGGACATGCTCCTTTAAGTTAAATTATGCTTTCGCTTTATTCTCTCAAAGTCTTTTGCATTTTTATCATATTAGCTACAAAAAGGATTTTCTTCTTCAATTTTTCTGTATCTTTTCAAATGAATATTAGAATTATTACTTTTGGCATTATTGGATCCAGTGGTGCTTTGCTTGTCAAATTACTTATTTTATTAAGTCAATTCCTTAAACTGCTTGATATCTTCCTCATTAACTTCCTCATCATCAACTTGATCTCCAACTTATAGCAAATTGTAAAGCATTTCAGTTACTTTTTCGGCTACAAACGGAATAGACCATGTAAATATATCCATGAAGTTTGGCAATAAATATGGATGAGGTGTATATTAAAACTATTAAATATTCAGAGTATTATTCTTGTAATTAATAAATTAATGCAATTACTTCAAATTTAATTACAGCACCCTTATTATTGTAAACATCACAGTAATTAGGTGCACTGAAAATAGTAATGACAACAGGAAAATCTTTCCCTCCATGCCATCTATGCATTTTATATCCATCTAATTGAGCCTAATATAATTATATTGGCTTAACCTCATGAGCACGAATGATAGATATCAGATTGTTCTTCTGTAAGAATTTGGAAGCTGCATCGTTTCCAAAAAACCAACTGCATCCTCTCACCTCATTTCCTTTCCATTAACCATCCATATTTCCTTAATCTTAATCTACTGGGTCGCTCCATAATAGATCACAAAACAATCCGCTTCGAGGTGGCTCATGATAGCGATCCAATTTCTTAATATCTTCTAACTAAAATGAAGGTCATCATGTACAGATTTTAAATCAGGAGATATTCCTCCATGAATTGCTATAAATTTTGAGTTGATTATGCAAGCTAAAGGAAACAAATCAAATGAATCCATCAACATATCGTAGGTTTCTTAATCATACTTGTAAAGACCTTTGTAAATCATTCTAAGTACATTCATCTTTAAAATTAAAGAATGCTGTCAGCTATCTACATTCGTGGTTTCCCCTCAAAAAATATACAGTATTTGGATAATTCAGTTTTATTGCATAAAGCAGAATTATTACTTCTATAGAATAAGATCCCCTATCAACAAAGTCTCCAAGAAACAGATATCTACACTCAATCAATTAAACTTACTTAGTTGTCTCTGGATTCCCTCCTACCTTAGGCTCCAAGAGTTTTAACAAATCATAGTATTATCTAATCATCTCTTTATTCATACCCATGAATGTCTCCTACTACTGTAAGTGGATCTTGCAAATATATTACGTTCCCTTCATTCTCTACAGATCACTAACTTTTATACTTAATAATTTATTGCAATCTCCAACTAACTTGTAAAGGTCTTCTTTAGAAACTCTTCCTTCTTTCTAAAGATGATCCTTAAGCAATTTCCAATCAGGTTTGTCTTTTCATATCAAATTTTTACGTACTTTTCAATTTGTCTGGGAACATGAGACTCTTCATTAATGGCCTATGAGGAGGAGGCTTTAGAGTCTTTACATGTCTGTCATTCGCTGGGTCTTTCAGAGTGTCCATTTTATTAGTATTAATTTCTGAAATTAAATAAAAATCTATACCTTCAGAAATTGCTAACGTAGCTATAGTTTATTTGAATAATTACTAAGTAAGTTTTAAAATTTAAATCTCATAAAATCTAAAATCTGAATTTCAAATTGATATATTCATCTATAGAGTAAAATTCATAACTTCAATATGAGCTTTGCGATGTAATAATGTTATAATTGTTTTTAAATGGATATAATTAGCTTCATTATCCATTTAAATATATTGCATCTTAAGGAAAAAGATAAATTTAGCTCTATTTAGCCAAACATTATTTCTTAAACTAAGAAATAATTGATATTGATATATATATTCATTGACTCATAAGATTAATTATTTAAGACTAAAATAATTGATAATTATTTGTAAAATAAACTGAAATATCTGTTAAAGTATAATTTGATGCTTCCTATTTAATCTCTTTCAGAGTTTATTTAATGATTTATTTCAATTTCATTTAACAAATGTAAATTTTTGAAATCATGAAATGATTTTTTATTTTATAAAATACTGTAATTATGTATGATTTATCAATTTTCAGAAAAATAAAATAACATAAAAAATTCATATAGATTAAATTTCAATTAGAAGTAAAAATAGATTAAAAGTTACTTAATCTAAAGAATCTGATAAAGATTAAATAATTAATTGATAAGGATAAAGTTATTTAAATTTTTTAGTCCAATTATAATAGAATTATATTAGATTTTAAAATTTTAGATGAGTTAATTTTATATATTTTAACCCTATAATATAATAATCATGAGGAGCTATCTGAGTCGCTTGAAGAACTACTTGAAGAAGTCTTCTTCTAGTTTTAATTAGGCTATTTTTTATCATCTGATTGTGAAGAAGAAGAGGAACCACTACTGCTGCTACTACTAGAGCTTCCACTAGAAGATGAGGAGGATGAAGAATCAGACGATGAACTTGAAGTGCTTTCTTTCCTATTTTATTTTCTTTTCTATATTGATATATCTATATTTTACAGGAGTTTTTGATCTTTTGCTATATCTTCTTTTTGAATGTCTCTTTCTAGAGCTTGATCTTTTGTGATGTCTATCTGATGATCTTTTTCTTGATGTAGAATGCTATTTCTTCTTTTTTTCTCTTTCAATCCTTTCTTACTTTTCCTTTTCCTTTTCCTTTTCTCTCTTCTATTTTTGTTTTTACTTTTCTCTTTATTTTTCTCTCTCCCTTTCTTTTTCTTTCTCTCTTTCTCTTTCTTTTTCTTTTTCTCTCTCCTTCTCTTTTTCTCTTTCCCTCTCTTTTTCCCTTTCCCTCTCTCTTTCTCGTTCTTTCTCCTTTTCTCTTTCCTTCTCTCTTTCCCTTTCTCTCTCCCTTTCTCTTTCCTTTTCCCTCTCTTTTTCTTTTCTCTCCTTCTCTCTTTCTTTTTCTTTCTCTTTTTCCTTCAATTTTTATTATTCTTGTTACTAATCTGAATCTTTCTTTTGTAATTCTTTATCTCTATCTTTATCTCTATCTTTCTCTTTATCTTTATCCTTATCTAAATCTTTATTTTCATTCTTTTATTTATCTTCTCTGTATTTAGCTCTTGCATATTCTTCCTTTTACTTTAATTCCTTTTCCTTTTTGATTTCTCTTTACCTAAGCTTATCTAACCTCTCATTTTTAATTTTCTCAGTATAATGTCTACTTTAAAATGATAAATTACTTTTATCTATCTAATCCAAGACTTTAACATTTAATCTTCTTTCCATCTATAATAGCTCTATGCATATATTAAGTGGCTTGTGAAGCATCGCCCTCATCATTATAAGTAATAAAAGCAAATAAAAGTGGAAGCATATTATTTTATTCATCAAACTACATCTCCACATTAGTTAACTTCCCATAAGTGGAGAAAATTTCGTGCAGAACATCTTGAGTGACATTTCTTGAAATATTCTAAACAAGCAAAAGATTCTTAACTTTCTTCTCCTTAGTCTTCTCTTTATTTTTTTTTTCTTTTGATTTTTCTTTTGATCTTTCTCTTGACTTTTAACTTCTAGATTTTTTTTAATTTAAATCTTTCACTCTCTTTTTCTCTTCACTCGAAGAAGATGACCCTGATGAAGACGAGGAATGAGATTTCGGCATAACAATATTTAATATTAATATAATAAATTAAATCAATATTAAAATTTAAAACACTTCTAGGAAAGACTAAGATCAGGATAAGAGTTAAGAGTATAATTTTGAGTATGAAATTCGATATTTTTTAACATATTTTATTTTATTGGAAAGAGCAAGCATCCTTTTTGTATCTCTATTTTTTTATATTTGTAGTGGTTCGATTAAGTTATATTAAGGGTAATTGAAAGGAAATAATAAAATATAGTTTCTGGAGAGCAGAGTGTGATTTATAACTTGCAATGACTAGTTATTTGTATTTGAAAGCAATGACAATCAACTTAAATGATATTTAGTAAATAATTAATTAATAAATGATTTGTGATGTTCTAAAATCCTAATAATAAAGTGATTCATGAACTCAAGATGGAAAAGTCTTTATAAATGTGAGGATTCGTCTTTTTCTCCATAAATAAATATCTCTTAATTATGCAACAATTGCCAGCTCATAAAGTTTACGAAGTTTAAGAAAGTAAGGAAACAGCAGATGCTGTTGCCTATGCATTCCTATCAAACACTGGTGAGCCTGTGCCATACCCATATAAATACACTAAAATTGCAGACGATGATGTCAGAATTAGAATTTTATTTACTGGATTGTGTCATAGTGATTGTCTTCATTCAAGAGGATTGTGGGATCCATACATGTATATTTAATTTCTAAAGTTTAGTACATACCCAAGTTGCCCAGGACATGAAGTGGTCGGATCTGTAGAAAAAGTTGGAACAGGAGTCACAAAATTCAAAGTGGGTGATAAAGTTGGATGCAATCCATAAAGATGGATGTGTTAAACCTGTGAGCAATGCAAGAAAGGAGATAATTAATTATGTTCATAAAACATTGGTTTATATGATGATAACAATTTCGGTGGATATTCAACTCACATCTAAGTTGCTGAAAGAATGGTCTTCAGAATTCCAGAGGGTAATATAAAATATCATTCTTTAGGATTCAATGATGCTTTGGGTTCTCCCTTATTATGTGCTGGTGTTACAGTTTATGCTCCATTAAAAAGATTTTACAAACCTAATTATACATGTGCCGTCATTGGTATTGGTGGATTGGGACATTTGGCTGTTTAATATGCAGCTAAATTAGGTATGACTGTCACAGCCTTTACAACAAGCAAAAACAGAGAATAAGAAATTAAGAAATTAGGCGCTTCAAATTTATCCAGTTCAATTGATAAAGAAAGTTTGAAAACAGAATAAGGAAAATATGATATTGTCATCAACACCCTTTACATTGAAGATGAAGAAGTCTTCAAAAGCCATCAAAGATTAACTGCCCCAACCGGTACCTACATCTAAGTTGGAGCTCCCCCTTCAAAAGTTAACTTCAAATTAGATCATGCTTATATCATCTTAAATTAAATCAGAGTTGCTGGTTCCTTGATTGGTAGTTATGATGAAACATAAGTATTTTTTATTATAAAGTCTAGGAAATGCTTGAATTTTCAGCCTAAAATAATGTTTATCCAATTGTAGAGACTTTTGAATTCGAAGAATTTCCAAAGGCTTTTGATAGAATGGAAAAAGGCCAAGCCAAATTCAGATGTGTAGTAAATGTTGGAAAATGGGCTTAAGCTAATGGTTTATGGAAATGAGTTTAAATCAATTATAACAACAATATGCAAATTAGATACAACTTTTAATATTATATACATAGTAAACTCTGGTTCAAAAAATACCATATATTTATTCATGAAATCATTTCTATATATGGATGACAATTGTTCTATAAATTTAAATTTTCTCACTTTAATAAGTATTATACCTTAGAGGAAAAAATTTAAAAAAAATTATTTTAACTAAAAAATGAACTTCATATATTTTTTTCTATTCTTACTCGTTGAGTAGAAGATTCAATTAATTTAATATTATTCTATTGAGTTTGTTCGCTTATCTGTGATAATTTTACAATTATTTTTGAGCTTTTAAATCATCACCTGTTGCCAATTATTAATTCCCATTTTTTGCGCTTCTCCAAAAATGCCAATTTGTGCTCGAACGCAAATTACGTAGCCTCTTGTTTACTTACTCTTTATTATTCTTATAGGTTATATATGGTTTGAATAATAAATCTTGTATGGCTAAATAATAAAAAAATTACAAAATTATAATTGCTTTAAAGATTGATAGAATAGAAGGGAAGAAAGAACATAATATTTACGACAAAAATAAATTATCTGAAAGAGTACTAATGTTGAGTGAAATAGATTTTTATAATATCATCTTAATGTTCAAATTGAAATAAAGCATCTTTTTCTATTTTTTTTAAAAATGAAAAATATCTATATTGTAATTTATTTAAATTCCTAATAATATAATGGTAAAGATTTGAAACTATACGTTTTTGCTCTTTTTTGGGTAGCAATTTTGTAGCTTTATATCATTTTTCTTTTAGTTAAGCATAATAATCCATTTCCAAGTAGTTCCTTCATTGATTAGGATTTAAATCAAGTAATATATTTTAAGTATAAAATTGTATATCTTCAAAAAAAATTCCATCCTTATTATTTATCAACTTTGTTAAAATTCATCCAGAGAAATTTTGGATAATGTTGGAAAAATATCTAATCCATAAGATAGTTTACTAGAAAGGTAGATTTCTTTTAGCACTAAAAAATATGTAGAATTTAAAAGTAAGTTAACATGTAGATTTATAGGAGCTTAATTTCATTTTTTAAAGATATTCCTTTTTTTAATAATTTCTATATTATGCTGAATTTTTAACATTTTGATTTTATCTATTAATAGATACATACAGAGTTGAATTCATTGTATGAAAACTTGAGTTTAAAGTTCGAATATTACTTTTAAAGTATGTAATCTCATCTTTCAAAATGATAAATATAGTGCTTAATATGATTTAGGAATATTAGAATGTATTTCTAAGAGTAAGCAATCTTTCTCATCCTAAATGTTATTTATTTTTAATGTTTTAGTTGACATAAATATTCATAGAAAATTGACAAATAATAATTGTTTAGGATTTTATATATTTTACATATATTTATTAAAATGTTCAATATAAATATTATTACTAGATTTAATACAATTTAATGGTTGATTGCAATATTTGCTACTGTAATTATAAAGAAGAAGAATGCTACACACTTCCAAATTGTCTTCATCAATTTTGCAAAAGCTGTCTATCTGAATAACTAAAAACAAAAATATAATCTCAATAAATAGATTTATCTGATTTTAAGTGTCCCTAATGTGGTCGACTATTTAATCCTGAGATTATTGAGCATTTCCTATCACCAGAACTATATAAAAAGTATTGTGATTATGCATTTCAATTTAATAAAATAATGGGATTAGAGGATAATGAATTACTCACAAATTGTTTAAATGAAAAATGTATTGAAAAGTTTATAATATGGAAAGATGCAGGTGTATTAACTTAACATAATTGTAGAATATATGTAATGTCCCTCATGTAAAATGAAATTTTGTAGAAAATGTTAACTTGAATATCATGCAGATAAGGGAATTTCATGCGAATAATAAAAAGAACTACATAAAGATTAGTTTTATATTGAAATGAAGAAAAATTTAAAAATATGTCGATGTCCAAAGTGCAATAACATGTGTGAAAAGATTTCTGGATGTAATTTTATGTATTGCAGATGCAAGACAAACTTTTGTTTTCTTTGTGATGTCGAGCTAACAGAAGCAGTAATAATTAACTTTATAAAAGTACCATTCATCACATTTTTAAAAAAATGATCCATATAATAGCCCTTGCAGAGTTTGGTATAATGGAACTTGGGTGGATCCAGATAAAGTTCCAAAAGTTGAACCTGTGAAAGAAGAAGCTAAAGTTGTTTAAGTTATCCCAGTTGAAGAAAAAGAAAACAAATTTCCTTGTCCAAACTGTGGTAGTAAAAATAAAGACGTGAGTCAACTTTAATTTTTCGATAAGGTTGTGTAATGTTAAAGTGTCAAATGTTAAAATTCAACATTTTGTATCTCTTGTTAGAAATCAGTGTCTAATAATGATATAATAGGTCATTTTAATCAATAGACATTATTATGCAAATTTAAATGAATATTACAACACAAATTTTATGTTTAATAATTTTCATTCATTATTGAAATTCTATCATATATATACCTAAACATAATAGAACTTAAATATAAATAATAAATAAAACTACACTCAAGAGTAATTAATTAAAAAATTATTACAGAACTCCATGGTTGATTGCATTATTTGCTTCTGTACTTATAAAGAGTAAGAATGTTACACGCTTCTAAATTTTCTTCATCAATTTTACAAAGAATGCTTATCTGAATAATTAAAAACAAAATATAATCTCAATAAATATTATCTGATTTTAAGTCCCTTGTGATTGACTATTTAGTCCTGAAATTATTGAACATTTGTATCACCAAGAACTATTTCAAAAATATTGTGATTTTGCATCACAATATAATTCAATTATAGGATTAGGGGCTAATGAACTACTCAAGAAAGGTTTAAATGAAAAGTAAATTGAAAAATGCTGTTGAATTAACTTAACATAATTTGAAATTATGTTATTTCTATCTAGAACTTCGGTTGACCCAAGATGGAATAAAAGAGAATATATTTTAAAGTTTTCGGCACTTAAAAAAAAAGTACAAGACTCCTTTTCCAAATTGTGGCAATACTTGAAAAGAAGTAGATCAACTTGTATTTTTTGATAAATTCATCAAATGATTAAATTAAAAATTTTGCGTTTGTTGTTAAAAACAAATTAAAATAAACGACATTTCTAAAATCAATAGACATTATTATGCACACATTTATGTGAATATCTAAATATCTATTTATTTATTTATTTATTTATAATATTAATCTTTTAATCGTAACAGTTTTTTCCTTTAATATCAAATTTTCAAACTAAGCAGTTTTTTAATTTTGTCGTGCTATTCATTTATTCCTTTAGATTTTCAGATACTATAAAATTTTTATTTTTAATTTCTAATTTTAAGCTTTCCTGAAAAGTGATGGTCAAAACCCACCTCATAACGAGATTTTCTATAAATCCTCCTTTGAATTATTTGTTTAAAGGAAAATTTCAGATTATTCATCTTTATATCCCTACAAATGCATCTCATATGATTTCAATTAACTAAATTACAAAATTGGCTTAGACAAAATTAAGATTTGTGTATCAATAATCTTAACTTAAAATTTATGGTCATAAACCTTTTTTGAGTTATTTTAATTTATTTTTAATATAACTATACAATTAGCATAATTATATGAAGATTATAGAATTTCAAGTAAGTGGGAATGAACTTTTATAATTAATAAATCTATATTTTATGATTGGGAAGCTTACTTAATTTATATCTCTATATCTCGAAAATATCACTTCTTAGTAATATTTAATAGGATTCAAACTATTCATATAATTAGATGTTTTATATGTGAATTTAAATCCAACTTACATGAAGATACTTTGTTTTAAAGTCTTTATCAGGGAAATTTGGATTATTATTGGCCTCATATCTTCTATCGATCTTTGCAAAATTAGGGGCATTTGTATTAAGAAGAGCTAATCTCTACTATAATTAATTTTAATAACTTTTCCAATATTAAATATATCAGAATGATGAGCCAATTTTTTGTTTTTCTTTATATATCCTTTTCATAATTAGCCTCGCTCCTCCTTGATCAAATCTGTTTAATAGTCACAAATTTTATTTTTGTACAAGTTGTTTCCTTATAAAACAACTAATAATCCGGTCTCTACCACAACCGCCCTCACCTTTATTTAGGGGGTTATAGATTTAAATTATATAAAAAAATCAATATGAATTAATTAGAATAAATTTTAATAGAATTCAATGGTTGAATGCAGTATTTGCTACTGTAATTATAAAGAAGAAGAATGCTACACACTTCCAAATTGTCTTCATCAATTTTGTAAAGGTTGCTTATCCGAATAACTGAAAACAAAAATATTATCTCAATAAATAGAATTATCTGATTTTAAGTGTCCCTAATGTGGTCGACTATTTAGTCCTGAAATTATTGAACATTTTGTATCACCAGAACTTTTTAAAAAATATTGTGATTTTGCATTGCAATATAATTCAATTATGGGATTAGAGGATAATGAATTACTCACAAATTGTTTAAATGAAAAATGTACTGAAAAGTTTGTAATATGGAAAGATGCAGGTGTATTAACATAACATAATTTTAGAATATGTGTAATGTCCTTCATGTAAAATGAAATTTTGTAGAAAATGTTAACTTGAATATCATGCAGATAAGGGAATTTCATGCGAATAATAAAAAGAACTACATAAAGATTAGTTTTATATTGATATGAAGAAAAATTTACAGGTATGTAAATGTCCAAAGTGCAATAACATGTGTGAAAAGATTTCTGGATGTAATTTTATGTATTGCAGATGCAAGACAAACTTTTGTTTTCTTTGTGATGTCGAGCTAACAGAAGCAGTAATATTTAAGTTTATAAAAGTATCATTTCACACATTGGTAAAATGATGACCCATTTAAAAGTCCCTGCAGAGTTTGGTATAATGGAACCTGGGTGGATCCTAGTAAAGTTCCAAAGGTTGAGCCTGTGAAATAAGAAATCAAAGTTGTTTAAGTGATTCCTGTTGAAGAGAAAGAGAACAAGATTCCTTGTCCATGTTGTGGCAATAAAAATAAAGATGTGAGCAAACTTGTATTTTTTGATAAAGTTGTCTAATGTCAAAGTGTCAAATGTTAAAATTAAGCATACTGCATTTCCTGTTAAAAACAAGTTCAGGTAAATGATATAATCAGTCACTTTAATCAATAGACATTATTATGTAAATTCAAATGAATATTCAAACATATTAAAGTTGAAATATTTACAAATATCAATATGGTTCTTTTTATTTCGTTGATACAACCCTTAAATATCTTCCTTTCCAATTAACAAAACACCCTATATTTGAAAGTGGCCTCACCAAAAATTATAATCTACCAAATTTTTATAAATAGAATTAAAACAATTTCTCTATTATTTAAATTTATAACAAATACTTTTCGATTCTTTAGAATAAGGGTATTAAATTAAAAGAAATGTAATCATATTTGATAAATAATGACCAAAAATTTGAAAAATTTTAGAAGATTTGTAAATATGTAAATGATTATATAATTCAAGATATTAACTACAAATTTATAAATTCAACAAATAGATATTTCATTCTAAATAATTTATATAATGATTTCCTTTCAAAAACTGATCAACATCTATAATATGTAGATTATCATCCATTCTTTTCATGTCTCTTAAATTTGATTACTCATTTTTCGCACTTATGAAATTACAATTCATAATTTCGCTCTCAAACCGCATACTGTGAAATTCCTCCTGATTTTCATCATTTTTATAAATGGTTTCCTTTTTATCATTCAAAATTATAGTTGATCCTTAAGTTTTAAATGAGACATCAATAAAAAGGGAAAGAGTTGCTTTATCTGTTACAAATGGCCTTTTTCTCCATACACAAAGAAAATCATGTCCGTTGATATTTTGGTTGAAATCTAAATTTTAATGACATTTAATTTACGCCTGATTTCTAATGGCTTATTTCTTTATCTACCCAGATGAACTCCCACACGAAAAATATTTTCAACGTTGTAAACTTGAAAATCAAAGCATCTAATATCGTATTTTATCGAATGTTTATGGTTCTTAAATCAATTTAATAGCAGTGTTAATACCTCATTAATTCTCTATAAATTTGTGACATTAAAGAATGCTCTACAATTCTCTCCAATCGTAATGGTTATTAGTCATTGATTTTTTGAAAGTATTCAGTAGTAAGTAATTATAGTTTCTCTTCATTAATAATTCTTCTCCAATCAGTGAACCCATTTAATAATCCATCTTTAGGTTCATGAGGAAATCTAGGATGAAAACAATAGTCATACCCTCCAAATTTCCAAGGAAATTAAAGATTGCTTAATTCTATGGTCTCTTTAATATATTCTCTTGTTTTAGCCTTGAATACTCTTAGCATATAATTTAAAAATTAAAATTAAAATAAAAATGAAACTCATTCATATTGCGAAGTTAATATTTTGAGATGTTTATCCCTCCTTATTATTTTGTATTAACTATTAAATTCTTTCGAAGCATTAACTTAATTTTATTTAACCTGATCATATTTCTTTTCCTTAATCTTTAGAGTGTTATAATCAAATGAATATTATCTTAGATGAGAATAGATTGCATCTGTTACTATTTAGACTTTTTACTTTTATTCGCTTTCTTTTTGTCTTGTACTTTTAACCAATTATTCAAATGTCAAAGGATTGTTCTGCACATGGTAATTATGAAAATATTGCAAATCAGTTTATTGAAATACTATTTATAATAAAATAAATATACCATGAAAAAATTATGATTTAGATATGAACAACAAAAAGCAATCTGTTTTCGCATCAATGGTTTCATTCCTTTTTCTGTCTGAATCAAATTCAGAATCCAAAATATCATAATAACCAACTAATGACCCTGCTTTATATTCTATGTTAAATGATAAAGTTCTTGTGATGGTTTGACTCATCCACTTTTTTTAATTCTAGAGTAAACACAAAATCTTACTATTGGCCATCTATTTTAGTCCTCTAAGTCCATAACTACAGTCTTTGCTAGAATCCCATGTTTAACTATATAAAGATGATCAACCAAATCACCAGCACTATATAAGTTCTCATTAGGAGTTAGATATTTGCCTTAAAGAGCATTGCAAAACTTTTTTAGTTTTTCCTCAGAAAAATGGGCAAATAATTAGAGACTTCTAATAAATTGTTCCTATTTTACACTTTCTGACTTCATAATGTTATTAAGGATTGTAACGTAATCAATTCGATTTAAGATTAGTAAATGAGATGAACCAATTGATTTCAATGTAGCATTTCTAGGTTAATCATTGTCTAAAGCATTTCTACCTATTATATTTTTAGGCCCCAATTTTTTGTTTTTTCCTATTACTTCAACGAATCCATCAAAAATTACAAACATGCAATCGCCTTTATCACCTTTATTACAAATAATTTCATTCTCTTCATATGATTTTGCAAACAATCTACCAGATATCTGCTTCAACATTTGCATGGGCATCAATCGAAAAAAATCTAGCTTAGCCAGATAATTAGCAACAACTTCTTTCAATTCTTCTGACCTCTTGAATGGACTTTAATATTTCAAATTCATACTCTTATTCACAGATTGAAAAGACTTTAAGATGATAATCGAAGTATTTAGATTTTCGAAGCTTAGTGAAATCTGTCCTTCCTTTTAACCAATTAGGGAAGTCATACTTATCCAATTATGCTGATTAACACACCACAGGTGTAACAGTATCAACGTCATAAAAATTCATAACTGTAGATGTTTTGGTTGGTTTCACATGGAAAATTTTTCTGAATAATTATAGTTTGGCTTCTTTAGAAGGAGAAAATGGTTTGTAGGTATTTAAGTCTTATTTAGGAGTTGAGAGTTAAGTAGTTCTAAAAGTTGAATTGGTAAGATGCTTTTTGGATTCGAGACTAACAGATCGTCTTTGGTTCATCGTAAATATTAAATTTTATTTTAAATAAAGACAAAATCTGTATTATAATTCTTACTATGCCCTTTTATATATCATTGTTATTTATAGTTACATATTCTTATAAAACATATTTATAGTAGAATGATTTGTTAATAACAGATTAAATATATTTTTGTAATAGATTATATATAAAAGCAAGAAAGCATAATCCTAATTATAAGATCATATACTAATTAAAGACATTTTGTTGAGCTCTATATTAAAATTGCAAATAAGTATGAAAAATTATAATACTTTATTTATTCATTACTCTTGAAAAGAAAAGTATTTATAAGATACACATAAATATGTTAATTTTGATATAATCATTTAACTGCTCAAAAGTTACATAGAGAAGTTAAATAAATATCCAAATGGGGGATAAAATCGAAATGAATTTATTTTATATAGTCTAATGTTATTTGAATCTTAAGTTAAATGAGGCCTATTTAATTATAAGAATCTACACTTAAAATAAGAAGACTAAGAAGTAGAATATTTCATATAAAATATTAATCAAGTGAATGTCTTAACCATTAGTGTTAATCTATATATTCTCATAATTAAATTACGTTAAAAAATGAATACGGTTTGCCAACAGAAAACTGCCACTCCTTGTAGGTTTGAAACTACACAATCGTATCTTCTTGAATAATCACCTAAAATATAATATAGAAGAGTGAATTCTCCAGGTTTACCTGATTGCTCTTTTAGAAGGAGTCATAAATCATCAGTTGATAAGCGAAATTACATGACTTTAGGTTAAATGGATATCTAATAATTGTTGAAACCTACACGATCACTTGAGGAAAGTCCTGAACAAAAGTTGAAACCTTATTATGTGAAAGGAGAGGACATCATCGATCATCATTAGCAATCATTCAATCCATAATAATATATGAGTATAAAGGAGGATAAGGAAATTTAAGTTGAAGAGTAACCATTTGAATCTCCACCAAAAATGGAAGTGTTTTCAAAACCTTAATTAAGAAAGGAAATGAAAATGGTGGATAAAATTGAGAGTGACAAGGTTAGTCTTGAGATATTCATGTCTGAATAGGACGAGAACTCTCTTATTTTTACAGGTATAACCAAGAAATTGGTGCCATCTCCTGAAGAAAATAAATAAATCTTAATGCAGAATTTACAATAATTATTTACATCGATTGACAAAAGTGCTAACTAAAATAAATTCTAAAATTACATAAAGATGGAATCCTTAGAGTAATCTGTTTTCCATCAGCATTTGAATAAATCAACTTAACAAGATTTTCTCTCTGTCTCATCTGCACAATCTATCAAATAATAAAAATGCTCTTCTTAAACTAATTTCAGAAGAAATTCAGCTGTTGCACCAAAATAACCATCAAAATGGAATAATTCAACCAAAGCTGATAAAATGAAAAACAATTGTTTTTCTACTAAATAATCAAAAAGTCCCTTTTTAAAAGCTTAAAATTAAAAAATGTCTATTAGTAAGCCCAAGTTATAGCAAATAAATCTTAATATCTAGTCTCCTCAAAAAATGCAGCTCCATAAAAACTAACAACAAGCTTAATAGAATAGATCAACTGTACAGAAAGTAAGATCTTTTCATATAACTCCTGAAAAAATAGATGATTGCATTTACGATGAAAGATTTTATAAATGATTTATTATATATGTATAACCATAATACTTCACTTGATTTAATAGCTCTTTAACCATTTTAAGACTCAGATTAATCCTGAAACTAAATTGAATAGAAGAACGAGAACTTCAAAATTCACAAATCCTTGTGATTGCTAATATCCAATTAAATTAGAACTTAGTTTCTTGGTTGATATCCAAACCTTATTGTGTTAGTTTAGGTGATGAAATTTATTAACACTTCCAATATGCCTTCTTTCTTCATATAAATAATAAAATAAATAAAGTAATCATCAATATACATCTATTGAACAATATTTCCAAGTGAATTTCATATTTAATTTAAATAAATTGATGTTGCTTTTGATATGATTTTGAATAAAATTAATCATAACATAAAAATTGAAATTTGCTTTGCATTATTATAAATTAAAATTTCCAACAGCATAAAACATGCAGATGAATTCTGAATAAACGAAATAGTTGAATGAGTGGAGATTGAAATATGTAAAGTTGAATCCAATATTACTTATCTTTATGGGTATGACTATGAAACTAATTCAGGATTGGTATTGATTGCATTTGGAATTGTATCATAAACAGTTGACATAGATTATGAATATATATCAACCAGATATGATGAAATTTGTGCTTCAAAGAATTCATGTTTTGTAAATAAAGTAATCAATAATTGTAGATCAATATTGATGTGCCATCTAAAATGGAATCTCCTGTATTTTTTTCATACGAAGTTTCCTCTTTCTTCTAAAACACCGACAAATATTTTAACAGCATCCCCTATGATTAATTGTATGGAGACTCAGATTTTGATACTTCAATCTGTGATCAATATAAAACTAATCAAGAAATGGGGAAAACTTTGAGTGTTACTGGAAAAGCTCTAGCACAAGATGACATTGCTATACCATGTGGCATAGCTGCATATTCATATATGAATGGTAATGCTGAAAATATAATTAAATTTAAGATGAGTTTTCGTTGAATAAAGATGGGAAATAAATTTCAATCACGGATTAAGGTATTTCATGGGAATCAGATAGAGAAAAATACACAAACATAAACTTGGATAAACAGTGGATTGACATGGAATCAGGTGATTATCTTCATTTAAATTAGAAAGATTTATAAATTGGATGAGACCATCTCCGTTAAGTAGGTTTCGCAAATTGTGGGGAAGAATCGATTAAGACTTGGAGCCAGGCATATATACAGTTAACATTCAGATTAGTAAATACTAAGATTGATTTAATATTAGAAACCAATGATGCCTTTGCTGAAACTAAGAAGTATGTACTTCTACACAATAATGGATAATTCTCAGATCCTATTTTAGTGATAACACTACCGTGTCTCTGCGTTGGTCCATTCTTGATTATTTTTGGGATCATAAATTTGATTTATTGGGGGAAGAAATAAAATTTGGTCAAAAAATACAGAATTTATTGATTGCCTTACTTATTCCCATAATATAAGTTCTTATTAATATTAATAAATTAATAACAAAAAAATGTTCACTATTTATACCTTCTTTGATCAAAGATTAAATTAGATTAAATTCTACTCTAATCGCAACTAGAAGGAAATAACAAAAAGCATTCAAGCGTTTGATCCCTAATGTATTCTTAAAAATGCATTAGGTTCATGACCTTGGAACATTAACAATATAGTATATTTTTTAATTCAAATTCAACCTACATTTCAATTTTTATGATCATCTTGTCTAGTTTAATACTTATTTATATTTGATTTAATCATCTGTAAACTTAAAAGGCACTTTGAAAATAATATATGTTTTGCAAAGATTAGTTTGTAATCAAATAGGTTTGTTATAGCATATTTATGTTTTTCTACAATAAGGAATTTGATCTAACTTATTGATCTCATCCAAAAAGTAAGTAGATTCGATTTCAATTAAGGAAGAGGGCGTTATCTTTTATATAATTCAGACAATTAATTTTAAGCAATTTGATGAAAGTGTGATTTCAATATGGAGAGGGCTTTAAATAAAAAATAAGTATCTATTAGAATTATAGGGAATCATTTAGAAATACATTTATTAATATTAATGAGTTATCAAAATCATTCTTAAAAGTTTCCATTTGATAATTCACTTCAATAAGGGTAGCCTCAAGCACCCACGTTTTAGTAAGTTTACCACTCTCAACAACATTAAATGTGTGGATTCGAATAATAGCAATTCCCATCCTTGAATCAGAATGGATATGGCTATTATGTATCGCCTCAAAGTAATATAGTTATTGTATGTTCAGTGCCATAATATTACATTCCTCCTTAACCACCAACACCTCTTGATAGTATAAGCAGTAATAGTATTAGTTTGAATGGTATTTGAATTTTTGTATTATCTATGATCAGAGGAGGGAACAAAAAAGAAGAAGGCGAGTAAGTCAGATAAATCAAAGAAGGACAAAAGGAAGAAAAGAAAGAGAGGTTTTATTGTTGTTCTTATTATTGAAAGGCAGTAATAGTAGTTCTTCTTCTAGTAGTAGTGATTCTAGTATTAGCAGTAGCAGGAGCCATAGTAAGTATGATTATATAATATATCTAAATCTTTTTGTAGACAAAAGAGAAAACATTTTACCTTTTTGCATAGTGAGGATAATTGGAAATGCAAGTATTGTTATAATATCAATTTCCGTCATCGTTCAGAATGTAACAGATGTAAGAAGAGTAGAGAATATGCTGCAAAAGTATTCATAACTTCTTTACAGTCTTTTCTTAGAATGAAAAAACCAAGAGGTATGTTCCAAATCCAGATGATTGGAAATGTTACAGTTGTGGCAATTTCAATTTTGCTCGAAGAAGGATGTGCAATAGATGTAAAAAAGACAAGTCATCAGCCTCAATACCATAATATTCCGATTGATATAATTAAGCAAACTGAAGTATTTTTCTTAGCATTTCTTATATCAAAAATATATTTATTGTATTTCTCATTCTGCCTACTTTCTATTTACGTAATGCATAGCCAAGTTCACTACAATTTGAGAAATTCCTATTAAGAATAAATTGTATCCCAAATGCACATATTCTAATTACGTGGCTTATATGATCACAAGTGCAATTGAAAGATTTTAAAAGCAAAAGTAAATCCCATACACAGGTAGAGCATCCTTATATTATTCCGAAATTGTTATTGCAGAATTGAATTAACCACTGATGTCAGCTAGTCCTCTAAAATAAACAATAAATTTACAAGAAGAATCCAAGGACTATTATTATTTTGAAACTATCAATGAATGATTCTACTAATGCCAAAATAACGATAATGCCAAGCAAATTTGTGTAGAGTGCTATACTTGTTTACGATTTTAAAGTTTTCTTAATGATTCCATTGATCAAAGCTCCAAAAGTTTAAGCAATTCCGACAAATAAATAGACTTCAGCTGTTTTCTCATTAATTGTCTATTCATCATAATTATTCTTTTCCAAAGATTTATTTATAAATTAATATAATAAACCATATTCGAATCCAATTATTACTCCAGTCATCCAGAATAATGGATAATATATGTAAGTACTTTTATCCAAAAACACCTTATACATGTCCAGAATATTTTATTTAATTGAATCTTCCTTTGTGTTAGTTTCTCTTTCTATTTCTGAATCATTCACTTTAGCACCACTCATCAGCATTTCCGTCTTCTATGGAGTTTGGATGAATAAAAATAGCATAGATAATCCCAGTTCTATAAAACCAGTCACCCAAAAAAATGTGGACCTAGATACCAGCTTCAACATTAACTTAGAGTAAAACCCACTTAGCATAGATGATAACCCCATTAGAATGTAGGTTGTACTAAACATTATCTCAGATGATTCTGCTGTTGCACATTGACTTACATAATAATTTTATACAACAAAGTATCCTCCTAGTCCTGCTCCTAAAATAAAAGTGAAAATTATGCTTATTGGACTTAGAATCTGAGGCTTACATATCCATGTGCTATCATCACCGTTTCGGCAATTTGTAAGATAACTACAATTTCTATTAAATTTACTCAGAAGCAAAAAAACTAGGCACCACTAGTAAAGCTTGAAAAGTAAATGCTATATTGAATTTTCTATTTTTTAAATAAGCAGGTGAAAGTATGTTAAAAAAGAATTCTGCCATATAGATTGCCAGAATCGAATAATTGCCCAAATCCACATAACCATTTTATTCAGCGATTTACGGTAATAATGCTGTCAGAGCTAAGCATAAACTTAAGTGCATCATCAAAATTGAATTCATGTAGAATAGTTTCCAAAAGTTCGTTGGAATTTTCATATATATCGTATTCTTTATATTGATACATCTAAAAATTTATTTACGGTAATTTATACCAAATAAATATGTATTATGAATTGAATATAAAAGTATAATACTAAGATATTCAAAGCAAATGCATAAATTCAACCATTTTTACAAAATTTAATAAGTGTATATAAGTATGATAGCCTAATAAATGAGTTAAAACTAGATTTTCATAATTTTATTAGGATACTATATATTATTTATTTAAAAAATTAATGTCTTAACTGAAAAATCAAAAAAACCCTGCAGGATACGAGAATAACTTTCATTAGAAGGGACTTAATGAATAACAACTAGTTAGTCACTAATCGAAAGTTCTCTCAGAGGAATCGCCCTTTAATGTTTCAAAAATATTAAAAGCAAAGTAATAGCAAAGCAACATTTTTCATATCCCTCAAAAAGATAAGATTTAGATTTAGGCTGGAGCTAATTAAAATGCTGAAAGTAGTATTTAAATTTAAATTAGAACTGCTTCCCTATGACATTTTTTGGTGGAATAGTTAAAATGTAAAAGGTAATCAAAAACCTGATCAACTCTCTTATTAAATCCCTAATTCTCAAATTATTCAAAGCAGACCTTAAACCAGTCCCCATTAAAGAGTTGAACAAGAATAAGTTCCTAACTATTCTGATCTAACAGAAGAATAATTTATATAAATGTAACAACATTAATACTAATTATTTCTACAATAACACTAGTAAAATTAATAACATTAATAAAACTAATAAAACTAATAAAACTAATAACAATAAAAGCATTAATCTAAATCATAAGAATAGCAGAATGGAAGATAAAAACAATAAGATCTCAATGTAGATTAAAAGCCAAATGCTTACAACTTAATGAATGAAAATAATTAGATGATATAAACTGCCTCATTCAATTAGAAACAAAAATCGGTGGAACCATAATCCTAAGAAAATGAAGTTAAGAAATAATAAAAATAAGAGAAACAACAGTTTAAAAAGGAACAGAAGAAATAGATTTTGAATTAATTACAGAATCCAGAGAAATTGTATAATAAAATTAATAATCCAAATATTGAATTGAAATAAAAAAACCCAAATTTTTCTGATGTATTTGGCAATGGATTAGAAAAATATTATCAATAAAAGCCTTAGTAGACATCTGTGAAAAGACCTCAATAAGATTAATTGTAAGAAAGTGAGTTATATGGAATTAATTATCATCAGAGGTAATTGTTGAAAGGCATGAGTTCATAAATGGACACCCATAAATATTATGATCAAATGTTAGATAAGCAAAATTAAAATCAAATTAAATTATAGCAACCAAAAAGTGCATCAAAATCACCTCAAGGCTCTCCGGGAAAAACACTTGAGAAGGATGAGACACTCTTTACTAAGAGTTTTTATACAGAACTAACAATAAGAGGGATGGGCAAAGAGGTAAATTGGGAAAAACTGACAAACCAACTCAACATTCATTAAATGAATATAGCAGATATTGATGTTGTTAAAAATAAGCAAGGGTAAATCAAGTAGCATAAGATTATAATAAAGCATTTGGATTCAGCAAATCTACAAAATGTGAAATAATGGGTAGTTACTCAAGGAGGAAGAATAGTTGAAGAAAAACAAATCAAGTAGGATGAATTTTTAAGACTCTAATAATTAAAAGAAGGATCTAAAAAGAGGCCATTAAAGATTTCCGAAGAAAAGGAAAAATTGAAATAATAATAAAGGAAGAGACCAGCCAGTGCTATTCCAAGTTAAAAATAAAAGAAATGATAAAATCTGATTTAATTTTGAAAATTAAATTAATCATTATGTTAACACTATTAGTTAAAAAAGAAGCGGGACAAAATTCTTGCGTTCTTCTAAAGATAAAAAGGGTAGCAATTTCTGGTAGTAGTTTTACCCATGTTTTTCAACATCCTCTAATGGTTTTGTATTCAATTCACTCTAATTAAACATAATATTACTTTAATAATATTTTGAAGGCTTATTGTGTTTTATTGGCTCCTAATACCTATTCTAATAATGTCCTTAATTGAAGTACTCCATTAGATTTTCCAAGGAAGGATAATTGACTTGACTCACTTACAGGTTTTACACTGTCTTATACCTCTTATTCTTCTTCTTCAACTAGAATATCGGCTTAGCCTTCGCTTTCCATTATTCTTTTCTTAGTTTGTTCAAATTATTCATCAACATCTTCTTTTTCAATTAGCTAATAATATAATTAGTATTTTTACAGCTTCTTCCATTTTTGCGAAGATTTTGGCATCTTCACTAGCATTTTTATCATCAGATTAATCAAATTTAATTCCATAGTCCATTTGTACTTCATCTTATTCTGTGTCATCATATTCATTTATATTTTCAAAACTTTCGATTTTTTACTAAGGTTATTGTTATTTTAACTATTATTGGGAAGGCTATTGTTATAATAATGGTTTTTAAATTGGTTATTTTTATTACAATGAGGGTGAACTAACATTGTTGGCTAATTTAGACTTTTTGGGATTTTGATCAAGTTGCGAATCTCTTTTAGTTTATGGAATTTGGTTGGTTGATTGTACTTGATCTACTTTCTTTTTATTGTCAACTTTAGCAAGATTAATAATGGGATTGTTTTTTGAGACTTAGATATTATTTTTTTTCTATATTTGATTCTTTTATGGAGTAAAAGACCTTTCTCTTTTGGAAGCTAGTGGTTTCTATGGTTATTGCACTTATTTAGGTTGGGAGGGTTTCGGAGTATTTTGGATGTTATTTGGAGTAGAGTTATTAGCTTTGACAAGAGGAACTGGGTTTTAGTAGATGGGTCCACTGGATTGTTGGTTAACTAGACTGGGAGGTTTAGGTAGATCGTCAAGAACTTTAATTTCATCTATTTTGGTAGCTATATCTAATCTCTTGATTTGAAACAATAATTTTACTTGATTATGCAATACGGTATGCGAGAATTCATTTTGTTGAATACTTTGACTCAGAAATTCTTTAATTCTTTTGACAATTAGTGGGAGTTCTGAAATTAAATGAATTGAAATTACTCAATATTTTATTAATAGTTGGTCTTCTGTTTGGGTTTGCTTATAGTAATTACTTGATAATGGCATTTAAGTCCTATGAGTAGATGGAGGAGATATTGGAGAAACTGCCTTTGCAAATTTTTAGACAAAGGAAGGCCAGACTCTCAGCTTCAAAAGGGGGTTTCAACATGCACATCTCATAAAGAACAATACCTATTGACCATATATCACTCTACATTAATTCATTTAAATACTGCGTAAGAATAAGGTTTAGATTCTATTATTTCTGGAGAGAGATAATAAGGCGTTCCAATTTAGGTTTTTGCATTCTCCAAGGTGTGTGACAGCACTCGGGCAATTCCAAAATCCCCCAACTTAATGCGATTAGTTTTGGTAATGAAGATGTTCTAGCATTTTAAATCTCGATGCAGGATTTTGCGATCGTGAACATGCTTAAGAGCCAAACTAATTTGGGTAAACCAATCCAAAATTTAATTCTCTGAGAGTTGCTTTCCATTTTAGTTCTTAATTATTTAAGCCAAGTCACCTCCTAAATAGGATAGGGAGATAGATTTACTATCAGCATACTCCATGATGATGCAGAGTTTCCCCTAGGTCGTAATGTACACATCTCTGAACTTGATGATGTTGGGATGCTGCAGTTATTATAGGACTTTAAATTCTCTGTAAGTCTCGATCTTCTCTTTTTCTGTCATCGCATTAATGTCGATTTACTTTTAAACCCATAATGAACTTACAATAAATCAAACCTTCATACCCATCCTTTACATCCTTCACCAAATAAGCTTTGCCATAAGCACCCTCTCCAAGCGGTTTGATTCTGCTGTACTAATTATATTGCATGTTAACTGCTTAATAATTATATATATATAATAATAAAAGTCTTTTTTGATTTTATGAAATTGTACTTGTCAAAGATTTTGGATAAATTCTGTCTTAAATTATTCAATCTTTTAAAAATATCTAATTCACTTTTAAACATCTGACTGTTAATATTTTTATTCGATGTAGCAACATTAATCTTAACCAATGATACCACAAGCATATCATTAACCTCAGAGAAATGCCTCCAATTCTCCTCACTAAAGAGTTGTTCCTCCTCTACCTCTCACACCCACCCACAGTCAACCTAAACAATATTATGACCAAGGTGATAAAGACAACCATTACTCTGCAGATATGAGACTTTAAAATAGGCAGTCCAGCGATCTCCCCAATGGATAATCTTACCAAAATATGACAGTAAGACTCCAAGCTTTGGAAAGAGAGAATTAGAGTCTCAAGAAATAACTAGAGAAAGCAAATAATCAAATTCAAATCTTAAGCCAAAAACTGAATCAGCATCCAACTCAAAGTCTACTTAAAACAACTACCTTCGAACTTGTTGTTCTTCAAAAAGCAGTAGAATAATTAGAAAGTTTGAAGAGTTTATTAGCGAAAAAAAAGTTGTAAGGAAGCAATAATTAAACAGCACTGCCTGAGTCTTTCAAAGATGTGGCCAGTGAATTTAAGAGCAAAGTAACATTAGTAGAAGATAGAGCCAATCAATCAGTTTAATAATCTTAGGTATATATATATATATTCATTTATCAAAGGCTAAGCTATTATTCCCAAAGGAACACTTAATCTAAAATTACTAATCCCATCCTCCCTGTATAGAAGAAGCTAAGGAAGAACCAAGACAGGGAAGAAGAATATTGGCAAACACCTAATCTGATCAAGTGGAGGACAGAATTAAAATCAGTCCAATTAAATATCTAAATGTTAAAGCCTGTGGTAATTAGATGTCCTTGAGAATATCTCCTAAGGGAAGGTCAGAAATATCATAGCACTGATTAGACATGTATATAATAGTTATTTGGTCATTAAATATTCAATTGTTTAGGTTTAATTCACAAATATTTTTATCACTAAAAAGAAATAAATTAAATTGATATAGTAACTCATTTCTTACTTTTCTTTTTTTTTTTTGACTTTTTTTTCTTAGCAAATGGATCAACTTTCATTCCAAATCCAGGGGGTGGCAAAGAGTGTCCTTCAGGATCCTTTAGATTTATTGGATCTGGAATCAATAATGCATTGACTAATTTTTAAACAGGAATAGCAACCCCCTTCTTAGCCAATCTCAATTTGATCTCTTCTATTTCCTAATGATTCAAAATAATAATTACTTATAATTGATCATAACGCACCTAATCCAAGGGTTATGCAGCCAATATTGCAGACAAGGGTCTCTTTTATTGCTGAGTTAATGGTAATTATTTTCCATAGATAGACATACTCTATTCAGGTTTGAGACGATTTGCTTCATCTTCTTCCTATAATCCTATGATGTTGCCATGAAGCTTTTTGACTTTGTTTATATTATGTTTTGAGATTTGGGATTCAAGTCCTCTAAAATCAGTATTATTCATGAATTTAGGTTCTTTTTAGTAATTAGGTAGTTTTTCATTCAAATTTCTAGGTTGACAAGTTTAAGGGCGTACTCTTTTAGGTTACCGCTTCTATCCATCATCGTCAATCAATCCTGTTTACCCATCTATTTCAATATTATTTTATATCATTTCTTCTTCTTCTTCATCTGATAAATCACTTAAATCATCTTCCCATTTTGGTTTATTCTTACTCAAACTTAAATGATGATTCTTTTGGATCTATACATAGATATATATATATGTTTACTTTATCTAACTCTTTGTAATCCTTCTCCTTATTTTGTCTTTCCTTCATTTCCAACTCTCTGAATCTATTACCGTAAGTGGCACTCTCTATTCTCCTATTCATTTCCCTCTCAATCCTAGCCTTATTGGACGACCATTGATGCATCATAGCCACTAGTTCTTCGTCCTCTCTTTTTTGCTGCGCCTCTTTATTTCTAAGTTTCTAATATTTCTTTTAAACATTCAATTCATCAGGTTGATTAGAATTTTAATACTATTGAAAACCATCTCTTGTTTCGAAATCCAAGTTTCTAGGTTTCTAATTGTTTTCTACTTATTCATCATTAAGAAACACTTTTATCTGTGGTTCAAGTGTCCTTTCTTTCTTTTTAGCTTCCTCTTCTTAAATGATTAATTTGGCCTCATTCTCAGCTTATCTAGCAGCCAAATCTTCCTCATTTAATAGCACTTCCTCATTGTTATCTGCAAGATCTCCTTGAAATACTTCATCGTCTTTCTCTTCAACTATGGCTTTAGGTTTGGCTGATTTTATTGGTTTTGGAAATGTTGATTTCATCTTAATTTTATCAGTATTATCCACTGCACTTAGAGGTCTGGGCGCTTGAAAATTTTAAATGATCCTTCTTTTGTAATTTGTTAGTCTTTGGTCTGGTGGAGGCATTGAATCATGTTTTGTTCTAAATCCATTTTAATAATCATGTAATTAATCTTAAATTATGTCTCCTGGAAGTAAGGTTCCTTTGCTATATTGAGATTCCTTCTTTAATAAATTTTAAATAAATTAAATACCATTTAATCAATACGAATAGTACCAGTAACACCAGAATCAGGTCTATCTGGATGAGTTTATTCAATAGTAGTTTCTGCATATCCATCGATCACAGTAGTTGGATATCCAGATTATGGGCGCATACTTTTGATAGTTAGAGCACTTTGAGGTCTTTTAGCTTAAGTTACACTACTATAGGGTCTTTTAGTTTATCCTGTTGGTGGTCGAGTGGGTCCTGAATCACTGTCGAGTTTACGACTTTGATAATCAACTTTGGTTATTGTTTCCAAGGCCCAATTATAACATCTTGTTATGAATTTAGCTTGTAACTCTCTATTACGAGTGAAAAATGATATCTCTCTGATTATGCTGGCAAGAGAACGAAAAAACTATAGTCTCCACATTCCATTACGTATTCTTGCATTCCTTTGCTAGGCATTTAAGACCTGATGAACTGAAGACAGTTACTTCTGCATTAAACATCTCAATCATGGTTATCATACCTTGGTACTCCTCATTACTATCCAAGAATGCTGATTTACACTTATCAACAGTAATTGTTTCATAATAATGACTAGTTTCCCAAGTATTTACTTTGTAATTCTCCATCATCTATTAATGTGAAACTATCCGCTCTTAGAGTTACTGAAATTCCTCATAAGTATAGTCTCCTCTTCCTTCAAAAGGCAAGACTTCAAACATCAATGGCACATCATCATCATCATATTTAATGACCGAGTGATGAATGGGTTATGATTATTGAAGCATTATTTATTAATAATAATAATAATTAATATCAGATGAATTTTTTATCTAACTTGTATTTAATCTAATCTTTCTCTCTATTGTTGGACGACTGTTGGTATTGTTCCCTCTGATTTGCAACTATAACTCAATACAGAACATTACTCTTATTATAAGGCGTAGACTTATTGAGCGATTCAAAAAACAGTTCTCTATTAGATGGCTTGTAAGTGCTATACAACTACTTTCTCAACTCCTCCACTCTATTGGTCTCTGGAGTCTTTCTACGATCCTATAGGAATCTCTAATTCTCCGACAAAATTCCTTATTGATCATTTTTAGAGTATATTAACTAAAATGGCTGCTTCTTGGGGTTCCCTAATTCCGACCTTGAAGCTTTTAAACTCTGAACCTGTTTCGGAGGAGAATTCTGTTTCTGTTATCTGTAATTAAATAAAATGTCCTTGTTCTATTCTTCAGCTATAAACATTTATATGGATGATTACCTTTGGGTTTTATGTAGTTAAAGTTTAATTTAGGTGAAACATCTCTTCTAATGTATGTACTAGAATGATCCTTATTTTATTCTCTATTTTTTAAGATTGATATCCCATCTCCTACTCTGCTTTTATTGTTTCTCTTGTACTACTCCAATTCCATTCTGAGTTTCTCGATATCAAACTTTGAATTATTATTCAAATAAGGCTACAGTTTTTATGATGGATTTTTCACCATGTTTTTATCATTTTGGACATCTAAAGAAGTGAATGGTCTATAATTTGAAATGTAATCGCTAGCATTTTTGGATAATTTTGGCTACTCATTATTTTTAGGACTGAAAAAGGAATGCTATTATTAATTAGCAAACATCCAAGTTCTATCCACATCTATAAGACTTTATTTTTTTGAAAAAGCAGTTGGACTTTATTGTCTCTTCTACACTTAGACTATGTCATTCAAATAAAACTTTCGTTTTTAAGATTGCTCCCTATCATGCATAGACGAGTATTATTATTTAGGCAGATATTAAAATGAGTTCACTTGTTGTTGAATATCATTCGAAGGAAAACGTTTAGGTTTTTCACCTTTATCATAATTCAAAAATGAAGGCACCTTACTCAATTAATGATTAGCAAAGGGCTTATATTCATCAGGTGATCTCTAGGGCATTGGTCTTTAGTAATATGAGTTATAATATCGCCCTTATCCACTGTCAGTAGATTTACGCTCTGCAGGCGATTGTCGATCGTAAATATTAAAATTGAATTGCTTTTTCCGATCAAGATAATTTGAATCCAACAGGTAATTTGGATTCTAATTCTTCAACATCACACGATCTTCAAGTCTTTTGGACATAATATTTATCTGTTAATTATTAATTAAGTTTTAGATATAAATAATTATATTCAATTAATTATGCTATTTTAGATATAAATTAGTAGTAGTATATTCAATTCTTATTAAGTTGTTATAATAAATTAAATTAATTCAACTACCAGCAAGACTAAACTCATTTAATTTGGGATCTGCATAATCATCCCAACCTTGAGGCTTAATATCTTCGTCCTACTCCAACCACTTGAGACGTCTGCCACCTTCCCATAATCCCAATTGACTCTTCCCATTTGACAACACATATCTACCCTTTCCAGCCTACTTCCCATTTACCCAATATCCCTCGTACTCTTTAATTTAATTCTTTTATTAATACTTCTTCCATCTGGCCAAATGTAAACTCCGTATCCCTGCTTCTTATCATTTGTGTATTCCCCACTATATTATCTTCCATCTGGCCAAACATAAGTCCCTCTTCCATTCATTTGACTCTTCCTCCACCAACCCTCATATTTCTTAATTTATTATAAAATTTACTCTACCATCAGCCCAGTAATGAACTCCAAATCCCTCCATCAAATTGTTTGTCCAATTCCCTATGTAATATGACCCATCATTCCAATAATACTTCCCAAACCCATCCTTCTTCCCATGACTGTAATTCCCCTCATATCTGGATTTGTCCACCCAAATCTCTATCCCATAACCATGAGGTTGATCATTCAGCCACTCTCCTTCAAACTTAGCCCCATTAGCATGCAAATATTTCCCCTTACCACAGGCCTTATCCTCCTTCCATTATCCCTCGTATTAATCTCCTCCCAAATGCCAAAACTTGCCCATCCCCTCCGCCTTATTATTCTTCCAATCTCCCTCATATTTAGCACCATCCACCCAAACCTACACTCCATACCCATCTCTCTATTAGCCTATCCATTCACCCTCATAATATGCTCCACTTTTAAATATATGTTTCCTTCTTCGTTCTCTCTAATTGCAATTCGACCTACTTCCCAACGTTTCTAAAAGATCCTCATGATTTCTAAACGCCATTTCATTTTTCCTCCTCGAACTATCACTATTAGACTCTAACTTTTAATTATGAAGAATACAAGAAGTTAAATTTATCTCCGTTTTCTTAACTGTTTATTATTGATTTTGAACCTCGTGATCGACATGATCCTTAAAATCTAGTTTTGATTCTTTCTACTCATCTTTCAATGAATTATCTATATCATCTTCTTCCTCATTATCTGGTTGATTGGGCGAATAATGGTTCATCGATTATTGATGAAATTCACTAATCAAAATTTCATCCTTCCTCTAACAACTCTAGCAATTCGAACATTGACTCCCCATCTCAAACTACTTAGTATTAATTTAAAATAAATAATATGAAATTTCAGAGTATTAAAATTATAATATTACTTTTATTCCCATTTAACACAAAGCTTAAAATATTACTAATCTATAATCGAATTAAAATTTTATCATGGCAAATTTCCTTTGATAATCATTACCAAAAACAAAAACAAAAACAAAAATAATGACAAAATAGAAAGTATCAAACTACTTAAATTTTAACAATTCAGTGAATCCTTCCAGAATATCAGTTTCTATTGAAGATGATGAAAAGCAGTTAAGCAGTTACCTAATATTGAGTCTCTCTTAATAATTATTTTGCTTTGTCTAAATATACTAATTCAAAATCTTATGTATTTCAATTATATCTTTGCTTAACAGATTTATAGATGAATTCGAATTCTTAAATTCCATTCTAATCTAAACCTCATGATTATAACTACTTAAATTAATTACACCTCCCCCCTTCAATTGAATCATCTATTTATATTAAATGATATTTAGTTTTGAAGTTTCATAAACTAATTATTTATAATTAATGACCTATTATTTGTTCCTTTAAATTATTCTAAACTTTAAGTATTTAGCCTGATTAATTCAAATAAGATCTTTAAAAGTAAACTATCTAAATTAATATAATCTTAGAAGATTAAAAATTAATAAGAAAATAGAATAAAATTACTATTATTAGCATTTCAGAATTTGAATATATGTAATAAACAACTAATTTTTTTGGTTACTTTGATTCAAATATGATAATTCATTATTCATTAAAAAAATCTCGAAAATTCCTCTTCTAATTCATACTAGTTCTTATATTCAGCAATTCTAACCGCTTCTATTACATCATTTTGAGATATTTTTAGTGATTCATTCTTTACGGCTAACTCTTTAGCAGTTTCTATTATTTCTTAGATATAAAGTAATGTCACATTAGCCAATATACCTGCAGTGATATCCTCCATAATTATCCCTGGAAATAAAGCTTATATTAATTTTTGTTGGTTGTCTATGTTATCTGCTTTAGACTTTTGTTTATATTTTTTAATATAATACTTTGTTTGGTTTATATTCAATGAAATTATCTCTGAAACTATGATATTTTTGTTCAAACTCCTTTAATCTATCTTCTTAGTTTAAATCATCTTAGAAATATGTTTCTTTTACAGTGATTTCATCAAGTCTGATTCTTTAAATTGCTTTATTTAAAAAATTTTCCTTATTTATCATTCTTAGTAAAATAAAACAAAAATTATATAAAAGTTAATCAATTTTTTCTAGTTTATAATTCTTCCTCTTATTTTAAATCATCAACTGATTGTTCTAATAGATTATCGTTTGTTGTCGGATTCCTTTTAGTTATTCTTATGATTGGAACTGGTATCCATACAATCTTCTTGGGTTCATTTTAAGAAGAATCAAACAGCTATTCAAATTTAAATATGAAATTTCTTGGACATAAATAGCTGATGTTACTATCCTTTTATTATTGATCAGATTGTTTGAGGTCAACCTTTTTGATTGGTTAAGGTTCAATGGTCTATAATTCTTACTTGCATTTAAATTCAGTCTTAAATGTTTTACTCTCCATTTCTTCTTACTTTTCAATTTCAGAATCAGATATCTTCAAATTCTATGAATATTTTAGTTTAAATACCAAAGTCATTTGATGTTCTGATAATTTATGCTTTGAATAATATCTATTCTTTACCTCGATTTCCTAAAGATGAAATGAATTTTCTTTACAGTTCGATATTTCATTGTTTATGCAATTTGATTCCATTTTGTTCCATATTATTCAAACAAAAGAAGCAATTGATTATCCTCCTCCTGATTCCAAGGTCTATTTGACAATTGAAAATTTAATTAGTTAAATCTACTTTTGATTTGACTCTGTGTTTTGTTTTTCATTATCTAAGCTACATCACTCCAATTCTCACCATATTTCAATACTAAATCCATTAATTGTTCATCGTCTCCTTTAGACCATGCTGCTTACTATTCATTCTTTTAATGAATATAGAATTCTTACTTATAACATATGCCATCTTTAAATGCATTAAGATTCAGTTTTTCCAGGTATCGTTTCAGCTACTTTGTTCCATTGAATACCATATATGTTAATTGAATCCTTCAATTTTTAATCTTCTTCATTATTCCAGGTATAATTGATTCCAGTTTCTTATTCAATCTAAGTCTTTTACATGTTTATTATATTTAATAATACGAATTTTAAATATTCAATATTTTACATTCCTAAATTCCTTTCCACAACAGATAAGTAGTTGTTAAATTGGTCATAAATTATTTGCAGTTATTGTCTGAATGGATCATTTAATCTTTATAACTAATTGATTAATTCTATAAATGTAAAGGTTAATTTTTGTCTGTTCTAAATGGAAATTTGTTTAGCCAATATTAATATATTTATAAGTGTGATACCCTAAAAAAGTCTCATTGAAGAAGGAGGGCCTTTTAATGCAGTAAATGTTGAGGTATTTCTTTGAAAGTTAGAATTAATAAGAAGTTAGTTAATAATTATAGCAAACTATAAAGAAACTGATCATTTTAGCAAGTCTCTTAGAATAAATACTAATATGTTTGTTCTTATACTTATGATATCATTTTAATATATGAATAATGTGAATTGATCAGTATCTTAAATCTTCTAAAGAAAAGCAGGATAAGCAGATCATAAAAGAAATTAAGAAATAAATCAATAATTACATATTTTTAGATGGATAACTTTAATAAAAAGGGATGAAAAAATATAGAACTCATATTTATAATAAATAGTACTCAAATGAAATCATGACAGTTATCTATAGAAACTCAATAGCTTAGTGATTTATAGAGATCTTATTCTTTTATTTTTGGATTACTTGTGAACGTTCTTTAAGGTGCTCAAAGTTTATTGTTAACAGTTCTTTTCTTCAGTTGAAAGCTTATTAGTAATCATAATTTGAGAAATGAAGATTTCTTTTTGTACATGATCGTTTGTCATCATGTTAATTTCGTAGTCTTCGTCTAGGAAGTTCTTATCTTATAATTTTAGGACTGCTTCTTCTGGAGTAAATAACAATTCGACTTCTTCTTTTTTGGAATATACTGAAATGAATGATCTGTTAAGGTTGTTTGCAGAGGATGGTGAGGTATTGTCTATGAGATTCGATTTTTGTTGATCCAACTATTCAGAATCCATGGTCATTTTCCTTTAAAAAACTTATGAGTCTCTATCACAAATTTGTTCACTCATATAACGACATCTCTTGTACAAAGGGGAGTCAGTTCTATTCATTCGCTATTGCAACACTTATTCAAGTGCTCCTTGTTAGGCTACAGTCAATTAAAAGTTTTGTTGGTTAAGAAACTTAGATGTGATCTTTTTAACTTATAATTTGGAGTCATCTATCCAATCACTTCTTTTTTTAGTATTCTTATTATAAAATAATAAACTATGTGAGACTTTATATTATTTTGTGATGAGTTCTTCCTGGAAGATGGTGGTCATTGTCATCAAGGCAATTGCAGATCGCAACCAAATAGTTAATTGTTTAAGTAATGAATTACTATTTTTATTAGTTAACTGATTAGGAATAGTGGCTTGTTATTAAATTAGACACCATTCCTCAACCAAGTAAGAGTTTCCATCATTTTCAATAAAAAATTACACAATCATTTCATTCTATTGAGATGTCCTCCAGTTGTTTTGGAGTAACTGCCTTACATTAGCATTCATTTCTTTAGTCCAAATAACGCCCATTTCTTTTGTCTAATTTTAGATGGATGGCTGACATTACAAGAACGGATAAGTTCTAGACGATAATAAAATATCAGCAAATTTTGTGAATAATAGTTGGAACATATTCATGACTTTTTAAATTAACAATAATAAGAATAAATAATCAAATGAACATGTGCTTTAAAATATAATCGAATTATAAATGCGTAATAATTATAAATCTCTAAAACATTATTAATCAACATATATATCTCATCATTTATAATTGTTTATTTTTATTTATTAATCCAAATTCTCAAATTTAATCAAATTCTCTTGCGGGTATTATTAAATTTTATAATAATAAAGTCCAGCACATCATACTAACATCAAATATGAGACAGTTGATAAATGGGAGACATTTAAAATAAGTATATAAATAACAATCAATATTAATTCAATCAGCTAAACTTAAAGCAAGTAAATAACTGGGTATATGTTCTTTAGACTTAAGAACATCATTAAAAGTATTATTTGTAGTGTTAGCCGTATTAGCTGTATATGTTGTATTCAAAGTAACACTCCTCTAAGTATCCGCTCTTTTTTGTATGCCAATATTTAAGTTATTATTATTTGTATTTTAAAGATGAGTTAATTATTTTTTAAGTATTTAATTTTCAATTCGCGATTAGTTAAGGACTTCATGTAATTACAACACTGTAGATTCTTTGTTACTTGATTGCTTTAGAGATGTATTTTCCTTCTTTAATTTTGATACCATTTCAGTTAATTTGGATGATTCCTTCTCCAATGCTGCTATTCGCATCAAATATTTGATCTCTTTCTGCTTGTTCTCTTCTAATTTATTTTTATTAGTTATTTCTTGCATCTATATTCTTTACAAATGCTCTTTTTTCTCTTAGAATGCATTTGCTAAATAGCTTTACAATATATTTGTATTTTCATTCTAAGAAATATTTCGATTATCATAAAATGAATTATTAGTTTTTCTTTTACTTCGATTCACTTATGATAAAGCATATAATATTACAATCTCCAATTGATGTATTTTGTTTAACTTTCACTTTATCTCTACTCAAAATTCTAGCACTTTTAATTGCTTCAGCTTGTATAATTTCTCTGACAGTTTTGATCTCTCTTGATGTATTACGATAATATGGCATGGTTGTATTTAGAGACATTAATGGTTTAACTGCTATAAAACTAAAATTATTAATTAAAGTAAGAATAACCAATAATAATAAAAGAAAAATATCAATCTTCAAGTCTTTCAATGAATATTGTTCTACAGATTGGACAAGAACCTTGGTCTTATATCCAAATTCTTATGCATTCGTCATGAAAAATGTGATTGATCTTCTTATTACCACCATCGACATTACAGGGCAACCTAACGCAATTGTCATCAATTTAATAAGTCTATAAACAAATCGAACATTCTTCATGTATATTTGTATCCTAATTCTTTAAATCTTAGAACTTTTGGGAATTTAAATTCTCTAAAAATCCCATCCTCTATTATTCGATTCTCTGCTATTTGTATTCATAATACAGATCAGTACACCAACTGCATGATTGCCATATAGCCACTCCTATAAGGATAGGAATGCTCGCGCATATTATTAATAGTATACAGATTATCATCGCTATAACCATGTAACCGATCAACATTGAGACCAATGTCAGGATTATCAATATGGGTTCGAATTAGTCCATGCTCTTCATCTTACCATTCCAATTCAGAATGGCCCACTGTATTATTGTGATGTTTCCCCATGCGAACAATATTATTTTCACCAACACACACACTCGATTCAAAGCGAATATTTAGGAATTCTAGCTTTCAAGCAAATAGGATATCCATTTGGATGTGGAAATCTTCTCAGAGATACTAATCGCCACTTGTTACGCCTAGGAATTCTACTCTTCATCTTCCATAATGTCTTCGAATGGACTGTTTAATTTTATTGTGTATTTTAGGTATTCAATAATGGGATGGGTTATATCTCCATGTTTTATTTGTTCCGCCTCATTTATCACGTATCTTAGTTGACAATTAATGTAGATCACCAGACAATCGGAGATCAGATTGAACCCGAAATAAACACTGAATAGTTCTCTTATGTCGTCCTTGGTGATTAATGAAAAATACAAAGCTATTACTTCATTAATTATAAAAATTAGGTTCAGAATTGTGAACACATTTATGATTACACAACTTCTAAAAATTACAGTTTTAAGGACATTGTTTAGTTGGGGACATTGATTATTAAAGAGAAGTTAAATGATATCCTAAAAGCTGATATTCAGATATTGTTCTGTCTCATTTTATGACGTAGCCAATAATTCGACTTAAGGAAAGTCTTAAAAATTGTTGAAGCTCTATTGATATGACTGCAATTGTTCAGCTGATTAAAATTGTATTGATTAATTTTGATAAACTTACTCAGATTTATTTTAGAACGATAGTGATTCCGGATTATTAATAACCTGCTCCTATTACTAAAATTAAGCTGTAAACTCATTGAATTCCGATTAAATTGATTAATCTAAATTATTCATTAACAAACAAAAAATTTATTATTAGTTTTTTCTTTTAATAATAATTTATTCATAAATCCTAATTATATTAGATATAAGACTAGATAATATCTAAGATAAAAATACCTATTTAAATAAATAACAATTCAATACTAAAGCCTCTTATTGATATTTTTTATCTTTCAGATAGATATGCAATAGATAAATGTAGATAAACTGTTTGAAGAAGCATTATTTAATAAAAATCAATAATTAAATATTATTTAGATATTCATTATACATGTTGAAATCTAAAATAATTTGATATTGGTTTGTTTATCAATTATATATTATTTTTATTTAGTCTATATTTAATTTCGATGAATAATTAAATTTAATTTATTCAATAATTAAATGATCTTCCATGTTTTTAGCATTCAGTTTTTAGTTTAAGAAATAACAAGTCTTATTATTCGATGTTAACTAAATAGAATCTTTTGATTTGTTTGGTAGTAAAAATAAATCTAAATGTAGGCTTGGCTTCATTTTTCTTAATTAATATTTAGGTTAAATTATTTAAAGAATTTGCAGAGCTGACCAAATATTTATCTTTACTGATTAATTAAAAAAAGTAAATCCAACCTCCATCTAAAGCTAGATACCTTTCGGTTTCTGAAGACAAATAATCCATCAATGATTTGTGAGTTTTAATTGGCTTGATAACTCTAAAGGTAGAGCCAGGAGGAAAATTGATGATTTATTTTTTCTAATACCCAGAATCTAATGGCTTACCAACTTATTTAAAATTATAAAGAATTAATATTCTGTACTCTTTTTGCATTTCGCTCATGGTTTATGATTCCAAATCCTCATCTTCATCATTGTAAATCTGGTTGGCTTCGTCTTCATTATCAATCTTGAATACATTAGGATCACTTGATCTTCCTTTAGTACTTTGCTATGAACTTTACTTAGATAATTTAGATTCTGTGGGTAATGAGGAAGTTGCTTCATTATAGATAATTTCATCAGAGGGAGCATCATTAAAAAATTATTTGATAGAATCCAAAAAAGAACTCATTTTCTTTGGTTACATTATATAAATATTTATATTTATTTGAAAATTGTATTATAGTTAACAAATTGATTGAATTAATTAAGATCATGCTCTCTTAATAAGATTTCTTTATTGCATTAAATAGTCATCTTCAGAATCCTCGGAGTCACTTTCCTGATCTTCACTTGACTCACTACTTGATTTCTTTTAATTAAACTTCTTCACATCGACTTACTTAATGGCCACTTCATCCTCTGCAAACTCTTCAAAGGAAATGTTTTGTTATTGTTTGCCCTACAGTTTTTCAACGTCTTCATCCTTCAACTCAGCATTGTCAAGCATAATATTGCCTTTTTCATCAAATTAAACAATATATCTTTTATACAATACATCTAATACTTTAGTGGCTTAAATGAATCAATATCACTTATCTCTTTAATCCTATCAATATTTTCAAATAACTTTAATTCCATTTCTGCCCTCTCCCTATCTCTTTTCTCTTTGTCTATGCCTCCAGTTCTTACTCGATCCTTCAAGATGTTAAACTAATTGACCTATTATAATTAGGCTTATTCCTCCTCAAATCGAACTGATTTCTTCTTCTAAGGCAATTCCTATATTTCCTTGAATTCAATCACTTCCTCATCCCTAAAAATTGTATGTTTATTGAGATATCTTTAAATATGATATCTAGTCCATATATATTCGCAATCTTCCTTGAGTATTTACTTTTCACCAACATTTCTTAATAATTTGTTCAGACTCAAATCATTACAAAATTTGATACTTCAGTAATCAGATCAAAATCGAACTCCATATCTGCTACTACATGATTCAAGTGCTTTACAATATACTTCTCAGCATTTTTCTATATTTTTGAAGAGCTTTCCATTTCATTCACATCATAAAAATACTCCTTGAACATTTTATAAAAAGAATTAAATAAATTAATTGGTTTATATTAGTTTATCCATATTTTTGATTGTTAAGGAGAGGGAACATATTCTAAAAATGATAAATATACAATGTTTAAAAATTGATATCAATTTATAGGGGATCGGTCTGTCCATCCACTTAGAGATAAATTACTCGAATCTGGTATTGGCAATCTTTTTGCTGTTTGCTTTGGTAGTGGTTATTATAATGAGGAGATGATTGCTTAAGATTTCTTTTCGGTTTCATTTGAATTGGGTTATTTGCTTAAGACAGTGGTTGTTTAAAGTAGATTTGCCACATTGTTAAAATTATTGACTTTGATAGTAGGCTTAGTGTCTTATTGTTGATTGGATGTATTTTGTATGTTGCTTATTTAAGTGATGCTATTATTAGTAGCTGTTTAATAGCTGATAATCACATTTTTTTATATGGGGGCAATGTTTTTAGAGCTTCTTGAAAAGCCTTTCTACGATTTGATTTACGGAAGCTTCTACTACACAAACCTTTATTCTTAGTTGTCCTCTGTTTTCTACTCTTTTTATTCAGGACTTCTTCTTAATAGTTCTACGTTATATAATTCGTGATGAGATTAACATTAATTTTAGTTCTATTATTTCCCTTTGGCCCTTTGAGTAATAGTAATTTATTTCACAATATGTTCCTATTAAAGAAGCAATTTTGTATTTTTTGGAACCGATGTTTTACGAGACAATACCGCTGCTTCGATCATCTTATGTGGTAATTCTCTATGCTATAATTTCTTCACTAATTAAGCAACCTTTGAAAGTATGTCTGTCTTATTAGATTTTTATGAATTCATAGGAGGATCATTTTTGAGCTCAAATTTAACGAAATCTCACTTACATAATTTTGCAGTTTACACCTTATTTAAGGAATCTAGCATTTCCAATTTGCTCATTATTCTAACTCTTGCCACACTCGATACATTTGGTACATATTGAGATCTGCTCTTTTGAACACTTAATTGAGATTATGATCTTATTGGCTAATGATATGCGAATCGTAATTATCGATCTTAAAATAGTGTTTCAGAATAATTATTAGCCTTAAACTCGTTATGAAATATACTTACGAATGTGATCTCGTCTGCATTCATTAAATATGTATTTTATAAAATTAACTAATTAAATGAATTACGAAACATTATACTACTATCCTTTCGACACTATCTCAGTTCTTAAATGTCATGCACAGATTAATTTATAATATGTGAATATTACTAATATTAAATGAATATTCTCATCCCTAAGTGGCATATATATGAAAGCAGACTATTAACACCTCCTCATTTGAGGTAATGAATATTTTATAACCCAAAAAAGTTAGATTTACATAAATTGTTTTTTAACTTAAAATTAATTTAGTGTAAATAAAATACTATATTTTTAAAAGACATTGTACTATCCTGTAATAATAAATGCTTAATGATGGTAATATTTAGGCATTCCAAGTTATATTAGAGATAAAAATTGTCTCTGTTTTAATTAAATCCTTTCTAATCATTCATTCAATAAATATCGATTAAAGCATATGGTTTTCTTCAGATCTTTTTATTTCTTTCATTCTATTCCCTCCCCCCTCTATTTACTATTTATAGTATTAGTACAGTGATTCGACCCTAAATTTCTATTGAAACATTAAAAATTTATTGTAGTTCCTTTGGCTTAAAAATTATCACTTTTTTGTTAAATTATTTACCAGGTTACTTATTTTATGAGACAATAGAAGAAATAGTTCAACTACTATTTTAATAGAAATATTAAAATAAACTTAAGTTTAGAAACCCAAACAATATTATATAAATTTCATTTTAGCAATTTCTATTATAATGTATCAAAAAGAAAAAATTATATTTAAAAAGTTAGACATTTTGTTAAGAAAGGATAAATCTGAAGCCAAAAAAATTATTCTTAAAGTAATTGTGCTATAAACACAATTATATTCTTAATATAATCTACTAGACTATTTATCCTTTCAATAAAATTACTAAATTTTTAGCGTGTAGAATGAATCATCATTTATTCAGTATAAATTTTAATTCAGCTTTTAAAATTAGCTTGTATAACATCATGAATTATATTCGAAATCATCTGATATTTTGATAAAAGTCTTCGCGTGACTGTTTTCAAGCACTTTTGATTCCAAATGTTCGATCATCTTAATATATATAGTGCTTAAATTTTAATTAATTCTTTCTTATATTCTAAACAAACAAATATTTGAATTCTCGCGAGACAACCACACACCAATAAGCATTTATTCTACTTCCATTGTAAAATAAACTAATTATTAATTATTTTCGTAATTCATCTAATTGAATTTGGAATCAGTTTTTGAGTAGATAAAACATATTTAGATAATAGAATCTCTATTGATACTTCATTTGAACTTTTAAAATAAATTTAGCATAAAATCCCAATTACAAAAAAAAATATGCTATTTTTAAATTTGAGGTGAAAATCAAAAAAAAAAATGTTCTTTTCTATTTTTGACTTATTCAATTAGAAACTGATTCCTATTTCATTTCTTTCTGTTAAATGATGAAAATGCAATATTTGTATTAATAAAAAAATAATAATGTTTGAATCCGGATTATACATATTAAGAAATTAAATGTGAATACAATATTAATTAATCGATATATATATCAAAAATTAGCATTAATGCAAATTTAATTAAAGAATAATATATAATCGAGTTAATTCTCTAAAAATAGAATTTTCGAGAAATTTGTATTTGAATTAATTTAAAATCAAAATTTCTAGAAGCTTCCAATAATCTATTGATAAACTTGTTTTGTGTGGTAATTCATAATAAATAATAATAGAAATTAATAATGGCTTAAACACCTGCTATTGGTATTGATTTAGGAACAACCTACTCTTGTGTTGGTATTTGGGTAAATGATAAAGTTGAAATCATCCCAAATGATTAAGGTAACAGAACAACTCCATCATATGTTGCATTCACTGATACAGAAAGACTTATTGGTGATGCTGCTAAAAACTAAGTTGCTAGAAATCCATAAAACACAGTTTTTGATGCAAAAAGATTAATCGGAAGAAAATTCGCTGAATCCACAGTTTAAAAGGATATTAAATTGTGGCCATTCAAGGTTGAGGCTGGTGCTGATGACAAGCCAATGATTGTTGTTAAATATAAGGGAGAAAACAAAAAATTCCATCCAGAAGAAATTTCATCAATGGTCTTAACCAAAATGAAGGAGACTGCTGAAGCTTATTTGAGCAAATAAGTCTCAAAGGCTGTCGTTACAGTCCCAGCTTATTTCAATGACTCTTAAAGATAAGCCACCAAAGATGCTGGTGCCATTGCTGGTATGAATGTTTTGAGAATTATCAATGAACCAACCGCTGCTGCCATTGCTTATGGTTTGGACAAGAAAGCAAAACACGAAGAACACGTTCTCATCTTCGATTTGGGAGGTGGTACATTCGATGTCTCCTTATTGGCTATTGAAGATGGTGTCTTTGAAGTCAAGGCCACTGCTGGTGATACTCACTTGGGAGGTGAAGATTTCGATAACAAACTCGTCGAATATTGCTGTGCTGAATTCTTGAAGAAGAAAGGTATTGACATCAGAGGAAACCCAAGATCATTGAGAAGACTCAGAACTCAATGTGAAAGAGCAAAGAGAGTTCTCTCATCTGCCAATCAAACCACAATCGAAGTTGATGCTTTGGATGCTAATGAAGATTTCAATTGCACAATCACAAGAGCCAAATTCGAAGAATTATGCATGAGCATGTTCAAGGAATGCATCCCACCTGTTGAAAAGGTTCTTAAAGATTCTGGTATTTCCAAGAATCAAATCCACGAAGTCGTCTTGGTCGGAGGATCAACCAGAATTCCAAAAGTCTAAGAATTATTGAGAGACTACTTCAATGGAAAGGAATTGAACAAATCAATCAATCCAGATGAAGCTGTTGCTTATGGTGCTGCAGTCTAAGCTGCCATCTTGACTGGATAAGGTAACGAATAAGTCAAGGATCTCTTGTTGTTGGATGTCACCCCATTGTCCTTAGGTATTGAGACTGCTGGTGGTGTCATGACTGTTTTGATCCCAAGAAACACAACCATCCCAACAAAGAAATCATAAACTTTCACAACCTATGCTGATAATCAACCAGGAGTCTTGATCCAAGTCTATGAAGGTGAAAGATAAATGACCAAGGATTGCCACAAATTGGGACAATTCAACTTAGATGGTATTGCCCCATCACCAAGAGGAGTTCCATAAATTGAAGTCTCATTCGATCTTGATGAAAATGGTATCATGAACATCCACGCTGAAGACAAAGCCACCAAGAAATCAAACAAGATCACCATCACAAACGACAAGGGTAGATTATCAAAGGATGACATTGAAAAATTAGTTAAGGAAGCTGAAAAATTCAAGGCTGAAGATGACATCATCAAATCCAAGATTGAAGCCAAGAACAGTCTTGAATAAACCACCTATTAAATCAGAAACACCATCAAGGATGAGAAAGTGAAAGACAAATTCTCAGCTGAAGAAAAAACTAAACTTGAATCATTGGTTGATGAAACAACTAAATGGATTGATGCTAACCCAAATGCTGAAACCAACGACTACAAAAACAAATTAAAGGCTCTTGAAGAAGTCTTCCATCCAATCATGCAAAGAGTTTATCAAGCCACTGGAGGTGCCCCCCCAGGAGCTGAAGGTGCTGGATTCCCAGGAGGTGCAGGATTCCCAGGAGGTGCTGGATTCCCAGGAGGAGCTGGATTCCCAGGAGGTCCTGCTGGTGGACCAACAGTCGATTAAGTTGATTGATTTTTATCTTAGTGTATATGTTAAAATTAAAATTCAATTTAAATACATCATCCTTTTTCTCAATTAATTAAATTTCATTAAGAGAATAAACAACATAGAAATATATACAAACAGATTTATAAAACTCCGAATAGTGTCTTTTTTGTTTCAATAATAAATATATTCAAAATATTAATATACAATACGGAAAATGGATAAGGAAAACGCGAAACTAGCTCAAGATTATTCCGCTTAGAACAACATCCCTCTGCTTTAAGCCTAACAATAACCAGTTAATCAATATTACTCTCCCTACTCTCCATAAGTTCAATAACCACAGTAATAAGTTAATCAGTAACCATACATACCAAATCCTTATCAAGGAATCAATCTTCAAGGAGATCAACCCCAGGCTAATCAATAACTATAATAATAAATTCCTCAACAATAACAATTAATGTAGCCCTACCAACCTAATCCTTGTCAATAATAAATCACAGGAATTGTCCTCCAATATCCCTATATCCCATATGTACATATTATCCTTAACTTAGAATCCACAAATTCTGTAAAATGCCTCTGGTTATAGAACTCCAGCACTCGTTTAGTGTCCCTACTGTAACCAACATTCAGTCACAACCATTACCTACAAACCAGGAAATGACACCTATTGGATGGCTGCCCTATTGTGTATCTGCTTTGGGTTCTTATGTTTGATTCCCTTATTATCTGGCGATTGCAAAGATGTCTATCATCAATGCAGCTATTGTGGAAAAGTTGTAGGTCACACTCCATACAAAGCCTGCTAATGATTTTAAAAGTATATACATTTCACAAAAATAATTATTTATGCCTACTATTATTTACATTCCAAAGAATTTCCTTAGTATGAAATTTATACATTTTAAACTGCAATATTATTAAAATCACTAATTCTCTTAAAAGGATTGCTAGTTTTCATCTTCCTTTGACAAAACCCATTAACTCAAGTAATTAACCCTTTTTTGAGCCTGAAAACATCTGTAGAATAACCAATCTTTCCTCAACACATATGTCTGTGGATATTTTATAGAAAAATACTAAAAAGTCAATCTAAGGTAGTACCTTTTAATGCTGTAGAAAAAAGGTTCTGATGTTATTTTTGAAAACAAATAGGTTTGCATGCTCTTAATTTTTACTCATCAACTTAACCATTATAAGAAATCTTTTATGTAAAATTATCAGGTTCAAATGTAATGCCTTTATTGCAAATGATAAGAAATCACATAAATCAAACAGGATTTATTAAGGCACATTTATTAGTTCAATTCTTATTTTGATATTTTTCTGGCCTTCCTTCTGGAGTATTTACTGGCTAAAAGATTGTAAATACTATAGTATATATTTGTAGTTATTATTAAAATATAATTGGTGAAAAAACTTCAAGTTGGCAGATGAATTTATATAATTTTATTCATTTTAATATGTTAAAAGAATGGAATTAATGTTTAGGAATATTTTAAAAATTGAATTTTTATAAATTCATAAACAAATCTTCTCTATAAATAATTATATAGTTTAATTCAAACTGTATGAAAAACAGTATCGAGAATTCTAATCAATTGACAGTTTGCTAAAGCAATAGTCAATTATAAAAAGTAACGTTTGTAAACTTAGCTCAAAGCGTGCAGATAAATTCTCCTTTATAAGCAAATATTCTTTCACATTCGCTTCCCATTACACCTAACAATGGAGATCAGGCAGATCTTATTTAAGAAATAGGCTTGCCTAAGATTCTAACAAGAAAGATGACTAGGTATTGATGAGATTGATAAAATAGAAACGATTATTTGACAACAGCCAATGGACATAAAACCAAGTAAGAGGTTTTCTGTAATAACTGTCAAAGAATTAATATGACTCGTCTAGAAACAGAATACGGGCTGGGGGCTATTTAAGTTACCTGCTTGCTAATTTTTCTATTTTGGCCACTTTGTTGGTTACCTTGTGTTTTAAAATCATGTTAAGACATAATCCATTATTGCCCATTTTGTAATTAAGTTGTAGGAAGAACTCGTTATACATTCTGTTGATTTTATTGTGTAAATTACTTAAATAATATAAAATTCTCAAAAATCATAATTGCTTGGGTTCAAGTTGAGCCTTAGGCAATAACGTTTCAATCAAAGAGAAATATTTAATTATAATGTTGATATTTTCTGAAATCAATTAATTATGTTATATAGGATAGAACGAAATTTTAACAAATATCAAAATTGCTATATCCCACAAGCCTTTACAAAATAAAATATTTTCCTTACACTAAAAACTTGTAAAATGGCATTCCTCAAAGAGTCAGCTAACAAATGATTAAAGTATATGAATTGATTGTAAAGTTTAATTGTAGTAAACAAACAAAATTATACCCAGCCTTAGATAAATCTACAATACAATATCAACATTAATTAAAGTTTAAGATGAGATGATACCTTTACATTTTTTCATTTAAATCTTATATCAAATGGCTTATGTTAATTAGAATCAACCATATAACATAATATTTTTGAGTAAAATAAACAATTATTTGTCTTTTTGAATTTTAATTATAAATGAAATTAATTTTGAAAAATATATACTGAATAAATCAGCCATAATTTTTTTTTCGAACGAGCTCTTATAAACTTACGAGATTAGATATTTTAGGATTAAATCAAGAGATCAAATGGAAAATTTAAATCTTAAGTAGTCCTTTTACAAAATATTAAAGTCATATATAAAATAAAACTCATAAGAATAAATAAAAAATTATTTAAAATTAAAAAGATGTTTCTTCAAAAATAAGTGAAAGTAAAACTTTATATAATTCGGATTTGCTCATTATTTTTATAACTAAGGCTATATATTTCTAATAGTGAAATTTTTTATAAATTAAATTATTTTCACCATATTTAATTCATTACAAGATTAAACATTATCTCTAAACGTTATTAATGTTGTAAAAATTGCTTGCATATCCATCAATGTCATACTAATGAAAATAGTTAATAACCTGGTGTCAATTGATGTTATTTATATAATCAATAACTAAGACAACAACAATAACAAAAATATTATTTTTAAATAAGGGATATTATTTTCTTAAATCATAATTACGTTATTATTGAAAGTTGATTAAAGTTCACCAGATGGGTTAGATTTCAGCTTAATTGAATGTTAATTGAGTAGATAAAACACCTAAAACTAGGATTGAATACCAATATATAAAATGTTTATTGTTATTCTAATTTATTACTTTACAATTCAAAAAATGAAACCTCTATGAATTCTTGTACATCAATATACTCAATGCAATTACAAGTTTGTTCTATGCAATAGTAATATCTGAGAAATATAAATGTGGATATTTATTTGAAGAGCACAAGAATTTTCTTATATAAATATATCCTAATTCAATTAATAAAATAATGAGATAAAGATAAACATATTAGCCGAATTATCTATAAATTTCTCAAACAGAGAAACCAAAAAGATATGTGCATTCATATGGGAAGGAACTTAAAACACCTGATTCCATAAAGCCTCTAAGTGCATTAATGAACTTGAGACTTTTCCTTTATAAAACAAAATAAAAATTAGAATATAAACAGGCAAGCCAATTTATTAGGAATGATCCTTTAGTCAAAGAGCAGCCCTCTTTTTTATATAATAAATTTTAGATAGAATAGGATAATCAAATAAAATTTCAAGCATATTTAGATGGTGATTTGCAAGCTGAGGAATATTTGACTCTCCAAAACTACAAGAGATTATATAAAATAACAAAGAATGATAACGGATCTTTTGATAACTCAAATGATGACACACCATATTATACTTAAAGAGAGAGCGCTTTAAAAAAACTAAGAGAGAGAATTATTCATAGACACAATATGAACAAGAGAAAAAGGGGATCTGAAATAAGCAGCCAAGTTGATACATCGAAATGTGATACTCCTAGTATATTATTAGCCAAATAACTCAAGAAAGTTATTATTCGAAAGCATATGAATAAAATAAATGAAGAATTAACAGCGTATCAAATTTTTATTATTTAGAGAAAATACGCTTAAGAATTTGAAAATGGTGTAAAATGCAGACTTTGCTGTATAGTAATTACAACAGACTCTTGAACAAGATAAATCCATCTAGAGTAGTGTTTAAAAGAAAGTAAATTCAACAAAGCATCTAAAAATAATAACTAGAAGAAATAAAACTGAGATTAGTGAGGAGAACAAAGATAGTAGAATACAATTGAGTAATGAAATAAATAATTTGGCTAATAAAACCATATATGAATCGTAAGTGAAAGATAAATAAAAACAATTAAAATCGAAAACTCTCAAATTTTCTAATGCCAAAATGAATCAAATATTTATGCAAAAGTCATAATATTCATTCAGAGATCAAAGGAATTGTATTACTGATCGATCACAATAATCATATTGTTAGAAAAATAATTCTAAATAAAAATTACATTACTAGGGTGATGAAAAATTGGAGGAAAGAGATGATTCAGCTGAATCGAGTCTCTGTTCTCTATTTGAAAAGAAGATCAATCATTTATATAATTAAAGCATATTATTGAAGAAGAATATTTCAACTAAAGATAGTATGATCAAGCGTATAAAACATATGCAAAGTTTTAATTAAATTGTAGGAGAGGCAGTGCAAACAAATAATTAAAAATTATATTAAATTTGATTTGTATAATTTATTATGCTTCTATTCAAATAGTTGAATTAACTTTATTAGATTAAGCAACAAGTTATCCTAAGACTTATTCTAATTCTGCTTCATTTAGGTTTCCAATCAAAGCCTTCTTTTCAACTCCATACTCTAACATTTAAATCTATAAGTACTGTATCTGACAAGTATATATGGATCGATTGATTCACACTCTCTCACAACAAATGGAAATTTTGGATTTGTCTCTTTCCATTGCCAATAATTTTTTGTGACGAGATTCCTATAAATCAATACTCTATTAATACCTAACTCCTTCCGATCTACCACAAGATTAGCAAAACACAAATCGTAATTCTTTAACAGAATTACCCAATTATTTGTACCAAGACATTATTAAATTAAAATATATTTATAATAAAATCGAAAAATAAATTATCAAAAACAAGGGTTGATCTGATTTATTATGAATATTATATGTTAAATGTCTAGAGTTAATATAGTTTCTAGATTTCTAATTTTTTCTTGTTTTTGATAAATACCATTTTCAGAAGTACAAATGATGGCTACTAAAAGTTAAAGGAATCCCTAACTAGTTCAAAAATAAAAAGATTAGGAAGACATTATCGAAATAATAATTTAACAATATATATCTATATAATTATTCTGTTGTTTATGATATAAATTTGAATAATGTTCTTGATTTATAAATTTTTGTTAATTTAAAACCTTACAGAGTGATGTTTATGATTAGTAAGGGTGAATTAGTATAGTATAGGAAATTTTAGAAGTTATTAAAAGGTAATGGGTTAATTTTGATTACTAAGATTGCGATAAGTTAGAATAGGAATTGATAAATTAATTTAAAGGTTTTAGGTAAGGGAATAGGAGTAAGTGACGATTGGAAAGGGTGTTAATATATTAAGTATTTATGTTCTGATTTGAAGATTTAATTTAAATAAATTAATTATGATACGAGGATATACATCCGTATTGAGAAAATCACTTTGGTATTTACCATCAATGGGATTCTCAAAGAAGTTGGGCATTGGTGAGGCATCCAGCGTATTAGAAGATAAAATTAAAAATATTTCCTAATTGGTAAAGGATTATAGTGATAAATTAGAACGACATCAAAGAATATGGTACAGTCATCTCCATTGGTGATGGTATTGCTAGAGTTTTTGGATTGACATAAGTTTAAGCAGGAGAAATGGTTGAATTCAGTTCAGGAGTAAGAGGTATGGCCTTGAATTTGGAAACAGATAATGTAGGTATTGTCGTGTTGGGTAATGACAGGTAATTGATTAAAACTAATTTATTCTAGAGAAATCTAAGAAGGAGATATTGTCAAGAGAACAGGAGCAATTGTCGATGTCCCTATTGGTATGGAAATGTTGGGAAGAGTATTTGATGCTCTTGGTAACCCAATCGATGGACATGGTCCAGTCAAAACAAACACAAGAAGAAGAGTTGAATTGAAAGCACCAGGAATTATTCCAAGAAAGAGTGTCCACGAGCCAATGTAAACAGGATTGAAGGCTGTTGATTGTTTGGTTCCAATTGGAAGAGGACAAAGAGAATTGATTATTGGTGATAGATAAACAGGAAAGACAGCTATTGCCATTGATACAATCATCAACTAAAAGCCAAACTTTGACTCTGGTGACAAGAATAAATAATTATATTGCATTTACGTTGCTATTGGTTAAAAGAGATCAACTGTTGCTAACTTGGTCAAGATTCTCACCTAAGCTGGTGCTATGAAATACACAATCGTGGTTGCAGCCACAGCCTCAGAAGCTGCTCCACTTTAATATTTAGCACCATATTCTGGATGTGCTATTGGAGAATATTTCAGAGACAATGGAATGCATGCTCTTATTATTTATGACGATCTTTCTAAATAAGCCGTTGCTTATAGATAAATGTCTTTGTTGTTGAGAAGACCACCAGGCAGAGAAGCCTATCCAGGTGATGTCTTCTATTTGCACTCCAGATTGTTGGAAAGAGCAGCTAAACTCAATGCTGAAAATGGGAAATGGATCATTAACTGCCCTTACCAGTTATTGAAACATAAGCTGGTGATGTCTCAGCCTATATTCCAACCAACGTTATTTCTATCACTCAGCTGTATAAACAGGACCTATCGACAGAATTGTTCTTCAAGGTATTTCTTAAATTCTATAATTATTTTAGGGTTTTAGACCAGCTATCAATGTCGGTTTGTCAGTGTCAAGAGTCGGATCAGCTGCTTAAATCAAAGCCATGAAGACAGTCGCTGGTAGACTTAAGTTAGAATTGGCTTAATACAGAGAAGTCGCTGCATTTGCCCAATTTGGTTCAGATTTGGATGCCGCCACCTAATAATTGTTAAATAGAGGTGCTTAATTGACTGAATTACTCAAACAAAAATAATACGTAAGCTCTTAGGGCTAATCATATTATAGGTCCCAATGTGTGCTGAAGAATAAGTTTGCGTCATTTATGCAGGTGTCAGAGGATTTTTGGATAAAGTTTAAACTTCAGAAATTGCCATATTCGAGGAGAAATTCCTTACTCATCTTAGAACCAACTATCCAGCCATGTTGGAAAGAATTAGAAGGTATTTAATATAGTAATTCTTTAGTACCGGTGAATTGAGCAAATAAGATGATGCTGAATTGAAAAGTATCTTAGAAGTTTTCATCCCAGAAGCAGGTCTTGCTATGAAATAGTGATCAATTACAAATAATAATACAATATATAAAATAATAATTTATCAGTATGTAAATTACTTTTGCACAACTTCGTCCTTTATAACTTGGATAGTCTCTCTATGTTACAGGAAATTGCAATGAATTGGGAAATTGGAATCCTGAGAATGCAATTAAATTAAATTATCAGATGACTGATCTATGGATTGGTTAAATCGATCTTAATCTTGAATTTGTAGTTGAATATAAGTACTTTGTGGCTTAAACAGACAATCCCAAATAAGATATAAAATGGGATGATGGAAATAATAGAGTTCTTGATAAAATGATGGTCACTGAATAGCTGAAAGTTATGACATTTAATATAAGATATGATTGTAAGGAAGATGGTAAAAATGATTGGAATCATAGAAAATCGGTTGTTTACAAATTAATACGGAAGATTAATCCAGAAATCTTTGGATTGTAAGAAGTCCTCGCTCATTAACAAGCAGATTTGTAATCGAACCTTTAAGGGAACTATAATTTTATAGGTAGAGGGAGGTAGAATAATTTTTGGGATGATGAAGGATGTCCCATATATTATGATATGCTTAAGTATAACATTGTTTAGGCTGAAGTATTTTGGTTTTCAGATACTCCTTATGTTGCAGGATCGAAAAGTTATGGTAATGGATTCCCTCGAATATGCACATATGTGAAATTATTACATAAAATGAGTCAGAAAGTGTTTCATGTTTACAACACTCATTTTGATCATGAAAATAAACTTTCTTAGATTAAGTCAGCTGAGTAAATTAAAAGACACATTTAGTAATATTGTTCTCCTGAAGATAAAATTATTGTTATGGGAGATCTTAATAGTTTACCAATGAGTGATGCAGTCAAAATCTTGACTTCCCCCATATGGCAAGGTTTCACGTTGTAAAACACGATGGGAGTTCTGGATATGCCATTAGCAACAATGCATGCTTGGTATGGATTGAAATTGGGTCTGCACATTGATTATATATTTTTGGGCAATCTGAAGTACAAGAGTATGATGATTGTGAATGATCTAATTGATGGGCAATATCCATCGGATCACTTCCCTAAAGTTGTTGTTTACGAATGAGATTTATAAATAATTATAATTATCTAGAAATCGTATAAAGTAATAGTGCGCAATAACAAGATATTAGAGTGAAATAATTGGTATATAAAAATTTCATACAAAAGGTAATGGATACACGTCTCATGATTTAAATAAATAAATGAGCAAATATATTTATACATTTGGTGATGGCAAAGCAGAAGGTAGTGCAGCTATGAAGAATCTTTTGGGAGGCAAAGGATCTGGATTAGCAGAAATGAATCTGATTGGCATTCCTGTACCCCCAGGATTCACAATTACAACAGATGCTTGCAACTTGTACACTAAGAATGGTGCTGAATCCACTTTCGCACTCATCAAGGCTGATGTTGAGAAAGCACTTCATTAAGTAGAAGAGTTGACTAAGATGGAATTTGGCTCAGCTGAAAACCCCTTACTCGTTTCTGTTAGATCAGGAGCCAGAGTTTCAATGCCTGGTATGATGGACACAATTCTCAATCTTGGATTAAATGATATCTCAGTAGAGGGATTGAGCAAGAGAACAAACAACCCAAGATTTGCATGGGATTCATACAGAAGATTCATTCAAATGTTCAGTGACATGTTTTGGACATGAAGCCAACCACCAAGGAAGACATCGATCCATTTGAAGAAATCATCGAAGGTGTCAAACACGCCAAAGGTGTCAAATAAGATACAGAACTTGATGTTGATGATCTTAAGACTCTCGTTGAAAAGTATAAGGTTGCTGTCAAAGCAAAAACAGGAAAAGATTTCCCATAAGAACCATAATAATAATTATGGAGAGCTATTTAAGCTGTGTTTGATAGTTGGAACAATGATAGAGCTAAATACTACAGAATTCTTAACAAGATCCCTGAAGATTGGGGAACTGCAGTTAATGTTTAAGCTATGGTTTTCGGTAATATGGGAAACACATCAGCCACTGGAGTTGGATTCACTAGAGATGCATCAACAGGAGAAAATATTTTCAATGGAGAATATTTGATCAATGCCTAAGGAGAAGATGTCGTTGCAGGTATCAGAACACCATAATAAATCACTTTGATTGGATCAAAAAGATGGGCTGAATTATAAGGAGTTCCTGAAGATGTCAGAAAAAATCAATTCCCATCATTGGAAGAATCATTACCAGAAACATACTAAGAATTGAAGAATGTCTAAGAAAAATTAGAATAACACTTCAAAGATATGTAAGATATTGAATTCACTATTCAAAATGGAAAATTATGGTTATTATAATGCAGAAATGGTAAAAGAACTGGTGCTGCCATGGTTTAAATTGCTTGTGATTTATTAAGAGAAGGAAAGATTGATGAAAAGACAGCTCTTAAGAGAATTGAACCAAATAAATTAGATGAATTATTACATCCAATTTTCACACCAGAAGCTTTGAAGACAGCCAAATTTGTTGCCAAGGGATTACCAGCATCTCCAGGTGCAGCTTCAGGATAAATTGTTTTCTTCGCTGATGAAGCCAAGAAATTTGCTCAAAGTATTTTAGTAAGAATTGAAACATCTCCAGAAGATTTGGAAGGTATGAACATTGCCAGAGGTATTTTGACAGCCAGAGGAGGTATGACATCTCATGCTGCCGTCGTTGCAAGAGGTATGGGTAAATGCTGTGTTTGTGGTGCTGGATCTTTGAACATTAATTACAAATAAAGAACACTTGAAGTTAACGGAAAGGTTTATGCTGAAGGTGATTGGATTTCATTGAATGGATCAACAGGAGATGTCTTTGAAGGAAAATTAAAAACATAAGAAGCATAACTCAGTGGAGATTTTGGTTTGATTATGGATTGGGCTGAGAAATACACTAGAATGTATGTTAGAACTAATGCAGACACACCAAAGGATGCTTAAATTGCCAGAAAATTCGGTGCCAAGGGTATTGGATTGACAAGAACTGAACATATGTTCTTTGAAGGAGAAAGAATCAAAGCTATGAGAGAAATGATTTTAGCATCAGATTTGGCAGGAAGATAAACTGCATTGGCAAAATTATTGCCATTCCAAAGAAGTGACTTTGAAGGTATTTATTGAGGCTATGAATGGATATGGAGTAACAATAAGATTGTTGGACCCACCCCTCCATGAATTCGTTCCACATGAAACTGCTTAATAATAGGAATTGGCTTAAGATATGGGATTAACTTTAGATTAAGTTAAATAAAAGGTCCATGAATTAGCAGAATTCAACCCAATGTTGGGACACAGAGGATGCAGATTAGGAATTACATATCCAGAAATCACAGAAATGTAAACAAGAGCCATCATTGAAGCAGCTCTTAACATCAAAGCCAAGGGTATGGATGTTAAACCAGAAATTATGGTTCCATTAGTTGGTAATGTTAATGAATTAGAGCACTAATTGAAAGTTGTTAAAAAGACAGCTGAAACAGTATTCTAAGAGAGAAAGGACACAATTCATTATTTAGTCGGAACTATGATTGAAGTACCAAGAGCTTGCTTAGTTGCTGATTAAATTGGTCAAATTGCTGAATTCTTTTCATTTGGTACCAACGATTTGACTTAGATGACACTCGGATTCTCAAGAGATGATGCCGGTAAATTCTTACCATATTACATTAATAATGGAATCTTGAAAGTCGATCCATTCTAAGTTTTGGATAGACAAGGAGTAGGAAAGATGGTTGAATTAGCAGTCAAGAATGGAAAATCAACAAACCCAAATTTGAAGGTTGGTATTTGTGGTGAACATGGAGGTGAACCATCATCAGTTGAATTCTTCCACATTGTTGGATTAGACTATGTCAGTTGCTCACCATTCAGAGTTCCAATCGCAAGAGTTGCAGCAGCCATTGCCAATTTAACCTATCCATGAGTATTTCATTAAAAATATATAAATATTTATTAATTCAAAATGTCAGATGTTGACATAGAAGACACAATAAACAGAATTAAAAATCACAAATCAGTCTAAGGAATTGTGATTGTAAATATCGAAGGTGCTATTACTAGGACTACTTATTTAAATGAGAAAAAGGATGAGGGTAATATTATTAATCATCTCAGGTGATACAATTGCTAAATCTATTCCAATTTTGGCATAAAAGGCAAGATCTTTGGTTAGAGATTTAGATCCAACAAATGATTTAGCGTTTTTAAGAATAAAATCAAGATAAAATGAGATTTTAATAGCTCCTGATAAAGATCTATTATTGATTGTTATATAAGGACCTAAAAAATAGGGAGAAGATGATTAATGATTAATTAGATATGTATGCAATTAATATATTCTGATATAAAAAAAATAAAATAGATATGGATTGAACAATTTCAATTTATAATTTTGTTACATCATAATTGTTGAAACCCTATAATTATATGCCTATAAAAAGTATATTGATGAGTTCAATGGAAAATTAAAATATAATATAAACAGTTGAAGTTTTACAAATAATTGTTGAAAATATTGAAAATTAATTCATAAATACAATCTAATATGTTGTTCATCATTCACTATTAAATGCTAAGCATATAATATAAATAAAATTATTTCATAATAAAGAATGCAAATACATTTTAATTTGATAAGATTTAATTTTTCATCTTAAAATCTCTTCATTTACTGTTTCTCAATTTAAAGGCTTTAATAATTTAAATATCATTATGTCGAAATAAAACTTAAGTAACTACATCAAATTTTTAAATCATCTCACAGAATTAGAACAAAAAGGTCTCCTCACTTCAAAACAAAAGCACCTTTTGAAAGTCAATCTCACAACAAAAGAATAAACATTAGATAAACTGATTTGCTCCTTTGAAGATGAGGTGAATTATTAAAACTCCATACTCTAATATCTAAGCGCAATAGAACCTTAAACTAAGTAAAAATGCCATTCTTCAGGGGAAAACGAAGCTCAATTGAAGTTTAGAAAAAGGCATAATTCTCATTCTAAGGTTACTACTTTTAATGAGTCTAAATTGATAGCAAATTTGGATGAGCTGAATGATCAATTAATGAATATATGGCAAGCAGATGCTTAGTTTGTATGATTGTATTCATGACTTCTAGCTCTTTAATCAAGAAATTAATGAAAAATTAAGGAAAGTTGGAGAATTAATTAATAAAACAACCACTTTGACACCATTAGGCTCTTAAAAACAAGTTAACAGCATAAGTGAGACTCATGTTTTGATTGATGGTTTAAGGTCACTTTACAAAGACATGAAAGTAATGATTGTTTTAATTTAAGCAACATTTTAATGATTATTTGCGTTGTCATATTTTGTTGATGGATGATCAACTTACTACTGAGCATCTATATAAAGTCTTAAGAGCCTTCATGAAAAACTTAGTTGATGCCGATGAAGTTACATTCATAATAAACAATGAATTATACACCTCAAGAACTGAACAATTCGAAGATATTATAATTACTCAGCAGTAACAATAAGAGATCGATCTAATTCAAGATAAAAAGCTAATTGACTTATCTTAATGCTATCCTGAGTTGGGAGTACTATTTTAAACCAATTAATATAAAGGTAATTATGCCCTTAAAATTTCAAACTCTTCTTGCATTTTTTGTTTTCATTAAAAAAGAGAAAAAAATATCATTATAGATTCCTTTCTATCTCTTTGCAATGAGTATTAATTCTTTGAAGAAGTCAATCAATTGGCATATTTTTTATTGGAAACCCTTAAATAAGCTAGAGTTTAATGCTTTAATCCTTTATAACTATCTCATATGATTTAAGATATTGGAATTGCCTTTATAAGATGTTCGAAATATATATTCATTCAAAAAGTGATCGAGATGCTCAAAAATAGATATTAGTTATCTAAAGAGAACCCTTCATTTTCAAGTGACTAACCTTTCGTTGAGTTTGATTTTAGAGACTCCTTAAATTTGAGTATATATATCTGTATGGATTTGAATAAAAAAGAAGAGATGAATGTTTATTAATAATTGAATTTGAGTTACAATAAATACTTGAAGTTTATCAAATAATGTTATGATAGAACAACATTTTATAAATTCTTTGTAAAATCTTAGGACTCATTAATTTTTGAATTTGATAAATAGGGTTTAATAACATTTGTTTCTTAACCAATAACAAGTAAATTGGCTGATGATTTTGGCATCAATTTTAATCCTTAGATGTTTAATGCATCTTACAAGAACATGTTCAAAAATACAAGTTTATTATAGCATATTGAGAATTAATTATAGGAGTAAAATTAATGGAAATTGACCGATAGCAATTCATCATATGAAGTATTTATGAAAATGGAGGAGAAGTACTTCAAAGGATTTTTTGTGATATTTTAATAAGGCTGGTTTAGATATGATCAGAAAGAATTGGAAGCTAATTAATGGAATAAGTTAAGGAAAAAGATTATATAATCAGAAACAAAGTAATATTTAGATAAATTGGAACAAAAACATCCACAATTGAAAAATTCAGTGGTTCAGATGTTTAAGCCGAAATCATCATAGAAATAGTCTTTGTTTAAGAATTTCAGTCCAAACTTCAGTCCAAATCACTTAGATTAAAGAATTTCACTGAAAGAGAGTCAGAATGATAGGAAAATTCTTAAAACTAAGGGAGTGAATCACTTTTATTCAGATATGATTACAGACACGGATATTGAAGACATTAATAATCTAAAATTTAATATTTTGCCATATAGTTGTAATTGGTTGGAGAAATAAAAAGTAGTATTCTATATTTTGAGAAGAAACAACTTTATTGAGGATTATAAAATCAATGAGACTGCCCTATGCAATTTTTTATGTGCTCTTGAGTATAAATATAATAAAAGTGGGAATCAGTTCCATAATTATGATCATGGAGTGACTGTAATGTAATGTTCCCATGCAATAAGTTTGGAGATCATGAAAACAAAACATGCTCACTTGTTAACTCAATTTACCAAATTTGCCCTAATATTAGCAGCATTATGTCATGATGTATCTCATACAGGAAGAACGAATACATTTGAGATTAATAGTCTTTCTAATTTGGCCATTAGGTATCATGATAAGAGTGTATTGGAATAACACCATGCAGCAACGTCTATTAAAATGCTTTGTGCTCCATCTACAAACATTATTCCTAATTTTAATTCAGAGGAATTTAGAGATTTTAGAAAGTTATTTATTTCTAATATTCTCTTTACTGACATTACTGAACATTTTAATCTGATCAAGAGTTTTGAAGCTCGTACATAAGAATTAAATTTTGGAACAGAACAAGATGTACGATTGATGACAGGTATTATCATTCACACATCTGATTTTGCTGGAGCAGCTAAGCCATTCCCTATAAGTAAGCAATGGAGTACTAGAGTGAATACGGAATTTTAGGAATAGTACACTTTGGAAGGTAAATTTGGTTATCCTCAATAGCCATATATGAAAGATTTAGATTAGGTATTTTAATTTCTGACATTAGTTACCGATAATGGCTAAATCTGAAGTGGGATTTTTTAAATTTATTGTCAGACCTTTGTGGGCAGTGATGTCAAAATTTGTTGAAGATCGATTGCAGGAGAGTATTGAGAATCTTGATTACACAATTATTGAATGGGAAAAATTAATGATTAAATGATATTAAATATAAAAAAATGTCTGTTATTAGGGAATTGAGTCATTAAAAGAGAAACGTGGTTTTGGAATTGTTTGGGACATCAAAAAGAAGAATTGAATAAAAAGAGAATGTATAATCTCCTATCAATCGACCTTCTAAACGATTTAACTATCCATTATCCAGCAATGCGAGTAAATTATTCCAAATCCTCAAACAGACGCCTTCCATTCAACAACCACTATATAAATCATCAAAGAAAAACAATGAAAGCACAGGATTAAATGAAAGCATTTGTCGTAAAGTAACAAATTTCCTACAAATAAAATAGAAAAAATTGCACATTGATATTTAAGAGCCAAGGACATATCTTAAATAAATCATATCTCCTTATAGAGACTTTCGATCATAAGTCTCATTCGATATTGCCCCTTAAACATGCGTGGCGGCTCCTCGAAAAATCAGTCAGCCTTCATAAAATAATATATAAAAGAATTCTGTTCGAAGATCAAATAGTTTCAGAGATCTTTTCAAAAGCTAAATTACATTCGGTTGACAGATTTAATATTATTGTATACTTAAATATAAATATATCAATTCGATATCCTCATATCATGTTAAATTAAAATTCCCATTTAATTATGTCATAAAATAGAAATACCCTTAACCATAAATATTCTATAATAAGACCAAAGGATTTGAAGTATGCCTAACTATATTTTAAAATTAGATATTTATAGGGTTTATTATCAAAGAATTATAACGATCATCAATAATACCTATATTAAGATTATTTTTGGTAATTTATTGATACATTAAATTAGATGAATATAAATGGATATCTTAAAAATTAATAATAAATATAAAATAGTAGTGTTAATCATTTTCCTGCCTTTTATTTTAAATTAAACATGAACTCCAACTTTGCTAACTTGACATGAATATCAATTCTGAAAAATAGTTTTCTTAAAATAATATCTTATTATCTTCTTTTAATATTCGATACTTTATCATTGTTTTATGGTTTAACTTGGAGTTTCAATTATTTTATTGGAGATGATTCAGTCTTCTTTAAATTTGGTTCAATACTATTTGATCTTAAAGACTAAGGAATTTATGAAGTTGCTTAAATTCTCACTAATACTGGTTCTTTGCTCTTTTAATTTGAAAATTAGTTTAAGTTAATGATATCTAAAACTTAAGCCACTGGAGTACGTTTAGTTGGATCATCTAAAATGGATTAGTCAATATGATAAACAGCATTGCTATAGTCAAGACGCTCCTGATTGATTTATCCACTTTGATAATTGTTCTCTGGAGCAACAATTTAAGTTTCGATCTATAATTACTTAAATCTGTTAGTATCAATACTTGAACCTCTTGCACTGCTATCTCTTCTACTTCTTAAAGGAGTAAAGTTCTTTTCTGGTCTCAGAGCACTGCAATTGATTGGTTAAATCTTAATACGAGAGACAGCTTATTTTTAATCTGAGAAAGTAATAGATGACTTATTATCAAATGCTGGCTATTTGACCTCTGATAATTAATTGACCTTTCTTAATATTCTTGATTCATCCATTTAAACAGGTAATAGTTTAATTAATTATTCTCCATTTTCTTTTGTAGCAGACTCTATTTTGTTCTATTCAGAGGGTTACACAATTTATATAACTTAAACTATTCTATCTTCAATTACTTATTCTTCTGAATTACTATTCAACAAAGCAATAACAGCTTTTTATTCTTTTTCATTTAACTTTTAGGGTGAATCTACCTTCTTTTCAACTATATTTTCATTTTATTTTTCTGTCAAGACATTATTTAACTCTACTTTGCTATTCAATTATTCAATATCTGGAATAATCTCAATCTTCTATATATTTTCTTAATCCTATTTTTTAAATATATTCAATCTTGCAGGACTCATCTTCTTGGGTTAAACAGAAATTTAATCAAAAATCTACATGATATTTTATATTTTATTATTATCTGATTTTTTTTCAGTCTATAAAATTTACATAAAGCTATCTTGTTATTGATCTATGAAATCACTGTTGTTTTAATAATCAATAACTGATTGTTATTCCATAACCTCAAATGTTTTTTTTTATTTTGAGCTTTAAATTGTGTCTCCCTTCAAAAATGATTTTATTTATCTTTATTGAGTGTCAGGAATAACGGTTTAAGATTCAAAAGGTATGAATGAGGAAGCAGATTCTTATTCATCTTTCTAAGTTTAGGATTCCAAGACTTAATCTAATGATTTTTCTGGTTTTAACTATAGCTTAGTTATTAAATTATTTAATTTCGATTAAACAGGAGGTAAATCCATATCAGGGATCACAATCTTTTATAACTAAATAGGATTTTCTTGAACCTAAACAGGTGAAACGACCTCCTTCTATATATTTTAAGTCTTCAATTATTCTATTCGTTTTTAATTAGGTTTTATTTCTACTTTTGTATCGAAAATATCATTAATTAAAAAGGCTTATCGTTTTAATTAGAACTTCCCTTTGTCATCATCATCTTGACAAACACTCTATTCAAATGAGCTCTCTTCATCCAAAGTATATAAACTATTATTCTATGTTTTAAATCTTGGTTGATCATAGGTTTCTCTAATTGATTATAATTTTTAATTTATTGTGTTTTAAGATGGTGCAGCTACATTTTTAATTTGCAAAGGGATATCCTAATCTTTTGCAACTTAACCCTTATCGAGTACTTGCTATATGCATTCTTCTGTATTTGGCTGTATTTGTAAATCAAATTGTTTTTTATATTATTCAAGTAAATTAGATGGTTTGATTTTTATTTCTTCCTATTCTAAGTTTGGTTAATTATCATCTTTCTTTAAACCTATTGATTATTATTCTTGGATTGGTTGTTGTTTCTCAAATTGAGGTAATTTTGTTATTTCAAGGGGAGTTATTATATCAGACTTAGATTTTGAGTTTTTTTTATAATTAAACGTTGTTTCTATAGAAAATTAATTGATTTCTTATTTCTTTTCAGAGTTATATTCTATTTCTCTGGATTCTTATTTGTTTGATCTATCGAAAAAAGTATCAAGTATATTAGTATTTGTAGATTGACGAAATCTTGATTCTAAAGATAAATCATCTTTTCTATCATATCTATCGGTTAATTTGTTACTGGTATCAGATCTTTCAGTTTTATCCCCTTTTCCTTATCTACTTTGTCTAATTTCTTGGTTTCTTCTTTTTGATGGAGGATCCCATTGATCAAAAAGTTATTATTTTAATGTAGACACATTACTTCTACAAAACGTCCTCTCTAAAACTGAAATGGATTGATCATTTTAATTGATTTTTTAAATCATTCTTAATTAAGCAGAACAGAATTAAGAATAAACATCTGAATAGATAAACCTTATTTCTTAAAATTCCTTTCTTTTGCAATTGATTGTAATTTCATTGCCATAATTCATCTTTTTGAATAATGTCTAATTCACATAGAACTGATGGTTCGAAAAATCCTCTAAATTCCATTGCAATAGGGATTTTCCTTAAATTGCAAAAATAAATTTATTGTTAGCACTAATATCCTCAAGGTTATTGATTTTTAATTTAATCATTTTATTTGTATAACAATAGGCATCTCCATTTTCAGTTAAAGCAAGACCACCAAATTAAAATAATAAGGATTTCTTAAAATATCCATTGATTCCCAATCCATTTAATTATTGAATAGGAACTTAAGTATCGTTTTCAATATTAAAAATTTTTCCGCCAACTAGTAAATTTATAAAGAAAATATGTACTTGTAATTAAAGTTAATTTTTCTTTGTAAGTGCTTATGTGTTTGCAATGACTATAAATTGTTTTATTAGTTTTCCACCAAAACCCTCTTCCAGAATGATCTATTGCAGTTGTTGGAGTAATAGTCATATAATTTTTGCCCTGAACTAATTGTTTTGGTTATGAATCAATTGAATACAGATCTCCGCTATCTTTAAAAATTATATTAATTTGTACCCATCAAACAATATATTACTTTTCCGTCAGAACAAATTTGCTGGACTCCTGATAGTACATTGATTGCTTCTTATTCAGTAAATTGTGTGATCTAATCATCGCCAACTACAAGTCTTTTTAGGTTGTGGTTATTTATAAAATAAAGCTGAGCTCCCAACTTTATGGCCTAACTAAAATTGAATCTAAGTGATTAGATATTCTAGAGTTATCATTAAAAGCATACATCCAACTAATCAAAAATAACAGACATATTTTATATTCGTTAATATTATAAATTATCAATAATTAAACAATCTCTTATTATTCATAAATTAACTCAATATTACATCCACTCTAAACTCATCAGGTTTTATTATACTCTTCAATTTTAATCTTACCATTTCATTAATCAAAATCTTAATGATTCATGGTTTTTGAAGTTTTAATTAGTCCTTCATAATATCTAAAAATCTAAATTATAACTATTGCAAATGGATTCTAATTTGAGAAATATTCATTTATTCCTTACTATAGATTAAGTAAAATTTGGGAATATGTTTTATTCATATTTCTATTAAATTCATATAATCGGATATAAAGATCAAAATCTTCTAAAAAATTTAACTTTGAATTGTAAAATTTATATAAGTCATAAAAGAAATCAATTAAGTAATATATCATTTGTATTATTTTATCTTAAATCTCCCAAATGGTTTCTACTCTACTAATCCAAAACCCACAAGATTACTTCTTACTACTCAAAGTTTTCGTGAATAGAGTTTTAGATAAAATACTATTAAGAATTAAAATACATTGCATCCATCATAAAAACAAAATACTATAAGTTAATATATTTAAAACAAAATTAAATACATTTCTAATTTATTAAAATGAATTCAATATTTGAACTTTTAGATTGTTATGATGAAAAAGAAAAGGAGATCTTTGAATTGTAAATATCGCATGCTATTCAAGCCTTAATTCAAATAAAAATAATATGATGGATTTTTTGAAATTGGTAATTGAGACCCCAAGTGACTTACATCCTAAGTATGCCTAAATCCTTTAATTAGATATCCTTTCATTGTTAGTGAATTAATGTTTGGAAGCTATGAGCAGCTACTATAAATGATGTTTGAATGGGATGGAGAACCAATTTAATATTTGCTGACTTTCTTCAATTATCCATAAAATGACACATCATGTGGTTATTTTGAAAAAATGATCAGACCTCTAATTTTATTAAAATCAAATGAAATAAAGCCCTTTTTGGATATTTCTAAATGGATTTAATTTATTGATTAAGAATCGATACAAAATGTATTCTAAACAATATTTGCATGCAATAATTTAGATGAGAATTACAAGCAAGATCTATTGGGGATGCTTTTAAATTAAAACAATATCAGTGAGAATGTGTTTCGAATAATAATTAAATACACAGATTTATTGCAACAATACTTGAATTAACATTAGGAAATTGTTGGTGTAATTTGTAATCAATCTCCCCCTACTTATCATCAATTATGCACTATTGAATTATTTATGGGATGGAACATACTAAATTTAGAATGGCTTTATAATTAAATTACTTATTTGGATTAATTAGTCCATAGAAATTTTGATATTAGTAATTCAACAATGAATTTCCTATATAAACCATAAGGACTCTCAGAAATTGATTTAAAAATCATTCACATACTATCCTAAACTGTGACTAGACCAGAGACTATTAAATTTTAGAATGTGCTGTTAAGTTTGTTAATAAAATATGAATGGAACAATAATTTATAGAACATTGCTGTAAATATGTACGATTCCATGTCTTAAGAGGAAACACCTCATAAATAATATGTATTTTTATTATTTAACACTTAGTTTCAATCCATAATTATGGATTTTATCACAAATAATGTGAGTTTCGATAAATGTGAATTTGGGTTGAAAAGAAAAGTGGAAAGAGGTTATAGATGGGTTTTTACTAGAATTGTCAAATACTTCTCATTAAACTTCTTATAGGCTTAAGATATAAATGCTTTAGAGGGAAGATTCTTATTGAATGAAGACCCTTCTAATAATAGAGAGAAACAATCTCTATATATTCTAGAGAAGGTGTCTGAAAGAAGGACTTAATGGGCGAAGAGAATCTAGGAGGAAGAACTCTAAAAGTAAGAGGAGAAAGAACAAACTCAAATGGAAGTAGAAGAAGAGAATAACGACAATGATTAATTTTTCAAATCAAGAAATAGTTTTGGCATAAAACCAAATAATAATGAGGAAGAAGTGGAAGATGAAATTCCAATAAGAGGAAGGTCCAGTTGCCAATTCAAATAAGATGATTTAGATTGATTTCCTAATTTTTGTTTATTTTTAATATGATTGTCACTAAATATTTAATGAAGCTCAAACTCTAATAATCAAAGTTTAATTTGATGGGAATCGACTTAGGTACAGCTTTCACTGGGTTCAGTGTATCCTACAATCTATAATAAGTTTTAGTATATGATTTGCATTATAGTCCATGCTATTCACCACATGATTCGACACTATACAAAAGAATCATATAGATTATAAATAAGGAAAAAATTGGAGGAATTTTGATTGGGAAACCCTCATTTGAAAAGGGCTACATAGAAGAATTTACGAAAGGCTTAGAAAGCAATTTAGTAGCTGAAGGATTAAAAACATTTATAACACAAGTTGGGGAAGATTATACAACTAAACAAGCGAAGAAAATATCTAAAACAAATAATAAATTTTTGCATGATGGCATGGCAGCCATGCTTATTTTATAATCATTTTTAAATGAATTATGAATATTAATTTCTATTTGATAATATATATAATTATTATGAGAACCATTAAAATTATTCAGAAGCATCTCATAATTACAAATATGAAATATAATATAAGAATAAAGTAATCTATTTTATGAAAAATTAAGAATAAATTGATGGATTAAAATCATAATCAATAGAAGACTTTGTTCAATTTTAAGAATAAAAAATTTTCTATTTAAATATAATTTAGTGAAAATAATAGAATGTAAAAACAAGTAGAAGCTGAATTCAAAAGATAATACAATTTAATTCTTAAAATTAATAACAATTAAAATATTTTTCAGTAGTAGTCTGGCACTCTTATAGAGCTTACAGATTTTAGTTTCACGTATTCATCAATTTCGAGAGACATATCTTCAACTTAAAGATTGTAACCTTCTAGTGTATCTAAATTATATAATTAGAGACTCGCTGCTTTTGCTGCTCTATTTTATATTCTTTTAGGGAGAGATGGTAATTTTTAGTTAATGACTTTTGTGTTGTTCATTGAATATGATTTTTATCTGGATTAAGTCAATTAAACATCTTCTCTGCTTATTTACTTTGTTTTTTGGTTTGCCAAACTAATTAATTTTTCATACTTTCTCCGTTCTTTTTCCTTAAAATTATCTGGAGATATTTTAGTGCAATTAATAGGGGAAAATTTTAGAGTGTGTTCGCTCTATTATTTACTCGATGGAGTTATTTTCTTCAAATTTCTATTTCCCCATTATTAACCATATCTCATGGGAATTACAACAATATTTAATTTCTTCTGACTATCTTTTTACGTTTCTTTCAGCATCAAGTCATAAATAATTTATTTTATGCTTTTTTGTTACGTTTTCATAGGCTTTTGCTTATAATAATAAATTATATTAAGACTTATTAATTGATTAAATAAAATAACAAATAAATTAAGGAGAGGAATAACATTAGCCAAATTAGTAGTATAAAAATCCATTTGGATGAACATTTGCATTAGAACTTATTCTAAATTGACGAATGTTTGTTTTGCCATTTTGGTATTTTTAGGAATATTGCAAAAGTATCATATATTCAAAACTAAATAAGAAGGAGTTTGATCTGTCTATGAAATCTTTCATGTTGAAATTTACACACATCTCCAGACCGACTCTTGTTTTAAGAAATCATAAATTACATTTCTTTTATATTGAATAATTAAATTTATTTTTTATATTGTAATTTTCATATCTAAATTAATTTTCTACTTTTATCTATAATCCTACCTATTTTCATGGCAGCACTTTAATTGATTGTCATTTTACTTTTGTATTAAATCTTTTTTCTTTTCGAATTACTTTTCATTCTTATATAAATAATGAATAAATTATACTTAAAAAGTACTATAATGATATTATATTCAGGGTAATAGATATCGAAATCTTACATTCTGTCTAAATCTACTTTATAAATATCCTCCATACAAATATTCTTATCATAGTTTTCATAAAATACCTCATTAACTAAAGTTAAGAATTCAGTGACAGTAGGTTAACTTGGATTTTATAGTTTATTTATAGGACTCGGATTATTTGATAGAGTAGGTATGAGTTATAGAGAATTACCCTTATTCAGCAAGTTTTAAATTTTCATATCGAAAATGTTCTTTGATTACAGTTTCTGCTATTGAATTTAAGGAGAAGTTGGTGAAATCATTTCTGGATACGATTATTCTTTCTGTCCACTTTATTTCATATTTTCATTGCACAAATCATTTAATAATAAATTGCTTGATTCTCCAGGAAATTTTTGTTCTTTTTTTTCAAAATTTTAGTCTAAGTTAATAGAAGATTAGGAGTTTAACTCAGAGGAAAATTCTCCTGAAACTTGATTTATTTACATGTCATATAATTTCCTAAAATGATTTCGAAACTAATCTTAACTTCGTTTTTTTCTTTTATTATCTATTAATCTAAATCAATTTTATACATAACATTCTAGGTTAATCTGAACAATAGAGATATTGATCAAAAAAATCAATCTTCTTTTTTATTAAATGTACTTTTGGGCAATTATTTATTAAATGAGTTTTGTCTTAACAATATAAACAAATTGAGTCTATTATTGAATAGTTATTATTAAATAAAATTTAATCCTTAATAAAATTTGCAATTTCCTATTATTAATTATGATTATACCAAATCTTTAACGTTCGATGAAATTATTTTTAGAAAATTCTCTCTATTTAATTTATAAAGGAGGCAATAATCTAAACATTTTATCAAATTCTTATTCTCTTGACCAGTAAAGAATGAGTATTAACCAAAACATTGGCCACTAAAGATTTGATGATATTCTTGTATTGTGTCTGTAAGACCACATGCAACTTTACCTTAATAGAGAAGATAAATAGTATACTAGTCACCATATTGATTGCAAATCAATTTATCATTTGAATTTAATACAATCGGAGTTAGATTTTATGCTATTTATTGTTTAGTTGATTTTGAAAATTTGGAAAATATAGCAAACTAATTGACAAAGTTGATTAACTTTTGTTCCTTAAATTCTTAAAATAATGACTCTTTTGCTAAACTCTACTCAAAATAGTTTTCTATGTTTTATGAATTTTCATCCCTTGAAAAAATTTAATGTAACTTTAAAGAAATTTAGGACTTTAAAGTCTAGGAAATTTTTTATTTGTATAAAAACTGCTGGAGTCTTTTCAAATCTTTAGTTTTTTTGTATGCTTAGGACATGTCGAGACAATCTAAAATTATAAACTTCAAAAATAGGATTTTGTAATACAAAAGTATTGCTATTGTACTTACATTAAAGGCTCCATGTAATAATGTATCACCTTCAGAAGTAGAATTTGCATTTCCAAATTAAAGAATGTAATTAACATAAACCTCTATATAATTACCAATTATTTCTTCAAAGTCTATAACTTCTTTATTTAGTATAAACTCTTATCTTAAATTGATACAAGTAAAATAATGACATGTAAGCAAAATTTATATTATTTAGAGGTTTAAATCACTCAACTCAAAATATAATTATTTATTAAAGGTAAGGATTATCTTTCTAAAAATTATATATTTGATAAGTATCAAACCGATTATCTTAATAAATTCATTATCCAAAACAATAAGTACAGAAAAAATAACTACAGAAGACGTATCCAATAAAAATATTTATGAATTTAAAAAGCTTTTAAAAGTTGTGTTATTATTATTAAACTTTTCTTCTTAGCACCTTTAGAATATCTATTTATAAATCTAATCCAAAGTACAAAGAATAATCATTAAAATATTCAAATACTTCCAATAACAATTTGATTAGTATATTTATTAAAATGGACTCACTATTAAGAGTAAGCAACAAGAAAAAAATATAATAGAATCCCATATGATATTTAATATAGGGTAAAGTGAAGTGTTATAAACTCTTTTACCAATGTTTAAAGGAGAAAACAATTCAGAATTAATAATTGTGTATTATTTGTTGTGTAAAGCGAGGTGTTATTTCAATTTATCAATAAATAAAAAAACCTTTTTTTATGTATTTTATTCCGTGATATTGACTTTTACATTTGTATATTACCTGTGATTTCTAAATTTCCAAATAATTCCTTCCGGTTCCTTGTGCGCTTTTAAGTCAAAAATTTCAAAGGCAGGATTTTTATCCTCTTCTACTTAATAAGATGGCTGTCTGGGATGAGAAATTTTCATCCTTTTACCAACTCGAAAGCAATCTTCATGCGAATCCTTATTTATCCTAAACTTTAGAAAATGAAATACATTACACTTCCATCAGAAGGACTAAGAAGTAAAATTTCATTTTATATCATTTATTTTTAAATAATAATAATAATTTGTGTGACGATCTAAGGTTAATTTTAATTTTTAACCTTATAAGGAACTGAATTTATGTAAATTTTGTTTGAATGATAAAATTACTAACAATTTTTATTGAATTAAAGTTAATGTTAGAATATTAAGTTATAATATCCACTACTGCTAGGAGAAATGATTACATAAATGCTTCGTTATTATAAAATCAAAAAATAATATTATGACTAGAGGATAAGCAAATATTTGCTTTAATAAAAATATCACGATCTTAAACTGAAATGATACTTTAGAATTTTATAAACTTTGAATCTAACTACTTTTACAACAACTCTATTTTATACTTATTATCAACTGGTATATCCAAACTGTTTGAGATTTAAATTGTTATTTATAATTCCAATATGCATATAAATAATAAATATTCAATTCTTGAAAAAGTAAATGTAAACCCAAAAAAATTATAATCCTACACTAACATATAGCAAAAAACTAGTTTTATCCTGCTATCTATATATTATTATAAATAGCCACAGCATTATTCGAATAAATTCAATGAATATTCTGCATAATTTATAGAAATTTGTAAAGCATAGTAAATGTAATATCTCAACAAAAATTAAGCAGAATATGTCCAAGATGATTATTCGAAGGTATGGCAATTTTTAGATTAAAGTTGTTGTCTTATCAATAATATACAAAACAAGCCCAATAAATAGGTTTAGTCTGAGTAAATGTATATCCAAAAACAAAGGGTAAGAGCTAATTAAAGTCAAAACAAGGGCACAAATATTATCATTCATCATTATTGGCCATACTTTCTTATATCTCATATATGCTATTCCACTCATTATAGTTTAATTTTGATGGAGGTATAATATGAAAGAGCTTTTATAGTTGATTTTTTCCTTACATAAGTATTAAGAAATAGATCGATAAACTATGTTTCAATCCTACGTAACAAACAGAATCAAAATGATGATAATCTTAGTTTGCTAGCAATTTTTCAATCGACTCATAAATTTGAATTATCATTAAAATATTAATTATATATATTTATGATATATATACAAGCAATTAATTCAATAATTTATTAATCCTTCTAAATAATAAAGAAATATAGTGAAAATATTCATTAGAACTTAAAAGTAATTTACGAATCTATGTATATTAAAAATAATTATAAGGTTCACTACATCTAGGTTGTCTATTGCATTTCCTCCTTTGTTCTCCTCTTTCTCTTTTATTTAACTTAAATGGCTTCTTTTTTGGCTATATCTTTCCTAATTCTTATGACATTATCTTGCTTATTGAGCAATACATTCCAATTGGTTAGAGGATCCTCTTCTTAAATAACCAAAGAATCGAAATATGTTTCATTGCATTTGACACCTAAATTTTAAGATAAACTCAATATAGCCAATTTTTACTTTTAAAGAACGCTCTTAAACATATTCTTTTCTCTTATCATTTTTTGTTTTAATTTAGTGTAAGTGCTTTCTAATTTAATGATGTAGGTAATCAAATTGGTTTAATCACTCATTTTATTTTTATAATAAAACTAAAAAATAAAGACCAAAATTTGCAAGGTATTTTTTCTATAGTATATTTTCAATTATAAAATTTCAATTGAATTCCTTCATCCTCTTTGACTATTATGCAACTGTAATAATATCCTCATTTGCCTAAAGATCAAAAATTCAAATTCATTCTTCTGTTCAAATCAGGTATGAAATTCCATATTTATTAGAAAATTGTGATAGAACTTCTTTACCCTTTATCAAAATTATCGTGCTTAGAATTTTAGAACAGTTTATATACTCCTTTTCACTTGCGTATCTGTTCAAAATAAGGAATTATACACTGTTTAAGCCTTTAATATAATATTAAGTAACCATATAGCTATTTTAATAGTTTGTATCAAAAAGATTTGACAAAAATCATGATTTATTTGAATATCTAGAAACAGACCTATGCTATAATTGATGAGGTGCAGATTTAAACAAATACCTCATAGTTCTAAGGGATTAAACAGTATAGATTTTCGAAGGACAAAAAAAACTTAAATTGAGGATTCTAAAGTAAGTTTAAAAGTAACTATTGTTTAATTTATTTTAAGCTCTTTATTCTATAATGATAGATTAAGCTATCTTTTGAAATGAACGATAGGATATCATTGAAAAAAGGATCAATCTATTGAACATATCAAAGTAATGTTCAGGAGTAACTATGTCCTTGATTTTATAATATTGTTAGAAGATAAATTAGCTTTAATTTGAAAAATTAAGAATAATTCTAACCTTATTGAAGATATTCATATTTTAAAATTTTCTGATGTATTTAAGGAGAAAATTTAAGATATGGAATCAAGAATTATTTTAAGGGCTAATTGATTATGAAGAGTATTTCATTTCAGAATTAAAATTTTTTAGAATTAGTGAATTATTTCTGACCCTTAAAAATTATTATCAATCATCAATTAATTAATGACAATATTTTTAAGTCAAGAATTGGAAAACATTCAAATTCTTTAAATTAATTTTAAATGAAAAAAAAAAATATTAACTATAATTGAAATGGAAAAACTGTTAAATGGGAACAATCTAAAAAAGATAATCTCAAAATTAAAATTGACTTGACAAAAATATAATAGATTATATTATAATATTTCATCCTTTTAATTCAGGCAAAGAACTAATTGCATTTTTCCAAACTTCATACGGTGTTTACACTTTCTATTATTATTATTATTATTATTATTATTATTGTTATTATTATTATTATTGTTATTATTACTATTATTATTATTATTATTACTATTGTTATTACTATTATTATTGTTATTATTATTATTGCTATTACTATTATTGCATTTAGTTTGCTTATTGCAATTAGATTGAAAATTAAGTATTGTAACCTCCTAATCTACTGAATTCAAAATTGGATTTACAGAAACTATTTGAATATTCATAAGACAAATTAAAGAATTTATCATAAGTTGGAAATTCCTCTTTTTAAATTTACTTAATTACTAATAAACATTACTTTTAATTATATTTTCTTTCTTTCTGCATTCCATAATTATTCATAATGGCTTGGATATGATTCTGGTATGTTGTGCTTTTTTCTTTTTTTTAATAATTAATCAGCTTTATTTAATTCGCTAAATATTAGCAGGATTTTATTACTTATTTAAAAAATCTGAACTTCTTGATGTGACAAAGAATTTATGAATGAGTTGACATTTATCTTTTCCAAACCATTAAATTCCTTTGATAAATTGTTACACTTCCTTTTGATTCAGATATTCATATTAACTTAGTTTCCATGTTTTGATTTTATTCATTTGAGCATTACTACATATTGAGTTTTTGTATTTGTTTTTTATTTGTTTCAGTGTTTTTTCCCACAAAAATTCCTTTTAAATTGCCTCCAATTTTTTACTTCCATGTTTTTATAAACCCTGAAATAGCAAGTCTTCATCAACTGGTGTAAATTTACATCTAACCTTGCTGATTTGATACTGCTATGGCAAATAACTAATTTAAATAAGAGGAATATATTTCTTTAGGATAAGTATTTTATCGTCAAAGTTTTTGTTAATGTTTTCCAAGATTGTTTTAAACTACTTTAATAGGGGCAATTAAAAAGAACTTTATAAAGGTGAGACTTCTATTGTTAGAGGATTGTCATTAAACTGAGACAAATCAATACTGTATAATTATGCGTGATCTTGCTTTTCTAGTTATTCTAACATCGATATTGTTTTCTATCTTAACGCTTCAGATTTACAAAACAAGGCATTTTAAATCAATAACTGCACTAAGATTTCATATTATGCGAAAATTTAGATAATTTGATGACTTTGCACAAGAGTCTAGTTTAATAAAGAAATATACAAACTTTACATCCTGATTAGGTAGGATTGTCTAGTACTTTTGTTAACAATACTATAAAGTCTTTAAGTACTCTGGTTACATCCAATTAATTTTTATAATTAATTATATAATTTATATAAAGAATATGCTTTGATGGAACCATTAATTTTTTTCAATAATTTTTATCAAATTTTATTTTTAACCAACAATGTTTTAAGCTTCTAAAATCATCTAGAAAATTATTTTGTTTGAAAAAATAATTTTGCGTTTTTGATAGAATATATAAGCTGAAATTTGTAGTATTGATAAGCAATTCATTACGTTATTAAAATAGATATAATCTAAATATAATTCCATTTATTATTTTTAAGATTTAATATAAAAATGGAATTCAATTGCATTATTGAAAGGGAATCGTTTTAATTAAATGTAACAGGAAAATCTATGATAATTTCCAACAAATCCATCTAGTACAGGTTTGATCTTTCTTTGAGAGTTGTGATAACCTGGTTATTTCGTGAAAGTGAAATAAGTGGGTTTCTATTCGAAAATCTTGTGGTGGAAGGTGATGGATTAAATATGAAAAAACTTAAATAATTTCTGGGTGGTAAAATAACATTTTCAGGGATTTAAATCTTCTACTCCTTTCTTGGAGAGATTAATGTCAATAAAAATAAGGTCACTAAAGTATTTATATAAAATCTAAAAGGTTTGTACCCTCATGAATAGATAGACAAAATTAAAATTTTCATGTAAATGCTTTAAGAAAAGTGCAACAGGAATTGAGAAAATTCACAAAGAAATCGAAATTCTTTAAAAAGCATCTAAAAATGGATTGGCCCCTAAAATTTATGAATGTTTTGAATCAACTAACTGCGTTTATGTCATTATGGAAAATTTAGAAAGAATAAAAGATTTTGAATTTATAGATGATGATATAAGAGTATTTCTTTATGTAAATTACTTTTTACTATTTAGAACTTGATTTAAACTATCGCATCTCTTCATAAGGAAAATATTGCTCATAAGAGTATAAAGATGTCACACATTTTGTTCACTGAAGAAAATAAGTTAAAATTGGTTGGATTTGGTCAGGCTAACAACACTAATATTAAAAATAATGAGTTTAGACTGGATATTTTTAAAATAGGAATTATTATGTATAAATTGTAAAGATTTTTCATTTATCAATAGCTACTAAAAATAGAATTTTCAGGTTGATCAGTCTCTTGTTATTCCAGATGAGGGAAATTCACTTTTATAATCACTCTTAGAGTGGGGAAATGACGAACCTTTTTAATTGAACTTGTTATTGAGCCACCCTTACTTTAAATTTTTGAAAAATGAAGGGATTCCTCTATGTATTAGTATTTATTTTATTTTAGAAATTCAATGTATGAGTCCTAAATTCAAAACTCAAGTGTATTAAGATGAAAATGAAGAATTAATTTTGTGATCACTATATATTATATTGTCTATGTATAAGAGCTATACATTTTAATAAACTTTTTGAAATTTTTTTTTCTTTTGAAAATATCAATTTATGTATAATATTTGATGATGTGTTGAATTTTTTTAAGATATTAAATGCATATTCTACTTTTCTAAATATAAAAATAATTGTAGATGTTTGTTTAATTGTAAATTGAAATTAAAAAAAGTTAATTAAATTTACAAATTAAAATATATATAATTTAAAAATGTTTTATTATATACTTTAAAATTGGGAGATGGGTCATTACAATAAAATAAAGTAAAAATTATTTTATAACTTAAAATACATCATAATGATTGATAAAACTCAATTAATTATTTTAGATTGGCAAATAATCTAATTGAAAATGTTCGCTTTGTTTTTTGCTTTACTCTTTCTAAAACAGGTCCATAATCCATAATTGTTGTCTCTGGTCTTCTTTACTTGAGAGCCATCCATTCATTAAAGAGATCTGAGAGTAATAATTAATGCAATTTCTTCCAAAAATTATCTTCCCTAACAAGAGATCTGCAGAAGTTTTTAAGTGCTATTCTATCTGCTATTTCCTATGAAATTAATATCAAATATTACCTTTCTATCTCTTTCATCAAGTTATTCCTATAAATGAAAATATCTCTTAATGAAGAAAGTGATATTGATTGAAGATGCTGCAAAATAGAAATCGTTTTATGGTTTACACATTTCTTTAACTAATGTGTCTTTGTAATCACTCACAAAATTTATAATATCATCTAGAGATTAAACGCCTCCTCCTCTAAAATCTGTAGTTGGGTCTGCCTACTAAAAACCAAACTCTGTCCATTTTTTATTTCTAATTTCTTCCAAATCATTTTCTGTTAATAAATACCACAATCCTTTAATTCTTTTCACACAATTTTCATCTTAATGAGAATATAAAGCATATAATTCAAGTCTTAGATTCCACCATTCTTTGATTTCTTAATTTGTTAAATTATAAGTTTCATCAAAACAAGATGATAAGTACTTTTCTTTAAACTCCTTGTTTTTAGCATGAGTTAGAGGTTCATGAGCCATTTAAAGTTCGGTCCATGGATGATTCTTCGCATGATGAATGAGAACTATTGTTTGATCCTTTTGTTTTATTTCTTAATTCATAATTTAAATATTTTCTTATCCTGCATTCTTAAATTAATTTGAAATAATAAGTATAAACTCATGACTACAAAATCCTTATAGGATTAATGAAAAAGGAAATATTTACAAGATTTATATATTAATTCTTTAAACTATTTTCAAAAGTTATATTAAGAAATCAAAATAAATAAATATGGAATGATTTATTATGAACTACATAACACTTATGAAAAATAAAATAAAAAATCTATTCAAATTAATAAATATATTTATGACTTTAAGATATTTAGATATACAAAAAAGAGAATAGAATGTATGAATAATATATTTTAGATTGTATAATTTTATATTTGAATCATTTTAATTGATTCAACACTTAATCGAATGATGGCAACCTATTAGCTAATCCTCCTTCAGCTACTAAAGTAGGTCTATTCTTCAATAAATCGACCACTGCTTTGTTTATTTAATCTGATGTAACTGCATCAATATAGGAGGCATATTCATTGATTTTAATAGCATTAAATACTTTCAACTAAAGAAATAGATTTATAATAATACGCTTTTAGCTGCTTCTTCTAATCTGTCTGAAGTTCTTTCAAGAGCTAAATACAATTGAGTCTTTAAGATGTTCTTAGCTCTTGTTAATTCAGTGTTTGAAATTGGTCCTGTAAGAGTCTTCAATTCATTGACAACACTGCTGAGTAATTCAGATCCTTTGTCTGCTGATCCGATGATTTTGACTCCAAATAATCCAGCATCAGAAAAAGTAAAGTTCAAGCTTTCAACAACATCAGCATAGGAGTTCTTGTTTAAGACTATTTAAAATTATAAAATGAATAAATACTGTTTCTTTATAATCTTGATTAAGCACTTCCTTGTAATCCCAAGAGAGCATTGAGTACTTAGAATACTGCAGCTTATGAATTGGTCCAATTGGCAGATGGGAATAATAAAGCAACTGCAATTTCATTGTCATCAGTCAAGTTTCTGACTTCACCTCCAACATATTATGTTTATGCTCTAACTTTAGCAGTTTAACCAGCTGGGATGAATCCAAGGGAATCTTAGACCAAACTCACAAATTCAGTATGATTGTAGATTCCAGCACCAGCAACAATAATTTTAGATGGGTTGATGTTTTCCAATTGGAATTTTTGAATTGTATAAGCACTCAAATTGCCAATGTTAGTCTTGAATCCTCTCAATGGCATTCCCAAACCAGTCAAACCAAAGGCAGTCTTGAAAATTGTTTCATTGAATCCTTCTCCACCTATAATTTAAATCTTAAATTAATTTACTTTTAATGATATTTTCCAAATTATGTGTTCCATGATTCTTTTCAATAGCAGCATTTGCAGCAACTACTGATCTTGGCTCCAAAGCGCAATCAGCAACGACTTTGAATACATCGACTACATCATGAGCCAAGCAATGAGCTTTGAAGTATGCACTCTCTTAATCATAATCCATTTCAAATTCACCTCCTGACTATTGGATAACACCACTAAATAATATTAAATGCTTAAGTACTAGTTGATGGTCTCATTAGTATTTAAAACTGTCTTGTAATAAGTATTCTTGATAGACAATAATGATCCTGATGTTTCGGTTGTCTCATCTCTGGTACCAACATCCAAAAGAATACCGACATCTACTCTTGAAGGAGATGAAGCACTCTCAGTCAACACAGTGATTCCATTTGAGAGTTTTGTAACCTCGTATCTTCTTTCCTATTCTCTAATCTCACTGCCTTGTTATCCTACTGCAGATTTGGGACAAGAAGCAGCAAGTTTGTAAAGATCAGAAGACTTATCGTCTCTGTAAATTAGATCATGTAATTAGGCTCTCAAAGTGGAGAATTTGAATTGGGACTATGTAAATCTCACTAATTCATACCTTTGATGCAATTCTTCCTGAAACTCTAAAAAGCATGATATTTTATTTTAAAATAAATTTTGTATATGTTTGATATCAATAACATTATCAAATTATAGATTTAAAAAATATAATATAGATCTAAATGTAATAAGAAAACGAGCCTACGAGCTTAAGCATATCAAGAAGAGCTGCCTACAATTACATTAAACCTATTTTACATGAAGACTCCTTAGTTTAAACTCCAACTACATCTTTTCGTTCACATATTAAATAAAATCATTAGAAACACAGCATTTTTTAATCATAACCCATAACAAACGATATTATTTTCAATTAGTTTCCGCTTTAGGATTCATTTGAGGATGTTCGAAAATGTTAATCATGCAAATTTATCGCAGTAAACGAGATTGCTGTTATATTAAATTCGACTTTGCATTCAATTATATCCATTTAAGTGCTTCTACTTTAATTTTTCCATCAGACAGAGCAATTAGTATTATTAAGAATAATAGGCATCATATTTTCATTTATTCATTTAATCCTCTGTTTACTTTTGAAATAAAGCTCATTGGACACCTCATAATTGGCTACTTTAATCTTTTATGTTGTTAGTTTTATTTTTGAGAATTAAATTTTAATCATATATCTTTTCATCAGTATTTTTCATATTCAAACTATATTAAACGTGATAAAAGTGTCTATTATAATTGTAACCAAATAATGTAAGAATATATTGATATTTAGATGGCTTTACATAATTTTTACTTCTAGAGATTGTTATACTAATTTACACACTACACTTATATGCTAATTTCTATATTATTTTTATGTAGGAGTCAGTCGATAACTACGAATTCTGGTTCATCTATCTCAAAGCAATTAATCAATCACTTCAAATACTTCTCTTTAACATCCAAATGTATGAAGAATCAACTACAAATCAGCTTGCCAATACTTTCTTCATCATTTTTAATATCAACTATTACTTTTTATTATTGAAAAGATATGAAAATCATAAGAAATCTTATTTCTTACATGATTAGTTTTAAATATTTATAATTAATAGATGCGTTCAATTCAATATATCACTTCTAGAGATGTTTAATCTTCTTTGGATCTTACTGAAAATTTAATATAAGGACCAATTTTTGTAGAAACTAGAGAATTATAAAATATAAGTCTATGTAGATTAATTAAAGAAATGCAAAATCATTGAGATAATATTTTCAGAGGACTTTATTAGAAATTTAGCTTACAAAGCTAAAATTATTAATGCCTATAAAAATGAAATTGTTACCCATCCAGGTTTATACATCGTCATTTAAGGTGGAATGAAAGTATAAATATAAGCTGAATATGAAACTAAATAAATATTAAAAGTAATTTCAATATATATAATTTAGAATGGGGATTATTTTGGTCTTATTGAAATGATCTTAAATAAAAGTTAAAATTTATTTCTAAAATCTATAAAAGAAGAAAGTCTTCTAATTTATATTTCAGGTGATGATTTTCATCATAAAATAAAAGAGTTTACGGAGGATTATGAAAAAATGAGATTTATACATGATCAATTGCTGTTCAGTTCAAGTACAACGAAAATCAAATAGAAATGCTATTTTTGTTAATAATATCATGTTCCTTCATAATGTAAAATAATAAATTTCAAACCTGAATTTGATTTTGAGAAATTGAAATTGGATGAATAAAATGATAGAAGATATTTTTAAAGAGCCAATAAGAAGCACATTTTTTAAATAAGAAATAATTCAGAATCATCTAAAAGTTCAAATGAATTTGAAGAGTCCTTTGAGATCGATCCAGTCAGTTCAGAAATGCAAAATGAAAGATAAATCGGTAAGAATATTTTAGGATCCATTTCTTAAATGATTGTGTGCAATTCAAAAATATCCCAAGAAGGATTCCCATAATTACTTTAAACTTAGAGTTTTAAGGTATAAGAAAGTTAAACGTAACAAAATCAGGTAAATACAACTTAAGGATGGAGAGTTTTAGACTTAGACAATAGAAATATTTGCATAGACAATTTAAGGAATTTTTAGTTTTACGATCCTGTGTATAACATAGAAACTATAATCCGAAAAGTAAATAAATTTTTAGAACATTGAACTTTTATTATTCATGATTATTCAACATGATCAGCAACTACATCTACTGGGGCTTCACAAACACCTCCAAAGTATAAGTTGAGTCTGTATCCATTCTTCCATGCATAACAAGTTCTGTGTTTAATTGATTGTCTTTCGAGTAAATCTCCATTGTCATTCAATAATTCATAAATTGTAGAATCAGCCAAAAAGATCAATCGATATTAATACCAAACTTCAGTTCTAATCTTTGTAGTGAAAATTCTTATCAGTTGATCAGGATGTTCATAGGGAACTACACTATTGTCATAAGCGTAGGCTGCAATTTCTACTAAATCTTATTCTTGGCAATTTGGAACTACGTATAATCCTTGTTCATTATATTTCAAACATGATTGGGCTCTTCTGAAGACAAATCTATCGCTATCTTTATGATGGAGTGATCCAAAACATCTAGAATAGCCCCATAATTTATTCCAAGAACTCATGCATCTCTATTAGTTTTCATCATGAGGAACAACATAAGTTGCTCCAGTGACACCTAACTTGATTCTTATTTGAGAGATTTCTGAGTTCTTTTAATAAACAGGTAATGTGGGAGTTTCATATTGATCACCTTTTTTGATTGTCAATGTGTACTCTGCTTAATGAGTAGATGCAATCAAAATATATAACAATAATATCATTAAAATTTATGAGTGATTAATTGATCATTAAAAGGAGGAGAGGTAATACCGTAGAGACCACGAATTAAATTATCACTCTAAATTTGTCAGAAGCTAATTCCACATTGTTATCACTTAAGAAAGAGATATAAAAGATAAGTATTATTTTTGGAATAATCCATTAGCTAGAATCAAGCCATTAAGATAGTGGTTAACAAGCGAAGATTTAAAAACTGTGTATGATGATAATAGCAAACCTTTGAATTAATGTGGATTTAAGAGTGGATAAGTCTTGGTTGTAAAGGACTTAGGACCTTAGATGCTTTGGATTACAGTATTTTATGCAGAATATGTGGGTCCAATCTTGATGTTTGTTTTGTTGTACTACTTAGGGTAGAAGGAAAAGTACACTTTTATGCAAAAGTAAGAATTTAATTAAAGAGTTAAGATCTGCGTTGTGGATGGTGGCAGCACATTACATCAAAAGAATATTGGAAACAAAATTTGTTCATGTTTTTAGTAGAGATTCGATGCCAACATAGAGAGCTTTGATTAATTGTTTCCATTATTGGATTCTATGTGGAGCAAGTATTGGGTCTGAACTATATTTATTGCGAACTTTCACAGAAGATCCAGCTTGGAAGAAGATTTTTATTGCTTTGTTTGCAGGATTCGAATTTTTGAATCTTATGTGTCATGTGAGATTGGCTAGCTTCAGAAAATAACCAGCCATTAAAAAGAATGACTCTGATTACGTAGCTGTGAACAAATAAAGATAAATTCCATATGGATGGGGATTTGGTAGAATTTCAAGTGCAAATTACTTTTGGGAAACGATGGCATGGGTAAGTTTCACTATATTTACTGGTTCGTATGCAGGTATAATTATTAATTTAATTTAGCTATTGGATTCACTGCGTTTTCATTTTCTTAAATGTTGATTTGGGCAAAACAAAAACATTAAAGATATCTTAAGGAATTCGGGGACAAGTATCCAAAGAACAGAAAAGCAATAGTTCCATTTGTAGTGTGAAGAATTTAATATTGTGTCATCGATTAAATATAAATAAATGCATTTTTATGACGTTTTATAATTTATAATACGTATATATGTGATGATGAATATGATATTTTTCATCATTAATAAATTCCTGTATGTATATTTAACAGATTGCTAGACAGACCATCAATCGATGTTGTTTCTCAACAGCAGCAGTAAATGAAGGCACATTCTTAGATTAAGTGATGGCTTACTTCAACAAGGCTGCTGGACATACAAAAATAAGTCAAGATAAATTGGAGTAAGCATTATATTTCGACATTCTAGCTTTTACAAGAGCACTGATATCGTGATTAAATTCAATTTACCATTGGTGAGAGATGACGGAACATATGTTTGCGTAATTTATTGTGATAATATATTTAGGTGCCTGCATACAGAGCTCAACATAAGACCTATAGATTGCCTACAAAAGGAGGAACAAGATTGAGTCCACACATCAATATCGAGGAGGTAGAGGCATTGTCATTTTTGATGACATTAAAAAACTCTATTTTGGATTTACCTTATGGTGGTGCTAAGGGTGGCATTGGAATCAACCCTCGTAAATTTTCAAAAAGAGAAATTGAGACTTTGATGAGGAGATACACTTTGGAATTGGCAAAGAAGAATTTCATTGGTGCAGCTATTGATGTGCCAGGACCAGATCTCGGAGTAATTTTATTTAGTAATTTCAGACAGGAGAATAAGAAATGAGTTGGATGAAGGATGCATATACCAAATTCAAAGGACACCAAGACATCAATTCTGTGGGATGTGTGACTGGTAAAGCAATCAATTAAGGAGGAATATCTGGCAGATAAGAATCAACAGGAATGGGAGTAAGTTATTGTAATAGAAATTAGATATTCTTTGCCACTAGGGAGATCTTGAACGATGTGAAGTATTGTCAATCTGTGGGAATTGAATCAAGTTTGAGGGGAAAATCAATAATAATTTAAGGATATGGAAATGTATAATACTCAAATTAATAGTATAAAGGTTGGTTCATTCTGTGCTAAATACATGTATGATTACGGAGCCAAAATAATTGGAGTGGCTGAACACGATGGATCAATCTATAATCCAAATGGAATCAACCCATATGAGTTGGCTGCTCATAAGACTAAGACTGGAGGAGTCAAGGGATTTGTTAATGCTTAGAAGTATTGGGAAGACGAGTCAGCCATCTATCAATAATGCGACATATTCATCCCAGCTGCTTTCGAGAAAACAGTGAATGTTAACAATGCTGATAAATTCAATTGTAAAATCATAGCTGAAGGTGCCAATGGACCAACTACTATGGCTGCAGAAGACAAATTATTAGCAAAGGGTGTGATATTTTTACCAGACATTTTGCTTAATGCTGGTGGTGTTACAGTTAGTTATCTTGAATGGTTAAAGAACTTAAAGCACATCAATCCAGGAAGAATGACAAGAAGATGGGAGGAGTAAGCAAAACATAGAATTCTTGAAGTCATTAAAATGAGTACAGGTCTCAATATCAATATTAAGGACAGTAAGATTGCTAAAAAGATGTTGGAAGGTCCATCTGAAGTATTTCTATTATTTAAATCTTTAGACTGATCTAGTGCATACAGCTTTGGAGTAATCCATGATAGAGGCAGTCAAAAATATTATGGCTACATCTCAAGAATACAAAGTCAATTTAAGATTGGCAGCTTATATTAGTGCAATTAATAAGTTAAATGAACATTTTGAAATTTCAGGAGTTGAAGCATGATTGTTATATACATAAAAATATTCATTAAAATAAGTCAGAATAAAATGATAAAATGGTTTTGTATGCTCTTCATTTTTGAATAGTTGCTTGCTCAGGATTTCCATGTCACAATAGAGGAAATTAAAGAAGAAATCAGTAAGATCTCCATTTATTCAGATAGATAAAAGGAAGATTTACTTTGGATCTACAGTGAGAATAGAACATTAAAGTTCAGCATATTTCCTCCACTCACACTTGGTGTCTTATGGAAGTGGATCAGGATAGCAATCTGTCACTGGAATGCAGGCTGATAATGATTACAATAGTTTATGGACTATCAAAGAGTGTCACAATCAACCTCTGAAAAAATATGGTATTGAATACGTGTGATTATTATAGATGATCAAATAAAGTGTGGAGATTGCATTAGATTAGAACACATGTTGACATTTAGAAATTTACATTCTCATCCTCATTAAGCTCCCTTTTCTGGAAATCAAGAAGTTTCTGCATATGGAGATAATGGCAATGGAGATGCAAGTAATTCAATTAATATATATTCTTTAGGTGATGATTGGATTGTGGAATGTATAGACTAGAAGAGTGGTGATAATTTTCAGGCATCAATGTACTTTTATTTGAAACATAAATTAACATCAAAATATTTGAGAAGCAATAAAAAAGATAATTTCAATCAGAGAAATTGTGGATATCATTGTCCAATTGAAGGTTAACTTGAAATTAGTGCTTAATCTGTCAAAAATGCAGATGCTAAATGGAAAATACATTCAGGACTATTCTATCAATAACCATAATAATTAGATGATGATTATGATTAAGATGGTAGACATTGCAACACCTATGGATAATGTGATGACATTGATGATGATGAATTTGAGACTGTTGTATAAAAAGACTTGTGATTTATATTATTATAAATATAATTATATATTATTACATTTATCATTTATGAGAAGGTACATTATATTTCTACGATTATAGTAAGTAGGGCACAACTATACAAAAGTCAGAAAAGTCAATTAAAAGTCAATCTGAATACTCTGATCATAATATTAGTTATACTAGCACTAGGAAAGACATGCTTAGTGAGAGACTGGTCAATTCAGGGGAACAGGCCAGACTTGAAGAATATTTAAAACAAAAATTCATAGATGTTGGGTGGAAAGATGACTTGAAAAATCATGCAAAATGTTTAACATAATAATATCTTTAGAATTTATTAGAGAGAATGGACTCAAAATTGTTCACAAGGAAGATTTATATAAATTATTATCTGTCAAAGGCAAGGAAACTGTTCCAATGAAATTAAGAGAAGACATAGTTAGAAGATTAGAAAGATTCATAATTGAACTTGAATAGGAAGAGGAAGGTGAGTATGATGATGATGATGATGATATTTGATATTGTTATTCTTTCTAAGAATGTTTTGATTTTATTTTTTCTATGTAATAAATGTCAAATGTTTAACTCAACTTATAAAGCAGTTAAGTATGACATTGGGCACACTTTACCTATTGTCTTTAATGGCACAGATAATCCTGAATGGATAGACAAACTATATTTATAATCTATTTAAATTGTTACTTCTCATTATAATTGTATTTCACATATTATCTGACTTCCAATGCTTAATTTATGTAAAGTCTCCAATCGCACTTTTTGACTTTAGCATGGCAGACCAAATCAAGATTCAATTAATTATCCACTTAGAATCCACAAGCTTTGTCGTTTCCTCTTCTTCTCAAATAACCCAATTTGATTTCTTGGTCTTGACAACTTAATTTGCTATCTAAGCTATTGGATGCCTTGACGAAAAATTCGTTTAAATTTTCAGTGTAATTTAATAGTCCATCAAATTTTAATTGATTAGTAGCAGTGTTCCATTGGATTCCTTCTCTTAAGTACCATTTTGGTTGTGTGTAATTGAAGTTGTAATTGAGGAATAATCCTGATTCACAAGTTACCCCTAATTATGAATAAATTCTATACATACGGAATGCCAGAAATTCTTGTTGACTTCTTTTTACAATCCAAATTAATATTATAGTTTTTTATTGTTCGAAAAGAATTTGGCAAAGTAGGATGCCTCGAATTTACCAAGCTTCCATTATCCAAAGTCTAAACCTAATTTCAAATCAGTGTGATCTTGCACTCTGAAATGAACCTTGGTACCATTCCAAGGGAAGCGGACATCGACCTTTTAACTCTTACAATATTTTCTAAATCTGAATGAGGTGTCTTAATTCTTCATTTGACCATTAATTTATAATGAGTGATTTTCAGGGTTGTCCACAAAGAAGGTGTAGAATGCACTATCTTTTATTTGGCTTGTCATATTTTTATAATTTTATTTAATAAATCATTTTATTTATAATCTAACAATCAAACAAATATTCGAAATTCAAAATTAACCAATAACCTCTGAAATCTATTGGAATCAATTATCGCAAAAATGAAAGAACATAGAAATCAATCGTCTCCTCTAAATTGTTTAGTATATCCTAATTATGCAAAATTTATTTTAACAATTAACTAATGAAATAGTTATTTCATTTTTTGCTTACAGTTAATTCTTATAATAGTAGAGTTATATATATATTTGAATAATTATTATGTGTAATATTGCTCTATTATTCAAACTTGACCCTACAAAAGTGGAAGATTCATTAGATTTATCAAGTGAAAAAGTTTAGATAAATCTACTTCCTCTTTACGCGATCCTCTGATTAAAACTAATCTACTTGAGTCATTAAGCTTGACTTGTTTGTTAAAAGGCTAACAATTGTATACATTGGACCTTTCAGGTTCAATCGCCTTCTCTAATTAAGAAATTTTGGCAACTATTTTGTTGACTTCCTTTGTATTCCAATCTGATGATACAGAATATTTATGTCCAACGTTTAATTTAGAATCTAAATCATTTTTTGTATGGTTTGTACATGAAATGTTAGAACAGAGGATCATTTTTTTGTAACGATGTTTCAAAGCAAATTCGGTTCTCTTCTTGCTTTCTGTCATGGCTGAAAGTCGAATGGCTATCTCAGCCCATTTACGTCCATGTTGTAAGAGCAATTGTAAGAAATAAAGATCCTCTGAATCACTCCATTCTTCACTGAAATCATAAAAAAAGACTTTACCGATTAATTGATGGATCCAATTTATTACCCCATCTTTCTCTACATTATTTTGGTGTTCTCGTGATTTTACTTTAACTTACATCATTTAGCTCTTTTGCTATCTTACTCCATTTGTTGCCTTTCTTCTGTTTCAAAAATGACCTTTAAGTTAGAACAACAATTTACAATATAATTTCAAGCAGTTACCAATCTTCTTAATCAGTCCAAGGATTATTATAGGCTGATTAATGTAGAAATTATAAACTCATTTACTACAATTCTTTCGGAGTCCTGTAAGTGGGCATCAATTCACTAATTAGCAACCATTATTCATCAGACTGATTATAATTTTTAAAATATACAAGTTTTAGACTAAGCGGAGCTTGGACACTAATCAGAATACACTGAAGTAATATTTCCTCATTTTTCTCTCGATCATCTGTAGCCTTACTTTGTTGAAGCTGGTAATACATTCCTTCTAAGACTTTGTAATTAGGAATGGAGTTAAAGTGTAACATCCATTTCCTTTTATATTCTTTTATGTCAACGTTTTGAATTTGAAGAAAGTTCAATTTATGAGAATGTTAGGATTCTTCAGTGGATTAATGATAAGATTATTAGTGAACATGAAGGAAGCTCATATTCTTATATGTTTATAAATTAATAAAATCTGTCGCATTCACATAATTTCTTTAAATATTATGCTTCCTGAATATCTTCCAAAAATATAAAAGTTTTAGTATCGAAAATTTATAAGTACAAATTTACGTTTGTACTATGAGTCATTTATCTCATAGATTACGTATGGGTAGATTAAAAATTACAATAACAAACAATTTAGAAGACTTGGTGTCAATTTTCCATCTTATTATAATAATCACAAATTTTTGGATACTTTTATAAAATATATTATTATTTATTAAATGTAATAAGGAAAATTTTGGAAGTAAATTTTAAAACTTGATTTCATTCCCTTATCTTTTATTCCCATAAATAAATAACATTTGATTTAAAATATATAGAAACAAAAATTTATTCAAATATAAGGCTAATGCTATTTTTAACTATGAATTTCCTTTATTTTCTATTTCTATTTGTAAATTCGATCCAAATCCAATATCTCCTGTCTTTTTTCACAATTCTTCTCCATGATCCTCAACTATTTTATTAGATTTAATAATTTTACATCCAAAGTCGGTATTTTATTAAAATGAAATCTGCTTAACTTCAATATTGTAACATCATCATGAAATGCTCTGATACGTCCAAATGAATTAAAACCTTTAGTATTGAACATCAAAGTTTCTCCAAAATAGTCCCCATATTTTATGTAATAATTGTTGAATCCATTCGGATTTTCTATTTCACACATGCCTGAAAGCATGATATAAAAGCCTTCTAAATGCATTCTATTGTATTTTAACTAATCTATTTTGTGCTTATGCTTGATAATCAATTTCTTTAATTTGCTTTGAAAGTGACAATGCTTGTATTAATCAATCAATCTATGAGTCATCTAGATTGTTGCTTTGGGTTATTTCCTAAGATGGATGTATTCAAAATTTTCATAGTAAGACCCATCATTAAATAAAACTGTATTTTTTTTGAGATTACGTTTCTCCATCAATTCATAAACTAATTTATATAGAGTTAAAATGGAGACTCCTTTAAAAATGGACAATTATTGTAATCTTGTCAATAATTCAATACCTTCCATCTATTGTTGAGCCTCCCATAACTCTTCAAAGTAGTTCTTCTGAATTGAGATCAATTCTAATCTTGTCTGAGTTAAAAACCATATGTCTGAGATGTTGCATAAACCATTGTCTTTGTCTGGACAGCCAAGTATATCTCCTTGTTTATAATTAGCTTAATTTCAAAATAATTATTACCAATTATATCTGGTCTCTTATATTAAACTCGATGATCGTAGACATTCACATTACCTGCCACAATTATGTGCACTTCATTTTCCTTAGGAAATATTACATTATCCTTTTCAACTACAATCAATTTCATATTCTTCAAAAATACTCTCTTAAATAATGATAAATAAATAATACTAGAATGCTGGTGGCAATTCTCTTAAAGAAGCTTGTTTACTTGAGTTCAACTAATAATTCTTCCTCTCTCACCCATTGTTGATTAATCCAAAATTTAACTAGATTCTCGATGTAAACATCTTACTCTATAATTGATGTTACCAATTTATGAAATTCACAAAAAACTAATGGATTAAATTTTATTTCTAGTTATCTTTTTTAACTAAATAAGACTGCTAGCATGAAGTGAATACACAAACTATAATTTGTAGCTCTTGACGATTCTTTAACTATTTTATAATCTTCTGCAGCTCTTTCTAAATTGAACATTCTTTTTGCACAAATCCCTCTCAAATATACATACAATGATCTGTCTTTAGAGTTATCATTTTGAATAATTAAATCCAATAATTGTTATGATGCTTTAAATGATCCAGTTTTGTATAAACAAAGTGCATATCTAAATTTAAGCTGATTGGTTTCTGCAAATTATAAGGCTAATTGGAACCACTTTTTGGCAGTCATGATTTTGCCCAACTTCTCGTATATTATGGCTACTAACTATACGGCATTAGAATCCAAAGGATTGGTAATCAAGGCCTATTTGAAACAATGCAAGGCTGTTTCAATATTTTCTTTGAGATGTTTAATACCTTTATTGTACCAAAAGTATTTATCTTCCTATTGTTTCTCATATTTTTCATCTAACAAGGCATTAAAATTAACTAATTCAGTTTTATATTTAATTCTAGTTTCAGAATTACAATTCAGTAATTGTTTAGTTTTTTAGATCAATTATTTAGAATTAGCAACACTTACATCTGACTATTTATTTGATAGCATAACTGATTTATTTGATATGGTAGGATTGATGAGTTATTGAATATAAATAATATCTTCTTCTTCATTGATCTCAACATTTTCACTTCTTCCTTAGTTTATGTAATTAAATAATTATTTGATTTCAGGGATATTGGAACTTGTATCCTATTATTTTGGTTCATTCTAATTCAATGAATCATCGTTATACCAACCAATAATTTATTTGGTAACATTTTAGGATTGATTACCCTTAGTTAAACTTTAAGACGTGTTTTAATTATTATTTAAAGTAGCTCTACGACTTACTTAAGAGACCTTGGGATTCTATTAAATTGATGATCTGATATTAGCTTATTTCATTGATGCTTAATGAGGTTTGTAATCAATTGAATCAGTTTCACACATCTTAAGTTTGTCCTCTTTCACAAGTTTTAGATTGACCTTTTCCACCAGATTGCCTTCAAATTTTTCTTTGGTTTTTGTTTAATCGCCTTTACTTCTGCATTCTTTGATATATTCAATCATCCCGTTAGCTTTTTTTTGACCATCTTTATCTTTGCACTCTTTTATATACTTAATCATATCGGAAGTTAATAGAGAACTCTCCATTTCATCTGTAGTATGTGTTCTGGTACGTGCTTCTGAGTTTTTCTTAGTTTAATGGCTTTACTGCACCTTATCTGGATTACTTATTTGATTTTGAGTTTGTTATGTTTATGTAAATTGAAAAGGCTTGGGAATTAAATTTAGATTGGATATCTTTTATTCCTACTCAGAATCTGGATTAATTAATTATTTGATAGATTGAACTGCCTAATTTAATTGCTTTCTGATTTCTGCCTACTCCCTCTAATGAAATTTCATCATGGATCTAAAATTATTGTCGATCATCTATTTTTCCTATTAACTATTCTCACATTTAACTATTTGATTTTCTTCTGGATGCCTCACCTTTTCTTATTTTTCTATCTACTATTGCAATTAATTAATCTCCTTGTATGCAAAAGATAAGGGGACCTCTTCATTTTTAGAGTAATTTCTAGTAATGTTTTCATAATTCTATAGAAAGATGTGATTCTCAATGGTTCTTTTTTATTAATTCTAATGAGTTGGTTATTCATGGACACTGAATCTTCGGGACTAGTTATCAACACTGCTCAATCTCCTGTAATTTTCATCGGATTACAATAGAACTCCCCTTCTTCTAGATCCTACCTATTTTCTCTTGAGCTTTTTGTCCTCTCTTTCTTGGATTGGCTAACCGAACATCATTAATTTAGGTTCTAATTTGACGTGATTAAAGAGTAAATTCTTAGGATTCAATATACTTTCCCCATTTTGAATAATATATTTTTCATTTTTGGATATTTAATCTGTAAACAAATATTCTTTGATTCCCTTTTAAGTGGTTGGTAATCTGTATCTACTTTTTAATTCTTCTGCATATTATTATGGAACAAAGAATCTTTTCTTATTGTTGAGTAATTATTCCATTGGTCTATTTTGTGATTAACAATACCAATCATCTAATGCCTATTCTGTCATTTAATTTAGGTTTATCTATCTCTCTCCACTCAAACCCCTTGATTATCTAAATTGATCAATGTTTGCTGATAATGCCTGAGAATATATAAATATATAATCACTCTCTCTTCCTAAATTTAAATTTAACTCTTATCACTTTCATGAAAATCATATTTCATACCACAAAAATCATGATTCCTACAACAAGGAAGTTGCATCTTATTCTTTTATTTCATAATTTATATAATTTTTATAATTCAAATTCCTCTTTTTGAGCAAATTCCAATTCCTTGACTAGCTCATCCATTAACTTTTATAAATGTTTTACTTGACTTTCCAATTTCTACTTACGCCTTATAATTTGTTCTTTTTAATTCAGTTTCATGTCAATTATTTTATATTTTATATTGATATTAAAATTCATTCTATTAATTCCATATGTTAAACCCTGTCTCAAAGTAAATCATAATCAATCACACTTACTATAACTTGTACACTCTCTTTCCTTACCCAATATTAGGACTTAGAATTTAGATTTTCTACCTGAAAAATGTTTAATTTTGATTTAAATGTGATTAAAACAAATGGTAATAAAACTCTTCCCTAAGAAGCCCTCGCAAATACTTAAATCACATTGAGATTCTCTTATAAAGGCTATTTTGATCAATCTTGACATCATCCTTATGTAGAGTAATCAAATAATAAGGTAGTCTACTTATAGAGTTTAAATCGACTAGAATCATAATAAGCATGGCCAATCTATTCACTTGAACCAAAATTTATTTTATTTTGAATAGTATCATTTTGACTATATTCTATATCTTTTAAGTTTATCATTCATTGAAAATATCCTTCTTCATTTTCCATTTCGAATTCCTTCTACTTGGCTCCTACTTATTATGTTAGAGCATTTAATCTGAAGTAAACTTCAATAACATCATAATTCCTCTTTCATATGTAATTGTCACCATAACTCCTTTACACCCATACATTTATTTGAATATCCACATGATTTCTTCACCTCCTATTAAGTATCTTAATGATAGATCTATATAATTTGTAATTTATTCCCTTTAAAATCACTTTTTTTCTTTCCCATTATAAATCTAAGTTTAGTTAATTAATTAATTGTCTAACAGCAACTCTCATGTTACAAAAACAAAAGAATTAGAAATCCCTTATTTTAGAACTTGACTATGAAGCCGAATACAAGTCAATAATGAGTTCAACAAAAATGACTGAATAAAAAATAATATCTAAATTTGTTGATTTATATGAAGAGGTGCTTGTTTAAATCAAAGGTTCCCAAAATCTAGTATTTCATATTTGAATAATTAAGTATTTAATCAATAAAATGGCTAACTTCAAGAGTGGGAATGTTTTTAATATTGATGTATTGTAGTCGAATTTCAAATATCTAATCACATTGTTAATTCAAGAATTAGTATACATTTACCTATCTATATTTAGATTTAATTTTAAAGGCAAGTGGATTCCCAAAACGTTGAACCCAATAAATCGAATAATCTCGAGTTAAATTAAATAAAACTAGACCTCTAAAAATTAAAAAATGTAATACTTTTTTTATTGAAAATTAAAGGACAACACCCACTTGTAATATAAAATTAAGGAACTTGAATAAGAATTATATCAATAGAAACAGCTAAATACTACCATATGCCAAGATTTGTTAGAGGCAAGGCAAAAATATTAAGTAAATATGATAAAAACCTCTTTATTAAGGAATTATAAAAGAAATATAATTAGGAGACCCAAATTAAATAATCAAAATCCTTCCATACATTCTATGATCAAAATATAAAAGAAAAACTTAAAAAATTACATACGATATACTAAATTGACAAATCCTTAAATAATAAATCAATAATAAACAAAAAGTAAAAATTAACGATCATGACCGAACCTTGTGATTCCGATTCACAGTATAGCAGGTACAGCACGATTATACAACAAAATAATTCCCAAAATGACAAAACCAATAGCAGAAATATACAAAATCAAACCATTGAAAGTAAACTTTTTATTAATTATTATTTAGCTGTCACATCGGTTGGAACCGAAAATAATTATATATCTGATTCCTCTTCATGTCTTCTAAGTAGTAGTTTTTATAAGAGGAGAGAGAAATCTAACACCCTCTCGTTTGAGTTGTCCCAAGAATTGTATTAAAATATTAAGCCCGCATCCCATCAAGGTCTTCCCATTAACTCTAAAAAATAAAATATATAAACTTAATTTAGCCGATAATTGTGATTACTAATTTATTTATATTAAATATTAATCATTCATACTCACTAATTCGAAAATTATGAATTTCAACATAGGACCTAAGCCTAGTTTTAACATGCCTAAATAGATATAATGTCTTAAGGAAGAAAAACCATATTCTTGTGTGGAAGTAGAAAGCACAGATTGCTTTAAGAACGAAACAATTATAAAAAATGTTAGTTTTGCTCCAACTATTACTATCTTCCTAAGATTTCAAGATGAAGACGTGGTTAAATTCAAAGATAGACTAAGAAAATAGGTGTAATAGACTAAAGAAACCTTTGATTTTCATCCATCTCTTGACAAACCAAAAAAGAAAGGATAACTTAAGTCTTGTTTAAAATCCATCATTGAATGGGATGTTTGAGAAATTTCAATGAAGTACCTTTTTGATTTACTATATATATATACCTTAATTATAAATTAAACGAAGTAAAGTTAATGCTCTGGAATTTACTAATCCCTATTTTTAGCCATTTTCCCAAGAAATTCATTTTTGAGTTGAAAAATGTATTTTTATATATTGGAATCCCATAACCTCCTCGTTTATTCATGATCCAAAAAGTTATTCACCATCTCTGAATGGGATTTTATAGGTTCATAACATTATTTGAAAACTTAAGCAAGCAATTAAATATAGTATGAAGAGCAAAAAATTAATTATTAACACACCATAGCAAATTAATAATATAGGAATTATTCTAAACACAATTAGAACAATATGCTGACATTTATAATTATACAATATAGAACTGGACATAAATGCTCACGACCTTAATGTGCTTTAGGGAAAGGCATCATTTTTAATAGGATAGATATACTCAATTATCCATTAATAGATTCATATTTTCATTCATTGGAAAAACGAAAATTCCTTGCTTTTTAATATAGGATAGTATTATAAATATTTTTATTTATGAGATTCTATATTGATTAATAATAATAGGAAAATGTACATGGTAATAAGTTTGTATTTTTAATTTAATTCATTTATTTGATTAAAAAGATTTTATTTAATCTGAAAAAATTGATGATTAAAAAACTTAAATTTTATATTTATTTATTATTTCATGAACTCATATGATTGAAACGATGCAATTGGAATATAAAGTAAATGTATACATTTTAATGAATAATCAAACTCATATACAAAAGTCAATTAAAAATTCATCACTTAACTCAGCTTATTCTAGCTTAAGTTTAGGATTTTTTTATGAGAAAGAGCCTGGCCAATATTAGGTGGACGAGACACTTTTGGGTAAGAATCCTAAAGTTTTGTAACTTTTCGCAATCAATTCAGAACAAAAATAAGTTCTGTTAAACTATTTAGCAGCCTCTAAGTTTACATCTCCAAGAGTAGTTGAGTTTTACAACAATAATTTAGAAGGAGCACAAGAAAATTCTTTACCCAAATTATTAGTGACAAAATCTAATAGTTTCGTTTTAAAAGCTGCTGATCTATTGGCCTTGAGTCTTCTATAAACTATTCTAAAATGATAGGATATGGTATTGGATACTTTTCATATAGCTTATACCATTCTTTAGTGTTGAAAGTCTTCCATTCGCAGAGACTTACTCCGTTGGTTGGAAGTGATTCGAATATAAAGAGTCTGTCTGGTTCAATTTTGATTAGTAATCCAATGTGATCATAATCATTCTGAGTTAAGGCACGCTGGAGTTAACAATTAAAGCTTTTCCCTCTGAATAGCAATAAATCACCATCCTCAGCTTCCTCATCGAGCTACTAAGCTGATATTCGTTCATGCTAAAGTAAATAGATGGTATACTATACTCTCCAGAACTTTTCATAGAGACACAGAGATGTTAGTTTGTTGAGTGTTCCAAAGGAATCTTGCAAATGCAGTTGAATAATCTGAAACCATTTGGTTGTTTCTTGGAAATTGGAACCTTTGAATTGGAAGACCTTTTCAATTTTGCCTACGGGTTTGATTCTATTTGGGTAATACTGAATTAGTACATAAATTCAATAACATTTCCTTATTTATCCTTAATATCAATTAGTTAATAAGTTTAAACATCAAAATTTAGTACTCCTTCCAATTTGTGAGTTTCTGCAGAAAAGTATCTAAAAACTCTGTTTATAATTGAACACTATCTTAATTTATAACCTTAAATCCAATGAGGACTCTTTTTTAGCAGTGCTCCAAAAAATGGTTAGATTGCATTTCTGTGACTAATGGCCACGTTATCATTTAATTTACTAGAATACATTAGGGATTGATTGTGAATTAATAATAAGGAGAGATGATTGGGATTAGAATTGGTCTCTTTGGTTTTTTGGATCTGATCTGATAATGATTCTCTAAAGTCTTTGCAGTATTAACTATTAAGGTTTGCATCTTTAATAAATTTTTCATTTTTTAGGAGCAACTCCTTGTCATTAAATTCTCTCTATTGGAGATTGGTTAATGAATCCATTATATATATAATATTAAATGTTTTTGTTAATCTCAATTTAATTAGAGTCTTTCTCTAAGATATTCCTTAAGAGTAACAATCTTATCTTGGATGTGATCTGAAATTCTGGAAATCAAGTCCTGTAATTGCACTCTAGATTGAGTTTCCATTTAATAAATGTCTTGTTATTGTCTGCACCATTGGTCTTATCCGTCTAAATTGGACTAAAAGGAGTAAAACGAAATAAGGTTACTTGATTTCTCTCTACCTCAGCAGCATGGTATTCAACTTTGCCTTAGGATTCCTCGATGATGCTTTGGTAATTTAAGATGGCTTGTTCAAGGTTCTATCTTTAATCGGACCTGAAAATAAGATACAAAATTACAAAGTGTTTCTTTCATTGGTTAAGTCTGACAAGAACTATTACCAGTTCAAACTTTATTGTTTTTCAATATCTTCATCACTTGATTTGCTCTCTACAATTTGGACTCTCAAATTGGCCAACAATTGAAGCACCTTCTTGGCTGTATCTGAGTCAGATTTAGAGGAGAGTTGAGTCATCATAGTTAGAATTGGTTAGAACAATAATCCGCTGGATGTTGATTGACTAATATTAATGTGATGATCATTGTTTACCTCTACAATCTGGACAAGACTTTGTTAAATCTTCCTTTGACTTGAATGAATGAAGATCCTCCTGATAAATGCTCAATCAAAGCGTAAGCTTCATCGATGGCTGAGATGGCTTCAGTGTGATCCTTGATTTTGGATTGGAATTCAGCATATTGTAAATCTCTTTCGCTTTGTCCTGCATTTGTTTTTTTGGAGTTCTCTTCGATTTCAACAGACACTTCAGCGATTTTGTTTAATGATCTTTGCAAATTGTTTGTATTCTCATCCACAATTTTAGTGTGGGCTTTCAATTGGCTTTGATGATATGCCAAATTAGTAGAGAAATCATGAAGCAATCTGTTACATGAGGCTTGTGTATTTTGGATGTAAAGATCAGAGTCTTTTTGTTCTTATTCCAACATGAATCTAATTATAAATACAAGGTAGAACCTGATGTTATTGATATAGCTCTGAATTTCATGCACTGGTGATCCTGTGGCTAAACTAATTTAAATGGCATTCAAGAATGTTTTTCCCATATGATTGTTGTCGATTTCTGCAAGCACAACTTTTGGATCTGCGGCCAATTTGCTTAATGCCTTTAATGATTACGAAGTCTTAATACCAAACCAATCAATAGCGCTATAACGATTCTCATTTTTGTATATAATTAATTAAAAACGAATTATGCTTGTGCTCAAATTTAATGATATAATCACAAATCAGGTTTAACAATAATAACAATAATACTAATACTTCAAGATCATCCTCTCTCGATAGTCCAATCAGCATTTTCAGATTAAGAAAGCATACACAAAATTCTCAGGTCGCTGGTCTAAGGCAAGCGATTCCGAGAGATAAATAGATTATGTCCAAGAGAATTTGGATGTCAATTTGGTTGCCAAATTAGTTAATGCATTCAATGGCATCGAAATCATCATCAACACACCCTAAGAACTCTATGAAATGTATCAAATACTGCATTTCTTTCAGATTCAAGAACTCTAAAGTCAAATCGAAAAGTTTCTAATACAAGACAAATCCAACATTTTGATTGGATACCAATTGTCTGAATTGTATGAAATCGATTCCCTATCCAGCTTCTATTTTGAATATTTCAAAGAATATGGATTCTTGGGTATTTTAAATAAAAAATTTGATACAGAAAAAGCAAGAAAACACATTTACAAGAATAAAAACAGACTAGTTCCACTTCATTATTTATACTTATAAGCCAATCTATTCAAGAAGTTGCTCATACTCCATAACAATCTAGCAATACTCAATTTTGATAAAAACAAATTTCTAGATTAGTTTTAGATTGCTTTATTAATAAGTGAATATTGTCTAACCAATGGTTATGATCGAATTAAATTATAAGAAATCTTCTCTGATGCAGTCATTAAGGAGTAAGTAACTAATGAATAGAAATAAATTATTTTGATAGAATTCGAGAAATAATATAAAAAAAATCAAATGAGAACAGTTTCAAGCATTTCCTAATCAGAAGAAGATGATTTATCAGATACCACAATAGAAGTAAAACATAGAACCTCTGAAGTTATGATCTCCCAAACTCCAATCATAGAACCTATTGAAATATTTAGAGGCAAAGAGTTAGATCTCAAATTACTTATTGGATTAAAGAATTTATAATTTCATTTTAAGACCAAGCATACTTCATTTGGATTCTACGTATCAAAAAAGATAGAGTTAAACACATAGATATTTGATGAACAACTATAGCTAGTCAATTTGAATACTAAAGTATAATTAAATACAAGCCTAAGAGAGAATTGGATCAGATTTGATGAAAATACGTTAAATGAAAATAAGTTAAATGTAAATAATAGACTAATAATCTAACGATCGAAGGGAATATGTAGATATGAAGAAGATGTAAATGAACCTTAAGGCTAAATTAGATTAACAGGATGTCGAAGTTTCATAATAGAAGAAGTTTAAGTATTGAACACTTGTTTCTTCGTCCTTTCTTAAAATAGGGGTTGGTAATGAAATATAATTAAATTTTTTATTATAATTCTTAAATTTAATAGTAAGTGGACAAATTGCTGATTTATCTTCAAAATTTGGTAATTAAATATAATTCTCATTTCTCTATTTAACTTCAATATCTACCCTTGTTTCACTGAGAGTCTTCTCATAAGTTGTCTGATTTAATTTATTGTTTCTACTAAGTTATTCTTTCCTATCTATCTTCATAATCATAGTATATTAATATTTAGAGTTAATAATCTTTTAGCTTCACTCAACTCATTTTCTATTTTATTCAATTAGTACTGGAGTTTGAAATCATTCATAGATTATATTCCTTATTTCAATCATTAATAAACTGATATCTTCTCTGATATCCAGCAATCTATTTAGAAATATCTTAAATAAGCCATATGAAATTAAATACCGTTTCAGCAGTTATTGAATTTGTGAAGAAATTAACTCTAAAACACCAAGTGGAAATAAGCCCGATAAATAGCTCTTTCATTAGTCAAATATGGTAGTTCTCTCTAAATCTACCTAAAATCTGATAATTTAAACAGTACAATTAATAATTCCTACTATAAAAAAATTAATAGAATCAAAGTATATCATATATAGTTGCTGTTTACTTTATTTTTTTCATTATAATTTAATAAAATATTGAAATTTTTTAGGCTAGATCCCAATCTAAAAATATCTTTGGAAAATACAAAAATTTATATTACTAGAGTTAAGCCAAATAATTAAATTTAATGTGATAAAATTTCCCTTAGAAAATATATTCATTTTCTTCTTTGGATGATCTTCAGAGGAAGGTTAGAAAAATTCATAAAAAAAAAAAAATCAATCTAAATTTAATTTGTTAAATTGTAAGCAAGTTTTAAGAGTGCGGTCAGGAAATTTAAACAATACTCTGGAATTAAAATTTTTGAGGAATTGCTTTTCCTAAGATTACATCCTCCATAATATGATCAAATGCAAGAGCAAGTAAATGAATATTCTTGCATTCAAAGAAAACAACAGAATTATTATGGAAATTAGAAATAATGCATAATCTTTTCATCTATTCACTTGAGAAGTAATCCTATAGTATTCTTATTAAAAAGCCAAAATTAATTTCATTTATTAAATGAAAGTATTTATTATGCTTGTTTAAGGTACTCTCTAATCATAGGTGTGAATGGGACTACTCCATATATTCTGACATAAATTATTATTTTATATAAGTTCATTTAAAAATATTGTTAATAATCTAAGCAACAACTTCCAATTATTCGTCTTCCTCTAATTATTCAAATTTTTAGATCTCTGAATTTGGTATTGATAATTCTGTGTTTGATAAATAGTATTGAATCACATTTTTATCTTCTTCCTTTAATATTGACTCTTATGTAGCATTATAGATTATCAATAAAATATCACTAAATTGTGGTTTTAAATGCTCGATGCAATCTTTTACATCATCTTTGACAATCTGATTGCTTACAATTACGAGGGTGTTTTGATTCGATATAGTCTGATTGCAATTGGAAACCTTGGTCGTATCGCTTAACTAATCAAAATAATCGAATTCTTCTTGAGATATCACTTTTTATTATTTAAAATCATACCTAGTAGGTGGGCATTCTTTTTGTGAAAGCCTACGTATTTTGACTATATATTATTACTTTATTTCTTAACATTCCAAAATAGTAGCATAATTATACATGTGAATGCTAAGGTTGCCCCAAAATATATCAAGTTATTAACATGAGTTTTTTTATCTGATTTGAGAGGTCCCAATTTGGATTCGTTTTTTTCCTATTTACTAACCTCGCTTATAAATTCTGTATTTTCTTCATCCCCTATCATTTTAATTTTAATTTATAATAAAAGTGATGTTCATATTGTGCTATAAACATTTTTGGTCCTTCAAGACATTTTGGAGTGAAAATCATTTTCAAAGATAGAGAGAACCAATTCAATTTATTCAAAACATGAAAAGATTCTTAATAATTAATTATCAAAACCCATAACAAGTTTTCGTTTATTTATAAAATAAATTTTAATTATTCTTTCAATTCATTTAGAACATTGTATTGTCTTGAGTTTATATTCTTTTTGATAAAATTAGCAATTACTTTTTGTATATTTTAATATAATAAAGGAAAATGAAATTAGATGAAATAAAAAAATGCTTTAATTCTGAAAATCACTATAAACAGACGAAACAAATCAAAGATTATATTTTAGAGAACAACACGTAAGAGCATCACTAATAATAAAGTGAAATAACTAAAGTAGCAATTCAAGCAGTAGGAAATATTTTGGAAGACACTAAATCGTTACCTATTTAAAAAGTCTTATCTACAAGAGTACAATATTGTCAAATATTCAGTTAGTGAAAGAAATAATGGATTGTCATATTGCGTTGGTTATTGAAAAAGTATAAATTAAAATCATTCCGATTTATGAACAAACTCTAATAAGTTATTGCGACAAAGGACAAAAGCCAAAGCAATACTTTTCTGATCAACCTGGTAGATGTTATATATTTATTTTAAAGATGAACAACTAATGGTTCTTAGTAACACATTTATAAGATTGATCAGTGAATCTGTTTTTGTTTGGAATATTTGGCATCCAGTTATAGAAGGATAATAATCAGCTTACTCAAGAGTGTAATAAAGAAGATTTTAATTTTAGTTACAATATATTGGTTGCAAAAGGATTGCAATTTCCTAAACTATTTTATTTTAATTCTTAAAAAGTGAAGGAATTCTATGTCCACTCAAAGGAATAAATGCATAATTCTCCATTCGTGTACTCAAATAATATTTAACCTGATTTCTTCTACATTAAAAAAAGATTAGATGTAAATCAATTCTAATAAAGTGATCTCATTATCATTAGGAACGAATTACTCTGTAAGTAATTAAGATTATCACTTTTAGCATTAAAAAACAGTGATCTCAATTCTAGTTAAGAAAAGTTCATCAAAAACTTTGAAATAGCTTATAAGGACTTTGAAAAAACTTAAAGATTTGATGAACTTTAAATAACGATCTAATCAATGTAAATATTTGCTCTTAATTTTTACAGTTGTTTGGAGTTTGATGACGAAGTGTTTGATAAATAAGCAGCCATAGATGCATTTTAAAAGAGATTCCAATCAAATTAGAGCAATTTCACTCCTTCCAAATTACATGTAGGTGCTGGTGGATATTCGACTGATAAAATTAGTCAATTTTTATCTCATGGAAGTATGAGTGTAATTCATCCATTTTTATTGTCTTAGTCTTAAAATTCATCGCCTAATAATAATTAAAAGCAGCAACTGCAAATTTTAAATGAAAAAAATAGAAGAATCGAACAGTTATTGTTAGAAAACTCTCTTTTGTAGAAATAAATAAAAAACTTTGAAGATTAGATTCACACTTTAAAACAAAATCTATCTTAAAATAATGAATGAGGATTAATTAATATTTAAAGAAATATATTCTAATTTGCAATTATGATTTAATTAACTAAAGAGCATCTTCATGACTAAAATAAGAAGCTTACAGAAGAGAATCAAAGACTGGAATTGGTTGTCTACAGTCTCCAACGATAATTGTAAAATCTTGGATCTTTCATAGAAAGAACAAAATTGTTACAAGAGCAAGTTGATGAGCTCAACCAAGAATTGGGAAATGTCAGAAGAGACAACATTCAATTACAAGAGATCATAGTCTCCTTGTAATCTCAGCTAAGCTCAAACATTAAAAACATTCATCTTGAGAAACATCTTAATGAATTGGAAGTTAATAAGAAAATCTAAGAGGAATAACTAAATGTCCTTACTAAAGAAAATGCTAGACTATAGAAACTGGTGAAAGACTATAACAATAAACAAATTTCTAATATTCAATCATCTGCGGCTAAACTAGTTGAAATTGGAAATAAAATAGATTTAAAATTAGGTGATTAGCCCCACAAAAGAATGCTTAGCAATCCTACATTATCAAGTCCCAAAGGGATCTCTAAATAAGTATATCAAAATTTAGTTCAGTAACTTTCTAACTAGAGCACCGAAGAAAAGTCACTCTTTGCTTCTCAGTATTTATTATAATTATATAACGTAGAGCAAAAATCAAACTTAAAGATTCGAATATGTTCTCTTAAACAACATATAAACTATCAGGATTTCAGGCTCTCTAATTAGATTCGCCTTTACCTTCGATTTCTAACCTAACCAAAAAATGATTATAATAAATTAAAATTATTCGTAACATCTTGTGCTTACTATAAGATCCAAGAATCAGTTTATTATTCATAATATTACTAATAAAATAATGCTAAATGTAGGTACAATTTTGTACTCATCTATAGATATATCAAAAAGAATTTCATTCTAAAATAAAAATCATTTTAAAATGATATTATTTCTTTTATACTTTAAAAACTGTTTCATGAAATATTTCTCATAATGATTTTTAGAATATCAACGTTCATTATAAACTAATTATTTACTGTAACTAAATCGAAGAAGAAGTGTGGAATATTCATTATAATCTTAACCAAAAAAAATGATGTCAATCAAAATCATAGAATGAGTGCTTGTTACATTTGCCATAAAAATTCATCCCATTTAAGGATTCAATTTTGGATTTCTTGAGGTTGTAACTCAAAAGAACAGAACTTCAATGCAGATTCCTTTTTGCTTATCTATTATGCAATTAGCAAATATTTTTATTATGATTGTATTATACGATTAAATGTAGTATTCAATATTTTCTCTAAATTTAAAAATATGCAAGCACCAGGCTTAACAAAACTGCCTAGTCAATAGAAAGTTCCTAAGTATAGACCTGTAAGATTGTAAAACAAATTTAGTCCATCAATATAGACAATTTGATTGCCATTTGCACAGGGAAACTCAAGAATTGCCCAAATCATAAGAAAGCGCTTTATATTCGTGCATCAGCTTATATTAAGAAAGGAGAGTATTAAACAGCCATACAAGATTGCAATAAGCTTCTTGAGACTGACGGAGAGAACGTAGGCGGATATTATTTGAGAGGTATTAAAATTTGAAAATGAAGGATGTGCAAATGAAAAATTGGGTTAAATAGATTTAGCTATTGAAGATTTTTCAAAAGTGCTCTCATTGGATGAAAATCATGTTAATGCAGCATTTGCTCGTGCTTCATGTTTAAATTTGAAAGGGGACTTTGCTGGAGCTATTGAAGATTATACAAGAGCCTTGGAAAAGGACAATGCTAAATCTCTTAACCTGTCTAATTCTATCAATAAGAGGTCTTTGCTGAGGAATAGTTCTATGAAAAAGGATGAGCCCTATCCTAAGACTGATGCATTTTAATTTACTACTAAAAAGAATAAATATTAGCAACCTGAAGAAGATGATTTGATGAATCCCCAGAATGATGAGGAGTACCTATAGAATGATCAATCCCAAATTTAAAATTAGCCTCAGTAGACTAGCTTTATGAGTTAGAATCCTCTGTATACAAGCATCGATGCAAATGAATTGAATATACAAAGGCCATCCCAAATAATTGACAAAGAGATATCGTAACCAATGTAATAATAATTGATATCAATGATACCAGAAAACATCAAAAATGATAATAAGAAAATCTCAGATTGGTTTCATTCTCAGGGTTTTGAGGCTAGGAAAAAGGAAGACTTTATAAAAGCAATAGAATTTTATACCATGGCTTTGATGTTTAATCCCAATCATTTTAAATCGATATTCAATAGAGGTATAATTTGAATTCATTCTCTTGATAGGTTTTGCTTTTGATAAGCTCAGAATGTACAATGATGCAATCAGCGACTACACGAAGGCTATTGAATTGGATTCAAAGAATGCTTATGCATATTATAATAGAGGGATTTCCTACGATAAAAAAGGAGATTACAATTTGGCAATCAAGGATTTCGCAAAATCCATAGAGCTTGACCCGTCAAAAGCAGACTTTTATCATAATAAAGGATTTGCAATGAAAAAAAAGAATTTAATCAAAGAAGCAATATTAGAGTTTAATGAATGCATTCGGTTGGACAAAAATCATTTCAAAGCTTATTATAATAGAGCAAATTGCTATGAGAAGTTGGGAGACTTTGATAAAGCATAATAAGATTATTTGATTGCTAATAATGTTGTTCCGAATAACCCAAACACTCTAACTCATATTGGTATTTTGATGGACAGACAATAAAAATTAGAAGAGGCACTCAAATACTTCAACTCGTAATGAATTTAATTTCATTCTTAGATCTCTGAAGATAGATTAGAATTATGCTCCTGCATATAATGGAAGAGGGTTGGTTTTTGATAAAATCGGCGAATTTGAAAAAGCATGCTAAGATTTTAATAAGGCAATTGAGATAGAACCATAGAATCCAGTCTATATTCATAATAGAGGATGTTGTAAGAGGAGCATGAATAAGTTTGAGGAGGCTTTGGAAGATTTTAAGAAAGCCTTGTCTTTGGATTCCAAGAACCCTATTATTTACTCAAATATGGGATTAGTTTTGAGGAAGATGGAAGACTTTGAAACTGCAGCATATTGTTATTCACAAGAATTAATTTACTCTTAGGAGAACACAAGAACTTTAAATAACAGAGGGTACTGTTTGGCCAAGTTGGGTTAGTTTGATGAAGCCATAGCTGATTATACTAAGGCAATAAAATTAGATCCTGTGAACATTCATGCAATATATAACAGAGGGATTTGTAATGAGAGGATTGGAGAATTTCGTAAAGTAAAACACAATTAAATATAAAGGCTATAGAGGATTTCTCTTAAGTAATTCACTTGTAGAACGACTAAGGGGCTAATGCTTATTTCAACAGAGGATGTTGCTATGACAAGTAAAATGATGATAAAATTATACTAGTATTGGAGAAATGGATCTGGCTATAGCTGACTATTCTAAAGCACTTGAAATAGATAATAAAACTAGTAAAGTCTCATGATATTTAAATTATTTATGTAAACCTTAAAATATTAATTAACTTAAAGATCAGAATTAGTAATTTTATTTGATAATAGGATTTAAATTAGATATTATAATCTATTACATAGGTAGTAAGGGATATAAATAATAATGTAATTAGTCTAATAATGATACTTTATATATATTATTTCATTTTGATTATGCTCTACCTTTAAAATGATCCATTGATTCACTGACTCCAAATAGTTCCATCATATTGTCATACACACATGTTGGAAAGCATGCCTTTATCATAATAGCAAAATTAAGAATAACAGGCATAATAACAACAGTTTCATTTTGGAGAATTGCATTGACGATTCTTTGAGATGCATACTCTAAAGATATATGAGATTTTTACCTTCAGATAGAATTGGGAATAGAAGAGGAAACCTGGATTTAGCTCCATCGAACATTCCAGTGTTGATGAAATAGGGACAAATACAAGTAGTTCTCACTTTAGATTTTTTAGCTCTTAATTCAAATCTAAGGGATTCATCAAAACCAACAGCCCCAAATTTAGAAGCACAATAATCAACTAATCCTCTGACTCCAACCAAGCCTGCAATTGAAGCAATAGTAACAATATGGCCGTGATTATTTTCCATCATATTTGCTAGAACTTCTCTCACTGTCCAATGATGTGCAGTTGTATTGATATTGATAGTTTTAGTAATACCAGCTTCTGAATTTTGGAGAAGTTATCTTCCACTTACAACACCTGCATTATTAATCAAAATATCTATGCTCCTATTGTGGAAAGTAATGGATTCTGAAATTGCATTTTTCACAGATTATGGATCACTAACATCACAATAAACTCCAAATGCAGTTTTATTCCCTAATTCCTTATTAATTGCATCTACAACTTCTTACAAAGCAGTTGTATTCACATCAACAATTGATATCTTGCGTATTGAAATTGAATACTTTAGCTCCTAATCTAGCAAATCTTTTTGCCATGTTTCTTCCAATACCACTGGCTCCTCCTGTAATGAAGATATGTTAATTAGCCACACTCTTCTTCTTTAACCATCTATGATAAATTACATAATTCACCCATTATATTTTCGTACTTAATATTGAAGGAACAACAATCCCAAACCTAGAGCTGCTGCTTGCACTAATCCTTTCTTTCCTCTCTTTTCATAGAATTTCTTGTAGAGGTCTTAAGCCTTTGTGAGATATGGTTGTAATTTATCCATTTAAGATATTTATTTATTCTTATCAATAATTTACACTCTGTTTTATTGCCTCGTAAATTTTAAATTTGTCTGGCAAATAAATTGGTTCGTGAACTAAGGGAAATGGTGTGTCATAGCCTGTAACTCTTTTTATTGGTGCTTCCAAATGCAAGAAACACTTCTCTTAAATTAAAGCACTTAACTCAGCTCCCATTCCACAAGTCTAAGGTGCTTCATGTGTTATTATGCATCTATTTCATCCATTAATTCAATACCTTCCAGTCTTTTTCACAGAATCAACCAGTGTCTATCCATCATATGGGTATATTGTTTATAAATCAATTATCTCACAACTTACTCCATCCTTTTCTGCCAACTTAGCTGCTTCTCTCAACACTCTTATTTATGTACCATATCCTATCAATGTGATGTGCTTTCCTTCTTGAACTACTTCAGCTTTAGATAATTCCAACTAAAATTCATTCCATTTCATTGTACCTCATAATCATCCAAAGGAACCTCATCCTCAGCATTTCTATATAAGGCTTTAGGCTCGAAAAATATGACTGGATTTTTATCTCTTATTGATGCAAGCAACAATCCCTTTGCTTATATTGGATCTCTAGGCACTACGACTTTCAGTCCTGGAGTATGAGCAAAATATGCCTCTGGAGATTGTGAATGATATAAAGCACTAAATTATACTTTCTATTCTTACCCGTGTCCTACAGCACCCCAAGTGGTTCTTATTGTTAGACTTCCACAATTGAATTGATCCCCTGATCGATATCTGAATTTAGCTGCCTCGTTGACTATTTAGTCAAAGGCTGGGAATATGTAATCACCAAACTAGATTTCTGCTATGGCTGTGTATCCTACACTTGCCAACCCAATACCAAAAGCTCCGATTCCCTAATGATTTCTATTTATTCATACTTGCTCGCATAATGGAGTATTGAATACTCTATCAGTACCGTACTTTTCATTCAAACCCTAAGAGCATCGAAACACTCCTCCAAATTTAACATCCTCTCCAAATAATAATGCCCTTTCTTATATATTATGACGTACTTTGGATTTGCTCCTAATTCTATATCAAGTGCATTATTAATAGCTTAAAACAGGTTCATTTTCTACCTATTTGTGCTTTTAATATCTGAAGCAAATCTATGCTTTGTCGAGCTGAATCGATAAACTTTTCTCAATAATTACATTTATTTATTCAATTCTTATGTAATTCAATTTAATTTTATGATAAGATTGCCTCAATTAAAATATAAAGGGAAAAATTTGTACTTTTGAATCTCTTATTTGATGTCAAATTTTCAGAATGAATTAAAAATTATCATCTTTTATAAACGAAAACATTATTTTTGGTTAACAAAGAATATAACTACTTATAATCTATTTATGTGTATAAGAATTTGTTTTGCTTCATTTTATAAGATATCTCATTGAGAAGTAAATAGGTTGCAGAAACTATGTTCTTGGAAATGTTAATTTATCGAGTAGGGAAGGTTAGAAATATGAAATAAATATCATCATTTTAATAATATACAATTTTATATAATACATACTATCACATCAATAAATCCAGAATTATTAATTCAATTATTTTTATTCTAGTAAATATAATTCCAGAAACAAAGATTAATAGTGTGATAATCTTTTATATTTCAATCTTTAGTCTTACCCAATTTTCTTTGCTAAAAGACTGATTATTTAAAATTTGAAATTCGCACTTATAAACATACAATAAATTGTTGTTGGAGGAGACATAAATATTAATTTCAAATATTCTCAGTATTTAACTTATTTATTTTATTTGTATAAATTTTAATCTAATGACAGACCTTAAAAAAAGAAATAAAATCAGATTTAGGATTTAAATTTATTTTAAATTTTTAGTAATATTGCTAAATCTAAAAAATCACTATATTTTGCTTGAAATTTAATTATTAAAATACTAAATAATGGTAATATTTAAAAAGCAAAATTTTCGATTATGAAGAGTGGGATTTAATTACTATAATTGAGCAAATTAAGATTTGCTCGGATTCTAGAAAATTAGCTTTGATGAGTAACAATTTTGAAAATATTGAATTGAGTGCTCTTTGGAGCAATTCTAATAAGTGTTAGGTAAATTTAGTAAAATTAATATCTGAAAGTGTGAATATTGAAATGTTGAGAGATAAAGCTTGTTCAAGTTGATTTAAGAACTTTAATTGGCTCAAATTTTTATTTAAAATAAAATGATCCTAGCTAATTATATTACTTTTTGAGATTTATTTTTAATAATATAATATGAAATTTTTTTCAAAACTTACATAATTTTTTATCACTATTGGATCAAGCACAGAAAGAAGAGTGAAGAATATTGATTATGGCAACATGACTATAATTATTTATTACTTTATTTAACTTATTGGATATATTTACAGCTAATTTGAGAGCAAATCAATTAAATATTATGAAAACGACTATCTAGCTTAAATTAGTTAGTTATCATCAATTCCTTTTATGCTAATTATCATTCACTATGATCCATTAACTATATTTGCATATTACAGCGTATTCATCACCATCTGTGCTATATTTCTATTTTCCTTACTATAAATATTGATTAAGGTATCAAAGCTAATAATTAATAGCCTCTACCTTTTAATTCCCCAATTAATAAAATCATTAAATTTTACTTTCAAAATTTTTAATGGTTTTTTCTGACTCCATTTAATGAATGTATGGTCGGAGTGATCACTTGTGGAAGATAATCATACTTAGCACAACATTCAGTAATTAAGCCCTCTGAGTGTTTTAGCACAATATCTCCTCATTATTTAATAATTAGTTTTACTGGAATGATTATGATCTCGCTATCAGGAATTCTTTCTATATATTGCTTCAGGAATTATGAATTTTTGTAAAGAGGATTATTAAGAAAGTTCTCTACTCTAAATTTTGCAACAATCTTTTTACATTAGTTACTTATAATTTTATCATTTTGGAAATTAATGTACTCTGATTATTATGTTATAATACATACTTGCTATAATTTGATTATGCTTTGCATTTTAATTGATGTCGTAACCAACATTCCTTTTGGATTTACAAATGAAACTGTATTCTACTCTAAAATACTATTAAGCTCTTTATTTTTTGGAATCTTGATTACAATCTGGATTTTTACCAATAAAGATGACGGGATCATATTCTTAACATTCACAATATTGTTACCAGTAAATTATAATAATTTTATAGATAATTTTTGCAGCCAATTCCACTGTTTTTAGGAACTATTTTGAATAATAGAGTTTGAAATTTTGTGAATTTGTCGATTGTACTTTAAGTGAAGAGCCCTTAGAATATCTATTATTGCTCTCTCATCCATTAACTATGACACAAACCAGCATTTGCTAAACTTTAAAATTATTAAATATCCATTGTAATAACTGCAAGGATTTGTAATGCCCTTGTAATTAAAGCCTATCTAGATTTGTTTTATCTCATGGCCCTTTCGATAATGACAAACTTTACATTTGGATTCAATACTAATTTTAAAAATTAATTAAAATATCTATGAGAAAAGAGTATTCAATAGAAAATTTTGAATAATTAACAATAAAGTTTTCTACATTTCTCTAAAAATATAGAGAAAATTCATATCTATCTTATAAAAGTATCCAGGATATTGTTATAAATTTTAATAGATCCTAAAAGAATAATCAATAATATCCATAATTTTTTATAAGTTTAACAAAAAAAATCTAATCTGATACCAAATAGGAATTGGAACAAATAAATCGTTCAAAATTTTTGATAACAAAAACTGAATTTAAAACATTAACAGATTTAAATTTATTTTTTTGTTATGAAAATGATTTGATGACAAAAATTAGATAATAAGTATATTATTGTAAAGAATTTTGGATGCTCTATTAAAACGGTACTCTTAAAGATTTTAATGCTTTACTAATGTAATCAAAAAGAATATTAAATTAAATTGAGAAAGTTTAGTAAATTTATAAGTTATACTTGTAAAATCGAGAAGATTCATAATACGAAAATCTTTTGACTCTTCGAATTAGTTTATTAATTTCAATAACTTGTTTGGATGATTTGCAAACTTAATTAAAAAAAGCCGATAAATTATAAGTTGTCTAAAAGGAATCCCTATATTCACCAAAGTAATAATTTCATATTTTAAAATACATTAATAATGAAGCTATTTCAGTAGCATCTCTGGTCTCATTTTAATCATTTGGAATGATTGATTTGAAGATCTCCAATAATTTTAAATAATTTTTTGGTTATGATGATGATGATTAAATAACATAAATTGGTCAATTGCTACCAACTAAAATAGGCGATATTCATGATGGATTGGTTGAAAACTTTTTAATGGTGGGACAAAGTTCTAAAATCTATAATTCTCAAGAATCCTTTATTAAAAATAAAAATAATTTTATTGAAAATATCACAATGTGTTTGACTATCTCATTGCCATTATAAGCTGATATTCATTATTTTTTAATCATTTCACATTTATTAAAATAACATACGCTAGAAAAAAAAAATCAAGACTCTTTTGAAAAGGGCTATTTGTTAGTTGATGTAAACTTTTAAGTTTTTGGAATTAGCGAAAATATTTTTAAAAAAGTTACTTAATTTTCATAAAATGATAGACTTGATATAGAATAAATTTAATAAAAATTGATAGTATTTTAATTGATTCCTGATCTTTTTGTAAAGATGCAAGAATACTACAAAATCAAACAACTTCAAAATGCCCATCTAACGAATGATGAGGTATTATTCTTTAAACATGGGGGATCTTTTCAAATCCCCAATAAACAAACCTTTAGTAATAATAACTTAGAATAGAAAATTAAAAAGAAAAAGAAAAAGAAAAATAATTTGCTAACTAATAAAATAATTATAAACAATCTAACTAAAATTGAAAAAGAATCCAATTTTAATAATATTACCTAATTTCATTTTCCTATAGAATATTCAGTTGTTTAGAATTTAATAAATCCTCTGATTAATGGGATAACTTAGGATTTTTTGTATTACAAAATAGAAATAGAGTATTAAGATGATATAAATAATGGCAAATAATAATTACAGTTTTTGCCATCTTATCATGATATCTAAACTGAGTAGATTAACTCGAAAAATAGGTCTCAAAATTAAATTATGGTATAATCATTTGATTCAAAAGATGATGAATTTTTAGATTATCAATAAGTGATCGCATCATCCACAACAACATAAAGGAATAACAAAAATGACTTTTTTTATCAAGCAACTCTTTTGAACAGTTTATTGAATAACAAAAGTATACCGAAACCAATTCTTAGTCTTATCCTGCTATTTATTTGCTAAAATCTTATACTCCTTACTTTGATTATATTTATTGCTATGATGTTTTCCTAAAAATCAATATTACAATCAAATTGCGTGAGAATAGTTACAACAGATTTAGATTTTTTGGATGCTTACTCTTAACTGATGTCAGGATCTAGACATGTAATTTATTTTCGTGACTTTTATGAAAAAGTATCTGATTAGAAGATAAGGATTGATAAGAATGATATTGAATTTAGTCGAGAAAATAAATTATTAATATCTTGGAATCATATTAATCTTGGTATTTCACGATTAATTACTATTTATGAATAAAAGAGTCAAATCTTAAATTAGGGTTCTGAAGATGACCTAAACATTTCAATCATTAATAGTGATTTGAAAAGTAAAATTGTGTAGCAAGTCTAAGATTAGTCTACATATTATTAAGTAATGTTTTAAATATTTTTTATGTCAAAATAAACTTTCACTTAAAATTTGTCTAACTTTTTACAGAATGCTACTGATCCCTACACTACATAAATTAGTAGATCTTTAGTATATTATAATTATTTTGATGTCACTTAATTGGTTTAGGCAAAATTAGACAGTTGCAAAAGTTACAATTATTATATCAATGAGTATATTGATAGAATTACTTCATTTTTCTTTATAGGCTTGTACTTAGCAATTTTGATAATTGCAATTATTTAGTTTATGTTTTATGTTTAAATAAAAAGATAAATTAGTTTTTATTTAAAATTGTTTGTTTAGTTAGATTCTTATGATTCAATAAAATCTTTGTAGAGGTTTGAAAAAATTCATAAACTATTGAATAACCAATCAATAGCTCTGAGCAAAAAGCATTATGAAAAAATTATTGCTTAGGCCTCTCTTTAATATGATTAACTTAGATCCATCAATTTTAATAATTAACCAAATCTTATTTAACCTTAGAAGTAAAAAGAAAAGTAAGTTAGAATAGATAATCATATTTCTTATTTTTATCATATATTTGCTCTAGTTTTGATATCCTTAATACCTGTCATATATGCATTAGCTTACTAGTTGTATTATAACATTATTTCAGTTAATGTCACTCCAATCAATAATTAGGCAATTTAAGCTTAAGAAATGAGACTGAAATTTATAACAACCATCAATAGATATGATTAATTTTTAATCAAATCTTATTTTGAATCTTATTGTAAATTATCATAATCGAATGCTTCATATAAGTGTTCATTCAATAATATCTATTCTGATAATCAAATTTTATAGTAAATAGAAATGAATGAAACAATTATTTAGGAAGAATTAAACACTCTTTAATAGTTAGACTTTTCTAATTTTTTTTTCAATACAATAAATTCAAATTAATTCAATTCAGAAGAAAAACAATCTATATTATCCAAAGACACATGCTTATTGACGAATTGTGATATGAAGAAGGATATATTTTAAGAAAGGTTGTTTTAGGAAACTTTAAACTCATATTTCTTCTAAGGAATAATTAAACTTCATCAAATTGTTTCTTCCCTCTACCTTTAATTTAATTTGATATATTAGAATCTTAATACCCCTGAAGAAAAATTAAATGCAATCCAAGATATTATGGAAGAAAATGATTATTTAATATATATCTTATGGGGATTGGATGCGATTTAGTATCAAATTTCAGAATTTTCTCAATATTTTGTTAATACTTCATTAACAACACTAAATGATTTTACTGCCAATATGCTAGTAAACGTAATATAAAGTTGTGATACTTAGGGGATGTTATTGATGGTAGGGGTAATTTAAATTCTGTTCATTCAGATTTTAATGAAGAAATAGATAATTGCAAAATAATTATTCAAAATAGTTCCATTATAAATCATTTTTTAGAAAAACATATAAAGGTAGTTAACTGTTTATTAAAGAAAATTATAGAAGTGAGTATATATACATTGTATTTTGTTAAGTTTTAATATCATTAATTAATTTAAATTTGTAATAAATTAAGTTAATTTATATTTGTTATTTAATAGCATTTCTTTATTTTGATCTAAATTATATTATATTTAATTTCACTTCTTTATTACTCTCTTTCTCATTTTTATATTAAAATTAAAATAGAACCCAATTTTACTTGCAGGGTTTTGTGAGAAAGGACCAATCAAACTAAGTATTTCCTCAAATTCACACCTTCTTTCAAAAAAAACAAAACTAAAGGTTCAAACCTACGTAAATATAATATTACTCCATATTGAATATTGCAATTCTTTTTTAAAACAAATTTTGATCTACCTATAGAATGATTAATTCAAAAATAAATTAATATACTATTTATTCAATTGTTATTATTCATTAAATCAATTAAACACTTGGTAAACTAAGTAGAGATTAGATATCTTTTATTAGATTTGGCTCAGGAGTTATTGTCTTTATAATCCAATTCCCGTTTAGAAGCTGAAAAACTTTAACATCTCTGGTTGTCGTTTATTATTACTCATCATTTGCTATAAGTTCATAAGAAACAGTAAGCAAATTAGCTAGAGAATTCAATTGCACTCTATAAGGTAGACAACTGGGTGAGGAATCTAAGTTGATTAGTATTAAATTTTGTTTTTCTACTTAAGATTCGCCTATAAATCTGAATTGCCAAATTTTAGCACCTTCTTAAGTAGCAAATGCAATTTAATGATAAGTCTTGCCATTTTAATTTGCCCATTAAGCATCATAGACAGTCTTTTCTTCATCAAATTCAAAAAATTTTGTAAAAGTTAATTTTTATGTTTCATGTGAAAGCACCCATATAGATAAGGTTTTTATTCTTTGTAAATTGTAATTGTCATGTTTGAGTTTCAAATATCTCGATTTTTCATCATTTCCAGCAAATATACTCATATCTTTATCTGAGGGAGCCTGATTCCATGACAATGCTCTAATTCCATATGGCATAATAGTGATTTCCTCTCCTTCTAATCGAAATTAATTATTTTCATAAGCTCTGTGAACTTAAACAATTCCATCTACATATGCAATCACTAATAGTAAGCCGTTAGATTTGGAACCGAAATAAATATCAGCAATTAATTCTGACTTTTCAAGTGTTAGAGATCTTTATTTCCATAGCGTAATGATTTGTTTTTATCCATTTAAGTTTTCTTAGTATTATTTCTTTTCCTCACATATTTATATTGCTTTGCTTTGACTTGATATTGCTATCAACTATCCAAATTTAGGATCAGCCCATTTAACCTTCCAAGCAATACTACAACTAAATTTGAATTCAGAACTCTTTTCCCATTTGCTAATATAATTGAACTAAATAATACCCATCTACTTTATTTAAAATTCTTAATGTTTAATCGCTGGATGCAATAGCAAATCTGGAACAGTTTTAGTTAAAGGCTATATCCTAAATAGTATCTTAATGGAAAGGTTCAATTAGCATTAATTATTTAACTAAATTTAATTATGAATAAATAATAAAATTAAAACAAATACAATTTCGTATTTGCATTGATATCATTATATTGATTCTCTTTATATTGTTGGATAAGAACTATTTTTCAAACTCAACATTAAAAATATGATTTTCTAGAGATGTAATTTAATAAATTTATTAACTTATAATGTTTTCTGTTTAACCAGAAGGTTCGAAACCTAAGAAGTTTTAGGGAGGTCGAATTCACTTAAGACCTATAGATAGTATAGGGAGAGACTTTGATTTAGGAAATATTGAAACCAAAGGCAGAAGACATTTCTCTTTTGATCCCACACCAGTTATGCAATACAAACCTCAATTAAGGGTAGGGTTTCCAAAAAATGTCACTAATCCTGAAATATTATTTACTCATTAGAGTCAAGGAGGGCCTGATAAATTGACTTATATGCCTCCAATCAAAAAGCACAAAGAGTTTATTTCCACTATGAGAAAAACCGTCATTAACAAAGAAGTAATTGCATCACATTATTGTAGTATGAGGAACAATAGACTGAAAACCGAAGGATGATTGAGGAGCTGGATGTTTGGGAAAAAAAGTTTAGAAAATAATGATTATTTTAGCATATATTACTAATTAAAAGATATTAATAATGTAAATTATTAAGAGCAAAGCAGTGCAATAATTGGCACATCGTTCCCAATACAACAAAATCGTATGGCAATCATCTAATCCATATAACAAAAGATGGCAATACAAATTTAAGAATGCTTACTACACATATCCAAGAGATATTAATTAAGAGCATACCTACGTTAAAACCCCAAAAGATAATTGGGAATCAGTTCCACTCGGATGGGCTTGGATCTAAGATTTATTACATAGACATGTATTCATTTTGTTAATAAAATAGGTGCCTAATTTTTCATGTTTAATTGAAAGAAGACATAGATTATTTGATAAGTTTAATGTATATTTCTTGCCTGCATTCAGTCTTTTCTTTTATCAATTTTATCCCTTAGCATTTGGATTCAAAGTATAAGATCATGAATATGAGCTAGGTTTTAACAGTGTTGCCATTGGCAATGTTATATGTGAGAGCCAGAGATAAATGCGGTGATCCAGATTTCAAAGAAACATACCTTAGAGATATGTTATACAAAAACAATGAAATAAATGCTCTTTTTAAGGATGAGACTCTTCACGTTTTAGATTACGATTGTGAATATGATAAAGGATATCCTTGTACAGAAAAATTCCCAGAATTCAAAAACAAAGTAACAACACAAATTCATTTTTAGTTTTGGCAATTTTTCAATACTGATACATCAATGACAACTGGATATTTCAAGATGGCTGATGTAGAATCAGGTGCTGTAATGAATTTGAAATTTAAGACAATGCCTGTTCCAGGAAAATATAGATATTAAATTGGAGAACCATTTTATTTTTATGATTTAAGAGGTAATCAACGTATATATGTCTAAAGCCGAAATTACCCATAATGGATAACACAAGGAAGTTGTTTTAGTTGATGAGAAAGTAGCTTTGCAAAAAGTAAGACCATTTTTATTAATTATTTGAAAAATACAATAACATATCAATCTATAATATTAAAATTGTAGTCAATTTCATTGCTTTATTGCAATTTGCGATAAGTACTTGCTATTCTCTCCTTAATTTTTTCATTTATTTCTTTATTCTATCCTTTTTCATTTTATTTTTGTTCAGTCTCCTTTTTTAATATCTACTGGGGATTCAATTATTTCTATTCTGTCCATTCTATGACGAAATCATACCAAATCTAGTCCCCAATGATTTATCCAAATAATGAATACAGAACAAACTTTAATTCTTAAACATCTGATAAGTGACGCTTATTTTAATATAGTCTAAGTATCCTTTCTTATTCAACCTTTTGTAATTATTCTAATTACTATTATAATTGAACTAACTTTTAATTGTAATCCTTAGTCAGCAAATTAACTTCGCTTGGTAAATTTTATAATTTGAAATTAGATTCCTCTTTTTCGTGTGGATTTAGAGATTCCAATTCTTAATTTTCCCATTTGATGACATGAGCAAAAGAAGAAGGGTTGAGAGGATCAATACCTTATACGAAAACTGGTTTCTTAATAGAAACTTTGCTTTTCTTTAACATTGTTTTTACTTAGTTTTTTAATTGAAACACACTTATTGGTTGAGATTGAAATAAGGTTTTCGATGATTAGCTGCTTTTGAGATTGGAAGTTGCAGGAAGTAATTTTTGTGCTAGTAATCTGGTTTCTTCAATATCAATTTCAAGCTAAGCAGCCTACAATAGATAATTTCTTGAAGTGTCATCAAGATAACGAGGAAATTGATCTATCTTTGCATTTTCATTTATTTTTCTCATATTCTTAATTATTGAGACTACTCCCTCCGGAACTAAAGATTCATTTGCTTCTTAGAGTTATTTCAAAAAAATATCTTTCAAAAGCATTTTACATCTTCTCTTTTTTTGTCTATGCTCATCTAAATCCTTTTAAAGAATCTATTATTTTTCATTATTTTTATGAATTTCTTCCTTTATTTATGTAATAACCTTTTAGATATTTCTAATCTCTAATTCCCTTTACTACCTAATCTTCTCAACTATGTCCATCAAATTCCTCTTCTTACCCTCTTAATCAGGAATATAGCCTAGTCTTGCTTTTTCTTCCTTTGCGTAATATTTTCTTCGAATTTCGCTAATCTCCTCTTCGTGTTTGTTAATCTATTAGACTTATTGATTGTTGTCTAGTCTCATTTGATAGAGTATTTATTTGTTGTTATTGATTTAAGTTTAAAATTATTAGTAGGAGTCCATAAGTTGTTTAGCTGATGAGGATGTCTATTAACCAGTTTAAATTAGCTCGACTTGAAATTAATTTGAAGGCTTATTACTATAGTATTTGGCTTTAGATAGCACAACATCATAATCTATATATTATGCTGGGTTGCTAAAATATTCAGTTAAACCTTTAAAATTATTTAGAGTAGAAATTTTTAAGGCTTGTGATTGTTCTCTCACAACTTGCGCAGTTTCTTCATCAAGTTTTTGTAAATTCCAATTAGATTTTGACCTTCTATTGATTTTTAGATCATCTAATTTCTTAGTGACTTTTTGCAATAATAATGAATTTAAGATTTATTTATTCATTTCAATTCTAACTTAATCGAGAGTTTTAAGGACGGGATTGTTTGAATCTCTATTTGGCCTCAACATCTAAAACTTAACTTAGACTTAAGCATTTTATTCTTCATCCTGTTATTGAATTTTTTACTATTGCTTTTCTTAAGGTTTCATGATAGAGTTTATGATGGCTTGATTAATTTATGGTCCTCCATCATTATTAAACTCATTGTCTATTAATTTATTGTCATTTTATTTGATCTACTCAAAAGCGAAGGTTTTTCTATTCGAAATGATTTGCTCATGCCATTAATCTAATTACTCAAGTAAGTAATTATTTTCATCATAATTTTATTTTCTATGATGTTATGATGATGGTTTATGTGTAAAATCTCCACCATCCCCTAAATCAACTACATTTCTCATTCTAATGATTTTTCTATCTCCTATATACCGATTGAATACCTTTAGAAGTTGGATCGGCTTCCTCAAATTAATTGCTAGAGCGATTCCTCGGGATTTAAGTAGAAGGCTTAGAATCATAATTAGAAGGTGAGTGCATAGACGATCTAATTAGTACATTTTTTTAATTTTTTTTCATTAAAATAATATATCAAATATATTCACAAAGAAAACTACCTAAGGTGATCTTGTGTGTCTATCTACTCAGAACCTGATAATTGAAAACTTTTACAAATCAAGGAGGAACAGCATTCTTATGCTAAATCATCGTGAAATTAAGCAGAATTTGTATTAGTTACACATAAAGATATTATGTTTTACAAAATTCATTAATTAATGTTGAAATATGTGATTCATTCTTAGAAAATCAGTTTATAAGACATATCATTTTAGTTCACATTTTTTTATTGTACTTTATTGTAATGTCTATTTATTATTGATAATAATTTAAAAGTATTAAATCGCAAACATTTCTCTATTGATTTTGGCTTATGCTTAGAGGGGATATGTGAGAATAATTGAGATATGGAGAAACATAAGTTCTGCTCGTAAAGTAATTTTTGGTTATGACCTCAAGAATTATTAGTGTAATTATTTAGGTGTTAGTATAAGAGTAGGGAGGATATAAGCAATAATGAAGAAGAGCAGTTATAAATCACTATCAACATTCAACAATAATGTCAGATTTACAATTTAATGAGAACCTTTTATTTTTTATAGATTATGATTGTCATAAAAATTAGAAAAAATCTTAAATATTGAAAAGAAAATACAGAGCTTAATCAAAGATTTAGGAATATTGATTAAGGAAGGTCAAGGGAATCAGAATATATTTTAGAAAAGTTGCAGGAGATAACTAAGTCTGAGTAACATCCAATCCAGTGAATATGGGAATGCTTGAAGATCTTTAAATACTCACATATTAGCAGTTGATTTTATTGAAAACACATTTGAATTTATTATATATAAATAAAGTGAGAATACGAAATATTCTAATTATTTATTTTCTACTGTTAGCAAATAATTTTGAATATACATCACGGATACACTTCTTAATATTGCTACTTGCCTATGCATTAAAAATTTATATTACTAATTAATTAAATGTAATTTGATGTTCAAATTAACTAACCTGTCGAAGATAGGAAACTAACTCTCGTTAACGAATAAGAATTTGAAAATAATTAGAAGTAGCATGCCATCAAAGTGCTTCCATTAACAAAACGACAATTGAATAATAAAAAATTCAAGCGAACGACCACTATCATAGATGATGATGACCACGCTATCAAAGGGCCATTTGAGGATAGTAGAGTGACGAGAATGACCTTTGAAAAATGCAGACTTATAGAATTGACTAGATTTTGGCTAATAGTCGCAAGTGCAATTCTTAATATTTTAGAAGTATAATTATTTTGAATTAGTATGAATATAGCTTTTCAACTTATTTAACTAGAAATATGGAGAATGAATTGACTATTCTGCTCTATCTAATATTTTCGATGACAATAATAATAATATTTTTAACTATTATCTCTTATTAAATAGATTTGGAATATCGAAAGAGCTCAAGAACAATCTCTCAAAAAGCTTCATTAATGCAAACCAACCTTATTTGGGGTCTATTGGTCGAGTTAATAATAATTATACCAACATCCAACCCATTTACAAGAGATTAGTATGTGGTTTTTAGTCAAAGAGGGTCCTCTGAAATCAGATTCTACACAATCAACGAAATCTTTACTTACATAATGTTTTTCCGACTGTATTTGCTACTCAACATAGGCTTCAAATTTTAAACTTATTATTCAAACAGGATTGGAAGAGTTTGGTAATATATTGAATTATTTTAATTAAAGTCGTTTGTATCAAACTCGTTTTGGAACTCATTTGATGTTGAAGCTATGTATTAGATAATTTCCATTTTCTACTTTGAGTTGGTTATTTATAGTCGGTTTAATCTAATATACTTACTAGTTGGAAATAGCTGAGAGACCCCTTTTAAGAACATTCGACGTTATAAATACTTATAACATTTCGAAAAGTTTGTGGGTTACAATGATTACTATAGCAACTGTAGGGTATGGGGATTTCTTCCCTTACACAGATTTAGGAAGAATTTCAATGACTTTGGGATTGTTTTATGGTGTTACTATAACTTCTCTATTTACTGCCATTTTGTATAATATGCTTTAGCCTATTGCTGGGGAAAATAAATCGTGGGCTTTATTGGATAAAGCTTCTATTAAAAAGAGAATGAAATAAGCAAGTTCTAATATATTTTTTTATTTTTATTAATTAAAAAATAAGTAGAAGGTTGCAAAACGGCTGGAAGTTAAAGAAAATCTTAATAACATCGTTTTCAATTTGGAAGGCCATTTGTCTGATGTAGGAATAATGAGAAGGTAATTTTCTATAGAATTAATTTTAGAATGTACAGAGATGTAGATGGCGAGGAATTTATGGAAATGGTGAATAGGAAATTTGGTGATTCAAATCATAGTTTTAAGGATTTAATATTATATCTATAAAAAATGATGGAATAACATAAATTAATTCTCAATAATTTAGAAAAAAATTAGGATCTGTAATCCTTTAAACTTAAATCGTCCCAAGCTAAAAACTTATAGAATGGCTAATTTAGCTCTCCTTAAAGTTACCAATACAATTTAAACACAGAAGAGAAACTTAGCAAAGACGACAATTTCTTTGAAAATTTAGAGGAATCAAATAGAGATTCTTGTCTAATGAGCTTTCATGATTGATAAAATTATTGATAGTTAAAATTATATTATGAATATATAAAATTAAGGCTCCGTAGAGTTGTCTGGCAATCAAGTTTCAAGGGCTGGTGAAGATGAAGCAGTAATATATTAGAAGAAACTCTCTATTATCATCTTGAATCAAATCGAACGAAAAAGAACAAAGGCAAAATCTACAATCATCCAAAGCTCAAATCATAATCCCTTTGAGGATAGCCGAGTGACGAGAGTCTATTTTGAAAGATACAGAGTTTTAGAATAAGGGAGATTTTGGATTATTTGTGCTACTCTGGTCCTAGTTGTGTTAGAGGTGTAATTTATGATAAATAATTTTAGTATGAAGCTTCTTTTTTGCATCAATTAACAGACACATACGATGAAGAAATTAAAATATTGCTTTATTTAATAATGATCTTATCTATTGTTACAAGTAATTTGGTAATTTAATTAGTTATTATGACATTTATTGCTTATTTGGCAGAACTTGAATTTAAAAAACGTTCTCTCTCAATTCCAAAAGCCAGCTCCATATTTTAAACTAATTTAATTTTCCTTTTGATTTTGGAAACTATCATCCTATTGCCTTGTCCCACACCCTATACTATGCATTACAAGGTGTTCTTTACGTAGAGATATTCTGACCAAACCAGATTTTATTTCGTAAATGAAATCTTTACTTTCATAATGCTCTTTAGATCCTTATTGATTCTCAACATGGCATTTAAGTTCCAAGATTTCTATTCAAATAGAGTCAATAGATTGTGGTATATATCTTTTCAAATTTAGTCGTATATATTCAGTAGATTTTGGTCCTCATTTCATATTTAAGGTTGCTATTAGATAACATCCTTACAAGACTCTTTGTGGACTCTTTTGTATTGGATTATTCATTTTCTCTTATCAATTAGAGATTTCAGAGAGATCATTATTAAGAACAGAACAAGAAGTTAATAATTATCACTTAAATCATTCTTTTTGGATTAACATGATAACAATATTTACAGTCGGTTATGGCGATATGTACCCATTAACAGATCTTGGAAGGTTTTCAATGACTTTAGGTTTATTTTATGGTGTAGCATTAACTTCTTTGTTTACGGCTATTCTTTATGCTGACTTATTACCTTTCTCTTCAGAAATGCGCTCGATAACACTATTAGATAAAGCCAATTTAAAAATTTCAATAAAGTAATTTGCTCAAAAGGCTATGCTAAATCTACTTAAACTGCAAAAATACTTTTAAAGAAACAAATAAAAATAGATTTAAAGCAATCCAGCCGTTAGATAAAGAGTCTCTCACATAAAAGGTATATTATAAAAAACCGATAATTTGAGAAGGTAATAATGTATTGTTATAAAAATCAGAAACTACAGAACTATCGACACTGAAGATCTAATTACTATGGCTGACAGAAGGTTTTAAGAAATGACTCATTTTTTCTAGGAGTACTATGGCATGCTTCAAGAGATGTAATAATAACAAGAGTAATTGGATGATTTGGATACACAAAGACTTCTTTCTATTGAGAGGAGTCACTCAGTGACCTCGGCAAGTGGATAATTAAGGAGCAAGGATGACTAATATTTTGAAGAACTCATTGATTCTTAATCAGAAAACCCATAGTTAATGCAGTTCAATGATGAAGATTGACAAAATACGAGTTTAATTTCGTAATGAACATAGAGTTTATTTTTTCTATTTATATATAATCAAATAATCCCACCCTATCCAAGCAAAATTTCTAAGGAATTTTATAATTATAGCATTTTGATATGAGCCTCTTTATCCTATTTATCTCTCAATTGCAACACTAATCTTTTGGTCTTTGCTTATTCCTATACACAAATTGAACAATTCATGAACTTTATATTGTAGACCTGTTCACTATACTCTTCAATTCTAATTAATTTGAATCCCACTCTCTCGAGTAAGCTGGAACAATCTTCAGGAATATTTTCTTCATAATTTATTAAATCAATATTTGTGTCCATATATTTTTCCAATAATAAGTGCTCACATGATCTAATTCAGTTATTTATATACAAGTTAGTGTTATTTTGAATTCTCAAAGTAATTTAATTGTTGTTCAATGTATTACCCTCTCTTCTAAACACTTTCTCCACAACCTCATTCTTTTTAAAATTGACTTATTATCCCAATTTTTTTTATAGATAATTCAGAATTTCTGAGTGATCCTTTAGTGGAGCATTGTACTCTTTTTTTACTTGAAGCATTATGATTAATCAAATTATAAATAATATATAAAAAAATTATATTTGAAATGCAAAACTCTTCAAATTAACGATTCTAGCATATATCATTGAAAAAATTTGGTTAACTAGATGTGAAAAAATAGAGTTCATCCAGGGTCAATATTAATCGTATCTAATTTTTTTTTAGGGAATTTGATATATTTATATTCAATATTTATTAATTTAGGAACGATGAAATATTTTTCTAAACTAGTATATTTCTTTTTAACAATTGGCTCAAATACTGAGAGAAGAAAATCCAAAATAGATTATGGAAATCTTGCCATGATAGTATTTTATTTTATTTAATTGCTTGGATATCTATATAGTTAATTTGAAAGTAAGACCCAAGTGTTTTATGAAAATGATTATTTAGCGCAAATTGGTTAATACTCATCAATACCCTTTCTGATGATTGTTATTCATTATGATCCTTTTACAACCTTAGTTTATTACTGTATATTCGGAACAATGTGTTCGATATATGGAATAGTAATATTTCAGGTCCTTTTCAAAGTAAATAAGTACTTAATATCTAGCCCCTACCTCCATCTAATCTAATAAATAGATTTATCAAGTTTTACTTTTAGAACTTTTAATGGTATTTTTTAACACCCTTCCATGAAGCCATGATTGGCATTCTAACTTGCGGACGTCTAGCATATCTGGCACAACATACTAATTTAAACCCTCGCAACTGCTTTGCAGAAATATCTCCCCATTTTTTAGCCATAAGTATTCTAGGACAGATTCTAGTTGTCATCTCAGGATTCCTATCTCTATATTGCTTTAGAAACTATGAATTTATATAAGGGGATCTTATGAGAAAATTTAGCTATTTCAATTTTTTAACCATTTTACTGCATATGGTTTTGCAAATGACTTCCTTTTGGAAAGAAATGTATGATAACTACAATTTCATAATACATTTGATTTTTAATTTGATAATGATTGTGATATCATTAGATACGTTCATCAAATTCCCCTTCGGTTTTTCTTATGAAACTGTGTATTTTAGCAAGTGTTTGGTTAGTTCTTCATTTTTTGAAATTTTGGTTGCAATTTGGATTTTCTCTGATTTAGATGATGGCCATATATTTTTATCCTTTTGCATAATGTTACCTGTAAGAATAAAAGTTATTTTAGCTAATATTTGGAATTAATTAGACTTTGTATGATAATTATTTTGATAATAAATGTTAATAGTTCGTTAAGTCTAGACTTGAGAAGATAAGTGAGCATCCCTTAGAAGTTATTTGTTAATTATGCCATTCAGATATAAACTAGCAAGATGATTATATTAAGGTTCTGAAATATTTAGGAATACATTGCTAAAATTGCTCTGATTTGATCTGTCCTTGCAAATAAAAAATTAATAAATTTATATTTAATCAAAATTAGCTAAATACCAATCAAATATACTTATGGGTTCAGTATGAATTTCAACAAATGATCAAATCTATTATGTAAAATCCAGATTTATTCAAATCATTCGAATAATTAACAATTAAATTTGTTACATTTCTCTAGAAATATAGAGAAAATTAAGTGTTATCTTACAAAATAATTCAAGATGTGATTTACACCTTTTAGAAAATGAATATTGGTAGAACACCATATTTTTTTTTAAATCTGGCTAAATATATACAATACTAAAATAAATTTGACATGTAAAATATAAATAAAGCGTAAGCTTAAATATCACAAAATGAATATTTGACATTACAAGAGTTTAATCTTTTTTATAGATATGAGCAAAGTTTGGTTAGAAATTTAAATGAATTGTTAATAAAACAAAAATAGTTGTGGCTTGAAAAACTAAGAAGCTAAATCTAAATGGAAAAGATTTTGGCTTGTTCTAAGGAAATTATGAAAAAAACATTAAACGTAAAGAAAATAATTAAAACTTTTGAGAATTCAAAAGACATCCATAATAATGACTCTCTCTTAACTTTAAGAATAAAATTAGTCAGTAGCCTGGTTTGCATGGAAGATATCAATGTTTCAATTAAAATAGCAAGGCATATAGAAAGCTATGAAAAGGACCTCATTAATTAAAAACAATAAAATTTTAATTCAATATAATTTATATAAGGGTAAGCATTGTCAGTAATTTCAAATATATCTACTCAAACATTGGGTTGTATATCTCAATAAGTAAATGATTAATTTTGCAATTTTTTTGGATATGAGAGCAATTATGGGGCATCACTTACGAAAATAGAGTAATTATTGCCAAGTAAATTGGGCAAGATACATAATGGATTGATTGAATCCTATCTATAATAGGGCAAGTCGACCAGGTTGTATTAAAATTCAGAGTAATTTATCATAAATTCTGATAATCTAATTGAAAGAGTAAATATTTGTCTGAGTACTCTCTTCCCTTATTAAAATGGTTAGTATCAATTTTTAATAATTGGTCATTTATTAAAAATGATAAAATATGAAAAAAAAGAACTAGATTATAATAAAAGGGGATACATATTAGTAGATTCTAATTTCCTTATTTTTGGATTATCTCGAAATGTATATGAAAGAATCAATTATCAATACTACTATAAAAATGAAAGAGACACAGAATTAATATTGCCTGAATAAATATATGATTAATTGAACATTTAGAGCATAATTCCTCATTTATCTTTGGTATTGGAAGAGTATTATAAATTGTTGGCATTAAGAAATGAAAAGAAAATATTGAGATAAGATTAAATTTGTCAAAGGGAAATAGGAGTATTTTAGGCTCCATCTGCTGGTAGTTCACAATTCAAGACAGGTTCAACTGTTTTGACAAAAAAGTTTACAAATAAAAATATGATGAACATTCTAAAAAATGTAAATTCAAGTTTGAATAGATTACCTACAATGTCCAATAAACAATATCCTATAGAATACAGTGTAATATAAAAGGTGTTAAATTATGTAGAAAAAGACGCCACATGCGAGTTCTTATATTTTATTATCGAACTTGATTTCTTAGAAGATCCAAAATTGAGTGCTTCTCCAAATTAGGTAATTGCTCGAACTCCAGCACTCTCCGAAATATTGAGACGGCAGCAAATCAATATTGAATAGATTAGACATAACTAGAGCAATATAATATTATCAAATGATGATAATAATAATGATTAGATGGAATTAGTAGCAGAGGTAACAAATACAGGAACAAGAAGAAGTTCCAATGAAATAATAGATCAATTAGAAAAAATCATCATCTATATTAATGATACTGTATTGCCAAAATCAATCAAAGATTTTATCGCACAATTAATAATACAGATTCTTTTATTTATTGCTATTATTGTAATTATTTGTAGTCTTTTCAAGTATAAGAGGTCTATTCAATCAGATTGCATCGAATAAATCACTTATGATTTAAACTTCTTAGATGCCTACAGTGAAACAATGTCAGGATCTCGTCATGTCATATACTACAGAGATTTCTATCATTTATAGAATGACACTCTCATTCATTTTAGTCTTAATGAAATCAATTTTAGCAGATATGATAAGATATATGTGGCATGGCAACATATATCTAAAGGAAATATCAGATTAAATAATATGTATGAGAGTTACACTTAAATAGCTTAAAAGAGCCAAATTCAACTCTTGACTATTTACTTTATAAACTTTGATTTAAAATCTAAAATTTAATAAGAAGTCTAAGATTACTCAACCTATTATCAAATAATGCATTAAACTTTCTATCTTTAATATCAATCGTTTTCCTCTTCTCCTTAAACCTACTTATCTGGTAGAAGTGACTCTTACTTAACTTAATTGGCAAGATCTCAAGTTTATTACAATTTCTTTGATGTAATTGAAAGTGCAAATTAGACTCTATAAGTCTGTGAATCCTAGAATCAAGACATTAATAATTATTTTGATAAGGTCATACTTTATTACTTCTTGGGAATGTATAGTGTCATCATTTTAGTATTGATTTCCATTATAATCCATTACTATAGGGTTTTGAACTCAATCAAAATTTATATTAAGCTGTTCAAAATGTGTGATAAGGAGGATTGTTAACATATAATTCATTTATGTGAATCCTTAATAAGCATGGTCAATTACGATAAAATCTTTTTGAGACAATAAGACTTTAAAATACTTCTGGCGTAACCTCGCCATACCTTAGATAATGTTAAAAAATCTTAATCTAAGACAACATTAGTATTGATTAGAAAGAAGAGGAATAAAGAAAGTCTATTAAAAACCGGCTAAAAAAATTTCAGCTATTATTCTATCATTATGTTTATTTTAATTTCAATAGGCCTAATCATTTACATATTGTCATTTCAATTATTCTACAACCATATTAAAGACTCGATAGCTCCAATAACCAAATAAGCTATCTTAGCACAAGAATCCAGACTAAATTTTATTGCCTCAGTAAATCGCTTTGATTTATACCTTATTAAGATATACTTTGAAACCTATTCAAAACTTAATAAAATAGATAGAGATTATGAATACACTACTTTAAACATTTAAACTGATACACAAATCTTATAATTATTAAGTATTGAATAAGAAACTTTGAAACAGGACTTGAATAGACTGAAGAGTATCAATTTTGTAAATTTAATCTTCGACAATGATCAAACTAATTCTTAATTGAATAGTGATCAATAGGATTCAATTTTGAAGAGTGATATTTGTATCTTTACTGGGTGTGATATGCAAACAGAACTTTTCTTCGATAGATTATATTAGACTGATTTGATTCCTCTTTTTTACACGGGTGTTTTGAATTTGCATAACAAAGTTTTAGGTTTTATACAGGAAGCATTTTAATTGATCTCAGAGGACTTGAGCGATTTGGAATTAATTCAAAATTTAGAAAACATTTTTGATGACAGTGACTATCTTATTTATATGCATTGGGGTTTAGATGTTATCCAATTCTAAATATCCTAATTTAGTTAATATTTCTTAGATATATCAAAATAAACTATAGATAGTCTTACTTAAAACAATCAATTATTAATAGTTTCAATCGGAACTCTTTTACTGATTTTAATTTCAACTTTTTCAATAATGCTTGTCGACCTGTAGTATAAAAGATATGTTCAATCAAAAGCAATTATAAAATGCATTCCACTTCCAATACTTTTTTAGAAGAATATCCCGAAACATCTGGAAAGCTTTCGAAGAAAATATGAACAGTGATTTAATTATTTACATTATTATAAATTTCTTTTTCTTTTATTTTTAATAGTTTATTAAATATATTTCAATTTATGATTTCGAGGATTTTTGAATATTTATTAAGGATTTCGTTAACAGATAATATGAAAAAAGAAATAATCTTTGAGTTTCCAGAAAAAATAATTTTATGGTTATATTTTTGTTAGCTGAATGGATTTTTGATTAATGGAGTGGAGAAGAATTTTACAATTTAATAAGAGAATTAATATTTATTCACGATTCTTGATTATGCTAACTTTATAAAGCCTCTAAGTGAATTTTTAAATTTGGAGAATATGGCTGTGCTTTTGATTGTGCAATTAATAATTTTGTATGCTGGAAATTTTACACTAATGTTGTTGAAATAGGTAAAAATATCAATTTGTTATTAGAAAGTTAAAGTAGTTTGTAATTACTTTATTTTATTTAATTGGATAATGGTCTCTCCATTTTAAACTGTGTTTGCCATGGTTTCAAGAAAAAATGAATTTATTCACAATTCAATTTCGGATTTAAATGCTAATAAATAGATTTTTTTCTTAATTATTTCTATATTTGGAACAATAATAATAACTACCACTTCTTTATTATCAAATTTTATTTTCTAAAAGAGAGAAATTAATTAGGGAATGCTTCTTAAATACAATTTTAAGCTTAATTACTTTATAGGCCCTTTAACTTAGCTCTTTATAATTATGACATATTTATTGTAAGATTAGTCATTGCAAATTATAACTCATATTTAACATTTAATACTTATGTTTATTCATTTAATAATAGCATTATAATTTCCTTTTGGACTTACTTCAACATCACTTCAGTATAATTAATTGATCATACTCAGTATCTCCTTTAATTTTCTCATCTTTATTTGGCAATACTTTAGTCATAACGATTAATTCATCTTTTTGTCTTTTTTTATAATCGGAATGGTAATTATGATATATTAAATATGTAGTTATTATGGTATTCTGTTGATTTAATATTCTAAAGAAGAATCGATAAGATAATACATAACTTTTGTAAAAAAAGAGACACTTCCCATTTAGCTGAAGTGTTAGAATATTTCATCTAAACTCATTCATATACTTTGAAACACTTACTTCAGTTGAATGTTCATAGAGTTCATTGTTAAGATCTGCTTTGTCCTTGTCAAGATTGTCAGTTGTTAGTAATTGATAATATTTCGATAGTTCAATTAGTAAAGAAGCAATAAAGGAAAAAGAAGTTTTTTATTTAAAAGTGGATTATGCATTAATACAAAACATATTTATTAAAAACAGAACTAACAAAAAAATAGTAAAATTTACTAATTTTGAATTATTTATCTTTCTAAAGAATCTTCTTGGAAAATTACGTTTTGATTTGTAAAACCATTTACTAATGTATTGAATAAACAGAAAAAGTAAAAACGGAGATGTACAATGTTACTCAAACTTTATTATATGTGATTCAATAAAATTGCAAATAACAATTAATTATGCAAACGTTGTAATAAGTAAAAATAACTTAATAAGAATTCATTATTATTACTGATATTAATATAATGTATGAATTAGCAGATAAGATTATTCTCCATTTATCTAAAGTAATCCAAAACTAAATTTAATTGTGGGAAAAATACTTAAGAAATGAGATAAAAAATTTCGATTAACTTTTGGAAATCATTAATTCAATCAAAGAATAAAAATAGAAATGCCAAGATCTGTTTGAATTATACTAAAACTTCAGAAATTAAACTAAAGAGAACATTTATTCTTTGAGAGTAAAATTATTATTTTACATTATCATATAGTAAGATTTAATCTAAATGACTAAAATTTAATCTTAATTAATGTAGTTAGAAGATGCATAACAATTTGATTTAAACTTAAATGACTTTAACAATCTGTCTTTTTTAACTGGTCAAGCTTTGTCTATAATATCAAACATTAGTTCGGAGAATCAAGGAAAATTGGAGCAATAAATAACTAAAGAATTTAATTAATTTTTTGGATATAATAAAGACGAAAAAAAATTGACTCATATCAAACAATTAATGCCATCCAAATTTGCAGAGGTTCATTCTGGATTAGTTGAAAATTTCTTTTTTAAAGGATAAAGTGATAGGATTAATAATGCTTCTGTAGCATTTATTTTAAATTCAAAAAATTTAATTGAATAAATCAAACTATGCTTAAGCTATTTTTTCCCTGTTAACTTAAGAGATACATCTTTTTACATGATTGCACATGTTTAGAAAACATCAAAATAAGAGTAAGGCATACATGATGAAAATTTAACAGGTTATTTCCTAATTGATAAAGAATTTAATATTTTTGGAATGACTCAAAACATTTATGAGAAATTAAATTACAGATATTATTTTAAGAATGATGCAAATGCGAATTTAATGCCTCCTTAACAATTTTATGATGATCACAATATTTTCTCATTGATACCATCATTTTAATAGAAATTGTAAAATTATTATGAAAGATAACCAAATGAAACTTTGAGAGATAATGATGTAATTTTAATTAAGGAGAGAGGTTTGCTAAAATTAGATTTTCAAAAGTAGGAATAGGAACCCTCTGCTTCAAAATAATTTAATACTAAATTTTCATTTGCTAAATTTACAAATAAGCACATTTTAAATTAAATGCTTGACAAAAGTACTGAACTATTTTAGAATTCTGAAAATATTAAATATTTCCCCATCGAATATACTGTTACTTAGAAAATCTTACATGCTTATAACGTAAATAATAAAATAGATCCATTTTTATATTATTTGATTGAAATTGAGATGTTAGAGGATTTTAAAAAGATATCAGAATTAAATATTAGTACCAATAAATTTTTGAAAGCTAATAATAATAAGAAGCAATAATCATCTTAACAATTAGAAACGTAAAGATAAACTACTGCTTAATTGCTTTAGTTTGAATCTATAAACTTTATAACAAGTGATCATCTGATCTCATAAAATGGTGATAAAAAAGCCTTTTTAAAAGAATCCCCTTTAGAAAAATAATAATAACAATAAAAGATATAATCAAAAGGCCTAATTCCTATATAAAATAACGCATAAGTCAAAAAGTCTTCAATAATGAATATTCCTAAGAAAGTCCACAATTTCGTTGAATTTTTACAAACGCATAATTACCCATCGATATTTCATGGAATGATTGGGTTAATAATAATTCATTTTCTGGTAGTGGTGTTCTATATCACTATTACTGCTATTTTATTTGAATAGAAAAAGGACATTTAATCGAATTGCATAATTTACACTTTTAGTGACGTTGATTATTTTAATGGTTTTAGTTTAATTCTCTCTGGTTCCAGACACACAATATATAACTCAAATTATCTAAATATATTAGAACCACTAATTTTAAAAGTTGACAATCAAGCATTTAAATTGACAAGTAAGGATTGCATAGTCATTTCATGGCATTTATTAATGTCAGGTCAATATGATCTTGTTGGAAAGTATGAAAACTATTCTAAGATACTTATAGGATATGAATAAAAATAGATTCCTTACTATTTTCCCGATTATTCTAATTCAAAGATCCAAAGCTAGATGTTACTTGATTAAGCTGCATATTACAATGCGATGTACCTTTAATTTTATATTACTTATCGCAGTATATTATCATTAAATGCGTACCTATCTGGTGGGAATGACAACATATTTTTGTAATTAAATTATTTAAATTTAGAGTGAGATAAAGATATATACTTTATTTCAATTATTAAGATGCCATTGAATTGACTGGTGATTCAATCCAATCGTGCTATGATTATAATAACGATGCAAATAAATATTTTGATTCTTTCACTTAAATATGGTTTATCAATATGTATGTGGTAGCAATCTTACTTCTAATATTCCACATTGCAACTCTTCTTAAAATTAAAAAGGTAATACAAATTTATTTGAAATAATTTATACAAGTAGATTATGAGGAAAGTTAAATAATAGTCAAATAATTTGAGAATATGTTACAAACCTTAAAATAAGAAAACATCTTATTGAAATACTAAGAGTTTGAAGCTATCAAATAGATTCCATAAAATGTTTTGTAAGTTTTGTAGCAACAAGAAACTAAAACAACTTTATCAGACGAAAATGAAAATAATAATAACCGCAAAAAAAGAGTGACATCAATTAATGCCAAAAAATTAAGTTTTGCTAACCCATCTTTTTCAATCAGGAAATCCCTTTTGCTTTATATTTTCTTGATGTTTCTTAAAATATCCTTTTTAGTCGTATTTGAGATCTATTATGAATACTTATCTTCTGGTATTGCACCTGCAGCCAAAAGAGAGTTAGAATCATAATAAATGAGGTTAGATTTCATTATGACAATAAATATGTGGGATACATACATCTTAAAATCATTTTATAATGCAACTCAACATATAGCAAATACTAGTTCTAAATTTAATTATAAAAATTAAAATATCCTCAACAACTAAAAGCTATTCAATTTGTTAGAAATTGATAAACAGTATTTATTGGAAAAAGTCAAAGTTATTCAAGCTTATGACTTAACTGATTTTTTATATCATAATTAAGATGAGTAAAATTCAAATTTGTTGATTTCTGAATCCAATAAATAAATCTTGTTGGGTCAAGATGTTTGCTAATTGACAAATTGTAATATGAAAAATGATTTATTCCATGATCGTCCTTATACTGAATAGTTGATAGACTATTATTAAGTTGGCCTTATATAATTATTTAAGAATGTCTTGTAAGTAATTACAGAGCACAATTATTTGATAACAGATGACTCTTTAACACCTGAATAAAAAGTTTAAGGGATTGCCTAGATGTATCAGTCTTTCAATTACTTTATTTATGTCTTTTATGGATTGGATGCTACCTAATATCAGATAGCATAGTTTTGTAAATATTTTTTAGATTAAACCTTAAATTAATTAGAATATTTAACATCATCAGACATTGCTTATATTTTATCTTTTGGGATTTTATTAATGATAATTACTTTTATCGGCGAATTCTACATAATCATCCATTACTTTAACAAATTTGAATTAGCAAAAGAAAGCATAAGACAAATCCCATTAGAGACCTTATTTCAAAAAGGAATCCCAAAAAAATTAAACAATATTATGATGAAATATAAATGAATTTATTTAAAAAGTATTTAATAAACATTTAATAAATATATAAATCTACACAAAATCATAAAGTTTAGAATATTTCAGAGTTAGTATTAATTATTTGGGTAAATAACTTGATCAATTTTTCATGAAATTCTATGTGAATTTAATTTAAACAATTATTGTATGAATCCATCCAATCTTATGAGTCAGGCAAAATTAGTTCCTACTTTATTTTAATTATATTTTCTATTCCAAATTCAGTTATCTTCTAAATCTAATATAGTATTCCTTTTTTAACAATTAAAAGTTCATTCTCATTTAATTTGTAATGAGTTTGCTCAAAGATGAAATCTTAAAAGGCATCTAAACATTTGGATTCATTCTTTTTTATATCATCACATAGATCTTATAGAAACTTTTACACTTTTTCCATATAAGTATTCAATATTTTATCTTAAATGCTTGAATCTAATTATTTCAGGATTGTTTAAGGATCGATTGAATAAATGCAATCAAAATTCAGATCAACATTTTGGATGTTAAACATATCTTCTTATTTCTCATCTATCACTTTAAGAATAATATTATATGCATTTCCTACGCTTCTCCAGATAGGTAATGGAAATCTGTCTCCATTATGAATAAATATATCGAATCCAATTATTTTTCCTAAACTGAAAAGTCTTTCTTGATTAAATATCTTTTTCGCTCTTTCTCCTTGAAAGCAATACAGCTGAAGACCAGGAATATATTCGATGATTTCAAAGTAAGCAACTTTTAATTTCTGTTTAAGTCTATGCGATAGTACTTCATCCGTTGATGCTGCAAACAAAATGTCGTTTCTTAGATCTTACATCTCTAAATCGCACCATTTTAAACATTTCATTTAAGTTGTCTTAATATCAAGTGCCTATGCTAATTTGTTAAGAAAGAGCTCCACACCCACTTAGCCTGATAACTTAAGAACGAGTGCACCTTATTCTGAATCTATAAATATCACTCCTCTGGAACCAGAATCACTCATCTTAATTGATTTAATTTTCTTTAACTTTATGAAATCAAAGTCCACATAAGGTTTTGCTGCAAAATCAAACTCTTACAATTATTATTTGGATTTATTGGCATTTTGCTCTTCTATTTGTTATTCAACTATTTCCTAAGACCTTGCATGAATGTTTTTGATCTATTTATTTTATTTCATTAATTATAATGGTTATTCTTCCATATCAGAAGTTTATATATTACAATGAATTCTGTTTAATTATGAAGAAAATTTATGGTTATTATAATTGTATGTTTTGGTTATTTTATGTGTATTTTGTAATTAAATCAAATTGATTATTGTTATGGATTATATCTTGAGATTTAAAGGAATTGTTCTAGTAATTTTTATTTAATGTTCTTATTACAATCACATTCTCATAATTTTATTCAGAAAAATAAATAACTAAACATTTCTAAAAATATAAACAAGATTTATAATTTATATGTCTTTATTTCAAATTTATCACTTCAATTCTTAAAGAAAATAATTTTATCAAAATCTATCGATATTTTATCTATCTCGAATTGTTAAATTTTAAGGATATTTTATTAAGTTTACTAGTTTATTAAAAATGACTTCCATATATTCTATTTGATTTGACTCAAATAATTAATTACAGATTACTTATTTCTCATTCATTTTATATAACAACCCATGATATATACTATATTTCTTGTTATCAACCATTTCCTAGAATGATAGTAGAAATAATTTCAATCGTTTATATAGAAAGGTACTTCATTTATACTTGAATAAGCAATCCCTCGTTTGACTAGATGATATCTAAACTTTTTGAGTGATATTAGAATTATTCAATAATTTATTATGACTTTTTAATCCATAACAAATTTGCTTTCATTTAATAAGAACAAAAAAAATGATAATACACTATTTATTTTTGTTTAAAAACTGGCCACTTACTTAATATCAAGAGTTTAGAGAACTCGGTTATCTCTATCTAAAATTAGCTAATATAATATTAAAAAATTTTGTTAAATAATGGGAGAAATTATTTAATTGAGTTTTGGAGATATTGCAAATAATATTGGACACTAATATTTAGAGAAACTGATTGATGATCATTGTCTAGATGATAAGAACAACTCAACAAAAGATTAATATAGACAAAAAATTCATGTATCATTTGAGGAGTTAAAAACTCAATAATATTAGTTTAGAGGAATATTTGTTAATTCAAGCGATTGTAAAATAACAAATTATATGATAAGAATCCATCCATAAACTATTAATATCTCCTGAATCTGAATACATCAATAATGATTTAATACTGGAGAATGGAAATAGAAATAAATCAGGTACCTTTTCAAATAGCTAATTGAACTTTAGAGATTAAATAAAAGATAAACTGTTTGAAAAATTGAGACATTAGATTGAGAAATGTGATAAATTTTTTGGATGTCAATTTGCTCATTCAACTTATGACTATTCATCAGGTTCATCGTCAGTAGCAATAGATTCATATAAGGAAGGCTATCCTTATTCTCCATTTTGCAGTTCTTTTTCTATACTTCCTAATATTGTAAGTTCTAATACAATTGAGATTTATAATACTTGTTTTTCAATGCATAAATTAATTGAGTATTGCGATGTTGTTATGCTATTTGATTATGGAGCTTTAGAAAATTAATTGACAAAACTAAGATAATTAAGCACTCTTGAAAATTGCAATAATGTAATAGCTGAATGTTTATTATAAATGAATTGCTCTTAACGATTTCCTGGTTATTAGAATGGAGACTAAAAAAAATTATCTACAAATCTAATTCCTTTTCCTCGTTTGCACTTCTTAACCTGTGCATTTACACCTATTGAAATTGTATCGGATTTGAATTAAAAATTAATAAATTTATGTCTGCCTACTAACTCTTATTTCAGCTTTCAAAACGCTACTAGAAATTTGTACCTTTCTCAAGCTTTTATTACTAGATGCAATTCATATTATTTAGATTTTTAATATGCTTTGTCAAAATTATAAAATAACATAGAATGGATACCAGATGCTGTATTTCACATCAATTGTAAAATTGAAAATAGAAATTTAGGAAAAACAGCTATGCATGTGGGTAATCATAGGGATTTAGGGCACAGTTTTAAATAACATTGTGAGATATTTACTGCAAATTTCAGAAGGAAAGCTTTCATCCATTATTATTTATAAGATGGGATGGATGAAATGGAATTTACTGAGGCTGAGTCAAATATGAATGATTTTATCTCTGAGTATTAAGATTATTGTTATGGTTGTGAAATATCAGAATATGAAGAAGAGGAGTAACAATCTGAATACGACTTTTGAAATTAATTATAAATTATTAATCATACATAAATAAAGCCATTTTCTAGACATTTCTAGAGAATATTAAAGTGCTAACAAAAATTACCATAATTTTATCTGTTGATAAAACTACAGATTTTTAGGATGTACTTTTTTAATAAGAGTTTAAATAGAGTATGTGGAAGATAATAAAGGAAGATATATCAACAAAATAAAATATGATCTCAATAAGGAATAAATAGAGTTTCCATTATTTTTATTAAATTAAATTGTTTTAATAGCAATATTATATGATGTATCTTATCAATACATCACTAGTCATAATTACTCACTCATAATATTATATTTGATAAATCAAATTATTATTATTAAGGCTATGGCTCATTCAATCCTATCAAATCAATCGTTTCTTATTGAGGATTTAAAGGTAATTATTAAGATTATATTTAGGCATTTTGAACTCCAAATTATTGTTAACTGTTTCCACCCCAGAAATTTGTTGATGGTTGAGTTGATTGATGGGATTATTCAGTATAATTAGTAGTCATGTCCCAGGCACTATTTGATGGAGAGGCAGAAAATGAATTAATTTGCATTTATTATACTTGTTATTATACATGTTATTGTTGTTATTATTATTATTATTATTATTATTACTATTATTACGGTTAATTGAATTGGGTATCCCACTAAAAAGGATTTGGACTTGGAGAATGAGAAGTTGAAACAAATCCAAAATTATCAAAAGCTTATTGATTAGATTATTGTTAGGCCCATTAATTAGAACTATCCCAAGCATTGTTTAAACTAAATCCTTATTGTGGATTGTTAAATTAAGCAAAAATATCTTACGATGACTTTGATTATTGTTATTATTAATTAAATTCAGAGAATGGCTGAAATTATTGTTACTACTATTATCTTTATTATTATTGTTATTATTATTGCATTTATTATCTCTAGATATATTATTGTTAAGGTTATCTAATTTACTATTATTGTTATTTGACTTAAGTCTTTTCTGTTTATATCTTTTTTTATAAGTTCATTAATTCATCAATTGGAATATCTCCATCAAATTTTTTCACCTTGAAACTATTTTTATTATACTATTCCATTTCTTGTTCCAATTTCTGTTCTCTATTTTTAATTTCAATTGCTTGTGCCTAAAATTTGCTTCAAACATATTACATTCAATTATATATATGGTAATGAATTAAATTAAGCTAGAATTCTTTCAATATCAAAAATAGATGGTCTTAATTTTGGATCAGGAGTAAGCATAAGTCTAATAAAATCAATCAACTTGTCTGAATATCTATGCTATTTAGGCATATTATATGTAGCAGTTGAAATGGCTAGTTTTGAGCTCTCCTGAAATGGATGAATGAAAAAACACAACGTGTATAGTACACATCCTAACATCCAAACATCGGCTTTCTCTCCTACTTCATATCTCAAAAACAGGTCAGCCATTTCCGGTGGTCTATACATTAAAGTTGTATTTTTTTCCCATTCTTCCTCATAAATTACGAAATCAGATTATCTGATTTGACTAAGATAATTAAGATAAAAATTCAACCTTAAGTCGACTCTTTGAGTGCTAGCTGATCCAAAATCACACAACTTGCATCTTCCGTTTTAAAATAACACATTCTCTATTTTAATATCCCTATGAGTCATAGCTGGTTGTAAAGTATGCAAGGATTTAATGCCTTATGTAATTTCCTAAGAGAATTTCAATGATCATATATATACTCTCATATAGCCTAAGAGTTATTCTTCTGGAAATCTTGCATTTGGATCTTTAGCCATCAAATCAAATAAACTTCCTCCTCCACAAAATTCCATTAGAATCAAACATACTTGCTGTCCTTTGTCTTATATAAAAGTGCCTCCAATGAAATTGACCAAATTTGGATGTCTAGGTAATCGTTTCTGGATAAAATTTGAATTTTTCATACCATAATTTCCAATTCATTTCTAGCTACTTTTGTTCTCTCCTCTCCTTAACAATAAGATTTTTTCAATGCAAAAACCTCTTTGGTGTTCACATCAATTGCTTTCAGTATGTAACCATATCCACCTTCAGATAATAACTTTTCTTCTTAAATTGTACGCCCATTAATGTTATATCTAGATAGCATATTAAAATTATTATAATCATTCACATTCACTCCAATTAAATTATTTATGTCGATTGTTAAGTTTGCAGGAATTTTGCTTTCTCAAACTCGACCTTAAAGAGGTAGATCGTTTGAACCAGCAGAAGTATCATTAGTTTTTAATTTAGGTAATATTTCATCATACATTCTTGAGTTTTTGAATTTATTTTAATATCTTGAAATATTTCATGCCATTGTATCATTGTATTTATTCCTTTCTGGTTGCAACCCAAACTGAGATATTTTCATAAGTTAATAATGGAATTTCTAAATTAAATCTAACTCATTCTTATCTTATATTTACCTAACTCCAAGTTTTATCTTTTCCATTTAGTCTAATAATCTCTTTTTGCACTTCAATAATATATTTCTTTTTGTGCTTAATTACGTTAAAAATAACAAACTATAAAATACCTATATATTATTATTATGATAAGAAGAGAAAAAATACAAAAATTTGAAGAATGGAAGACAATTATTGATATTACTTAAGATAGATAACTATTAGAAAGAATAAAATTAAAGATTCGTTATTTTAAATAAGACTATTGTTAAAAAATATAATAATCATTACTGTTTTCCCTTAACCCAGGTACCTTCAATGACATGCCCATTTGGTTAAATTAATTTACCTTTACCGTCCTGTTTACCATTCTTCCAATTGCCTATATATTTCTAACCATCTGGCCATCTTAGCTCTCCAAATCCATGTTTCTTGTCATTTTTGAATTCGCCTGAAAGTTAAATAAATGCAATACCAACATACTCCTTACCTTCATAAATAAGCGTACCCTATCCTTCCATCTTACCATCTACCCAGTTTCCTTTGTACACTTTGCCATTGTACCAATAATATTCACCATAACCGTGAAAATTTTCATTCAAGAATTCACCTTCATAGTGAGAAGAATCACCCCATTTAAATATCCCCTTTTTTACTTTTTTGCCTTTCTCGAAAAAGCCTTCAAATGAGGTTCCATTGTCCCAATGAATTTAACCTTTTCCATCCTAGTTTCACCTTAACAATATACAGGAAGCCCATCTTTAATTTCGCCATTGTATATTCCTCCATCTGGGAAAGTGTAAGGAACTTGAGAATAACAAGAGCCCATAAATTAGAAATAAAAATAATCAATCAAATTTATGTTCAATCAAATCAAGTAATCTAAGTTTGTTTTTATTAAATAGCCTAAGATCATCTTAATCAGCTGCTTCCATTAAATACGTTGCCAAATATTTGAGTTCCTAATCGTTTTTATCATCATGCCATTCTAATATGGGTATCCCATTCTCAATCTAAAATCCAAACGAATGAGCAAGATTGTCAACAATAAGCATATTCTTAATTTGCTTATTTGCTATAATCCTAAGATCCTTAATGTAGAACCCATTTTTAGTTTCTAGACAATTCTATCTTGACAAAATGCCTGAAATCCATTAGCCTTTAGGATCCAAGTACTTGACAATGGTGTTAGCATAAGCACTCGATGAAGCAGTATAGACATAGATTGTATACAGTAAACTCATTTATTATAAAAACCATTAACAAAATGGACGAACATTTAAATATATCTACAAAAAATAGAAATGTTGAATTACTCTTGCTTCCTCCCCCTATTCACTGACTGCCAATATGCAAGTCTAAGACTTTTCTCTAGCTGAACAACTGTGAATTAAAGTTTCGTCCAAATCTAAGAGCAGGGTTTTTGCTTTAGGAGTTCGAGCTTCTGGTAAAACTTGCATTTTAGTTTTAATAAAACTATTGCTAGGGCCCTTTAGACAACGAGTAGCATATATTAATCCTCTTTAAGTAAGTTGTAAGAACTTGTTGAATGCATGTTCCCCGATGGAGGGTCCATAGATTAGATGTCGAAAAGGGTGGTTGGAGAATTTACATCGAGCATTCTATTTAGATTTTGACAATTCAATGTCAGAATTGACATTCCTCTGCAATTTGCTATGATTATGAGATATCTTACACTTGAAAAACTTATTGGTTGTTAAACTCTTGCATCTTCTATTGGATTTTAGTTTCTTGGTATTTTACATTGTAGGGATCTTCATTGTTAGTTTGAGTTTTATAGGTATTGACATCTTCTTCCCTGTCTTCTTCAGCACCTTCAACGTCACCTTCTATTCCTTTCATTAAATTCCTAAATTTTGACAGTTTTTAACCTACGATATATTTTTTTTTACTTGTTGGTCCTTATTTCGCATTCCTTGGGGAATCTTTATCTGAATCATCAGTTTAGTATCCAGTGAGGTTTTTACTAAAATGTGACATTTTACTAGGAGGTTTACTGAGTTATTTTAACTAGAAATCATCCTGCTAATTAGATTCAGACTATTCATCTTCTGAGTAAAACTGTTTATCATTATTTAAGTGCTATAAATGTTAGGCCGAGGTACTGGCTCTAAATTTATATATATTATCCATTTAATTAAATATTATAATGGATTCTAAATTATTTGAAGAATTTGATTACTTGGACAAAGATCAGAAAAATCAAATGCTAATCAATATGAAATCATATATTAATCAGTTGCAATCCTAGGTTTAAGAATTGGAGAGAAGTGCCATCGATATAATCATAGAAAAGGATGAAAAGATTTTATAGTTAGAGACACTTCTAAATTAGCAATCGCCATCCAAACATTATAACAAAGATGAGGAAATCCTTCAATTGAAAGCGTATCATCTATTATTTTACACTAGCCATATAACCGAGCTCTACTAAAAGATTGACGTAGATTAAACCTAACATTATGAAGAATTATAAGAAATTGATAGAAAATGGAATTCATATTTATTAGAATAGATCCAATTAAGTAGTCAAGATGGGCAACAATAAAAAATTGAAATGTTAGAATCATTGCTTAACCTAGAAAAAAAGAATTAGAAGTATGATCAAGAAGTATACTTTAAGGTAAATTCTAGCTGAAAATCAAAGATAATCAAAATATGATAGACAAGAATACTATTAGCACTTTAATTAATAAAATTCAATAATTGTAGGATGAATCCTAGGAACTCAACTAATAATTGATCAAAATGCAAAGAGAAAATGATTAACAGCATGAACATTTTCAATCCAATAAAAATGCCCTCGAAATCAAAATCAATGTATTTTATCTATCTTATCAAAGAAATTAAATATATTGCAGAATCAAAGGGAAAAACAAGTCATGACTCTAAAGACACAGAATGCAAAGTTAATTTAAACTAATAAAGAATTATTAAACTAGATCAACGAATTAAGAGAATAACTAGAGAGATAGACTGAAATCAAGGATTAAAGACATTCAGAGAATTATCTTTTACAATAAACAGCTAATACAATCGATTAGATATAAAGAGAAGAAGTCAATATCACAGCATTTGAAATCTTTGAGGAAAGTTATGAAGAAAAGGATTAGATGACTAATTTGAGATAAATTTTAGATGAAAAATCAGAATAGATAGTTTAATATGAAGAATGTATTAGATAATCTACAAAATAGATAAAAGAACAAAGAGCACAATTATAATTGTTATAATATTAGCTCAAATAAATAAGATAACAATAATTCAATCAAAAGAATCTCAAAGAATATATATAGGCTTTGGAAAGTGATTTCTTAGTTTCCAAACAATTATTAGCAGAAAAAGCAGATCGTTATTAGGAATAGATGATATTATTGACTTAGGAGAATTTCAATCTCAAACAAAAAGTTAAATGCTTTTAATCCAGGTATCATAAGAAAATTAATAGAACTGTCGATTGATTTTAACATTGTATAATTTACTTTCTATATAAATTACAAAAATAAATTTAATATTAAAATTAATAAGAAAATTTATTATTTGAAAATAATCTTATTTTCAAATTCTACATTTTGACTTCTTGTTAATTATATAACATTAGCTATACTGAAAATCAAAGTTCAATGCATCTAAAAGTTATCTTAGCTAATAGTTAAGATGAAGGATTTTCGCGCTTGAGTTAAGTTTAATTTCAGATTCAATCTCAAGATATCACAAAGCATTATTAAATTTAATTCATTCTTAATTCATTGTCTAATTAATTTTATAATTTGGTGTTTAGATGATATATTTTATGTTGATTGTTTACAAGATAATTATATTATAGGCTCTAATAAAAATACAAAACTAAATAACAAATTTATTAAAATACTTTTATTTTATAATTAAATGTAAAATCATTGTGACTTAATACTTAATGAAAGAGGAGTTTTATGGTTGGGAGATTGTGAATCAGCATTTAATGCAGTATAAAATTCATTAATTTTAGGAGTTCCTAAAAATTAAAGGAATCAGAACTGTTATAACCGTGGCAGCAGGATTAAAGTTAAAACTTGATGGGATAGTGCATCACATAATAGAGATACTTGATAGTGAAACAGCGAATATTTCACGATATTTTTAAATTGCTAATGAATGGATAGAAAGAGGACTTAACATTGGTGCTGTTTTAGGTAGTAGAAATAAATTAAAAGAAGCGAAGTTCATTGCATGGCAGGCATCTCCCGTTCGGCTGCTATAGTAATTAGTTATCTGATTGAAAAGAAGAAGATGAGTTATAATTAAGCCTTGTCTTTTGTAAAATCTAAAAGACCCTAAATTAATCCAAATAAGGGTTTTAGCAACTAATTATAAGCATTTAGTGCAAAATTCTCTTAACCCCCATTGTGCAAAAACACAAGGACCAACAATTTCTAACAAAATCAAGAATACTATGAATGCAATCATTATTTTCCAATGAATCGGAAGGGATCAGCAAGAATCTTGCAACAAAATATGAACTTTTATAAATCAATAACTAAGTCTTTATCTTAGAGTAAGAATAGCAATAAATGAGTTTAATTTATTCATTTCACCTATCAAAAATGAATCTTTTTCATCTATTTATTTAAAACACTTATTTTAATATAACAATTTAGATGATCATAATTAAATTATACAATCAGAGGAGGAAGTGCTCTTTACTTAGAAGTTGATCGTGAATTATAGATTTTCACATAATCACACTTTTTTAATGGATTCTGAATTGTTAATTTTTTTTTTATACTATATATATATATAAAATCATTTAACGAATAGCGTATAATTAGCTCCTAATGATACAATAAATAAATTAACAAGAGTCTAATTTCTATATAATAGTAAAGTATTGAGAATTTGGGGATAATTTTTATCTTATAAATTAATTAAATGAGAAAATAATAATAAGAAGAATCAGAAGAAGACTAAGCATCTCTATTGCCAATAAAAAATCATATAAAACGAATTGAAGTAGATGTTTGATCTAGGTTAATTTTAGGAAATGTTAGTGCTATTAAATAATGATCTTGTCAATGATGCTAAGGATATTGATAAGAATAGGTAAGATATCCGGAGTTTAGGAGAAGCTCAAAATAAAGAAAGAACAGAATTGCATAACTCATTACTCGATCATTGTCATAAAATTGTAACTGATATGCGAGAATTAAATCAACAATCAAAAAGTGAAACATATAATCTTAAACAATAAGTAATCAACTATATTATGCAAAGCTTTCATGCCTTAACCAAGATAAGATTAGATTATAATAAAATTTAATTGTACTCGAAAATAAAGTAATAGAAACTGACAAGGACATCGGCTTTAAGCGTAGAAATTAATAATTAAATAAAAAAAAATGAATTAAGAGTTATAGTCATAGTTAATCAAAATGCTCTGAAGTTGTTCTCATTAACCCAACTTAAAATTCCCCTATTTCATCTTATTTCTATTGCTAATTGATCAACTCTTCTGAACTCCCCATTTCCTTAGAATGCCTGTCATATAGGTTGATAATCTGAATTAAATCTTGAGGGACATAATGAACATGAGTATCCCAAATATTCCAACTCAATTTCAATGGACTAGACACTTTTTCTTCCTGTATAGGAACAATTAAAGGGTTATTGCTACGAGGTAGGTATTGCTTCTAAATTGATATTTATGATTATTGTAAAATTCCATCACTTTTCCTTATATCCTAGATATCGCAATCATCAAAGCTTTTTGTTGACTTTTTTTATTATCTCTTTTGAAGCCAAGGATGCAATGAAAAGTCTTTTATATTTTATTATATATAAACCTTCTGCTGACAGTCTTTTCTCCGGATCTTTCTTTAATAGTCTCTTTAATAGATCTTATTCTAGAGGATTTAGCTTTTTAAAAGCCGATGTGTTTTTTACATTAATTTCTGAATCTCTTATCATCTCTATTGTATCCAGGACAGTTTCCTATTAAAATGGCAATTATCCAACCAATAATTAATACAAAATAATGCCTATTGACCAGATATCAACTAAAATAGATATAATTTTACCTTTCTCATTATAACCACCACCTAGAAACTGTATTTCGGGAGCTTAATAAAATAACGAACCAGTCCTTGTCCACATATCGATTTTTTTGGTGACCTTCCCTTTTACGAAAAACCTTTTAGAGACCCCAAAATCTATTAATTTCAATGTTAAATTATCTCCAATAAGAATATTATCTGGTTTTAAATCTCGATGACAAATTCCTCTTTAATGCAATTCTTTTATGGACTGAGCTAAATTTAAAGCAATTATTTGAATATCATCTACACTTAATTTTCCCATTCTCTGTTCTAAGCTCAAAAAAGGACAATATTCCATAACCAAGTGGTGTTCTTCCTTTTTAGAATTTATAAAAAGATCTAGTGCTTTAACTACACAATTCAGATCATTAAGTGTTCTATTTATGTGAAATGTCTCTCTGATCGTATTAATTATTTCTGTATCTCCAGTTCTAAAGATCTTAACGGCATAGGTGGTTCTATCCTATATATCTATATTATTTTAATCTCGCTTGTAACATTTCTTTACAATTCCATGTGCTCCTTCACCTAATGCTAAATATTCATATAACCGATCTGATGATGGACCATATTCATAAATATCACTAAAATGTCTAAATTGCTAATTTGTGCTTTTTGGTTGAGAATTTTTCATAGGAGGAGAAGAATTTTAGGGTGGAGGATTTTACTTCAAATTCCTTCTGCTTTTACTGAAAAGCGTATTCTTTAGAGAAGCTCTAATAGCCATCTGATTTTGCCGATTCATTTAAAATATAAAAAAATTAAATATTTTCTTATGAAATCATTGATATCAACTGTTGAAATCAATTTGAAGGCAAAAAAAATAGATTTTCAGAATATTTCACAATCTCATAATTTTATAATATTAATTTTTCTGAATTTATTTCAATAATCATTCTCTCTAGCCATTTTTTAACATTTCTTCGTAATAAATAATATTGCTATAATTTATTTCATTAAAAATTGGTTATATCTTTTATTAATTACAAGTGTTTTTATAATCTTAGAAGGTATTAAATTCTTTCAAAAATTTATAGACCTCTTGTCTAAAGGTTAACAATGGACAGTTAATGATTTCAACATCGTCGCAATATTAATCAATCCTATATTATTAAATTATATCAGAATATTTTTGGGTTATATTTGAAAACCTAGGCATTGGTTATGATTAGTTAAAAACTTAAATATTTTAGATCTATTTCTAATTTAATTAATACCTATTACTCATACTACTGAAATATTTAATTTGAAACTAATTAAGAGGGGATATTATTTTTAATAAATTAATTTTCTATAAGTTCAATGATTTCTTATTAGAATAAAACTATATATCCCTTCCATAGCATATCTTGATTTGTAAATCCCTTTAGTTACTTCAATATATCCTGACTAAAAAAGCTAATATATTTAGTTAAAAAACTGGAAATTGCCAGAGATTATTAATTTTTAAGGAATTATTGTAATAAATTTAACAGTTCAACAAAGTCATTTTCTTCATTCTATTAGCTTAATTCTCTAACATCAGTTGCAAGGCCTTGAATCTCACTTTCAGATACTCTTTAGGAATTTGAATTCATTAAAATTTAATAGAAGAGTAAACTAAATTTTTTCTAATTACAATTACATACATAGTCATAAAATAGATTAAATTGTAAAATATAACATGCATTGGTTTTAGGTCCTAAAAATAAATTATGTATGCAAATTTTAAAATCATCGAGTTTCATTTATAAATTATTGATTATTTTTAAATATTCTTCCATAAATTTCTTAAAACTAAATACTAAAGTGATTTCCTCTATATCTTTATGGTTTTATAAAAATCCCAAACCTTAATCCACTATGATGATACAATATTTCTTTAATTCGTATTTAATAATTTAAGGTTATATATCACTATTTATATTTTTAATTTGATCATATATTTATTTTTTCCTTTCGTATTCGGTTTCATTCAACAAAAAAAAAAGTTTTTACAAAACATTTTGATCTTCTAATATGCCATATGCTTTGGAAAAATAATCCTCCCCTTTAGCATAAAATTCTTCCACTCTACCTTATCCTCCCTTATGACCTCCCAACAAAAAGTATAAGATGCCACTTAATTAGAATTTTAAATTTAGTTATTTTTAAATTGGGCAAATATGGCATTGCTCATTCTCATGTATCATTTCTTCGAGATTACAAATGACAGTATGAGGACAGATAAATCCAGATTAATAATCTGTAGTCCTCTTATTTATTTTTTTCACGAGTGAAATAAACATACGATATATTTGATCTATCTGTAATGTTTATACCTCATCGAAATCAATTAATTTTTGCATTTTTTGCATTTTTCAATATAAATTAATAGGAAATTTTATATTAAATAATAGAGGAAAATTTATAATCTTTTTGTTGTTTACATTCGTCTGAAGTGATCATTAAAATTATAAGTTGTTTCCATTTTGAAAACTTTTGAAAATCAAACTAATATCAAATTTTACTTATTCTATCTATATAGATGTATCCTTTATAGTATATGGTAAATATTTTCTATTAACTTTATTCGAAATGTAAAAGTTTGAATAATAAATTTATAGTGCAATCTATTATAAGTAGAAGTATTCAATTTATTTCTTATTGAATATCAAGAAAAAAATTTTTTAAGTCAATTCAAATTGACTTAAAAAATTACTCTTCTTAATTATCCAACCTGTAAAAGAACTCAAGGAAGATGTTTTTTAAAAATAGAATGGTTTTGAGAATCAATACATTAAAGGATTTTATAAAATATTTATTGTTTATGAAAATGCCTGTTTAGTTATCAGTTAATAATTATACCTGAAATTAGTTGGTTTGATCGAAATCAAAGCGATCCCAAAGTCTTTTAATTGTACTCTCACAAGGCATTCTCCATGATATAAATTATGGATAATTTTGAGTTTTAGAATGACAATAAAATATATTGTTATTTATAGTAAAATTTCTACCATCTGCTTGAATCAAAATTTACTAATCAATACATTGATTTAATTATATTTAGATACAAAATTATTGATAAATTAGAACTCAACTAGTAATCAGGTAGCTAAATTTTTATATGTGATTGTGAATGATATTTCAATTTTTTTTATTCTAGGTATCCTTGATATATTTATTTTTCAAATGTGTTAAGGATACTGATGAACCCTTTGATGCAGCATCGAATACTCTGGTCCAATAATTAGGCTCATCGTCCTGCTTCATTTCGTTTTTGACTGGAACATAAATTTCTTTATGAAATATTTTGTGAGTTTCGTCATCCACATTGTAGGTTAAATAAAATCCTACACTCATCCCTGCTAATAAATTTAAAATTGAACTTGCCATTAAAAATAATATATTATAATTAATATGAGCAATAAAAGATAAAGCAATGCATCTCAATAATAACAACAATAAAAAAAACCTAATTTTAATGACTAGCCAACTGTAATTCCAACTAAAGATGATGATAAAAAGAGTATGAATGGTAGTTAAGTAAACGATTCTCATGATGGGAATTAATAATAATAATAACAATCAAAATTTGATCTTCCTTAAATCCCTAAATTTTAGAGTCTACCTTTAAGAGATTATTTTGATAATAAATTAAGTGCTATACTGTTGGAAGGATTGAAGGAAATAGGAAGATAGAGGTAATATTTTTGAATTATGTAATATATAGACCTGAAAATCCAATTAGGTTTTTGGGAGAATATTTACTCGAGCAGGATAAATAAAAATGAATATTTATTAGAACAATGACTTTAAAATAATATAAAAAATATATTTGTGTTTTCACTTTTTTTTGCTTGTTTTTTTATTATCTTACTTCTATTATTCTTTAGGTTATTCTTTATTGACTTCATTTACTTTATTTTATTACTATTACTATTCTTGCGGCTTTTATTATTCTGATTATTTTTATGATTATTAATCTTGTTGTTTCTATTATTATTCTTATTATTTTTATTAGTCCTTTTATTCTTCTAATTTTAATTCTTTTAATATAGATTGTTCATTCTAAATTTGTTGTTTCTTGGTATCTTTTTTTTAATTCTAAACTGCTCCCTTTTTATTAGTATTTTATTATTATTATTATTATTATTGTTGTTGCTGTTGTTGTTGTTGATTTTATTATTACTGTTAAGCATTCTGTTCCGACTCTTATTTCTATACTTTAACTTCTTATTTCGGGGGCGATGACTATGGGTCTTATTTGTTTTTTTATCCTTTTGGTGGAGACTAATCAACTTTCTCAATTTATTAGTTTTTCAAATCCAAACTCTATTTATCTATACTCTGTCTTTGAACTGGCTCTTAAGAGATAGATTGATGATTTAATTCTCTCCTCTTTTATTCCTCTCTAAATGCCAATTCGTACTTTGAAATTTCTTCTTAATTCTTTTGTTCTTTGTCCTACATCTTTTTCACAAATTTTTCTTTTATGAATTTTAAATATACCATGTGCCTCTTTAGCTGCCTGCTGAGCTTTATTTTATATATTCTAATTTTTCAATTTTTTCTCATATTTCAAGATTGTCTGAGCAGAAAATTCGTAAACATTCCCAGTAGGCAAACCCTTCTTACATAGTTGCCTAAGCAAGTCTAAGTAATAAGAATATCTTACATTCATATGCTTCTTGCAAACCTGAAGCTTGGATTACATTTTATTATTTCTCATTTTGTAATTATTTAGACATCTTATTATTATTTAATATAACAAATTTTATTTTGAAATTATTTAATAAAACAATTAGCCACAGATGATTATTACCCTTTTACGAAAAAAGGGTATTATGAAATTCTAAAAAATGAAGAAATGAAATAAAAGAAATGACAACTGAAAATCAAAGTTTATTGCCACAAGAAAGCTAAATATATTTTTTTCTTACTTTTAGTCTCTTACAGTACATTAAATAGTTTTTCCCATCTTTAAACTCCTTAATTTTATTCATTCTTATATTCAACTGCTGCTCAAAAGTTTTTTCAGCTAAATTTCTAAACTGAATATATGTAGTATTTTAATTATATATTCTATTTTTAAATCAAAAATTAATTCCATGTTATAAAGATTTAATTTACACTAATTTATGAATAGTCAATAATTTCCTTTTGATTTATGCTCTTTTGTTTTTCTCTGAGGGATGCATTTTATTAATTTTAAATGAAGAAGATGGAATCTTTACAAAAATAAAATTCGTTCTTAGAAATTCCAAGGAAAATATTACAGGAAGTTTTAATTTCTTAAATTTCAGCAAACAGAAACTAAATTAGATATATGGCAAATAGATATTCATTCTTGACAGCTTCTTCTTACAAGTTGTGGTAGAATATCATATTTCATATGGTGAATACAATTATGAATATATTAAGTATATATGATTTTAGATTATTATATAACTATCATTCTAATATTAATGATAGCATTGAAGTTTCAAAGCCATATAAAATCATCCCTCCATGATCTTTTAAGTATTCGTTTGTCTTCAAAATTCTCTATTATAGTTTTCGAATGTAGAGATTAAATGATGACAATATTATTTAAAGAAGACCTTGTTTTGCAATGCTCTGAAGGTTCTTCTTCTACACTATCATCAAGGGATTATTTTTTTAATCCACTCAAAGGATTCGAAAAGTAGTACTTTTAGTAAATAGCAAGTCGATTCATAAATATTAATTAATTAGTCTATAGAATCAAATTGGAAAATTTAAATACTCAGGGTAATTATATGAACTTATAATTTGTTGCTAAAGGAAAATATTAATAATTAGAATTTCATTCAAAGTATTTGAATAGCAATCAATTAAATTACTGATTGAATAATTTATTAAAAAATACTATAAAATCAATAATTTTAAGTTAAATTTGTAACATCTCTTTTGAATCTAAAGCATTTAGTCCATTAAATATTTTAGGGATGATTCGTCAGTAAAATAGCCATGGCAAGTCTTTTTAAAGAGATTTAAGCATTAACCTAATATTTTTATTAAATTACAAGCTTAGTAAATTTTGGATTGAAATCTATTGATAAAGGTAAATTATGAGGATATTGCAAAAGCAATCATTCTTACCATATTTTTATTATTCATACCTAATTACTTTAAATTTATAAATTAGAGATTGTCAGTCTCTTTAAAAGTACATTGATTTTAAAAATAAAGAGAATTTCTACCTACCTAGTGAAGGCTTACAAAAATATGATTGTGAAAAATATTTAAAAAACGAAAATGCTCTCAAATATAGAAAAATGGCAGTGAAGGCTATTTTCCCTATTGCTAATAAAAGAGGGAGTGCTTTGATTTTCAGTCAAATTGGTATGTAAGATTTAGAGAGCAGAAAATGTTTTTGAAAAAGTTTATGTGGGTAAAAGGGATGGCAAGAAAGAGGATTTAAAAAGTGATTTAATTGATTTGGTAAGAACAGATCTTTAAATCTGTTGAAGCAAATAAATTATAATAAAAGGTAATTTATTCTTATTAAATTTTCTAGTTACTTTAGCAATACCAGTTTATTTTGCTTAATCAAGAAGATAGGTCTAATTCTCAAAGTTTACTTAAGAGCTCAAGAATATTAGCCATAGGATTCTTTAGGGAATAGCAATTAAAATTAAGTTGAATAATGAAAATTCATATCAAATAAAATTCAAAACATTATGTCTTTGAAAAATATTGTTATCATTAATCCAAAAAAGGCAACATTATCAAATATTTTTAATATCACTATTCCTTATTCTAAAAGTGTGTTGCTTAATCGCTATCATTTATTATTCATCAGATGGCAAATAATTTTTTGAGAATATGAATCAAAACAATTTATAATTATTATGATAGTAGAGAATGTTAAAAAAAACAAATTCTCTTTCTCTAGAAAGAGTGAATCAGAATAATAATGCAAACTAGATTAGTTCAAGAATAAACTCTAAGGTAAGCTATTTTTCTATGTGTAGGGGATGTACTCCAATTTCTCAAGAATACAAAACCAGATGATTAATCATTACAATCATTTTTGTAAAGGATGGGGATAAATTTGGAAGTTGATGAAGAGAAGTATATTTTGGATATAAAAGAATACCATAATAACTATATAGAAGGAGATATTTTAGGAGAAGGTTGTATAGGGTTAGTAAAGAGTGTGAAAAGAAAGAGTGATAATTTTGAATTCGCTTGTAAAACAGTGAAAACTGATTCAGAAGAAATTGTAAAGAAGGTAAAAGTTGAAAATAAATCGAAAGATGATATTGGAGTTTAAAAACCTTAAGAGATTGAATCATCCCCATATAGTGTCAATGAAAGAGATTTATATCTAATGGAATGAAGGATTCTAATCCACTGGAATGGTATGTGTAATTATGGAGAAAATTGATGGGAGAGAGATGTTTGAGGTTATTTAATAATAAAAACAATATAGTGGTATTATTTTAACTAAGAAAGAGACCATTGCTCGTGTACTATTCATATAGATCCTAGAAGCCATCAAATATATGCATGAAAACTATTGTTGCCATCGAGATTTAAAGCCAAATAACATTTTATGTGCACATGATGGCAAATCTATAAAAATAACTGATTTTAATGTAAATGACTTATTAAACGTAGGTTTCAAAATTTAATGATAGTTATAAAGAGTTTGGAGATCTCAATTAACATGGAAAAATTGAAATGTGGACCTATACTGGAACTGTTGCATTCTCAGCACCTGAGATCTTTTCAGGAAACCTTTATAAGTAACTAAATTTATGTAATTAGTGAATAAGTTGATTTATGGAGTGCAGGTGTCATATTATTTGTAATGCTAAGTGGAGAATTGCCCTTCAATTCTGAATATCTCAACGATCTAATTGAGTAGATTAGATAGTGTAAATATGAGTTTGGCGGAATCATTTGGGATTAAATCTCTGAATCAGCTAAGGATCTGATTACTAATCTTCTATAATTGGATCCTGACAAAAGATTCACTCCAGAATAGGCTCTAAATCATCCTTGGATCACTCATGAATAAAGTAATTCAGATATTCCGAGATATTAATTGCAAATCAATATGGCTCGCATTTTGAGAGTTAAAAATATTAATCAGGAATCAAAGATCAAATAAATATGCTATTTATTTGGAGCTGGAGATATTTGGAAGAGACATTCTCTAGGTTAAGATACTAATCTAGATTTATATGACAATTTGAAAAAATATCGATCTATAGACATTTCTGATAGTTGGAAAAATGCTGAAATCAAAGTGACAAAAGATCAAAGCAAAAAGGGTGTTTATACTATAGATTATCCCTTTACCGATTCTGATTGAATTTAGAAAAATTATTAATTTAATAATTTCTTAATTAATTTTATACAAATATTCTTATATAATTCTTATTTCTTTTGAATATTCTTCTACTCAATTTTTATCTATTAATAATATTCAAAGTTTCAAGTTTAATTAATTAGGAGGATTTAAATGCTCTTGAGTTTTAATCGATAAAAAAATTATAATTTATATATAATGCTGAATCATTAATTTAATGTAAACAAAATTTATCTAAGTTTATATAATAATCATAAAACTCTTATTGGGTTTCATTAAAAACCTTTTATATCTGATTTCTCTTATATCTCTTTTAATTCAATCTAATCTTGGTCATTTTGAGGGTCGTTTAAAAGTGAATCTTTGACTTCATTTGACTAATTGCCATTCATCACAGATTGCACAATTTCATCATAAGTGATAATCTTCTATCCCCATTATTTGTATTAGTAGTAGATACCAGAGCAGGCTAAAATTATAATGCCAGTAAAATAAATGTAATATCTATAGTCCGAATTTCCTGAAATATTCTTAATTTCTGAAGGAAACCCTCCAGCAATCAAACCTATACCCTTAAACACTAAGTATGACTAAATAACATTTATATGTATACTCCTAAAAAACTAGTACTAAAAATGATTAGATGATCGAATAATCTAAACGATAGAGCAGTGCACCCAAAACTGAAAACCAACATAATTGAATATAATAAGTATTAAGAAGTAACAAATTAAACCAATAGAGCATTCCACAACAGTAAAGACAAGACTACTCCAAGTCCAATACCTATTGCAACAATTCCGATTTTGTCTAAGTGCATAGATAAACCTCCTGCAAATGCTCCGATTAACACAGCGATTATCAACGTTAACCACAAAAAAAATGGATTGTCTCCCAAATCAATTTCACTGGATATATATAATGCAAAGAAAAAGCCAATTAAGTATCCAAAAATAAAGAGGGTTGGCTTTAAGATTTGCTTACCCATTAAGCATTCTGTTAAGCCGATCATTATCAAAATTGCAGACAGAAATTTATTATTGTCATTTAGGAATTAAACAATTTAAGAAAATAAAACTAAGGGACATCCATTATCAGCCTCCATTTCAATGGTGTAAAATTATTTGTTTTTATCATAAGATATGTCCAATATCTTAAGTCCTTCTTATTGATCTTAACAATAAAGCACGTATTTTACATAAAACCCATTAAGTGTACTTTATTTATTTGATTATATTAATACTTGTTGAATTCTGCCTGCACTCCTTCATTAGATTTATCCTGATTAATTAGTTCAAAGGAATCCGCAAAGTACGAATCTGTGTTAATCAATGATATGCATTATTAATCTAGTTTTCCCTCGTTATTTATTATCACTGCAAATGTATTAAATGTAATTTCCGGACACTTTAAAATTGGTTGACAAAATCGGAAATATAATGTACTTGTTTCTAAATCATCAATTAACAGTACCGTTTAGAATTTGTTTATATTCCTTAGTTTATAAATCATCAAATATGTAAACAGCATCAGAATTAATTACTTTTTTGCATTTGCTTCCATTAATTGTTATTAGGAGGCTCCCTAAGATTAGTATAAAATATTTATAATTCATTTTTAATAAATGAAATTGATTAGAAATAATCAAAAATTCCAAAAATTAGAATTCTATGTTTAAATGATTAATAAGAATTACAAAATACAATAACCTTCAATTTTGTTTTTTTATGCCTTAAGATAATTAGGAAGCCTAATTTAATAATTAATCGGACCACTTTACTACTTTCTTGCACTATGAACAAATTATTGAGCCTAAATTGAATAATGTTCAAATACTTTAAGGTTGATGCAGAATATTTGCATAACAAGTGGTACATTGAAACACTTCATATTGGACAGGCATTTTAACAAATTTACCACAAGTGATATTCTTGCATTAATAGGGGGTATTATCTTCGTTTTCTTAATAGGCTAAGCAAAATGAACAAATCGAATATCTTAATTAAATTGATACAAAAACTTTTTATTAATTTTGTTTGGATTGGCAACAATAGACTTAGCTTATCTTATTTAAGGTATAAATTATATTTCTTCCACCTTGAATTCTTCATACATATAGTTTTGATTATTAAAGCTCATTTTTTTATATAATTATATAATTGATTATAAATTCTTAAGATCGAATAAATTTACTTCAATTATAATTAATATTTATTATTCGTAACAAAAGTCCAATTGACTTTTAATCCAATTTATTTCATTTTTGTTTTATTGAAATTGATAATACAATTCTCTTTTATCTTTACCCAATAATAATTTAAATAAATAAACTTTCTATTCATATTAATATCATAACCATTATTCTATTAATACACTTATAATTATAAAAAATAATTGATTAGAATCTAGGTTTATAAAGGAAATCAATCTAATCTTAATATGAAATAATTTTAATAGTTAGAAAAAGTAATCAAGATTAATTTCTAAATTTTTTTCCTCAATATAATTCAAAATTGGATGAATTTTTATTAACACTTTTTCATTTATATTTAAGTTGATATATTAAATCGATATCAAACCGTCTCGATCTGAATCTAATTATTTAAATACTTTTTCAACAAAACTAACATTGTTTACAACATCCCTTTCATTAGTATTCAATATTAGAATTTTTGTTATTTAATTTTATCATTTTATTTGCAATTAAATTTGCCAAGATCTAATCCTGCTTATCTACTTTCTTCTTAACAAGCCTAAATGTTTGATCCTTTCTTATCAGTGGTTTGAAATATGGTTAATTAGTGACTTTATCCTTTTTTTCTGCATCTGATGCTAATCTTCTTTATTATTACTTCAATTATTGATCAGCTTATTCTTAAATCAGTTTTTCGACATGATATATTTATTCTTACTTAGTAGGTTTCTTCTTAGGATTCAAACCAATATTTGGATGAAATGGATATACCTAACTCATTACTCTTTCCCTCAAAGCTTTTTTTTTTGCTTCAATCACTTTAGCATCTTAATATAATTTAGAATGAATTGGTTCTTCAGAACTACCTCTTTCTTTTACAATTAAACGAGATATGCTATTGATTCTTGGTATTGCATAATTGATTTATTTTTCTTCTTGATCATGTTCTTATAAAGCAGTCGTCAATCTTTTTTTCTAATTGTTGGCATCTGCATACAACTATTCAAAAACATCGGTCTCTTTTATTATTAAATTTGATACCTGTTTTATTTCTGTATAATTTTTGCACAAGTTGCTATGTATTTAAAGAAAGAATAGAAGTGTGCCGAGTTTTTACCTGAAAAACTATAAAAAATTAATACTGGGACTTTTAGCTGTCTTTTAATCTCTGCGATGATAAATTATTTTCCTTCCTATCTAATTTAATGTCTATCACAAAAAAATTAGGTCAAAAGTTCAATGTCATCTCCTTCGTAAATACAAATCTACTCTATTTTTTCACCTGTATCCAAACTAACAATTGCTTACAAATTAATCATAAGGCAATAAAAATTATTTAAGATGTGGGAAAAATTAATTCAATTAAATTTCTTATTTAAAATAATTCATTTGATTGATTATGGAATTGTAAATTAGAATTGAAGCAATTATTATCAAACAAGAATATTCTATTTATTGAGATGATTAGCTTCAATAAAATATATATATTTATAGTAGCAATTATTTTGAACTACAAAAGATCTTTATCAAAACTACAACTTTTTATCTTAAATTATATTCTTGTTTATAATAATTTAATATGTAAGAGAGATAGATATTCGAATTAATCCTAATACATTTAAATAATAATATTTTCAAATATGTTCAAATATCATGTTGTAATAACTTATTCAAATTGATATCATAAAGTAAAATAACCATAATGCTATATATTACACACACTATAAAATACAATTTAATCAAACTAAAATCGAATTCCTGAATAAATTTAGTAGTTAGAAACAATCTCTAAAAATACTTGGGAATATTTTACAATGGTGTCCTCTACTTCGTTAATCCCTTATAAATAGTTCCTAATCTGTCTTTTTAAAGCAAACAAATTGGATACTTGCTTATAACTGGTTTATTCCTTATTGATAATAAAGAATATAAACATAATTATAAATTCTAACTAATTAATATTTCTTTTAACAAGCAATTCATATAGATTCAAACTTTAGGAAATTAGATTAATAAATATCAGGTGCATTTATATCAAATTCGATCATTTTTATAAAATAAAAAGATGAAATATTATCAAATAAGTTAATGAAAAAATTAATATTTCTTTATTTATTGTTAAGTAAATATTCACTAACATATATTATGAAAATCATCTTCAAATTTTAGTAATATTTAATTAGCTTCATCTGCAATTTCTTAATTATTTGACAAAGCAAATTGCATTAAATGATGTGGATAATCCATTTGGAATGCTTGAACACTAAACACGCTTAATAAATTATTTAATGATTATAAAGTAAATAAGGTAGAAAATTAATCAAGAGAAAAGTCTTTTAATAAGTCAATTAAAATGATATGAGTTTCCAAATCAACTAAATTTTAAATTTATAATTCATTTGAACTTTCAATTAAAATCTTAATGCAACGTATAGAAGCTTCTCTTACCTTTTTAGGGTAGCAGCCTTCACTTAATCTTATAATTTCTTTGAGTATAACATTATCGTCATAAAAAGGTTATAATAGGTTATTGAATGTTTGTGACAATTAATAGAATATTATGCTTAATAAATTGAGAATTGAAGGAATTACTTCATTGTTATTCAGTCTGATAATCTATTTCGAATACTCAATAACATGAATTTATAATAACTCATAAAAACACTCTGTTTCATTAATACAAAAGTAGGATAACAACTTAGTAATTAATTCTACTAGAGTTATACATCCCAAGCTTAAATTAATCAAATTTAGTATTAAATCATAATCTTATTGCAAAAAGTTTAAATTTAATTTCTATACTACGATACAGTAAATCTCAATCTAATCAGATATAAATTATGGTTTTTCTTTTAATCCGTAATTTAATAGTGTCTTTATCAATTTCACAAGGTAATCACAATCAAAGAGTAAAAAATCATCACATATGCAGCTTACAAAATTTTTTAGACATTTTGAGATTAATAAAATATTTTGATTTTCATTTTTCGAAATAGAATTATGAGTAAGATCATTAATAGCAATAATGAGATCCAATTATTCAAGTTTTTAGGAATTGGAATTGCACCATACATTTATTAATAATTCTAAAGCAGTTCTAACTTCAGTTCCATTGGATATCAACCCTGATATAACTTACAGAATATTGAAGTTTGTATGGCTATTAGTGAGCAACTTATCTTAAATTTCATCCGAAAAAAATGTCAAATTGATAAATATTGTCAATGACTCCAAAATTAAGGTATTTTTATTTGTAATCTAATACATTAAAAGCGAGAGTAAATTATCGACATTTCTCTCAATTAATTATATTTGTTCATTTGATAGTTTTTAATTAATACAATAAAGTAAGCATGAATTCAATTCTTTCAAATGGTCCTACGTAATTATTCTGGGGTTTGCTATCATGTCAATTAATTGATTAAACGAGTATGCTTATTATACCTATGTATTGGCTAATATTCTTTTTTATTTGAAAACATTTTAATGAAACTATTATCTAATCTGAGTTCTAAATAATTCACGCTTGTATTTAATCATATTTGTAAATAATTAATTTAATTAATTAAATATTGATCAAAAATTCTGTCATAGCAATATGATCATTTGGTGCCATGGATAGAAAATTTATAAACTAGATCGGTAATAAAATATAATTAGTTTAATATGATAATTAATATTAATCGATTTATTTATAATTTTTGTACATTTAAATAAAACAACCTTAAATTTGGAAAATTTATGAAACTTAAATTATTTAGAAAATCTCAAATTCGATGAATAAATGATGGTTTTTCAGAAGGTTTATTATGTAATTCAAAAATTTTCTTAACGAAGATAAACTTCAGATTGAAAGCTATCATTTTTTAGTCGATGACTTCAAAGGAAAACCATAACTTTTTTTCAGATTTTGAGATTTAAGATCAGGGATGATATTATTTAAATTCTCACTTTAATAATAAAAATCTGTTTGGGATTATTAGACAAATTTTAACAGGATAATGAAGTAAAATTACAATAGTCCTGGTCTTGAATAGGCAGATTATCGAATAGAAAGATTTCCGATCTTATCAGGTAAAAGAATAGATATTTTTTAAAGTGAAAATGAAAATTTGATTTATTATTTTATGTTAATTATAATCGGCTTAGTATGCTAGTGATCTATAGATTAAAAAATTTAATAAAAATAATGAAAACAAGGAATTCTTAGAGATAATCATAAAGAGAAGACTTGTCAGTGACTTGTTAAGAGGTATTAACTATAATTTCTCAAAAATCTCATACCTTATATATTAACTATTTTTAAGCCTTATTTTAGAATGTATCTATGAGTGATTTTCCCCTTTACAGCAGTGCTCAAACTCCTCGAAAGAAAAGAGGACCAATAAGCAAGAAACACAAATATGTACTTCTGTTATTTAAATAAAGACCACAATAAATTTGAAAAAACACAAATCCTCGAAATAATTTATCTGCTATGAAGACAGAGATTTAAATATTCCCGAGAAATACTAATCAATGTTATAAAAACATGTAAGAATTATATTTAAAAAATTAAAGAAATCAGATGACGATAGAGAGTCTGATTCAGAACAAATTAAACACGCCATCAACTACTTGTACAAAGACCTATTATAATGTATTGAAAGAGAAAAGAATTGAATTATATTAATTTTATAATGCTCAAAAAGTACCTCTTCCAATGCAACTCAAAAGACTACTTCCAATAAAAGAGAGTGCATACCAAAGATTCTGAACACACTCGACATTTTGAGTAGCATGTACATGTTATAAACTATCATCAAGAACTATCTGAAGAGAAGCATAGCAACCGAAACCAAGCCAGCATTAAAACCGATTGACATGGAAGAAACCAGGAAAGAGGAGCTTTCTAAATTTCGATCCATATCACTCTACAATAAGAAGCAAGTTCGAATGCCTACATCAGCAGAGAAGTGTTGCTCCAATGAGAGAATTAGAGTTTTTAATATATTCAACAGTACTCCAAGAAATGTCAAGCCCAGTAGATCCCAACAAATGTTGAATGGATTCAAAGAAAAAGTTGTATATTCATCTCATAATAGGGTAAATAAACAATAACATTTTAGTAATCATCTGCTGCCAAACCTCCCATCTCAAGTAGAATCAATGACTCGTAAGAATTATTGTAGAAAGCATCCAGATCAAATATGATTCCCTTGAGAAGCTTTTTTAAGGACAATCAAGTTAAACAACAAAATAATATAAAATTGGAATTAGAAAAGCATGCAAATAACAATATTTTGGAATTATTACTCCTAACGACTGGAGAATTAAAGAAAAAGTTTGAAGACGACCACAAATTACGAGATAGTAACAGTAGATAAAACTCAGAGGAAAGAGTAAGAGTTAAAGTAAGAAATAGCCATAAATTTCCAAAGGATTTCTTTCTATGATTATATTATTTAATTAATGCTCAATGTTCTCAAATAACTATAAAATGAAATGACTTCAAAGGATGATTCAGTGAGAGCAAAAGCCACTCACAAATTTAGAGAAGAATTGGAATAACTCACTGTTAATCAAGAAGAATCAGAATTTTTAATCGAGTTTTTCCTCCACAAATTAAGTGATCCTCAATCCTTACTTGATACAACCTATATTCTACTCAAATTGAGTAAATCTTCAAAAAGCATTCATCCATCATTTATTAAAATGATATAGAACAAATAGATAATTATTCCTACATTTTCTAGAGAAGCAAGAATTAATTTTTATTAAATTTTTCTCGCTTTTCCAATTACATTTGAACTAGCCGCAATAATACTCTAGAGTATTATAGGAGAAAAAGATCCTAGAAATATTTTAGTTGCTTTTTAATTATGTGATGCTATTTTAGAAGTAAAAAATATAGGAACATAATATAAGAGAGAAATTTTTGAATTCTTAGATTGTTATTATCCTATAGAATTTAACGAGAAAGCAGATCCAAGGTATATAAATAAATATTTACATAGGTTTCAAATCAAAAAGGTAGAAATTGAACATATTCTTAATAAATGTCTTTTTAGTGAAGTATTGCTTAATGATTCTATATTATTGTTACAAGATAAAATTGTATCAGCTTATGATCGAGCTTAAGGTTCGGCACTCAAAAGTGTTATGTGGATAATTAAAAACTAAAATAAAATCACTGCATTATAAATTGAAGAGATTTATGAATCTATCTAAAAACTTGCAGAATAGGTAATTATGGATGACGATGTAATTGAATAAATTCCAATTACTTTAATAGAAATTTGTAATAATGAAAGATTTTAAAAAGTTAAGACTAAAATTAAAACAATTTCTTTGAAAACTTTAGAAGAAATACCTGCTACTTAATAAGGATTTATTTATTTTAATTTCTTAAAACTTTTGGTTTAAAATCATGGAGAAACAATTTTTAGAGACATCGTTCAAATATTTAATAAAAAATTTGATACCAAAAATATTAATGTGACTTAAAAAAGGTTAGAGAATGTAATATCAGCAATTGCAGAATATAAAAAATATAATAGAGAATTCGTTTCAGAATTAGACAATAATCAAAAATCCCTACTCTATGATAAATTATAATAAGGGATTACTCATAAGATGTAAAATGTTTTTATTCTTACTCTTAAATGTTTAGCTGACATTATGAAATATTACTAAGATTACTAGAAAGATTTAGAATTATATTTATATAACTAAATAAATAATAGGGAGCTTATTGAATAATAATGCATTTTGGATTACTTTGCCAAAAATGGAATTGTGGATATCAAACAATATTAATAGCTGCTCGCTTTTTGGTCAGAAAATAATTAGTTGCTATATGATTACAGTTTAACATGCTCTTTATATAATATCTAAGATTATTTCTCCTAATTTACTTTAGGTTTAATAAATAATTAGAATTATTAAATAAAGTCAGAATAAATATCTGCTCTAAAAGGCTATTTGGATAATAACTCAATATCAAATTCAATAAGACAAGATTAGGCTTAATTAGTCATAAATCATATTTATAATCCTTTAAATAAGAATAGAAAAAATAAGCTAATAAAACAGTTAATTTAGTTCATATTAAAGCAATTTGCTCTAAATTAAAATATCATTAAATAAATTACCCTTGATTACGTACTACATCTCGAAGATGATTAAATATACTATTACATTCCTTTGATGGAATAGGAGTTAAATGAAAATCTCATCCAGTCTATACTAGAAATTATATACAAATAAGATTTTAAACAAAGAGATGTGCAAATAACAAATAGAAAATATGCATATAAATTTATTTAGTAAATTATTAATAATATCTCTAGCACATGCTTATCAAAATATCAAAAAGAATTAAATTTGGATTTCCCCTAATTATCAACGATGGAAACATAATTCAATGATCATCAATTAAATTAGTTGCAATTGTATATAGTATTGCTCAGATAATAGGTAATTAAAATTTATTACAAAATTTAGATGTTGTTCAATAATGAGATAGCGCTTGAAAAATTAAAGGAAATATCTTAGAGTCACCCACAATTACTGAGTCAAATAATTAAGCATAAAGATTTAGAAAATAAACCATCTCTATAAAAATCAATAGGTGAAATGATTAAACAATTAAATCATAAACAAACCCTTAATTATCTAATCAATTAAGTAGATGAAGAGTTCATTACTGGTTTAGCAAATCCTGAATTGCTGTAATTAATAATTGAACATTTCAATGATACAAAAATTGATAAACTAAAATCACTTGCTTTAATTGTGAATTGGTGTCCAATACTGAAGGTAAAAGTCATTGAGTAATTGGCGAAAATAGAAACAAACGATATCAAGGTTTTGTACACTTTAATTAATATTGTGATGAATAACTTTGAGGAGGCTAAATATAATTTGGAATTGTACAATACAGGGATTAATTTATTTAAAAGATATTTAAATTATCCCAAGAGAGTGGTCAGATAAGCTGCTTAAGAAGCAATAAATGAATGGTGTATAGTATTTTTTAAAGGTTTATGACATAAAATAAACTAAATCATTATTTCTTCCTTAATCTTGCTAATTATTACATTAGTTATTCATTCTATTAAAGCAGATGAGCAGTGATTGTAATTTATTCAATATTTGGTTTTTATGCTTCATCCTTTTCTGCTTCAAGGATTGTACATTTTTGATTCAATATTTCTATTTAATCTTTTTGTTGTTTAATCTGCTCTTGTAACTAGAGAATGACTGTTAAAAGGTTAGATTGATCTCCATCTATGGATTCGATTCCATCTTCAAAATGGTTGACTTCTTTTTATTGCTGCATTTACCTATGTGAATTTACAGATTTCATTGGAGTAAAGTATAAACTACGAGCACTCATTGGTTATCTATAAGTCTGATTGCCATTTGTTTTTTGAATTGCCTTTGAAAAAAAAAAATCTGAATCCTCTTATTCAGATTTGTATCTAATAGATTTTCTCTCTTAGCAATCCTGTTAAATCTTCTAAACCACTTTTTCAATATTAGGTTAATGAAGCAAAATTGTCATAGATCTAAGATTATATTATTTCATATTAAAATTAATTGAGACAATTATAACACTCCCCTTATTCTACAAATAGTTGTTGAATAAAAACCAAATAGAATATGATATATCAGTTAAATCCACTGACGAAGAAAAATTGAAAAATTGAAAAAGTTAAAAATAATATAATATTATTACTAGAGATTAAGAATTTAGAACAGTTTATAAAATATTATAAAATGGTTAAATATATACATCTTATATTGTTAATTTTCAAAAAGATTAAGTAATTTAATGATGTATTCAACACTTCTCATTATTACTAAAATTAACAAAAAAGGGCTTTATAAATACCTATTGTAAATGAATTTAACCAATATATTGAAATTTAAACGAATAATTTATTAATAAATTGAAAAATTGCAGTAGGTTTAAAATAGAGAAAAACATCTAAAATATGATATTATTCCTTCACAAATGAGTTTGAATGTCAAATCTGTATTGAAATTTTAATAAAAAGCCGAAAATTATTCAGTTTATACATAGATCAATTTTCACTTAAAATATTGGCCAACATTTTTATTAGCTCTTTTAAAAGGAAGAGAAATATAGATGTGATTGCATTTTAAAAATTGATTATATCGAACACTTTTGATGAAAAATTTGATTCTCTAGAAGAGATTAAAATTATAATGTCTGAAAACGATTCTCTTCAATACATCCAAAATATTATGTTTCTATGTATCCCAAAAACAGTATGAATAAGAGAGAGACTCAGCAAAAATAAGAAAATTGTAATATTTTAATAAATAAAAGGAGATAATATTCAGAAGAGAAAAAAAAAGAGAATGAAGAGTGAATATTATATTCGCTCAAATTTATCAAGAATAGTTTTGAGAAACAACAGTATGAGAAATGATGGATAGTGATTGAAAAAAGATAGATTTATATATAAAAATTTTAAAGAGGGAAATTTAGAAATATAAATCTATTCTTCGCATAAATAAAATTTGATTATATAGATGGAATTGTAATAATGCTATGATTAATAATTTTATTAATATATTAATATTAAAAATGTTCAATTCAGATATGAAGGAAATCGATGACCTGCAAGTGTTAGACTATGATGTATTTGGAAAATGTAATGATATGATGGTATTTATAAATTCAATATTCAAAGAGCTTTATCAAGTCCACACACCCAATTCTTAAAGATGATCCGCAGATTAATAGAAAAACTAATGCAGTTGCAAAATTAATTAATTAACTTATAAATTTTTTAAAAGATTCAGATAGTTCTAATTTATACAATTTTCCAGAGTATCATGATATAGTGTACTTGCTGAAGAATAACTTATCTAATAATTTAAGAATTCAAGCCATAAAATTGCAATAGCTTGAAACAAGCAATTATGAATATAAGAATTAAATATCAAATTAAGCTTAAAAAATTTAAAAATTGTGTTAAGATCTATTAACTTAAGATAAAGAAAATTAAAAGTTACAAAAAGAGGTAGTATTTTAGTTAATTTAAGATTAAAGCCTTAAAACATCAAATGTAATAAATGGAGGACTTGGAGTATTAAATAGAAAAAGCAATGAATAATTAAAATTAAGATTTAAATGAGAATAATAATATATTAAAAAATGAAATCATTTAATTAAAGCATAGTCTAGAACTGAAGGAAAACAAAATTAAATATCAAGAAGGAGAGATAAAGTTATTGAAAATACAAGTGCAAAGACTCCTTGATGATTAAAGGCAAGATAGAAAACATCACCTATTTTATGAATAATAATAAATATTCAAGGAGAATTAAGAATTGTTAAAGAAAATTAATTAACTATCATTACAAAATAAATATCATGTTGTTTAAAATGCTGAAAAAAGAAAAGAGCCTCAAAATGAAGAATATAACAAAAAATAGATATAATACGCAGAAAAATTGTAAAATAGAATTTTCAATTTTCTTAATTAATTATCCTTACATGGCTTTCTGCTTAGTGCATGGATCGGAGCATACGTAATTATTCAATATTTTAAATGATCATTTATTTTTATCAAATAAAACAAATCTTAATTGAATTTATTGTGTTTGTCTTTTCTTTTGCGTAGAAAGTGACAATTAATAGTATTCAATACAAAATAGGTTGATTTTCAAACCAAGTATAATGATGTTTTTTAGTTGATATTAGCATATTAATTTATTTAATTATATTATAAATTTCAAGATGGTAACTTGTCATATATATTTGAATAGCAACCTATAAATGACATTAATGTTGATGAAGTATTAAGGGGATTATCAGCTGTGGAAGGGGCCAATGGTTATGTGATATTTAATTAAGACTGTAATAAGACTTTATTGATTAATTTTTAGGTATTCCATTAAAAAGATCAGAAAAAAATATTACATACGAAAAAGCTGTTCACATGTCTGCTTTAGTGGCTGATTTATGGAATGTCACTAAGAAATGCATCCAAAGAGAATTAAGAAGTGCTGATGTATTTAATTAATCAAATAAGTTAGAATGATCTTGAAATAATTAGAATAAGGACTAAGGCCCAATCTGAATACATTATTTCTTAATGTAATTTTAATACTTATTAAATAATAAGAGGGTGATTATACAATGATCGGGATATAATTATGTGGAAAAGCAATTGAAGAAGCTAAACAAGCAGCAGCTGCCGAGGCTCAAGCAGTTGCTGAAGCAGAGAAGGCAAAAAAAGGAGATAAGGAATAAAGTTGATTTCAGCTATTAATTATAATATAAGTATTTTTTATAAGAAATGTTATTCAACAAATCAGTTTTCTCAAGATTTACAATTGTTTCAGTTAAATAAATGCTATTAACTTTAATATATATGATTATTATCTCAGTTAATCAAAATAATCTAGTTTTCAAACAGAAATTTTAATTAAAAAGGTAAGGTTTTTGAGTTTCAGAAAATTCATTCCAAAGACCACTTTATTTATTTATATATATAATTTATTAGTTACTATTATTTGATTTTGAGTTTAAGTTCATAAATTTGTTTTAGTGTTTGAAGTATTAGGAGTTCTTGATATGATAATTTTTTTTAATAATGTTTAATCATTCAGTTTGATATATCATCTAAAACTTATTGAAATAGAATATTCCTTAATAAATAATAATAATGATAATAGATTATTTTAATACTCTTGTACTATCTATAAATTATAAGGATTTACATAAATCTTTTCACTAATTTTAACCAAGGTTTTTTGATCATATTTTTAATGAAAATCATTAAATAGATGCTGGATTAAACAAATTTACTAGAAAGATAGTAATCCAAGTATGGATTTATCTATCATTTATATTATTTAATATCTAAATCAATTTTCAGAAGTCTAATTTATTTTATTCTATTATGAATATTTATTATACTTACATAATGAATGATTTTTAGAAATAATCGATCAGGGGATATCCTAACTCAACTAGTTGTTGATTTTAATGCTCATTTTGACTAGATATCTTATGATTTAAATATCTCTAAATTTAGATTATATAATTAAATAATTCTGAAATATTCTCGAAAATATGAAAAGAAAGGTTAGGGAATATGATGAAAATGAATTCTCTAAAGCTGATTTGAAGATCATTCTACTAGGCGATTCAGCAGTTGGAAAATCAAAATTGGTTGAGAGATTTCTTTTGGATGACTATGAGGAAAGACAACAATCTACATATGCATTGACAATGTATCGACATAATGCAAAGTTCGAAGGGAAAACTTATAAGATAGGTATTGAGTATAGTTTATGAAAATAGATTTGTGGGATACAGCTGGATAAGAATGTTTCTAAACTCTGCATGCTTCATATTATTATGGCGCCCATGCTTGTATTCTAGTAAAATTATGTAATAATTAGTGTTTTGATGTCACAAGGAAAATTACTTATACAAACTTAAAGAAATGGTACGAGGAGATGAGATAGAATTGCCCTACAATTCCTTGCTTATTGGTTGCCAATAAAATAGATTGTATATAATTTATCAAGCTTTTAGTGGATCCTAGCGTCACTGAGACCAAATTTAAGTTTGCGGAAAGTAACAATCTGCCCATATATTACACATCCTCGGCAGATGGAACTAATGTAGTTAAAGTATTCTAGGAGGCTTTGAAAGCAGCAATTGAACATAAACAAAAGCCTGGTGGTTAGTTCATGGATGATTTGATGGATTATTTGTAGGGTTGAAGGACATTTATGATATATAATGATTCATTCATTATCAAACTCATCATCTGTTTCACAATCATCACAATCACTGTATGGAATTTCCATTTTCTTATCATTATTTATTTAATGGTGGACCTCAACTGTTTAAACATGCTATTAGACAAACTCGAATTGTTCATCCACGTTATAGTATTGAACATCTCCAACCACAATCATTTCATCAATATTGAATTACTCTGATTCCTGTTCCTAGACTTCATTCTCTTCTTGGATCTGATTATTTATCTCCTCATCTGAAAATATTTATGATTGAAATTGTTGTTGTTATTTACATTTTAATAGTTTTCGCAAAAATCCCATTTTTTGATCCCAAATATTGTTCAAATCAACCATTTATTCAGCTTTTCTTAAAGATACTATTTTTCTTACTTTAATAACTAATGATAATCTTCTAAAGTCTTTTTGGGCACTCCAACTTTTTCAGCAGCCTATTTCAGACTATACTTAATCTTGTTTCCATTTTGATCTATTTCCCCATTCTTGAATAGATTACGCCATTCATCAACACTAAGTTTTGCATCCATTATCGAGCGTTCCTTTACTCTTTTGAAAACGTGTCTTGGCTAATCCATAACTTGTAAATGATTATATATATAATATAATAAAAAAATTTATGCTTGGCTCTTCAATAAACCCCTTAAATTTGCGATAATGCACAATGATTATATTAAAATTATAGAAGAAAATTCTATTTTTTTCTAGACTGAATACCATAATTGAAAATTGACATTCGATTTTTTCTAGAGAAATTCGACCATTTTAGATGGAATTATTCTGTTCTATTCATATCTTTATCATCAACAGCAAATCTCTCAGAAGTTATATCAGAAATCTATAATTAAAATTGCTCACCTTTATGATATTATATTCTATAATCTTTAATTCTCAAGTATAATATATATTAGATTAGATCATGATTCAATTCATCAGCACTTAAATAAACATAGAATCAAAAATTTATTATTAGATAGAGGAGTGGCTTGTTTTAAATAAAGAATGTAATAGATTTAGATTAAATTTTATAATGATTATATTAGTTTATCTTTTAGTTAATGTTTGCATAAGCAAGAGAGTGTCATATTCATGCTAAGCTGAACATTTTTGGACAGGATAGACGTGCTTACCTTGCGAGAAAGGATGCAAGTGTAGTTCTTATATGGGTTGTGATGGAGGATTACAATGTTAAAGTGGATGGGCATATTAAGATGAAGGAGACAAGAAATGTGTGCAATGCCCAACAGGATGTAGTTCATGTATTCTAAATGGGATAAATGGATTTATTTGTAATAAGTGCTAATCAGGATATTAACTAATAGGTAGAATGTGGCAGTATATTTGTAGCAAACATCTGTGTGCCATTGAGTTTTAATCCAAGATTAGGGAATGTGAAGTTCTTTGGATTCGGATTATGGGGAATTCCTTATTGGACGATAGCTTTGGATAATTTGCCATAAGGCATTGAAGAGGCTTATTCCACATTGGATTGTATTGAAAGAGATTCTTCAACAACATTTTGTTCGAAATGTCCAGATGGTTCGTGGTTGAATGAACTGATGTAATGTGAGAAGTGTGGGCCAGGTTGTTCCTTATGTAAGTCTAGAGGAACTTGTGTAGAATGTCAAAGTGGATACTATTGGGGTGAAGAGACAGGTTAATATACTTAATATACTGCATATTTCAATGGAGCAGGAAGATGCTTGTAGTGCAGTATTAAAAATGCTAAGAGTTGTGATGCCAACTCTGTTCTGAGTTGTGTAGATGGATCTTATTTATAAAATTCAAATTGTGTAGATTGTCTAATGTAATGTTAAACTTGCACGAATGGTAATTCATGTGTCACCTGCAAGTAAGGTTATTACTAATAGAATAATGAATGCTAATATTGTATTGGAAATAGTGACATGAATATAAATTGTTTGGAATGTTCTGATCTAAATACATGTACTAAATGTGCTGATTCTTATATGTTAATAAATTCTCAGTGTTATTTAATTCCAGTGGATCCAGGATGTGAAACTTTCAGAGCCAAAGGAACCAATCAAGTTGTATGTGATGTCTGTTTAAATGGATACTACTTATACTAAGGTACTTGTTATTCATGTTTGAATGAAAATGAGTTATATGACCTGTGTACAAATTTGGACGAATCTGGATAATCTCCATCCGTCTATCCTACTCAATGTTTGACTAATATCGCAGACCCTATAAGTTCATCCAATTACTTTTTAATCTAATAGACTGATTAGGAAATTAAGACTAATTTATGTGTGCAAAATAATAATGGATGCACTAAAATGATTGATTCGAATGGATAATGCTCTTAATGTGCTGACCAATACACTTTGAATAATGGAGTATGTTATCCATGTTCAACCATTTTAAACTGTTTAGAGTGCTCATACAATAATGAAGTAGTTTGTAATAAATGCATTTAATCTACTTACTTAAATAACAATGAATGTGTTTAATGTATAGAAGGGTGTAACAAGTGTTCCTCATAAAATTCTTGTGATACTTGTTCTACAGGATACTATTATAATACCTAATAATAGTGTGTAAAATGCTCAGTTTAAAATTGTTCATCTTGTCCCAATGATACCTGCCAAAGTTGTGTGCCTTAATTCTTCTTGTATGCATAAACATGTTAGTTGTGTCCTCCAGGTTGTTCTAATTGCCAAGGTACTTTAGGCAGGGAATGTACAACTTGTCTAGATGGATTTTATTTGAAAGTATATACAATTCAACTTAGATTTTTAGGATAATGGTTGTTATCCTGGAACACAATATTGTGCTCAACATAATAGTGATGGAACTTGTAAACATTGTATCTATGGAGCATATGTGGCTGACAATTAAGAATGTTTGCCTTGCATCTCACTTGGAGCTGGAGTATTTTAGTCATTTTTATATTATTTAGTATGTTTGCGGATAAAATGCTAATGTCTATTGCTTTTTAGGAATATTACAATTTGCTGTTCTATTTATGCTATTGTTTCAGTGAATATTATATTAATATTCAATTTATTTATTAAATTTAGTGTATTCATAATTACAATCACTCACCAAGAACAGTCTATTTTACAACAGTATAATAAAGATAGTCATTAGAATAATCAAATTATCCAAAAGGAACATTAACATGCTTACTTAATAAATTGGATAAATAGAAAAATTTGTATTTAATTCAAAGAATTTCACTCTACTCAAATTGATTGTTTATTTTATTTGATTTTGAGTTTAAATTAAAATGGAAGTGTTACAATAAGAAGACAATCAATTCAGATACAAACTCATGAATGTATTCTTTCAATATATAAAAAATGCCTTGTTCATTCTTTTAATTGGATATGAAGGAATAAAATTACTAAACATTGATCATGATTGTTAATTATCAGAGATTACTTATATTAGTACATTGTACCATGGAGGAATCATTTTATTACTCTTTAACATTGTTTCCGCCTGTTATATACTATATTAAAAGCACTTTGTTAGAATTGAATACTTTATTACTTATGGATTAAATATTTTGGTTTTTGTGTGTATGTTACTATTTTCCTTGCAATAAATGATATAGGGAAGGTGCAGTATTGGATAATTATCAGTGAAATACTACATAATACTATCTATAATCACTCAGTTAGACGTGTTATTAATTATGATGTTCAAACATGAATTCTCAAACAGACAAACCAATATATGTTCAAATACTGCTGTTGTGATCCTCTTATTAACGACTAGGATTGATAATGATTGTGCAGTCAATGCAATATCATTGGAAATTCAACTAATCTCTGCTAATATTTTGACATTACTCTTTTTCACTGTTCTCAACGTAGCAATTAATCTATTTCCAAAATTAAGAGAATAATTAACAAATGCATTTAAGTTTGTTTGTGTCTTGGTTCTGTGTTTTCTGATCTTAAATTATCTATTAATAGTGTACTTTGTTCAATCAGTAATCTATTGATCCTCTATATTAGGGTGATATCAAAGAGAATTAGGAGTGCATGCCTCTTGATTTCATTACTAGAACATATTGCTTTTTGGCACCTGTCAACTTAATTGGAATGATACCAATTTTAGCATCTTTCAAATTTGAAACAATTGATGAAGAAGAGGATGTTCCTTAATAAGTTGAGATTGTTTCTCCATCTAGAGGATTGCCAATCCAAAATTCACCCTCTCCTTTTTAACAATCAAAGTTATCAATGAATAATAACACTACACCTTATAAGATTATAGTCAACAATAATAACCAACTTTCACCTGATGAGTTATTTTTTGTAGGGAAATAATAATAATAATAATAACAATAACAATAACAATAACAATGATTAATTCATACTGCAATATTTATGAAATAAGCTATATATAAAATTATTTTCATGACAATTTTAATTCCATCTCTCTTTTAAATTCCATAAAAGATATGGTTCCATTTCTGGATCTATCAAATCTCATAAATAGTAATGCTGCTTCTGAAGGCACAACTTTGACTGCGCTATATAAATTGAGGGCATTCATAAACTCATTCAATCCTATGTTTCTCGATTAGTTAACATCAATCATTTAGTATATCTGTTAGATGTCAATACTCTCTCTTTACAATAAAGATCTTGCATTTTCAAATCTCAGCTCGTTTGTTTAATAGAGCTTAATCAGTTCATTCAAATTAGACTTCGTTTAAGGTCCTAGCAACTAAAAATTCAAATCAAATGTGTATTACTGTATTCTATCTCTTTTGTTATTTGGAAGTCTATCCAAGGGGCAAAAATAAGTGTTCAAATTCCTAGAGTGACATTCTATCGATGCTGTTGAATTCTGAAAATCTGGTGTAGACTAGGAAGAGTTGATTGTAATCGACTTTTAAGCCTATTTCTTAGAAACCTTAAAAGAGTTCATCAAAAGTAATGTTTTAAGTTTGATTCTTGTCGATTATCTAAGGATGAGAGGACACAATTTACTTGGAACAATTAAGGAAGATTGAAATCCTGGGCAATCACCAACTTTCTTTTCAGTTCCTCTATTTATCTTTCAGTATTTAGTTGTTCTAATAGGACAGTAAAGAAGATAGTAACAGGGTTCTTATCTAGAGAGAATTTAATTGTCTAGATACTTTATTTTTTGATGTTTGTTATTTTGTTATGGCTTCTTTGATTGAGGGGAGTGCGCTTGTATGTTTTGTCAGCTGGGAAATCCAAATATTCTATGTCAGTGATCATGCCATCTCCTTCGTAATAATTGGAAAAGGGTCTTGAGGATTCAGCGAAACTCTTTCTTGGCAGAGAAGTTTGATAGGGAGGGTATGGTTAATCGTGATAGGGAGGGTAAGGTTAATCGTGATAGGGAGGGTATGGTTATTCGTAGAATGATGGTTGCGGCTATTGATAATAAGGTGGGTATGGTTGCTCATAATAGGGAGGGGGGGACTATTAGTAATAGGGGGGTGGCTGAGGTTAATAGTAATAATCATCGTGAGGATAAGGTTGAAAACTTGGTTCGTTTTGCTTGAAAGCCGAGCGTGTATAGGGATTTTTTGAATACATAATAACTGATAAATATAATAATATAAAACATGAATAATGCTGATTGCAAATTTAAATCTTTTTTTTAGATAAAAATTAAATGAAGGTATTAGAATAACCTATATGAAGATCTACGTTGATGCATTCAGTGGAGAAGAAATCGTTTCTGACAGTTTCAATATGGAAGAGAAATTTGAAGGAGTTATTGGCGAAGTGCAATCCCAAGATATTGTTAAAGGTGCTCTCAATGTAGATGTGGGTAATGTTGTGGGCTCTACAATTTATAGGTGCTGGAGGTCATTTCGGTGGCAAGAACGAAGACGAAGAAGACGGAGGTGTAGATGATCAAGCCTAAAAGGTTAACAACATCATCGATGCCTTTAAATATGCTGAAACCTAATTCACCAAAGCCGATTACGTTACTTACTTTAAAGCTTATGCCAAGAAGGTCAAGGCTTACTTAGAGGCAAACAAACCAAACAGAGTTGCTTCATTCTAAAAGGGAGCTGGCGAATTCATTAAATGGGTTTCAGCTAATTTCAATGAACTCCAATTGTAATTTCTGCTAATCTATAGTTTAGCTACTGTCCTGAATCATATGACATGGAAAATCACATCGTTCTTGGATATTACAAAGAAGGACAAGCTGCCCCAGCCTTCGTTTACATTTTAGACGGATTAAAAGAAGTCAAGATGTGAAATAAAATAAATAAAAATTGCATCTGTTAATTCGACATTGATTTCTCATTAATTGGGATTATCTTCATTTTATAATAATGGAACCTTTTCCTCTACTTCATCGCGTTTGCTAGTACTAGGGGTAGAACTTTACACTTCTTTTTTCTCTTCTTCCTCTAAAGGTTTTTCTCTTTATTTAAGAATTTCATCCTCTCTCACTACATAAAGCCAAGGCAGAGGCAACAAAATAAACACCCCAGTAATCGCTATAAATAACCATAATCTGGAGTAGTCTGTCTAGTCAATCTTCATCCAAATCAAAAACAGGGCTCCCAACCAACTTCCCAACATGGAACCTTTTCTCATAACTAGTAAATTATACCAAAATTAATCGTGCTCATTAACATAGCATACATAGTGGCTTCGATATGTTTTGGACACATTCTACAAGCCAACACTAAGACTGGCATGATGTTCAATTCCCCAACAAATTGCAACATCACTTGATCTCCGATACAAAAGATCTTATCGTTGATTCCCCATTCAACATTCTTTCTAGTCACCAAGATTATTATTGATTAATAACACAAATAATAGAGGAATGTTGTAACTAAGAATATCTTACGAAATTGTATGTCTCTCAGATAATTGTTATAAATTAACACTCCAGAAATTGAAGCTACAGCATACTGAAAATGTATAATCTATTCATTACCATAAATTTCAGTTATCCCAAAAATTTTGGATTGAATCCAAGAACTTCAGTATAAAAGAAAAACATAATTGTGGAACTAGAGGGAGCCATCATAAATGCAAAGATTAGCATTACTGGCTTATAAATTAGAGGATTCTTGAAAAATTACCAAAAGTCCTTCAGACATTAGGTAGTGTTGTTTTTTCTATCGTTTTGATCCAAAGAGTTTACATCTATCTTTTGTTCTTAATAAAAAAATGAAACAAAAACGAGAATCATTGGAAAAATTGAGGTTATCATAAATACTATTTATTTATTTTTGAAGTGTACTTTATTAATAAGTGAAGTAATGTAACAGAGCTCCAGACGAGTATGCACTCAACAATGAACCCACAGCTCTTACTCCAAAGAATATTGACACATTCCTCGATGCTCCATGTTGAAAATTGTTTTATCGTTATTCTCTCGATGCTTAAGCTGCGACTTCCACCAATATTGCCTCACCTACCACATTAACAAAACATATTGAGAGTTGAATCAAAAATAACAGCAGCAACACACTAACCAAACTACCATCTTTGTTTTTGGACATCATTATCCAACCCAATGCATCCAATATCCCAAATAATATTATATAAGATTTTCTCCTGTAGCCCAGAAAGGGTTTCGAGTCTGTAATGATCCCCCAAAATGGTTTAATCATCCATGGAAGTGTTGTGTAACTTAAGTATAATCCCATCATGGCTGGAGACAAACCATATTCATCCTTTAGCATGTAATTTACAGCCAAATCTGATAAATGCTGAATTCCCTAATTGAATGCTGTCACACCTATAATGAAGTATGAAGGATTAAAAGAAGAGTATAATTGATTAAATTGATCAAACAACTTTGTACAAATTATACTCATATTAATAAAGATAAATGAGTATCAAATTATCGTTTTTAATGATTCCCCTCTTATAGATTGCGCCTTGAAACTGTCCAAATACTCTTGGTTTTTGTGATTCAACATTACCTTGTCAACTTCGGTCAAAATCTTAGGTAATTTGAGACACTTTATTATTGTTTTAGATGAAATTGAACTATCAGGAATAACATATTTTGGTCTTGCAGCCGCTGGAAAAATCTTCAATACTCATTCTATTAATTACCCTATTGATTATACTAATCGAGGAACCTTTGCTGGCTTCAATCTGAAAGAATGCCTTCTCCAGAGACAAGGGTTCTGTATCTTTTAGATTTGAATAAATCACATTAATATTCCTTCGAAAATTGTAATGTGCTTTATTGATATGTCCATGACCTTACAACATCTCATACCCTGTGGGTTCGACTGGATTTCCAATTCTCTCAAAGGAATTCTTGAGAATTTATTAATTTTGTGATTGCTCAATAAATGGAACTTCCCTAAATTCTATAGACTGAGGAATTTTCTTGATTTATTTAATGATGTCCAGAGATTATTTTCTTTGAGTAATTTTATTTTGATCGAAATGTTACAGTTTTTAAATTGCTGCTCCCTTTTGGAAATATTATAAGAATCGTTGTTTATCCAATACAAAGTATTATACCTTCTGACTTATACTGATGGCTCTATACTCCCGTTTAATTCCAGCTAAGACTTCCTCGTGTCCAAAGATTTGTCCAGGTGTAATAATCGAGGTTCTTACCTTCTCCAATTTTTGCTCATTTCTCGTAAAGAACTTATTGATAATGGAATTATTCTACACCGATTAGGTCAAATTTACAAATTTGCATAGTTCCACCTCTCCAGATTTCAATAAGTATATATTACTATAATAGTTTATATGATTGGATACTTGGCCTCTTCATTTTCCTTATAGATTATTTAAAATAGCTTCCTCTCCTCCTACTTGAAGTGATAGTACAGTTAATTCAGCATTTGATCATTCCAATCTGAAAATATAGCAACTTTGCTAAGAAACCCAATATTCACTTTTTATTAAGCCTCATAAAAAGCAGACAATAATCTATTAAACTGATCCCTTGTCACTGTTGCAAAATGTGTATCCTCAGCTGCCACAATAGTTGCTTATCTTGGCACCTATTTAGTCAAGGCTATTTCCCCAAAACTTTCGCCAGAATTTATCTAGCCTACCTTCTACAAAGTTGGAAACTGAGTGTCTAAGAATTCCTTATCAGTCATGGTAGCAAAGATGTCATTGAGAGTTACTTGAGTGATGAATGCTTAGGGCTTATTTTTTTTATTTTTCATCTTCTTGTTCTTCTTTGCATTTTCCATCATTTCTTTGTTTTTTTCATCCTTTAAATCTTATTCTTATTTTTAATCCTCTTCAGTAGGACCTGAGCCATCCTACAAACCCTTCTTCTAAACCAACACCCAAACACTTCCTTTTAGAATGATGTAAAACTTTTTTCCCAAATCCCCTATATTGAAAACGGTTTATCTCCTATGCTGTACTTCGTAACTCAATTATTTGTATAATCCTGAGACCATCTCAGCACCCATTTATTATTCTAACTCCTAGAAGAACTTGAATCTGAAGAATGACAATCTGATTTTATCAATGTCCAGTTACGATCTTTGAGAGGATTGCTTCTTTAGCAATGTGACTAGAATCTAAGAGATTCATTTTATATGTTTATACTTACATTCAAATCTTCATCATCACCGAATTCAGGGTCTGATTTTTTGAGGACATCTGCAACTACATCTTTGATGGTCATTCTATGTCCTGATAGATTTCCTCTAACTTTTTCGATTGCATTTTTCATTAAAATTATATAAAGATTTTAATATCTATCATCTGGCATTCGATTACCTATATTTATTATAGAACACAGAAAGTTTCATTTAAGTCTTTATAACAAACAAAACATACATGATTAAGAATCAAAAAGATTAAGATATCACAATTTGACCCACTTGGCTAAAATGAATAGCAAGGCATCAATCATTATTGGTTTCTACAAGCAATCATGAAATTGTAGTTTCTTTATAGCGAGTTTGCTCTCTTCATCTTAAAATCCAATCAATCCAATTAGTCTTGTATCTTTCTAATATTCTGCCAATACAGCCTTTATTTTAGCACAATCAGAACTGAATTGTTCATTCACAAACTCCACTCCCACGAACACGATGTGATACCCTTTACAACAGGTCTTAAATTGTGAAAATTGCTTCCTTAATTAATCAACAATATGCAATCTCTGCATTGTGTAAATGTACGGAATTTTGAGATTGCTCAGTTGATGAGATATAGCATATAAATCAAAGTCATTCTATTCGCAAATTAGAACCTTTGGACACTAAAATTGAATTACTATAATATACTTGACATTTGTAAACGAATTACTACTACTTGATTCTTTCCATCTTTTCAAAACAATCCAATAACTCATTTGGCCCTAGATTTACTGAGGATATCCTCATCGAAGAATACACCGATGAACGTCCTCCAAAAGTTAATAGGGAATCTCTTTATTTAGACGAAAGCTATTATGAAACTTAAGGACTCAACCTTGATTAGATAATACTAACCGAAATTTTTCTTGCTTTTGGTTCTTTAACACGAATGAAAGTATCAAGAAATTAAGAAGGTTTTTGCTGCTTTTCTATTTTCTCTATTTTATCGTTTATTTGAAGACTTGATTTGCTAGATTGTATATCACCATCACATTCTCCTTTGTTCATCTCATCCTTAGAGTCTGATGATGAGGAACTCTATTACGAGTCGTCCTATTCTGAGATTTAAGAAACAGAGTAAGATTTGTCAGGCTATTGATTGTCAGACGCTTCAGATTGTCCAAACTAAGGCAACTGAGGCTCAATCTTGCCGGATATAGTCTCTTCCTGAGATTCTCTTTTCATTTTCTTCAGTTTCTCCTACACCTAAATTCTGCATATTTCTGTTAACCTTTATGACTAATGCCTCTTGAATTGACTGCTCTAACCAAACACCTAATGGAATTGAGACTTGTTTGCAACCAACGCAGATTACCTTTTTTGTGTTAGTTGCTTATTGAAATTGGGATTCTCATTTTTTATCAATAAAATAAAGTAAAACTAAGTGCCATCGCCAGTCTTTATTGAATTAAACTCAAAAGGCATGATAGCCACAGCCATAGATATGTAGAATGCCGTAATTATGGAAAAACAGTATTATTTAGATGTTGCAACAATATCTATCACCTATTTACTAACTAAAGTCTGTTGTTTTAGATGCTTCAGAGTTTGTTCGACACTTTCGAGAATCCCTTCGTTTACACTTTAAGCCATGACTTTGATGATAATTTCAATGTGATCAGTCAATAGAGGTGATTTTTAACAAGAAATCTCTATGCTCCCATTTATTGTAACCTAGATAGACTTGACTATTAAAATAACACAAATATTAATACTTAACAAATTCAATACAATTTGTCTAACTCTATTGGGATCAGTTCTGAGAAACATTGGAACATTTTATTTGATATGTACCTGTATATTTAGTCCTCTAAATAGTGCTTATGCCTTTATAATGTTTAGACAATCTGAAATGAATTCTCTGGTGTGTATGTCCATTAAATTTCTGTCTAATTTATTCTTTTTATGCATAGTGACATAATCCTAAAAGTCATTTGCTGTGCTAATTAACAGTTTGCACCCTGCCAATGCTGGATCAATGTATTTGGTTTGGAGATCCTAATTAACTTCTTTCTATTTTAGATTATTATAAATGAAATACTTAGACCAATTCTAACATGGACAAAGTACAATTCAACGGTTCTTTCATTTTCTGGGAAATGGTTTGAATAACGTCATCACTATTTTTTAGGTATAATTAAAGTTGGATAATGAATGGTTCTTCGGTTAGATCGTTTATGTACAAAATGATTTGAGGTTTATTTGAGATGATAACTGGATTCAAAATAACTTAAGTGTAAAGTTTATCTAAAATGCTTAAATTGGAAAATTACCTTTTTTTATATAAATTTTTAAAGAAAAATCTAAAGCAAAATTAGTTAAATTAAACTTTATATGCGAAAAAGCAAGGAGATGCTCAATCAAGGTTTACACTTGCATCTTCCTACAAAAGAATTGTATCTCTTTCTTTTCCTCAGGCTAAACGTTGTCAAATTGGATGTTCTAAGTTCAAATGCATTAATATATTAGTACTCAAGGGTTTAAGTGAATTTGATGAAATTACTGATGTCTTTACTTCTGTGGAAGCTCGGGAGTATGGTACAGGATTCTTCTGAGAGCAACCCAAAATCATACAATTCCAGTTGAGTCAACTCTGGATTTAGTTGATCATTGATTAAGACGATGTGAGACATGAATGAATTTATTATTCTAATTGGTTGCTAAGCATTTTCAAATATGTAGATTCCACATTGGAAATTGATCAACAATAATTCATACTGTTCCTCTAGATGTTTCAAATTATTCAGATTTTCGAACTCGTCATTAGCAATATCTGCAATGTTATTTTTTTTATTTTATGGTTCAGTCATTTCCCTCTGGGTGTTTATTTGAGCAGCCCTCTATGTGAGCAACGGGCTCAAATTCCTAGTCAAAAGAGCATCATTTGAATTTCGAGTTTAATATAAATGATAAAGCAACAAAGATTAAATCACTACATGTCCAAAGATTATCCTAGTAGATCCCATAACTTCGATGGTATTAGTGAATGCTGGGAATCTAGACAGTATTATTCAAATTGTACCTGAATAGAGAGTAGAAGAGTGAAAACAGTATGACCAAAGTTCTGCACAGCTGAGACTCGATTGCGATCAAAAACAATATCATGATTCCATAAATTTCAAACGCCTAACTCCTTTGATCGTACTCACTGGTGTAGATACGGTCATAATCAGTTTCAAACCATAATATTATTAGACTGAAATATTTGAGCATTGTGATTGTATTAATTAGAAGGGTTGTTTCTCTTTTCAATTTGCTCATTGCAATATGAAATGCTATCATCAATAAGACTTGGATCTAAAAGGATGAGTTATTCCATTACCAATATGCGATACACAAAAATCAATTTTTGGCCCTCTATCTAGTAATTCAAAGCCTGGACTATGGTTATGAGTATGTCGAAACATTAATACAAAGACACGATTGTCATTGTGGATTTCCACAAAATATAATTCTAATATGTCTCTGGGTTCAACTTAAAGTAATTTGATAGCATGTGCATTATTACTATATAAATTATTTATTAATTTAACAATCACAATTTCACCCACTTTGCTAATATAAACAATAAAGCATCTATCATCAATGGTTTCGATAGAAAATCATGAAATGGCAGTTTCTTAATAGCATTCCTGTTGTCGTCATCCTGAAACCCTATTAATCCTATAATCCGTGCTTCCTTCTTAAATTGAGAGTTTATATTTTTAATTAAGTTGCACTGTTCCCCTAATTCCTCATCCACGAACTCCACACTAATAAATATCAACTAGTATCCCTTGCAACAAGACTTCTCAACCTCATAGGCTGTTTTCAACTTCTCATGTATTTAGGTTCTCTACATGGTGTAATCATAATTCATCCCAATGTTGCCAAGTTAATGAGACACAGCATACAAGTCGAAATCATTTTATTCGCAAATCAATATCCTTGGACACTTTAAAATATAACACTATATGTCTTACTTAACACTTTTAAGTATACTTCTGTTGTTTAATTCTTTCCATCTTCTCAAAACAATCAATTAAGTCATTTGGTTGCATAATACTAGCCGAATATCTCATTGACGAGAACATACTTGATCTTCCCCCAAAGGTTAAGATTGAGTCTCTTCTGCTGGGCGTTATGTTATTATTGTAAGTATAGGCTATCGATTATTGCATAACCACCAAAGGAGATTCATTTTCATTCAACTTTCCAGTCTCATTTGTCTATTTGTAAAGGAATTAATCTAATTGAACTCCTACATCTAAACTGTTATGGGAACTTTCATTTTCTCCTTTGGATTCCTTCGATTCCTGTTCTGAAACTATAGAAATATCAGATTTTGAATGAGAAATTATCTATTTGATCTTTTTACTTTAATCCTATGACTTTATGGTCTTAAAAGTAGGCAAAAAGTCTACATCAATGTCCCCTTGGGATGTTCTAGGTACTATGAAACGAGATTGGTTTTATTATCCAAAAGATGTGGATAATTTAATTGCTGAATCTTTCCTTTGGGATTAAGTGGCTAAAACTTAAGATTGTGATTGTAATTTTTATTATGACTATTGTGACTACTACTACTTATTTTTCTACTTTTCTAATTATCCTTGGATTGTTATGCTTGCTTTATCAAATAGACTTTATCGGGATGATTGATGTCTTCTGAATCCTTGATCAATTGAAAAGGACTACTTAAAGCTTTGCTGTTAAAAGCTGAGAGCAGATTGTCTTTTGAAATTTAATTGTTATGAGAAATTCGGATTTTTGTTTTAAATTTAAATTTTGAAACAAAACTCTTCATGATCTAAATTTTTCTCGTAATGATACTCAAAAGGGATTGTTGAAATACTGAGTGATAAACAAAATGCTATCAATATAGATTGACTATATTTTCGACCTGCATTTGCCAAATCAATCATTGTAGAGGCCAACAAATTCTGGGATTTAAAAAACCTCACAGTTTTATCAATTGTTTTTAACACCGATTAATTAATTTCTGATGCATTCACTTTAATCAAGAGTTCAATGTGATCCTACATCAAAGTGGATTTGCTGGCTGATACAGTGATAGTTCCATTTATTGTTGCCTAAATCGAACTTACCAATAAGTTTAACAAGATCTATCTTAATCTATTGGGATCTGTCCTAAAAAAAGCAGGTACATTGTGTCGGACATTCACTTAGATCTGCAATCCTCTGAATAAAGCCTAAGATTTTATTATGTTTATTGAATCAGTAATGAATTCCCTAATTTATGATTATTTCTAATGGGTACCTTATGTGAACATCCATTTGGCATAGTTCCAGCTTCCCTTTCTTTCGTATCGTAACGTAGTCAAGAATATCATTGGCTGTACTGATCAATAATTTACAACCTGCAAGTGCTGGGTTCAAAAACTTTTCTTGGATTTCAAATGGAACTGAGTGCTAAGTTGAAGTAGAATAAAATACAATCGTAATTTCCAACATTGAAATTGTGCAATTCAAAGGTTGTTTAATCTTCTATGATATATCTGAGACTAATTAATCACTATTTTGATTATATTAATTCAATTATGTCATGAAGGGTTCATCTGTAAGATCTGATACAAATAGTATTAATTAAGGTCTGTGTCTTTGTAATATGGGGGAGAGTACAACACTTGTATATAGATTATCTATAGTCATATGATTATGTTTATATACCTTTTTTGAGGTATATTTTAAGTGAGAAATCTATCAAATTTTAACATTGATTGAATTTGAAATGCTGGAAGGGCAGTAGATGTTCAATCAGGGTTTTAATTTTCATGGATTTATGAAAAAATTGGACCTCTTTTAATCCAATGTTTCCATTCTCATAATTTATGTTCTAAGCACAATAATAATAAGAAAAATTCATACTCAAGTGTTTGCATAAATTTGATAAAGTTTCCGATGTCCTTGCTTCTGTGGAATTTAGGCAACACTGTTAGATTGTCCTCAAAGGAAATCCCAAAGTCAAACATTTCATAATTCAAAAACTCATCACTTAATTGATCATCCTTCAACACCAGATGGGACATGTAAGGATTGATAGATTTAACTGCACTCTGCAAGTTGTCCAGAATGAATATGCCTATTTGTATATTATTTAAGACATTCTCGTAAAATTAGTCTAGGTTCTACCTCTCAGTGTCCAATCTGTTTTCTTCTGATACTGCAACTTCGTTTTCTTTAAGTTACTGCTTCAATCTCTGGGTGACATCATAATTTTATTGATTTATGTAGGTAGAAAGTCGCAATTATTAATTCAGTTGAGAATGCCTATTACTTTGCATAGGAACATAGTTTTTTGACTACTGACCCAACATTACAAGTTGATTGTTTAATTTCTACTTCTGTTGCGGCAGTTATAACAAAAATATTTGAATAGCCACATGGATTAATACTATCCTAATTGAAGAAAGAATATCAATTTTATTTTAGAATAGCTAGATTCTATTCTGTTATGATATATTTATACCGAAAAAGAGAGTAGAATAACGAAAATAATAGAGATATTGTTTAACATATTTAAGATTCCTGCAATATCACCAAAGCCAACAACAGGATGTATATTTCAGCTGTATAACTAGTATAAGGTTTCTATATTTCATTAAATAAATAATAGTCAGTTTCAGTCCAGCATATAAAAAGTGAAATAAAATATATAAATGTAGCAACATTTAGAAACCCATTCCTTATTTTTCTTAAACACTTAAAAATATGCCAAAATACTAACAGTAATCCAGCTTGAACCTACAATTTTAATATATGTCATACAATTATTCTAGCTATCATCATTATTCTTGTTCCATCCACACTTTAAGTACTTACATCTACGATATTGATTATCATATCAAAAAGTTGGTAAATTGAAATAATATTTATTACTTTGGTGTGCTGATAAATGTTCGTATAAGGCTATGAGTAGATGTAAAAATAACCCTTAAGATTGTCTATCATAAGATTAAGAGATTTATATAAATTATTTTATTTGATGTGACATAATTAAATATCACAAGAAAAATATATCAATACACATAACTTTATTCTAATTCGAAATAGATATCACAAATATTATGAAGATAAATTTACTAAAATAATTAAAGACTTAATGAGAATAAGAATAATCTTGTACATACTATCTATTAACAACTATTATCTCTTAGCTATAAAGTAACATTTCAAAATTTATAGGCATAAACTAAATTAGAATTTCTAATCCATAAGTAATTTATAAATTGAATTGATTAAATGAATTTGTTAATCAATTCATTGATTTCTAAGTCTCTCTTTCCCATTGAAATTAATTTAAATCAACAATGAATTAAGTGGTTGTGGGGCTGACCAAAATCTGGTTCTACTAATCTGAATAAAGGGAGGGAATGTAATGAGAATAGAAATTTTAAATAGCAACTTGGACTTTTTATAATTTAATTTATAATTCAGTATACAAAAAACAAATAGTAAAATTGATATTTAGATTTTGTTCAAAAATGCGTCATAAAAAATAAATTAGATCTTGAAGAGCGATATTGTGACTAAGTTTATATTGAATATGTGGAGATTTATATTTGTCAATATTTTAATTATTTTGTCATGGATACTCAATTTTTTACAAGCAGCACAAGGTAAGATTTGAAATCTATTGAATTAGCATGAGTTCATCATCTTCCTCAAGTTCGAGGAAAGGATCATAAGAATGCTTTAGTGATTTTGGAATCGAGAAAAAATCTAGGAAAAGTAAAAAAAGTGCTAAACGAAGTTGCTCCTTTGCCTTAGGTTCAGTGACTGAAGAATCAGAGGACATTGAAGATTATTTGGTATGACAACCTTTGATCTGATATTAGTTGAGTCGTTTCACACACATCTAAATGCCCAATGATAATAATGAATTTAGAGAACGAATTCCCCCAAGATTAAAAAGGACTGAAAAATATCAAAAAAGACGAGCTTCCTTGAGTCCACATGGAACAAATGGTTTAGCAAAGGTTGAAGAAGTGATTGGAGAAGATGATGAATTAAAAAACAAATGCATCTTTAAACTTGGTTTAATGTTGGACAAAGATGAATTCAATGATAAGAGAAGAAGACTGTTATAGTCTAAAGATAGAATTAACATTGAAAAAGCAACAACAACAAATTTAACAATTTTAGAAGATGCCCAAGAAAATGTCAAAGAATTTCAATAACATGTCATGAGTCCGACTTATAAATTAAAAGTTGATGAAGTTGACTTCGAATAAGAAAAAAAACAATGGCAACCTCAAGAAATAATAGAAGTCATTGAAGAAGAAAAACCAGATAATGTAGTCAATATTAAAGAAAAGGAAATGTTTTAAAAAAGTAATAGCATTATAAATAACATCATAGTTAAAAAGATTTTACATGAAGAAAGAGATTTCTTAAAACGAATTTTAAAAGGGGAGTTAATTTAATAAGAAGATATTGTAAAAAAATAATAATTCCAATCAGAAGTAGGTGAAACATATTGGAATTAATTAATTTAGGAAGCTGAAGAATAAGTCAATAGTGATGAAGACTAGTAATGAATTGTTAATTTATTATATATTTCTAATTGAGTAGTAATTAAATATCAGTCATTTGCTTTACTCAATTCTTAGAAGGTTAGCGCAATTTTCTCTGAAATCTCATATTCAAATCCTTCAATGTTATTGTGATTCATATTAGAGAATAATTCCTATCGTGCATTTTGATTTTAATTATATAATCTAAAATTAAGATAAAGTCTTTACTTTCTTTAAAGGAAAATTGAATGATGAGAAGGTATGAGAGTATCATCAACACCATGTATAAATAGAGCAGGACATCGAACTTTTGCAATGTTCTCTTCATTGTTAAATCTTTCATCCATGATAGCACTGACAAAGAATCCAACACCAAAAACCATTCCTCTTACAAGTTATTTGATAGACCTGTAAGCAGAAATAGTAACTAAACCTCTGCAATTTTTTTAAGAAGCAACATGGATAGCTGGTCCTGTTCCTATTGATCTATTTTTATTTAAAAATGGATACCTCCCAAAAATGTATATTTGACTATCATCTAACTTATTTTCTTCTTTGATTTACTCGTATGCCAGAATGGAATCTTCTAAAATTATCTTGGCATTTGTTTCAGTATATTAATAAATTCCATATTTAGGATATTCTATTAAGAATGCATGAAACTTCAAAGACTTCATAAGCTTCCTTACAAGATGTGCTGCATCATCACTACATAGATAATCGGATCACTTACATGTTCTCCCCATTTCCATGAAAATAGATGACATAGTATTTCGTATTTGGATACAGTTCGTTTCTAAGGAAGGCGTAAGGGACAATTCTATTAAATTCAATATTATTGCACCTCTAATTTTGATTGCCTTCTCCTGCTATGAAACTAATATGCATAAAATATACCATTTCTTCTAACAACACTAAAGTATTTAACTTCTTAAGCGTTTAAGCTCTGGTATTCTTTGCATGATCTTGCTGGAAAAATCAGTCTATCCAGTATTCTTTCTATATAGCGTTTTATTCCTTTAAACGCTGAACGGCATCTCATTTGTGTGGTTAAGCAAATTATCAAAGTAATGATAGACATAATAAATGTTATTATTAAGCAGAGTTTTAGAGTAAAGTTTTCCATTAATTCTATTATCTTTTTATCCAGGTTTATATTAAAAAATATATAATAAAAATTCATGAAAACTTCTTCTATTTTAAATCAGTGAAACCTTCTAATATTGGGCATGCAATATCTTCATCGATGTCATATTCATTGTGTGTCATTCTTGGCCTCAAATTAAGATTTGATTTTTATTAAATTGAAACAGGAAGACTTAAGTTATAAAAATGATCATACTTTTAATAGATTTCCTAAGAATGATGTGATAGAATCAGAGGATCATCCAATCCATGAATCAATACTATAGGACATTTAATATCTTACGACCTTTCTAAATTTCTGAAGAAATTAGGCAAGCAACACAATAGGTTGAGAATGCATCCACAACCATTGCAAAAATCACTTATGATATGTCTAATTGATTTATAAGCTGACATTGTTATTAATCCTCTTATATTTCTTTGACTTGCCAAATAAAATGAAGGTCCCGTGCCGATTGATCTTAATACTAATAAATAGTACCTTCCAAAGATATAGATTTATTCATCTTGCAATTTGAACTCCTTTTTAATTTCATCATAATAAACTAATGCATCTTGTTCAATTAGGGTTGAAGTTGGTTTAACATTCCTATAAATACCATAACCTGGATATTCTATAACAAATATATTTGCATTTATCATTTTCATTAAATACTCCATAAATTAAGCGGCTGCCCACCTAAGTCTATCAAATATAACATGTACATGTCTTCAGCATTGCCATGAAAATATATTATATATAAATTCGTTTCTGAATACTTATTTTTAATATAGACATATGGAAGGCTTCTGACTTTTTCAAGATTTAATGAATATTCAGTTGGTTTTCCATTAACTACGTTTATTTTAGTTTTACCCAAATTACCATCTTAATTGTAAAGGTTTGCAAAATAAAGTTTGTCCTCAAAATATTTTTCTTCATACATAGGAGTTGGAGCTGGAAATATAATATTGTTAATCTTTCCAAAACAATGTAAGATGATCAAAACAAGTAAGTACAGTCCAATAAATATACTGAACACAACAATAAGTGCAATATGAGAAGAGTCTTGATCACTCATTTTGTTAGATAAATAAATATATTAATAAATTATTAGTAACTTACAAATTCAGGGGAAATGGTTAACATAGTTCATCTATTAAATTTATTGATTTATGGCTGTTTTGGTTATTTGAGAATTTATTAACATATTGTAACTGAATGCATGTTAAAAATTATATTAATAAAATTGCATAATCAAGACCATTATGTGAGTAATTATTAAACTTTTTAAACTAACTTAATAAAGAAGTCAAAATTCAAAAGATCTGACAAGTCCCTTATTTTTTTATGTTGATGGTCTCAAACCCGATAAATTATAAAAATATTGTTTTGTTTAGTTCCACTCCTTGTCATATTATTGCTTTGAATACGATGATTTTTTTGTTGTAATATGTTTAAATAATATTAAATTATCTCTTCTAATTTATTCTTGTTCAGTTTTCTTTCGTGTATTTAAGCTGCTTATTCTCTTTGGCTTATCCAACTTGATATTAGTGCTATTCATAATATTGGTGATCTTCTCCAATAACAGTCTATTGTCCTTCTCAATTTAAGTGTATCTATCTTCCAAAATCTACACTTTCTTCATGTTCGGTATCCGATCAACAGTTCTGGGAATAGTTATGAGTGGTCCTATTTACTAAAGTCGGCTGTATCCATCCAGCATCTCCTTTTCTTACATTACTCTAATATGAGGTTTTGGTCTGTGCATAAACTATTTAATGTGGTAGTAGTTATTGTTTATATATAATATTTGTAATAAATGTGAATCATTTAATATTATACTCATTATTTTTTTAATAAAGCAACTTCTAATTCCTCAGTCAATAATTATTGTTCCTAAAATGAATCATATAGTTTCGACTTTATAGCTGGGTTAAACTTCTAATAATGCTTTAAGATGAAGTCAATAAAGAATTGTTGGATTTGCTTAGGGAACTAATGAAAAATCTAACATTATTTATTTGTTTCCTTACTTTTTAGCAATCTAAAATCAACATTTAAACTGCTGTAACGTTGACACTCTAGATTATTCCAACAATATCTCTGAAAAAGAGTTTAAAAAGGGCAGATGAAGGGTATCTGATTTTAGCAAAGCTTGAAAACATCTGCAATTTCAAAAGGTTGCTAAATTAATCATACCTCTAAATAAATTGTTATTCAAAAAGCTTATTAATCTCTTGTGTTCCATGTCCAAATTGTTTATATAACATAAATAAGGTTGTTATATTTTATGGCTCTGTTGTTGGGATATTCATTATAGCTTGCTCTTCCAATAATTTCCAAAACTCAGGGGATCCTTTACCGAATAATGCTATTCCTGTGCCAACTCTACATTTAGAATACTATGTGTAAACCTAATCAAATCTTAAAATTCCATCTCCGTCACTAAACTCTGTTTCTCCAACATATCAAAGATATCTTTCCTTTAAATTCTAGCCAATATCAAACCAAAAGAGAAGTGCTTAAGATCGTTTGACTTAAAATGGTCTATTTATTGTCGGAAATTCAAAAGTAAGGATTGCTCAACCTCTTTATTCTTGGATTTTGTGTACTACGAAACTTGTCCATAGATGAACATCGCCAACCCAATTTCTGATGCATTTAAGTCAGGAGCTTATGACACAGCTGCTACAAAATTGAAATATTATTGATAAAATTATTTTGTGTAATTTCCTGACACTAATAATGATAATACGTCGAGGGTTTCTACCAAGGAAGTTTATCTAGTTCATTATGTTATTAATGTTACTATTCTAAATATAATTAGGTGGTTCTATCAAATATTTTTTAAGCATAATTTTCATCATCAATTTATTAAGAAAAGCTTATAGATACTAATTATCTTATTTGTAAGTTTTCGAATTAAGGCAAATAAGGCTTTAGTTGTTAAATTAAACTTGAAACCTCTTTCAAATTAATTTATTCATATACATTTTTTATCTAATTATTTTCCTTAATGCAATTGGTTAAGTTAATTTAAAATTGCTCTATAATCATTTGCTTATGCGGTTTGAGAAAACTAATAATTGGGAATTCTCATCCCATGAATGAATTTTTAAGATGTGCCCATTACGAAAAATAATCTAAGGTATTACCTTATCATATTAAATTTATTAGAAAAATAAATGAATTAATTATAATTATCATAAGCATAGTCACCAAGAGAAAGTAATTTCGATTATGAAGAATAACCTCAAATATAGTCAATTCAATTACATTAAAGTAGGGCAGCGCTTTAAATTATCACTAATGTAATCTTACTAATATAAGGAATCTAGATATAAATTTTGGTTGCTATATTTTAAATATTCTTAATACTTTTTAATTCATATATCGCCTTTGATTTAAGCTATAAGATATCAATTCTATATGTAACAATTTTGCATTTTCTCTAAATCATCAAAATCGGCGTATATAATAATAAGTAAAGTTAAAGAATTAATTTTGTCTAGGAAATTATATCACAACCAGTATTGCTGCATATAGATATTTTGGGGAATTCTCTCCATCTCCTATTATGTAATATATATGAATTTAGCTTTAAAGGGTTGCTTAATATATTTCTTAGAAAACGATGACTTCCCTATTTAGTATCCGATACTCATGCATTTGATATTCACTCTTACATGGTTTGTGTTAGCACTACACACGTATTTAAAAAATAAAAATGAAAAAAGCTTTATATTAGTGGTAAACGATTATAATTAATTTAGTTGACAGTTCTATTAAGGTTTTTTTTAGTTCTCCAACTAATGATGGTCAATCTTAAATAAATTCAATGGATAGATTGGGAATGGCTTTATGTATTTACAATACTTTGGATATTCTTGTCTATTATTTGTATTTTTTAAATCATTTTTTTATTTGATTTTATTTGCAAAGCAGCCTAATTTTTGTAAGAAAGAGATCCACTCAATAGGGAATCAATTAATCAGTAGAGTACACATATTAAGCAGGTTTAGTTATAGGATCACTATGGATTAATTTACTAGTTTTGTGCATTTCTGCCCTTCCAACCTTTAGTATGGTGTGCTACACTATAAAGTTATCGACAGGAAAAGAAAGCTATAATTCTCTGTCAATAACCTTATCAGTTATTTACTCTTTAGTTTTTATAGTCTTTACATTGTATTATCGAACGGCTTTGAGGTTAGAAATATATTTTATTGAATAAGCCTATTTGTTTCTCAAATCCAACAATCAAGAGGAATAGAAACCAATAGTGAAATCAATATGGATAATTTATAAAGATATCGATTGAATTCTCCGAGTTCTAAACATAAAAATCACTTAATAAAAAGCAAAGATTAGATCCTAATACAGCTTCCCTAATATTTAGTATAATATTATATTTATGGCAAGATTAGATTATCACAAACCTACTTTTTGCCAGCGATTAATAGTGATAATTCTTCATAGTTAAAGCAATCATAATAACTATAAGCTCAATAATAGCATATCAAAAAGAATAAAACAGATTCTGAATAACCTAAATTAAGCAATCGTGTTTCTCTTACTGAAATTAATTCTGATAAAGATACACAATGCTTTAATTGTTATTAAAATGAAAGCTGTGCTGTCTATATGCCCTGTGGACATGGTGGATTATGTGTGAAGTGTGCCACAGAATGGTTTACTGAGAAATAAGAGTGTTTAATTTGTAGAAAAGTAATTAATTTCTTCATTTTCATTTAGCCTGTTGAGTCTGTTGTAAAAGTTTCATAGTCTGAATAAAATAAAGTGTAGGTAATTGATGTATTGGCTTTTTGAAAATTCTTTTATTATTTCTATTGATAATTCAATAATTAATATTATTTTCATATGAAATCAAAAATATTGAACACTGGCTCAATTCCTGAAAAAAAGCCAACCGTTTATTTAAATGATGGATAAGGAAGGGACACTTATATTTCTTATAACAATGGTGGGAATTTTGCTTAAGAGTTTCGCTTTTTAGCATCACCTAAATAGCCAACTTCAATGCGGTTGAAATACAATTATAGTGTTCAATAAGATTATTCAACACCAAGAATCTATTACTAAGGAGATGGAACAGGTAGAGACACCTATATTTTGTAATTTAATGTTTGATAATAATTAGATAAAATGTTAAAGATAAGTGCATCTCAGGTTAACTAAATTACAAGTCTATGCTAAGAAGTGATACTAATTTTGGTTAACTTCAGAAGTATAGATATTAATTGCCTCCTCTTGCTAAATAAAAAATGGGTCTCATCCATTAGTAGCAAAAAGTCCAATCAAGTCGATTGTCAATGCCTAAAGGCAAGCTATTTTTTAATGAAGAGTGATTCTCTAAATATTCAAAATAAATAATATTTTTATTCGTAAATTTTTGGTACATTGTTATTTATACAATATAAAATAAAATCAAGAATGAAATGGTTGATATTTAATAATTATTATATTTATTGGCAATACTATTTAAAATAAACATAAAATATAAATCTTTTAAGAAACTCATTCAAAATATTTTTTCTAAAGTGAAAATAGAACTTTACAATGAACTCTCTAATAATTCATAAATTTCGTTAATCTTGTATAAACAGGCCTAATGAAACTATTAACAATAAATACTTTGACACTCCTGTTAGTTTCCTCGATTATCAATTTAAAATACTTTCTTAAATGGTTAAATGGTAACTTAAATTATAATTTTAGAACTATTTATTACCTGTATCTAATAAGCTGAATGATCTAAGAAGTTTAGACTTTGTAATAACTTAATTATAAGCCACTTACAAAGTAGATTTCTATTGATCTTCCAACATATTAGCCATCTTTTAAATTAGATATTTACTAAATAAGAAAATAATATGGTGATCAATAGGTTTTATTAGGATAATTTGACATGATAATATTAAATAAATAACATTTTTCACATTGGAGTACACATTTTCTCATTGAGTTCTCTCCTTTTATCAAAGTTGCTGATTATTTGACTTTATTATGGTAATTTGTTTTCTACTTTGCTCTTTTAATTTTAATTTTAGCCTTTATTATCATTATCATTATTTTTTCTCTTTTCTTATTTTTTCTCTCTATTATCTTTATTATCTCTATTATCTCTATTATCTTTATTATCCCTGTTATCTCTATTATCTTTATTATCCCTGTTATCTCTATTATCTCTTTTATCTTTTTTTTCTTTATTTTCTCTATTATCCCTCTTTTCTTTATTATTTCTATTATCTTTATTGTCCCTGTTATCTCTATTATCCCTATTGTCCCTGTTATCTCTATGTTCTCTGTTTTCTCTATGTTCTTTGTTGTCTCTATTGTCTCTATGATCTCTATTATCTCGATTGTCTCTATTATCCCTATTGTCTCTATGATCCCTATTATCTCTATTATCCCTATTGTCTCTATTGTCTCTATTATCCCTATTGTCCCTGTTATCTCTATTATCCCTATTGTCTTTATTATCTCTATTGTCCCTGTTACCTCTATTATCTCTATTGTCCCTATTATCTCTATGTTCTCTGTTTTCTCTATGTTCTTTGTTGTCTCTATTGTCTCTATGATCTCTATTATCTCGATTGTCTCTATTATCCCTATTGTCTCTATGATCCCTATTATCTCTATTATCTCTATTATCTCTATTATCTCTATTATCTCTATAATCCCTATTATCTCTGTTATCTCTATTATCTCTTCTATCTCTATCATCCCTTCTATCCTTGTTATAGCTCATATTATCTATGTTACTTTATTACTTATTAATCATACTCCTTTCATCCCTAATAAAATTTTAATTCAAATTTGGATAATTAAATTAAGAAAATTCATTTTAATTTTGGAAACTTCTCTAGGTACCGTCATTTTAATGATGGTACACATTTGATTGATGAAAAAATTATGATTAAGAATCTGTAAACTATTCTTCCATCCTTTTATTTCTTAGTTCAGTATTTCTAACATACCTGTTATTATTGTTATGATTATTACCAGTATTCCCAAAATCTTATTAAAATTATTGTTAATGATGTTCACGTATTTAGCTTTGTTATTGGGAAGGAGGATAAGGCTAGAATTTCTAATTATTAAAATTAGGATTTTAATTCTGCTTTGGAATAGATATTTCTTCAAAGCCATCCTCATCGGGGATTTTAGAATGTTTAAAATTATGAGCATAATCAAAGTATTCTTATGGTCTTTGGTCAAATCTCTAATATTTATTTTAAGACTACACTTCCTACTCTTATCTATAATTATAGGTGAAATTTTTGTTGGATTACTCCATTTAATCAAACGTTCTGTTGAATTAATTCGTTTAATTGAAATTTTTGTTGTATTACTCCATTTAATCAAAGGTTCTGTTGAATTAATTAGTTTAATCGAAATTTTTGTTGAATTAATCTTAATCTTATTAAAAAGATGCATATATATCCTTATGCTTGATAATTGATTCTTGTAACGAGGATTTAAAATCTACTTAGCTTCTATAATATCTTTCGCCTTCTTTATTTTCAACTTAATCTTCTTATGCTTATTCCTGATCTTCATCTTCTGAGCTTTCTTCTTCTTACTAGATGTCGTTTGTTGATGTAAGATCATATAGCTCTCTAATCATTGGATCATGATGTTTAAGAGATTCAGATCTCTCATCAAATAAAGATTTTTAATATCCTGGCTTTTACATTTCTTCCTAAGTTGGATTAAAGGTAAGTTTGATTATTATGGACGAGATTTTTACACTTATATTAACATCAACTAATCCCTCCTCCAAAGGTTCGTAATGGGTAAATTTTTCAATGTTGTCGATTAGAGAAATCTAGAATGTATTATGAATATATCCATACTTCATGAAGTTTAGGAAATTTTTCTTTCAAAATTTTGGCCATCATTATAGCATTAGCAGCTGTTTTCTCATAAGCAACTAAATGGATAGAAGAAAATTCTAATGTAAATTTGATTTATTACTTTCATCTTTTAAAAGTCTTATTGCTTTATCAATTAATTTATGGATTCCCTAATTCACAGAGATTACATTTTATGCATAGGGAGGTTGGAATGTGCTCTTAAGGTATTTATTTTTTGTCGAATTGGTGTTATGATATTTTTACATTAAATTAATATTTATAATAATAATAAACAATGAATTTCAAAGAAGATAATAATGTCTTTTGATTATCATTGAGTTTGTAATGGATAGAAGGTGAGATTAATGATTTATATGTTAATTCTGACTCAACAGTACTTTAATTCAGATTAATTTATATTTAATTAAATTGAGTAATCTACTATTAATTTGAAAATGATGAGTTAAGCAAATATATTATCAAGTTACATATAAGGTCTTATAAATTATAAATTATAATATAATTTATTAATTTATGATGTCTAAATGCAAGTCTTGTAATGATGATGGTTTCCTGACATGTCCTTTATGCCAGAAAACTACATATTGCTCTAAAAAATGCAGAGATTACGATTGGTAATTATATGAATACTAATTAAGAGGGCTGCTTCTCACAAATTTGAATGCAAAGCAGAACTACCCAAGAGAAATGAATCTGATTTTGAAATAGTGAACTAAGGATATCTAGGGAAAGGGAGCTTTGGTTGTGTGAAATTGGCTCGTGATAGATAGACAGGTTTATTGTATGCTATGAAAATAGTAAATTAAGTTATTATTAATAGATTGAAAAGTCAGATATTTCTATAGAAAATCTAAGAAGAGAAATACGGATACAAAAAAAACTTCAGCATCCTCATGTGATTCAGTTATTTGAATTTTTTGAAGATGAACAAAACATTTATTTAGTTTTGGAGTATGCAGGTAATAAATCACAATTTTAATATAGAAAATGGTTCATTGTTTGGTTATTTGAGAAAGAGAAAGATTTTGCCTGAAAATGAAGCATTTGTGTACTTCTTTTAAACATGTCTTGGAATAGATTATCTGCATAAGAAATAAATTATACATAGAGACTTAAAACCTGAGAATCTACTACTTGACAAGGATGGAAATATTAAAATTTGTGATTTTGGATGGTCTGCAGAGATGATGATTACCTAGACACGAAATACGTTTTGTGGCACTATAGATTACATGACACCAGAGATGTTAGAGGATAAACCTCATGACTAAACTCTTGATATGTGGTGTTTGGGAGTGTTACTTTATGAGTTAATTCATGGTCAGGCTCCTTTTAAAGGGAGAAATGATTTTGAAAAATGTTAAAATATTTTAAAGTAGGAATAATTTGAAATTAAAGCAAGCGATTAAGTAAAGTATTTTATAACGTTTTAGGCTAAAGATTTGATTTTAGGACTTATGAAAAGAGAGTCTAAGGATAGATTAACTATGGATTAAGTATTTGCACATCCTTGGATGTTAACTATGGCTAAGGAGTATAAATTAGAGATTAAAGAATATATTTTCGAGGAGAAAAAGAATCTAGATCAATTAAACAGTAGTCTCAGATTAGATACTAAATTTTCAAATACAAACACAAACACAACTAGACTTTCTGGTTCAAATATTAAATAAGAATGCGTTTCCTTAGCATTTTCTATGTATTCTGATGAATAGTAGCATCCTATACAAACTAGAATCACGAGAAGAACACAACATCCTGTAAGGAAGGAAAGTGGTTTCTTTGAGACCCTTTTTGAAAATCTTGGTTGCACGAAAAGAAGTTGATTAAATATCATTTTTAAAATATGTATTTTTGTACTATACTAAGTTAATTTATTCAAAATTGCTATATAATATTTATAAGAAATTGTAATGATTGATTAGTAAACAAAAACACTTGATTAAATATATGGATGCAATTTCAAAAGAGTGCCATATCTTTATGGGGAGATGGAAGGAACAACTCCCTTCCCCATTAATGAAGCAGATGAGGATTTGGATTCTGATAAATAATAGTAATAAAACTAGCATAAAATAATATCCCCAATATAATTAAAGTCATAATTAAAACCTCTAATTTAAACCAGAAAAAGAAGACAAACAGTTCACAAATCCCCTGTAAATAAGTCTCAATTTGATAACCATATTGGGTTCAGAAATTCATTTTATAAGAGTAATAATAAAGTGAATCTGGTATCGAGATAGCGGGTTGAAGAATTGAAAAATTACGAGATCTCGATGTTTACTAAATACGCTCAGAGATTCTAATTGTAAAAGCAAGTCCTTTGGAATTGAGTTGAATGGCTGATTTATAGTTTGAAAAGAGATCTAATTTTGTAATTTAATAATTATTATTTATCATAAATTTAAAGATAACAGCCCATATTTATATATCGATATCCCCTATTATACTGCTAATATTTATCCTGCATTTTATTTTGATAAATTATTAGAATTATATATAGATGAATTATTGAAGAATCTTATAAAATAATATATAAAATAATCATGGATTAAGAAATATTTATTAAATAACCATTGGATGACGAAAAGATCGATCAATATGAATAGTAAAGAGATCTTTAAATTTTTATAGGTAATCTTAATTAATGCAAAATGAAGAATCGCTGGAGCATTTGGTCAACTCGCTAATATAAAATTAATAGCTAGATGAAGAAGATTAATTTAAATAATAAATTGGAAAGCGCAGAATTAATGACTAAAGGTAATTTTTTCAACAATATCAATTTATACTATCAGGTTTACATTCCAAGAAGATAAGCGTATCTTGGAATTAGTTTAATAGGTCGGTCCCAATTTTAACAAAATAGTCAAATAGTTTCCAGGCAAAACAATGAATATGATAAAAAATAGGTATTATAAAAAGCTGCGATACATTAAAGAAGATGTTCAAAATGATCAAGAATAAGTGAAAAAGCATTCTAAATCGAAAAAAGCCAATTGATTTTTTGATTTATTTATAGACTAACTAAGCTACTTTTGTTTTTTTATGTAAATGCCATGCTTTTTTATATTATTTTATTCATATACAACATTTTATTATTTTTATTAATTAAAATATTTATATTAAACAATTTTACTTCTATGCAATCATAAAAAAGAGGACAATAACACAAACAAGGATATCAAGCAGATTTAAATAAATATTTTGGAAAGAGATTAAAAATTAAGTTAAATGCAAAACGAACAATTATTGGTACTGTGATTGGGTAAAATTAATTCTTATAAAAAATAGATTTGATATTTTCATGAATCTAGTGCTTGATCATTGCAAAGAATTGATTCCAGGATAAGGAGCAGAGAATAAAGATAATCTTTATCCAGGCTTTTCAAATGTCACAGATCAACTAGTTGATATTGGATAAGCAATTGTGAGAGGCAACTCAATAATTATGTGGGAATGTTTGGATAAAGTTAAAGACTGACTGAATATATAAACAATACAATAAATAGAAATTATTCCATTGAATTATTTGCTAATCTCACACTAATCCTATAATTGTGGCTATTTGGTTAATTTAAAATTAAAGTACCTCTAATTCATTCATTTTCATATCTCTTTGCCTGTAAGCATCTTAAATGAGGTTTGATTGAGGAATAAAATGACTAGTGAAGAAATGGCATGTTGTAAATATATTGATTTCATTAAAAATTGAATAATTCAATAAAATTAATAAATTAATTAGAAATGTTTTTTGTAATAATTAAGAATACCTTTTATTTCTATATTTTGATACACTCTATCTTTTCTTTGCTGAGTTTATTGATATGTTTAGATAATGATATAGATCACTTTGAAATTTAATGTCCAAGAGTAATTATTTATTTTATGTTAGTTGAGTAATAAAATCAAAGAATTCATAGCAGGAATATTCAAGCCATTTTTGCCAGAAGTTATCGAATTTTTAGTTGGAAAAATATTAATGCGTGATCTAAGGATTGTGAATGCTCTTATATTTTCAGGAATATTAGAAATTGTTTTAGCTATATTAGGAGGATTGTATATATGGCATTTGATTTTAGCTACTACATTATGGTTGAAACTCCAAAGCCTATATAAAAGAGCCTTAGAATAATTGCAAAATGCTGTTTCTTTTTAGGATTAGTATTATGGATTGCCATTTATTGCAGCGGAATTGGTTTAAGAAAACTATTTGAAATACTGCATATTGTTTATTAAAACCCATAAAATGTAGAAAATTATTCAAACGATTTATAAGAATTTATATAAAAGAGACAAGAAGAAATTTTGGAGTATTATTTCTGATTGCATAAACATATTTCTAAATTTATATAAAAACATTCTTTTTTAGTGGGAGAAATTCTCAAGATTTCTGATCAATTTTTGATGAATATTTTAATGGATGATAATTTAATATCGCTTTGATTGTAAGAATTTATGTTCTATATTAGAAATAAGAAGTGTAATGTAAATCAATATGGATACACAATAATATGTTATAATGATATTAATCGATTTTAAATCAATGATGAAAAAAAAATTCATTCTTATTAAATTTTTTAGAATAGATATTTCCCAAAATCCAAGTTATTGTTAACTTATTTTAATATCAAACCCTACCAATGTTTTAATTTAATTTTTCTCCATTTTTAGAACAAATCTTCTAAGCTCATAGTCTTGGTTAATTAGTTTAAAAAAATTGTATTTCCTTTTCTACTCCTCAACATATAATATTCAATGTATATCTAGATTACGTCAGCGTTTATTAGAGAATATAAAAAAAATTCATTGTAAAGAATTAAATAATTCTAATTCCTTAATGGCTTCTATTGCCTAATAGATACTTGTAGTTTTCTAAAAGAATTACATGGTTTATTTCTAAGAAAAGCAATTCATTGGTGAATTTGCAGTGCCAATAATTGTGTTCGCTATGCTGATGGTGGCACGTAAAAATTTAAGAATATTCTTAAAATTTAGAAAAGGAGAATAATCCTGTTTTCCTTGAAGTAGTGGCTGAGTTTGTACCTATGACCTTTCTGGCGACATCTAGATATATCGTGATATAAATGATAGCTGAAAAGAGCGAAAGACAAAAAGAGATTTAAAAGGTAAAGTATATGAGTGAAATGTAGATTATGGGTTTAAAAGGATCAGCATATTAATTAGGATGGCTTCTATTTAATTTCTCAAGATTGATATCAGTTTGCTTTATATTTTTGTTGTTAACAGTACCCTCCAATTGTTTTGCTCATCCCAAACTTGGTCAAACATATTTGGATTCAGGTTAAATTATTGGAAGTTTTATTTTGTTTGGCTTAAGTTAATGTTCTTAATCATACTTCATAACTGCTTTGTTTGATTAACCAAGAAGTGGGGCAGACATGTCAGTCATAGTAACCATTATTGGTTCATTTTGTGCTCAATTATTAAATGTTGGAAACGTGAATAGGTATTGATGTATGCAATTAATATAGTAATGGAGGACTTCTAATACTTCTGGGATTTTGTTTTCCAACTTTTGGTTTTGATATTTTTGTCTTTCCTTAATTGGGAGGCATAGTTAATTAGGACTGGGGAATTAGTATAGAAGGTTATTTTGTATTATAAGCATCCACTGCTTTGATCTATGCATTCCTGTATTATTACCTTGAATAAGTATTGCCTAATGAATATGGTACTAATAAACATCCTCTATTTTTCTTTGGGTTTAAATATCAAACAGAAACTGATGTGTTATCGTCATCATATGAGTTAGGAGGAATGGGAAAACCATTTATTAGCAATAGATAATCAGAATTTTAGGAGGATGCAAGCTCTGCTATTTATCATGAAGTTTTTGAGAACATCAAACAAGTGAAAGTATGTTAAAATGTATATACTTTAGAAAGCAATCTAAATTAAGAATGTTAGAAAAAGTTATGGAGAACTTAAGGCTGTAGACGGAGTTACATTATAAATTTATGATTCGCAAATTCTGTGTTTGTTAGGTCATAATGGAGCAGGCAAAACTACTTTGATCTCTTTACTAACTGGATTAATAAAAAGGGATAGCGGACTCATCTCATATTATAATACTGATACTGATTTCGAGGATATTAGATCTTATTTGGGTATTTGTCCTCAAAGAGATGTCCTCTATGATTCAATGACATGCGATCAACACTTATGGTATTATGGAAAGATTAAGGGAATTGAAGATAAATAATTGTACTTAGACATTGATTTGATAATTAATAAATGCGATCTTTTAAATGACAGAGCTAAACTTGCCAAGAATTTATCAGGAGGAACTAAAAGAAAACTAAGTTTAGCTATATCTTTAATCGGTTAATCAAAAGTAGTCTTTTTAGATGAGCCTACCTCTGGCATGGATCCAATTTCAAGAAAAAAGATCTGGGATATTCTATTACAAGTTAAGAGTGAAGGAAGATGCTTAGTGTTGACAACTCATCATTTGGATGAAGCTGAAGTTCTCTCAGAAAGAATAGCAATAATGGCAAAAGGGAGACTACTAACTGTAGGTTCAGTTGATTTTGTCAAAGTCAATTTTGGAATTGGTTATCATCTCAATATTTATAATAAAGGAAGTTCTGATTGGGAGAAGAAATCCAAAAATATATTAGCTCTAACAAAAAAATGCGTTCCTTCATCTAGAGAGAATCCTCAAACTCCTTAAGAATGCTTAAGTTTCTCAATCAATTTTGACAAAAAGGAGGAGCTCTTACCCCTATTCCAATAATTAGAGAAAGATCCATAAATTGAATTGAACTTGATTATGAATACTTTAGAAGAGGCATTCATTAACATCGGAATGGATGAAGAGACTTTCTTATAAAAAAAAGTCTAGGGTCTTTAGGCTACTTAAGATACTACTTAAGTTAATTTGAATGAAGAGTTAAATAAAATAGTCCCACCCTCTTGTTTGAGTAGACCTCCTATTTTTAACTTTGGTTTACAGTTGTGGTCATGTCTTTTAAAAAAGCACTATAATGTAACCACAAAGAGACTGATAATTGGGATCATTATGCCAGCTGTCTTCATTATTTTAGGACCACTTTTATCTACAGTTTATTATAAGTCATTTGTAAATAAAAATGCTGAATAATACGAAAATGAATTTTATGAGAATGCATTAGCTGTGTTTGATTCATATGGTTATATCATTTTGGGGATAGCAATAGCCAGCTCATAGGTAGGCAGTCAACCTGTTGAGGAAAGAGAAAAAAAGCAGAAATATGCATTAAATGTGATGGGATGCAGAATATTGCCATTTTGGTTAGGCTATTACATTTATGATCTGTTGATAAGTATAATTTTACTGGTGATCTTTATAATAACAGTAGTGGCATGTGGTTACACAGAATTAAACAATGGAGTCTTTTATACATTGGTGTTTTTTAATTTCTTTGCTTACTTACCATTTTCATATATGTTGTCTTGGATGTTTAATTCATTCAATTCAGCTGTTAAATCTTTACTGATTATTCAAGTGATTGGATTTTATTTGATTGCCATTATAATTTATTTAGTGTCATTTAAGAATGAAGCTGGACTATGGATCCTAACATTCGTATGTCCTTCTTTATCCTTTTTCTCAGGATGTGTAACCTTTTTAAATGGTTTAAAACTAATAGGTGCAAATGGTAAGGTGCAACATGTAAGTGCTTTTGGCGATGACATTAGACCATACGTTTTCATAATCATTCTATTTTTCTAAGGTCTAGCTTATTTTGGAATTACTCTATTGCTTGATAATAGACAATTGTTGGCTGCTAATAATAGTGGTTAATTAGGGACAATATCTGATTAAGATGTATTGACAGAAGAGCAAAGAGTATTGGATTAAAGATGTTAAGATAGAATTTTGGCTAGAAAGATTTCAAAAACATATGCGAATGGATTTTAAGCAGTCAAAGGAACATCCTTTGGTGTAGAACCAGGAACAATATTTGGATTACTAGGACCTAATGGAGCTGGTAAATCAACTACCTTCAATATGATAACATCAAGATTGAAGCCATCCTCTGGAAATATTTACTTAGAATAGGTGGAAATTAAAAAAGGTTTGGGAGAAGTGTATTAAAATGTTGGAATTTGTCCACAATTTGATAGTTTATATGATATTGTATCAGTCAGAAGACATCTCTAATTATGGGCATATTTGAAGGGATTGAAGGGATAAGAATTAGAAGAGTCAATCTTGTATTTCTTAAAGGTGATGTAACTAGAGAACTATGAAAATTCATTGGCTGGACAATTAAGTGGAGGGAACAAACGAAAGTTATGTGTGGCATTGGCTCTTATGGGTGGAACAAACATGTAATTCTTCGATGAACCATCTTCTGGCGTTGATCCAATTGCTCGTAGATTCTTGTGGAATGCTATCCAATAAGGTGTTAAATTAAGATAGAGTTCTGTTATTTTAACCACACATACTATGGATGAAGCTGAAAGTCTGTGCAACAAAATTGCCATTCAAGTTAATGGAGCTTTTGCTTGTATAGGATCTGTCTAACATTTGAAATAGAAATTCGGTGAAGGGTACAGAATTGTAATTGATCCAATTAATCAAGTATTTCATTATTCTATTCTTAGGAAAGTGTCTCATAAATATAACAATAATTATCCCAAAACTTTGGAAAAATAGATTTTAATTTGGATGAACATACTGGAAAGATCATTTGCAAGTTTCCTATTCAAGGATTCTAATTTTACCAAACATTCTACACCTTTTAATAAGTCTTACTAAATGAGTTAAAACTAATCAAAGACTTTTAGATAAGTTAACCGAACCTCGAATAGATATTTGTTCAATTTGCAGCTTAACAAGTTGCTGAACAAGAGAAAGTGCAAATTCAAAAGAATTGTTGTTCAATACCTATTCTCTGTGGAAATGATGAGGATAATTGATAATTTAAATTCTTTATAAAATTTATATAATTAAGAATTCACTTAAATTTATATTATTAACATATATAGGAATTAATTCAATTTTATCTAATTTATTAATACTTGTTATTTTGACGTTGTTTACCCTCGCCTTCTAGATTAAATACATTGCTTAAATTGATGCTTTCATTAACTTCGCCAGGATTATAATTGTCATTATGATCATTTTTTTTTTCTGGCTCTTCTTCAATTACGAAAAATTCCTTCTTTGTACCCGATGTATCCATTCTATTTTACAATTTTTTTTCTTCTTGGACTTTATCAGACTTAGGATGATCCTTGAAATTTTTGGAATTATTTTAATATTTAGGTTACGAATTCTGTTTTCTTCGGCATAATCTATATGTAATTAGCCCAATTATTAAAATTCCAAAGATTACTCCAAAAATGAGAATCCATTCAGTCGTAGAATCAAGTTGAACAAGTAATCTTGAAACCATTTTAGTATGAGTTTTTAATTTAAATAAACAATAAATATATATCTATAATGACTAATGATCTCACAACTTTTACAATTATCTCCATTTGCTGGTTATCCTTTCCAATATCTTCCTCCAATCATCCTTTTATTGTTTTTCTGCCAATATTTACTAAACTTCAATTTCTGTAATTTTAACAATATTTTTATGAATAATTTATTAATCTAATAACAATTCAATTGCTATTAGTGAAGCATAACTATTAAATTATTTACAAAATAATACTGAGTATCTTCAGCAGCCTTCTTTTTTAAATCATCAAAACTATCTCCAATAATTTTAATGATCTTATTAGTTAAGTTTTCCTCTAATTTATTTCTTTCAACATCATTGACCTCTGCATCGCATTGACTTTGATCTTTCAAAAAAGCATCCTTGCAATTCGTGAAAAAGATCTTATAATATTCTTATTCATTTTTTGTATAATTCAATATATTCCATTTGGTTCCCTTAATCAACATATCCTCTCCAGAATCACAAGTTTCTTCAATCAATTACACCAATAGATAACTATAAGCCAACACAAGTCTTGATAATAGGAGAATGCATTCTTCAATTGATTAATCTGTCCTAAATATTCTTTTCAATTAATCTAATTTTTGATATAATTCTAAATTAACAAAATGACGAAAACCAATATCCTACTTCATTTACTACAAAAAGACCAATTATTTACACAATTGATCTCCTGTCATTTTTTATGATTACTTTTACATCCAACTAATGTTTTAGTCATTGTACAATTTCTGTAAGGTTGGATTATTAGAAACCAAGCCTTTTTCCATGCTTTCAAACATCTAAAAGACTTGATCCCATTAAATCCTTTCAGATTCTTCCACAATTAATGCTTTGGTCAAAAATTCCCTTGTGAAATCTGTAATGCCATTATGCTTAAAGACCAAAGGCTTCATTAAAATGTTTTTTAATAAATCTTATTCGTCTCTTCCTTTCCAGGGAACATCGTGGAACACCATTTCGTAAAAGATGACTCCGATGGACCAGATATCACATTTTGTTGAATAGGTTTTCCTTTATAGAATTTAGGGAGCCATGTACAAAGGAGATCCAACACACGATCTAAGTAATTAGGATGTATAATTATCAACGTATTTTGCAAATCCGAAATCTAAAAGTGCATCTAATTAAATTGATACCTGCTATCTTCACAATACCTTCGTGATTGAGGATGTTGGCAGGTTTTAAATCCCTGTGAATTACTCCTTACTTAACCAGTTCTTTGAATCCATTTATGATTTATAACATAATTCCTTAAGTCTATTGAAATAGTGGATAAATATAGTGATACTTCTTATTCAGATATTCTTTTCTTTTAGATGAACTCTTTTAAATCCCCATCCTTGCATAGCTCTGTAATTATATATAAAGATCTTTGAGTTGTAATGAGATCAATAAATCGCACAATATTAGGATGATTGAATTTCTTGAGGATCTCAATTTCACTGACTATTTGATTCCTTAAATAGGTATCTCTTTCAAAAAGGGCCAAATCCATTTTCTTGATAGCAACAATTTCATTCGTCTTGATATCCGTTCCTTAGAACACTTTGCCATAGGCTCCTTCTCCCAAGCAGTGTCTCTCATTATATTAGTACTGGCCGATCTGTTTAACACTCCTATTCAATTGACTCATAATAGGGATATAATAACAATATTTATAATATAAAATATATAATGGAAATTGAATATGTGTATTAACTGTGTGTGTACGAATAGGGAATCAGATTGAATGTGAGTCTGGTGATGGTGTGTATGCAAATTTGCACATAAATATCAGCATCCTTATCCGTTTTAATAAAATAATATTATAAATCTTGAATCATATGGTAATATATCGTGTTTATTTATGACGGATTACTATTAATTTAAATTGAGAATTGTTAGTAAAGATAAGCATAAATATTTTTACAAAATATTATGAACAATATCGATTAATTCTTCATTTCTCATATATAAAAGTTTGTTCCATCTTGGAGCCATCTTTAATGTGACGACTTGAGAATTACGAAGACTATAGGAATAACAAATAAGACATATATTATTGAAGCAGATGCTACTCCAAGCAAAATAATCTTTCGTCATTTTGGTGAGGTCGGAGTTGGATTATTTTTGAATAGAGAATAAGAATTACACATTGCAAGATAAGTTGCTAAATGTAAAATGGGGCCACATTTTTATGGTCACACTTCACATGTAACTTCTACTTTAATAATAAAAGGTTCGTTTGGAAGAATATATAGAAAATGAGGTCATGAGTCAGGAATCAATGAAAGACCCCGACACCTACACTTTGGTGGCTTAGACCTTGTGCAAGTTTCATCAGATCGATGTATCTAGTCAAATGAATGACAGAACACCGTTGTTTGAAAAGCACTTGCAAGAAAATTCAGACTTCTTATCGTAAGTAAGGGAGAAAGTTTGTTCGAGTCTCTTCTCTGAAGATGAAAGATCCATTCTATCTAACATGGCCCATTGGTTCTCAGAGGAGGAAGTCAAGTTTTTATAGTCAGTTTTACCAAAAGATGATATTGTATTTTCCCATAACGATCTATTGGCGAACAACATCTTATTGATTCCACCTGTAATTATCATTTTTTATCATCAATTAGAACTTCGATAAGGTTGTGTTCATCGATTTTGAGTATTCTTCCTATAATTTCAGAGGATTTGACATAGCTAACTATTTCAATGAATCACAATTTAGTTATCTAAACCCAAATCCACCTTACTTTTATATAGAAGAAGGAATGATTGACGAGGAGATCTTGAAGGACTTTGTCAAAGTCTATATCGAAAAGTCAGGATTGGACTTAGACTATCAAACTTTACTACACCAAGTCTACATTGGATAGCTATTCTCACACTTCTTTTGGGCGTAATGAATTCATTCTATAAATTATAGAGCATGGGGAATCATTATGGCAAAATCAAATGATATTGTATTTGATTATCTTGCTTTTGTAGAAGTTAGATATCACAAATATTACTAACTAAAGAAGCATCTTTTTGGAAAAAAATGATCAAATAATAAAAGTTTTATAAATATATTATTCAATAGTCTATTTAAACTTGTTCGATATATACAATTGTTCTGGAAAAATTAATTAATTTAATTTTCAAAAAACGAAATATTTAATAAACTAATAGATGTCCTTAACATTATTTTCCATAGACTTACAGAATATGAAATATATTGTTTGGCATCAAATTAGCAAGATTGGAAAGTTTTGCAATGTCTGAGATAATAAATGATCTATTCTTATTTTTTAAGATATACTATTCCAATAAAGAATAACTTTATAACTGAGAATAACAAATCTAACTACTTTGGGGATTTAATTACTACCTCATTTATAGAAATAGGTCTAGAATTAATTTCTATCAATAGTTTATTAAATATTTATTTTATAAATATCAAGTGATGTTTTTAGAATTATTAATACCAAAAGAAGAGAGCTCTACGGCTTTGCAAAGATGATAACTAAATGGGCCTATTCAAATTAGCAATTCTCTTATATTAATAATACCCAATCTCTATTTAATTATAATTATTGGGATGATGCCAGAATTTCCTATTCTTCGTTCTTTCTATTGAAGAATTGAAATGAATCCAAATTATAGTAATTCATTTTCTAATCCGATTTTAAGCTTCTTAAAACCTTTTGCTTTTCCGGATTGTAATTTTGCACTTTCAATAACATTCATAAAGAATTTAATGGTTATCTGATAACAAGAAAAAAGTTGATACCAAAGTTAAGGCTACAAACTTATACTAGAGTTAACACTTTAGAAATTTTCGTTAACGGCAAATGTGGGAATGGTAGTATCAACTACAATTGAAACACAATTTTAATGATCCTCTATTTCATCGTGCATTATTAGGATATTACCTATTTCCTTAATTTTTCTTCCTATTTCTTCGACATAATTTAAGAACTGATCATCCATTATGAATCTTCAAAAGAGGCAAATTAAATTTCATTATTCAAACTCCTTTTTGAAATTTAATCCAGCTCCCATCATTAAATGTGATCTCGATAATTCGATTTTGTTGATAATGTGATTATGAGGCCCTGAATCTGCTAATTTGTCAAGATCGAAATTCGAAAAACCAAAATACGGTTAATATTTTTCCCTTATTTTCATGCCAGAGCACATAAGGTTTAGCCGTTTAGTCCACAATCATATTCTTCAAGTGAATATGTTGTCATCATAAAGATGATTTTAATAATTAGCATTTTTATGATAATTTTATATTTTAATATTCGAACTGAGTAGTATTTTGTAATTAAGTTTTAAATTAAAAAATGGACTAAATATCAGAAGAAGCTATCAAAGCAATGCCAAAGAAACCATAGAATGGTTACATGCTATTCAGGGCAGATACATATGATGACCTTAGGAAAAAGAACCAAGATAAAAGTATGACTGAATTGACTTCAATGATATCATCTTTATGGGGATAGATGGATGAGAAGAAGAAGGATGTATTTATTAATTAAGAACCTTTTTATTAGAAATACAACAAGGATTATGATAAGGCTATGGATTAGTATAAGAGTGATTATGCTGGATGGTTGAAGAAGTTCAAGTTGGATGATGATAAAGTAAAGAAGTTTTTTAAGGACAATAAACAAGCTAAAAAGAAGAATAAGAAGGGTTCCAATAAAGATACCAAGACTTCGAAACATGATGATGAAAGTGATGAAGAAGATGAACAGAAAATTTAGTCCTTAAAAAATAAGAACTAAAAGAAATAGTAGGAATAGAATGTTTAGAATGCTAAACAGAATACTAAGGAATAATAGAAACAGAAGCCTGTTGTTCCTTAATAGAAGGAAAAGGAAAAGAAGGACAACAAAAAAAAGTGATTAATTAAAATAAATTATAATTAAATAATACCAATTTATGCTTTAAATATAACAACTTTGTGAAGACTCTGGTTTGTCATGTGGAAGAGGGATTTTCATTGGAATTTATGCAGGCTTAATTTTTTGCATTTCAATCTATTGTTTAATAAAACTTTATGGATTTATGGGCAGAATATCCTATGATTTGATTCCTTTGACAACATGCGCAATTTAATCTTCTCTGCATTTTATTAATGACATCTTTTTGGTAACTAATTCCCTATAAATCGTTATAATTTACTTTTGTTTACAGACTTTCATATTGATATCGCAAAGCTTTTTCCATTTATACTACAAAATGACGTACTCTAAAGAAGAATTTTAAGAATATCGATTAAAATAAAAGTACAGTTTGATAACATTTTACATCCTTTTTACTTCAATAATCATCTTTTACTTGATTTAAATCGATGATAGTAATTGCTCAGCCTATTTTGATGTTGGATTAGCTCTATAGTTTATAATTATTTTATTTAGTGTTGTTATATCAATATTATATGGCTAGAAATTAAAACAAGAGATGAATAAGCATGAATAAACGAATGTAACAAAAATAGCAAATTATTAAACAACAGCTGTGTAGATAGTATTGACTACTTCTGCAATTTTGGAATTTATTATGTCAATATTATCGCTTACAACTTTTAAGGATTTGTTCTGTAATTTACCATTAAATAATTTAAATGATCTTGATAATAATGAAGGATTCACATCAGGAGAGAATGTGTATTTAACTTTTTTCTCATTGATAGAAATGACTCCTTGCATTTTAGTACCAATTATTTTTTATTATTTGCCATAAATCCCATAATAATAAAATCAACAACATGAGTTTAACCTAAATGATTCCTTAATATAGCAATCTGCCAGATAATCAATGGATTTTAGTAATTTAATAAATATGTCAATTGAATTGAAATAATGAATAATATAAAAGCACTTTAAATTTAATACTATAATAAGAGTTTTTTGTGTATAACAAAGAAATTGGCGCAATATAATTATATAATTAATTAAAAATGCCTCCCAAAATTAATTAGAGTGGATTCATGTCGGTGGAATAGAGATCAGAAATAGGAGATTTCTCAAGACATACCCCAGCAAGATCTCTAATATAACCTCGTAATAGATCGATTTTGGCTACAGCCTCAAGGAGAACAGGAACTTAATCTTAACATTCACCAACCAGAATGACTGTTGAAACACATGAAGCAGTTTATTGGGGAACAAACATAGACGAAAGAGCCATTGAGAAATAGTTTGATAGATTCTTGAAGGAATACAGATCTGGAGGAATGGAATATTATATGAGTCAATTGAACTAATTAAATGAAACAGATCAATTCATCTTAAATATTGATGGCAGACATCTACTAGAATTCAATAACCATTTGTATTAGCAATTAATTCATTATCCAGCTGAAATTATTCCAATTTTTGATACTGTAGTATAAAAGGTGTTTTATGATGACTTTTTATCTTTGAAAGCAAGAAATGAATAAGAGAGAGAAGAGTTCAGATTATATGCTTAAAGACTATTGATAGGTATTATAAATTTGGAGAGGAATGTTCAAGTAAGAGAATTAAATCCAAAAGACATAAATAAATTAATTAGTGTGACTGGAATAGTCATCAGATGCAGTGAATTATATCCAGATATGAAATAAGCTACATTCAAATGCACAAAATGCGGTCACATAGTAGGAGTGAATATTGAAAGAGGAAGAGTGGAAGAACCAATCAGTTGTCAGAGATGTAGAGACAAGAATTCCTATGAACTCATCCATAATCTCTGCTAATTCACAGATAAGCAATATGTTAAGTTGTAAGAGTAACCAGAAAATGTCCCTGAAGGCTATACACCATAAACTGTAAATTTGGTACCTTATGATTATAATGTGGATGATGTGAAACCAGGAGATAGAATCATTGTTGTCGGAGTTTACAGAGCTGCTCCTATTAGATAGACTAAAAATAGAAGAGTCTTAAAATCTATTTATAATACATTTATTGATGTTATTTCATATCAAAAAGAAACAAAAATAGAATAAGAAAAAACTAAAAATATTACTGAAGAATAGAAATAAAAGTTAATGTATCTTTCTTAGTAGTCAAATATTTACGATAGACTTGTTAAATCAATTGCACCATCTATTTGGGAAATGGATGATGTCAAAAAAGGAGTTCTATGTTAACTTTTCGGAGGAACAAATAAGGAGTTTTCTTAGGCTGGTAAAGGAAGATTTAGAGCTGATATTAATGTACTATTAGTAGGAGATCCCTCGACAAGTAAATCTTAGATATTATAATGTGTTCATTAATTGTCAAGTAGAGGAATCTATACTTCAGGTAAAGGATCTTCAGCAGTTGGTCTTACTGTTTATGTATCTAGAGATCCAGAAACAAGAGAGATCATTTTAGAATCTGGAGCATTAGTACTTAGTGATATGGGTATCTGTTGTATTGATGAGTTTGATAAAATGGATGAGAATGCTAAAACTATATTGCATGAAGCTATGGAATAATAAACTATATCTGTGGCCAAAGCAGGTATTGTTAGTTAGTTGAATGCCAGAACTGCTGTTTTGGCTGCTGCCAATCCACTCAAATCTAGATATGATGTCAAATAATCAGTCGTTCAAAATATCAATATGCCTCCAACTATTTTATCTAGATTTGATCTCATCTATCTAGTACTTGATGAATTCAATGAAAAAAGAGATGAAATGTTAGCATATCATATTTTGAATATGTATTCTCTCAAAGACTAATAAGATTACTTAAATCAAATAGAAGAGGAAGGAAACACTGATTTAATTGACAGAGAAACTTTGTATAGTTATATTTGTTACGCAAAATAAAACATTTTTCCAAGACTGACTGAGGAAGCACAAAATGAATTGATTGCAGCATATGTCAAAATGAGAAGTGCTGGAAACTCCTCAAATACTATTACAGCTACTCCAAGATAATTAGAATCATTGATTAGATTATCTGAAGCCTTGGCAAAAATGTAATTCAACCAAAGAGTTGAAAATTATCATGTCCAAGAAGCGGTTAAGTTGATGGAAACTGCCATGAAAAAAGCTGCTCTTGACCCTATTACTGGTATGAATTAATTTCTATTCTAGGTAAAATCGATATGGATTTATTAGCCACTGGTAGATCTAATGCTTCACGGGAATTAGTATCTAAGTTAATAGTTGAAATCACAAATATAATCAAAGCAAACCTATCTGATTATAGAGGATAAGGTGTAAGATTTTTTGATTTTGTAGAACAAGTACTCATACATTATATATTTTTTAGATTAACACTATATTAGCTGCCTAAACAAATGAATAAACAATTATTGATAAGAGGCAGTATTAAAAAGAAATCTTAGAGGCTCTTCATCTACTTGAAGAGTAAGGTTTCGTCTAGTTACCAGGAGACAGAAATAAACCAAAAATAAAAGCTGGTATTAAAGCTCTTTAATGATTTTTATTATGTAATTTTATATAATATTATATTTTTTATTTAACAGATGGACTCCCCTTTGAAAGATATGACTGGAACGATCGTAAACAAGTACTATTGATATTAAATTAGGCAATATAAACTCATCAAGAAATTAGGAGCGGGTGCTTTTGGAGAAATTTATTCTTCGTAATCAAATGGATTAGAGTATGCAATCAAAATAGAGAAATCTGATTCAAAACATCCTTAATTAGAATTCGAATCAAAACTATATCACTATTTGAATAATCATAATGGATAGGGAATTCCTAAATATTATGGTTATTATTAGCAAGATGGTTATAACTTTCTAGTTATGGAATTACTTGGCTAATCCCTAGAAGATATCTTTTCCGAAAACAACCGCATTTTTACTTTGTAAACAGTTTGTGTCTTGGGAATTCAAATGTTGGAATGCATAGAATTCTTACATAGCAAATAATTCATTCACAGAGACATTAAACCAGATAACTTTTTAATGGGAAAGGCCTAAAAAGATAGAGTGTATCTGGTTGATTATGGATTAGCCAAGAGGTATATTTCAAAAGATCTCCACATTCCTTATAAAGATAACAAAGCATTGACAGGTACAGCCAGATATGCCTCTATCAATACACATCTCGGAATAGAATAATCTAGAAGAGATGATCTAGAGGCTCTTGCCTATGTTCTGATGTATTTTTTAAGAGGATCCCTGCCATGGTAAAATCTAAGGGCAAATAATTAAAAAGAAAAATACGATAGAATCATGGAAAAGAAGTTAGCCACATCATCCGAAACTTTATGTAAAAATTACCCATAATAATTATTATAATTCGTTGATTACACTAAGAATTTAAAATTCGATGAGAAACCAGATTATTAATTCATTAAAAATCTCTTCATTTCAATTATGCAAGAAAATGAATTAAGAATGGAATATATATATGATTGGGATGATGAAGATACATAAAGAGATAAAATCTAAATTAGAAACGATGAGAAGAACGATTTACTAAAAACAAACAAATAAAGTAGCAATACTTAATAAAGAGTGAATAAATATTAAGAAAATAAAAATTTAAATAGCAATAGCATTTATATGAGAAATTGTAGCAATATTAATAACAAATACAGTATTGGAAGGACGAAAACCAATTCTATTGGATCAATAAATAAAGTAGTTGTTACTAAAACAAAATAGATTACTAACAATACAATTAATAGTTTAACTAATCAAAATACTTTGCCAAATAATAATAATAATAATTATAGTAAATTACATCAAAATTTAGCAAAATAAATAATAAAGAAGCATTCTAGTTTACATTACTAATGATTAAATTAACTTGAATTACAACTATCTTTTATATAAAAGTTTGTTAATTATTTCATTCCATCTGAAATTCTGCAAAAGTTTAGTTATTTAACTGTTGTTGACAATAAATTAAATATAAATTTATTTCTGATTAATCAAATTAACATATGGAATTTATACTATTTAAATTATAAAGTATAATAATTAAGATCTATAAATTTTGAAAAACGATACCATATAAAAATAAATTAAACAATACATATAATTAACTTAATACGTAAAATAATTTTTCATGTTTCGGAGTATCCTTGTAATGATTTAATCTCTCTTATAGTAAATTGTTAAATACTTACAAACCTTAAATTATTATAAATAAATAAACTTTTTAAGAACAGTCCAATAAACTATGCAGAATTAGCTACAACAACTAGATGTTCCAAGAGGATAATCTTTTACATTTGATTCTAATCGACCATTTATTTATTACTATTCAGTTGCCAAACCCTTACCTGATAATATAGTTGATGACTTAGTCATTTGTTGTTAAATAAGAACTTATCTAATAAAATAGTTGCCTAAGGTTTGGTTTTTAATGGCTAGTACAACAGCTCACATTTTAATAGAAAAACAGCAAAAGTTTGTCACTCCAAATTTTATTTTAGACATATTTATTTATAGTTGGCTATCAGATGGGATGGCAAACTTAAAAAAGGAATTGATGAATAGATTAAGCAAATTGATAGTTGAAAATGAGAAATTAGAAAGACTCATTGATATTTTTACATAAGAAATGGTCTCAATTTAAGAAGAGTTTTCAAAATTTCATAAGTCAGAATACCTTCTCAATTATAATGATAGTTGTGTACAGCCATTAATAGTATTTCGAGAAAAAGGAAAAAATGAGAACTAATCCCTAATCAAGCGAATTGATGAATTAAATATTGATGACGATAGTAGAGATTCAACTTTATCATCATCATAAATCTCTTAAACAATTACCAACAAAGATATTGACCGTAGCAAATCAGATGTTAGAGAAGTTACGGCAACACTCCAAAATAATAAGATGAGAAAATTTACAAAACAGATGGAAAAAATGACACAAAATGTTTTTACCGAATTAATCAAGTATAATTCCCAAGATCAATAATGGCAAATAGCTAGACAATTTGTTGTTATTATTTTAGAAACTAGCGTTTAGTCTGATCATTATTTAAAAACTATGGAAAAAGTTAGATTCATATAACCTGCTTTGCTGTTTTATAAAAAAGCTCTACAGGTTTGGATTCTGGCCAAATTTTCAGCTTAATAATCTCATTAAACAACGAAAAATTCTTAAGAAAATAAAGTAATGAATTAAAATTATTATAGATGATATTCAGTTAATTTTTATGCAAAGCAAAAAGCTTTATGGGGAAGTATTGGAATGAAAAATTAGTCATCCCCTTGCATACAGTATTTCAAATTGCAGAATAAACCTACCCAGAGGTTTCAGTTGAAAAAAACGTTGCCGAAGTATGCATATTTCTTATGTTAGCAAATGAAAAAATTTTCTATTTTATTAAAAGAAAAACTTGTAGCATTATGGGACTAAAATCTTTCTCAATGCACGAAATAGCTTATTTAACAACAATGATTAATAATTAACATTTATCAAAATCTAAAATTCATTACTTTCTTCCACTCATGTTAACTTAGACTGAATATTAGACTCGATAAATAATATCTTTTTCAAAATTTAACTACTAATTAAATCTAAATAGTTTGATATAACTTATATCTTTTCAATACCATATAAGTATTTGATGAACTAAATTTCATAAAGTATATAATTTCGATTCTTTAAATAAATCTTATAACTTAAACTTAAATCAAAATTTATGATGAAATTGAATTTCGATTTATTATTACAATTATTGTTTGCCTTTAGTTTATTTTATATACTCATATTTTTGAATTAACTGATTAATCCTAATGTTCTTCACATTCATTTAATAATTTATTTGATTCATTTACAACAAATTATTTTTACATAAAATACTTTGCATATGTTTAGCAAGTAAATTTATTGAATAGAAGTGAAAGTTAAGATTTTTAATTCAATATTGTTTGAATGAAATATACGAATTCCTTCATTAAGTCTTGTGATGTTTACCTGTGAAATTTCGATATCTTATGATCTGATAAAATAATGACTACATGAAAAAAAAATTGCGTTACAAAGACAAAATTAAAAGTTTATAAATGTTTTTCATCATTTGGAAACATGACTGGATGTTAATAAATAACAAATGAATAATATCTAAATAAATTTAAGTAGATATTTTCAACAATAATTTAGGTTGATCAACCATTTGGAGATTCATCTGCATTCAACCACTTTACTCTTTTTCCATTTTCCCACATTCCCTCCTTTTTTTCACCAGTGGGTAAAGTGATCATTCCTTTTCCTTGTTATTTGCCGTTATACCAATATCCTTCATACTTTCTTCCATTTTCCCATTAGAAAATACCCATACCGTGTTTTTTGTCATCTTTGTAATCTCCATCATATCTTTTCCCATCAGCCCATTAAGTGATACCCTTTCCGTTCATCTTACTATTATTCCATTAACCTCTGTATGATTTTCCATCTTTCCAATAATATTCTCCATAACCAGTTATATCATTTTCAACAAAATCCCCTTTGTAGTAGCTGCCATCAGCAAAAGTTAGAGTTCCTTAGCCATGTTTCTTTCCATTTTCATATCTACCCTAAAATATCATATCCATCATCTATTTACTTCATATTTTGCTCCATCTGGCCAAGCTTCCTCTCCTTGCCCATGCTATAAATCATTCTTCCAATCACCTTCATATCTAGCACCACCTAATTTAAAACAAAACTAAAAACCACTATGGATATAAACTCCACGACCATTTGCCATGTCATCCAACCATTAACCTTCATAAATATCACCATCCACATGCACTTTAATTTTATAATTTTAATCTACCTAATTTACCAAATCCATTTGCTTTGTCTTCTACCCACTCTCCTTCATAAAAACTTCTATCAGGCCAAACGTATTTCCCTTAACCATCTCTCACACCATTTTTCCATTCACCTTCATATACTCCTCCATTTTTCATTTCAATAGCGCTCAACGTTGTTCTTGTGAACTTTCCTTTTGTTGATTAAACCAAAGAAATATATTATTCTTCTGGTTTGTTATCATCTACATTGCCATAATAATATTTTACCATTTTCTCTTTTCATTAGTTTTGGAGAAGAACTGTCTTCTATCGAATTATTTCTTGCTCCTGCCATTTAAGCGATGTCTTCATCCTTTAAATTTGCCCCCATTTTTTCTTTTCTCTATTTATTATTTCCTTCTTATACATCAGCTTCCTAATTTTAGCATGGATCCATTTTAGCATTAGGCTTTGATTAGCTTTACTGTTTTTGATTGGTGTTGAGTTCAACTTCATCCATTCCTTTGGCTTAGCATTGACATGAGCAACCATTTCCCATTTGAATTGAGTAGAAAATTAATTATATAATATTAATAAATTAATTTGAGTTAATCTTACTTTGATTAAACTTTTCCTAATCTCATCGATAATTTGTTTAATTGTATCACGCCTCATCAGTATTGCATTTTCCATATGGTTTTTTTATTAAATCTATTTTATAATTAAAATTAATAATAAATGAAGTGTTCTTGTAACAATAATTTGATAATACAATTTTTGGATGATAAACTCTACATTTAAACTTGTATTCAAATTGTATCAATTATTCATAGGTAATAATTCACAAAATTTTATCCCAAAATATCAAGGATTGCCTGAACCTATTAATGAAGGTAATGAAGAAAATAATTAAATTGTTCGGTTTATGTAATAATTTTCAAATAAGAATCTTGATTAAAATTCTTTTAAATAGATTTTTGAGTTCAATGCAAATAGTTAAAGTGTATAACATAATATAAATTGTAGCATTTTAAAATGCCAATTGATAATGATAATAATTTTAGAACTATGAGTTCTCAATAGCCTATTATTAATTCATGCATTTGCTAACATCATTAAAAAAAATAGAAAAAATTAAAACAGAAAGCGAAATAACCACCGCCTAAACCGACTATTGAAAAAACTCAAGAAAATTCAGATTCTAAAGCATCTCAAAAATAATCGAAAGCTCATTCTTAAGTGAATGAGGATATTCGAATTTTTGAAGATAAAATACGATCATACACATCTGAAATTGATGAATCGAATAAAAAATCATTAAAACTTCCGCAAGAATGGATAAAAAGATTGGGAACTTAAAAGAAGAAGAAGTGAAAATGATAAAAATACACAATCTTAAAAACAAATCATTTTAAAATTTACAATTACTTAATTTTTGAATTATGTATCAATTACAATATATACAAATATTACATACAAGATATATAAAAATATAAGTGATAAGTATAGTTATCAATTAAAGTTATCTAATAATGCCAATCTTGCTTGAATTTGATTAATAAGCAAGTCGTTCAATTTTTCTTCTTTTTCAACATTTAATTTTACATTTGTTTCTTCCTCTATCTTCACAGCTTCACTATTTAACAGTTTAATAAGATCTAAAGTCTTTTGCACCCTATCCTAATTGGACAGAAGACTATCATCAACTATATTTCTCTAAATATTGTAAATTTATTACCCACTCGCTTGGTTGCACTTCTTACACCTTTTTATGGATGCTAATACCCTTAGCTTATTCTTTTTTTTTACATTTAACTTATGGAATAGGTGACAATTTCTAAATTTATTGATTCCTTAATTTAAACTTAAATTCTGTCTTTTTTTTTTCTTCAGGCTTTTCTTCTGTTTTTAGTATTTTTTCTAATTTAGTAATCAGATATTTATCAACAGATTATAATTAACTACTTTCAGAACTGGTTTTGTAGGATTATTCATGTAAAGAAATAGGTCTTGATTTTTAGATAGATAAGAATGCATCCGAAGGATCTTCATGAAATGTTTTGTTAGCTGGTCTTAAGTAAATCTCTTTTACAATTTCTGAATACTTTTATTGAGCATATTTTCTAGCTTTTATTTGTTATCTTTTTGAAAACTGTCTTTATTACTCCTCTTGTTAATCATGTAGCAATTTAATATATGTATTTGACTTTTTAAACTCCAGTTATGGAACAGATTTTTTCTTATTTTGTCTTTCGATTTCCTTAACAATTTTATTGCTTTCATATTATTATTAATGCAATAAAATAGAACTAAAGTTGATAGGTTGGAATAGGTCTTTTTTTGATGACATCATCTATCGATGGAGTTACTCTTACACTTATTTTAACTCATTATCCTTATTTTATATTGCAATCTGCTCTCTTCTAATTCTATCTTTTATTAAGAGAATTTTCTTGTTTTCTTCCAATAATTATTCTTTTCTGTTATTCTCTAACTCTTCCAAAATAGATGATTTGTTTAATCTTTGTTTCATAAATATAAATAATTATATTATAAATTATGATAATTCCGATTTTCATTTTTTTAGTAAAACACTTTGTATCATTCTTTTTTCTAGCATATATTTGTAGATTAATTCTTTCAAAATGGGTTTGTCAACACATTTAAATAAATTTAAGTCCTTCACTTCAAAACCTTAAGCAGCAATATAGGCTCCGCGTGCTCCTGACTTTCCTTTTTTATACACAGACCTAAACTTTGTAATGAATTCTGCTTTCAATGATTTGTAATAATTTTAGACTATTATTAATTAAATTTTTCTATTTATTATGAATAAATGTTTACCCATCTAAATATGGTGATTTCTTAATTTCCTCATCCACTTAAAAGTTAATAATTGTCTTATTCATTTACTTTTTAATTTCCTTGACCTCTAAACATATTTAATGATCAATATACTTTCAATATCTTCTTTTTAAATCTGATTGTACATGACACCCCAATATTTATTCCATAACATAATTATCCTTTAAACATATGCTCCCACTTTTTTTTTGTAATTTCTATATGAATCTATTACAGTTCTTATTAGTCTTCTAAATCTATAAGTTTTTTGGATAATTTCACCAATCTGTCCGTAGCTCTTCATAAATGAAAAACAGATAAATTCAGCTCTAGTTTTGACTGTTTTTTATTAGATTTATGCAAAAACACAAAGACTTTATAAAGTTTGAAATTTAGTCCTCAATTAAATAGTTTCTCCATGTTTAGTTAGGTATTACTTCAAATTTAGTCTTGTTCTATGTTTTTTTCTGATTATGGTAGCTTCATTCATTAAATGATTTGCCATTCCCTAAATTAATGATAACAATATTTACAATGTATTTAACTCTAATGAGTCTACAGATGAGAATAGAAAATAGATTGGTAAACCAAATTTTTTATTGTTCTTTTAATTATGAATCTATTTAATCTCTAACATTCAATATATCTTTAATAATCTTTTTTTTCTAAGAATGCTCATATCGCTCTCTAATTAGATCTTGTTTATCTTAATCAATAATCTATTTATTCACTAAGGTTTCTTAAAATCGTTTAGCTGATTAAACTCTTTTGATCAATAACTGCTTTTTTTAAGTTTCAGGTTCGTATTGTCTTAGATTCATATTCATCAGAATTAAATCTTTTGATTATCTCCTTGATAATGCACTACTTATCCTACCTGACATAAATGCAGTCATTGGTCTCTCTTTCTCCTCCTAATCTTGCTTTTATAGCTTCTGAATTTTCATCCCATATTAAATCTTAGCATGAATTATAGATTATTATTAACTAAATATAGCCATGTACAAAAATGGAGTAGTAAAAATATTATCTTCTCCTGGCTCAGTATATCTTAAAACTTATTTTCTCTGAAATGCCTCTTCAAAATTGAATCTATTTGGTGTCAAGGTGTGCCTCGAGATGTAAAATTTCATTTTAGCCTGATTTGTGAAAGTAAAGTCTAGGATGTTAATGCAATTCATTACTAATGATTAGAGGTTTTTTATGGCCAGCTAATGGGACTTCAAAATAATGAAATGTGCATAGTTATAGATGAATAATATTAACTAATTTAGCATCTAATTGAGCCCTTAAATCGTTGATGACATAGCCTTATTATTTTTTTACAACTTCAGTTTAGAAATTGTATTCAAAATCCTTTTTTGATGGTATTATCTACTTAAGTTTCCTCGACTCTAATTAATTCAATAGCTCATAATTTGAATGTATGTTGTTTTGTTATACGATAGAATTTTAAAAGTCCACTGTTTTCATTTTATTAATTATGGAATAAACTAAAAAAATTCTCATTGGAGGTGGTTGTTTTTGGAAGCATGAATTGAATATGCAAAGATTAATCGGTGTAATCCATACCGAAGTTGGTTATAGTGGGGGTATTATAGATCACCCATGTTATAAATTGATATGTACAGGATAAACAAACCATGCAGAAGTAGTATTGGTACATTATGATTAATCAATCCTTAAATTGGAAGATTTACTCTATTCATTTTTCAATTAGCATGATCCAACTCAATTAAATAGACAAGGATTAGATGTAGGAACTCAATATCGTTCATGCGTCTTCTATTATGATGATGATGATTTATAAGTAATTCAAAAGGTTTTAGAAGATGTTAAATCGTTTAATAACGATGAAACCATTCATACTCAAGTAGCCAAAGCCTAAAATTACTGGAAAGCTGAGGAAATGCATTAAAGATACTTATAAAAAGCAGGTTAATGTCCTGATAAAGGTTGTGAAGATATAATTATGTGTTACAATTGATTAATAAATATAAATAATAATAATTTATGAGGCCAAGCTTCCTCTTCATTACATTACTTAATTTAGTTTATGGGATCAACTATTCGATTAGAGGACAAAGCAATCTTTTAGATTTAGATCCTACTAATGATGATTTGTAAATCAACGAAGGATTTAGGGAAGCAGCAGATCTCATATTTGGAACCCTTTACCAATATTTACCATATATAGTATTAGCTCTCACCTTCATCTATTTTGCAAATAAATTCTTTCCAACAAGACAGCCAAAAAAAATATTGAAAAAATTGCCAATCCAAAAACGATGATTATTATTTAATTGATATTAACAATATCACACTATTTTAGGGTCTGTTTAGTCTCTTTTAAAGAACTCTCCCTTCAGCTACTCTCTTAGAAAGTATTCAAATTAGATTCATCAGAATGAAGAATTTGAAAGAGAGCAAACCTTAATAAAATTATGAAAGTTAATATTTATTTTTATCATTCTCATTTGTCCCTTTTTGATTTCCAATCTAGTAAGGCTTTTAAATTTTTATCACTGTTTGCTACGAGCTTAATATAATTATCTATAAATATATTTTATTTTGTAACCCATAAATGCATTTGCTTTGGCTATGCCATAAGTAACTCTAGCCCTATCAATCAATTTTCGACTCTTTTATTCAGGTTTTTCTGATTTAGCGCAATCAAAATGTTATTAAAAATATTCTAATGATTTAGCCGTATTTCCTTTGCTTTAATATAATTTAGCCAAATGCAATGCAGCATCAGATTATGAGTTATATAACTTTTAATCTTTAGCCAAGGCATAGTAGCTTTCCAAATGCTTTTAGGCTTCATCTACATCACCCTTCTTTAAATAGCATTAAGCTAAAGAGGAGTGTGCCTCCATCTCCTTCTATTTTGAATCCTTACAAAGTAATATGTAAATATACTTCTTTGTGTAACTATTTTACAATTTCCAAGAATTTATGATGATATTATATACTCTTTTAGATATTCTGCATTTTGAAATAAAGCCCACCAATTTTGTTGCATATTACTCCTTCTGATTCTAAATCTCCTGCCTTTTAAGCTGCTTCTCTGCACTTATCATAATATTTTAATGATTATGCAATTTAATCGTTATCCCCCTTCTCATATTCCTAAGCCATTCTGTTGTAAATTTTAATCAATTCGGTTGACATCTATTCAACAACTGAATCCAAATTCTACAATTATTCGCATTGTTTCATGCTTTCCTCTAAAATCTATATTGCCTAATCTATCAACCCAACTTGATAATGGCATTTTGCATATCCTAGTTTGCCTTTTCCTTCAGCTTTAGCTTCCTATTATATATACAATTTTTACCGTGTATTATCTAGATATTTAAATTACTCTTTTGTAAAAATAGGCTGCCACTATATAATCTTAGTACTCAGTAAAAAAGAATTCAGCCAAATTTAAGTACTCATTCAATGCCTGAGTTTTATCTGGATATTAGTATTTAGCATTTTCTTCGGCATTTTATAATCTCTTTTTTAAATCCAACAAGAATTCTTCATCTTAATTAATATATTTTTGATGAACTAATAAATAATGTGCAAAAAATACTTCTATGATTTGAAAAATGCTCTTCTAATGAAATTCCTGAAGGCTGATAAAATAATTTTGGGACAGTTTCATTGGTCACATAAAAAAAATCAGCATATGATTACACATATCCATTCACTTTTGGAATAATTGATAATAATTACATAATATTTCAGCAGCAATCGATTCTTTGTTAACTTTCCCTTAAAATTCTATTCTTTCCTCTGATTAAGGATTTTATTATTGCTAATCTAGAATAGTTAAGTACTTTTTAAATTTTCTTTTGGGGATGCTTTTCCGTTGTTATCTGTTTCTAAACTTAAGCATCCGCCAATCCTTTTGCTTTGATGGGCATTTTGATGGGTTCAAATTTTTTTTCCTTTTGTTGCATTAAATATAATATTTAATGGATACTAAAGTCAGTGATTCTAAATCTCCATCCAAATCAATAAAGCCAAATATACAGGATTACGTATCTATAGGATCTTTGGGAAGAGGAGCATATGGAGAGGTTATATTGGCATAAAAAAAAACAGATAATCAATAGGTAGCTATAAAAGTGATTGATAAAAAATTCTTAACAAGAGTACTCATAATATAAGATTTCTTAGGAATAAAAACAATACCAAGTTTATATTGAAAGGGAAATGCTTTTATATTTGAAGCATCCAGGGGTTGTATAGTTGTATTCTACTTTTTAAAAACCTGAAAAATTATATTTTGTTATGGAATATTTAGAAGGAGGTGATTTTGCTGACTTTTTAAAATTACATAAAGGTAAAATTTGACTTATTTCTTTGAAGATTTAAGCTTCCAGACCTTATAATTTTATCTAGCCTAAATAGTTGTCATTTTAGAGTATATTCATTCTAAAGGAATTGCCCATAGAGATTTGAAACCAGAAAATTTAATGTTATCCAAAAATGGGCATTTAAAATTGATTGACTTTGGTACTTCAGTGGTTGTTCATGAAAATAAAGTACCAGCTGAATTTTTGTAGAAATACAAGCAAATTAAATCCTCTTTCTAGACATAAGAAGGATCTTTCATCAATAGAGCATCCTTTGTAGGAACTGCTGAATATGTCTCACCAGAAATGCTTGAAGAAGAACCTTGCGAATACGCTGTAGATTTATGGGCTTTAGGCATCATATGTTATAAAATGTTTACAGGAGTAACACCTTTTAATGATAGTACATAATATTTAGTATTTCAAAATGTAAAAAATGCTTAATTAAAAATACCTGAAAATATACCTAAAGTGGCTGCTAATTTAATCTAATAAATTCTAGTTAGAAATCCTTAGGAGAGGTTAGGTAGTTAATCTATGGCTGATCTTAAATCACATCCTTTTTTCAAAGGAATAGAATGGGATAAATTATTTCAGATGCAAGCACCGTAACCAAAGATTGTATCAGTTAAATCTGTAGAAAAATCAATAGATCCAGATTTATAATTAGGAGGGAAAAGGAAATCAAAACTTAAATTTTATGGAGTGGTTTAATTTAAAATAGGGTGGTTTATTTATAGACCATTAGATTTAGTGCTAATTGAAGGCAAAGAATATATGAAGTTGGCATTATATGATCCAGAAACCGAGAAATGCTAATTGAAAATTAGGTTGTTGGAAGGAGTCTAAGTATATAGTCCAAGCAAAGGGTAGATGGAAATTAAAGATTAGAATAAAAAGTACAAAATCAAAGAAGTAGAACATCCAATTGATAAGTGGTTAGAAGTTATTGAGAAATGTAGAAAAAATTTGATAAAAAAGAAGTAAAAAAAACAAGAGAAAAAATAATGATATATACTAATAATTCATATTTTAATTTTTGAAAATTTGATGGCTGAAGAATAAAATAAAACTCCTAGAGATATCAAAATAGACGATACCAGTTTTACTAACAGAAAAGAAACAATAGCAGATACCAGATATTCCTAAAAAAGTTTCATTCATCCATAATAAATATATGTAGATATTCAAATTTACATTATTAGTAAGTCTAACAGTGTAATCATACTGTTTAACCTATATTCATTTAAGTAATTACACGTGAAGAAATAGAAACTCCTTTCTTAAACGAAATCGAAATGTTAAAGAATAAAATTAGCAAAATCCAATAAGAAAATGATAAATTATACGAAAAAATTCATTAATTAACTGAATAATTACAAGACAGATAAAACTTTATAGATACTTATAAATAAAAATTTATTGATCTCTAAAATTCAAAAGATATATTACTATCAGAACTTGAAAAACTGAATTCCTAAAAATACCCAGTTATAAATTATGCTACTCAACAAAAATTTATGTTTTAGTAAAATTAGTCAAGCGATAGGACTAATAATAATTTAAATTTAGAAATTGAGATTGATAAGCTCAGAATTGCCTTGAGTAATAAAGATGAAGAGATTAGAAGGCTTTAAGAAAAATATTAATAGTTAGAGAATTAGGGATTGGCTGTATTGGAAGAAAAAATAAAAACATTAATAATTGAAAAAGAATTTTGGAAAGCAAAATTTGAAGAAACATAAAAGGTTCGTTAATACAGTAATTTTAAATTTGCTTGAATTGCCAAATCTGATTGATATTTATATTTTAGAATTTTTTCTTACTGAGTATTATTGTTGTAACACTTCCTGCAATTTTATTCTATAGTCAACGTAGAAAAAAATAATTATTCTTATTCTTATATTTATTTTCACATTTTTCGATTTTTAAATTAACCACCATTTGAAATTATTATAGCTTTGTTTCTTATAATACCTGCTTGGCAGAGTTTAAATATATTAAAAGCATAATTGCTATTGTAACATCAGATTAGAAGATTATAAAAGTGATTTTTATTTAGACAAAATTGTTCATATTTTTCAAATTCATTGAACCAAGCTATTATAAATTTATTCATATGCCATCTGTTATTATTTTGATCTTTGATTAGAAGAGAGCACTAGGCAAAGTGCCTCAGTTGCAGATCTATGATTTTTTTCCTCGATTAATAATTAAATTTTTTTGAAAGAGCTCAAAGCTAACTAAGAATAACCTATATATTTAACCTCATCAGATTGATACGATACATCATTAATGAGTCGAGTAATCAATTCTGATAAAAACCATTCAACATCTTTATCATCATTGTTTTCTTTATTATCCAAAGCTTTTCTAAGATGCAATGGAGCTATTCGAGCCTATTTTTTGTCGTTTTATCCATGAGCATATGGACAATCAGTACCATTTTTACAAAACCCTTATTAATCATATTTACATAACACGGCTTGATATATTAATTGGATTTACTTTTGTAGTTTGTGATAACTATATTGCTATCGAGAGTAGGTATATGATTTGGGATTGGATCTAGGATAAATCTATAAATAACCATCTGGATTTCTTAACTCATCAATACCATGAGCAAACTAGCATTTGGAGCCAATAGAACAATTTCCGTATTCATAATGTCTACAAATAGATGTCTTATATAGACGCCCATTTCCATGTTGAGGGATGGTAATAATTGAGTGGTGCATTAAATAAATTTATTATGGATTTAATTTAGTTATCATCGATGATATTAAATACACTCTTATATGCTACATAATATGTGATGAGCAAATATATCTATAGAATATAGAAACAGAGTAATAGATTAATATAAGTAAGAATTATCGACAAATGATAAATAATTGGCTAAGGCATTCCGATATTAGAGAAGGAAAATAAAAATTATTATTATGGGGTTGCCAACTTTATTGTGCTTCGCTCAGAATTATTACAATTTGTGTTTGAGTTACACATAGTCAGAAAAATTGAATATTTTTGAGTGCTTAAAAAAATTTGATACTGAAAAAATAGGTATGGGAATATTAACATCTTTTTATATGACTCTATTATTATACATCGGCCCAGTCTATTAAGAATTTTGGGTAACAAACATACATTATATTTAGAATGGGAATTTGAGGGAGAAATTTAGTAAAATTAGGTTCAACAAATTTAGATGGGATTACTTTACGAAGATCGTTATTGTATTATTATTTCTTTATATTTTAAAAGACTCCATTAATTGATGAAATTATATTTAGAGAACTAGTGAATAATGCTATAAATGTTAGATATTAAAATAACATTCAGTTTATCATTTATTCAACATTGTTATATAGTTTAAGTATTTAAGAAATATTAACTAATTAGCAAAGGCATTGTCTTATCAATTAAAATATGGATAGCTTTCACGTTATGAATTCCTAAAAACATTTGTATTGGGACTATACTTGTCCTTTGTCTTGGTGTAAACAAAAACAATAGTGACAGTAATAATCAATCATGGACTTATGAATTTTATGGGAAGACCGAACTTCAAGGATTTAGTTAAAGGGAATTATAGCAATGAATAAAGATAAAGTATAAAAGAATTCACTATTTTAAGAGATGATACGCTTTTATGTCCTAGGTTTCGTAGCTTTTCTAATTTTTTGTGTTTTAGTTTTGTGATTTTATTTATTAATGGATTAATATAAAATAGTGAAGCGATTGGGAGATGGAACTTATGGGTGCGTCTACAAAGCAACAAATATCAACACTGGATAGATAGTTGCCATAAAAAAGTTCAAAAAAAAATATACTTCTTGGGATGAATGTGTAAACCTAAGAGAAGTAAAAGCATTATAAAAATTAAAACATCCCAATATTATAAAACTAGTCGAAGTATTCAAAGAAAAGGATGAGTTGAATTTGGTTTTCGAATTTTTAGATAAGGATATTTATCAACAATATTTAGAAAATCAAAATAATGGAAAACATTTGTCTGAAGATAAGATTAGGTCTGTAATAAAATAAGTAACTGAAGGTTTGGCATATATGCACAAAGTTGGATATTTTCATAGGTAATTAATACAAGTATTGTAGAGATCTAAAACCAGAAAATCTATTAGTATCAGGGGAAACTGTTAAAATATGTGATTTTGGACTAGCAAGAGAAATTAGATCGAAACCTCCATATACTGATTATGTTGCTACAAGGTAATTAGTCTTTATCATTTTTAAGATGGTATAGAGCACCAGAAATCTTACTGAAATCTCCATATTATAATTCACCAGTTGATATATTTGCACTAGGATGTATAATGGCGGAACTATACACTCTCAAACCATTATTTAATGGAAGTTCAGAATTAGATCAGCTTTTTAAACTTTGTTAAACTTTAGGTACACCAAATGTTAGAGATGTATTTTGTTGAAAATGACTTATATAGTGGCCCGAATCATAAAAATTAGCGAACGCTGCCAATATCACATTTCCAACATATAGTCCTGTCCTTTTGGAAAAAGTTATTCCAAATGCGTCATCGGAGGCAATCGATCTTATTAGAGATATGTTAAAGTATGATCCTTAAAAAAGACCTTCTGCTAAGTAGATTTTGGAATACCCTTATTTTACTAAATATTGTTTCCCTATGATCTAATAAATAGAGAATAAATAGGAATTTCCAAAAATAGATAGAATGGAAAGACATGAAAAATAAGATGATATTTTTGAATTACCTAAAGTCAATAATAAGGAGAATAGAAATAAAATGAATGAATCTAATTCTAACTTTTTAGACATTTTGGAATAAAGGATGGCTGACTATGAGAGGCCAACGAAAAAGGAAGTCTCAATACATAAGAGTAGCGTGAAGGAATCTAAAGAATATTAAGCATCAAAAGATTATAGAGAATCAAATCTGCCGATGATACAAAATAATTAACCCAAAGATTACATAATGTCTAAGGAATTCTCTTAGAATGATTCTCTAGATCCTAGAATTGATTCTAGAAATAAAAAAGGATAAGCCGGATTGAAATTCTTAAGACACAACGATCCTATAGGGGACCAACTTAGGAATCAATAATAATAAAGTATTTAGTAATCAAGATCTTATGAACCGACAAAAAGAAATATTTATGATTTTAATCTCATATAAATGCCAATAGCTAAACCTACATTTTAACCTAAATTGGAAATGCCGAAATAGAATAAAAATTAGATATTTGGATCAAATTATCCAAAATCTTTGCCTATCGCTCCAAATATGGGATATAAGTATTAACAATAATAACAATAATAATAATATAAATTTGATGACATCTTATATGGTAAACCTCCGCTTAAATAGTATTATTGATACTTATTCAAATCTACATCTATATATATACAATATAATTATTCAAACATGTATAAAATATCTCCCAATAGCAGTTAAAAACCTCTATTTGTAATCATGAGGATTGACAATAGTAGGGACCTTATATAAATTATAATGCTTACTTTTCCACCTTTGAGAACAAATTTTAATAGTCTCTCAGTTTCTTTATCCCATGTATAAAATCTTAAATAATCGATTATCCCCATCTTTATTTTTTTTTGCTTGTTGTTAATGATTAACAAAAGTGAATAATCAACAATTGATTTTCTTAATAAAAATTTACAATCACTCTATCACTTTAAGAAATATTCTTACTTAAAATGCCTTATCATTATAAATGTAGCAATCATTTTGCAAAATAATTGGCTCAGCATTTCTGTCTATTATAAAATTAGTATCCAGCAACACTTTATTTACTTTCTTCTCCCATCTATTTGTTTCACTTCCTTTTAAATCATAAACCAGTAAATCTTTTTAATTACCTATACCGTAATATAAATTTTCCATAATTAAATAAAATTCAGGATTGCCTTTGTCTCTAATCTCATACATTCCAAATATTTTACAAAGCAATGAAGGTTTTTGAGATTCATAAAAATGTCTATGCATTTATCTAAAATAATCTATTGCAAATTATTCAAACATTCTAAACTCCTTTTCATCATCAAATTTCTTCACAACAAATAATTCATTATCAGATTTGAAGAATTTTGATGAAGACTTCCCACCACTAGCATTCCATGAACCTGTTACACTAAGGGATTTTATAAATAAATTTAATGTGATTCCAAAGGATGCTCTTAAAGCTTCAAATTGAATTGGGAAATATATCATTATTTCTTAAGTTTTTGACTTTTTTATCGAAAACTACTAATTTCCTTAACCACTTGCTATCGATTATTATGAAGATATTGATTTTTCCTCATCAATAAATTAATCCCTACTCATTGACGGTTTCATTCCCTTTACTTTATCATACTATAATGTAATAGTAATGTAATTTTTTTCTTTTTTTTAAGGGATAGATTATTGTTAGGATGTATTCAAATTAGAATCAGTAGTAGTTGCCAATGATTCTCTTGGGAGACTATGATCCTCTTAATCCCATTTTCCTGATTATTAGCCAGTTTTTATTAAAATCAGTTTGCTTAAAACAACCTTCTATTATTCTGAATCAGCCTTTTAAAAATCTAGTTTAATTTATAGTCATACTTTCATAATAATTAATCGCTTTAAGATAGTTTGGATGATTTAAAGCAAATGCTAAAGAAGATAATGGTTGACTTTCAAAAATAGCTACAAATGGGATAATTTTTCTCTCACTTAATGCAACCTTATTCTATTCTTCTTAAAATAGACATATAGGCCATTCTTTTAAAAAATTACTTAAAGGGTTCTGTTGTTTATCTGCAATAAATGAATGATTGCTGTCTAATTCTCTGACAGAATGTTATTAATTAAGAATCTTGTTAGAAGAATTTTTCTTAAATTTACAATCAATCGATGATTTCATATCACCAAATTAATCGCTTTAATGGTCGATGTCTTCTCCAACTATACTATCAGAATGAATGATGTCGTAATCTTATCCAGACAGATGTCCTTTATTTGTAGGAGATTGATGATCAAAGTCTTTTTAGCTTCTTATTATAGAATTTTTATTAAGAAACCTTTTCATTTCCGTCTTAATTTATTCCCCTATTTCTTGCAATTAAATACTCAAATTATAAGTAAATTATTGTAATTCAGATATTTAATTAATTGCTGAAAATTTCTACTACCAAAACTTTTCATCAGAATATTATTCAATACCATCTACTTCAACATTTTTGGACAAAGTTTTCTTAAATTATGTTAACTAAAACATAATGTTTAAATATCTTTAATAAAGATCTTTTTTTTGAGACTAAATATATTCTTCTTCCCACTTTGTTAAATTATCAAGTAATTCTTAACTTAAAGTACGTTATATTATTGTGTTGAAGACTTCCACTTCCCCAACTTAGATCTTCACCATTGACTCATCATACGTAAATATTCTTTACAATTAGTGATTACAATTAATCTACTAGCCTGTTTATTTATCATTTGTGTTTGGTGGAGTCATCAATATCGTTTACATAAATCTAAAAAAGGAAAAGTCTAAATTTAGGCTAGACAATTTAACAATATTTGAACTTAAATCGCATTTACTACATTAAATGTAGGTTTCTATTCTTATCTTCTTTTTTTCTCCCTTTTAATTTGAATGGGATTACTAAACAATTTTAGTAATATCTTTTGCAGTATACACATTATCCCTTTGCTCATCTTCATTTGACAACTAAGAAAACTATTAGGAAACTTAATTTGATAACTAAGGAGGTTCATTAGTCGATATGACTCTTCCACTTCTATTTTTTTAATCAACACTTATTTTAATATATTTATCTCCACAATAATAAAATGAGACATGAGCTATTTTAGGTAGATGACAAAATTCGCATCTATTATCCTTATTAGCTATTTTCAGGATAATAAATTAGCCCAGACAAACATCTTCCCCATGATAATAAACAGATTTTTTCTCCTATGGCTTATTACACATCCGAGCCATGGAAAACTCTTCTAATTTATCTCTTTAAGAAGGATGCTTCAATTTATATTCTTCTAAACTAGAAAAGTCTTTAATGTCGTTAAAATTGTTTACATCAGCAATAACATAATTGATCTTAATGTACTTTAATTCTATATTGAATAATTCTTTTAAAGGAATCTTTTCAAATAAAAATGTTGTGAAATTACCTTAATTCGATATAGTTTTTAATAAATTGTTTTTAAACATTGAACACTCGGTAGTGATAAAGTGAGATTCCAAATCTTAATGTTTACCTAGTCTAGCACATCCTATAAAACATTGTTTTAGCTTTGATAATAACTCTTCTGAAGGGCCACTTATTGTTATTGTAGCAAATTTTTAACAAGATTAATTTTTCAAAAAACATAAGGTTGAATCCTTTTGAATTTCCCCTTTTTCTGAAACAACTTTTGGAAACTGTTTAAAAAATACCTTCTCACATGTACCTACTATTTATTCCTTTCTTTCAATGCATTGTTTTAATATTGATAAGCTTATAAATTTAGCATTTGTACACAATTTAACTCTTTAAAGAACTTTCTTTTTAACATTTGTTAAAACAGTTATTTTTTTCTTGAGACACTCATCCAATGCAATTTTATTCGCTCCCTTTTCAACTAAAATTAAATTTGGTTCATAATTTTTATAAATTTAATTAATAGAATCAACTAAGAGTTTTTTTTCATTTTATATATAATCTTCTAATTAATTTTATGAACCTTCCATATCAAAATCTCCAATAATTATAATGATGGATGGTTTATTTATTTCAGATTACATCTATTTTAACGCAACATTTTTCCGAAAGATAACCCCAGGGAAAAAACTGGTTAGTTATTCATCGTGATGATCAATAATTTTTATTTTCATAAAATGATTAATATCCATAAGTTTTGTGTTTAAAGAATGAAATTAAATTTCTTAAACAGACTAAGTTATCAAGGTTTTCATTTTTGCTTTCCAAAATTCAATAACTTTTTCATATGTTTTATTTGGCTAAAGAACATTCTGCAGTATGTATTCACATATTTTTTCAAATTAATAGCCGCTTTTTTCTTATAAAATTGGTAATTAATCTTTAGCAATATCAGACTCTTCTAAAAATTCAGATATGTCTTCCTTCTCTTAATTTATTTCTAAGAGTGTCTCATCCTCATCCTAAATTTATTAAACTTCATTTCCTTTTGCAATTATGCTTTTTGAAGAAGTAAATGTGGTCACACTTTCAAATTATTTCGAAGTATTTCTTGAATGAGAATTTCCTTCCTTCTTTAGGGTTACTTTCAAAGTTGATTCTTCATTATCTACAAAAAATCCTTTGTCTGCTATCAATTAACTAATTTTATCATAACAACGCCTGCAAAATCGAATTTTTTTCTCGCCTTCATTAGGAGACCCATCAAAAAAGTGGTTTGAACAACTACATGGTTATATCTATTTACTCTTAACAAAAAATATATCCACATCTTCTACAATGGTGCTTACGTCTAAATAAGGCATTAAATTTATTATCACACATCCCACATTAACTAATATCTTGATCGTCCTTCCACTTTTTTTTTGAAATTAATTCATTCTTTATTATATCAAATCGAGAAACCTATTTCATATAATTATTTTTATAATAAAAACAAATTGAACTTTCAACAGACATGCTTCCAAGCATAAAATTTGGCAAATTAAATAATAATATGAATCAATCTAAAATTCTTGTAATCTTATAAATAAAATTGAAACTTAACTTATAGTAATTTTGAATTTATTTAATATATTGCTATTCAAGTTCTTTGAAATTTAAAGAAATTTTCTTTTCAATAGTGGTAATAGTTTGCTATTCAATATCCTGTTAATCCAATTACCAAAATTTTTATTTATTATTCATTAAGTAAACAAAGTATATGACCTTAATTGATTATTTTGGTTTAAAATACCTTTATTAATTGAAAGTTTTGACATGAAATTGCGTTCTTCTCTGAATACTATGAAAATTAAGCTTATACTGAAAGCTCTATTTTTACAATTTTAAAAAGCTAATCATGAAAAAATATATCCTTTTTTGATCATTAATTTGAGCAAAGCATCCAATGGCCTATTTCATTTTGGTTATCATTACATTTTCGAGAAATAAAGAATAAGATAATTTTTATAAAAAAATCGCATTTAAAATTTTCATAATCTATTCAGCTTCTTCCACTTCTAGTATTATATTATTTGCTTTTATTTTAATCAGAGTAATTTTTTATAGCAGGATAAGAATTACTCATGGTGTTAAAATTTGTTGAAATGGGTGCTTGTTGTTGATTATTATGAGGGATATTCGATAAGGGATTATAATTTGTGAAATTCTAAAACATATTTGGAATTGTCGAAAAATTTTAATTCTAAATAGTAAAAGGAGACTGCACATTGCTATTATATTGGTGAATAATGGCGTCATTTACTTGCTAGTATAATTTTGTAAAGTCTAAGTTGAATTGTTACTCAATTAACTTTTGGTTTATATGTTGTTCTTATTGTTAATTTTTTTTTCCTTCCTTTTATTTTTATTCTTCTAGTAATCTTTTTTTCTATTAATCTATAATTGGATCTATAAATGGAATTTTCGATGGCGAGGGTTCCTTTTGTTTAAGCTTAAGTGTTTGCGATTTAATATCATAGACCTGTTTATAATAAAATATACATAATTTTATATCCCTTGATTTATTTCTTTAAAACAATTAGATTTGCTTTTTAGACTCATCCCAGCATTTTTACTCTACAAAAAAAATGTTTTAAATTCAGCTGTGTCATTAGTTTTGTTTTAAATATTGTGGTTCGATTATATTTCATTAATGAAGTGCTTCTAAGACTCTAAAGGAACTTGAATCTGTGTTCCAAACGATGTCTAATTTTAACTTTTTCTATAAATGAATAATACAGCTGATAATAGGCATTGTGAAAAAATCAAAATACTAAAAGATTAGAGATTTCCTATGAAACCCTTTATTAATTCGGATAAATCAGTTTGATAAATATGAAAATCGCTTACTGTAGATCTTATTTTGCTTTAAACTTTTAAATTAGATTCTGGAACACTTTCATTTTCAAATAGAGTTTATCTCTTTATACTTGATAAAGGGTCTGTAACCTAATCGCATAAATCCTGAAAACTTCCGTGATCGCCATCTATGCGACTAATTTCTTACGAGTTCCCAAATATTGTTGGATTAATTTCTCTTACATTATCATTCCCTTAATCATAGTTGGTGTAATTTTCTAAAGCTTAATTAAATGAGTAAGCTCTCTCCAATTTTTTGATTCCTATATCTAATTAATCATCTTTGTACAATATTTCCTAACTAAGTTATGGAGGCAAGGTCCTTTCAAAATTTTTCATTATTAATAATTCAAATTAAAATAATAACTTAAAATAAACAGAATACATAAAAAAAGAAATATAAAAATCAAGTGATTTATTTGTTTATGGATCATTAAGAATTGTAATAAATTGATTGAAAAATTGTAGAATTCATATTAAAATTTTTGGTTTTGGATCATTTGACCTCAAAATGATATTTATTAGAATGCATAAAAGATAATTATAAATTATAAATTACAAATTTGGCTTAAATTATTATCTAAAGTTATTTGTAAAATAATAATCAAAATACTTTACTTTCAATGAGGAAGTTTAAAATTTTTATTTCTCTTTAATTTTCCCTTTCCCTTTTGAAAAGTTAGATTTAAAACTTATTCTCCAATCATAAAAATCAAAAAATGATAGTAAAATGCATCCTTCTAATCAATTTTAGATCAAAAAAATATCAATTTATAAATGATTCTCGAAAAATTTAGTTTGTACCTTTTAGAGGGGAGAATATTCCTGGACTAGGTAAGATAAAAAGTTTGAAGAATATAATGAAAACAATACCCTAATCAATCAATTAAGGAAAGTGCAAAATATAGAGGAATGGCTAGGCTGATAATTGAAAATAAGATGTTTTGCTCTATGCAAATTTGCCTTCAAAATGAAATTTTAAAACACTCCTGTTGGGCAGTTCAAAATGATCATCATTCTACATAAAAATATTAATATAAATATATTTGTTATGATATTTTATGATATTCAAAGCTATAAGTTGACCACAAATATCAATTGAATTAGAGCATTCAAGTTAATATTTCTCCAAAAATTGAAATATTTATATAAAAGTCTTTATTTGTTTACAAAATATTTTAAATGGTCTAACTATGTTATTAAAATATGTTAAAATATTGTCCTAAAGTAGTTTAGAAAATTGTCTGAAATATCATCTTTAAAGTATGAATAATTTATAATTTAAAAATTTAAGTTAATGTGGACAAGTAATTTACATTAGTTATAGAAGTCTCAGATAAAAATACCCAAGTATCTTCAAAAAAAATCTAACAATTTTAACGCTGCTCATAGTAGCTAGGCTTGTGATTAAATGACGTTGCTTATTGTCTAGTTTAGCTGATTCAATTATTGTGATTAATTTGAGAACAACAGATGTAATATCGAAATCACTGTCAATTTGACATAAATATAAATTCACCATCTTTTACAATTATTAGGAAGAAACTTAACACTTCAGCACTGCAATATGAATAAATTTATATATTTATAATATGATAATAATTGTTTAAAACCAAAAGTCACAGTTCACTTCAATAAGAAATTTCTGAAGTTATTAATTTTTCACAATATCTTATAAGGATAAACTCTATTTTGCAAAGGCGTAAAACAGACTTTCAAGTTAATTATAATTATCATTATTCTCTATCATTCATAAATTTGTAAATATCCGTTTAATAAAAGAAGAAGTCTCATTAGTCTTTTAAGTTGTAAATAAGGTAAAATTTAGATGAACAACAGTATTTATCAATAATGACTGATGACGAAGTTAATAATATTTTACTTAAATAGTTTAAGTTGAGAATATTGAAAAATTAAATTTCTGACTATACTAGCTACTTCAGCTTTAAAGAAACTATCTTTTAATATTCTACATGTAAGCAATTCATGCATAACCAGATTAATTCAGATACATGTTGACAATTTCTGCTTGGAATCTTAAATAATAATTATCAAAATTATATTTAAATATCGTTGCAACATTCATAGAATAATCTTCTAAAAAGATATTAAATTTTGAAAATTATCAACTCTTTACTAATAAAAAATGTAGTTCTTTTTATATCCTAGAATTTGGATATTAATATACTATTCCTAATTTTAATTGTTTCATAAATTATTAATTTCATTTTGGCCATTTGAAGGTGAAAAATTTTCTCCTCGAGTATACAAATAATTCATTATTATAAATGAAAATGAAATATTAGAATTTTACTTCAATTTTAAGAGTTTTATATAGCTTTCCTCGTTATCTATATTTTCTATTTTGCTCAAAATCAGATATCTAAAAGCATAAGCGCTGCTATTAATGTCTTAATAAAAAAACTTGTTTTCTTTTTGAAATCACAATTGAACTAGAGCAATTGCGTTATGACATGAAGCATGAATTTATATCTTAATTTGGTGACTTAGAGAAAGAAATTGAAATAAATTTGTTTTCTGATTACTATTGAAAAAGATTAATGAAAAATAGGAGGATAGATATTTTGATAGAGAAATGAAATTGTGGATAAGAATGTAAAATGTAAGAAGGAAGAAGGAAGAACTAGAATTGCGATTTTAGAATTAAGTGAAAATTTCAAAATACGAATAAATTCATGATACTGATTACTTAAGCCAGCTAAAAAAACTAATATTAGAGTAAAGGTTGGTTGTTTTTTGGATTAATCGATAAAAATTAAATTGATATCAACTTTTGGAAATAGACTAGCAAATAAATTCTCATCATGTGATTTATTCTTTGAATTAAAAAACCAGAGATTGGATTGGTATGGTATCTACAGAATGGAACTCTTAGATAAGCTCAAGAAAATTGAATAAACAAAGTATGATTTGGGTTTATGATAAATTTGTATAAGATTTGGAAGAAATTTGATTTGGAAATTAAAACTAAATAACTGGATAGATATGTCATCTTCTTTGACAAGGTTCAACGTCTACAATTAGTTTAGTTTGACAAAAATTTGCTATTTGAAATTATTACAAAAAATAGGATTGTTGGAAGAAGGTTTAAAGATGTTATACAATTAAATTAGTTTATAATCCTATTAATAAAATATAGATTAGATTCAAGAATGGATTTTATTAAAGGAGTTTATGGCCTTTAATATTAGTTAATATTTTGATGATTTTTATTGAAATAGTAAGGATAAAGTTTGAAAATATTGGAGGAGACATTAATATTGTGATTTTTCATAAGATATAGAGACTATATATGGTAAAAGTACTTACAGATAAAGTGAGGCAGACTATATATGGTAAAAGTACTTACAGATAAAGTGAGGCAGTTTGAATTCATGATAAAGTGCTTACAAATTCAAATAATTTATAAGATAAATTGTCTATAATTTTCAACACCAAGACTAAATATAATAAAAAAATTTGAAGGCTGACAAACTTATTCCAAATAAAAAATAATCATTCAAATTCAAAGCAAAATAGGAGTAAAATATTTCCCTCCCATTTAAATTCGTATTAATAGCATAATTATACCTTTCAGCAAACAAGCTCTTGGTATTGTTTCCTTGGTTTAAATGAATTTTTTGCTGAGTGAGTCTTTCAAATTATGCTGTAAACATTAAGTATTCTGATAAGAGGCTATACTGAAGAATTGGAGGTTTACTAGTTTAATTACATTAAAGTTGACTCGTTAAGGTTAAATTCAATTTAGCTTAAGCAATATTAAATTAATATTATGCTGATATTTAGAATATTTATTGAGTCAAAATTCACTCTCAAAATTTTAAAAGATTATTTAATTACGACTTCTAGTTTTAGGATAATATTATAACAAGTACTGATGTACGCTGTTCGTCAACCTGTGTAAGCGATGTGCTCATCGTGGCTATTATAATTAGCCTTCTGTCTTCCTAAATTGCTTTCTAGTCCTTTCCTGTATTCTTTTGATACATTAATTATGAATATCCACAAACTTTTTATTTCTAAAGCAGACAAAATATCTACTATTAACAACAAAATCAATACTTAATTGGTTGCTTCGCTCTTGTACTTTCTCAATGACATTATCATAGTTGAGCTCGCTGAACTGATAATATACATAGTTATAATCGATACATCATTAGATACAGAGTATCCCTTATTCCTAAAAAGTTTGTTGGCAACTGCAATGTATTAATCTTTGGAATATCTTGAGGCAACAGAAATTATTATTGAATTGACACAGATATGCTAAGCCTTATATTTATGTCTCAACATTAGTTTAAATTGTCATCCAACCTAAAAATCCCAACTAATTAAATTAAATTCACCTAAAAATCATGAAATTAATTTATTTATACTCTAATTTTTTTTAATTAATAGAAATTAGAAATGATATAAGTTGAAAAAACAACTGTAATTGTGAATTATGAAGATATTATAGATTAAGGGAATTTTGGATCTCTTTTCAAAGGTACAATTAGTTAGGGTAAATTGGTGGCTGTAAAAATACAAAAAGACATTTCAGATTTTGAAAACTAGATTTTATCGGCAATTAAAGGAAAACAATTTGATCATATAATTGAAGTGATTGCTTTTGAAAAAAAGGAGAAAGCTGCTTACACAATTATGGAACTTGGTGAAAAGTTTGATTTAAGTAAAATTTTGAATAAAAAGAATGCATGCTTGCAAGTAAAAATATAAATATTTTAGATGGCAAAAGGTGTTCAAGAATTACATAAATTAGGATTTTTTCATCGGGATTTAAAACCTGGTAATTTTGTAATAGGGAAAGACAACAAAATCAAGTTGATTGATTTTGGGATCTCTAAAAAAATAGAAGAGAAATCTCAAACCCAAATGTAAGGGACATATCAATATATGGCTCCAGAAATACTGAAAACCTAAGCTTATGACCATTCTGTTGATATCTGGTCTTTGGGATTGGTTTTTTATGAGGTCTTTCTAGGTTTAGTATTTTTTACAAATAAATAAGAAGGTGAAATGATTGATGACCTACTTTAAATCAAGCAAATATAAATCAATGAAAAAATAAGAGCAAATAGAAATTTAGGATAGTGGCAACAAAAATTGCTATAAAAAATGATTGTTCAAAG